TGGCATGGAGACCCGGAGCAAAGTCGCGGCCGGAAGCTTCCCAGAATTGGGCGAAGATGGTGCCCGGTTTCTCGCGCAAACTAGCATGGGGACCCGGAGCAAAGTCGCGGCAGGAAGCTCCCCAGAATTGGGCGAAGGTGGCGCCCGGTTTCTCGCGCAAACTGGCATGGGGACCCGGAGCGAAGTCGCGGCCGGAAGCTTCCGAGAATTGGGCGAAGGTGGTGCCGGGTTTCTCTCTCGCGCAAACTGATGGGGACCCGGAGCAAAGTCGCGGCCAGAAGTTTCCGAGAATTCACTGAATCACTGGCCGAAGGCTGGCGGTGCCCGGTTAGTTTCTCGGGCCAGCTGGCATGAAGACCCCGGGTCTTCATGCCAGCTGGCCCGAGCATGAAGACCCCGGGTCACCCGGAGCAAAGTCGCGGCCAGAAGCGTGCCGGAATTCATGGGGCGAAGGCGGTGCCCGGTTTCTCGCACAAACTGGCAGGGGAACCGGGAGCAAAATCGCGGCAAGAGGTTTCCCGGAGCCCATCGGGCGAAGGTGGTGCCCGGTTTCTCGCACAAACTGGCACGGGGACACGGGGCCAAGCCCTTGCGGGAATCTATCAACGAAGCCCCCCGGAATAAGGCGAAGGCTTTGCCCGGTTCTTTCTCGCGCGAAGAAACTGGCATGGGGGCCCGGAGCAAAGTCGGCCGCGGCCAGAAGCCTGCCAGAGTCTGTCAGTTCAATCATTGGGCGAAGGCGGTGCCCGGTTTCTCGCGCAAATTGGCACGGGGGCCCGGGGCAAAGTCGCGGCCAGGAGCTTCCCAGAATTCATTGGGCGAGGGTGGTGCCCGGTTTCTCTCTTTTTTTTTTCGTGGTTTTTTGTTTCTCGTTTCCTTTGTTTTGTCCTGGCGCCCGCGCAGGCTTCGGCTTGATCGACGTGCGTCACATATATCATAACTCATAGCATCCACCACGCAAGTGCTCCAGTGCTACTTGATCGAATTCGCATAATTCATAGCGCAGCGTGATCTATGGGCATCGCGCTCACATCTTATAACTTGTTCTCCGACACTGTCGGAGAACAAATTATAAGCGCTAGCAGTACTAGGTAGACCGAGAGTGGTGCTGACGATGGCACGCTTTACGGGTGTTGCGCCCAGTATCCCTATGATCGACCCGGCGATGATCACCCCCGTAGCAAAATAATGGCCCTCGTTGTGTCCTCCTCCTCGCCTTCGGTTGCGAGGACAATGAACAGTCCGGACAAGAACGCGGATTGCGGTGGAACAGGTCCTCTGCGATGCATCATCGTCCTGGACCTTTCTGGGGACGAGATTTGCAGATTTTCCCCTGCCCCCACTGACGATGAAGCCGATGACTTCACCGTCTCGATCGGCGACATCCGAAGACGCGTCGCTGCTTTGAAACTTCTCCCACCGGAGCACATCGGTGTTGTCAATCCCAGAACCAGTGCGCTGTATACCAACGATGAAGAGGAGATCGTCGTCGAAGCTGTTGCAGCACGACCTTCTTCAAAAGCGACAGGAACAACGACCTCAACAAGTGTGGCTGCAGACGCCAAGAGCCTCGGGCTCAGCACCAGAGGTCGTAATAACAAAGGACTTGTTCAAGCGCTTGATCGTGATGACCCGCTGGGCAGTGGTGTAGGTGTAGAGATCGCGAACGCGAACTACGCAGCGTCAGGATCTTCCAGCGACGTGGCGCATCCGAACCCTGCGAAAAGACGGCGCTTGGACGACGAGAAACAACATGATGAGCCAGCATTGAGGAGGACCTCGGCTGGAGTTGCTGTCATACGGCAGGGCAGCGAAAAAATCGATGATCATGAAGAGCCGCTCTTTAAAGACGGCGAAGATGTCTCCGAAAACAAATCGGGAACAAATGAAGTGGTGGTAGTGGATCGTCCACCTATGCTGGTCGAGCGAGATGGAGCGGGGCTCTTGGGAAACTCTGACGACGGTGATGATCTTCCATCTGACCACGCGTTTTCAGTCTGCGCGGACGAGGAGGAAAAAGATATACAACCGGGAGCATCAACTCCTGCGCTCACCCTCCACGCGATTATCGACCAACGGAAGGTCGAGGCCTGGGAAGCGGCAAAAAATTTTGTGAACACGAAGGGTAGAGGAACGAGCCTCGAGGAAGACTGGGAGAGACTGGTGCTGGGCGAGTTTTTAAGCGTGCACGGCGACGTGGCCAGGTTATCACAGTGCACAATTCCCCCTCCCGCCCCTCATTTGCCACGCAAGATCCCAAATCCAAGCGCTACCTCGTGGCACTGTTTGCATGACAGATTTTGCGAGCCCAAACAGAACTACACTAGGCACATGAATTTGTCATGCAGAGGCCCCACGCGTGCTGGTGTTTGTGTTGCTGTTCATGCCAACATACAAATGAGGGGGAGGGGGAGTTGTGCACTGTCATACAGGTCGGACCGGGCCACGATGAAGGCTTTGCTGGATAGTATCTGTGTGGAGTTGAACCTCGCCACGGGCGAGCCCACCGACGGGAACGGGTTGCCCGAGCGGCAGCAGCGCGCCCAGGAATGCTGTTGGGACGTGTTCGACGCGGCGTCTGAGGAACTGCAGAGGACGGAGGAGTTTGTCGCGCACGGAACACAGTACGGAGGGATTTTCGTACAGTGTTGAATTGTCATAAATTTAAATACGCACACGTAGTCTGAGTCTCAATTTACTGATGGTTAGTCTTAGTTTTTGTTTGGAATTCTATGTACATGTTGTACACTCTGTCATGCGCATACCGTTGCCAGAGATCCTTTACCTTTAGCTGCGGACTTTTTCTTTCACACGTATGCAGCTCACGTTGTTGAGCTGGCCTGTATCTGCTGCGCCTTTTCGACACCTATGCGTGCTTTTTTCTTGCTCTTGCACCACGTGCAAGGAGGTTTATCAACAGCATTTACTTGTTTTTGAATATCATCAAATAAACACGGCTCCACAGTTTTTCAGCGAGGACTGGCTGCACGAGGATCTGCGCGACAACGAACGCATCGCCACCCTGATGGTCCGCAGCCATGAGAAGTTCTACCGGGAGCTGGTGAGCGACCGGCTGAAGACGGATCCGAACATCATCCTGGAGACCTTTATGGCGGCGTTGAGCTTGGGCCACGGCAACGCGGTTCCGGGTGACACAGACGAGGCGGTGCAGGAAAATTTGTTCAATGAGTGGAGTACGCTCTTCACGAACAAGCTGGGCGGGCCGGAGGCGCAGCAACTGGGCTGGGACGCGGCCGCGAAGAAGTGGGATCTGCGGCGGCACCTCTGCAAATACGTGGCCCACGACATCCTGCGCCATTACGGGCACCTGATGCACGGCGCGGGCGTGCTGGGGAACCTCATTTGGGGGGTGAAGTCGAACAAGGACTGCGTGTGCTCCTTTTTTGCGAATGGCTTGAAGCAGCTCGGCGCCGGCGACTGGTTGCAGGACGCGTTTGACTATCCACTGCAAAACTATCGAGCACGTAGCCTATAGTCGTTTCTAGTACTTTGTACCGGTAGTTTCTTCGTACCCGAATCTTCTTGAGAACATGATTTGTCATGCGATCTATACTAGCACGTAGACGCAGAGTGCGATGATGCTTCTGGTTTTGCAATGCATATTTACCATGCAGAGGATGACGAGGTTACTCCCCCCACTTTGCTGTCCGACAAGAATTTCATCATGGACGACCTGTTGCCTTACCTGTGTTCCAGCTGGAGGATGGCGCGCGAGTTTTTGCGGTCGTCCTCCGGCACCCGTTTCCGCCGCGACCGGGAGTTCATGCTGGAGCTGGTCCGCGTATCCACAGTGAATTTCCCGTACACGTACAAATTCGGTCTCTGCATGACAAAACTTGGCTTCGATCCTAGTTTAGCATGACAAGTTTTACGCTCCAAATTGGTGAAATTTGTGATGCATGTTGTACATGTACGGGAAATTTGTATTGCATACCGCGCGCACCCGGACGCGTTTGAACTCGCGTCTTTTGCCCTCCAGAATGACAAGGAGTTCTGGCGTGTCGCCCTGGTGGCGAAGGCCGACTCGCTGGGCCACGGGGACGTCTTCGCCTCGCAGCTGGTGAGCAACACCTGCACGGGGGCGGAGCTGCTCGGTCGCGAGGACGCCGTGCAGACGGCCATTGCGGAGGGCCAGCTGCTCAGTCTGCTGCGGGCCGGGAAGAAGTGGCTTTTTGAAGGAAAAGACCAGCAGAGCCAAACTACGCATCAAAACGACGAGCAGCCGCGTGAGGAGCGGCAACCCGCAGAAGTGCCGGACAAGGAGTTCTTGCTTGATCTCTATGCACGCTGTCCCATGTTGTTTGCGCAAGACGCCGCTGCGAGTTCAAACCTCTTGTGGCTCTCGAACAAAGGCGGGGGTACCGACGACGATGAAGTAGATGAGCACTACGCGACCACCACGCAGAGCAACGATATTAAGACTGCAGCTTCTGTCGACCAAGCTGCCTCTTCTGCCGGAACAACGACCACAACTACTACCGGGCTATTTCTAAAGCGGCATGAGGCTGCCATCCACGCGTTTGGCCCCGTAGCGCGGGTTGCGCTTGCGTGCCGGAAAGGATCCTGCGAAGGGCTGGACGCGCACCTCTTGCGATTCTGCCGCGGGCTGCTGCCGGAGCAGACAAAACCTATGATGGACTGGTTTGTGGATCGTGACTTCAATTTCTGGCCGGACCCCCGGTGGCGCGAGAAGCTGGCGTATTCCAAGCGGCTGAGCCCCGCTTCGTCGCCGAGTCTGGACGGCGTCCCGGACTGTCTGCGGGCCACGAAAGCGGAGGAGGACGAGTGGCTGGCGTGCTACAAAAGGGATAGCACGGAGCCCTGGCCGCAGCCGCGGGCGGAACGAGAAGCCAGGGCAAATCGCATCAAGGCCGAGCGGTATGTGGAGTTCCACCCGGTCGACGAGCTGCGCGAGATGGTCGCCCGCGGGAAATTCACCTTTCTGGAATCAATCCTGAGGATGTTCGGGCAGCGCCCTGCGAAGGAAAATGAGCCGGCGCAAAGAGATAGAGATGATGAACAAAACCAAGAACCCGCAGCTGAGGAGGAACGCAATACGACATCAGCAGGTCGTGGGGACGATGAAACAAATATCGCTACGACGACGACGACGAACGCACAGCACGGTGGTGCTCAAAACTCGCAGGTAACTGTGAACAAAACGACTGAAGAGACCACTGACAAAGAGAATGACAAGAACCAGGGTCCTCGCGGAACAAGCTCGATGAAAAAGGTACCGCGCGCTAGCGCACAACTCGCCCCGTGCTCGCAGCGGGAGTTCGCCCGACCGTTTCAAGAAGCCGGGCATCTGCTCGTGTCACACGGTGGCGGGGCTGGTGCGAAGTCCCCACAGGAGATCAGCTTGGCGTTCCGTCTCATCTACAAGGTCTTGCAGGAAACCAACTGGAAAAAAGCGACTTTCGCGCTCTCTCGGCAGCTGGAAGGGGTGGACCACGGCAGTTCCACGAAGCAGGGCGAGTCTGCTCCCGAAACAACTGGCGCCGCAGCAGCTGCACCTACTGGTACTATTTCGGTGCCGACCGAAGCTCCTTCGAGCAATAATTCACAAGGGGGTCGTGATGTCAGTGGCTCTGCTCTCGCCCGCACCGAACGCGAACAAAATACTGGCGGCCCGAAAACGACGGGGGATGATAATGCAGGCTCTCCTGCTGTCGTAGCACAAATAAAAGTCGAAAACGACAATGGCCAGCAGGGCAACGTGAATACGAGCATGAGCGCCCCTACACCTGCTGCGAATATTTCTGTGGACACCTTTCTGGTTCTTAAGGTTAACGACGACGACCCAGGCGAACTCTTTGCGGAAGAAATCTTGAGGAGCGACGTCGATTTTTTTGCGGACTTGCTCTATGGCGGGCATGCCCTTGGGGAGGCTTTCACAAAAATCGCACTCAACTCCACTGGTGCATCAACCACGGGCGCAGCTGCTGGTAATATCAATCCCGGTGGTCCACCCGCAAGAAAGTTCGTCGTGGCGGCAGCGTCTGTTCTCGGGTTCAGCTGCTTTCCCCATCTCTCACAGGAAGACCGGCGGCGCAAAGACGTTCTCGTCGCTGCGGCCAGTTTGACCCCGGAAAAGCAGTTTGGTTGGGGCTGGGACACGCGATTTTTGCGCCCGATATTAGGGACCACCTTCCCCATTACGGGCATGGAATTTGTGGCATACATTCGCACGCTCGCGAACGACGCGGAACACCACATTCTCAAGTTGATCCAGTCTCGCGAAATGGACGAGGAAGAGTCTTTGACCGTGTTAGCCGCGTTGGGATGCGTCATTCCCTACAAGCTTTGGTCGCTGCTGCCGGAGGACGCGCGAAAAAACCTCAGCCCATCACTGCGGCGAAAATTTTGTCGGGCAATAGCCACCGTGAGTTCGCAGCGCATCTGGCGCGGAGAGGAACCCGGCGGAGACCCGGAATCAGGCGAGTTTCAGCCGTATCAAATGTAAACATGTCTGGGTCTGGAAGAATGCAAGATTTGTGATGCAGGTTTTCCATGACCCATGAGGTCTGGAATGCGAGACCCAGCATGGCAGATGCTTTGAGGTCTCTAGCATGCCTTTCCTGCGGGAGAAACTCCCTCGCAGCTTGGTCAAAAGCGGACAGCTTTTGGCACTCACGCAACACAGATTTTTGCATCATTTAGATTTAGCATGGCAGGTTCTAACCTTCCAGACCCAGACATTTTTGCAGTTGATAAGCCGCTCCTGGCGTTCTGGTCGAGTTTGTCTCTGGCCGAGCGGGAAAACGATCCGCTCCTGCTCCAGTGCTTGGCCGAATCCGCAGACGAAATGGTCCATGCGGAGGTATTCGCCATGTTAAAACCGGATATGCGGGTCCGCGCGGTGTTGGCCGGACCCAAGTTGGCGGGCCATCTGTTCGACTCGCCCTTTGCGACGGCGCTGCTTCCTCCGGATACCCAGTTTGATCCCGCGTTCTGGCTCGACGCACTGCGCGCGCTGACGACGGAGGAGCAGCACTCGCGAAACATCTCCTTCAAGTGGTGCCTGATTCCCTGGGCCCTGCGTCGCAACGCGGACTTCATGCGAAGCGCCGCAAAAATCAATCCGCTCTTCGTCGCGCGGCTGGCCGGCGCGGAGGTTCTGGCTTCAAAGGATTTCGTTTTGGAGGTTCTCAGAATTATTCCGGTGGAAGCTTGCGCCATCTTTCGCAAAGAAGCAGGCTCTCGCTGTGGCAGAGACGTGGCTGCGCGGGATGTCAAACCGAAAAAATTCTACCAGTCTAAAGCAGAGCAGAAAGCGCTGTATCTGGCCGAATCGCTCCGCAAAGCCGTGGAGAAACTTCTACTCGGAACGACGCGCGCAAACTGTAACAACGAGGAGCTTGTGGAGGAGGCGGTGAAGCGCAACGGCCAGGTGATTCGCTACGCGTCCTGGCGGTTGCGGAGCGACAAGCGCATCGCAAAGACGGCGGTGGAGCAGGACGGCGCTGCGTTGAAGCAGTTGCCGCACCACCTTGCGCAAGACGAGGACATCTGCCTCGCCGCGGTGTCGCAGTGCGGGCTGGCGCTGAAGTATTGCCCAATGAAGCTCCGTAGGGAGAGCCGCGCCATCGTCCTCGCGGCCGTGCGAAACGACCCGGATGCGGTGTGCTTCGTCCGGGGCGAGAAGTTGCTTGGGGCGGGGGACCCCGAGATCTACCAAGCGAGTTTGAAGAGCCGGGTGCTGACGGACTACCTTTTACCTTGGCACGCCACCACGCGGGGAGGGGGGCAGAGGCTCTCGGAGGACCACCCGCTCGCGTCGAGGCGGTCGGAATTCCTGTACGAAGCGGCCCTGGCAGGCAACACGGACGCCCTGACCCTGTTGGATTACGACGACCGCGCGCTGTTGAACAACTACGACCGCATGAGTAGGTTGGTCGCCGTGGATGGCGAAGCGCTGGCATACACACCACTTCGAGGAAAGTTCGACCTTGCAATGACCGCCGTGAAAAACACCGGCGCCGCGCTCCGTCACGTGTGTCCGACCTTGCTTCGGTCGGCAAAGGAGGGGAAGCAGCTCGTGCTTGCGGCACTACAGAGCGAGCGGGGGCGGCAGTCTGCGGTGGCGGCCGTGCCACGGACGCACCTGCGCGATCCAGAAATTAGGGGAGTATTGGAGAAGCTCAACGAGGAAAGAGAAGAAAAACTACCTCCGTTCTTTAATGCTGAAGATTTTAGAGGCGTCGCGTTTACAGGGTTCCTCGGCGACGAGACGGCCTCGGCGCAAGGGGCGGGACAAGCCAAGTGATGACTCTTTTTTCGTATGACTAAACCCGAACGGCGCGCCAGATCATGTTCATGACCACGCCTTGAACATGTGAGAGCGATTTACCCCATTTCCTGGCTCCAATCTCTCCACACTCTTCAGCAGTGGCATGCATGATCGAAACTACGTGCACGTCGCGAACTGATACATCTTGGTCTTACGATAAAAAAGAACAAAAACAGGCACATTGACTATATGCATCAAGTGATCGACTTCTTCGATGTCAGCTGGTCGTGACGAATGGGAATCGATGTGATATTAACCACTCGGTGGTCCGTTGTTCCTTTTTGTTGTTCCTGCTGGTTGCGCTCTGTCCTGTCAAGGCACGAAAGCGAACAGGTGGAACCCCTCGAGCAGGAGGGGGATGATGGTAAATGATAAATGAAGCCACGCGCCGCTGACGAGACAGCAAGTACAGAACTTCCAAGGACCGAATTATATGATAGTGATTTCAATTTCATGTTCATCTTTGCAGTCCTAAGTTGGACGAAGCAGAAAAGCAATTTGAGACTTCACAATACAATCTTTAGAAAACTACAACATCAAGGGCGTCATGTTAGCACTTGTTTGCGACTATCGCTGACCGTAGTCCTCTTCTCTCGCAGCCTATGCTAAAGAAAAAAAATTATGTGATAGTGATTGAAAAGAAAAAACAACTTGTATGTTAGTCTTGAAAAATATAGCCTGCTTCTTCTCTTGCTCTCTATCCCTGTAGAGATGCCGGAAGCCGCTGAATCACAGATCAAGTTCTTAATACCGTCCTCAGTTACGGTTTTTGACGCCGGTAATCACGAAATATGCGTCGTTCCTGCTCCGACCGACGGCAAGCCGCTTCTCGTGGGTGACATCCGCAGAACAGTTGCCGCGAAGAAAGGCATTCCAGCGCAGTATGTCAGCCTTCTCGATGGGGAAACGCAGGCACAGTATACCGATGATAAGGAGGAGTATTTTCTTGTGGACGAAAGCACGAAAGAAGAAGGTGGGGGTGATCATGACCAAGCGAAACGCCGTCGAATCTCCGAGAGCAGAAAAAGAGAACGCTCGGCGCAGCAGCTGCAGGGGCAGGAGCATCATGACGACGGCGAACTCAGCGCACCAGTTGGACGACGAGAGGATGGCGATCTTGTGCCGTCACGAGGCCCAGCAGGGTCAGCAGGGACGAATGCTGCAGCCGCACGGCGACTGAGTAACACCCGAAACGGAACTGCAACTGCAAGGGATTTCGATTTGGAGCCTCCTGGGGATGCGATTGACGAAGATCCTGGGTCCGCATCAGAAAACGAATCACGCAGGAGCAAGTCGGAGGACGCTTCTTCACTTCCTACGAAGACTAGAGGCCCTCGCCTTCTAGCCATCGAGCGTACAGCTTTGCTTGAAACGTGGAAGAGTGCGAAGCAATTTCGCTTCTGTGGCAGGAAAAACGAAGTACAGGAGGATGAGGACTACGAAATATTGGTAATTGGACCCTGGTTACATGACTTGGAGAAATACGAGGACAAGGACGTTGGACCCAGTGATTTTTTGCTGATGACGGCGATACTGGACAGCGTCTGCGTTGCGGTCCGTGTTGGTGGTGATGACGAAGATCGCGTCATCCAATGCTGCTGGGAAATTGTGGAAGGCTACTGCTCCGAGGAGTTACATCGGAACAAGGAGTTTGTCGCCTTTGCCTCGCAGTACGGCGGACGGCTTGTATTTGATTTAGTGAAAAAAATTTTTTTGAACATGCAGCCTCATCCTGATGCAAGTAGAAGTACTACAAGAAGTGAATTCATTCAATCAAGCAGAAGCACAGACAACGCTGACCAAAGAAAAAAATTTATAAAAACAATAGTTCTTCTCGGACGGTTGGTTGCGAGAGGAGCTGCGCGACGACTTTACCCTCGCCATGCTTGCGGTGCGCAGGCACGGATGCCGTTACGAAGACTCAGTGAGTCCGCGGCTGAAGCGCGACGTCAACATCATCTTGGAGGCGCTCTCAAATCTTGGCGGACGTGGTGATGAGCAGCAGCTGGTTCTTCGTGAAATCCTCCAGCACTTCAACTTTCTTCCTGACGCATCGAAATGGAAAAGCGAAAATATCTGCGTCGCGCAAGATATTCTTCGCCTTCGCAATCTGACCAGCTACGGTGATGATGATGATTTTTTTCCGCAGCCATTGGGGATACTGCCAGAGCTGGATGTGATGTTCGCTGCCGACCCCGACTGCTTGTACGCGCATCTGCAGACGCTTGAAGACCATTTTGGTCCGCCGGGAATGCACGTCATTTTCGACGAGGTTGGAACTGACACGAAGACTGCAACGCTTTTTGCAACTCCCGATTTCGTTATGGACCAACTCCTGCAGTTTTTTTGCAAACTGGATCCACGCGTCGTAAAGGCATTTCTTGGAACCCCAGCCGGGGCCAAGTTCCGAAGGAATCGGGAATTCATGTGTGAGCTCGTTCGCGCAAACGGAGATAACTATGACGAGGGTAGTCCATCAGTGTTGGCCAACGACCAAGATCTCTGGCTACTGGCGTGGGCTTCGAAAGTTGCGTCAAGTGACTTTTCGGGCGAGTCGTGTAACGCCCGGGAGATCACAGACAGTGAAGACTTCGGTCTGGGTGAAAGCTGCAGAACCATTAAAACAGGGCGCGCAATGAGCCTACTGCGGGACGGTACCAAGTGGGTATGCACGGGGACTGCGAACCGCCCGAAAATCCCGCTGATGTTGCTGTACGCGATGGGCCCAACTACATTCTCCGAAAAGAATTACTCTTCACACATCCTTCTCGGATTCGTCTTAGGAGACGGCGAAGATTCAGACAATGAGATGAGACCGGTTCTGACGCGGCCCCCGAAATGGAAACGCACTCGCACCTCCACGGCAATACACGCTTTCGGAGCAATCGCTCGACTAGCGCTCGCATGCGGAATTTCCGGAGACGGGCTTGACAAGTACCTCGAATCTTGGACCCGCGGTGAACATCTTGCTCTGACCCCGTTCTCACGGGAGCTCCTGCCCTACAACCGCAACTTTGATCCAAAGGCCACGTACATAGAGTACATCGGTCCGCACAAAACCGGGTCGTCACGAGAAGGCGCCTCCGCTGGGAATACAGCTGATATTGACGGAGTTCCTGACATTCTCCGTGCCCAAGCCCACCTCCCACTTGTCGGCGGCGCGGGGGCGGCCTCAGAGTTCAACACGACGACCACCGTGCGCGGACCAGGACGAGGACGTTCGTCTGCTGATACGAATTCCGGAGCCGCGGCCCTGGTTCGACATCTTGGCCTTGTAGGGGCACTTCGGGAGGCTTTTATCCGCGGTGATCAGCGTTTTGTTGAAAACCTGGGAGAACCTGGTGACTTCTTCTTTTCGGGGTGGAAAAAGATACCGCTTTCTCTGCAGGAAATCGCTGACCTCGTGTGCGAGGTCGGTCACCTTCTTCCCGACGTTAGTTCTCCCAGGCGGGGTCATCCGCCATTATATGAAATTGTGAATGTTGCCGGTCGTGTTTTTCAACCGACAGGAGCTGATTCGCGGGGGGCCCTTGCTCCTCGTCCACAGTCTTCGGTCTCGACTCTCGCTTCCGTCGCCGATACGACGCTCCTCAAAGTGCTGCAAAAGGACGGGCGATTCATGTGTGAAGCTGTATACGGAAGCTATTTCACCGCCCTTGCATTCGAGATGTTCACATCGCCGAAGTCGCGGGCGTGTTCCGCTCTCGCGGTGACCACCGCCCGCATGTTCGGTTTCCTGTGCTTCCCTCGACTCGATGACGACGTTCGACTGCAACAAGAAGTCATCCTCGCCGCAGCTGAAGCAACTCTGAAGGGGGAGCGGTTGCTCTACTGGCCGCAAGAAGAAGACATGTGGCGTTTTGCGGGATTCCTAGACAACAGCAGAAATTGGCTTGCAGCTAACGCTCGCCATCTTCTTCTCGCAATCGCTAAGAACCACCAGCAGAGCGGACAAGGATCTGCCAGGGAGGCGCTCCCCCTTGTCGTAGCAGCGCTCGCCTGCGAGGTGCCCGACAAGGTATGGGAACTCCTCCGTAGCAAGTATCGGTCAGAGCTGGCCCCAGAGGTGCCGAAGAAATTCTTGCGGTCAGTTTTGAGGACCGATCGACCTATTGATCCGCAGGATGAGGACGCTCCGGATGAAGGGCCTCTGTGTGACTTTTGGATGAGCCTGAGTCCGGAACAACAAGGAGATCCGTCGCTCTTGAGGTGTATAGCGGAAACGGAATCGCCGCACCGCATCGACAGCAAATTCTTCGACTTTCTCAAATCGGAGGAAAAGGTGCAGGCGGTGCAAATGGGCCCGAATTTCGCAGATTTGGTTTTGGAGTCGTCCGACCTCTTAGCGAAATTCCCTCCGGAGAAACAATTCAGCCCCGAGTTTTGGCTGAATGTGTTACGCCATGCGACGTCGCCCCAGGAGAGACGACGTAAGTACGGCTACTATTACGCTGACTACCAGTTTCCGTGGGTTCTTCGAAGAGACGCGGCATTTCTTCATAAAGCTGTGGAGATCGATTTCTGTTTCGCCACCAAGGTTGCCAGCACAGAAGTACTTGCGGACCGACGCTTCGTTCTCGCGGTAATTCGCCAGGTGGCCGAGAAATTGCAGACGATCAGGAGTTCATGCAGCAAATTGTCTAAAGAGCAGAAAGAGGATGCCCTGGCGTTGCGGAAGTGGAGCGAACATCTGGGCATATATACAAACCCCGCAAAGAGCCTTTTGAAGGACGGCGCTCTTTCCATCGACACACTATTGTCGCGAACTTCATGCGCAAACCGGTGCGACTTCGAGATTGTCTTCGCTGCAGTGCAGCAGAACGGAAAGGCGATTCGGTACGCTGGCTGGGCTTTGCGGAACGATCGAAAAATAATCAGGGCTGCTTTGCAGCATGACGGCTTGGCGCTGCAGCACGTCCCGGTCAAGTTGCTTGAGGACGAGGAACTCTGCCTTGTCGCTGTATCGCAGAACGGCCTGGCGCTGAAACATTGTCCGATGAAAATGCGCATGGAGTGCCGCGCTGTCGTTCTGGCAGCCGTGAAGCAGAATCCGGAGGCGATTTTTTTCGCTCGCGGCGAGAAATTCCTCGGCGTTGCGGATGAGGATATTTTTCAAGCCGCTTTGAAAAGTACCACCTACGTGCACTACCTCGCTGGCACGTATTTGGATGTTGCGGATGATCACCCGCTCGTTTCCCGTCGCGCTGAATTCCTGTACGAAGTTGCCATCGCCGGCAACGTGGAGGTCCTTAGCGGCTTGAAGTGGCACGATAAGAACACGCTGCAAAACTTCGACCGTATGCTGAAGCTCGTGCAGATCGACGGCACAGCGTTGGCCTACACGCCGCTGCGACACAACTTCAAACTCGCGATGGCAGCGGTCACGAACACGGGGAAAGCACTGCGCTTCGTCTGTCCGGGCCTGCTTCGAAGCCCGGCACAGGGAAAGCAGCTAATGCTCGCCGCGTTGCGAGGCGAAAGGGGGCGGAAAGCTGCCGTCAAGGCCATACCGCGGGAGTTTCTGCAGGACGAGGAAATTTTTGCGGCGGTGAAAGAAAACAGGCGACTGTACGAGCCGGGAGAAGTAGAGGATGAAAAGCCAATTTTTTCTCCCAGCGACTTTGAGGGGATTACACTGGACGACCTGGATCTAACGGTTGACGATGAGGAACAGTCGAATCAGGAGAACGAAAACGAAAATGACGCTGAACAAGATCTTCAAGAAGAAGCGGTAGCTGCGGGGGTGGATGAGGATGCAGGGTAGGAGGTCGGGATGGGACAAGAGCAAGACGACGGGAATGTGGAACAATGAACAAAAGGCGGGCAAACGCAAAGAAACCCTATATTAAAGATGGTAGCTGCGAAAAAGCTCCGCCGCGTCCTAGGTGCTTCAATAAAAGAAACAAAAAGAATACTTAAGAATAAACTCTGACTACGTACTATCTATCAATCTCTATCTCAATCGGCAGGCAACTAGTACCATCCCATTCATTCTTGAAAAAAATTATGCGAAAAAAAGTTATTCGTTTCGCTTCCGTTTAACGATGTTACATGCACGAGCCCCACCGGCGCAGAAAATTGGTTGTTCATGTTCTTTCTCTTTGCTCTGAAGCAAGCTCGTAGTACGCTGGTCAACGTTCATTTCAGTGAGTGGGGGATGACTTGGGTGAGGGTAGAAGACGAATTAGTTGTGACACGTATACGGAAGAGACATGAACACGAACTACAACCGAGGGAAAAAGAGTATTTGTATTACCTGCGAGTGCCGTTGTTCATCTTGATATTCGTTTAAACGACCTTGACGTGGTCAACAGAGAGAAAACGTGGAGTAAGGCTTTTTATTAATTGCCTCCACATTGTCCGTGTCCTTTAACTTCTTTGTGAAGATTCGCCCCGCCCACTGCGATGTTGACCGCAGGAGCCACGGTCCCACCTCCAACCTGGGACGCGACCAGCAAGATTCCGCAGGACCACGAGCTTCTCGCAGCGGTGCACCGGGAGAAGACGGTCAGTGAGAAGTTGCACAGCAAAGTTGCGGAGTACAAGCACGCGCTGCAGGACCGCATCCAGGGCCTGGACGAGCAGATCAAAAACGCCGTGACGGAGCTGGTCGAGGAGAGCGAGACCGAGATCCGCGGCATCGAAAGCGAGCGCATCGATATTCTGAAGCAGTTAACGGACCTGCAGGAGATCCGGATTCGCTTGGAAGATATGCATCGCAAAAGTATCGTACTAGTATAAATTGCATATACAAATTTTCGCAAGAAGAAAAGTGGAATTTGTAATGCTGTTTTACTTTAGGAGGAAGATTTGTCATGCATATTTGCAATTAGAAGCACGAGTACGACTACGATAGATACTTTTGCACTGCATAAAAGAAGCGATTCAGCGAAAGCAAAAACTGAAGCAGCGCACGGAGACGGAGCTGAAATCGGGTAGGAATCGAGCGCTGAAGCAAAAACGAAACCAAGATGTAGCGGCACAGGTATTTGATAAACGCGAAAAATAGTTGCATTCGGATTGTGGATGCAGGTTTTTAATGCAACAATAACAAACATTTGCAACATTGCGACTGAACAAAGAACACGCGGCACATGCGTACGACTTCGGCTGTCGGAGACATCACGCATGAAAGCATTTCCGGCCTCAGATACTAAATGATCGATCCCACAGATGCTCATCTGAAAGTACGAAGTTTGACGAAAGCATGTGGATGTGCGTGCATGATCTGAAGAGTTTTGTAAAAGACCGAGAAGAAGATGAAGCGACACCGTTTTCTCTTTCGATGAATGCGGACGATCTGCATCTGCTCAACCATAGATGATACATGCCGAAGATGCCATTCCGCCAAGACAGGCTAAAGTATCGATTTATTATCAGTTGCTCGCCGAGCTTCTGGAAGGGCTTGGCGGGAGAGTGCGGAGCACCCCGAGGGAAAATGCGCAATTTGGGCAGCCACAAAGGCGGGCTGCCGCAAATGACGGAATTGTGCAACTTGTTCTTGGAATTTGCGCACCTTCCCTGGCCAGTATGCCCTCGTGCATAACGTTACGCGCGACGGCATAGTGGCCTCGAGAAAAGCTACTTTGTTTGCAGGGGCCTCGAAAGGATGCCCCGCTGCGAGTTCGCCGGATTTCGAACGCAATGCTTATCTCAGCAGGAGCCTGCGGGCCGCCGCGGACGACACTACTTAGCTGTCGGTCCGCGGGGAGGTTGTGGGGCCCGGGATGTCTTCGACGTCTTCTTCTTCAGTCGCGGGCCGCGGTTGTGCTCGCGGCCGCAACCGCAATCTGCGGCCCGCGGCTCAAGAAGAAGGGGCGGCTCTCCAATAGATGGCACTTGTTCTCGTTTGCGTCGACTGCCGTGCGGCGCGCGGCGATGTTAGAAAAAGCAAAAGGCTGGTGGACCTTCGCGCTGGTTAGAAAGATGTCCACGCACGCACTTGGTATACCAGTAGCGCCCCGCGACCTTTATACATGTCGATGCCTCTTCTTATTCATTTCCAGGTCCTCGCCGAGCTTCGCGACGAGCTTGGCGGGATTCTGCGGAGTCTGGCCGTCCTGAAAAAGGACGACTCGGAGATTCAGTACGACGTTGAGAAGCTGTACCGCGCCAAAGAGGTCGTGGACTACGTATTGGATGCCAAGAAAACGCAACAGAGCATCGACACCGAGCTCCTGCACGCAAGGTTCAACTTCAAAATAGTACCCGCTAGTAGTGCTGGCGAAGGAACAAGTGTTTTGGTAGCGTGAGTGCAGCAAATACATGATTGAAAGTATGTTCTTCTTGTTTCCAAAGGTAAACGAACTGTATGTAATGTAGAAATTCGCCTACTTGTATTTAGCATTTCTGTGCTTGCCTTGTAGTGAAAATCAATGTAAGATGCATGGAATAGAGTGTAAGTGAATATATACGATGTTGCTGAAGAGGCAAAGGAAGCAAGTCTGAATCTGAAAGAGCGTCGTAATATCTAAAAATTGCACTCTGCGCATTCTCGGTTCTCGATTGTTTTTTGAATCAATCGCGAAGAAGAGAAAACGACCTTTGGCTTTGTGTTGTTCGTCTTTGTCGATGAGTCCTGCTCGTTTTCGGATAAGAGAACTTTAGAGCGGAGGTGTGGTTTATCTTTATCTCTGCCCGCCGCGTTTGCGTTGTTTTTCTCTTCGAGTTCGAGGTAGAGTTGTTGACGTCGGATTGATGTTTTTCGTTGTAGTCGATGAACCAGTTATTTCATGACCTGCGAGTAAGTACTAGACCAAGACCAAGAGCCTCCACACGCTGCATTCGAGATTGGCTTTCTCATCTGGGAGTTCGCTCTAAGTGTAAGTTTAATCTCTTCGTTCCATCTACCAGTACAAGCCGCACTTCCACCAGTGAAATCTTCAACAACACGTAGGTGTAGGACCTAGGAATACGGAAAAACTTCCGCAAGAACTACAGAAGATGCAGAACCCCACGAGCGTCACTGCGGCGCACCAGGTCGACGACGACCTGGATTCTGAGGAGGAGCGCGAATTTCTCCGGGCCCAAGAGTTGAACGAGAAGCTGAAGGCGCTGATTGCGGATATGCAATACAAATTTCCCGTACATGTACAAAACGCATCACAAACTTCTCCAACTTTGAGTGTCAAACTTGTCATGCTGACTAAGATTGAAGGTAATAAATTTTGTCATGTACTAGAGACAGCATTTGTACGTGTACTGCAAATTTACTGTGGATATCGGAGGCCGAAAACGCACAGCAGCAGTACGGGCACCCGGGCGCGAAAGGAGCAGGCCGTGGTCGGGGTGGAGCGGGTGTGTCCACCACTACCCAAGGCTCCGGTGGCTCCTCCTCCGGGCCCGCGACCGATGGGAAGGGCGCGGGGCGACAGCAGGCAAAACCGGCGGGACATGTGGACTGGAGTCACGACAAAAACCAAATCGACGACATCAACAAGGGCAACAAAAGGTTGCTCAACAAGTTGGTAGCGATCAAGGAGCGAGACCCGAGATCGGGAATCACCGCGGGCGGGGGGAAAGGTATTTGAGGACCTACTGCGTTTTTCACTACTTCATAATTTGAATTTTGGCATGAAAATGATACGTCGACCAGTAGGCGTTGTTATTTATTGTGTAGCATGGTTCTGGTAGACTTTCGTGCTGTATGGAAAAGCGTTTTGCTGTAGCTTCCGTTGTTCCTCACCCGTTTCCAGTAGCTAGTGTTGCAACTGTCGTGCAACAATCTTTTCTTCTGTGTTTCTGCCAGGCTCGACGAGCCGCGGCGTGCCGCCAAGCCTGCAGGCGCCGAAGATGTCTTCCGTGGCCATCAACCGTCAGCGCGAGGAGCAGCGGGTGCACCAGGAGAACGTGAAGATCGTCGAGCGGCTGGAGCGCGCCCGCGGTTTACAGGGCAACGCCAACCGAACCCGGGGCGGGGCGCCGTCGCAGCAACAGCAGCTAACCTCTGGCGCAGGAGTCTCCTCCACCGGCAGTGCAGTGAAGCACAAAAAGCTGCCCCCCGGGTGGACGCGCGGCGTGGGCGGGCAGATGCTGCCGCCGCCGAAGCAGCGATGGGGAACGAAGCAGAAGTACGATGCCGGCGATTGGCAGAGCTGATTATCGCAAGTCTAGAATATGTTTGAACTTGAAGTGGGACGAAAAGATTTTTTATCGTGAGTTTCTTCTTGACGTCTACTTGATAGCATTGTGAAAAAATTATCGATTTCGGGTTTTTCACTTTCAATTGCGCTTCGATTCTACACTAAATTGAAATTGATGTACTTGCGATATTACTTCAACTTCTTTCAGTTATATTTCCTTCGTGAAGTAGATTTCAAACAAAGTCAAAGTGTCGATGTTTGTATGCCTTGACAGGCACTAGATTGAGGGAAAAATACCCCTACAGAGCTGATCTGGTGCATGTGGTAGCAGCTGATGTCGATATCACTGATATCGCTGGAAAAATTCACCTGCCGCGCTTCTGCTTTTCAATTGTGGTGCTAAGACTAGTCGAGATATCTGATGAAAGAGCGAGCTTTGATAACCGGAGATAAATTTATCAGGGAGCACCTAAATATAGTGGGTGTTGTTGCTTTCCAACCATCTCCATCGCGTGTTGAGCTAAGATAAAAGATTTTGTGATAGATGAAAATTCCGAAGAACGAGAGCTTGTCTAATATCACGATGCCTGAAGGTCAACTCCGATGCAGCGGAAGAATCTCCCTTTATGTTCGGACAATGGTGCAGCTAGTATGTCCTGTTTGGTCGACTTCTGCGATTTCAGTGTCGATCGAGGAATGCAGATAAGCATGATCTTATGCCCGGCGTCGGAGCGGCCCGTCTTCAATTGGATTTGGATGTGGATGTTGGAACTTCTGCGATGTTGACGATCTTTACTACTACAAACCCGCGGACTAAAGTGATTGATCTAGCTATTCCTATTGTTTCGTTGTTTAGCACGCTTCTTCACAACCTTTGCTTTCAGTATCAGTTTCACCTCTGCTCAAGATGTCTCTAGCAAATAACTTCTCTGTCGTTGCACTTTTGTCCTTTGTGTTTCTGTTCGTATTTTGCTTTTGGCCGTACGACGCCCGGGCGGGGGATTCTTGGAGGTATGATTCGCTACTTTGTGCCGTCTTTAGCGAAAATCAAAAACCAGCGGCACAGCAAAAAACAAAAATTTCTGCGTCGAGTTCTGCACCATCTTCGACGACCACTGCGAAGCAAAGTACAACGGTTGATGATGTTAGCCGATCATCTAATCCTGCTTCTTCTGTCGGAACCGCTGACCAAGAACTTCCCCCACAAGAAACTGCCTCCAGGAAAGCCCAAGCGGAAGCTGCCTTCCTGTCCACGGCCAAAGAGCTTTGGAACCCCGAAAAAGTGTCGAAGTTCAAGGCGGTGAACGTTGGTGACTACAATCAATGCCATAAACGGGAACACTCCATCACCTATTTCCTCCTCTCCGGGCACTTCCGGACCTTCGACAAGAAACTGCCGAACTTTCTGAGCTTCGTGCAATCTGCGCCGTGCTTTTTTGTAATTCTAACCGTGCGGGAAAAAATCGAGGCGAATGGATCCGCCTGGTGGGGAAAGCGGAACGGGGAGGGGTTGCAGAAAATCAGTGTGACGGAAAGGATACAGAAGTTGCAGAGCGATAAAGATTTCCAGAAGTTTCAAAAGAAGATCGCTTCCAGTGGACCGACAAGTGCGCCGCCGCGTCGTCACCTTTCACAAGCCGGGAAGCAGCTTGGTCTACAACTTGAGAACAAGAAAGCTACAACATCCTACGTGAATTTTGCCTATGCCGTGAACGAGCAACTTTCGGACACACGTGCCGACCCCGAGACAAACGCCTATACACTAATGGAGGCAGTATCGCGGGCACACAGGATTCCACGCAGCCCAGGGGACGTGCTGGTGTATTCCAGGCCGGATATGCTCTTCTCGCACACGGTGAATTTCAAGAGCCTGGCGAAGCTGGCGGTTTTGTATCACAAGCTTGATGATCGTGATGATCCTTTGGTAAAAGGTCGTGCGAGTGCAGCTGCGGGTGGTTCTCGAAATCATGAAAACATTTTCATCGACGATGAAACGAGATGGAGAAACATGAACATCACTGACGCGCTATTTCGGAATACAGAGATACCGCCTACGAGGACGTTGAACAGACTCGTTTCAGGTCGGCCAGGAATCGCTTGGTCCTCGACTGATATCGAACAAGCACTGGTTGATGGCGTCAAAACCGAGCTTCTAATGGAAAATCATGGAAAAGGCATGGAAAAATATTCCAACTCAAGCTCTGCTTCTTCATCTTCAGACACAAGGACAACAGCGCCGTCGCTTTCAACTTCTGCTTCAGCTTCTCCTCAACGCGGACTTGCATCCACCCTAATAAAATCCTTCGCGAAAAACCTCCAAAGACACGCTTCAGGTGGCTTCGCCCTTCTTCTGCCCCACCACGCGGGAACCTACGGGGTGAAGTTTGATCCGAGCGAGATTTTCTTTGTCTGCAACTACCGGTATTTCAAGGGTGTGGTCAAGGATTTGGTTTTGGTCGGCTCGGACCGTTTTCCGCAAGCAGAAAGAGCAGCGCATAATGTGGCGGGCGGCTGTTGTGTTGGAAATTTGGGGCTGGATAAGAAGATCAACGAGACAGTGAAAAAGATGCTGATAGAAGAAGCAGGGGACGATGTGAAAAGTGTTTCAACAGTGACCAAATTGCACCCGAAAAATGTCGACGTATTTTTCCAGACTACTGACCCTGCGAAGGTGGTGAGGAAGTACTTTCAACATCAAGAACAGGAGAAAAAATCCCTGGGCGGGTCCTTCTCGTACTATCCACGACTGGAAACCCAGCAGTGCTGCGTCACCGGACCCTGCGGGCACCCGTACCAGCGCTTTCTGGTTCACAACCCCAGTCGAAGAAAGGATCACTTGTTTTTCATCGGACCCGGACTGGCGGTCCACGCCTACCGTCTTCGCACCGGAACTTTTCAAACTTTTTTGAACGGGCCTGGGAGGCCGGATTTGGCGCAGCCCAAGCGCGTGTTGCCAATGAGGGGAAAGATTGGCGAACTCGATTTGACAAGGAACGTCGCGCGGCTCGTTGGAGGAGTGGATTGCGAAAGCAGTATGATCACAATGCCCAACGAAGGTCTTGTCCCATTTCTTGGTCGTCCAGATGAGAGCACGATGGCAGTTGCGGCTAGCAAGGCCCCGACTTTGGGCAGGAAAATGGATGTCCGATCGATGCGCTTCATTCTCGAGTCGCTTGTACGCGCAGCGTTTTCTTCATCCGACGAGAAAACTATTCAGGGAAATACAGAGGCTGATGCGATGAAAGCGAATGTCACAGCTCCTGCCACCAGGGATGCGTTGTGGACGTCATTGTCCAACAAGGGCGCAACAGGACTATCTGGCGCGGAACCCGGAATCAAGAGGCAAAGCTTGGAGATGCTGCTCAAAGTTCTGTTCCGCATCTCCGACATGGATAATCTTGTCAAGGGGTACCACCCGCGGATCGTGCAAGGGGCCCGCTCAGACTCGCTCTTCTTCGTGGGGAAGCGAGATATCGAGAATTTGCTTGACGCAGTTAAAGGTCTAGCAGCCGCAGGTACTAGCAGGTGACGGCAATGAAGATAATGTCCACTGCAGAACAAGTCGGAGGGTTTTTTGCGTATTCGTCGAAATAACGCAGTTTCGCAAAGCGAGAAGGCACCCCGCGGCAACGACAACGAGGGAAAGGCGCAAAAATTACGAAACACACCAAACAGGTAGAGTCAACAACTTAGCATCACAGACGGCATCAGGAGCAACACATAGATAGTTCACGTGAAGCTCGTCAAACGCGTCAGGGCCATCGTATAGAGGCACGACTGTCACAGTCCACACATAAAAAAATGAAAAACGCTACCAGTGAGAAGTTTTTTTCGATCCCGCACGCCCGCATGAGCATAATGCACATTCAGACTGACGTACGCGCATGATGAAGTGATAGTAACGATCCTCTGCTCAGAAATGGCGAAAAAGTCTACGTGGTAGTGTCGAAGAACAGAAAAAAACCCAGGTATGCTCCTGAAGTTCACATTCGATCATTATCTAGTACCCAGCACTCGTTGCATTTGAACTTGTGCATCAAGAAGTCGCTGTTGTTCCAAATCTACGCTCAGAGGGCATGATGCAAATAGCCCCGCCAACATTTGGATCAACATCATTTTATCATTTTATCAAATTAAAGAGTCCTTTCCCGTTCTTGTACCTGTCGCTGCCATCCAAGAAGTTATAGGGGAGGATGTTGACAGGATCCGTTGGAAACCGTACAAAAGATCCGATTATCGATTAGAATCCACTTGCTTCAAACCTCAACACGCATCACTAGCGACACACCTCAGTCAGTACGAATTTCAGGAGATGGGACGGACATTGTTGAATTTGTAGCTGCTGATAGTTGTCGAACTACATATGAATTACCCTCAGTATTCAATCGAAAGGAAGAAAGGACTACGAAACCATAAGCGCCGTACGACCTTACAACTGAATCAGAAGGAACCTCCCCAATAGAACACAACGAAGAACATGGCGACCTCAACTTCAGCGACTACTTCCTCGGGCCCCTTGCTGCACGAGAGCAATGTGCACCACGATTTGGTGGACAGCTTACTCTACATCGAGGGCAAAGCGGACCCGAATAGCGCCGAAGCGCGACTGGTGGACGAACTCGTTGCGGAGGAAGTGCGACAGAAGGCGGCAGAACATAGCCCCTCAAACAATGATACCACCAGCCACGACACGCTGGAAGCCGGCGCGAATATTTTCATCCAGTCGCTGGGGAAGAGCTCTAATCACTTGTTCACCCGTGCGGACGAGTTGCAGCTCGAGGCGGCCGGACAGTTTGTGGACGAGCCCGCGGAAATCAGCGATAGTAAGGGTGTCTCGCGAGACTTGTTGAAGCAGGAATTTTACCGGATCATGGCGAAGCAGCAGGGCATGCAGAAGTTGGACAACACCAAGTACCAAAATCTCGATGGTCCAGATCAATTTTCCCAGGGCACCGAAGCCGCCTGGAAGGACGCGCTGCGCAACGCCCGGCTCATGGCCGGGTGCAACGATTTGCGGTTGGCAAATCTGGAGCTGTTGCTGGAGTCCGGCCCGAAAGCGGCCGCGGAAGTCAGAAAGGCAAACCAGAGCCTCGAGGGACAGCTCACGCAGGAGGTACTAATGTTACATATGGTTACTTTTCATCATGATAATGATTTCTGTGATTTTCGGTGTCGTGAGCTACTATCCTAGGTTTCAATTTGAAGATGAAATACCAAAAGCAAAGTAGACCCGTATTTTACCAAAAACCACACGCCCACAGGTAGCCCAACTCCGCAAAGAGGCGGAATCGATCAATCAGAAGCGGAAACTGGGCCAGATTTCGGGGCAAAGCGAGCTGAAGGACTTGCAAGTGAGTCACGACCGGTACCTGGATGACAACCGAAAAGTGGAAGCCGCGGTGCTCGGGCTCCGAAAAGAAACGGAACGTCTCAAGCGGATGGCGAAAAAGCGGAAAGTGCTGCCCAACGACTGGCGAGATCCCACGATTAACGACGCGCCCAAGCCACTACAGAGTTACGAAATCGTCAACAGCAGCGCAGCAGAGGGCGGGGAGGCAGAAAACGGGCCTCAGGAACTAAATAACCGACCCGCAATTGATCCAGATGATTTGTGAAGACAACATGATAGAGATGAAGAAAGACGATCAAATGTTATACCACACACGTTATGACTTCTCTTTGCCCCTAGTTGTGTCACGAAAGCATTGAACATCAAAACTAAATGAGGAGCTGCTCAAAGTAGTCGCCGCTGCAGCAGCATATTTTCATATTTTTGTGTCCAGTGTTCGTGAAGTATTGATGAATTACAGTAAAAAAACGAAGAGATGAGAAGTGGTGGGCAACAAGTTCTTGCTCAACCTATTACAGCACATAGGAGGCTCAGTATGAAAGTGTGCCCACCCACACGACAGGAGGTGAAACGAGGGAGGTAGAGAATAAAGCGAAAAACACAAGTGCTTTCCGAGAAAATTTATGAGGAGTTCATTTTCATGAACCTTCACATCAGGCTAAAGCCAACCTCATTGACCTTCTGACAAGCTAAGTATTACCCCATATTAGACTTCTGATCGAATTCGAAACGCTAGAAGAATTCCCCTTTGTGGCGGGATTTATTGCTGTACTCTGATTCCACCTTCATGTACATGTTTACCCTCATGTGCCTCGCTCCAAAAACGAACCAAATCAAGATTTCCCCGTCCTCTCGTCTCGTTCGTTTTGCATGTCACCGCTGATGTTTGGCACGCGGGGCGGCACGGAAAAGGCGAACTCTCTGACAGCCCACAATGGCGACGAAACCCAGGTTATGCATTGCAAATATGTCTGGGTCTGGAACAAGGTTGCAGCTTGTAATGCAGTCTTTGGATTCCAAAAAAAAATCTGTATTGCGTGACCAGCAACAGGAGTCCAGTTTGTGTTCTCACGCGGAGAGGGCGTTTCTTATGCGGGATAGGCATCAGAGAGCCCTCAAAAAATCTGTGATGCTAGAGAATGCATATACAGGCATCATGGGTCATACAAAATATGCATGACAATAAATCCCGGAATCTTCCAGACGACCCAGACATATTTGCATTTGATACAGGTGGTGGCCATGCGCAGCCGGGACTCGGAGAACCTGGTCCTCACCGAGGACGCGTTTCAAACGATATTAACCACAGGAGATGAAAATGGACCCCAGGGGGATCATGCCCCAGTCACAATTCTTGAAGGGCTGAACCGAAATAGGGCGATCAGCACGAACTCGCCCAGCATGGAGCAGCACGACGGCGACTCGCCGACAGCAGGGGGGGATAATTTATTTTCCCCGGGGGGTAACACGAGGTCGAAAAACTCGTCCTCCGGCCGGGCCCCGCACGAATCGCCCTCGTCCGCATCAGATCGCGGGGAGATGATCGGCCGGATGACCTCCGCAGAGTTGAACTACGCGTCGGCGGTCCTGCGGAAGGAAACGGAAAAGGGCCTGCAGCAGCGCCAGTCAGAGCGGGACTTGGCGGATGACGACTCCGGGGAAGAGGTGACCTACATGAACCCAAGTTTGAAAAAGAAAGACGCAAAGAAAGTGGGCGCTTTTGCCGGCGTGTTCGTGCCCACGTGCGAAAACATGTGGGGCGTGCTCATTTTCCTGCGGTTCTACACGATCGTCGGGAACGCAGGGGTGGGATTGGCGCTGCTCGCGGTGTTTTTGTCCTTCTCCATGGCATTCCGTACTTTTTTTGTTTTGCTTTGGATTTCTTGCGAAAGTTTGGACTATGTGCTGGAAATCAGAAAACCAAAACTGTATAAAGGACGATGCACGCAGCTTGATGCAATTGCAGTGTTTAACGCGGCCAAATTAATCAGCATGTGAATGTGATCTGAAATTGTTATTCTTTTCTACAGTGACCGCATCTTCGATGTCCGCGGTCGTTTCTTCTGGCGGCTTCGTCAGTGAAGGCGGCCCCTACTACATGATCTCCCGGGCAATGGGCCCGGCTATCGGTGTCACAGTTGGTCTGCTCTACTGGCTCGGGATATCGCTGCTGGCAGTGCTGGAGACCCTAGGTAAATGTCAAACACTAACATGATTCACACTGCTTGCTATGCGATACCGATTTTTCTTCTTGGTGTCGTTTTTCTTGTTTGATGCCACCGCCATCTTGTCTGCTTGCAAAGGATAGAAAACGAACACCACGTTGCTGCATGTCATAAAACTACGAAAAAATCACAGGCGCCGTCGAGGCCTTGCTAATCGCGAGGCCAGAATTGAACAGCGGCGGTGCCATGCGGGGCTTTGGGAGTATCGTGCTCCTCGGGATGGTGCTGATGGTCTACATGGGCATCAAATTTGTGACCAAAATGGGTGTCGTGTTCGTCGTGGTGGTCTTTTTCACCCTGTTAATGTTCTACGTGGGGATTTTCATGACCGACGGCTCGGAGACTGCCACGGGGGGGACCAATTTTAAGGGCCCCGACGGGCAAGTAACGGGGATTTCGGCGTCGACCTTGGAGACGAACCTGGGGAGCCACTTCGGTGACGGGGTCGATTTCGGCGTGGTGATGTCTCTGTTCTTCCCCTGCTTCACCGGAATTCTCTCCGGCGCCAACCGGGCGGACATTCTGAAAAACCCGCCGAGGGACTTGAAGGTCGGGACCCTCGGCGCAATTACGTTTTCCCTCGTCATGTACTCGACCTTCATGATCTTTTGGGGCGCGGTAGCGAAATACCCCTACCTGCGCGGGGACTGGGAAGACTGCAACGAGGCCGAGGACGAGCTCTGTCGACAGAAACGATTGCTGCAGGATGAAACATCATTTTCAACTTACGGTGTAACAACGGCGCACGCGACTACCATGGGTGAATCATTTGCAGCAGAAGTAGGAACTGACGCCGCAAGCACAGCGTCCGCGGCTAGAAGAAATCTTGCTGGGGGCTCCGCCGGTGCGTACGTGTTTGAGGAAATTGCCTGGACGCCGTTTCCCTACGCCCCGCACATCGGGATCATCATCTCATCCATTTCCCAAGCCCTCCAGTGCCTGATCGTCGCTCCCCGGCTCCTTCAGGCGATAGCGCGGGATAACGTCATCCCGTTACTAAATGACGTCGCCCCCCTGTCCCGCCACGGCGAACCGATTCGCGCGTTGTTCTACACCTACGTCGTGTGCGCTGCCCTGGTGCTTGTCGGCGAACTGAACCTAGTCGCGCCGCTGCTTACCATGTGCTTTCTCGCGTGCTACATCAACATGAACTTGTCCTGCTTCATCCTCACCTGGCTCAAGGCCCCCTCCTGGCGGCCCGCGGGGATCCAGCGGAAGCGGTGGCGCATATGGTACAAGGTGTGCGGGTTGACCGGCGCGGTGCTTGGCGTGGTGATCATGTTATGCAGTGCAAAAGTATCGTACTCGTATAAATGCATATACAAACTTCCTCAGTATGAGAAATGAATATGAAATTTGTACATTCTTATTTACCTTAAGAAAAAGATAATTTGTAATGCATGATTGCAATACGAGTGCGATACTTTTGCACTGGATACATGTTTATCGTCCAGTGGGCATATGCACTCGTCACCTGCTTTCTCGCCGTCGGTCTCTACGTCTACGTGGACTTTCGCGCCGAGAGTAGCGAGTGGGGCAGCGGATTGGACGGGATCAAATTCCATCTCGCGTTGAACTCCCTCCTTTCCCTGGAAGAAACGCAGAGACACAAGGTAAACTGGCGCCCCCAGGTGCTGATCCTGTACCGCGTGCACATGGCGGACCTATCCGCCGCCGCGGGCATCTCCGCAAAACGGACCAGACACCACGAGATTCTTCAGTTTTACAGCCAGCTACGGAAAGGCCGAGGGATGTGCGTCGTCGCGGCGGTTCTGGAAGGGAACCGGAACAGTGAGAAGATGCTGAAGAAGGCCCGGATTGAAAAGGACATCATCATTTCCATCATGAAGCAGAACGACATCCTCGGGTTCGCGCAGGTCGTCGTCGCTCCTACCTGGGCGGAGGGCGCGAATTACATTTTGCAGCTGACGGGTTTGGGCGGCTTAGTCCCTAACACGGTGTTGATGGCCTGGCCCTCCAACTGGGCCTCCCAGCCCCTGGCGATCAAGCGCGAAAAGGCCGTGGCGTTCTGCGACATTGTCACCGCGGCGCACGCGGAAGACAAGACGATTTTGATTGCGAAAGACCCGAAGGATTTTCCCCTGCAGCCGTGCCACGGCACAATCGACGTCTGGTGGATGATCCACGACGGCGGACTGATGATTCTGGTGACCTGGCTTTTGCAGCAACACAAGATCTGGCGGGACTGCAAGATGCGGGTTTTCACCGTGATGGAAAACATCACGGAGGAGGAAGCGTCCATCGCCGCCCGGGTTTTGACCCAGACACTGCAGAAAAAGCGCCTACTAAACGTGGACGTGGAGGTGATTATGGCGGAACACGCGTTCGTCGAACCCTTTTCGCACCACGCCGACCACCAAAACGAGCACTCCACCCTGGATCTCTTCTACGATAGCATTGCGGACGTGGAGCGACAGGCGGCGCATCGAGAGCGGCTGTCGGGGGGGAGCAACGGCGTGTTGGCGAACGGGCCCTATTCCGGCGCGACCCCCGGGGCGCTCGTGGCGAATGGCATGAGTGGAAATGGCTTGTTGAACGAGGCGGACGCGCGGGCGGACGCGGAACGGGCCGCGTTCTTGGAGGAACTGGAAAAAATGTCCCTGAACAGCGGCGAGAAGGCGCACCGACCCCACCGCGGACTCCCGCAAACGATTGAAGACTTGCTTCCGCAAAAGAAGCACAAAAAGTCGGTCGCGATGGCGCGGGAGAGCGAACAGATCAACATCGCAGCCCGAGGCAGCAACAACCTCAATCTCGCAGCCGCAAGAGTGTCCGGAGCCGCTGACTCAGCGATAGGGGTTGCAGGGGGGGACTCGCCGCACGCAACGGTACTTTTTATGATCACGACGTAGCACTGGCACTGGCTGTGTTTAATACGACGTGTTGCACCGTCATGGATACGAAAGTGTTGTCATAAACCAAAGTTCAGAATGATTTGAAAGCCTTTCCTGTGTTTGTTCTTTTGGAGAAAAAAATCCAACGATGTTGAAAAACCGCCAATCAAAAATTTTCATCAGAACTCCTGCCCGGATATCGTGGTTACTAGGGATGGTGACCCTCGGTTCAGTTCCTCGTCTGCGACGGCCGGCACGCGCGATGTAAGCGGGCGCGCGATGCGTAAAAAGAGCTTTTCCGTGCTGACCGTGGGCCGCGACGACGAGGTGATCGAAGCGACGACCCCGGGAGGCCACATTCTTCGGGACCGCAAGGTTGGTACGTGTGACGAGGACGAGGAGCAGATCGTTATACGGGAACTGCAGTGCCAGACCGCCGCCCCGCCGGCGCGGAACACCGAGCAGCGGGCGCACCAGAACGGGGCCGGGGCCAAGCAGCAAGCCACCACCAAAGTGGTGCGGGTAGACCAGATCAACGCGCCAAATGGAAATGGCGGTGCAAAGAACGGCGGCATTCCCCCGGGGAGGCTGTCCTCCTCGTCCTCTGCCTCGGCGGACGGTGCGCTGGCGCAGATCGCGGTCGCGAAACAGGGATCTAGCAGCCGCAGCTACGACGCAGACGCGGTCCTCCTGGACGAGGGAAAAACTGGCGGGGATCGCCAAGTGCCGCATGCCGTCAGCACGGGAGCAGGTATACAATTGCCTGTCAGACGTTAGGGTCAGTATGTGAAAGTGTACATTATGAGATGCGACACCGTGCTGGTCCGTGTTTTGAGAGAAGGAGAAGACAAGAGTTTGTCGCGCAGCCCTTCCCCTTCCGACAGGGCATCTAGTTCTGTTGCAATCAATCTATTATCACGATCACGATCTTGGTTCGACCGCTCAAAAACACTACTTATATCGTATCGTATCAGTTCTCGTCGCGCAGCGCAACAGTGCAGCCCCGAGTAAGCCTGGAGACATGAGATCCGTGGATGACATCGACCTCCACCTGCCATCGGAGGGCCTCCGAGATCAGGCGTCCTCCGCGACACACCAGAGCTCGGTGTCCTGGGGCCGGCACTTCCAAGGACGGTCCAATCCCGTCACAATCGCCCTGCAGAACGAAACGCGTGGCGGCTCCAATTCTAGGCAAGGGAGTAAGGGGAAAAGCAGCTCGCTCCCGGAAATTCCAGAGCAGCACAGCTTGCTGTACTAACGAATTGTGGTTTTGCTTCTTTAAATAATATCCTTGGTTTGGTCTGCTCGCTCTCGCATGAGCAATTCACTCAAGTTCCATTAGTACTGCTATGTTGCACTCGCGCCGCCGTGTTGGCACAACGGCGCGGCAACTTCTTCATAATTGAGGGACCATAGAAACATAGACGAGCTGACTCAAAGGCTTGTAGATTTTGCAGCGTCCGTAGATATGTAGTGCATGGAAGTCCTCGAGGACGGAGCCCGGGAGACTTTCATGCGCTCCGTCCCTGGTCCACATGCGGTCGGTTGCTTGAAAGGATGAAGCAAACAACCGACCCAAAGAAAACGCAAAGTGACTACATTCCATGGGCCCTAGCTTCCGCCGGGGCTACTGACCCAACGCGGCATCAAAAAGCCTCAGTGGCCTAACGGGCGGACGGGGGGGCAAGTCGGCTGCGCCGAGTGCCGGGAGCCGGGTCATTTGCGAACGCACCCTGCCAGAGGCATCGCCGTGGCCACGGAGGTAGTTAGAAGCAAGCGCACAAGGAAGCGCAAAACTCAAGAAACGCGGCAGCAGGCGTAGAAGTAGGCGCAGGAGTAGGGGAAGAACTAGGCGCATTCATAGGCGTAGAAGTAGGCGTAGAAATAGGCGTAGAAGTAGGCGTGGGAGTAGCCGTAGAAGTAGGCGTAGAAGTAGGCGCAGAAGTAGGCGCAGCAGTAGGCGTAGAGGCAGGCGTAGCGGTAGGCGTGGGAGTAGGCGTGGAAGTAGAAGTAGGCGTAGCAGTCGGCGTTGGTTCAGGTTGTTGGGGTAGCAGTCGACGTAGTCGAAGCGGCATCGCGGGGGGCGAGGGGTACAAGAGCAGAGGCCTTACCAAGGGCGTAGCCGTAGTGGCGCTGCTAGGGGCGAGCGTGCGAGGGAGTAAGGCCCACCCGTTTTCCTTGCGCATGTTGGGCGGGATGGCGCCGAAGTGACACGGCTGGACGGAGCGCAGGGGCGGCGGCCGCGCGCTTTCGAAACTAACAACCGTGCCCCGAGTCTTGCGCTGCCCGCCCGCGCGGCTGCATGCTGACTAGCGCCGAGGGGGCGCGCCACCAAGCGAAACCAGGGACGGAGGGCGGCACAATGGGTGGCCGGGGTGGGGGGAGAGTCGGCCTGCCAGGTCGCTACCTCCCGGCTTGCTTATATATTTACGAAAGTGCTGCGCCCCGCCATTTTTTTCATCCTAGCCGAGACCCTGACCCGGGGCCGCCTCGCCCGCGCTGCTAGCTTGGCTCGGGCGTTTGGGGCACAGCCGCTGACTGGCGCGCTAGCGCTAGCTTCCCCCAGAGCACGGCGCTTGCCCCCTCGCCCGGCCCCGTGGCCCCCCCGGTCGGTGGCCTGACCCACCCTGCCCCCACCCACGCGGGGGAGGGCGGCGGCCGTCTTCTTCCAAAAGACTGGCTGCAGGAGTGCGCCGCCGCTGTCCCCTGGGAGGGCGGGCGGCGGAGAGCAGCGGGCCTCGACCTAGTCGCCGCAAGATAGCGGCAACATGCCCCCGATACGTACTTACGGCCGCGACATATTTTGGCAGCTACTTGCGCCAGCGTGTCTGTTTATTGCGTGTGGACGCTTCCTCCACCGCTTTGGTGCAAAGGAGAAAATGGCTGGCGCAGGGGGAAAAAACAGGGCCCCTGGACGTTCCCGGGCGGGCGCTAGGGGAGCGGGGGCGTAAGGGGCGCAGGCCGGCGGGAACGGGTGCGCCGCGAGAGCAACAAGGGGCGGCCCGGGGCCTGCCGGGGTCGCAGTCACACCCATAGCAGGGACCCAACCTGGGTGCGGTGGGGGTTGTTCGCTAGCTCTCCGAAGGCGGGGCGGTTAGGTCTTTGCCGGCAGGGCGTTAGGGTTATTAGAAGGCGGGCCCCATATGTGCTACCAGGAGCAGGAGCAAGAGGCCCTACCAGGGGCAAGAAGTTCTATCAGGCGCAAGCTGTGCATGTGCCTGCCGAGGCGAGATATAACGCATTGCGATGGAAAGGGGGCGCTAACACTACAAGGAGCAAGAAGTCCTACCAGGGGCGAGGCGTATGCGCAGGGACAAGATGCATTGCGAGGGGCAAGATGCACTGTGAGGGGCAAGATGCACTGCGAGGGGCAAGATGTACTGCGAGGGGCAATATGTACTGCGAGGGGCAAGATGTACTGCGAGGGGCAAGATGTACGGCGAGGGGCAAGATGTCTCGCGGGGGGCAAGATGTACTGCGAGGGACAAGATGCACCGCGAGGGGCAAGACCTAACGCAAAGCCTTTGCGTTAGGTTCGACCTAACTGCAAACTTCTTACTTGCCCTTTGCGGCAAAGGGCAAGTAAGAAATACTGCCAGGGCTAAGGGGCAGGCGCCAGCACGCAGGGGCAAGAGGTTCCACCAGGAGCAGGGCGCACCGCGCGGGGGGCGACGAGGGGCGCTTTTATATTGAAGGGGGCAAGCGGTTCCCTTCTGAGCGAGGGGGCAGGGGCGCCACTGCGTCCAGGGCTCGGGGTATTTTTGTAGCGCCTAGGGGCTTCCTTGTCGTGTATCGTGCCGAACCGCTACAGCTTAAGCCGTAGAATTTGTCGCAAATATTTTCACAGTAGCATGCACTTTACGAAAAAAAGCGGGCAGATACATGAAAAGTTCTAGAGCTCGAGCCCCAGAAACGCTTCAGCTTTTGTCGTAGTAGCATGGTGATTCAGTTTGTGGGCAGACGTCATGTCTGTCGTGGTTTTTGGTCGTGTCCTACGGCTAGACCTTCATCTTTTGAGTCTCTGCCGTGCGTATTAGCAAATAGGAAAAGAACTAGTTTGAAAAGCCCTAGGGATTTGCTTCAGGTTTTCTGCAGGTCGAGCCGCAATTTCTAATGCTGTTTGAGGGTCTCAGAACTTTCGTCTACAGCCTTTGAGTCAAGTTCGGATTAGTCTATAGACTATAAAACTACTAGTTGAGGATAAATAGCGCTGCATGGTGATATCTCACATCAATCAATTTATCGCCCAACAAAAATTTTATCCTCAGGGCCTTCCGCCGTTTGAATTCGATCATCCAAGCACGTTCCCGACGGGCGGAGCTGGTGATTATGAACTTACCGGACCTCTGGGACCACTCCGACCCCAACGAGTGTGTGCGCTATATCCGTTGCGCTGAAACGCTGGTGGACAAAATCGATCGGGTTCTCTTTGTCCACGGCTCGGGTCACGAGGTCTTCGATATCGGGGCGTAGGATGTTCGTGCTCCTCCCGCTGCTCATCTCGCGCATCGTGTTGACAGCGAAAATTTGCTTTTGTATGGTTGTGGCTATCTGTGGTTGTTGCATTTTTTTTTTGAAAAGACAAACACCAGTATTAAGTGTCCAATAGTAAATTTGAGCTTGATCCTCGGCTTTGAAAAAACTGTATTTCAACATCATCGAACGAAAGTAAAGACGCGGCAGAGAAGACTGCTAGTATGAAGTTTAAGTTTTTGCTGTTATGATTACTTTAGGCTGATAGATCGTTAGCTACAGATTGTCCTGGGATGGAGAGGATGCAGTGTCTCCATGACGTAGCGGTTTCCGTTTCGTGTTTCGGGTGTTGGTACCAGGGAATTCGTCCAAACAACGTATCTGTGGACGATATTCACAAATATCAATATGTGTGTGTGTGAAAAAAATCTTGACTGAATATCTATGCGCGCCTCTTTTCCTCAAACCTAGCAGAAAATCAAGTGGTTTAGAAGTACTACAACTTTTAGCTTGTACTATTGATTCCCAGCATCATCGCCCTCACATCTAATGATCAAAAACGCGATGCAGTTGCAGGGTTCTAGTTTGGAAGCTGTTTTTTGTTTCGATAGGATGAAGAATCAATCTCAAACGAAAATTCGCACAGGCGGTGCGTTGTGATGTTTCCGTTTCTTATATCGCACAAAGACCTAGAAGCGACAACGATCAAGATACAAAAAAGAAACAAAGCTAAACAAAAAAAGCGGGAGAAAACCAGCACCGGAAGCCGGATGCATCGGGTTCCTGCGTGAATCTGCACACGCATGTCGATCGCAATAGTGCAGCTTAGCATGATTTTTAGATGTTGGCGGCTCCCTCTTCATAATTTTTTAGTGTGTTCGGGTTCGCGTGCAAGACCTTCCGACGCAGCTGCACACCAGCCCGACTTGGGAGTCTATGCTGGTCTCGCTTGTTTCTTACGCTCTCAAGCTATTATTGTCCGATAAGATTCTTTTTTCTTTTTCGGGCACGCTCTTTTCTTTGCTCTTAATCTTATGATCGTTGTCGTTCTTAATCAGGCCTTCTGAAATACAAACAGCACGAAGCCGCTCGTCACTACAGCTTTCTTTCAAGACATCGATATTTTTTCGTCGTAGCTTCCTAACAAGATGCAGCCTGTCATCCGTCGTTTTACCAGCAGCTGTCGCAGGGGCTGCATAATGCCTCCTGCAGGACTACAGCCAGCTTCTGTTCCTTACTGCCACAAAACCACCTCCACCTCGCATCTTCAAGTACGTTACTTCGGCGCTCACACTGGGGTGGTGCGGGGGTTGGTGTTCAAAAAACAGTTTGGTTTCATCGAGCCGCACTCCAGCTCCCTGCGTACGGACGACGGGAAGGACCTGATGTTCACCTTCTTCAATCTGAAGGACGGACGGATTGCGGAGGTGGGGGACGAGGTCTCTTTCGACGTCCAGGAAAATCCGGTTAAGCCCGGTCGACAAGAAGCGGTCAACGTGGAGGGCGGCACCGGGCGCATCTGGCAAGCGCGCAACCCCCGCGCGGGCAGGATATTCGGGGGACCGGAGACCGCGACGCGGGAGCAGGGGACGACGGGGAATAACAGTGCGGAGCCTACGACGGCAACCGCGACTGCCGCAGAAGGATCGTCGTAGAAAGGCGCTTGCTGGTTCGTTCGTTGGTGTTGCTGATCACGCAGGATGAATGTACAGAGAAACCCCTGAACAACTCGACCTGAAAATGAGATTATGAATGCGCCGCCGGGCGTTCGACCGAGACCGAAAAAGAGATTAATGAAAATCGTGAAGCATAAAGAACAGTTTCTTTCAGCTTCACTGGAAGAAGGAAGAAGTCCTTACTTATGAATGGAGAATGTGTTGCGCAATGCGGCCGGGTAGATCTGATCTACGTGTAATCTTCATTCAATGCTGTTGCTGCGCCAGTTTTTGGGACGCAGACTTTGACGTCGTCGTCTGTGTTAGTGTTGCAATATTATCGTATATCGTCATCTTCAGGTTGGTCTTGGTCCACTTGCTTCCTGCTGGTTGTTTTTGGTACAGCCAGGTGAGATAATCTACATTTGAGTACGATAGTACTCACCGAGGACGAATGAGAGTACGTTCAGGAGAAGGTAGAGCGACAGAAGGCGATTGAGGGGTGAGGTTGCGTACGAGGTCGGTGAGGTAGTGGATTGCTCCGCTCCCGAAAAAGGGTTGCGTGAAGACGGGAAGAGGCATGTCGTTCCGGTGCCGAATTTTCTCCTAGAAAATTGCACAGTGGAGGTAATCGGCCAGAGTCAGTCGCCTGTCGTGAAGATTGACGGCCGCGCCACCGTTATTCCGCTGCCCGAAGCCATGAAGATCCTGGACGTGGACGAGATTGGAAAAGTGGAGGCGCTGCGGGAGATAGCGACCAGCTTGCGAGCTGTGGCCTGGTCGTCCGCCGCGCGCGAGGCACTGCAGGCAGGAGGCGGCGCGGAAGGATCGCTGGCGCGCTGGAAGGAAGACCTCCTTTGCGAGGAGGCCCAGCGTTTCTCCGTGTGGGTGTGGGCCCCGCCCCCAGACCCAGCATCGCCATACAGGCGCCGGGCCGTCTCGCAAGGCATGCGCGCTGCACGCCCAGCGTGCCAGCTGCCGGCCACCCGGCCAGCCGGGCCCGGGGCCGGCCGGCCCCGCTGCGTCTCGGCTCCGTGTGTATAGGGCCGCGCCCTGCCGCGGCCTGGGTTTTCATTCGCACGCGCAGGCCCGCGCGACCAGTTCCTCCGCCCACTGGAGTAAACCTGTTGCGCAGGCCCAGGCGGGGGTCAGAAGCTCTCTTCGGGGCGGAGGAAGAGCCGTGTCGGGCATGTCTGCTCTGCATGACGTGCGCTGGTGGCCATCCGCGTCGGCCGCGCGCGTCCATCGCCTTCCCACTGGACCGCGGCGGGGCTCACACATAGGGCGCTGCGGCCCGATCTTCTACTTATTTACATATGGGCGGCCCTTGGGGAATTGCGCTTGCCAAATGGTTCGCCTCACGTGATCGATGGTGTGCCAATCTTCGCCTCCAGAGCGACAGGCCCGAGGCAAGTCGGCGATGTTCGCCGGAGACGAACGTGCAGAGAGATAGCGATATCACACCAGCCGCAGGCTAAGATGCGAACGTGGCGGCAGAGCTAGAGGGGTTGTTGTTTGTTGTTTATGTCCGCGATATGTGGTACTTGGAGTCGGAGTTTATTGTGTTGTGACCACATGAGGCAGGGCGTGTCCTACGGGAGGGAGGAGTCGATGTTAGTTTACCCGCTATTCCAGCAACAGCGTGCAGAGAGAAGCCCAAGCTTCTGTCTCCTCGTCCATTCAGTGCGAAGGCCCTACAAGTGCGCTAAGTAAATAAGTAGATTGCTCGACCAAGATGGGCGCGCCTCAGTCTCGTCTTTGGATCTCGTTTGCGGAAGAAAATTGCCACCAAGAAGTACGAGGCTGCGCAGCCGCGGGCCGGCTGTTCGGATAACATCCCGGAGCTGCGCAGGCTGCAAACCTCCACGGCCACCTACCAGCCGGGCTTGTGGCGTGGAGGGGCCGCTATCGGTGCAGCAGTCCCCCGCGTTGACACGTTGAGACCAATACCGCCGGCGGCGCCGCAATTCGTTGCGGCCGATATGAGTCTGAAGGAACTGGCCGCGGGCGGGTAGTTTGTCTGTGCCCTGTTTCCTTCGTCGGTGACGAGGAGAGTCCGCCGCGATTCAGGGCGTCAAAGAAGGCCGGGCGGGCCTTGGGCCGGCGGGCCTGCCGGTTGGGGGATGGGCTACGGTGGCCGAGTCGTTTCGCTCTCCCCAGCCGGCGGCCATCAAAAAAAGACGCAGCCGGGCGGCCCTCGCTCGGCGGCCCATGGCGTTCGTGATTTCCCCCTGGCGTGCCGCGGCCTCGCCAACAGTCAGAAGCGCACTAGTTGCGCCGGCCTCCGCCAGGGGCCGGCGCGCAAGTTTTTTGCTTTGCAACTTGACAGCGTGCTTCCTTCGACATCGGCCTCCATAAGAGCGGGGGCCCGCTATGCCAGTAGCCCCGCGCTGGTGGCCCTCCGTCTCGGCCGAGCGCGCCCACATCCGCGCGCTTTACCCACTGGGCCAGCGCGCAACTCACGCATACTTCGCCGCGGCCTGGCGCTGTGTCTAGCTACAGGTGGCCGGCCTTCGGGGTGGAGTTGCGATTGCTGTTTAGCGGCTTCTTGCCCGGCCCCCGCGCGATCATGGTGTGCTTACCATTGACGCCATACTTGGACTGGGGGAGAAGCATCGTCGTCGGCGAAGTAAGAGATTGCGACACTCAGCCGCTGCAGACAACTACGCTGCAAGGGCTGCAATCTAGATGAAGGGTTGGTGTTCATAGGGCACGATATGTGCTTCTACTTTCCGTTTTCTTTGAGAGAATTGAATGAAGAGGTCGCGAAGTACGTGAGGAAAGAGGCGGTATGTGGCTGCTGAAATAGCAGCATGCAAAAGTTTCTGCCTGGTCTATCCAGTTCCGGCGGGTATAGGTTGTCTACATTATCTACCCTAGTACCAGGATGGGCGCGTCTCAGTTTTCTGCCGTTTTGTTCGAGCATGACGTTGGGGCGCAGGGGGCAACTGCGGCGTCCAGTGCAGGAGCGTTTGCGCCCTCTCATCCCGGATCTGCAGCTCTCTCCCCGCACCGTCTATCCCAGGAGGAGAAGGAGCGTAGCGAGTTCCTGTCCTGGTTGCTCTTCCGTACCACGCCCGAGTACTGGAGCACAATTTGCGAAAAGTGGATCTGCAGTGTTGGAGCGACTACTTCTCACGCCGGTGCTGCCTGTGCCGCAGGAGAATACCTGTCGCCCCCGGATCTCCTGCACCTTATGTCCGATGAAGAGGAGGATTTGGCGTACGGTGTTTCGCTCTGCCTCATCTTGGAACGGTATTACAACACCGCGGAGTTCCGGATTCACATCGTTGAGCTGTTCGCCCCGCTGATTCTCCTCGCGGGCACCGGTCACGTCCCCGTGGAACACGATCGAACGCCAGCAGATCACCTATGCGGGGCAGGATCGCAAGAGCGACTGCGCGCTGCGTTCATGGCCACGTTGCCCGCTGGCAGTTCTTTGACACACGGAAGTACTTCCTCGGGAAGAAAAGCGAGCGCAGTATCAGCTTCAGCGGTTGCTGGTGCGTCAACATCAAATACTGGAGGCGATAAAGCGAGCAGTAGAAAACAAAGCAGCCAAGAACAGACAGGGTTGCTGGAAGATGAAGGCCGGCGTATTGGGGAGAGATTGCCTGCAGCTATAGTTTCTTCTTCCGCCGGCGCTCCGAGCGAGCTTCTTGACCACCGGCAGCGCGGCGCCTCAGTGGACGTTGCGTCCGCAGTCACAACGAGCGATGGAATGCAGCAGCAGGTGACGTTTGCAGGATCAGCCGTGGCGGCCACAGCTCCCGCTCCTGCGGCACCGACCCGAGCTTTGCCAATGGATCGAACACTTTCGACGCGGAACAACATCTCCACCATTGGGCACCTCATGCAGGGCTTCGGTGCGAGTATACAACAGAGCAAGCGAGTGTCCTTTTTCGCCTCTAGCAAGAGCACGACAACAAGCTTTGCAGCGAGCAGGGCTGGTGGACAACGCGGGTCCTCGGCGAGCGCCGGGTGCTCCCTTACGCGCCTCTCGTTGCTCGAAGCGGAGCTGGGCTCCTACGTGGCGAAGCAAAATTGGGGCGCGTCTAGTACTCAATCTGCGGCTGCTGTGAAGTCGTCTGCGGGGATAAATGCGTCTGGAGCGAATGTCGCATCTTCAGGAACTCTCTCAGCAGCGTCTATTCTCCCGGGCGGGGGAACGGTCGCGAAATTCTTCCCGGGATCAACTTCGACGACCGTTCTTGCAGATGTCTCTTTCCGTCTGAACTTCGCTTACGACTTGCGAGTTGCGTCACAAATAACTTCAACCTCTCAAAAATCCATCGACGTCCTTCGTGTGACGAGCTGTGCGGGTCTGCAAAGTGATCCAAGATGCGTGATATCTGACACGTCGACTGGTAGCGCGAATAAAGCATCAGAAAAAAATTCAGGAAGGCCAGGTCCAGGACAGTTGAATCAAGGTGGCGCAAGAGCTTCGAATGCTGCGGTATTGTTGACTTTCGGCTCGTGATGCTGGTATTTGTATGTATTTGATGTATCTGTATGTCACGGAAAAATTTAAACTACATCAACATCGTTGTGTAATTTTCCGTGGAGTGGTGGCCTCTTGTGAAAATTTCTCTTTACAACCTTCAATCTTCACGCAAACAAAAGATTCGCACGCGCTGCTTCTGTGCGCAAGTGACCTGCTACCTGCAAACACACTCCAGGCCGGCACGATGTTGGGTAAAGCGATGCCGATGCGGCAGACTAGCACGGCCTCGCTACGCGGCTCGGTCGGCGAGGAGCTCCTACATTTGGCTCCGGCGCGCACGGGCGCCGAGCAGCAAGGAAACAAAAAGAAGGCCACGAGCAGAACGGGGCACCGTCTGCTGCTCGCGCAGGAAGGCGAGGCGCTGTTTGCCCTGCGGAAACCGGAGGTGTTACCGCTTCATCCGTCGCAAGAGCTGCGTGGGTGTGCGCTGACGGAGAGATTGCTGCCAGGATCAAGGCTCCCTGGGGGCTGTTCGTATTGGAACAATTCTTCTGCTTGCTATACGGGTGTAACTTCTCTGCCACATCACGGTGTAGCACGCGGAGGACTAGTGCAACACCTCCGAGGACACGAAGATGCTTCTGCAAATTATGCCGCGGTCACCCCCTTCGCGGCCCGCATTGGGAAGCTCCCCGCTGCGGGTAGTTCTGCGTCGCATGTGCCGTTCTCCAAAGTGCAGCAAAACTGGCTCTTGGTCTACGAGGCCGCGAAGCAAGAGAGTCTGCAAGGTCGGTGCACCGTGTTGTGGCGGGACAACGCCAGCCTTGGAACAAGCCCAACGAAACAAGATGCCAAAAGTCCGACCCTACTCCGGTCCGCGTCCCGGGCCATGGTCGCCGAAAAAAGCAGCTTCCACCGACAGGGGTCGTTGCTGAATTCCAGTGGCGAGCAGCGCCGAGGCTCTGGGGAACGGAGTGGCAAACGCGGCGGAGGACAGGGTCAGCGGGGGCCTGGCGGCTTTGGACTCGGTAGTAACCGAGGAGCAGCTGCGGCAAGTCCGCTTCACGAAGCGTTTGCAGTGGCGTTGGGGTCGTCCACCTCTTCGACAGCGTCGAATCAAGCAGGTAGTAGTACAAGCGCCGGTAATACAGCGCAGGGTGTGTCTACTACTGCAGGAACAAACAAGCACGGGGCTTTTTTCAATGACGTCTTTGACGAAGGTTTTCTCTTGGAGTTCATCTGCTCCTCACGGACTCGTGCGCGTTCTAGTCCGCCCGCGCTTTGCTACGGAGCCCGGGGACAAGGAAGTAAGCGAGGGGGCGGTGCTGCTGCGCGCGGACTACAGCAGGTAGATAACGGCCTCCTGCAAGCCCACCTCGGGTTGCCGAAAGTGCAAACAGGAACCAATAGCGCCTCGCTCGCGCAAGTCAATGCGGCCCGGGGAGCTGCTGGTGGGGCGGAACATAATCCGAGTCGGCTGCTCACCAGCACTGTCCGGAAGCGATTGAGTTTGCTGTTGAATCTCGGGATACTAAACGGTGGAAGCTGCAAAACTGCCGGCCCTTTGGCAATGCCAGGACGATTTTCACAGCCGTCCTCATGCCTCCGCTACTCGCAACTAAAGATTTTTCTCCAACAACTCTACCGGGGGTTACTGCCCTTTGTCGCCTATTGTCGGCCGTTGGACCCCTTCGTAGAAGAATTGGATCGTCGAGTGGTGCCTTTTTTGAAGGCGAAACGGCAACTACAAGCACATCACGCGCCACGAGTGGCAAACGCAAATAAAAGTCGCCAAGTAAACTTGTATCGAGGAGATCATGCTGATTTTCAATTTTCCGTCGAGGACTTACTCGATTGCTTTGTTTACCTGCAGGCGACAAACGGAATGAGCGACTCAGACCACAATTCCGCTGGATACAACAACCACTCTGGGACCCATCAGCAGCACCAGCTGAACGCAATTTATTTCTCACTGAACAGCAACACGCTTTCCCTGAATGCCTGGCCCTGGAGCCGGGTAGTCCTGCTGTCGGAAATGGTCGCGCAGACAAACGCGGTTTACCGGTTTGCCAAGATCGGACGGCGGCTGGAGACGGTGAAACGCAGCGGGAGGTTGCTGCGGAACGGATTGGTGCTGACGATTTCTCCTGCTGGTTATACTACGTCGACTAATCATGCCGGGACCGTAGCAGGATCCGAATTATACCCGTACACGCTCATGTCCAGCACTCCGGCCGGTTTACAAAGCGCAAACAAGGCTGCATTTATTCCGCAAGTAGAACTCGTCGACCGCGGCGGCGTTGAGCAAGAATTTGGAGCAAGATCATCTCCACATGGAGGCCGTCGGAAAGGGTCTTCCAGCAGGGAGCCGGACCAAGACAGCGTGACGAACTCCTCCTCCAACGCGGGGGGCGCGGGTCATAATTTTCACGGTCATCTTCACAGTTACGGTGGCGCGACCGGTGCTGTCGTAGGCGGGTCTTCAGCCTCTTCTTCGCGGGGAGCAAATAATTTTCGGCACGGCTCGCTAGAAGAGCAACAGGAACAAAATCAGTCGAGTAAGTCAAGCACGGGCGCAACGGGATTGATAAACAACAAGAAACAACTCACCGGCACATCCACATCGTCCTCTTCTCGGGGTCACAGCTCGAGCACACTGCAGGTCGTCGCAAGCGGCAACAACATTGCAAGTAGCAATCTCAATTTGCAACCTTTGGACCTGATCAGTCACGCAACCACGACGTTTGTCGGTGCGAAGCACTCATCGCGATCGAATGTGGATCAAGGCGGGAACAATAAATCCTCCGATCTGTACGAGTTCCACCTTTTACCATGGTCGAAACTCACCTCCGTCTGGGGGCGTGCCTCGCCGTCGCTGCCGCCGGATCTCCTCGCGAGGATCGTGGACCGCGCGCGGAGACTGTGTGCCTCGGAAAAGATTCCGTTTCTCTGGACTTTGTTGGCGTGTCCGAGTGATGCGTTTAGTTCAGCGTCCTCTTCGGCAGGTGGACCAGGACAAGCGACTTCGGGCAGTGGGCCGGGTGGTGGTACTTCCAAATCTGGGTCCGCAGGCAGTGGAAATGCCGTGTCTCCAAAGAACAAAACCGAGCTCGAGGCTTCATCCACACCGACGCTCCTGGGCAGCCTGTTCGCGCCGCAGACCGGCGGGAGCGCAGTAGGAGGAGCTGCGCGGGGAAGTAACAGGCACGGTCGCGGCGGCAAGAACGCAGCAGCCGCGGCGAATCAAACTTGTTTCTTTGATGCAGCGTCAGGAGCAGGCACAAGAACGCAGGAAGATGAGTACTGCTACCCGGATCTCAGCACATTTGACGCGACGCTCATTTCCATGCCAGCGCTGGTTCTGGACAGTTTGTTAGTCAGCGTGAAACTAAACAGCAGGAACAAGAAACAGACGAATTCTGGGATGGGTACTAGCAATAGGAATGGGTCATCGCATCTGAGTATCCCCGGCAATAGTGGCGCGCAATCTGCGCGAAAGCAGGACCAACGAGGCGGCCACGCAGTCGGCAAGCAGCACTCTTCGGGAGGGAGCAAGTCCGCTCTCGGAGTCACAATCACCACGCCAGCGGGGGCGACGACAAGTCGGCAGAACTACTACGCAGGAGGCGCGAGTAATCATAGCGGTCAAAACGCGACGAGTTCTTCCCAGCAACCAAATAGGACCTTTTGGTGTGGCAATGACACCTGTCTTGTGGTGCAGCAAGTGCTGCCGGTGTTTCGCAGACTCTGTATGCGATTGTACGAGGGGCCAGCTCCAGCAGTGCAACAGCAACAAAGCTCTTCTTCTTACCACTCACAATCACACCAACTCCCTTCGTTGTTTTCCGCAACGGTCGAGGATTACGTCGCTGACCTTTTCCCAGAGTACGAAAAAAAGCACCTTCCACGTATTGTGCAACCACTGGAATTGCTGGAGCGCGCGGCAGCCCTGCTTCTTTTTCGGCAGAGGGAGCTCGTGTTCTGCGAAAAAGTTTTCTACCTGTTCGGAGTGCGGAAAGAACAGGCACGAACATCGTTTTCATCATCAGCGCTTTCACCACTTACAGCTGCAGTAAATTCAGAGATGAAGACAACGGAAGTAGTTGTCGGGGACTTTCGTACAGGAGGCGATGTTGAGAACAAGTTTGGTGCGAAGAACGGTCATGACCTTACGCCTGCTTCCCCGGTAGGCGGGGCCGCTGCAGCCTGCTTGTCAGTGGACGAGGACGATTTTTTGGAAGACGAAACTGACCAGGACTTGTCCAAAAAAACCATCCGGACTGCGCAGGTCCGATCCGCGCTGCTCCTCCTCCTACGCGAGCTTCTCGGTACGCTGCAAGATGTCCACGTGCGGGAGCGCGGGTTTTTGGAGCGAGTGTTTGATCTTTGGCAGGTCATTATTCTGGAGGAGGAAAAGGAGAAAGCTGAGCGCAGTTGTACTAGTGGTCCAAGACACAACATGAACCACAGAAACAAGAAGCAGCAATTCAATTTCAACAACAACAACGGCGAGATTGTAGTAAACAAAGACAGCGCGCTGACCAGTCCGACCTCGCCGAAAAGCGTGGACAGCTCGGGCCCTGGCACACGACCCCGAGACTCTCAAGAAGATGATTCTGAACCGGGAAGTGAAAATGAAGATGGAACAAACTTGAAGAAAGCCGTTGGGTCTTTTGCCGAAAACAAAAAGATTTTTGAAAGCAAAGGCGGTGACGAACAAGTAGCAGATGAAGTGGATGTTGACATGATAGACACGAAGGCCGCAGCAGCAGATTCTGTTGTTTTAGGCGGAACGACTAACGACGCAGGAGGTGATATTCGCACTGCAGGAAATAATGGCCGCGTCGACGAGGACGATAAAAATTTGCATCCAGCAGATCAACTCCCCACGTTGCTCTCGACCGCAGCGCACGACGTGGCCACCGCGGCCAAGGTGGTCGGTATTTTCCAGAAAAACGAGGAGGAGTGGAAGGACAGACGGCGGCAGAGTGTGGAAGAGCAGAAGAGCCGGCTGATTGCTTTGGCCACCCCGCGAACGTTGAAAGTGGTGGAGGAATGGACCTTTGAGGGGTGTGTAAAGCTTGTGCGGGTGTTGATCCAGGCGGTCGTCTGGTATCAGACGGTCGCTTCGACGACGCAGCAACCGGGTGCGAACTTTTCGAATGTTGGGACAGGATCAGCAACAAACGGACCTGCAGTAGAGCAGGACACGACATCGATCAAGCGCTCCATCTACCGGTCGTTTGCGGAAGCAGTGCTGAAGGACGCGGCGCAGTTTCTCGGGCGCTGGAAAAAGTTGCATGCAGCTTCCAATAGCGGAGGGGGCGGGGCGGGGACGAATTTGTAGGGTTTTGCATCTGCAACAAAAATCCCGATTAACTCGAAACTGACGATATTCTACTGGGCCAAAAAATTAGAGCGATTCAAATAGAAATACCGAAAATCAATAGAAAGGCCAGAATGCCACCAGTGCAAAACTGGAAAAAAATTTGGCGAGGATTTTTGATCATCCTACAACCCGATGAACTACAGTGCAAAACTGGTCTTCGTACAAACAGTAGAGACAATGAAGAGAATACTTCGTTGAAGAAGCAGACAACTGGAACAGCTTCAGGACTACTACTTTGCAAACTGTCTACTGCAAGTAGCATTTTTGGGCCTGCGCTCGCTCTTTTTGCTTCGGATGCCTCCACCGCACGGCAAGGGCCGAAACAGCATCGGTTAATATCTTTGAACGGGCAAAAATTCAAATTGTTTCGGTTGTTTTTTCGTGAACACAGAGCATGCGCATCGCAAAATCGTTTTTGTCGTTTCGTGAGATGAAAAAACCGGAAGTGTTTAGTCGGCAGCTACGAAACTACAAGGCAGCTACGCCTAGTCGCATCGGTTGCCATGGCTGTATGAAGCTTTATCACAACTGCTATCGTGCTACACAAAACTGGTGGTCGTACTTACACGGAAAACAGCGTGCAATTACCGAGCGGAGACGTCTATTTGGTAGGGAACTCTGGTTGTGAAGTGGCAGGCAAAGTGCCATGAAAACAAAGCAGTAATCTAGCATTCGCAAATGCAGGACCCCGGTGGTTAGAAGTTCTCATATGAGTATGATATGAATTACGAAACTTTCGACGCATATTTACGTTTTATTCGTAGTCCTAGTTTTTCGAGTATTTGTATTTCGCTCTCCGTTCACACACATACATAGGGAAGAACTTTTGATGTCCTCAGTCCAAAGCATCTACTTCAATACCACTGCGATTGCGGTTGCGCAAAAGGTAAACTGAAACATATGTTTTCTATCATGCGCGATCCATAAAGTAAAAGTTCTTTGAGCACAATATTTGCATATGCAATAGCAGTATCTTTTTCTTTTGGCTTCACTCACCGCAATATAATCACGTCTCAGGAGCGTCATGATCCCTATAGTCTCGTATTTGAGCTAACAGGGAGTCTTTGCAAACAAGAAGACAATGGCGAAGCTCCTGAGGCTCTCTTGAGCGAGCGCGGAACCGCCTAAGCTCTTCTGGCAAGCACGCACCGACCAATAGAGGCGGGCTTTCGTACGCGCGATGGAGTACTACGGCCTAGATTCCCGTCCCGACCAGGACGAGATTCAGCTGTTGTATCCGACCCAGAAGTTGCTCAAGGCGAAGTACAGAGAGTTGGTTCGCATCCACCACCCGGACAAGAAGGGGGAAACGGCAGAGTTTCAGCGGATAGACTCGTCCTACCGAGAACTGAACCGGCTTTACGATGAAAAGACGGGCAACTTCAAATACAAACCGAAGAAAAAGACAGACGCGAACAAAACAGGAACGAAAAACAAGTCCAGTGCGGGTGGAGCTGGAACTACTGCAGCAGGCAATGCGAAAAACGCAGCAGCAGCTGGAACAGCAAAACCGGCCACAGCAGGAACGACCACTGGTGGCGCGGCGAAGCCAAAGGCCGGAACAACAACTGGAACACCTGCTTCCGGACCCGGAGCTGCAGGCGCAGCTTCCTCATCTGCGAACAGGACGACGAATCAGCCGAAGCAAGAAGTGCCTCCCGGGTTCGATCCTTTTGAGTCTGCAGTGCCGCCAAACTTCGACCCCTTTGAGGACTTCTCGCGAGGTGGGCAACGTACTGGTAACAATCAGAGACCAAACGCAGCTGGCAGAGGTTCATCAACCCAGCAGGGCCAACAAAACTCCAATTTCAATAACCGACCGGGCTCATTCAACAATAACGGGAATTACCCCCAACGCACCACAACGAATTCCTCCAGTTCCCCCGACTGGCATAGCGCAACTTCCCGCGGAAATTCGCCGATGGCGCCGCCGGCAGGAGCTAGACGGGGCGATTTCCCGGAGACGCAGAGGAATTACGACGCGGACAGCAGCACTAGCGAATCAGGCTTCAGTGACGAGGAAAACGAGGACCAATACTACGAGGAGGAGGACAACAATAAAACAAAGTTTTCCGTGCTGGAAGTGATCGTGATGGGGTTCCGGAATCTGGAGAAAGCCGGGACCTTCAAAATCGAGGTGGCGCTGGACGGCAGGTCCCAGCAGATGATGACCTGGACAGAGTTGCACCAACCAAGGGCACTGGTACAAATTTTCTGCTACGGCATCGTCTTGTTGACTTCTGGTGCATCTGAAACACAACTTCATCTTTATCTTGATACATGGAAGAGGTGCTTTCTTGCAACGCTATCTCATCTTTATCGATTTGCATCTCATCACTTTCAACGCTACTCACGGATTGAAATCCACAGGTTTACTGCGACCGCGTCGAGAACTTCACCTTTTTCCACTGGCACACGGACAGCTACCTGCAGGTGATTCTTCACGGGCAACGCACATTTCGCATGAACAAGCGCGAGGGCGAGTCGCACGTCTCCGTAAAGGAAGTTCTCCGAAACTTCCGCGGCAAATTCGAGGGTTGGGTCACGCTGGAGCACAAAAACAAGAAGATCGGCGAGGTTCTGCTCGGAATCAATATGGAGGGCGAGGACCAGGGGATCAGCGCGAGAAATAGTAGACCAGAACTAACTTCTGTGCAGAGCGGAACAAATATGGCGTCTTCCAGGCTGAATCAATCCCAACAGTACAACGCGTCGAATCGCGCGACGATGCCAGCGCAGGGATCAACAACGTCGTCCCTCTCCCGGCCGACGCCGCCACCGTCGACCTACTCGCCCCAATACGAGTACGCGCGGCCGCGCACGACCATGATGCACAACGAAGTAGAAGATTTTTTTCGCAACAGCTCGGGCACGAAGAGCACGCCGAGTTCGCCGCAGTACCGGCGGGGGAGTACACACGACACAGTCAGCGGAGGTACAACTTCGCCACCGATGATGTCAAATAGTCAGCTGCTTTTCCAACCCGCCCCACGAAATAATCCAATGGCTGTGTACGCAACGCCACCGAGCAGTCCGCCCATGCACACTGCGATCATGTACAACAGCGGTACAACCCCAGCACAGCAACACCAAATTCCAACGCAACTTTACGGAGGCTACACTCAGCAGCCACAGCGCATGGCGTACGGAAATCCGAATCCAGGGAATGCTACAGGTGGCTATCCGCCACAAATGCAGCAACAGGCCTCGTCACCAACGATCTACGCCGCCGCACAGCAACCAAATATGATGAATGCAAGCTCAACAACATCCTATATGCCGTATGGCTATGCGGGAGCAGGTGGTGTGGCTGGTGGTGCACGGGGAGGATTGAATGAACACGGCGATAGGAGAATCTTGATGTCCTCAAAATGACACGACGACCGTCGTATAATCTGTGATGCTGAAATGCATTCGAACATGTAGATGTACACGAACACTGTTGAGACCACTTCTGTAGGTGGACGGAGGAAAACTACAACGACCTGGCGCATAGGCCCATATGAAGTCAAACGTTCATTTTCATCAGATTGTTCTAGTTCTACTAGCCACTGTTTTGGTTTGTCGTTTTCCTTGCGACTCTTGCTAGATGTCCTTGTCCTGGTCCGCTCGGCTTAGTGTTCCGAAAAACAAAAATCGAAATCGAAATGCGTTGAGGAAAATCTTATCGCGTGCAGATCGAGCTTGTCTTTGTCTTCCCCTGTAAAAAATGTAAATTATTCATCAATGCGCTCTTCGAGAACAAAACTAAAATGCGTCCCATCTTCCACCCTGAAATTTTCATAAATCACAAAGCCCAGCTACTTGATACGACTTCATTCTGATCTTCTTGATCTTCTTATCTACCCTGAAATGAGAAATATGAGTGGAAGCGAATCGAGTGAGCGAGAGCGTTGAGGGATCTTTGGTACGTTCTTAGGGGGTGTATTTGAGAAATTTTTGTTGGAATGCCCAGGGCGGTGGTCGTTTGGTATGAGGCATTCGTACATCCGGGTTTCTAGAATTGATGAGTTACATTTTCATCTGGTCGATTGATGCGTAGTCTCTGTAAGTATTACAATTACTCGCAACTACAAATGTTGCTGAAGAAACTTTTAGAAAGTAGGTTGTCTCGCCCTTATTCTAGCTGCGACACAAAGGAACCTTGAACTCGAGGCGACATCTACGACCACAATATAATAGACAAGCATGAATGATGGAGGGGGAAAAATCAAAAGAAAATGAAAATCAAATTCTTCTAGCGTTTTTTTCTGGGAGTAGAAAAAGAAAAAGCAAATTGTGATGTGTAATTGAAACAAAAAGATGGGAACCAACTCGTTCTGAGAAAGAGACCAGTACATTATGATTATCGTGTAAGTTGTGAGTAGTTTTGAAATTTGCTATTGCTTCTCATTTTTTATCAACATGAACTGTGACTGTCTTTATTGATTCGTCATCATTCTCCGTGGCAAAGAACACAAAATGAAATGTACATTAGCACCAAAGTGTGTGATGGTGACCATGATTTATGAATTTTATACCTTCATCGATTTCGATACCACCTAAACGCCGTGCTGTCGATTTTCCTTTTCTGAAGTGAAGCCTTCGCCTTCCGTCGAACACCAACCACTCCGGAATTACTGACGAGAAAGCGCGGCCGCAAGGAACCAAGATGACGTCTCTAGACGTGGATATGACCGCGGGCCCGCTGGTCGCTGGCGAGCAACTCTCCGAAGACATCAAGTCGGTGTTGCGGAAACAGTTTGCAATCGGTGTGGTGATAGGACCGTCAGCTAGCGGAAAAACAAGGAAGCTAATCGCGATGAAGAGGTATCTACGGGAGGTCAACGGCTTGAATGTGGAATCGCAGCAGAACGTCGGCGAGTCAGCTAGTGGAACAGCCTGGTTTGGGCGCAGGGAAAACGCGGAAAAGGCAATAATAGACCATCCCCAATTGTCCATGGACAACTTGGGATCGGTGGGCTTGAATAAGGTACGAATGTCGATTCTTGTTTATCGTGACTATGTATGATTTTTGCTTCAATAGAGAATGCTACTGCGCGTTTTTGTTTTCATGCTTGCTTCATGGCAATAGCAGTATCATTGACATGCGCAGTGGTTTTGTGGAGACGTCAAGAAAGCACTTCCGCGATGGATATGCTAATGCTTCTGATCTTCGAACAAAAATAACTATCCCAGATACCGAGTTGGTGTCGACCCTACTCCGCGTTGTCGAACGGGGAACAAAGCAGAGCACGACTCGCGGCGGATGTCAAGAGCTTCATGGTGGTCGACGATTTCGCCGCCGTCGTCGAGCCCAACTCCGCGGCCTCCATGGCGTCGTCGTTCGGGAAACTGGTGCGGACGCAGAACCTCCAGGGCGTGTTGGTCGCCACGACAAAGCCGGAGGCCGTCGCGTTCCTGCAGCCAGAGTGGGTAGTCCTTGCGGACTCCGGTGAGGTGATTCGCCGCCCCACTGATCAACCTTGCCGTCCGGTGCTGACCTTTTCGGCGCCCGGGATGCAGATCTTCGACCGCGAGTACAGGTATATCAACCCACAGGGATACTGGGCGACGAGGAAAGCGTGGACCGGCGAGCAGCCTGCGGACGAAGCGAATGACCTCGATGCGGATGAGGGACTTGTGAAGAAGCTCGGGAGAAAGCTGATACGTCCGGGCGCAACATTACAAAAAGAGTATCCCCGCAAATGATGAGCACGCTCGTGTAGTTCTGTGCTTCAGCTAATTCGACTGTCACACCACAGCAACGCACGGAGGTGTCATGTTAGATCATGTCCTCGTTGCCAAGCCGTAATCTATGATTATGAATTTGATGATGATGGACATGAGTTGATGAATCCGCTAGTAGCTGCAGGTGTGCAAGAGCATATTTTTTGTTTTGTTATCACGCCTACACTAGCGCGCTGACTTTCTCTTTTGGATAAGCGGCTGACGAGAAGAATTCCTATGAGTGACAAGGTGTACGATGCGGCGCATGCCTTCGATTTCGAATTCGATGGCGAAAGCACGACCTCGGTCCACATGGTGAACCCCCGCCATCGCGTGTTCACGGGCGTAGTGGATCCGAAGCCCCCCGGGCAGCCGACATACAGCGCAAAAATCGGCTACATAGTCGGGCCCTCGGGCAGCGGGAAGACGACGGCAATGCGCCAAATCCTTGCCATTCCGCAGGTGGAAGGAGGTCCGGAGGCGCCAGTAATTCTCTCGGACTTGGCGGACCTGGAGGAATTGCAGGGCAGTGCTGCCACAGCAACAGCTGCACCCGTCTCGGATCTCTTCGCGGACAGTGATGCACCCGAAGGGCCGAAGTTGACACAGCTGCCGGCCGAGACTCTTGGGAGGACGTACGTCGAGCTATCTATACATTGCAAATTTTTCTGGGTCTGGAAACTTGTGTTGCCTATACCCGCACTGCAGGGTAGGGGTAGCCGTTTGCACAGCAATCATCAGCGTATTACAAGTTTATTTTATTCGATGTTGATTCTTAATGCAGATTCATTCGTGATTGTCAATCGCTATCGCATGTTGACAGACTGACTTGCAGCACGACAAAAAGGGAAACGCGCTGGGCGATTTGTATTCGTGCGTCACAGAACTCGCTGTCCACCTTGAAAACTTGCATGACAAGAAATCCACACCCAGACATATTTGAAATGCATACTCTCTACGACGGAGCAGCAGCGAGTTCAGATAGCACTGCTTCTCGTCAAAGCATCGTGGGCACCAGGAAGCGAGGTCATAGTGTGCGTCGACGAGTTTACGTCCAGCATGGACAGGATAGCGGCAGCGAAGTTTTCGGACAACCTGCAGAAGGTCCTGCGAACGGACAACCGCTACAGCAAGGTGCGGCTCATCGTCGCGGGGCTTTTCACCGATACCCTGGGCACATTGAAACCCAATTGGGCCTTGCACTCGCTGACCGGGAAAGTCAGCATATTAGCGGTGGAGCCGCAACAGATGAAATCGCGGGACCCGCCGACGCCGGTACGGGCCGGGAACATGAGCGCCGCGGCTGCTGGTGGATTTGCGCCAGGAAACAACAACGGCAGCAGCTCTTCTTCTTCCTCCCTCACCACCACGGACGTCGAGGGCCTTTTCTCTCCGGTCCAGATTGGGTTCGAGCTTCGCCGGATGGAAAACAAGGAAGTCGGCCAATCCGCCTGGGACAGCGCATTTAAAAACCACCACTACCTGTCCGGCAAGTTGGCCAACAATGGACATTTTTTTCTCCTCCGCGTCGCCTCCCGCAAAGCCCACCCGCTGCTGCAGTGTCTGCGTGAGGAGACGGCGGCCGGGTTCTTGTGTACTTCCGTACTAGTCGGCAACGCGTCGGAGTTTTTGATGCAGGAGCAGAGGTTGGTGGTGCTCCCCGAGTTCCAGGGGTACGGTATTGGCCCACGTGTGTCGGAACTCGCGGGCAAGCAACACCTACTGAACGACCTCCGCTACAACTCCGTCACCGCCCACCCCCGACTCGGGCCAGCACGCGACACGAAGATGGTCCGTGATGTCAGGACCGGGCTACAGCACCTGGTCTGGTGTCCAAATACCAACAACGGAAAGCCGGTGGCGGGTAACATCGGCGGGAAGCTCACCGAGAAAAAGCTGCAGGAACAAGTAAACAACGCGAAGACGGCCGAGAAACGCGCGCTGGCGCAGCAGAAATTGGACGAGGAGCGAGCCAGGAATCAGACAGTGAAGAAAAGAGACATCAAGCAGCTAGAGCAGAGGTTACTCAATGCCAAGACGTCCGCTGCGCGCTTGCAGATTCAGGCTGAGCTGGACGAGGCGATGAAAAACAAAGCCAAGGTCCGCGTTTGCAGCAGGCACCACTTCGTGGGCGATGATAAGGAGCTCTACGACGAAGTCGCTGCGAAATACTCTGCATATATGGACCAGAAACGTGAGAAAAGGGGAGGGGGACTGCCAGCACCACTTCCGCCATCTGTCCCGACGCTCTCGAGAGCCCAGCGGGATTTGGGCGGGCGCGCCGTCAGCGAGCCTGTGAAGTTCCTACCCGCGACATCATCTGCTAGTTCCTCGTCTTCCTCGAAACTTCCTCTGCAGCAACAGGAGTCTTCCGTTCCAGCTCTTCCATTACCGTTTGGAGACGTGGTGACAAAGAGCATCAGCGCCCCTGCACCGGTGCGAGGTACGTCAACTCTAGACCAAGCGAACCGGCATCGACAGCTGCACACGGGGATAATAAATCAAGCAGACAAAGACAAAATCGCATTTGATGTCGATACCAAGAAGGACGATGAGAGCTATTTGGTGGACGAAAACTGGAATCCATTTGACGACATGGAGATCGAAGTTGGTAATTTAGATTTGAACAAAAACACCACCACCGGTGCGACTTCTACTCTTGGCGCAGGAAGCGGTGGCAGCTCGACGACGTCGTTTTCTGCGAGCAAGCAGCCCTCCACATCATTTGGCGGAATTCTCGCAGGCCCGGCTGGCGCGTCCAGCTCTTCGTCATCGTCTTCATCCAGCAGTAGCACGAACAACAAGCCGGCTTTGACAGCTACTGACGGCGATATGGATAAGAATATGAACCAATTCCACGCACTATGGGAGCAAGAAAAACAACAGAACATCGCGATGCTGCTGGAGATTTTTCAAGAGCAGGACATTTCTCCCGAAGATGCAGAACAGTCTCTCGAGGATCACAACTGGGAGCTCCAGCGGGCGGTGGACACCATTACCGAAGACAACGAGTCCCAGGAGCGGGATCTGGAAAATTGGCGCGAAAGTCAGTCGCAGTCATTGCAGATGATGGTCACCGAAAGTCAGGAGCAAAGGAACAACGACATTTGCATCATCAGCGCCAGCAACCGCCGTGCGAGTACAGGGAACAGTCTTGTTGTGCCTGGAGTAGTAAAAAATGAGCGGGAGGTCATCGACTTACTCTCGGACTCGGAGGTGGAAATGGACGAGGAGGACAAGCAAGTCACGATCCTTACAACGGTATCCAGGAAAAAACACCCGTCCACATCGAATTTGTCATGCAAAACATGCATAAAATTCTGTGTTTGTCATGCAAAAAATGGATGTGGATGGGTTTTTTTCTGTGGATTAACGGATTCGGATGCCGATAAGCAAGGAGAAAGCGCTGTTGGTGCAGCTCTACCGCCCCCGATGAAGCTTGCGGCAGCGAGTGATCGGGGCAGGAGCGACAGTAGCGACCAGCCAGGAAAAATGAATTTTGGCGATGGTGCAACGAGGAGTGCCGCGCCCACAAGCGATCCGTTCCGAAGCAGCAGCTTGTTGTACAAGGCCGCCTCTCCAGTGATGTCGCATGGCTTGTCTTCATCGAGTACGAATCGTCCCTTCGGCTACCCAGGGAATACGCAGCAAACTACTGACGATTTCGCTTTCGGCGAGCTTGCGAATCCGCATGCTCGGTTGCGGAAAGAGGAGCAACTCCTGCCAAGTCAGAATGTGAGTGGGAACATTTTCAACCAAAATCAAAACCACGCCGCAGCTTTGTCTTCCTCGGCAAGTAGTAGAGCGCTCCCTGCTTCAAGTAATTCTGTTGCAGCAATAAACCATTTGCTCTTGGAAGATGAGCAGACGTGGGTGGCAAATCTTTCGGAGACTGAACAGGCTCAGATCAGCCAAATTCAGTCGACGTTGGATGACGGGAAAGGATGGCCCACGACGAGACAAATTCATGAGGCGTTAGTGCTCTTTGAGTACAATGATGAGGGTGTGACCAATTACCTGTTGGAGGAGCGAAACCAAAATCAATCACAGCAGAGCCAGGGCTCCGCGCGTGCCAGTCCACCGGCCAAACGGGCGCGGCACTGGTGACAGAGGCGGAGCAAATGACGAAAGTGAAACTGTAGAGGTGATCCTTCCTTTATTCTTGTGTAGAAGCTCAGCTTGTTATTGTTTGATAGGCAGTACGTAGAGACGCGGCAGCCATGTGAATTCACCGTAAGACTTCAAGTAGAGCGCTCAGGTTTAATGTGATGAGGCAGAATGTGTTTAACGATCCGAGCCCGGTATGTGCGCAATTTTTTTCATTTTCAAGTCCATTGTGTTTCATAACATGTGTGTACTTGGGTGACGAACAGAAATAGTGCGTCGCTTCGGTAGTTATCATGTTGACAAGAGCAAGCTACTGTGGCGTGTGCTAGCTGCTTGTATCAACATGGTGGACTCCTGTGTCTCTCCCGTACCGTACAGAAACTGTAGACAGAAAATAAAACGAGATTTCAAAAAATAAGCGACTACGACACTTTATTCCACCAATCGTCGAGAAGTTAGGTCTGCACAAGGAGCAGCATGGTCTCATCTTTAAACTGTTTGTCCCTCACATTCTACTTTTTTCAAGCGGTCTTGTAGTTCGGTTCCTGCGAACTCACACTTGTCGAGTATCGTCTCCATTGTCAACAATTGCAGAACTGCAAAAGAGTTGAGTTTTGACTTCCGTCAACAAGACAACCAGTAATCAAATCTTCAAGTTACATTTTGCGAACAAAAAGTATTCAATTTGGATCACCCTAGTACCCCTTGTATTGCCTACCACAACGACATCAACCAAGGCAAGGCGGATTGATGACCCTATTTTAGCAGAGCTACGTCTCTGCTTTTCCGAGCGAATTCACACGACGAACCCCTACCCTCTGAGCTAAGATTCAGAAATAACCTGTGATTCGATGATATCAGGTTCCCTGGCGACAAAAACAGAAGCAAGAGCAAAACATGTGGACGCATGCGTTTCCTGGCGAACGAGATTTCGTGCGCGCCCAGTGTTCTTCTGGCATCCATTGCTGCTTTTGTTCATTTTTGTGAAACGGATATATGATCAACAATCAAACAACTCCATGATCAACATCCGGCCTTCAGAAACTGAAAAGCAAAGACAAACACGACACGCTCTGATTTGTCTCGATCAATAGCTATGGTCACACTCTTCATTGTAATTGGATGTTGAAGTTCGAACAAATGGAGATGAAAGATCGCTTTATAGAACAAAAAAGTTGTGTTGGAAGTGAAAAATCAGGATCAACAGTACATGCCAGATGATCCCATAATGAGCTCGTTTGCCGCTCTCTGATGTGTTGCAACAATGAAATCATGCGTGGTCTTCTACTTAATGAAGTAGATCCTGAGTAGTTCTCCTGTTTGAGAAAGTCAGAAATGAGAAGATTGAACAGTTGCAATTCTCTTCGTTATTTTCCAATGGTTAAAATGTGCTGACGCATCGACGAGTTTTCTCAGGACGACAATTATTCAACATAGAGTCAAGTAGTGAAAAGATTGCTTCACAAGACTCGTTGCACGACCTAGCACTAGCAGCTCAATAATCTACTTTTCCTTTTTCATTGCAGAACCTCGCTAAAAACCAAGATCATGGTGAAGAAGAACGCGAAGTCCCGGGCTCGCAAGATCGACGTGAGCGACGCCGTGAAGAATCTGGAGCGGAAAAACGAGCAGAGAGCCGCTCAGGAGAAGCTCGCGACCGGAAAACTCTTCGTTCTCGACACGGTCGGAAGTACGAAGAATTTGCCGAGAAAAATCCGGAGAAAAACCGACTTGGAGAAGAAGCAAAAGAATTTAAGTAAATTGTCCAACTACGAACTCGCAAAAATTGAAAAGACGAGGAAACGCGAGGAGAACCGGCTGAAACACGAGAAGAAAGCTTCTGTGCAGAAGAGCAACGACAAAACTGCAAATATTCCAGCGCACAAGGGCAAGCAACTAGAACTCCACCACAAGAAGGCGGGCGAGAAGCACGCTTTCGACCTGTGGGCGACGACTTTGGAACAGGATGCGGACAAGAAGAAAACGGACTCGGAGCTGCTGATCAAGGACAAAAATCTCAAACCACTCCTCACCAACAACAACCTGAAATTCCGGAAGGTGAACAGCGAAGCGGTGCTGCGCCCGAAATCGAAGCCGCAAACCCTCGGGCAGAAAACTTCCCTAGCTCCCGCAACCGTGCTCCCCGACCACGGGTTGTCGATGAACCCGGGTGAAGAGATTTTCGAAACGAAACTGGACGAGATCGTCGCGGAAGAGCATTTGAAGAACGAAGAGGAGCAGATGAAGGACCTTCGGGCAAAAAAACCGATGACCATGCGGTTGCTGGACGCGTATACGAAGGAGGAATTGCTGCAGATGAGCGATTTGGAGAAGTTGAAGGAGTACAAGAGGTTGATGAAGGAAGACCACAAATTGGACATGGATACGGTTCTTGAGGAGGAAAACGAGGACGAGGAAGCTGCTGCAACCGGGGCAAATAAGGGGACGAAAAAGACTCCATCAAACAGCGACAAGAAGAAGCTGCAGCGGGACGAGCGCAAGACGAAGACGCAGCGGAACAAGGAGGAACGGGTAAAAAATATGGATCTGGAGTTGACCGCCAAGAAGCGGCAGAAACTGCTGGAAAAATCGATCGGGCAAATTCCGAACATGATGCGCGAAATGGTGAAGGACGACAAGGCGAAGGAGGAGCAGAAGGCTTTCATCGAGGACGCGAAACAAGAAAACGTGAAACTCGAGGAAAAAGGTAGTGATTTTTTACGTTTACTAATGTTCCCTTTTCGTTTGAATCGCAGGTCTTTCTGGCCCTTGTTCGTAAAAAAAAACTGAGGTGTAGTTCTTGTGAGCAATCACTGGCAGAAGTAGAGCAGCCTGTCATGATCATCTATACTGAAACTTTTCCAGCATAATCATAAAACCAAAACAGGCATCGTCTTGAAGCCGAAGAAGATCGGTCGCAACCGCTTCGTGGAGCAGTCTGTCGTGCCGGAGAAGTCCGTCAGCAGTCTCCGGTCCACGCAGGTCACGTCCGCCGTCTCCGAAAGGATGCAGTCCTTCCACAGGAGAAACATGGGCGAGTTGCCGCCGGAGTCCAACCGCGCGGCTTTGTTACGGGTGCGGAAAAAGGCAAACCGGAAGCAGAAGGCGAACAAGTTCGTGCAGAGGAGTTTGATGCTGGGGTGAAAGAGCGTTGTTTTCGCTTATAGCGGGCGGGGTGGCTTTCTTTCATTCGTCAGAACCTCAAGTCAATGGTATTTTGCAACATGTGCTGTGCTAGGAAGCAAACAAGGATATCCAAATTGTCATCTTCGGATCCACATGGAGAGGAAAGCGACCGTGGCGCTGCTAATTTGTTTGTGGTGTGTTCATCATCTTCTGGACTTTTTGTTTTTGTTTTTTGAAGTCTTGACAGGCTATCAAAGAAGCTCGTACTCGTCTTGTTTTTTGACGATTGTGACAGAAGATCTTCCATCAGTGACCTGCTCTACTAGCTCCCTGTGCGGGAACAAGATTTGAACGAAGATCAGGATCTTGCTTTTTTGCCTGTACTCACTTGGTACCTGCTTCAGATCCACTACGCAACGCGATCTACTGGTGTAGCAAGATCACTATTTTCAAGCTTACGCACACAGACCCAGCTGTGCAACCTGTATACCGTTTCTACGTTGGATTTCAGTAGCATTTCCCACCTGCAATAGGGATGAAATAAAGCGCTACATAAACATAGACTAACACACTGAGAAGTGTCCGTATTCATTTGTCGATCATTCTTCACGTTATAGGCGACAGCGACCACGATCTATTTTAGAGATTTTTTAAAGGGAGGACACTGAAGAGTGTTTGGCTTTTTAGAAATTCATCTCTTTATTAGTGCTGTCCTGTGCTATAACTGGCATGCATCTCCTGTGGAAAAAGTGATCTTTTCGATTTAGATTTACCTATCAAGAAATACCTGCGTCGACCATGACTCATTCGCGATCATTTACTACCCCCTACTACAAAAATCCTAAATCGAAAAAATAACGTGGCCTAAACAGCCGACAAGATGAACACCCCAACCGGCGGAGACAGTGCGTACTATCAAGATCCGGGAATGTTCCTCCCAGCCTTCCCCCCGGGGGTCATGGGGGACATCACTCCAGGCCGAGCTACAGAAGGACTTGTAGCCGGTTGTTCGGTTGACGATGAAGGCGAACATCAAGGACTTCAGGAACAAACGCAGGACCTCCCCTCTCCGTTTCAGCTCTGGAACTACGCCGAGGCGGACCTGGGCGTGGCACCACAACACGGTGCTCGAGTACAACAAGCTCCAGAAAGAGGAAACGAGTCTACCCAGCAGATGTTGAACAGTATCGAAGTATACGACGAAAAGTCCCTGCAAATCTCCCTCCTCCTCGACCGCGACTGCACACTCGGTGTCGACTATGACAGTGCACAACTCCCCCTCCTCCTCATTTGTGATGCAAAATACCCAAGCCACCGCTTGCCTCTTGGCACTGTTTGCATGACAAGTTCTGGTAGCCCAAATAGCACCATGCTCCAGGGCAAATTTGTCATGCAAAACCAGCATTGGTGTTGATGCTTCTATTGCGATTGCCGTTCATGCTATACAAATGAGGGGCAGGGGGAGTTGTGCACTGTTATATCGACATGGAGGCTGTCCCGGGGGAAGGCTTTCTTGTCACCGAAGTGGAAAGGGAGAAAACGGGGCTGGAAGTCGGCGACGTGCTCACGCAGATAGGATACACCAGTCTGCAGGTGAAAAACTTGCACATAGAAGATGTACGAGCGCTGAATAAGAATGTTGCGCTTGAGACAAGCAGTCCACCGGGAGCTGTCAACCTGACCGCCGCTCAGCTGCACTTGAAGGCGTTGGAAGACGATGAGGAAGACGAAACAGTTCTAGAGTACCACGAATCCTTCGTCGAGGAAATGACGAAGCGGTTGCAAAACTCTTTGCAGCAAATCCGGGACGAGGTCGAGAAGATTGATAGTTCATTATCGCAAGGTAAGAATCTCAATCTACTTCAAGCCGGTGGACAAGAAGAAGTTGTTCCACCTGCGGGTCGTGCGAGAAGAGCTCCCTCGCGTCTTGACCACGGCATCGCAGTTCCAGCCTGCGTGGCGCACGAGAAATCGATTTTGTTTGAAGGGTTCGAGGAGGAGGTAGAGGAGGAAGAAGAAGAGCATCATCCTGACGGCACCAAAATAAGAGCAGCCACTGATCATCATGTGTCTACTACTTCCCCTAGTACACGATCCCGCTCCCGGTCTCCCAACAAGAAACGCCCCGCGGCGCAGATGCGAAAATACCTGTGGCGAACATCCGTGGGGTTAGCAGTGAAAAGGTTGAATGTGGCCATTGTGCAGCAGGATAAGGACCACACAGCAGCTGTTGGTGGAAGTAGTACTAGCAGGCTAGCGGCCACTTCCGACGGTGAAAAGCAAAAGCGCCTCGGCCCTGCGTGGATCCAGCACCTGAACCAGGGGGACGTGATTACGGGCATTCGTCCCCGGTACAGGTCGCCAACGAAATCCTCGAACAGCCAAAACTTCGCATCCTCGCCGTCAAACAGGAAAAAAGCCAGCAAGTCCCACGGCCCGTCCCCGCAGCCGATCAGCTTCAAGCGGGAGGAGGGCGGTCTGGAGCTATCGACCGACCCGTTTCATCTTTTTGAGGTTTATGGCAAGGCGCACGAAACCATCCTGACCGTGGAGCCGTTAACCGCCGTGGCGCTGGATTTCTCGGTCGAGTTGGAGCAGAAACCAGAGGAGATCTGCACTCCCTCGGACGAATTTCCCGTAACGCCAAACACGCGCGCGGCGCAGAATAGAGGAGAATCCCTCACGGCTAAGAACTTTATCCGCATCGCTTCCGCAGAGAAGGCGATTGAAAGACTAAGTAAAGAGTGGCGCGGGGTGGCGCACGTGGTGCTGAAGGATAAATGGAGATACGACTTGAGAACGGAGAAAATTGTCGTCACGGTGCAGATTCACGCCCGGCGGTCGTTATTAGATCAAGTTGTCAAGGAGGCCACTCAGATCCTAGTCACGGATCCGCACATCGGAACCGTGTTGCAGCTTCCCGCGGCTGCTGCAACCCAAGTAGTGGATGAGACCAAAGCCGCATTATCCTCGAGTGCTGACTTAGCGGAGGCGGACCAAGACCGGTTCTTTCATCAGAATTACAACTCCAGTCCGCGAGGGCCCGAAACCTCCGAATTCAGCAACGGCATCCGGAACATGCGGCTCACCTTTCGGTCCAGAAGAAAAGTCCCTGTTGTCGATTCTCTGCGGACGAGTCTGGTTCCTCAGCCGGACTTGAAAAAGCAAAAGAACAACAAACTTCTGGGCCGGATTTCCGAGGAGGAACCACACGAGGACAATCCAGACGAAGAAGAGCCATGGCTGGATGATGAAGATTTGCATTCGGACTTCGAATTGGAAGAACTTCTCAACGAGCAGAGCCCCCACGAGCCGGAGGACGGTCCGCGCTACATGGACGGCGAGGTGCGCAGCTTCCACGGCAGCAGCGGTTTGTTCGGGGCGAGGAGTGCTGTTGGGACGAGCCTGCTGGACCTGACAGGGACAGACCCAAACGCAACTCTTCCCCCTACAGCATCTTTTACCTCCACTTTGTCATCCCGGGAGACGGCGAGGTTGAAGCAAAACCCACCGAAATACGCCGAATCGGTGGCCAGCGCCGCTAGGCTAGAGCTGATGAGCTTCGCAAACCGGGACCGGGAGAGAAGTATGCTGAACCTCGCGAAATTTGCGGAAGAGCAGGGCGAGAGAATAGAAATCTTTGCTCAGAACCCCTTTCACCTGAACGTCGTCGTTTTAGTGGGGTTGCCCGGGTCGGGGAAAAGCACGTTTTCGCAGCTGTGTTGTAGTTCGCCTTCATCTACTTCTACGGCGCAACAATCAGGCACTACTGGTGGTAAGAAGAAAAAGAAAACAAGCTCGAGCTCCGCACAAATTATACTCGAGCAGGTAAATGAAATACCAAACGATTTTTGCCACGTCATTTGCCAGGACGAGCTAAAGTCCCGCGAGGCATGCATCAAAAAGATGCGACGCGCGGTCGGAATTGCGTACGGCTCCGGAAAGCCAGGCTGCAACGTGATCATCGATCGCACCAATGTCGACCCCGGGCAACGGGCCCACTGGGTCCGGGAAGCCAACGGCCTCATCGACGCCATGAAGGCACAGCTGATAGCAGATCACAGGAACAACGCAAAGAACAAAAACGATTCATCCGCGGTATTAATATCAACTTCCTCCTTGCCGTCATCTTCCCCGCCAACCCTGCACTTGCACTGTGTTTACCTGCAGATGAGTGCCAGACTGTGCGTGTTTCGGATCATGCAGCGCGAGAACCACGCGACCATCCGAAATGCGAGTTTGGCGAAGGCAAAGGGGATCGTCAACGGGTTTGAGTCCGCTTTTGAGCCGCCGGACTGGAGAAACGAAGGCTTCGACGACTTTTGGACAGTTTATGGCGTTCTCAACTGTTACATTCTTAACTGTTGCATGATTTGTCATGCAGAACTCTCATCCGTATCACTATCACCAAGCTGCTTCTCATGACAAATTTCCAAAGTAGGGCTAAACAGCATCTAAATCTGTGCCGAACCTGTAATGCAAAAGGCGCAATCTTCACCATTGCATTTTTGCCATTCTTGCATTACAAACTCATGTAACAGTTGAGAATGTAACACTTGAGAATGCCATACAGTTGACGCGGAGAATGAAAAGGAAATTGCGAGGTCGGCGGAGGCGATGTTTGAGAAATTTGCAAGGGCGGTGGGGGTCAAAGTGGAGAAACGAATAAAGGAGCCACAGCCAGAAGTAGTTCCTCCTGCATCTTTCATCTCTGATAGACCACCTGCTGCGGAGGTCGTGGAGCAGCATCAAGGTGCCACTGTACTAGTTGGCGGCGCAGCTGCAAGGTCAACTGCGGACAAGGAGATTCGTTGTGCTACTTCCATCTTCTCAGGTGCTGAATTAGAACAACAAGATTCTCCTGGCGAAGAGGACCAATCTTTCTACGAGAACCTGTTTACAACAGCGATCTCGGAAGTGAAGCTGCCGCAAAGTGTGAACGCTACAGCTGCCGGGCCGCCGGCTGGGTATTCTTTACAGCCATCGATGTCTAGTTGTGCTTCTTCCAAGAATCTTGCCCCTCCCTCTCCGAACGTGCTTGTTTTCGGACCGAATGTGACGTACCCACCTCCGAGTGCGAAAGCCAGCACGCTGGCGGCGAACTCCGGCGCACTGCTTCTCGGTGCGGCCAGTAGTTCTTCTACAGTTCATCTTGGAGCAGATGGACCACCTGGTGGTGGACCAGTGATTACTACACAGAAGGAGCGCGGCTCAACTACACAATTGGCGGCTTCTTCCCCACCTCCTCAAGGCACTGCAAAATCCGTTTGTTCCGCGAGCCCTTTGGCTTCCCCACAAACAAAAATCATCAGCCGCCGCACTTCCTTACTGCAGCCCCCATCCCGTTCCCGGCACAGCAGTGGCAGAGGCAGTAGCGATTATTTCACAACTTCGCATTCCCCAGCTCTGGTGATTCTATCGCCGCAGCGAAACTCCTTATCGAATTCTAGCTCGCCATCGAAATTCGGCCCGAATGGGCAACTGATCACGAATTCCTTGGGAAAAACCAGATCTCGAACCGGATACTACGCAACGAAAGCGTCGAACTCCGCAGCGAAGATGCGCGAGGTGCTGGGATCGAAAACCCCATTCGATTGTTTTCAGGAAAAAAATCCGCAAGAAATAAACAGTGGCACAACGGTGACATCCTCGTACAAGAACAGCACAAGCTCTTTACAACTAGCGATGGGGTCCTCGTCGTCGACCACGACGTCATCTCTTTTCGGATCCTCAGCCTTGCCCTTGCAGAGCACCACCGGACCTCCTTCTGTGATAAATGGAGATCATCTTCGAGCTCCAGTTACTTCGACAGGTTCAACAACGAGCAGCAAGAAAACCGGGCCAGTACAACCTCCGGGTCTTCTGTCTTTCGACCGTCCACCGCGAGGATTATTAGCGAGAGGTCAAGCAAAAAGGGTCGCAGGAGGGCCGGACGAGATGAATCTTCCAACGACGGAAAACATCATGACTTCTGCCCATCAAAATCTCACTTCTGAAGGCAGCCCGGGCGAGCCGTCTCGCATTCGCAAAGTGGCGGTGGCGGCGCCGAGTAATAAAAGGGGTACTAGAGCGTCGACGAGCAGGGGAAATAAATTGAACCGTGCTCTTAGTGACGACGACGATAGCGACTTTGTGGAAGAAGATTATCTCTCCTCGACTTTAATCCTGCGCGACGAACCAGACCATGCTGGATGTATCTGATTTTTTCTTCAATGATGTATGAGCTTTTATTTCAGTACTAGTCTTACCTATACCTACGTCGTTTCTTTTTTCTGAACAGGATATTAAGCGATCTACGGGTACTGCTCTGTATCTTTTGTAGCTAGCTTTTTGTGATGTGTTTCTCTTTCTGCGGGAGTTGAAAATTCAAACTACCATGACAGTGCCCCTCTTCCGCTGCTCGGACTGCAATTTTGGCAGTCGATCCTTCCGCAGCATTCGGGCGCACTTGCTGGAAATGAAGCACATGAATGTGCAAGGCCCCTTTCACCACCAAATCCGGGCGGCCATCGAAATCTGTATGGCCAACGCAGATAGGGAGTACGAAGCCTTTCACGCACGGGAACAAGCGATTGACGACGCTTTTGGGAAGTTTTGAGGGGAATAGAAGATGTGGGGAGGTTGCTGCAGAAAATGCACAATTAATGTACTGAGTTTTTTGTGATTGTGAACCAAAGCGACTACAGGAGCATGACAAAGTAAAAGTATGTGCTGTGCAGCTGCCTCAGCGACATATAACACGACCTGATGGAACTAAGTACGCAAACCAATGAAAATGGATTCAATTTCAAAAATTTAGCGCTGAAAAAGCTTAAGCACCCAAGCGACATCCAAATAACGGCTCTGCTAAGACCAGAAGATATGCGACCTCGCATGGCTGACTTCTACATGTGATCCACATGGTAACGCGATGTAGACGACGAAATGTGAAGACTAGCACTACCGCATCACCACCGAAGGTCGCTCATCTTCCTGCTGTTTCTTTTTCAGTGTTGAACTCCGCCTTCAGGCGCAACGATCAAAACATAGTGATAGGTACTCTCCGCCGCGAAAAGATTTTCAATGAACCATTGACAATGACAGGAGAAGATCCAGGAGTTTATGGCTAGATTTATACTTCTACGTCAATTGTCGTCGTCCACTTTTGCATAATGCGGCTATGGCACCACCATGATCTACTCCGTTACGCTAGCACATGCAGCTGCAGGAAATTCACAATGTCCGGCATTCTATCTTGATCTTTTTTGTGTGTACTAGCTGCAGCGCCAGCGCAGGCAGTTTATAGATTGACGGATCTTCCCAACATGCTCAAGAGCGTGCTCTTACACCTCGCTCACGTTTTTATGCTTGCAGTTTTTTCGCTCAATTTTCAATTTCATGTGTTTCTCTTTCTCAGCGGCAGTGCAACCGTCAAGAAGGGTCTTCAGTTTTATGAATGAAGCACTCGGGTGAACGTGTTTTTTGCGATAAATATTTGTTGTGTTTTGATTAAGGGACCCATTTGGTAGGTCCTCCACAAAAATTAAGTATACAGAACTAGTCCTGCACCTGCAGCTGGAAGCAAGCTTAACTAAAGACCAGAGTTGTCGCCCTCGCCTAGAACTATAAACTCTGTGTCTATAGCACTTATTTTTGCTATCCAAGAAAGTAGACCCGTACCTTGTGGTGCTTGAGCAGCACCTTTTTAACTACACCCTTTTATTATTTCCCTTTCGTGCAATCTTGATTCTTTTCCGACACAAGACCTCGTTGAGGTCTAACACTAACACAATGATGTAAAAAGAATCTTCACAACATCCATAGGGCTAGTTTAGCGCTAACCTAGGGTAAAAAACGTTCGTCTGTCAGGAGTACATGATGATCATGATGAAAACAAGGCTGAAGAATGTCCATTCCGTCTGAATGTGTCAAGAACTTTGATGAAGGCAACCACAACCAATCTTCATAGACCGGGACAAGAAGATTTTTGACCAGCAAGGTGACGCCGGTACACGACCAACCTGAAAGGAGTGTGTGCAGCCCCTTTTCATCGCAAATACTAGTACGCGCGGTCGCAAGTACCTAAGCAGAAGCAGATTTTCTAGCAGGATGGACGTGGTCGTGCTGCCGAAAAAGCATGGCGGGAGCCGGTCCTCGTTGGCAACTTCGTCCGCCGGTAGAAGAACAGGGGGTTCTCGACGGAGCAGCGCATTATTTGCTGCATCTTTTTTCGCCGGCTTGATTGGTAACCCCGACAACAATTCGCTAGTCAGTGCCTCTTCGACAACGGAACAGCCGACGCAGCTGTTCGTCTTTGGTGCATCTTCATCAAGCGCTGGTGCTGGAGGCACTGCAACAGCAAGTACAAATCCAACTCGACGACGTACGAATTATAATGACAAAAATGATCGAAGCCGCTCGCAAACGCGCTCGAGCTCGCGCAACCGGGAGCCGCACAATCACAGTCCTAACGGCGGCAGGACGCGCACAGGATCGCGCCCACGAAGTGGGACAACAACTGAGTGGCCGACATTCCGCCCGACTACGGGAGCAGCAGCAGCTCCGTGGCCATCAGTTACATCAGCGGATCTTCCCCATGCTGCGCCGAGTAAAGCTAAAGGTGGACGTAACGTAACAGAAACAGTTGTAAGAAATCCAACGGTAGCTACCGGCGCGGAGGCAGTACCAGCAGCGAGGCAGCACAGCCACGCTATCTGTACAGACAGATTTGAGACGCAATTGAGGAATACTCTGCGCGGTTTAGCGACAGAAGATGTTGACCGCCAAGACGTCGGGCCGATAATGAAGGAGTACGACGGCATTGTGGAGGACGGCGAGCTGCGGTACTTGGAAGTCCTGGGCTTAATCGCAAAAGCGCCAGAGTCGGAGAAAAAAACCCAAAAGCTTGTTTCGGACAGTGCGTCTACTCAGAAAAGTACTAAGCACAGGCACCGTCGTGCGGAACAACATCAGGCGTATCAATCCGACGAACACCCCGACAACACCCCGAGAACGGTTCTCGGACTGCCCTCCCAGAGAATTCAAAACGCCACCACTGCTCGCACGGAATTCTGGGCTGCCTTTGCGCGGACGCGGGCAAACACACCCGTCGAACGGGCAGCGCTCTCGGTCTTCGAGCCGGTCAGTTTGCTGCAGTTTGGGGCCTTCAATTTGCCGCGGCTGCAGGATTATGCATTGCAAAAGTAGTCTGCACTAGTATAAAGAGCATCACAAGTAGTTGCGGCAAGAACACAAGTTGAATTTGTCATGCTGTTTCAGGTTCGGAAAGAAATTTGTCATGCATGATTGCAATTATATACGAGTGCGATACTTTTGCATTGTATAAGAAGATTTTCAGCGTTCTGGACCGCACACCGACGCGGCTGTTCGTAGAGGTTTATCAACTGCAAAAATGTCTGGGTCTGGAAGATTCTAAACTCGTAATGCTGTCTCTGGATCCTAAAAAAATTTTCATTGCATGACCAGCAAGAGGACTCAAGTTTGTGCTACAGGGAGAGGGCATTTCTCATGCGGTAGAGGCATCGAGAAGCCCTCTAAAAATCTGTGATGCTAGGGCATGCATCACAGACATCATGGGTCATTTAAAATATGCATGACAAACCTGGCAATCTTCCAGACCCAGACACTTTTGCATTTGATAAGGTTCTGCGGCACGTCATGTTTCGCCTCGACCCAGGTTCTTTAATTGATAGTTTCCGCAACATTCTGCGTGCGGTAGACACGAGGCCTGTCAACGATTTCTTCGCGGCCACGACCGACGGCGCGTCGTCTTTTTTACCTCGCTTGGTGACGGAGCAAAGGGCGGAGTTCGTCGAAGCTTTGAAAGAAGCGCACCCATTGGAAATCTTGCTTCAGCGAGTGGCATTGACACTTGAGAAAGAGAGTATCTCTGTTGCAGAAACAAGTCAAACTGGTGAAGGAGTTGCAAATGGCGGGTATGGGAAGGATGAATACGAGGAACGGCAGGACGACGAAGACGAGGAGGCGGTAAACGGATTCGCTGCTCGTGATAGGAAGGCTAGCAAAGATCATGTAGAAGCTGTGCCGTCCAACCTTCTGTCCTCCGTTTTGCGAGTGAATGCGACCCCGCCCACCAACTACGCAAACCCACGAGAACCCGAACCCTTTCCAAGAACAGACGCGCCCGCGGAAGACAGTGCGCCACTCCGCGAGCGGAATCCGATGAACCCCACCAGAATTGTTCCTGTTCAACATTTGGCGGACCTCCAGGACGTTTCCCCCGAACAGTTTCACGACGTGGTGAATCATGCGGCCTTCGCCCCACCGAAAATGGATCTCCGCTCCGTGAGCTACAGCAGCATGAGTGCCGCTGAGGAGCAAGAGCAGGCCGCCGACCCGCTTCTCGTGGCGCGAGGAGCCGACTCGCTGCGCGCAAAAGAGTTCCAGCTCGTGCGGCACCCACTCCCGGATGACCTCCGGATCCCAGATCTTGAGCTGCCGCTTAATTATGATCCGGCTCGTGCAGTTCCTCGTGATGGAGCGGTGTCCAGCGCAAGTGCAGCCGGTGTAGTTACTAGTAGTGCGGTCAAAGTGCCTGCGCCCCGCCCTACCCTTGCGAAAAGCCCTTGGCCACCTGTCTGGAACGGAGGGAACCTTGGCCACCTGTCTGGAACGGAGGTCCTTCCGGCCACAACGAATGCGAAGGAATCCGATAAAGAAGATGCTGACATCAGGGACGCTCCTGGTACAATATCTACATCGCATCGAGAAAGCAAGGCCAGTAGCTCGTCGAGACATCCGAGGAAGAGATTTAAGGCTGCTGTTCCGATAAATACCACGGGCGATTCTACCTCCCCGGCGCCCGCCGCGCAAACCGTCACGCAAGTGGTCCAAGAGCGGAGAAAGGAGGAAACTGAAACGAAAGTTGCCCCTGCTGCAGCGGACGAAGCGACAGCAAAAATTTCCTGCAAGTCCAAGTCGTCTCTCTCGTCGACGGAGCCTGTTGACGTTTTCTCTTCGAGCTACGCTCCCGTGCTGTCTCCCTTATTGGATCTGTCCGATATGGGCCTCCACGACAAAAATCCCCAGCAGCCGAAAGTTTCCGAAATCTCCGCTCTGCTCCACCGCATTCTCGATGTGATGCTGCGAAAAACGTACGACTCCGTGCGGTCCGTCGAGGGCATGGTTACGGTGAGTGGCAAGATTCTTTTGTACAAGTACCTTCAGCAGCTTCGCCACCGGCTCTTGTCCCTTGCGATCGCAAGCAACGACGCGGCAATAGTGAAAAAGCTGACGCTTAGTTCCTTTTTCCAACGGAGTTTCAAAACCTTACTGAATTCAGAGGACCTTCGCGGACGCGAAACACTCGGGGGCCGCAACGTCGATCACGAGAGCCAGGAGGTGGTAACGCGACGTAGGTGCGACGTGATGGTCAACCTGTTTCGCACGCCCATTGTGTTGGCTCCCGATGACCCCCGTCGGACAGAAGATCGCGATTTTGTTCTTTCTGCAAGAGGTCGTGCTCGCATTGGTGACCATAGCTACATGTTGACAAGGAGCTCCAATGCAACGGAACAACCGCTTTCTCCCTTGGAGCGACGCAGGCGAAAACTTGCAAAATGGTGGCGATTTACTCATGAGAATGCGCCGGACGGTGTTCCGCTCGAGCAGGACCCGCTTTGCGAGGAAGCTTTGTTTTCCCGAAAAGCTTGGCCGGCCCGAAAGCCGTGGAAAAAGGCGTCGCGACAGTGGCAGGCGGTCGTGCAGGACGCCCGTTTAGTGCCGCTGTTTGAAAATTTAGGCTGGTCCCAGCAGAGTGTGACGGCCGTGAAAACGCAAATCACTGCGAATACTCTGCAAGCCGTGCCGCTGATGAAAGCGGTGTGGGGCAAACGGGTGAACATCTGCGAGTCCGAGGCCTCTGCAATGAGGAAAACCAGCAGTTTTGACAGTTCAATCACCTCCAGCTGCACCAGTGCACCCGGAGCTACGGAATCTAGTTGCAGTAACCTTGCGATGACGGCTGCCGTATCTGGAGGATCGACGTCGACGAGCAAGGCTGCACACGCCCCTGCAGCTTTGAGGCAGTCGAGCGAAGGTAGAAGTAGTGCTAGTGCTACGAACAAAACGAGAACAGGCTTAGGAAATAAGAATGTCCAAGGCTACAATGCATCTGTTGCAAAAGTCGAGTCCGATGACTATTACTTGGTTGGAAACGATGTTTCCATATCCATTTCGCCGACCACAGGTCTGCTCCGCTCCCACGCAAGCAGCTCCAGTTGTGGGGAAGGTCAAGGTGGTCAGATTGGAACCACCAGCCCCACAGAGCGCGAGACCCAGAAGTGCTCGGCCGAAATCGCGAGGCAGCTCCTACTGTTTCTGGAACAGGAGAATGACGACGAGGAAATGAACGCTGGTGCGGGTCGTTTTTTTGAGGACTCCACCGCCGCAGATGGAAAAGCGGCCACGGTTGCAGCAGCGACTTCAACCTGGCCTTTCACTGCAGCAGTACATTATGGAGATCACCGAGACGCAACCGCAAGTAAAATCGGTTCTGGTCAGGACAAGCAGCGCAAATCTACTGTGGGCCACGCATCCTGGACTGGGATGCTGAACCAGAAGCTTCTACGACTCCGGCATCGGCTGTACAGTGTAGCTGACGCGCTCCGAGAGACACGCGTCGACGCGCAAACTCTGCAGCAGTTTTTGCCGGCACACCAAGGCGGGGAAAAAACATCCACACGGATGTTGAGAAATATTAAAGGCGACGTTTTGAAGCAGAGCAAGCAGGAAGTAGGGAAAGAGCAGATGCTGCAATTCAGTCAGGATGTGCTGCGTTTGGTCCGCTATTTCCGGAAGATGCGGCTGCTGCACGAAAAGGATTGGAAGTCCTCTTCAACCACGTCACATAAATCCGGCGCAGATGATATAATCGTTGAGCAAACCTCATATCTAGGTGCCGCAAGTAGAGGGGGCGTAGCAAACGGTCAACAAAGCGAAGACCTTGTCGATAACGAGTTCCGACACTTTTTCCCGAGCGAAGACTCCGCACCTAGTTTAACCACACCAAAACTCCTGCCCGCAAGTAGAGGACCGCCAAACAACACCCCGCAAAGCACTCCGCTATTGAATCCAGCGACAACGGCAGCGGCCACGGTAGATGGCGGGGACGATTTTGTACAAGGGGACGTAACACCGTTCGTACTGACTCCCACACCGCATCCCAATCTGGACGATGAGCAGGAATTTTTATTGGGTCCGGCTGCCGTATCCGTTGCAGATGATGTTGCTGCGGCAGCTGCAACTATGAAAGCAGGAGCTGCGCCACGTTTCTTGCCTCAAGGATCTGGCTCGTCCTCAGAATCGCGCGAGCCACATGATCCACGAGCAGGAGAGCAGCAGATGGCCGAAGCAGGCGAAGAACAGGATGTGAATAATAACCCGTCGACTCAACATGCAGATGCTCATGGTGATGATTTCTATCATCATGAGCTACAGCTTCTCGCGGATTTTGTCAACAGTCGCAACGTGTTGTTCCAGCTTGTGAACCTCTCCGAGCGAGTGGTCGAACTTTACGAACCTGTGATCCCCCGTATGCAGGGGAATGGAACGTTTCTGGAAGACATTGACGAGCGGCTCAACCGCGCGCTCTTGTCGATTTTCCGGGATATCATCAAGGCGAAGGATTTGAGTCTTTTGAAGGTCGTTCTGTACCAGCAGAAACTGGAAACGGAACACCGCCTGCCCTTCTCGCCCCAAGCCCCCGCCGCGTTTGGAGGCTTCAAGTACGGAGACAAGGAATATGCACAAAAATAAAGACCCATCCCCAGCCAATTTGTCATGCAAAACATGCATAAAATCCAGTGTCTGTCATGCAAAAAATGGATGAGGATGGGTGTTTTTCCTGGATAAGGAAAACAAGTTTGCGAGCATCCAAACCTCGCTGCCGTTCGCGTTATGGATTGCAAAGATGTCTGGGTCTGGAAGATTGCAACTTGTCATGCTAAATCCGAATCATGCAAAAATCTGTATTGCATGATTGCCAAAAGAGGTCCACTTTTGAACAAGGCTCGAGGCAGTTTCTCATGCAGAATAGGCATGAAAGAGACCTCACAGACTCTGTCATGCTAGGCCCCGCATTCCAGACCTCGAGGGTCATGGAAAACCTGCATGACAAGTTCGGACTCTTCCAGACCCAGACATTTTTACATTTGATACGCGTCACCCCTGCACGACGTCGTGGAGTACGGCGATGTGCATCTGTTTATGCATTGCAAAAGTATCGTACTAGTATGAATAGCATCACAAATTTCCTCAGCATTAGAAATGGAATTTGTAATGCGGATTCCACCAAAGAAAGGGATTTGTAATGCATGACAGCGATTTCGATTTGTACGAGTGCGATACTTTTGCACAGGATATTGTTGCGGCAGTTGCTCGTACCGGAGCCACAGCTTTCCTTTCCGAAGAAGGAGACTGTGCCTGAAGGTGCAGCAGCTGCAGCAGCTCCCGGTCTACTTGCCGGTACTGAGGGGGGAAAAAGGACGGTAGCAGCAGCTGGCGCCACTGTTTGTGGCACTGCCGGAGGAAACGGAGACACCACCTCCATGTCTATGCAAAGAGTACTAGACTGTGTCTCTGCTGTTCTCCCGGATCCCGTGGGCGAAACGAATTTTGATCGTCAGTGTAGCAGGGCTTCCTCGGCGCCCGCCTTGGGTGGCGACGACGACTTGGGTGGCGACTTTAATTATGAACGCCAATGTAGCGGCCGAAGCCGGCTTAGTGCGGCTTCCTCGGTGTCCGACGTCGCTGGCTTAGAAAGCGCAAATTTTTCAAATTCAATCTGGAACCGCTGGGCGGGCTCACTGGACGGAACGAATACGACCGGGGAATGGGCTGCGAGCGATGTTGCAATCGGTACTAAAGATGACGAAATCAGTCTACAGCCAAATAAGCCCGCACCGAAATACAAATACCCGGACCTCGCCCCACCAGTCCCGGCCGTCACCCTCACCCGCAAAGCGGACGAGCGGGCGACCTACTTTTTGTTTGCGAAAAAATTCTTCCAGCAAACAAACACACACGGCGAAACGCCGTTGCTGCAAGCGGCGAGGAAGGCCGACATTTCGCAAGTCCGTCTGCTGCTCGAGTTCTTCCCAGTGGCCGCTTTGACACAGCCAGATTTCGACCAGCAATCGATTTTGCACCTCATTGCCCGGTGGGACCTGGAAGAAGCTTTTGCCAACGAAATCACGGAAATCCACGCACGGGGCAAAGACACGACCGATAATCCGGACCACGGGCCCGCGTTCGATGTTGTTTTGCCGGGCGAATGGGTACCGCCAGAGGAGCTGGTAAAATTATTGAAAAGGAGACACGAAGATGAAGTAAAATTGTTGAAAAGAACTCAGTACTTCAGCTGCAACATGCCTCCGCGCCAAGAAACACCATTCCCGTTTCACACGGGCGAGCGCGAAGGCGCGGAACTGCAGCCGCATGCATTCATTGGGAGCGATTCAGCCGCTCGTGATGCTAATAACCTCCTTCCCTATCCGCCCCAGCAAATCCGCACGAGCGGCAACAGTTTTCTGTCTGCAGCAACCGACGGCCCCACAAGCAAATCGGATGAGGTTGAGGAAAGGACAACCCCAGCGGCGTCAAGATCTAGTAGCTTTTTGCAGACGGGAACAAATAACGATCTGTCCTCCGAGTATAGTACGCCTGCGTCCGCCACCGCTGGCGCTGGCGCCGGAACTTTCCATCCGAGGGAGTTTCTCCTGGAAAAAGCGAAGAACTCTTGCACGAGCGCGAGCGGGAACTCCCTTTCGAAACTGAACACCAGCTCCCTGAAAGACTTTCCGACCCCGAGCACGGTCTGCAGCGTCGGAAGCAGCGGGGGCCCAATCTCCCCTTGTTCAACATCCGGCGCAGCCGCGAGCGGCCAGTTACTGTGTCGGAGCAAATACCACACGCCAAAAGCGCCGTTGCTGCCGATGGCAGCGATCAACGGCAGTAGGGTAAATACGACCTCCAGTACATGCACCCCGGAGCTGCTGTATCCAGATGAAGCGGATGAGATGGACACCGATCACGAATACGACGATAGCTCGCCTTTGATGGACGCAACCTTGCCGCCCTCGGTCTCCGAGCACGATCTGGCTGCGATGGCGGGGAGGAGTGGTAATGCTGGGTCGACTAATGTTGAACAGGAGCAATGGCCGCAAGGTGGAGTAGCCAGAACTACAACCGCAGAATTCCAGTCGGATGTGAGGGAAGTTGAGAGGCGTATCAAAAAGGATTACTTTACCTTTGTGGAGAAAACAGACAAGCTCGCACTCCTAGCGGAGTACGTGCGCTTGATGCAAGCATTGATGAGTCGGTTTCCCGCCCGCGTAGAGCTCCACGAGCAAATCGGACTGCTTTCCGCTTCGTCTCACAAACAACGGGCGTCACAACGCGCCGCCACCGCCGGCGCAGACACGGAGTGGGATAAGAAAAAGAAAAGACCCGCTTTGGAAAAGTACTGATACATGTTTTTCATGCGTGGTCGCGCGTTTGGTAAAATAGAACTCCAGTTATAGTTAGTGAAAGTGATCATGCCTGGAAATTCAAGTTATTACCAACCAGAAACTAACTGTATTAACTTCCAAATCTAAAATTCAGGTGGGTTGCCAGCGTGACACGCCTCGAAGAAGAGGAACACTACTCCGCTAGCGTGGCGCTCCGCAGCCCCCGTGCATCATCTTCATCATCCCCGAGCCCGACATCCAGCGGAAATATTAAACCGTTCGACCACGCTACTCCCACAGCCGAATCCCGGCAGAGAATTGCGGAATTTCTGGCCCTGTTCACCACATCCTCAGTCAAGTTCCAGATGCTGAAGGAACGCCGGGAGGAGGAGTTAAAAAAACTGCGCAACCGGCAGACAAACTGGGAGCACCAGCAACACTTCTATTTCGTGAACCGTAGCATGACCGCCCCCGGCGATGCGAAACGGAGGGATGAGAAAGTCTGGGTGCGGAATCTACCGGTCGGGATGCCGGAACTGCGGACACAGCGAACAGCGGTAGTCGAAGCCTACATCCGGAAAAACCACCTCTTCTTCGGCATGCTGCTCAACATGCTTGCGAATTTCGAAGTGAACGTACAATGTCAACCTCAGTGCTTTTCACAATGCTTTGTTACGCTGTATCTCATTTTCAATGCGCTCCACTGCTATGACTGATGAATCATGTTGTCTTTCGGGAATACTTAAAGAAAGAAAAAGAATCGAGATCGAAATTATTTTGGGACAGCAAAACCCCGCGCCACCCGCAAAGTCACCTACTTGCTCTTGCCCGCCTAGTATAGCAAGTGCGATGAATGTTACAAGTGATCGCTGCCGCCCGCTCGCGCGCCCATGCCGCATGCCCCGCCCGCCCGCTGCCTAAAGTTGTAAACTACATGTACCTACTACTAGCAGTTGTCCTGGTAAGATATTCAACTTGCATCGCGCGCCGCACCTGAAAACTCGTTGCCCTCAACCTCACATTTAAGATACCTAGACAAGAAGAGTACATGTTTTTCGGATTGCACCCTCATGGGGTTTTTCATGTTGATTGATACCATATAGTATGACATCCCTGTTTTCGCTCGTAATCTTCTCCTCAAGTCAATGTCGTGCATTTATTTGCCATGTACACAACCACAATCAAACAGACTGTTCGGCCCGAGGAGTATCGGCTGGATAAGGAAGAGGTGGAGGAGATCCTGGATGCGATAGATCACCGCGGAAAAAACCTGTGCGCCTATGTCAAGCAAATGACAGAGGAACTCAATCTGCAAAGACTCGCTCGGGCGACCAGACAGCGCGGCGGGTCCTCATGTAGTAGTACGGCGCTTGCCGCCAGAACAAATACAAACCAACGCAGAGGTCCTGGTCCTGCGTGCACGTGTTTGAGCGGACTGTGGAGCTTTCTGCAGCAATGGGTGATTCGGGGCGACGGTTTTTTTGAGAACATCGACATGTAGCAGTCGGAGCACTTACCAGGCAATTGGAGGTGTATCTGATTACAGCGGACCAAACGTGGTCAATCCAAAACCACACAGATGGGAGCGCGAACAACTACGTAGGATCATGCGCTCCACAACTCCTAGCACAAAAGGCTGTTCTTGTGCCACCATGACTGGCAGCATTCGCTTTTTTTCATCCTGTTGGCTGCATAGCGGCCGGAACGAAGCAATGTGACACAGACGAGACCATCAAAGAACAAATACGGGATTGAAGTAGTATTTCCATGTATAATGAGAATACAGAAATCCGCTATCAGTAGTACCTTTAGAAACAAGCACCAATTGCATGTATTGTTTCGCCATGATTTTTCTGCTACGGTGCCAGACGCAGAGGATAACGTTTTAGCGCACTTTGTGGCAGAAGAAGCATGACAGGAACGTGCGTGTCACTGCTGATGCGAAGATCGAATTTATTATTCAGAACTTGTTTTACCATAAGTACATTAGGTTTTGAGTTGGATTGTTTGGCCGGGCGGGCATCTCGCCGCTTATTGCCAAGCATCAGACTCATCAAATCTTCCTTTTAATATTCACAAAAATGCGGGGGCGCAGCATCTACAAATGACGAATATGCGTTGACTTAATCTTTTGCTACATTATACTTTCAATATCGAGAAAATAGTAGATTACGAATACAAAAAAATTGAATGTGCATGTGGCCTCGCTTGTTACAGCGGGGCTAGCACTAACATTAAGTCAGATCGAAATGCAAATCGCTGCTGGCGGCGCGGTTTTACTTTTAGTTTTATCTTCTAAGTGAACACGTGCGTCGAGGATGGCGCTTAAGAAAATTCTAGAAATTTGCTACACTACAAAGTCCATTTCCGTTGCACTGGAATATCTTCAATGATATTGCATTTACAACATGAAAATGCCAATTCTCAATATGTACAGATTCGTGTGGAAAAGTAAAGAATGTCATCGCGAGAAATGAGTATCTTCGCGTTATGGTTTCATTGCTGAGCGCAAAAAGAAACTTATCTTCCGGTCCAGTTACTGCAAATTCATTTCAGCCTCGTCAGATTACACAGGAGCTGTCGGCTTGTTGGGCGCAGGGCCAGCCCTCTTACAATATTTCGTTGAAGTTTTGTAGTTTTCTTTCCACAGTACTGCAAATAGAAATATGCAGCTCGGTATTCTTGGTTCACTAGATTATGATTTTCTTTTCTTGTCTGGTTGGGTTTCTTTCATCTTCACTTTGGTATTGATGCCGTTTTCGTTTTTCAAGCTAGCCTCACCCTAGTATGTTGGTATGGAGCCGTATATTGTTGCATGTGTGCTTTTGCTGCATGGCCGTTGATCCGAATTTTCATTTTCTTGTAATGAAGATGGAGAACAAAGCACCGAGACGTGGAGCTTGTTGAAGTTAATTAAACCGATTCGCGTCTGTCAGTGCCTACTGCAATGATGATCAAGCCCCATCTACTTCCGCAAAAACAAAATCCAGTGCCAGATGAGGCCGAGGCAAAGCGAAAGTCGGTGAATTCGATTGTTTCTGAAAAACAAGGTCGAGAAGTAGGCGGGCGCCAAGGTATCATGAACGTGAACAACTTAGCACCACAAAAGTAAATGAAAAACCCTCGACTGAGGTTGCACTGGCGAATTACTCTGACCTGACTACATTGCTTTACCTTCTGCCTGATGAAAACACAACCCCAGCACATGATCAAGATGATGTAGTTACATTCACAACTACGTGATTATTGATTTCGAAGAAAGAGCCGCGCCGAGCATCCCCACCGGCATGTTTTTGCCTATGGGCGAGGGACGGGGAAGGGCAAGAGGTGCAAAGAAGCAGGGCGTAGTTTGTCAGAAGAAAATTTTTTTGGAGGTTGAGTTTTGCAATTAATTCAGCTACAAGTCAGAGGGGGAGAGCCGAAAATAGCAGGCACGACTAGGCAGCGGATGACGTGCCAGGACTTGATGGAGAGTGAGCGTAGCCAATGGTGCATTTTTTCAGCTATGATGACATAGATATGATGTAACTTTCTTTCTACTTTCCGGAACAGCAGCGCGATGCTGCGTACCTACAAATGACATATAGAAGTATAAAGAGGCGCAACGTCTTCATCGATGTTTAGTTTGAGGCCCGCATCGTCGCAACGTCATTACTGCCTACTGAACTTCGCCTTTACAATCGATAAGGACGAGCTAACCCTGGAGCAGAAGCGTTCGAAATTATGTTCGGAAGCAGCAACAAGGGCGACGCGAAGTGGGAGCCGTGCAAGAAGTGCAGGTCCTACTACGAGGAGCTGGCTGGCACCTTGGAGCAGACGAAATCGTCCAGCGAAAGTAACATTTCGAAACTGAATCGCGATGTGAAAGCTGCAAGGGACAAAGGGGCGGCGGACCTGGCGGCGCTGGAAGCGCGATTGAAAAAGGAGTACGACGGAAAAATGGCGGCTGTCAAGGCTGAAGCGCAGAAACAGAGTATAATAACACGTATTTTTGAATATTGTACTAGTTAGGAGAAGTTGTGAAGAACAATGAACAACACACCGTTGCCATTGTGTTTGTAAGAAAAACACGCATGCTTGTTTCGCATGACTTCTACGACTAGTTTTAACTACACTAATATCAAATAGCCAACATCCACATCGAAGATTAACAATGATAGCGAATGAGAACGTTCTAAGCTACCAGACAAATTTTGAATGCATCTTCGGTATCGAGAAGGCACCACACACACCATTGCAGTGGAAAACATTTTCGTTTTCGTACACGAATTGGAATTCGTAGACAGATATCAGGAAGAAAGGAAACTTCGGTCCTGATTCAGCGAAGGAATTTGACAGCTAAAGATCGGTCATATGCTCTTCGTACACGCTTTCCTTGTCGCATCGTACATCAGAACCATTCGTGCCTCAAGTACTGCAGACTATGCAACAGCGCCATCTTACTTTTACTTCGAATTTCCAGTCAACTCAAAGTCAAACACAAACTGCCAGGATTCGGATTGTAAGGCTGACCACACTAACTCTCCATAAACAAAAGTACACATATAACAAACATGCCCTGTCAAGAAAAACATGAAAACTCCTTTTTACCCTTCAGCTAGCATGGCAGCGCAGATCTAATCACGACGATCAGGGGACCCCCTTGACATTAGGAATAAGCTACTTCTCGCACCACCAACGCTTTGACTACATACACTTTTGCCTTTGTGTATTTTTTTTCGGACAAATTTTCTTACCTCACCTCCGTTTTTTAGTTCCCCTCCACCACCTTTTCCTCCTCCGTTTCCCGCACCTTCCACCACACCAAATCCGCGACCAACAGCAACATGGTGAACTGTTGCGACTGCAGCAAGCCGATCACCGGCACCTACTATGAGACCGAAAGTGGTGGGAAGCAATGCCAGGCCTGCGCGGAGAAAGAAGCCGGCTACTGCGTCGCGTGCAAGAAGTCCATGCTCGAGGGCGACGGCGGTGTGACGCTGGGCGACATCCATGTGCACAGCAGTTGCTTCAAGTGCATCAGCTGTACGAAGCCGATCACCGGCGGCTTTTTGGAGAAGAAAAAGCTTTTAGACAAGGCCGACACGGCGGCGATCGCGGCCTGCAAGCCCACGGACTGGTTCTGCGCGGACTGCGGGCAGAAATTCCAGCGGGCGGAATGGGAGAAGAAGCACCCGCAGGCCGCGAAGCAAGCGCCCGCGGGGAAGCCAGGAGTGTGCACGTTTTGCAACGAGCCGCTGGGCTCTGGAGAGCAGATCGGGCGACTGGGCGATGGATCGCAGTTTCACTCGCGCTGCTTCAAGTGCAGCACGTGTGGCGACCCAATCAAGGGACAGTTTGTCAAGGGATCGAAAGGGATCACCTGCATGAAGTGCGTGCCGAAGTGCGCTGGATGCGGCCAAAATCTGTCCGGGCAGGTACAAACTCAAAAAATGGAAATCGTTTCGTGCTGGCTGTCGTGCTGGCTAAGGACGAACTCGGATCTACTTCTTGCGCTACAATTAGCCCGAGAGCTGCAGGTCATTTGCGCCCGCGCCCGCCCAAAGCGAACGCCCATATTCTCGGACGAGAAGTTGCCGATGCTACCGAAGATATTAACTTCAAACGCGGTCGCGATCATGCTACAGCGTAGCACGTTACCGCTTTATACCGCGCTGCGCCCACTGATGCCCTTAATGAGATAGGTAAAGTTAGTACTGAGCCGCCCGCTGCGTTTTTGTTTCGTTTTGTCGTTTTTCTTGTTCGTTTGACTGCTCACACCCTCATTGCCAGAAGTTGCTTTGCGTTTGGCCTCGTGATGTGCCCGCGCCTCATGGAAGATAATGTCCTGCTGATACTATTGTTTGTGCGTTTCAGTCTTCTTAATGTTTTTCTCAAAAGTGATTTTCGAAAAACAAAATCTTACGTCGACACAGATCATGCAAGCCGGTGGCAAGAGCTACCACAAAGTTGGGCCGGACGGGCACTGCTGCTTCAAGTGCATATGAACTGCAAAAGTATCGCACTCGTATAACACATGATTTCTGCATTACAAATTTTCTCAGCATGAGAAATGAGATTTGTAATGCTGATTTGCCTTAACAAAAAGATTTGTAATGCATGACGACAATACGAGTACGATACTTTTGCACAGGATAGTTCACTCACTGCAACCAGGCCATGGATAACGGGTTCTTCCCGGTATCAACTGCAAAAATGTCTAGGTCTAGAAGATTGCAACTTGTCATGCTGTTTTTGGACTCGAAAAAAAATTGTGTTGCATGACCAGCAAGAGGGATGCAATTTGTGCTACGCGGAGGACAGGGCATTTCTCATGCGGAAGGTGCATCAGGAAGCCCTCTAAAAGTCTGCGATGCTAGGTCATGCATTACAGGCATCATGGGTCATGAGAAATATGCATTGCAAATCATGCATTCTTCCAGACCCAGACACTTTTGCATTTGATACCCGGACCCAGGAGACGAAACGCGTTACGTGTGCGAGCCCTGCTACGCAGAAATCACGGAGAACATCGCGAACGCGAAGCACGACGAGGAGCGGCAGAAGCAGATCCGCGCCACGGACGAGATCGAGCGCGGCCATGCGTGTGTGTGGTCGGACGCGTACCGTGGGCGGCCAGAGGACACCCTCTACCTCTTCGACGAAGCGGACAAAACGGAATTGGCAAAGGACCCGAAGCACTGCTGCGTCTTCTTAGATTCCGACGAAAACATGCACGTGGGGAAGGCGCACGACATCCGGCACAGCATCAACTTGGAATATTTGGTCGAGGCGTGTAAAATGATCCACTTGAACAACGGGCAAGATCCAGTGTTCTCTCTCGACCCGGCGGACCCGCACGATTTGGGCGGGAAACAGCAGAAAAAGCGGTTCATTCCGGATGAGATGTGCAACGGACCGCTAGGCGAAGTCATGTTCCAGGCAGATTACTTCTTGAAAAAATTCAGCTTCGGCGACGCCCCGGTGGAAGGGGTGAAGTTCGAGTCTTTATTCGCCACGGACCACAGTTCCACCGGAGCCCGGCAGTGGTTCGTGATCCAGGACGGGAACGTGACGATCTCGCAGGACCGGGTTTTTATCGTCGACGTGAAAATGATCGTGGACGCGCGCCGATTGGAAATGGGTCCCGAGGGGTACCGCGACGCACCTCTGACCGAGCCGGATGATCCGGCGTTGCTCCACGCACACCACTTTTCGGAAAACATGGAAACTCTGCGGAAAAAAGTCCCAAGCGTGCACGAACTCTTCGAGTGCGCGAAGGCGATGACGCTGGCCAAGTACTTGATCAAGAAGCGAAAATTGAACATCAACGTGGAAAAGATTTTAAATTACTTACCCCGACCGATTTTGGAGGAGATCAACGCGGTGAAGAAAACCACCGCGCACACAGAGAAGGGGCGGGAACCGATGTCGGAGTACCCGAGATTAATCCCGACGTTGCGGAAGGAGACGAAGCACACGTCCGTGCACCATAAGGAAAAGGGGGACGGGATTGAAGTGGAAGAGCACACACAGTCGATGTATGGGGGGGTCGATCTCGGCGTTCCGGTGGAGAAGATCGTCGTGAAGGAGGAACCCCTACCCGTAGCGGATCCACAGCACCCACCACACCCGTTCCCGGTTTTGAAGCCCCGGGGCGCGCCGGCGGATGACCAAGTGCCGAAGTGGGTGTTGCAAAACAGCATGTCTCGCGACGACTACATTCATGCGGCGAAAGCTGCGCACCCGAGTCACAACATGCCGAGCAAACGGATCGCGGAAAGTAAAAGGAGCTCTGCGGGGGAAGCGGCTGCGCCGGGGGAAGAAGAGGACGAGGCGTTTGTGGACGATGAACCGTACGTTGATACGCACATTTTAGAGGACAAAAAGAGCGTCGTAACCGACCGCGCGAGCGGTGGGGCTGCGAAATCTGCATCACAAACTCCCGGGAGTTCCCGTACTACGGCCGCGCCTCCAGCAGCGTCACAACCCCGTGGCAGCGCGGCCCAGCGAATGGCGGCGTCTACTGGTTCGAGGGAAAGCGGGGTTACAGGTTCGAATGATCGAGCAGGCGGATCGACTTTGTCGTCTGCAGGAAGAGGTGCTGGTGGTGCTCCTGCGAGAGCTGCGCCGTCGGGGACAACTACAGAGAGGCAATCCGCCGCGGCCGCGGAGCAACATAGAGCGACAGGAGCAACAACTGCGACTAGAGGAAGCGCTGGCACAACGGGAGCGGAGCAACGACAGCCTAGCACGGCAACCGCCGTTCGAGCAGCTGGCTCCACGGGATCGCGCGCGGCTTCGGCTAGGCTACAGGATCACGATACTGTCGGTCCGTCCCCAGTCAGGACGACAGCCGGCTCGGCTTCAGGCAGTCAGCCGAGAAAGGCGCCGTCAACGGCATCAGCAGGAAAAGAGGCAGCTTCGTTCCGACCTCCAAGTAGATCTGCGGGAGCGAGCGGCGCTGCGCCCGCGAGAAAGAGAACAAGTGTAGCTGGCGGGAGCATCAAGGAAGAGGAAGATAAGGGCTTCTTCGGAGGCCTGTTCGGCTAGCGACGTCTTGTAGTGCTGATATTGTTCTCGTCGGAAGAAAAATTCGAAAGCAGAAGTGTTTGTGGAGCTCGTCGTGGAGATCATACGAGTAGCCGCAGCGGTTCGCAACATCCTTTTCAGCAGATCTATCCGATAATTTTCTTTTTGCCCGCCTACCTTTCCGCTTCCCCCGATAGTTGTTCTCCCCTATTTTGACTCCGACTTGTCACCGTCCTCTTTTGCTTTTTACGCCAGTTCCTGCTGTGCCAGCTGATTTTGGAGGAAAACGGTCATCTCTCGCTTCTTTCATGATCTTGATTCCCAACCTCCATATGACCACCATTGTCTTCACAGGGGAAGCTTTGGAGGCACAGATCGAGAAAATGAAGAAGGACGCTGCGGCGCAGCTCGAGGATGGAGCTGCCCGTGGGTCCGTCGAGATCGAGGAGTTGACTGCGCGTTTTCAAGCCGAAATTGAAGGCTTGAAAACACAGCACGAACAGGAACAGGCGGATGCCAAGGTACTTAGTTATGCAGTGTCTTCTTGTTCGTTGTATAATGCGATAATTGCACGCCATTTTTAGCATGATCGAAAAAGTGCAGTTACATGAACAGATGTCGTGGTAGTTCACCCTCTTGCAGCTTTATTCTTTTCAGTGGTTATTCTTATCTTGCAGTATCATTAGTACGGCCTACGTATTACAAAAAAAAACTCCAGCTCGCCGCAGCGCACGACCGTTCTGTGCTAGAGGAAGAGCACGCCACTGATCTTCGGGAATGGCGCAAGAAGCGTGATGAACTGCTCGTTTCCCTGCGGAAAAAGGACGAGGCGGTGGCTGAAATCAAAAAGCAGCTGGAAGACAAAACTTCGGAGTTGGACAAAACACAGCAACAGCTCGCGATGACAGAAAGCAACCGAGACCTTGCAGAGAAGCAACTGTCCCTGCAGAAGAGAATCACCACTGAAAACCACTTGCAGGCGAAGGAAGAGATCCAAAAAGTTGAGTACGCCCACCGCAAAGCGCTTAGCCTGGACAGCAGTGATGCGCTGGCGTACCGGCGCGAGACAAACGCGAACGACTTTTTGGAGATCAAGCTGAGGATGATAAGAAACGAAAAATCCGCTTTGAGGACTCGGACTCGGAATGAAAATCCGAAACCGTTGTACTCTTCCGCGAGCACGGCGACACTGTCATCCACAACTTTGAGCACCTCCATGTCCGCCCCGGGGCTCGCACAACAACTCGCAACCAGCCCAGACCCGGAGTTGTTTGAGGCAAGCATCAGCAGTCCAAGTGCAGTAACGCGGAAAAAGCTCCTGCAGAAACTGCTGCAGAATGCGCGCATTTGAGGAAACAAGGCCGGAAGAAGCATCATCCCGATAATCGTTTGTTGATGATCATGAAGATCTCCTTCTTGCAGCAGCAACTTGACAGAGCTCGCTGAGAGCGCAAACGAAGAGCGAAAGCCTGGGCCGCAGGAGATCCGCATGCAGCCGGTGATATGCAGGACGATGAGCAACCGCAACATCAGTCATTCGACGGGCACGAGTCCAAGAACGAGGAAGCCAGTGGAGTGTCCCAAGGCGGAGCAAACGTTTCCCGTCATCAAGTGAGCGAAAGTCTGAGATTGTATTCACAAGGACGAGCAGCTGCACCTGCGCACGGCCTGCTGGCGAGGAAGGAAAGAAAAAGACTGGCTGAGAAAATTAAGTAAAGTACTTCGACCGTTCGACACTGCGCTTCTACCTTACTTAGGACCTACCACATTATATTACACTTCCGCTTTACGAAAAGTATTTCGACGAACAATATTATTCAATCATGTAAAATTGCACAGCCATCTCGTAAATGTTTCAAAACAAGGCGACATACTTACGTCTCAATATTCAATCGAACCGTTGTAAAACGAAAATTTAGGAATCGCCATAAGTATCGTAGCAGATGATCTTCTCCTTCGAAGGGGACTCGGTCCTCACACTTGGGAAATGTATATGCAGAATAGGCAGCTACTCGCAATCGTTTCACTACGTGCCGACAAATTTTGCTCTTCTGTATTTTACAGAGACCAAAGTAAGCACCACGTAAACTAGGACCTTTTTCCACCATCTGCATCCACGAGGAGGCTCGTAGTTCAAGTGATAATTTGTTCTCGTTTAATTATTCGGTAGCTAATTTCTTCGGGTCCGCTCCGTGAGAGTATTTTCATTTTGCGTCACGAGTGAGCGAGAGCGATAAAGAAGAACCACGAAAATCCTTTCTTGCTGAGAGACCTGGCTTCTAGTTCGCGCTGGTGGGTTACTTATTCTTTATTGCTTTTATCGTTGTTGGCTTTCCATTAAGTTTAAGATGTCGACACATGTAGTTTCGATGAAAATCATTGACGAACGTAAGTTATGAGTTGGCTTGATGTCAGTGCAACTATCAGGAGAGCCAGTAGTTGCGAAAACAAAGTCCACATGCTCTTTCATTCGGTCGTGCGATAGCGATTTTTTTGATAGAGAGGATTGCCACGACGAAGCCTGCAGTGTCGCACGCGACTTCCTCACGCTGGCAAAGCTTCTACGGAAGTGGTACTAGAGTCGGAGTTTTTAGTTTGAAGATCACCAGGATCATTTCAAGATGAACAACCAGCCAAGCACTTCCCGGCCTTCGACCAGGCCTTCTGGAGGAACATCTTTCCACAATTCAACTGGCAACCCGGCGGACGTGCTGGAGCAGCACCGGGCGTTCAAGGAGAAGCTGCGGAGCTCGGACTACGCGGACATTTTCAAATCCCGCGGGATCGCGTTGTCGCCAAAGAAGGAGCGGGTGCCCGCGGCCTTTTCCATCACCAACAAATCGAAACTTCTCGCAGGCGGGGCCGCGTTGAGGATGGCTAGTAGCACTACGGGGGAGAAGATGAAGAGCAGCGGTAGGTGTACAAATGCACCTGTTAGGACGACGAGAGCAGAGCAAGTAGACCCAGAGCAGGAAGAACCTGCCATGGATAATTCCAATCCAGCGTTTGTTTTCACCACTGCCAAGGTGGCGTCAGACTGCGCAGTCTCGTCGCGACCACTATGTGAGTGCACAAGTCCCCCTCCCCCTCGTTTGTCATGCAAAATACCCTATCCACCCATTGCCCCTTGGCACTGTTTGCATGACAAGTTCTGGCAGCCCCAATAGAACTACACTCCAGTGCAAATTTGTCATGCAAAACCGGCATCCTTGCTGATGCCTGTATTGCTGTTCATGCAATACAAATGAGGGGGAGGGGGAGTTGTGCACTCTCATAACCACGTGCGGACGACCAGAAGCCGCCGCATGTAAACGTGACCGTTGTCCCGGCCGCTGGGAACAAACGGGCGAGTCCAGTGTCATCTTCGAGTTCAACTACATCTTCGACGGGAGGGAATATTAAGGCTGGGTCATTCGCAACTTCTTCGAGCTCATCTTCATCCAGTGCAGCAGCAGGAGGAGCAAGCACGAGTACCGCAAAGAGGAAGACGACAGGGCTGAATCAGCATCCACGACCAGTACCAGCCTCTTCCCCTTCCGGCATTCCCCACCCCCCTGTGATGAGCATCCAGGAATTTATCGATGAGGAACAGCAGGAACAAAACATCCCCATTGACTCGGATGAACTCGACGCGAAAGCGCTGCTGGAACAGTTTCGGCTGCGGGAGGAACAGCGCGCCCAGGAGGTCATTCACGACAAGTTGAAGAACTTTTTTCGCGAACGAAAGGACGGGTCCGGGCAGACGCCGGCCCCGCACTACGCCAGTGGAGTGAAAGTGAAAACAACGATTGAAACTACGTCGAAAAGAGGATCAGCTACTGAATCTGCTTCTTCCAGTAGCTGCGCGTCCGCGTCGTCAGCCGGAGCTGCTCCTGCGCCCGGCGAAGAGGGTCCCCGTGTGGTCTCGTCGTCAACATCTAAGGGCCCCGTCTCATCCCAGGAAGTCGTGGACGACCTAGTTCTTAGCCCCAGCACGAATTCGAGCCACGAAATTGTCGAGAACTACTTTAAGGGCCCGGGGAGTACAGAGTCCAGCAATAAGTCTTTGAACAAATCGAATCCAGCCAAAGCCAGTCCGGAATGGACGCCCAAGATGAAAAAAGGACTCAACAGCGGGGCGATAGTCGGGAGAAAACTGCCCATCGGCGTGCAGCCGTATGAGAGTCCGACGAAGGAGGTGCATGGAGTTGGAAATTCGAAAAGTAGTTCCTCTTCATCGACCCCCTCGCACTCGCTGCAACTACTACACGCGCCGCCGATAGTTCGGATCAATCCACCGCCGCGGACGAAAGCGGTTGGGTCGCCCGAAGCGAGGAGATGGAAAACCAGAAACGGGCCAAGTAACACCACTGCTGCTGCTTCGAACACACTTCGTGCCTGCACGTCCCCGAGTTCTTCGAAGGGCACAAGTAACAGCTCGCCGTCCAGTGTCGGGAGTAAAAGCAAAAGGAGTAACATGTTGAACACGGCGAAGGCGTCCTACAACAGCACTAGCAATAAAGCCTCGAGCGGGGGCCACGACAAGGACATCAGCAACTCTCGCCTGTCCAACCCCCGGAACAAAAACCCGCGAGCTAGTCCGACGAAGGAGAAATTCTGCATCGTGGCACCGAAAAATGGCTACGGGGGAAGTCCGCCGCCGGGGTTCAAGAAAAAACGGTCTTCTGGAGGATATGGAGTTCTCAAATGTTACATTCTCAACAACTGTTACATGAATTTGTAATTGCAAGAATGGCAAAAGACAAAGAAGGGAGGCTACACCTGTAGCATTACAAATTCCGCACAGTTTCAGGCGCTGTTTAGCCTTTTCAACATTTGTCATGCGAAGTAGCTTCATTGTGTGGATGTTGATGCTCATTTTGCATGGCAAATCATGTAACAGTTGAGAATGTAACGCTTGAGAACACCTCCATAGAGGAGGAAATACTTCTTCGCGGCCCCCGTCGGAATCCCCACCGAGAAAGACGCAGCCGGTGCCGATGGCCGACACTAGTACACCCGCTGAAGATCATGAAAGTGAGGAGAGAACAAAGGCACCAGGCGATAATGTGCAGCCGGTAGTTAGTGCTGAAACTACTCCTCTTTCTCGGGAGCTGCATCTAGATCTAGATGGACATCAAGAACCAGACGCACCCAGCGGCGCTGTTGAGCAAGATGAAATCAGACAGGAACTACAACGACACGAGGGCGAAACACAAGACCAGCAGGAGACTGATGTTGCAGTAGAGACGTCTCCTTCAGTAGAAGTAGCCGATTCTGTCGCGACCTCCGTCGAAGCGAAGATCAAGACAAAGCAGGAACACATCACGGAAAATCGCATCGAGGACGAGGACGATCTACACTTCGAGGACGCGAGTGAATCCCTGTCTCCGGAACCCTCCACACCCGAATCGGATAGCAACATCGTGCCGAAAAAATTTACGCCGTCCGACGACTTGGCAGCTACTTTTTCGGCGAAGCCCCGCGTTCTAGAGCCGGAACTCGAGGAGGTGCAACAGAACAACAGTCGCGAAGGCTCATCCGTTGCTTCAGACATCAGTGCGGAAGATTGCGCTGTGATAGAAGAAGGAGGCGCAGCCGGTACTACTCAAGACGCGAAAGGATTCCGAAGTGCTGACGCAGTCGGTCCGCAAGAGCAAGAGGAGAAGGGGAAACCTCTGGAGCCACACGACCCCGCATGCAGTTCATCTGAGGTTTCAGCACCGCTTTTTTCTGACGCTACATCTGCTGCGGAAGATGAAACCTCCGCACCGGCCTCTTCATCCACAGTTCCAGTAGACGCACCATCGAGCTCTGCTGGAGGTAAGCAAGCCCCAAGTGGTGCAAGCACCTCCGCGCAGTTGTCATCTGTAACTGCACCGACGAGCACATCAACAGACACTGCGGATGAAACAATCAGTACGGACCAACAGCCAGTAGAACAGCTTCCTGATGAACTACAACAAATCGAGGCTGAAGCCGAGCCGTACGACGGTCCGGGCCTTTCGAAGCGGTTGCAGGAGCAGATGGCAAATCCGGTGCTGAAAGAGGAAGAAACGCTTTTGCACTCCCTCCGCACGGAGGAATCGCAAGCGAGGTCCGTCCAGAGCTACCGGGTCGCGATCCCGAAGGGCAGCAAGCCGGGGACGCAGTGCGCCTTCAAGGGAAAACTGGGACGAAGAATCGTGTTTACGGTACGTAGGAATTTCAATTTGTTGATTGTTCTTTTTCTTCGTCTTTTTCTTTTACTTTTTGTTTTTCGTGCTTGTAGACTTAGAGTTAGATTGCTGATCGACCCACCGATGTTGATTCATCTTGCATGAACGTGCAATGCGAATGCGATTTTGTCAAAAATGAATCGCAACCCACCTCCAGGTGCCTGAAGATCCAGATACGAAGTACGTTACGCTACATGTTCCGCACCTCCAGAGGCCTTCTTCCGAAATTCGCAGGGTATGTTGTAATTTTTGGTCAATGCAATAAACACCAGATCTTTATATCGATTCTGCATGTCTAGGTTTTCCTTTGCGCTATGCGTACGTGATGCCATCGTGCGTCATGTTATGCACCACGGTGTGACAGTCTATCACATTTCTTGCGTGCAAGAGCGTCGTGTATAACATTACGCTGCATGTTGTTGCGGTTTTCGATCTGTTTGGTTTTTAGCCGTGCGGCTTTCGTTGATGATCTTCTTTCTACACGATGATGCTCTTTAACTTTCAACATCAATCATTTTGTTACTTCCAAAACAGAGCTGGTCGACCTTCCTCAAATCTCCGATGCGCAAGCAGGATGAGGCAGCCACCGCGGTGATTACGCAGCACCGGCAGGATATCTACTTACAGATGCGTTCGAACTTCGGAGGTGGACCGGTGAATCTACCGGTAGTACCGGAAGGCGAAACCGAGGGCAGCGAGCCCGACGCGGTGGAAGAAGCCGGGGGCTGAGAGGACTCGACGTTTTTGCAAAATGCCGACCGTCGTCAAGATGCTGATTCCTTTTTCAAGTCGCCGAGCGAATCTGGAACAATTCGTGCGGCAAAATAAATGATCATGGTTGTTCTTGTAGTTAGGTACGACTACGACCTTCATCCAGATGTTGAAGCAGCAACATGCAGATGGACGGCATCGTCCGGTATCGCAGTTGTTGGCGCGACAAATTACAACGTCAAACTCATAATCAAAAATCAAGAGAAAACAAGATTTCATAAACCAGCCCTCTAATATCTGAAGACGATAATTAGATTCACGCTTGCATTTGCAAACTTGCAAAAGGTATAAAGTTTGTTGAGATTAGTTAAGATTCACAAGCTGAGCAGCAGAAAATATTTTAATCACCGAAGAAAGTCTATGTCTAAGTTAAAGTCTGAGTCGCCTTCACAACTATCACTTTTCGTTTTCTCCCAGATGTAAGTAGACTGTTTTATCTAGATTCAGAGCCATAATTCCCCATACTTTTACAACTTGAAATTCGTACCACTTGCCACGACAGTTGAGTTTCAACTATTTGGAAAATCATGCAACAAAAGTTTTTTGATTAGCGCTCAACGCCCGATATTGTACAATTTTCCGAGCGAAAAATCGAGAAAACACGTTCACTACTTGTAAGTTTAAATGTCACAATCAATGCCATGTAAAAAACAAGCCCGATATTTTTAGCAGAAGCGCATCTGCGGTCGTAATATCGCAAGAAACATTTCAGCATCTACCTGTGAAAAGGCTGTTGCAGGCCTTGTATCTACTTTTTTGAAAAAAACAGAGAAGAGCACAGCGCTTCGTCTTGGGACTTTGATGAATAGCTCGAGCCGATCCGGACGATGCTGTGGAAGTTCCTTCACGTCTTCACCTCTCGCCTGTGAAGAGTGTGGTGGCTGAGCGGGCCGCCGTGGAAAGAGAGGCTGAGAGATGTTGCTTCGAGTTTAAGCTGTCGTCGAAGCTCTCTTGGAGAGGAGCTCCTCATCTGGAAGCACTAATTTACTTTGAGTGAAGCAGCTTGAGTTTTGTCAACCGCCCGCGTGGTCTGAAGTGCATCTACCTCACAAAAATATTTTTCCAAAGGCGGCGCGTCGAGCGCGTTTCGACGCATATTGACGTCGCATAAAAGAAAAAGAAACCTAAAAAAGGAACCAGTACGAAGTAAGGTGGCTTTACTTGCTCTTCTAATTCTTGAAAATAAATGTCTGCCGCGGGTGGAAGCATTGGGAATCCTCGTTCGGCTTGGAGTGGCGCGTCTTCAGTTTCCGCATATCAAGCCAACATGTTGCACCAACGAGCCAAGCCGAGCTCGGCGAGCAGTTCGAGCAAAAATCATGTGCCGTCCGGCGCGCCGCCGATCAGCCAGCGGAAATACATTGCGGGTTTCGAGCCCTTTGTGCAAGCGTCCAAGTTGATCAAAGATATCGGTCACTACAAGGAGACACGCGATAAGGTAGACGCCTTTGAGTGCGAATTCAAGGGGAAGCCGGCGATTTCCTTTCAGCTCAAACTGGTTATCGCAACGGGGATCGCAGTGCACTTGATTTTGTCGTACTTTTACTTTTTTGGATAATATGCTTTCTGCTGTTATTGCCAAGAACTTTGATGCATCAACTCAAGAGTACTACGTGCTGCTGCTGCCTGCAGCTTCTCATACCGAATCGTTCTTCTTCCCGGCCGCGGTGCACCAAGTCCTCCAATGCTCTCATGATGAACGTCAATCTCAACCAAAATAATCAGATTCATCCGATGGCAGCGGGATCCCGACCACTTCACCTTCTACGAGTGGGGCCTAGGACGAAAGGATTCAGTACTGGATTTGTGATCCTACTTTTCCATCTGTTGTTGCAGCACAGAAGACAAGCTGACGCCCAGTGGAAATGTGAGGGCGTCGAAAAGGCACTTACTATACGTGAGAAAAGATGCGGCTGTGGTCAACTGAAAGAAATGTTTGTAGTGCCACTGCCAGCGCGCGATGATGATGTTGAATGGATCTCATACTCATTCTACCTCTACGCTGTGACTTGAGCAGGACGAACGGATGGAGGATGCGTTATTTGTGTCTGGACTCACTACAACGCATTTTACTACTTTCGAAGAATTGATGAAGAAATGCCACCTCCTGCAGCACGCCTAGTCCTAGAGCAACAGCACGACACGTCATTCCAAAGTGCAAAATTGATGCAAAGTTGTGAGGTTCTTGTGCGTTATTCTGATTTCTGAAAAGAATGTCGGTAGAAGATGCCGCACTAGACTAGCGCGTCGGCTTGGTGCTAATGCTATCAACGTTTGTCGGTCATCAATGTCGGTCAACCTCGTAGCTTATTTGGTGCCTGCCTTATCGCGTAAGCACTGTTGATGTAAATATGACGAAAATTATCTTCGTCACCAGATGGCCGCAGACACAGGAAACTTCAGGGCTTGGGCAGCTGCTGCACCACTTTTGCGACGCTTGAACTTGAAATGCACTTCGACTATGTACAGACCTTGATGCAAAAGTTAAAGTAGCACTCTCCACTTATTGTGGAGTACCTGCCTTCGACGCCCTGCGATTTTTTTCACCAAGTGGCGTCCAGTACTTATTTTGGTTCGTGAGCATCAAGGTGGCACAGCACAAAAGTATTCTCGAAAATTATCAGCTCGGTTCTGGCGTCGATGTCGATCTTCTTGTCGTCTTCTGCGTCGTGATCTTTTCGCGCGCGTCACTATTGCGATCTTCCGCGGGTTATGTTTAAACGGTGACGGTCTCGAAATGACGGACGAATCTGAAGAGTCGTCGCCCGGGCTCGTCCACACGACCACCACAGGGGAACCACGGGGGAAGAAACTGCATGGTGAGGACACAACCCGTGGTTCGAGTTCGTCCCGCTTCGGCGCCGAGCCGGGTAGCGGTAGCGCAGCGAGCAGGAGGAATTCGAATTACCTCGAGCCGACGTTAGACACCTCATAACGAATTGCTTCTCGTGCGCGCCACAGAACTACCCAGTAGTGGTTTATTACCGACGAGCGGCGACGAAACGGCTTTTACAATTTTGCTGTTGGTCGCGTTCCTGCAGAGAGATGAGTCTGCAGGTCGTAAAGTCGAGAGCCATGCTCCGGCTCTGCAGAAGCAGATGCTTTGCCTACTGCCGGCGTTTCGTTCTTTTGCCATTTCTCCTCTTCTCACCGGCCTACCGACGGGGGGTTTTGGCGCAGCTCCAAGCCGGCGGTTCCCCGGTTTGTCCCTGTATCGACCCCGTGGCGCTGGGGAAGGTCGTGCCCGATAACGGGACGCTGTCGTATACAAGCGGCGGAACGACGTGAGAACAAGAAGTTGCTTTCATCTCCTGTAGTACTACTGACTCGACGTGGTTTCATCTCTGCTGAGGCGCGTAATGTTGACTGTTGATCCTTTCGTGTAGTCGTGTAGTTGGTGCAAAGACGGTGCAGGAGCGCAAAAAAGATTCGTCTGTCACAAGAGAACGACTCTCACTTTCAATATCTTCATTCAAGGTACACCCTAAAACAAACCTACGGGTCCTCGTGTGACCAGTGGGATCTGGGCAGCACGCATTTCGGGGACGTTGTATATTCAGGATGCAACGGCAACCCCGCAACCGATCCGGCGTGGTGCCACGACAATTGGTGTTATGTGGATCCCTGCGAATGTGCCATGGACGACGCAGAGCAGACTGGCCTGTTTGCCACCCAGTTCCCGGACACCGCAGTAAACCTCGCGTACAGTTACAAAACCTGCGCCCAGTGCCACCGCAGAATTTCTTCAAATACCTGCCAACTCCCCGTCGGTCCGGATACACACAGCAAGTGTCAATGGGACTCCGTGAATTCCAATTGTACGGAGAAGCAAAACAGCAACCCGGCCTTGTCTGCCGCCGCAATCAGCTGCGCCGCCAAAACCGAGGACACGTGCGGCGGGCAGATGAATCTGAACTGTCAGTATGACGCCGCATCAGCGACCTGCAGCCTGGCGACGCAGGAGCAGCGGGAAAGCGGCTGGGGCTGCCCGTTTCCGAAGAGCGGCGACGATCGGTGCAAATGCCTGAGTCCGAAGGAGGTGGGGTTCTTACCCGCAGCGGCGTTCGACGCGAACAACCAAATCGCGTACACGAGAACGTCGGCGGCCGGGACCGTGCGGAATTTGTCTCTCCCCGGGGACTACGGGGCCTACTGCCTCCCCTGGGACCACATGGACACGCTGGGGTTCGATTTTTACGGGTACGACGACCCCTCGACCTGCGGTGGAGACCCCACGGCGGTGCAGCCGCACTGCAAAAAGCAATGGTGCTACGTGGACCCCTGTTCCTGCGACATTGGGGTGATCAGTCAGACCTCCATGTTCGCAAGTCTCTACCCCACCGCCCAGGGCCTGGCCTACTCCTACGCCCCGTGCGCCATGTGCAACCAGCGAGGGATGTCCAGGAAAAAACACCCATCCCAATCCATTTTTTGCATGACAAGTACTGGATTTTATACGTTTTTTGCATGACAAATTGGATGGGGATGGGTGTTTCTGTTTTTTCCTCGATAAGGGACGAAGGCAGCATGTGAAGCGAGCTTGTCCTGTATGAGGGTGCACAACTCCCCCTCCCCCTCATTTGTCATGCAAAACCCTAAATCCAGTCGTGTCGCTTCCCTGTACCTTAGTTTGTATGAAAAATTTCGAAAGCCCAAACAGTACTATAGAAGCTGCATGTACAAATTTGTAATGCACAAGCTCCAGGTCCAGGGTCGACGGCGTTTGTACTGCTGTTCATGCTATACAAATGAGGGGGAGGGGGAGTTGTGCACTGCCACTGTCATATCCTGTCGCTGGGACGCCAACGCAGAATTCTGCATGGATGCCGTGGACGTATTTTTTGAGTTTTATATCTTGATAGGTACGTAGAGGAAGCTGGAAATAGAGTAGGCTTGTGTAGCTTTTTGGATGTTCTCTCGTTTTATTCGCTGCTGCAAACCGCTCCCGATACGAATGAATGTGTATGAATGCGAGGACAGACCACATTACCATCGTGGCAAAAGAAAAATTTCGAGTCCCTGAAGATATTTATCAACCAACCACCCCAGACCACGGTCGCTGCCCAGGACTGCGCGGCGCGAAGCCAAGCAAACTGCGGCGGCGTGGCCAACAAAAACTGCCTCTGGGAAAACGGGCAGTGCAGCTTGCAATCGTTGGACGCGATTAAGGCGGCGTTTGGATGCGGGTACTTTTTCCAGGTCCCGGCCGTCGCCAACCCGCCGAATTCGCGGTATTACTCCTGTTCCACGCGCGTCGGGGAGTACATTTACTACTTCGGGGGTAGCGGCTCGGACGAGCTCTGGCGGTTGAACCTCGGGCTGAATATTTGGGAAAGACTCGTCAGTACCGATGACACAAGAACCCCGAAGGGACGGACGGGGTGCGCGTTGGTGTATGACCCGAAGGGAAGCGTTTTATACCTGTATGCCGGCCAGGACGAAAACGCGATGCAGTTAGACGACTTGTGGAAATTCTCCCTCGCCTCGACCACGTTTGGGCTGTGGATCGAGGTGAACACGGGTGTTGCCGCAAAGCCGAGTCCACGGCATCGACCCGCGCTTGCGCTGTACGAGGGACCCGGCACCAGCCCTGAGGCGAGCCACAATTTGCTGGTGCTCTACGGCGGCCACAGCCGCACGGTGCAATTTGCAGACTGGTGGACGTTCAATACCACGACGGAGGCCTGGGCTGGTCCCGTTTTCGCCGGGGGCCCCCTGATCGAGCCGCGGGCGGACATGGAATTACTGCAGTACGACGCCACAACGCTATTCGCGTGGGGCGGCACCGCGTACCCCAATTCCGTGGCGGATTACGATTCGGGGTTCATGATCGATATGACGCCCGGGTTTGCGTCGTTTCTACGACGGTACTACGTGAACATCACTGCGGACCCGGTCGTGCTAGCCCGCGCAACCGGCTTTGCAGCGACCTCGGGTGGGAAGCCGACGGCACGGTACTTGACCGGTATGGTGAAATACGGTGACTACGTGTATTTGACGATGGGGTATTCGTCCGTATCGGGCGCGACCTTTCAAGACACCTGGGCGCTGCAACGGACGGATACTTTATCCTCCACCGCGACAACCAAGGGAAGCTACCAGTGGGTCTCGCTCCTGGATGAGGACGCCAGTTGGACTTCGGGTAATCACACACTCCGCGCCGCTTTGGCCGCTTCGTACTCCGGGGATGGCTGGACGGGGATGGCGGTCAGCGCCTTCAACGACCGCCTGTATCTCGGCGGAGCGTATTGGAGCCCGTTAGGGTCTTCGAACGCGGTCAGGTTCTTGGAGATCAAGAATAGTAGTAGCTTGACGAATAACATCGGCTCGGTGTGGGGCACGGACTGCCGGGCGGCGCAGGCCGACAGCGCGAACGCGACGAACTGGGCTGTTTTACCAAAATACTGTCGCTGGCAAACGGTGCACACCAAGGTCGCGTCGCCCGCGCCGCGCAGGAACCACGGAGCCGTGGCATTGGTTGGTTACCTTTACGTGTTCGGCGGACTGGGAAACGCGGGGGCGGAGTTGGCCGACATGTGGCGGATGTCGCTCATGTCGAGCGGAGCTGCGCCGACTACCTGGGAACCGGTTAGAGCGTTTTTAGATTTTCATTTTTCTTCGTGTTTTTCATTCTTTCTCTTTCATTGGAGCTAGTTGTGAATGTGGTCACAACCTGTGAAGACTCCTACAAATAAAACAGGTAAATCCCTCTTCCTTGGGTCGTGCCAGCAACTCGCCACCGGCTCGACAGCATGCGCTTGTCGTTCGGTGGGAGTACATGATGTTTATACACGGCGGGTGCCGAAACCTTCCCGGGGCCAGCAGCTGTGGAAACTCCGGGGGAAGTGACGCAACCTACCTAGACGACGCCTGGCTGTACGATCCGATTTACAACAAGTATGTGTCCTTGGGATCGACCCCGATCCCCCTTGCCCGCGCGTGCGGCGCCGCTATTGGGAGTTTTGTGTACATTTTCGGCGGTGTGACGTCTACCGGGGCGAACGATAAACTCTTTCGCTTCTACGTCCGGGGAAGGCGGTGGGAGCAACTCGCCACGGGCACGCCCATTTCAGATTGCGCGATGGTGCCGCTGCTACAAGCCGGGTCCAACACGCTTCTCAACGGCAAAATCGCAATTCTGCTGGGCGAGACCACCGGACAAAGCTCGCCAAAGCTGGCGCAAGTCTTCGATGCTTCGTCCTTGAGTGCCACGAACTTGGCGGCCGTGGTGCTGAGCAGGAGATTGGAAGAGAGGGGAAATAAGAAGCGAAGATCTTCTACTTTGCGGGAAGTTTTTGAAAGTAGAAAAAGAACGCTGTCTACTAAGCGGGAAGAGTTATCAGAGCCCTCTGAATCGTCCAAGTCCACCAAAAAAGGTGCTGCCTGGCGAGTACTAGAGGGCGAGGATTACAACGACCTGTCGGTGCCGGTGAGGGATGCTGGTAATCTTGACGAAATTCCTTTTCCAGCAAGCGAGACACGGTTTCTCCGCCGCCGAGCAGGGCCTCCAAGAGCAGGGTTCGTTTCGTTTGGCCAATCTATGATGAGGCAGGAATCACCTGGAAGTGGTCCTGCTCGCGAAGCAGACGCAAACTCCGCCGCGGACGACGAGGAGGACAATCACCAGCATCTTCGAGCCGACCCCCAGTTGTTTGTGTATGAGGAAATAAACCGGCTCGATGGCCGTGCCCTGTTCGAACATATCGAGAACGACATTGCCCTTCACGGCCCCCGCGTGCGCCAACTCACGACAGCGACGGGCGGTATTTCGAACAGGAAGCACCTCGAGGCGGGGACGACAAATCTCCCTACTCTGACGACAAACTCGTGGCCGACGTTTTCCGTGGACAGCGAGATTCCCCGCGGGCAGATGGCCTACGCTTCGGTGGGAGACTCCGTGTACTTCTTCGGCGGAAAAATGTGGAGCACTTTGTACGTTTCGGAGAGTAGCCAGGTGCTGCAGCTGAAGCTAGACCAGGAAACGGGAGCGGCTGTCAACGCGTCTTTGGTGAGCAAGTGCCCGACCGTGGATATGGCGTTCTCAAATGTTACATTCTCAGCTTTTGCGTGATTTGTCACGCAAAAAGAGCATCACCGTCCAGCTCACACGGCGAAGCTACTTCGCGTGACAAATTTTGGAAGGCTAAACAGCATGTGCATGGGAATCTGTGCCGAATTTGTAATGCAAGAGTTGCACGCCCCGGCCTTTCCCTGTTGCCATTCTTGCATTGCGAATTCATGTAACAGTTGAGAGTGTAACAATTGAGAAGCCCATATCGGACGGCTTCTGCTTTGCAAACCCACTTTCCCGGGCCGGCAAGGTGTTCCAGATGACGCAGCTGAAGGCCGTGCACCACGATCGGAGGTTTATTCTCTTTGGCGGCGAGGTCGACGGCCAGGCAACCAACGCCATGTTCACTTTTGACGTGAACACGGTCACGGAAAGCGCCACCATCTGCTCGCCCGGGACAGAGCGACAGGTGTATGCACTGCAAAAGCATCGCACTCGTATAAATGCCAGACTAGCAACATGACCACAAATCTGGTCTCTTAGGTAATTTAGCTGCATGACAAAATTTTTAAAATTTTTCATGCTGGATGCAGTTTATACTATGAGCGGAGTAACAACTAAGCCAACTAACTCGGCTCCCCGAGTTAGTCACCCGGCCGGCCGAATCCGGGCGGCCGGACGACTAACTCGGGATTCTAAGCGCGAAAGTTTTTCTATATAGCGACTCTGGGGCCGACGACTTCCGTCAGAGGTGTGTTTTGAAAACGTCCTGGCAACATATGCAATTCGTGCGGTTTTGTGCATAGTTTTTGTGCTTTCATTAAAAAACTAGCTTCAGAAGTCGGAAAGCGTGTAAAGTTGTTGCGCTTCGTAAATGTTAGCTTCACGGCAGGGAATATCTCGTCGTGACAAAACAGGCAGACCGCCTGCGTTGCAAAGAAAGCGAAAACGCTGCCCCGCCGACTTTCAAAAAAGACCCCAAGCGCACAAATAGCATGCACAAAAGCACACATCCTCATAGGGAATTCCGGCTGTCACAGACTGCGCGATCGTCGGCCCTTGCCAGCACGAGTTGCCTGCTAACTAGTGGTCGCCACGAGTTACCTGGCTAGGGAACTCGTGCGCGGCGACCAGTCTCGGTCGCCCGAGTGAAAAACTTTCGCGCTTAGAATCCCGAGTTAGTTGGCCTAGTTGTTACTCCGCTCTATTGCGATGTTTTAGATTTTGCAGTGCATAAGGTGAACGCGTTAACAAATCGCGTCATGTGCACCGCTTGCGCGGCTGGCAAATACAGTGCTGATGGCGTGACGTGTCTCCCCTGCCCCGCCGGGACGGCGAGTGCTGCGTTGGGGCTGGCTTCCGCTCTGGGGTGCGTGAGTTGCCCCGCTGGCACGTACAGTGACACTGTGGGTGCAACTAGTTGTAAGCCGTGCGACCATGGTGCGCAAGTGTGTCCGATCGGCAGCACCTCCAACCCCAGTGCGGGCCTAGGACCCATGCCGGCACGCCCGTCCTTCACGGGCAGCGGTGCGACGTGTGCCGTCTCACCGGTGACAGTCACTCCGCCGGAAGCGTATAGCACAGCGGAGGAATTGCTTGAACAGATACAAAAGTACTAAATTTCTCTTTCATTATGATTCATTTGCGATAAAACTTTGTCATCACCTGGCACTGCCCTTACACTATCACGTTCTGTTTGCTCTGAGGAATCGCATTCGACTGAATGTTGTATTACTTGAACGTATATGATAAACTGATTTGACGCCGGCGGTGGAAGCAGTATTGTAGCAAATCCCAACATGATCATGATCATGATTCAACATTTATTTATTTCAGCTTCGTCCTTGCGACCGGTTGCGTCATTTTCTTCCTCGTTCTCATCTCTCTCTATGCCGCGTACGCCGTGAAAGGCGGAGATTGGGTGCGGCACCGGTTTACAAAGTTCGATTTTCTCTTTTCCACAATTCTCGCGGACAAGGACGGGGACAGCCACCCCACCGCTGTCGGCGGGATTGTGACCATTGTTGCGGTGCTACTTTTGCTGTATCTCTGTGGCGCGATGATTCTGGCGCTTTTCCTGGATCCCGTGCGAGAGGAGAAAAAGGTGGTGCCCACCTTCGTAGCCCAGAGCATGTTGGAGGAAGTATGGTTAGAAAAAGCGTCCCCACAGCAAAGTCAAGATGCGATGAGGCATCTGCTACACAAATCCACGAGTTTTGGCTGTTGCGCATGACAAGTTTCTGCGGCTCGTAGTGTAGTCCTGTTTTGCGCTAGCTATTGCAAGAGCCGCATCACAAACGTACTACCTTATCCTGGTTTGGGCATGGTAAATCCCAAAGCAGCATCAGAGAACGCTCTGCATGGGGTTGCGCATGAGAAGCATTAGCATTTACTTATACGCGTGTGCCACTGTGCATGACAACTTTCGGGGGCCGGGGACGTTTTTGCACAGGATAGGAAGCGGGCGACAAGATGGACAAGAACATCGAGGACAAGTTTACCATGTACCTCATCGCGACCGCCCTCGGGTACAACAAGGCTTGCGTGTACAGCAATGTCAACAACTCCTACGCCTGCCACCCCTCGGCGGCAGCTTCGAACCCGTTCTGCGGGGGCGGTGGGTCAACGTCGCTGTTCTGCGAAAAGGAGGTGGAGGTGTCTAACACGACAACCTATCCACAGTAAATTTCCCGTACACGACGCGCAAATGCCGTTTCTGCATCACAAAGCTTCCCTTTAATCCTGTTCGGCATGACAAGTGGTCTGCTCTAAGTTGCTGAAGTTTATTTTGATGCATGTTGTACATGTACGGGAAATTTGTATTGCATACAACCAACTGCAAGATGACCTGGGTATGTAAAGATTGCCAGTTCGGCGTGGGGGACGACCGCATCGTCGATCTGAGCTTCGGCGAGCCGGACGCGCAGGCCACCGGGCTGGTGGCGGAGGTGAGCACGACAAGTTCGATCCCGCCGAAGGACGTGCAAGGCAGCGACGAGTACACTCCGGACACGCTGTCCAAGATTTTGACCACGTTCACGCCGTCGAGCAGGCGGATCTTCAAGGGCATCGACCCGAGCACGCTGAATCTCAAGGCGGTTCCGGCGATCTACACCTTCGGCGACTCCGGGCCGGAGTGGGACGTCATACGCACGGGGTTGCAACTGGAGTACAGCAGCCTCTCCAAGGGGTCGGAGGCCACGGAATCCGAAACCCCGTTCGTCGAGGGACTGCACCTCCGGGTCACGTTCGCGAAGGCGTCCACGACTTTGGTGACCATATCCTAAACAAAACCGTCCCCACCCCAGACTTCTCAAGATGGGGGGGACAAATCCATCAGCTTTGGTTGTTGCGCATGACAAGTTTTGCCCGTAGTGTGATTCTGTTTCGCTTGTTCAGCAGCATCACAGTAGATCTAGCCCATCGCGCTGCTTGGAGCATTACAAAATGCAAAACAAGACTAGAGAATGCATCTAATGGGGCTCCGCATGCGAAGCATTCTGATCATGCAGCTTAGCATGACAGCTTTGGGGTGCTGGGGAAGTTTTTACTCAGGATAAACCAACCGCTTTACGCAGTACGACCTGGAGGTGGTAATCGGTGCGATGGGCGGGTTTGCGGAGATGGTGATCGGCGGTCTGGGCATTTCCGTCCTCGCGCTCGCGCACATGCAGAAAAAGCGCCGTGAAAGGCGCAAGGTTGACAAGACCAAGGTGTGTGTGGTCGAGGTCTGGGCGCAGGCTATGGCGCTCTCAGCTGTTACATTCACAACTGTTACATGAATTTGTTATGCAAAAACAGCAAGAGGGAAAGGGGCAAGCTTGCAAGTCTTGCATCACAAATTTGGTACGGATTTAGGAGTTGTCTAGCCCTTCGATAATTTGTCATGCGAAGCAGCTTGATTGTCTTGCGACTCATGGCCATTTTGCATGACAATTCATGTAACAGTTGAGAGTGTAACGCATGAGAACGCCATACAGGCGACGCACTCAATACAGCCGTTTGACGCGGGCATCGCGATGTACTACTGCCAGCTGCAGCTCGGTATGATATTTTTTCTGTGAGCTTGCCGATGGATGTTCATGTACATGTTGCACCATAATACGTACGATTCATTTAAAATTATTTGCTGTAGTGGATAACGCTTGCGCTACATCAACGACCGGGAGTATGGAGATCTCGAGGAACCACATGTGGGCAACATCGAGCAATCTTCCAGACATGGATGAAAATGCAATTCGTTATAAACATCAGGAACCGAGAAGCAGTTTCGCTACAACGATTTGGATACCGATCTGGTGCAATCCAACGGGGAACACATGATCATGGAGAAAATAGACGAATACTTCCGGGTCGAAGTGAAAAAATCCGATGTGATATCGCATGGCAAATCGAAATCATGATAAAATTTGCGAGGACCATCAGGATTAAGCTACTGATTCTGAATTTCGGAAAGAAATCCGTGTCTGCTGCATCATGTTACTAGCATGCTTGTTTTGCATGATTTTGAAAGAATATTTTGATTTTCGACAAATCAGATGGTTGTTCATATCCATGCTGCTGGACATCAGTACTTATTCCTCCACACAATTATGCAGATGGATTCACATTGTGATTTCGATTTTTCTCCCCTCGCATACCCTGACGTGATCGGATACACCCTGGACGGCATCGATCTGCAAGGCAGGCTAGAGTTCCGGGACACGATGCACAACAGTCTGGTCGCCCAGTGCATGTTTGACCTTCCCGGCGATAAATCCGGGGGTGCGAAGAGGAAACTGCTGGAAAACGCGGGGGCTTTGTCCGACAGCCAGCTAGACGACGCAAAAATGACCCGCAGGTACCACCTGGCACTCCGGCCGCCGGTGCGGACGCAGGCGACCGCCAAGACCGAGCGGCCCGCGCTCACCGAGGTGATGCTGCGGTGCCAAAGGTATGTCGAAAAAAGGGAACTGGACGCGGAAAAGGAAATTGTCTACGGCCCAAGGAGAGCGAAAATGTTGAGACAGGTATCTACTTCGAGTCGAGTCTGCGAAATTGCAGTTTTTTCATTCTTCTTTTTTCGCTCCTGTAAGTGAGAGACAATAGAAGAACTGCCGCAATCGCTCTAGCAATTTTGAAGCGTTCATGATAAGTATGTGCATCTCGCTGACGGTCGCGCTCTACTGCCGAAAGAAACTTCTTACAGGCGACTGAGCTTCCTATGGACGAGACCAAGCTGGTTCGTAACTGGGTCGAAGTGAACACGGCGCTCGTACGCATAACCACGCAGATCGAAGCCCTGACGCGGAAATGCGACGCCACCATTGACGACGCGGCGCTGGCGCAGATCAAGGGCAGCCTGGATTCCCTGCAGCAGGCCCAGGACCTGGACCAGCGGGCTGCCAACGTACTGAACCGCAACAGTATGCTGCTCGCGCGCCAGAAGGAGGCACAGGACGCTGCCGAATCCACCTCGCCGAAAAGCACCGGTGGAAGGGGGTTCTTTGGCTTTGGGTCCTCGTCGTCCTTTCTCTCCTCAGCCACAAGGAAGTCCTCCCCGACGAAGCAGGTCGATAACCTGGACGAGGAGAAGGCCCTGAAGATAATACGTGCCGAGGTGGAGACCCGTTTGCAGAAGGCGATTACCGGCGTGCAGGACCAGATCGACGAGCTGCGCTCCAGCTACGTGGACCGGAGCACCCTGGACCGGGTGATGACGCGGCTAGATGGCATAGAGCAGGAACTGTTTCGTTCCCAAAATACTAAACCATCCTCGCCACGGCGGGCCAGCTCGGGGGTGACCGCAGCGGGGGCCGTGCGGCACCACCGCTCCGGGGGCCGGACGTCCTCGCGGAGCGCACGAACAAATGGCGCGCAGCAAGGAACGGGGGCAACGTCGCAACAAGAGGAAACGAGTGGCGGTAGTGTCTTCGGAAGTTTGTTCGGGTCATTCTCCGGCGGTGGTACTACGAAGGGTGGCGGCAGTGACGAGAGTGCTGCAGCAGCTTCTACAACTACCCAAAGATTTCAACCGCCTGCCAGAGGGTGACTCAGCCAGAGCCGCTCTGGCGTTCTATGTAGTTTCCCGATCATGTCGTCATGACATAAATTCTAATTCAAGGGGACATTGCGACGGGATTTTGCGTTTTTTTTTGAATTTTTTTTGCGCAGCTTCGGTTTGCAAATTTTTTTTCAAGTGCGACGCGTTGGCGTTCGCTTTTGCAACTTTCATCATTATGACCTGATTTGTTTTTCTAATTTGATCATCGGGACACAGTGTCCACTTTGCTGGAGTTTCGAAAAATATTATACCAAAATTAGCGCTAGGTCCTCGAGGCCTGGGAAGAAAGAAAGAAAATTAATGCGCATCAAGATTTTTCCACACACATTTTCGTGTGATGCGAGGCGGGAACTATGGAGAGCCTCTTTACGTTTACGCGGTAAGAGAATGAGACGCACGCTCGATGCACCAGGGGCTGTGCTCAAAACCAAATTGCGAACGCAACAAGCGACTGCAGATCCACCGGTGAATAAGCAGTAGTCGACGCGATTCTTGTGGTAGGCGCAGGTGGTTTCTCCCCCATGTAGTTTTGCGTATACCTAAAGCGATTCAAAAATGGACTCCATCTTCGATATGGTACACGTACAACAGAATGATTTGCCAAGACCTGTATGATGAACATGAACTTGCAAGAATTGTAAACAAAAAGATAAATAATCAGAAGCTCTGCTGGCTAGTAATTGTAGTATGTTGTACCAGTGCGGCCATCAGATGGCCGCAACAAGGAATCCAAAAAGTATGTGTCAAAACTGGCCGCTGTCGCTAAAGTTTCTGTTTGAAATTCACCATATTCTCATCTTGGTCCCGATATGCAAGACTTGATTGAATAATTAGATCTCAAGGTCAAGCTGCAGCGAAACATAAACAGTCGGTTTGGTGAAAATTTCCTCGGTCGTGTGATTTGGAAATACAACATACCAGAATTCGCGAATCCGAATTCTAAATCACAACATTGTTCATGATTTTCTGATGAGGTCTGCTCGGTCGTGCTCGTGCAGATTTGTACTATTGTGAGCAAGAAAAAACTCTTAGGAAGATGATCGATGGGCAAAGATGATCCTATTCAAATCAAAAGGAACGAACACACTAGCGAATAGCCATGATCATGTTGTTTGAGAGTTTGTTTGTCACTTTGTTATGTGAGTTCATTTGTCCTTCTCCACAGCAAAACATACTCCCGCATGAGTTGTACAAAAATCTTCACACCTTCACAAAATCAAAACCTCCCGTAATCTTGCTCAAATAAAGCTAAATAACTCACCTTCTGAGTCTGACTCTGACTAGCCCAAGTTAACTTCTGCAGAACCTTGATTGATAAAATATTGAAGAAAGCTGATACAAGGAGAGCACCGGGACAAAAAACCATCGCGTCTTTCCAGCAGTTCGTTCTCATCCACCCTTTTTCGTTTTCTTGAAAAACCGAAAAATGTCGAACCAAAAAGCGCAGCTCAGTATAACTGGAGGTGCCACCCAGCACTACCACTCCGTTCCCGACGAGTACCCTGCCGCCCCTTCTCGTTATTATGCTGCGGGTCAGGCCCCGACGCCGACTCTAGTTCCGCAGCGCAAGAAGCAGAAGGTGATCTATCTGCAAGAAGCGGCTCCTGCAGCCCGTTCCTCTCCCGAGACTTCCTCGGAGACTCTCCTGCGGGTCGGGGTGAATGTCACCTCAGGTCTTCTGGGGCTTTTCGGCTTACTGTACCTGACGTTGTTGCTTATCGGCTCCCGGATGGACGACGCTCACGTGGCCGGCTGGATGCGCGACGCTATCAAGACGGAGAGTAGTTTCAACTACTCCTTCGTAAAGTACCTCGCCTACGGCTACGGAACGGCGGACAAGGGTCCAAAGGACACGCCGAAACTGCTCACCGATCTAACAACGTTCGTGAAAAACCTTCCCGACCTGCTTCCGCCGGGCGTCCCAGTGCCAAAGGCTCTCGCGGACTTTGCCACCTTTTTACAGAACCTGGACCCCACCGTGTTTACGAATTTTCTTTCCGATATGGAAGCGTCAGGATTGAAATCGTCAGAGTTGAAATAATCTGTGATGCAGAAAAGCGATACAAGCTGGAACCCAGTTTGCAAGTGGCGCAACACAAATGCTGGGAGCATGGAAATTCAATTTGTCATGCTGTTTGAGCAGAGAAGACTGCTTCTGTCATGCTATTTGAGCAGCTCTATCTCACACCCCAAACAGGCTTATAATCGGCCTCAGTTGCCTGCTCTGCAAGACAGGCCCTTTGCATCTAGCATTTTATGCATCGCAAACTATTTCAACTTTGACGATTTCAATCCTGACACTCCCATATCCGACTCGGGCGCCAACATGTTTTCCGTGTCTGTCGCCCAGGTGGTACTCATGTTTGTCCTCGCGCTCGCACTCCAGCTCGCAAAGTGCACGCCGATGTTGAGAAAGGGAAGCATCGTGAAGAGAAAAGGGTTGCTCGTTTTCCTCGTTATCTCCCTCGCGATGCTGTTTACCGCATGGGTGTTGCACATGCTACGGTGGGCGCGCGTGGCGCAGTTGTTCTATGCTGAAAATGACAATGTCTGGTACGGCATTCAGGCCAACGCCCCGGCCCCGGTCTACCCTGCCGACGGCTCGCCGCCAATTATCGATTTCCCCGACTATTTCTTCTTTTACCGCGCCGTCGCCGGTTTCCTGTATGCAAGCCTACTGACCAAATATGGAAACATTCCGACGAAGGAGGATATTCAACAGTTTGCGAGCGGGGACATCGATGGTGACTTCAACTTCCAACTCGGCTCGGGAGCATTGTGGTTGTGCGAAATGTGGATGCCCATCCTAACCATCACGGGATTCATCCTTCTCATCTTGGGCTACTGTAAACTGCCCACGGAGATGAACGCTGTTGCTGAAATCAGAAACAAAGACCTCGACTCAGAAGACGAACACCTGCCGTAGATTTGTTTTCTTTGATTTTACTGAAGATGATGTTGATGTTTCTTTTTGAGGAGTTTTCTACTTAATGGGTCGGTGAACATAAGTCACCAGTTTGATATATGTACATTGGGAGATTTTTTTCGTGAAGCAGGGACACCTACTTGAGCCACGTACTAGTACTATCAAGAATCCGATGGATACAACAAGAGCTGACTGATGCTAGATGAAATGATTTTCATTTTGTTGCTAGCGTAGCGGCCATACCGCAACGTGTACGTGGTGTGCGATGGGAATGAGAGAGTGGGGATTTTATCAGTTTTTCTTGACTTATTTTTAGTAGCGAACTCCGCTTGAGAAACTGCGTTTTTCTTCCACTAGCATGGAACATGTCCTCGCAGGGTGACAAGTTCAGAATACACCACACCATACACTAGTAAAAAGCCGATATTACTTGGATGTAGCTTGCGCCACGATTCAACATTGATGAGTTGATGCGGATGAGGCCAAGTAAAAAATCACTATCAGCTGACATATGAGTAGATCCTTTTCCTTTTATCTAGTAGGCAAAACGAATGCATGGTGCGAGTTGTACCACACAGTACACGCAAGTGCAATTTTCTAAATCGTTACTTTCTTTGCGCATATCAATATCAGTGTTACTGAAAGTTTTTTATCACATTCACAACATAGTAGTGCAACCGAGCAGGATCCTTGACTACAAGGATCCTCGATTGCACTAGGTCCTCGAGGCCTGGGAAGAAAGAGAGGAGATTGCACATCAAGGTGAATGAGTAGTCGACACGTTTCCTATGGCGGACGTAGGCTTCTCAACTCGTTTTGCGTATACCAAAAGCGATTCGATATCGATGGACTCCATCTTGGATATCGTACAGAATCAGAGTCAGTTCTTGTAATCGTAAAAAAAAAAAAAACAAAATAAGGAGACTAGACCACTCCTTTGAGCTGCGACACATATTGTGTTGATGCAGAACCGCGACGGACCTGAAGGGGCTTACGTGATCACTTCAGGTTGGCTGTTCACCAACCAGTCGGGGCGGTCTGTTGACCAACAGAGCCCTAGATTGCATGATGTCGTCTCTTTATCGTTTCGTTATGCCAGTACCCTGGTGCTATCTTGCTTCAGCTTCTTCTTGGTGGAAAAATGATTTTCAAGAATATGGTGTCATTTGTCGTACAAAGTCGTGCTTTCTGGCAGTCGTTCTATCGTTCTTGGTTCTATCGTTCTACCGTTCATGAAGTTGTTAAAGTCGTCCTGCTATTTGCATCACACCCTCATTTGTTATCTTACTTTTGTCTTCGTGTTGTAGTAGTTATGAAAATAAATAGCCATACCGTTGTTCCCGAGAACGTTTTGTAAAGGCGATATTCACCACCGGCATACACGAAATGTTCCACATCCAGCTCCTTTACAGGCATGGAGAACGTCGTTTTTTGCAAAGGTGCTTTTCCCGCCGGCGCACAAGCTTCCCTTGTGCAAAAGAGTACTAACTGCTTTAGCTTTATCGCTAGAGACACAACTAGCTTTATTTGTTTCTCACATAGAATGAATTCACTTTCGTGTGATGTCTCAAAGTCAACTTCGTTGAATGTATAATTTTGTTAGTCTGTAATTTTGGTTGTTGAACAGCCCTAGAGCTAGACGTAGAATCAAGTGGTTTTCATCACATTTGTTCCTGGTCGCCGTGCCGCGAAAATAAAGCACGGCGATGGTCCGGGTAAAAATTTCGTTGCTGCTCGTCCTGCAGAACGCATACGCCAGCGCTGACCGTGCTACAAACCTCGATGAAAATAAAGGCGAAGTGGTCAGCACGGACGCCGTTCGCGCCAAAGAACACGAGGGTAACAAACGAGAAACAAACGCGTTTGTTATCGAGGATATCACCAACGATGATAGCTTCTTCAACTACACCGCATCAAGAACTACTACCAAAAGTTCTCCCACTACCGGTAGTTCCGAGCAGCAGGCAGCCTTGCCCGCCGCCACTTCGTGCACACCCGCGAAGTTTTGCTTTTGGATGCTGGAAGATGGCAAACCCACGCCGGTGTACCTGGTGACTTGGAAACAGCGGATGGATGTGAACACATCGAAAACAACCTGGGGAACAAAGATTGATGTTCCGGTGAGGAATTCTACTTCACAAGAGTCGGATCTTCCCGCAATCACAGTCGGCACGACCGGGTTCCGGGTGAACCGGCTCAGGCAGGACGTGCGGTTCGGCCCCGGTTGGGACCGGCTGCCGATGTACCACGAGGGATTTTACCTGACCAAGATCCCGTATGGAAGTGTCAGGATTGAAATCGTCAAAGTTGAAATAGTTTGCCATGCATAAACTGCAGCCCTCAGAGCGCCTGTCTTGCAGAGTAGGCAAGTGATAGCGAGGCAGATTGTGGGCCTGTTGAGGAGTAGAAACTGAGCACTGCGAAAGTAGCATGACAAAAGGCGTCTTCCTTACCGAAACACCATGACAAACTGGATTTCGGTTCTACCCAAATTTGTCATGCGCCACTTGGACTTTCATCCATTTTATGCATTGCAAGTTATTTCAACTTTGTCGATTTCAATTATCCTGACACATCCATATCCCGCCCGGGCAGCCGACCCCCGACGAGGAGGCCTTCTGGGACGACCCGGCGGGGCCGGACGTGGTGCCACAGAAAAAGCTGACGCGGTGGAAGTTCCCCCCGGGGACGGCCCTGCAGTTGACGATTGATCGCGGGCGGAAGGATATCCAAGAAAAAAACTGTGTATTGTAGGTGTAACTTTCTTGAACTTGAAGGAATAGCATGACAAGTTTTCTCTGCATGACACAGAAAACCAGCTATGCGTAGCTGGTACGTGGAAACACGTACGAAAAGAGCCTCTGATGCATGTCCAGCATGACAGGTGTAAGTGTCTTGCATCGTTTGCAACACAAAGCTACACTTCTTACACAGTTTTTTTCTTTTTATAAAGGAACCCGGGCACGTTTGCATGATCAACGCCTACTTTATCGACGGCAACATGTCCCCCAACCCCGGGCCGCGCAAAGACTACTACTGCGACGAGAAGGACTGGCTGGGGGACCCGTCGGGGCCCATTCCGCCCTGTTGGACCTACCAGATCGTCACCGAGGGCCCCCAGGGCTGGACCGCGGGCGTCAGCAGCCTGGTTCTGATGCGCGACGTGCCCGATCAACTGGCTCCGGTCCGCGGCTGGAAGTGGCCGCGGCAGGAACGGTTACCCGAGGAAAGCACAAACAAGTGCGCAGTCCTGCACCAGCGCGACAGTTTAGTACCGGACGAAACTTTAGTAACTGCGGTCACCGGGGACCACAAGGCGCGGTCGGGCATCACGCAGGACCAGTGTCTGGAGCTGTGCGCGGCCACGCCAAAGTGCACAGAGTTCGTGCACAAGCCGAGCGGTGAGGGGCGGAAAAAGGAGATCAATTGCTGGGGGAAGAATGCAAACGCAGGACCGGCTTCAAGAGAAGATGATGCCACAGGAGGAGATAAAGACTCGAGTTCTACTAGCGCACGGAAAAAAAGTACTGGACGAACTAAAGAACCAACACAGCACCAGTTCCATGTGTACAGCCCAAACACCAACGTGGGTCTCGTGACTGCGGAGTGCCGCACGCACGTCCTGAATACGGTGGTGGCGCTGGACGACGGGCGACAACTGTTTTCCCGGGAAGGCCAGATGCCGTTTGACATGAAATCGCTGCCCTTCGACCCGAGGTGGCACCATTACGACTCTTCAGACTCGTCTAGCACTACCTCCAAATCCAAAGTAGACGGTGACTATTTTCCGGAACGAAAAGCAGGAGCAAAACAACGACAAGCCGCGAACGCCTACTACGCTCGCTTTGACGGTCTTCCTGGACAACCTCTACCGCAGGGGGAGCTCGAGCGAACCAGTTTCGCGCTCCGGGTCGGCGAGACGAAAGATGCGTCCGGAGGCGAATGGAACCTTGTTGGGCCGGATCGTGAAAGCAAGTTCTTCGGGCAAGTGAGAAACGTGCACCACGAGAACGTGCCCGGCGGCGCTTCGTTTTCCAAAGCCACCGAGAAGCTAGCGGACACCGGGGGGATACTGACCTTTCATTTCCACACGCCAAATACCTATTGGGAGTACAGACGCGGCGCGACAAAGCGTGTAGATTGGGAGTACGGGGACGGCCGCGCTCGCGATCCAAGTCACTTGTTTGACATGGCCATTGGGCGAATTGAATTATGCTCCAACGTGAAGGACTAGGACGGAGTCACCTGTCCGAGAGTTTCGGATGGCAGCGAAAGGAAAGGAGAACAACTGCAGCTACAAGAGAGCCAAGAGATTCATCTGGCAGCGGACGATCCTATGAACAAGCGACAAAATGCTGGACGAGTAGACCTCCAAGCTATTCCACCTCTTGCAAGTAGCACAATTATGGGCGGAGGTAAAAAGCAGGCTCGCGGGGTTTCACCACACCAAGTTGTAGACGATGACCAGCAAACCAAGCGTGGGAAGACGCATATTCCTTTCTGCATGCTTGTGCTTGTCTTTGGTCTGGGAACCTGCGTAGTCCTGCTCATCGTCGTCATCAATTGCATGTACCGGAAGCACGGGGAGAATTTAGAAAAGGAGAAATTCGTGTGGTCCGTGTATCCTTTGGAAAAATTGTTATCCTGTTTGGGAGTCACACTATCTAACTACGCATGTGTAAGTATGACCACTGACTGCCAGTGTTGTACTAGTTTTGGCTGAGGACGACTATGATGCATCTTAATAAAAAAAAATCATGAGTACGTCTATGCTGAGGATAGAGAAGAGACTCAAGACAAGGAAGATTCTGTTGCTTCCACTGAAATTATACCATCTCTGTATACGGAACGAAATGCGCCAACAGTTCCACTGCAAAACAAGCTGTGCGTTATGCGACGTGACAACTCAAATATAATTTTTCCTTAGCATACCCGTGCCCAGAAGAATGACTACGACCCGCAGAAGCGACTCGACTTGTACGGAGATTCTAACCAGCTTCTGCCTGCTGGGCGACAAATGCTGTCCTACGACGCGGTGTTCTCGCACGACGAAAGGATGATCAGCAAAGAAGGTAACATTTTTACCTTTAATGATAATGGCGCTTCACCAAGTTCGTCCACCGCTCACAACGTCTGATGCCGCTTGGCAAGGTTGTAGCCACGCGCCACAGATCTTTTTTTGTTTTTCGAGGCGTCCACACAGAGGAAGACCGTGAGTTGCTGTGCTCATTGCCATTGTAATTTCCTTTTCAGAAACATAGCAGCCGAACTATTCATTCCTAAGAAATGGGAATGTCACGAATTTTTAGATTTTCTTCCAAAATCTTTCCGTTTCCCCACCCCAAAAACCGAAGAACTGGAATTCCAGAAGCATTACCCCGCAATGTACTCGAACATTCGAATTTGACATCGTCCACCTGGCAGTGGCATTCGCGCTTCAGTTGCCTGCAACATGAAACATAGCAAAAACTTGATTCCGGTGGTGGTCCCGTGATCTTTCACAACAACGGAGCGCTTGTGTTTGTGTTTGACCTTGCACCATTCTTCGAAGTTTAGTTTGGTTCGTTAATGTGTGTGGCACGCATGGAAGAAAGATATCCAGAAAGATCAAGCTAAATGTGTTTACGTTTTTATTGTTTTGATCGAAAATAGTTTAGCGGCACGCGCACGGACGGCCGAAGCCATTATTTGTGTCTCCTGGGGTTCGTTGTCGTATCCTTCATGTTTATTCGTGTTGCCATACGATCCTACTAGGACAATCAATGAAAATGATCATCCAATAAAAAGGAACTTCATCATGAACATGATTGTGATAATGCACCGCCATCGTGTCAAACTCAAATGCAGTCGCGCAGTGCCCTCGGATCGCAGATCCAATCCTGATCATAAATTGGCAGGTGTGAAGATTGCGTACTCTACTTTGTGTCTTGTGTAATGTTGGCTTTTCTTTCGTGTGATCTGATGAAACGCGATTAATGACGTCGAAAAGGTTAGTTTTTAGTTCGTTCTTTGTTGTGGTGGTCTAGTCTTCATATGCATGGGACGATTACAACGAAAGGGTTCGCCTTTCAACTGTGCGATTTGTGTTTCGATTTTGAATGCCCGGCCTCATGGAGACCCTAATGTTAGTTCGGGAATCTAAATAGATGAAATATTCCCACATCTCCTTATTTCCTCCGTATCACGTATGTGCGCTTTTGCAGTCGTTGCACCCACCTCTGGTGTCCTCGCGTCGCGTCGGTTCGTTTTTTCGTGCCTGAGCCATGTGTTGCTAGTACTGCAGCTGCACCATAATGAGCTTTTGACTCGCCCTTTGGACAACCATGGTGTTTCATCTCAACAGAATAGAAGCCGAGTCACCCCGTTCTTGTGTTTTGCATCGGGCCGTCGACGTGCGGCGGACGACGATACCGAGGATGTCCTTGCTGCCACGGAGCCTGAAGCTGACGCGGCTCCACCAACAGATCCTTCTTCGCGTGCTGATGAAAAGGACCCGTCGCCTGGCGCTGCGGTATTTCATGATCTCTCCGAGCAGGAGGAAAGATCCTCGGCTATTACAGACGCTAGTGTCCAGGCTGCAGAAAAGAACGGAGATGCTGAGGAGCTGCAAGTACAACAAACATCATCGCAAGCACCTAATCAGCAGACCACAACCACGTCGTCTTCCGAACAACTACCAACAGACGGAAACATCGAACGGCAATGGGAGCGGTCGAATGTTGATCGAAAAGTGTTGCAGGAGGAAAATGTTTGGGCGGAAAGCAGTGCGGATCATGCCGTTTTAACGTCCTCTGGTGAAGAGAGCAGTGAAGGTACTGCAACTACTTCTGCACCTCCTACCCCGGGACGAGATGATGCAACTGCAAGCGAAATGCAACCCGAAACCTCAGGCAGTGGAGTCGGTGGTGAACAACCTGAGCAAGCACCAGCATTTTCTGCAGAATCATCGGCGAGAGACAGCAATACAATAGCACTAGCCTCAGGAACAACTACAACATCACAGGAAGGAGCAATAGACGGGGATCACCAGCAGGCAGAAGCAGAGACTGCTACTGGCACAGCAGCCGCTCCACAAAACGACGTTCCTACAGACGAGTTTGAAGTAGAGGACGAGCAGAATGCTGATGATCCGGACGTACCGTACAGCTCCAGCAGTGCATTGCAGCTCAACACCAGACGAGCAGGCACCGGATCTGGAGGTTTGGTCGCGGCCGCGCAGAAAGGCGCAAGGGTCTTGCAGGCTGAGACGCCCGAGAGCGACCTGCTCGAAACGCGCGCGGACGACATCCGCAAGCTTTTCATCACGTTCAGCAGCGGGGACGGCGCCGCCGCGCACCCGGTGCCGAAGTACTTCGTGCAACGGCGGAGCCTCCACCACCCCTTCTTTCAGGTGGCGAGCAACGACGTGCCGATCTTTGAGTCCTACACGACCAACGCCGAGGACCCTCACGCCCGCGTCCAGATCTACAAACTGAAGGCCGGGGACAGCCTGCGGCGGACCGCGCAGAGCACCATGGGGGACCGGGTGCAAGTCGACGCCGTGATGTGGCAGCTGGGCGGCTGGCAGGTGTCGGGGAAGTTCGGGAAGTTTCCCGGACTGAACTCCCGGGCGATCCGCGCGCTGCGCGAGACCTGCGGCGACTACAGCCGGCTCGCGGAGCCCGGCTGGGTGGATGTGTCCGAGGTGCGGGGCATGCGGCTCGCGGCGCTGGCGCCCGTGGACCTGCAGGACGTGTCGGCGATCGCCCCGTCCGAGGAGGACCGGGCGGATCCGGACAAAATCCAGTCTGCCGAGGACGAGCGGCAGGCCCGGCAGAAGTTTACGGAGGAAAAAATGCAGGAGCTGCTCCAGGACCCAGCGTATCTCGCGAAGGTGACGGCCACCGAGACTGCGGGCGGCGGGCGTAAGCAGTACGACTGGTCGATGGGCGCTGGCGACGAGGTGGTGACCGCTTTGAACGACGGGTCCGCCGCGCAGAACGAACGCGTCGTCCGCCGCAAGGAACCGGGGCTGAATTTTCTGGTCAGCGGCACGGTGGACGCGCTCTCCCTGCAGGACGTGTTTCTGGTGCGGGACCTGGCCAAGCGCGGCCAGCGGATGGCGAAAAACCGACAGGACCCGTTCCACTACCACGAATGTCAGCTGCCCGGGGAAGTGCGGGGGGCGCTGCAGGACCTGGAGTTACTGGAGCCCGCGGCGGACGGTACGGCTCCCACCGAGCTGCCCGACGTGCGACGCGTCCTCCGCACCATCGACGAGTTCGCACGCGTCCCCGGGGCCTTTCTAAGCATTGCAAATAAACTGTCGCACTACTATCACTATGTATAAGTTATCGCATGACAAATTTTTCCAACAGGAAGAATGTAATCTGTCACGCAGCTTCAGGTAAAAAACTAGTCTAGATCATCGGTAATGCAAGAAGACTAGCACCATTTGATATGAGTGCGATAATTTTGCACAGGATGCTTCCAATTTTGGGACCATTTCACTGCGGGGGATCAGGTCCGGATATACTTGAACGACAAAACCAGACCGAATTGCCTTGGCTATTTCCGTGGCATCCTCGACTACGTTTTCAGTCGAGACAAGGACGGCAAGAAGCGAAAATATTGGCAAGTCAAAGTGCCCGGCTGCAGCAGCCTCAAGACGGCAGGGAAAAAATCATCTTCCAGCAGTAGTTCTGCTGTCGAAGTGGGCGAAACCGAAACCACGAAGAAGCAGGAACTGCAGGTCCAACAAGAACACCAGACTGCTGTTGCTGGAGCAGAGAACAAGGCGGCAGCTACGCCCCCTGCAATCGAGGCCGCGGCTAACATCCGGCAGAAAGACCTGGCGCAGGGCGACGTGAAGCCCCGCGTCGTGCGATTCCCAGACGCGCTGTCGCTGCGGGCGCAGCCCGGACTGGTGATGCCCGGCGAGTTTGCGCCGGGAGACCTGGTGCACGTATTGAGCTCCGAGGGCAACGAGAAGTCTTGTTTATGGCGGCCAGGCGTGCTGCTGCAGCACCCGGACTATGAAGTGCAAAAGTATCGTACTGGTATAAATGCATCACAAATTTCCTCAGCATGAGAAATAAGATTTGTAATGCTGATCTGCCTCAAGAAAAAGATTTGTAGTGCATGATTGCAATACGAGTGCGATACTTTTGCACAGGATACGGACCTGCAGCACCAGGACGAGGGCACGAGCCGGTACGGGATCTTCTGTATGGCGTTCTCACATGCTACATTCTCAACTGTTTCCATAAATTTGTGATGCAAGAATGGCAAAAGTGAAGGTGGGGACCTTGCCCTTGCGCGTCTTGCGTGACAGATTGGACACAGATTATCAGCCTGCCCGGCGCTTCGAGAATTTGCCATGCGAAGCAGCTTGATCGTGTCGGTTCTGATGGTGATTTTGCATGACAAAGCACATAACAGCTGAGAATGTAACGCTTGAGAGCCCCATACTCTACCAGGACTCTTTAGGGATCTACCGGTGGCGCGACCAGGAGCTGGACCCCACCCGGCGGAAGGAGCGCTGCGAAACCCAGGCCGCCGGGCCGGCGCAACCCAATTCGGAGTTGACAAAGCAGTACGAGCCGGACGGGGCGACCGGCGAAATCCCGAACGTGTGGAGCCCGGACACCGTGCGGAGTCTTATCACAGCCGCGAGCAACCCGGACCTGGAGCGGGAGCGCGTCCAGGGCGCGCAGCTCCGCTCCATCTGGACGGACCCGATCTTCCGCGATCGGGAGATCCGCCTGGATCCGCGCGCGGTCCCGCACGAACGGATGGACAAAGCCGTCGCGAGAGTGCAGCGCTGGTGGAACACCGACACGATTCCGCAAAACAAAAAGCTGCTGATCCGGAACATTCTCTGCGGGGTCAACGGGAGTAACAGCCCCATTACCAAGGGATCTGCCTTAGAGCCGACCAGTGCAGTGCAGGTGTCGACGAAGAAAGAGACGGAAGGCGCCGCGTCAGCGAAGCCTAAGCCTCCAGCCGCGAAGATAAAGCCGCTAGTGCGGATATCCACAGAAAAAGATCCATCCACATCCAATTTGTCATGCAAAACACGTATCAAGTCATGTGTTTGTCATGCAAACAATGGATGTGGGTGGGTTTTTTTCTGTGGATAGCGGAAACGCGAGGCCTACGACCTGAAATACCCCGCGAAGTATGTGGTCACGCGGGCACTGCGCAAGCTCGGGCAGGAGAAAAACAGCGAAGATTTGAACAAGGTGCCGTATCCCTTCGAGAGCATGATGGACGCATTGAACAATAAACCTGCGGAGGAGAAGGCTGAGGGAAGTAGCTCATCTTCTTCCACTTCCAGTGCAGCTGCTGCGACGTCAGCTGCTAGTGCCAGCTCCAGTGCAGCATCCTCCTCCTCCGCTGTGCAGGAAGGAATTAGAATACAAACCAGAGAGGAACTGAAAAAAACACTTGCAGCTGACCCTGACGAAGCGCCCGCACCCCCGCCCGCAAACGACCCGGGACGGTTCCGGATTGGGTACCAGAGCCTAATCGCGGTAGCAGATATGGGATTCTCAAACGTGACATTCTCAACTGTTAGTGTTACGTGATTTGTCATGCAAAACTACCATTATCATCTACACGATTAAGCTGCTCAGCATGACAAATTCTGGAAAGGCCAAGGAGGCTGTTAATCTGTACCAAGTCTGTCATGCAAGACGCGCAATGCTCCCCCCTTTCACTTTTATTTCAATTCTTGCGTCACAAATTCATGTAACGGTTGAGAATGTACTACCACTTGAGAACGCCATAGCAGACGACGACACCGTGTGGCACCGGGCGATTCCCGGCCGCCTGGTGGTGCGTGCACAGCGGGCCCGGGAGAAGGCGGAGATGGGCTACCACGCGGTGCCGGAGCTGGAGCGTCTGGCCGACGCGGTGGTGCGTGCGCTCAGCGCCAAGCGGGCCGGCGGCGGAGCAACGGTTGGCGTGGGACGGTCCGCCGCGGACTTTGCGCCGTGGACGAAGGGTGCAGCAGGAGGAGGTTCTTCTACAGTGGAACAAGATTCCTCTTCGACAGGAGCTGATGGTACAACTTCTGGTGCAAGCAGTTCACCTTCCAGTTCTGCGAGCGCTGAATTTGACCCCGACGAGGACCTGGATAAGATCACCAACGTCATCTTTGTGGACAGCCAGAAGCCGAGCGCAGACGCATTTCCCGGCGCCAGTGACATGGTGGAAGTGGTGGAAACGGGCGCGTTCGAGGAAGCGCAGCAGGAAAACGCGAAATCCTTCATGGAGGGCGGGTTCGAAAAGCCTCTGTTCCACGAGGCGCAGAAGGCAGGTGAGGCGAACGCGGCCTTTTGGAACTCCCTCCCCGGTCTGCTGGACAAGCGCAGCGGCGGGCTGGCCGGGGCGCTCGAAAGCTTCGTCGAGTCGTTTGTCCCTGGCGGTGAAAGTATAGTTGCAGCTCTACCGCCACCACAGAAAACGAAAACCAGGACGACGGAACAAGAACCGGAGAACAAGGCGGCCGGTGAGAGCAAGGACACGGCAGAAAAAGATGAGGCCGGTGGGAGCGACACGGCAGCAAACCCGGCTGGTGGTAGCGACACGGGACAAGAACCGGAGAAGGGCGGGGAACCTCCGGAGAAGGGCGGTAGCGACACCGACACGGAGCCATCCGATAAGAAGAACGAGGAGTCAGATGAACCCAGCAGTAGTAGTACACTCGAGGCACGGCCATCGCCGGCCGCATGGGCTGCAACAGGAGGAGCGCCAGACGAGTCCGGTATTGCTGCAACCATCCAGGAAAATTGGACGTGCAAGTTTCAGGGCGGGAAGGGTTATTCACAGAAAATTATGAGATCTGAGGTTTTCGTAAGGAAATAGTTGATCGTCAATTGTGGGAGTTGTCTATGGTAGTTCGTAAGTCGGGGCTGTGAGCATCCGGTCACCACACTCACGCTTTATTTTGAAAAGCGAATGACACATTCGCACGGCGACCTTGTCGCCCGGCATTGTGGCAGCTCCTTTTCGCGTTCGAAATCTGCACACCAGCAGCTTTTCGTCGCCTTTCGTCGTCTCGGTTCCTTCGTCGTCGATTAAGGTCCTGTTGGGCATTGCACATCCGCGATGCACACACAGTTCCGATAATCTCTGATAACATGTCAGAAAGCCATCGGTTCGTTATGGACCATGGTAGCCTTCGGCTGCAGCTGCCACTGTCATTGGAGCGCACCTTGTGCGCGCCATGCATAAGTCTGCAACGCGCCTGTGTTCTTGGCTCCTGTCTGGATCACTGTCGCGTATTTCTCCAAGATCTGTGTTACGTGTCAACTTCGTTGATCTTGCGTGACTTTGGTTAGTTATTGCATCGCGCTGTTACCGAGACCACGCGATGCCCCTGCTTTCATCCGGTTCACTGCTTGTAGTTTCCCGTTTGAAAAAGGATCTCCGCGAATTACTTTCCCTCTGCCCTGCAGGCGAGAAGACAGAAATTCGTGTTTGGACACAGAACAAGATGGCTCTGTCGTTATCCGCTGCCGATCTACTGCAGATGCAGCGTGTCCTCTCCTCGTGTGCCAACGACATTTCGTTGCACACGCCCGTCTGGTGTGCGTTGGTGTGCGGAAGCCTGTCTTTGGAGACGGTCGCCAACCTCGTCGAAGCTCATGCTCAGCGCGTACAAGCAGCAGGCCCGCGTGCGTTCACCATCATGGATGATGAGCACCAAGACCCGCAAATTGCCAGAGCCAACTGCATGGCCTACAGCCAGGAACTGCGAGAATCTAAGTTGCGAACTACAAGCGCTCTGCTGGTATTAGTTGCGTTTCATTGTATCTTATGCATGACATACTGATGCTTTTTCTCTTGCATTGCTTTGTAATGTGCATTTTCATCAATTCTTTCAGGAAACGGTGAGTCGCCTGGCGATGGGGGCAAAGCCGTCCCAGAGATTCAAGACGTTACTCTGGGAGTTTCCGACTATTTTCTTGCCACAGTTCGCCTCCGCCAAGGCCTGGAGCCCGGCCTTCGCCGACTGGTTCTTAGGACAAGCCCCCACCGAACCCGGTGCGGTGAAATTGTTATCTGAAAGATCCGTGGCGTCGAACATGACAAACGATACTTTCAATGAGCCGCTGCAGCGCAATGAACAGCGCCTGCAGTTGCAAAACGAGAACTAGCCGAAAGCTAGGATCAGAGCTCTTTAGATTTCAGACGAACATGTCTTGTGATACGAGCTGACGCTAGTAGGTCTTTCTGAGCGCAAAAGTTTGCTCATTTACGAAAAAGTCCAATTCAAAAAAGCATTTGTGATAGCTCGCGTTTTTCGTTGTTTTATGATCGCGTTGCGTTCTACTTTTATGACGTCCTGTGCACATGCTTTTTTATTTTTTCTTTCCTTTTTCGTCTTCCTGTCGTCGTCACACAGAACACGATCCTCCTACCTCTTCATTTGTATTTATGTGCAATGTACAGCTTTACTTGAGTGCAACCAGCATTCGCTCACGATGTCTCCAAGATGCGTTATCTGCTTCTCCGGCACGATCGCCGATGCCGATCGTGAGTTGTTTTGCTCGGAAGCAAGCTGTGCAGCATTTTCCTGCATTTGCTCCAACTGCTACAAGACGATTGGAGGGGTCATCCTAATCGACGAGTTCGGCAGCTACGATTTCCAGACAAAAGTTGGGAAATGCAAAGCCTGCAAAAGAACGAAGACACTCTCGGACTCCTCGAAAGTCAAGGACAGGATCGATCAGCGAGCGGGCACAGCAGACGTCACTCAGCAAGTGACTGCAGCCCACCCGTGGTGCGCAACCTTCGCGGCCACACCGATCGACCTGAAGGCCAAGTACTACGAAACTCTCAAGCGCCCCCCGGTCAGAAGATCTCAGAAAATCGACAAAGACCAAGGCAAGTTCATGATGAAGTTGTTCGCCGTGCACCTGGCAACCACCAACGCGGCAGCACAGGCATATCTTGTTTTTTCTGGTCATGTGATGATGTGGATGTTGCATATCGGTTTATTTTGATTCTACATTTTGATCTCACAGAGCTTCATCGACAGTACCAACCAGCAAGATATTCCCAAGCGCAGTTGGAAGAACATGATCTTGCCCCCGGCGGGTTCCTTGTACGAGTTGAGGCAATACCTCCAGACACTGATAGACCTCTTCCCGAACGAAGAGTGGACTATCCTGGCCCGGTATTTCTTATGGCCAGTGACATACTACGAACGAAAATCAGCCGCGTTGACCAAAAACTCGATCGCGCCCAAGAAGCTACCGCTGAATTACAATTACCAAGTGTACGTATATCCTGTTTGTTTTGTCCGATGCTTCCAGACTCTCACTCATCGTTTGTTCATCCTTTGTATTCTGCCATGCCTTTTGCATATTCACGCATGAGTGAGCTGTTTTGCTAAGTAATGATAAAAACAAACTCTCCTCAGATATTTCTTCATCAAAGAATTCGCGGCCCAGCTCAAAAACAAGTATACCACATCTCCAACCGACGAGGGATTTTACAATTTAGAATACGCGGCGGCCATGACAGCGGCAGCGTGTGATAATTTGTGTAAACCAAATATCATTCAACGCATGATGCAACTGGGTGGAAATCTCATGTCTATGATCGGCGGCAACAACAAAAATCGAGTCCCGGACTTGGGACAGCACCCCGGTGGTGGTGCAAGCTCCGAGCAGCAGAAGAACAAAATTGCGTGCGACGAAATCAACGCCATCATGAATAACGCACCCAAAACGACCGCGGGCGGCCTAGGTGCACTGGAGGCTGCGAATGCGAAGAGTCCCGCGATTCTGTCTACCTGGATGTCCCACACGCAGAGCTGCGTCAGCTGCATCATGGCAGGCAAAGGACCGGGCAACCACCACAAGGGCGGCCAGCTGGGCTTGAAAGCGTGCGCTGCAGCGGGAAACATCTGCTGCATCAAGTGCCCAAAGCCGCAATGTGGTGGTGAGGCGCACTGGAACAAAGACTGTCCCCTCAAAGGAGGAGGCAAGGGGAGCCAGCAGTTCCAGCAGCATGGAAGCCAGCAGCAAGGTCTAGGTGGTAATATGCTGCGTCCCTTCCCAAAGGCCCCACAGTTTAACAATCAGGGCGGGAAGGGGGCCGGTTTGAAGCGACAGAAAAACAATGGTGGAAAAGCTTCAGCTCCAGCGTATAACAACCCGTTCGGACAATAATCAGTCTGCAAAACGTTCCTTACGAATTTTTTAAATGATGAAATAGAAGTCTCAGCACCAGCCCGCAAATCTGCACAGGAGGTTACGAGCAGGTCGCAGTGTTCTTCCTTTTTTCTTGTTTTGCGTCTTTTTTGTCCTTTTACGCAGCAGCTGCTTGTTGAGATCTCCAGAGCGCATCAGCGACATGACGCTACACTCTGAGTGATTTCTGACCAGAGCGATAAGCCGCTTACGATTCAGCTTCGTACTTTTACGTCCTGCCGCTTCTTTAGTGCGAATAGGTTGTAAATACAATAATGAGTAAGTTCATTGCAAATAATGCGTGTCACGAAGCCCTGGGCGAGGACGTCCTGCGGCGCGAGCTACAAAAACTGGCAGAGCAAGCAGCAGTTGCAGCCTCCCTGAAGGAGCTAGCAGGAGCCGACAAGAAGTCAACCACAAAAAGCCACCCACAGTTGAGTGACGCAGCAAGACCATCACAGCCATCAAAGCGAAAAGCCCCAGATTATTACAATACCATCATGGACGCCGTAGAAACTGAGCTGGTGCAAGTGGAAGACTGGCATGAGCAGGCACTTGATGAGTTCAGCGAAATCATCCCGGATTCAGGTTTTGTAACGGCGGTGTCTTCACCAAGCAGCCAGCACAAATTCGCTTCCTCTGCTTTTCGTTTGGCGGGCATCCACGAGCACATGGAGAAACGGAAAGAAGAAGTTAAAAAGCCGCTCGACGCATTATTGAATTTCAAGCCTGTCAGCAGCAGCAGTTCGTCAAGTTCAGCATCGTCTTTATCAGTCAACTTCAGCATGGCTTCGTCGTCGTCGTCCGGGAGCGATGCCACGTCTGATTCAGTTGCACTCATTTCCAGACCGGGCAACGTCATTCTCTCAACGCCGACTCCGTCGATCGCGAGCGTGCTACATTTTTACCAGCAAGCGAAAGGAAAAGCCGTTGTAAAGTGCAAGCCATTCTGTGAAGACGGAGTGACTTTCGATTTCGAGATCAAAGCGTCGAGCAACGGCATATTCGACGCGTTCCCGCTATCGAACCAGGCTGCCGAACTCCTGACCGCAGCCACCGCAGAGCACGCGAGTGCGTCCATCACGGATGGCACTTCGAAAGGATACTCGGCAATTTTGTCAAAAGTTGTGCCAGCAGTAGCAAAAGAACTTGGGTTCGTTTTATGGCCCATAACCTCCGATGCCGGGGCCACCCTCATGCTCGTAGCTTTTGCCCACGTCCACGAGATTCATAAAGCCTACAAAAACAAAGAGACGAACCGGATACGGTGGGGCGCCTTCCTGCAGCTAAGCGCCGCATTGAACGCCTTCAATGCCTCCCGGGTAGAGCTCAGTGGGTACACGACGAAGAACAGAGGAGCCTTTTTCCAGAAGCTGTGGAAAGGGTAATGCTCTTTCTTACTGCTCGAGAATTTTTTTCTTACTACTGCCACAATTATTTGCGCCATATAATCATTTCCATATGGATATACCATAATGTTAACATTCTCAGGCTCAAGAAAGAAGCACACCATGGTGCCCCGCTCGACGCAAAATGGTGTCCCTCCACGACCGAGATGCTGGATGCGTACCACGCAGAATGGGATCACTGGTCACAACACCATGGACACCTCCTCAAGGCAGACAAGGAATGGTCCAAGCGTGCAGTTCTCAACATGTCACCATCAGACATCAGTTTAGTAATGCGGTTGCAGAAGCTGACGATGGTAATTGTCGCTTTCTTCTGTGTAAGAAGAAGCGACGAATTGCGCGAGCTGAGGGCGAAGGATGTTACTGTAACATGCACAAGCGGCATCTCGCCCCAATTTGCAACTTTTGTAGCGCACGCAAAAAGCGACCAGTTGTCTCAGGGCTCAGAAGCCTGGGCACCATCATACTTCACGACCCTCTTAGGAGCTTGCCAAAGGTTCGGCAGGGCATTCTTCGACGCTGTTATTGGCAGAAAGTGGTCGCCAAACGACGCTTATTTTTTCGTAATCGGTAGCGCTAACATTAGAAATAGGGGCGGGCAGAAGAGTAGCAAGGACGGCATTCGCAAAGATGTGAAAACATTCTTCGAAACGGCCTTGCCGGATGTAGCTCCAAAGAAGCCGATCTCACTCCGCAAAGGTGGGGCAAAGCATTTTATTGCCCACGACGCCTCACGCAGATTAGCATATCACCAGGGCGGCTGGAGAAATTCCTACTGTTTAGATATCCACTATGCACCCACTTCCAGCACAGAGCTCAGGAACATGGTGAATATGCACGAGAGCAAAGCCATAGATGATTACAACAGTGTCTTAGCCCTCAGGAATCTCGACAGCGCACATGCGTCCTTCATACACGACGACGACGCGATCAAGTTTACAGCTTGCATTGAGAAAATAGCCTGGGGAAAAATCTCACTTTCGAGCTTTCAAGAACTCTGCCCGAGGCTTTTCGCTCACGCAGGCGAGGGCAATTGTGACATGGCGGTGTGCGGGAAAGTACTGGACTTCATTCAGAACTGTGGCGAAAATCTGTACAGCGTAGTTTAACACTCGCCACACAAAAGGAATCACACCCTGATGCCCACGCCCAGCATGGACATTCTTGTCTCGCTCTGTTCTTCTACCGCTTTTTCGTCCTTCCTTCTCGTCTTCACTGCTCGAGCGACTGCACGAGAGCAAAAATCCTTGACGAATGATAGACTAAGTATTAGCAAAAATCATAACAAGATGGAACGACCGTTGATGCACCTCTCGGGCTGGCGCTTTTGGGCCTATGTCACGCGCATTTTCGTACAGAAGTGCTGGATTCTGGTGCAACGCCTGCACAATGCGCCTGCACTGTTAGCACGAGCCGCTTACGACGACAGTCGTTTTGACTTTGAATCGTTCATGCGCACTTACCGGTCCGCGCAGCACTGGTGCTACATCATTAAGCTCTACTCAACGTCCGCGGGAAGAGTTTTGATTCTGTACATGCTGATCGAACTCGGCCTCATCAACGGTTATTCCCTCCTGTGTGCGAGCGTGGCATACTTGGTGGCGCAGAAAGCCGAACGCTGCCGGTTCTATTGTTATTGACAATTTACCCGAATTGATGTATTTAGCACCCCATATTCTGGCTACCCGACTTTCAATTTGTCATACATGTCAGAGCCGCAGTAAGTGGTATGGAGGACGCTCCCGTGCCATTCTCTAGAGCGCCCACACACGTGATCCATATGCTCTGGGGTAGCCCCCGGCTCCTGGAGGGAAAAAAGCCTAGAGCACGGCCCACCCTGCGCACGGGCATTTTTTGCCGCCCTGTAAAAGCCCAGATCAAATGGGGCACGACGATACGATCAAAAAAATTGGAGCACAGAAACAGCTAGTACAGCTGTCACCCCATGCCTCTTTTAGTGCCTTGCCTTTTTTTCATCCACAGGGACCTTTGCCACGATCAGCTTTTTGATAGTCAGACTTAGGATGAATCTCGAGCATATCGATTACTTCGTCAAACAGCCGGTAGACCGGCAGGCGAAGTCAATGTTGATGAACATCAAGGACTTAGGAAAATCTGAACAAAATTCGAAACAGCTGATGGAAGTCATCACTGGTTTCCGCTGGTGCATGTCCAAAAACCTCATTGCCTCCAAATCCTCCGACCCCGACAAGTTACGTTCCACGTGCGTGACTTTGTTGGATTGTTTGGAAGCAATTGCTTCTCGGCAGGCTTGCCAAGGGAAACTCGCGGAAGCGCTGGCGTGCGCGATGGACAGTGTCCGTAGCCATTTAAGTGAAATTTGGCACTATCCGGCTCAAAGCGAGACGATGCAAGGAAAGAAGTGGAGTTCTTTGTTGCAGACCCGCAATTTCGCGCTCACAGCAGTAACAATGTACCGCGAGCATCGCGACGCCCCGCCGGCGGAAATCGCCAAGATCTTCAACTTAGAAAAGACGAAGCTCAAGAAAATCCGGATGTTCGAGCTTAACCTGCGGAAAGAAGGAAAAGAATTAGCCCGGTTGAGTGACAAAATGCTGCTGGAATTGCTGCACCCGCGGGATCTCCCGGAGCATCTGAAAAACAAAACCAGAGACTCCTCCAGCGAGTCGTCGTACCCATCAACCAATGATGACTAATTCAGGTGCGTGGGAAGATTGGTCGGAGCACAGATCGCCGCGAGGAACTTTTTTAATGCTCATGGACGAGCCATCGGACGGGCAGTAGTGCGATGCCTGGAATTAAACCCAGAGCCGTACTCAATATTTTTGTGTGTTGTTTTGTTTTTTCTTTATCGCAATTCTTGATCAACATGATTTTGCATCAGGATATCACAAAAAAATCACATCACACATGCCGACTTCTCATGCGACCCGCATCAAAAAATCTCACCACAGGGAAGGCAGCCTGCCACCGAGCCACCATTCGTCCGACAACGAAGCTGATGTGAGCAGTGAGAGCTCTGATGAGGAGATTGTGAGCCCCCAAGAACCTGTGTTGCGCCCACACATCGACTGAACAAAAACGATCGTGAGCATCACTTTGAATCTTTGTTGAAAAAATATTCTCTTGAGTATCCTTTTTCGATACACAAAGAGCGATAAAGTTGAGTCACCCGATGAAAAAAATGCAGGCAATCAGAAAAGACCGCATTCTTATCAAGTTCGTTTGTTCATCGTCGTCGTCTCTATTCCGCAAAACTCTTTCTTCTTGTCGCATTTTACGCATCACAGTCATGTTCTTCAATTCACATTTAGGCTGATGAGGAGATGTATCAAGTAGCACAAGAGTTGATCAGGCGCTTGCCGAGAGAGGAAAGGCGCTACCAGGAAAACACTCACAGGAGCGATAGAAACTTAAGAGCACAGCGTGCGCTTTGCTCTGATAAGCAATTATGTACAATTCAAACTAACTGGATAAACAAAAATGCGTGGCTATTTTCTCCCGAGGATGTCGCTCGCGGGCGCGTGCGTCAAGACCTCAGAGATGCATGCGCCGACGCGCAATGTTGTCTAAGCAGGTCCAATATTCTCGCAATTATTGAGCACGAACGAAGAAAGAGAGACTCCTTTTTTGTTTATAGACCAGACACAGGATTAATAATGCGAAACCCCTTCTAGATGCCTCGCATCGTGTTCGAGGTAGCCATGTTTTGCGGCTACGAGATAGGGAGATCCGCAGCCCTAGCCAGAGTACACGCGCAAGCCGATCGTCGAGCCGCGAAGAAGCAAAAACGCGATGAGAAATCGTTTTGCGGTGTGCAAATAGGCAGGCTGCCAGAAGTGCACATTCCGGCACGAGGCACCACGAGAAAAGTGGTCGAAAAGGATACAGAGCGGCAGTACAACGAGTGCTGGGAAAGCCCCAGGCTGAATTTCAAGCCGCAGCCACCCGCCGCAGTCTGGGATCAGCATCTCCCGCAGCCAGCAAAGCCGCCAAAGCATTATCAGCATGAAATTGACGAGATCGACCTCTCCCGCCTGGTGGCGCCAGCCAACGTCTACGGTGACCCGTACGCCTTCGCGCCAGTGTCACCGTATTCGATTGATGACTATCGCAAAGAAGGCGCACCGATCACGAGAGAAGAAGTCAGGCCGCTGCTGGCGAAGCAAGATGGCCCAGACGATAGATGGCGAAAAGCAGAGGATGATCAAGCCTTTGAAGGTCTGACCATCAACCCAGCAGAATGCGTCCGCTACGGCCTCGCACCAGAAGCACTCAGAAAAGCATGTACCGGCATAAAGTTCAAGCAGATCGCAGAACACCTTGACCCCGTCGTGTGCGAAAACTACCCAGCAGCCAAGCAGCACCCGGAAGTGTACAACGGCGAGTTCAAGCGGTTCTTCGAGGACAAGAAAATAATTTTGTACGACGTCAAAACCCAGGAAAACGAGGCGGGAGAACAAGCCCAGTTCTGTGACTACCCTCCGGGCCTGACTTGTGTGCCAGGAAATTTGCTTTTCCAACGCGACGACAAGATCAGAGTCATCAGCGATTATAGTTCCGAATGGGCGCTCATCAACCAGTCGATTTTTTCCACGGAAGTTGACTACAAGACGTACTGGGACATGTTCTTGCACTTGAAGCCGAATTCACTAGGCAGCGGGGTTGATTTCAAAGATTCCTTTGGTCACTGGCTAGTACATACCCGCGTCCGCAGGATGCTTGGAATAAATTTAGAAGCCACACCACAGAAAGGTGGGCATTTATATTGCCCATTTAGCATAGGACCGGCTCCTGGTGGTATCGCAAAAAAATCAGTGCCCTGTCCTTTGCATGACCAGGTCCAGCATCACACAGAGCACTGATTTTTTTCTTTGCATACAAGAAAGTGACTTCTTCGTGAAGGCCTTCCTAGCCGCGGTGGCGCGAAACGGCGCAACGTCGCCATATCTCGACTACGTGGATGATGTTCGCTTCATCACCAACCCAGTGAACGGACGGCCGAACTACGACAAAGCAAAGTTTGACCTGGAAAGAGCGGTGTACATTTTGACCAAGATGGGCATCAAAATCCACCACAAAGAATCGAAGCTAGTCCAGCCGTCCACAAGCTTCCCCTGGCTAGGCAACGTCTTCAACACCGACCCGAGAGTGTACAACATCATCCTGGACCCAGCACGCAGGGAAGAGCACCTTAAAGCCGTGAGGGAATTCAAGCAAAAAGGCAGGAATAACGAAGCGAAGGCACGTGACGTCGCAAGCATCAAAGGTAAGCTTGGATCGTGCGCACTCATCCACCCCAGAGGTCCCCTGGACGAGCTTAGTCGTGTGCTGGTACAGTCGGGAGCGCCGAAGCAGTGGGCGAAGCTGAGCAAGCAGTTCAGCCCACAGGTGACAATCAGCGAGTCGGTGTTCGACGACTTGGACCTCTGGGAAGATTTGCTGCAAGAGGACCACGCGAGGCAGATGTTCTACAACGGAGAACAAACGTTTATTTGGTCACGCGAAGTGCTCGCCTTTGGAAAAGCCTTTTTTGCATCCTTAAGTAGCGACATGTTTATAGGCGTTTACATGGACGCAGCAAAAGGAGACACCAAGGATTGCGACCAAAGACGCAACAGAGGCTGGGGCGGCACAGTGTCAGACCAGTACTTTGCGGGCGACTTCGATGACAGCGCTCCAGGTATATATTTGTCTGTAGTCAAAAACTACAAAGAATATGAATTTTCACTTTTTCGCCCGAGTTGACGTGTTTAGCAACCCATATTCTGGCTACCCTGTTTTCCCTTTGCCCCTACGTGCAGAGCCGCGTCGGTGGTATGGGGGACGCCCCTTTCGCCTAGTATGGTCGCCACTCACTACCAGCAAGTTCGGGGTAGCTACCCGTCCGTCTGGCCTACTCTCCCCTGGACTAGGTCCACCACGCGCACGCCCAATTTTTTCTCGATAACGCAATCAAAGTATGCACTCTTCGCTACTACAGAGTCCGCCAGCATCAATGAATTGGAGTCCTTGGCAGTGCTTCATGTGTTGGAGGCCGCGCGAGAGAAGCTTGGGGAAGCCTTTTTTCACAAGAAGGCGGTGTTAATCAAGACAGACAACCCCACCGCGAAACGCACGACGAACAAGGGTTCCACGTCAACAACGATTCTGAAGAAAGTCACGCGCGACCTCACCGCTTTCGCTACCGCCTCAGGCACGGAGATAATAGCAGGAAAAATCGCTGGTGAGGAGAACATCATCGCGGACGCTTTGTCACGTCACGAAGCCCACTTGTTCGCGTTCAAAGACCCCCTTCCCAGCAAAATTCTGTGTAAGCGGTCATGGAGCATGGTGATGCGGCATTTCCCAGGCCTCGAGGTCGATTGTTTTGCAGATCAACACAGCCACCGGTTCGCAGAATACTACTGCGCGAACAGTCATCCATTTGATAACTTCGACCTGTTCTACGAGAAACGATCGTGGTGGTTCCCACCAATACAACTTGCAGTAGTAGCCGCCCGCTTCTTGTCGAATTTCATGAAAATCCCGATGGCACAGAGACCGCGCTTCGCACTGATGCTGCCCATGATCAGCCCCATGCTCTACAGTCTTGCGGCGAATTTTACCGGAGTCTGCACCTACAAGAAGGGAGCAAAAGTGTTTTGCACAGCACATAGCCCGCTGGTCTTTGGAGCAGAGGAAGACTGGGTTTTGCTGTCGTCTGTGTCGTTGCACTTTTGGGGAATAGATAGAGAAAAAACAGAGATAGGCTCACAAATTACAAAAATTCTACAAAAGCCTTACTTCCGCCAATTTCCTGAGTTAGCCAGAAGTAGACTTAGAATCAAGGACATTTGTGACGCCAAGGAGCATTACATAGTACATATAACATGCTGTGTCCCTTGCAAACCTAAAGGATTAGCAGCGCAGTTATTTGCAAGATTTCCTCTGGCCAACCGCTACTCCGAACCATACTCCGCAAAACCACTAGGACAATGGGAATTGATAAATCGAGTAGTAAACATTTACGCGATGGTATGGCCAGGGGCGCCTACATCCCCAGGAACGAGAATTCCTCGTCCTACAGACGTTGTACCAGAAGAGGCCTTTACTGAGGACGATTCAGCAGAAGCCCGACTGTATAGATTCAAAAATGCACTTTGCGACTTCATTTTATCACGTAGCAAATTCGACACCGTCGCAATCCCGCTTAAAATCGGCCAAGGCTCCTGGGCCGGTGCCACAAAAGACTATTGCGCAGTCGTTGCGAAAGCTGTAGACGTTGCCTTTCGACAAGGAACAGATGTTGCAATTTATGAGAAGCCGTACACACTTTGATTGCCTTCACACATTTTATTCTGGGATACCTTGGAACTAGCGCACAAACTACAGGTTTGTAGCCAGTGCTCCATATGTTCTACATGCCTAGAGTACACAGGTCCTACCAAAAGATCTATTCCTCGTGGGAAAATACGATCTAAGATCTCGTGTGTGTGTGACGGGTTCTGAGCTTGTGCGGTCGCTCAGCAAAATAACTTACGAACCTCTTCTCTACGACAACAATTATGAGATCTGAGGTTTTCGTAAGGAAATAGTTGATCGTCAATTGTGGGAGTTGTCTATGGTAGTTCGTAAGTCGGGGCTGTGAGCATCCGGTCACCACACTCACACTTTATTTTGAAAACCCACCCACCCACACCAAACGTGTTGGCTCTGGGCTTGTGTTCGCCACACTCGGTCAGTTTTCGTATATCAAAAACCATAGATAGCTCCCTCTCCCGATTTGTATAAATCGTCCAAGCCACTACCCGTTTCACACGTGGACACTACGCGCACAAACTACAGGTTTGTAGCCAGTGCTCCATATGTTCTACATGCCTAGAATACACAGGTCCTACCAAAAGATCTATTCCTCGTGGGAAAATACGATCTAAGATCTCGCGTGTGTGTGACGGGTACTGAGCTTGTGCGGTCGCTCAGCAAAATAACTTACGAACCTCTTCTCCACGACAACAATTAACCATCCCCATCCAATTTGTCACGCAAAACATGCAGGAAAGTCTGTGCTTGTCATGCAAAAAGTGGATGGGGATGGTTAATTTTCAGGGAATAAGGGCAAGCTCCGCGACTTGTCAACTTGGGAACAGACCCTCAGCGACTGTGCCACGCATCTCGGAGATGAGAATGTGTCCAGGCGGATCAGGTTGGCCTGCCAAGAGTTTAAAGTGCGTCTCACCGGAATGAATATCCCGCAGTGCCCGGGCCTGTCCTACCGCGCAACCAGTCATGTTATGAGAATTGATTTTGAAACAACTTCAAACTCGTCGTCCCGCTCTGCGCTGCCCAAGGGTCGAGTTTTTATTGATGTAAAAGTAGTTGTTCATCAGCAGCGCCGAAAGCTGGAACTGCTTGGAAGGCTTGTTTCTGTGTCGATAGCGCTGCGTATGATCAACATTCGCCAGCGCTGCAAACATGGGCAGAGTCCTCATAAACAACTTGCTTTCTCACTGTCGTCCAGTCGAGTTGTTAATGAAAAGAAATGAATGCAGGATGGAGCAGCTGGAAGCACATGCATTAAAATTGTCTGGGATATGGGGACGAAGTTGGGCTTTCTCATGTACTTCTCTTATCGCTGAGGACGACGGCGGGAACCCCAAAAGGGAAGTTGAACAGAAAAAAGACAATTTTTATCAAAGACATTTTGAGCGCGATATATGCATGTGCAAGAAATGTTGATTTATCGTACACTTAGACTTACCCTTGCGTGCAACACTAACGCAGTGCATAGCTGCAGAAGCGCGAATAAAGGGAGGCGGTCACCAAAGTGGATGAAAAGAACAGTGAGCGTTTTGGTCTTTTTGGATGAAGTTGCAGTTGATGCTAACGTAGTTGCAGTCACATGACGCGCCGCATATCATGCAGTGTCGCTATGATGCCGCTTTCTTCTACGTGTACGGTAATGCTAAATTTGAATAGTATACACCGCGTTTCCGTTTTACGCTCCTGGCCCAGTGTACATTCCCAGCATGGTTGGCCGGAATCATCGGGACATTCTGGAAATGGTGAAGTCGTATCCTATGTAAAAAAATCATCCTCAGCTGCAGCAAGTTGTCGGATGATCAAACCTGGGTGAGGACAGAACAAGAAAGCATGGGGATACAGTTGTAGGTGCTTACACGGCATTCACATCAACGGGCGCAAAGCGGAGGGTGATTTTACATACCATACAGGGACCTCAAAGGTTAAAAAGGCGGAAGACACCACCTTCTACTCGTACCAACCATATACGTTCAGCTTTTCCCATTACCGTAACGAAGGCACCGGCGGAACGACCAGGATAATGTCACTCGATGACCCTCTGTCGAAAAAGTATCGAAGGGAAGGAACAATAAAGATGCCTAAGATCATCATGAGCCACGTTTATTTTGCAGCGCACTGACTTCGGCCTCTATCCAGGAGATCCTTTGGTGCGTCCAGGTGCGCAGCCGTGTGTGTTTTTCATGATGTTTTTCGAGATTGTTTTTTGGTCTCCGATGGTACGCATCAGAGCATCACAAATCTTCTTTCCCTTTGTATACTACCATAATGAAGCAGCTGCATGCTAACATGGCTAACATGGGTCTAGTCGAGTACGGTGGAAGTACCAAGTCCGATCCGGATGTCATCGGTGCAAGGTGCATACGGAGTGAAAAAATCGATGCAATTACGCACTTTTTCGCAAGTTCCGATCGTCCAAAGTGCGGTATACGATGGTATATTGCACGAAAAAGAACGGGTAGAAGTACAACAATGACGAATTGGCGTCGTGGGCATCATTCTAATTTTGCGGAAACATCGGAACATGGCAGCGTGGCTGTTGTTCTTTGCGTCGAAAAACAGCATTGGTTGCTTTCGGTTTCAGCCCTTTCATAACGCAAGCAAGATGAAGGAGCTCCTGAACGAGAAGCGCCGGATGCGTTCGAGTGTCAGAAATTCGCGGCGATACTGGTACAGGAGTACATTTCATGTATATTTTCGCTCTGGTTGTACTACTACGTCTCAATCAACAAGAGCAACAAGAAGAACAATACGCTGATGTTCATTCTCGTCATTGTGGTTGCGCGTACTCTGCTGAATGCGTGTTCAGATACACATGCTGAAAGTGTTGTGCAAATGTTAAAAGCAACAAGTTGATCTGCATATTTCTATCCCTCCGACCAACAGAACATGTTCCATGTGGATGGGGAGCCAGCCTGGACGGGATTGCGCGAAGAGGAGCCGCAGTTACGCGACTATACCATGGGAGATGTATCGGTTTGAAATATCTTGCCCACACAGCACGACGCAACTTGTAGCACCCTTTTAGTTCTTGTAGTTGTCTGCAATACTGTTTATGAGTGAAGATGAAGTGCCTGTTCCGTCGCAGCTTGCATGATTTTGAGGCACAAACGTGTCTGATATTCGATTTGTTTACGTAGGTTGTAAACTGTCAACATGAGTTTCATCTCGAGTGGCGAACCTAAAGTTGTTGAGGGCAAGGACTGCATGCTGGATAGCTCACCACGCAAGTCGAGAAGCTCGTGAAGTCGCAAACAGATGCGCAGAAGGAGCTCGAAACGCAGCTGGAGCAACGCTACGCGGCCGTGGAAGGTCGACCGGAATCCGACCGCGAAGCACCAAGACGGGGGAAAAAGTAAAGCACTACCGGGCCGCGGGGATAGGCGAGAGTCCTTCATGCAAGGAAAACGCTAGGAAATAAAGTGCATCGAAATTATCGAACAAACATGGCGTGGTCGACATACGCTATCTATGCTCTAAAGTTGAACGCTACAACGAGGACGGACCCGGGTTTAGGTGGATGGTCGTGCATGCCGTGCGTCGCACACAACGACCGCCACTCAGGCCGGCCACTTGGGAGCACCCACCTGCGGCTGCGCAGCTGCTCTAGTGCAAACAATGCCGACACTGCAAGAATATGAAGAATATGAAGCGGCATCATGGAGTCTTCAATGCACCGTATTCATTGGCTCATGCCATGCGTAACCTTAGTTTTCGTTCGGTAAAAAGTACTAGTGCGGGCGTTACAATGAAAAGCGCAGTCTTCTGCTCCTGCTCGGAGCGCCATCCGAGGGATCATGTCGTGGCGCCCGCCCAGAGTCGACCCAAATCGTGTTTCGTTTTTGATTGTCGTGTCGTTTTCGTTTTCGGAAGTGAAAATCGTTCGTTAATTGCGGAACGATTTTTGAAGGATACAAACCCAGCACCAGCGGTACAAAACCAATACAGCAGCCAGTAGTGCAGAAGCATCCATAAAAGTTGGGCTTACTAATAGCTAGAGAAATGTTATAGCAGAAGTGAAGAACGCAAGTTTTGTATGATGACAGTTTCAGTTCTTAGTAGTTCCTTTGCAAAGATAGCACAACCGTACAAGCTAAAGATGTTTCGAGCCAACTCCGCGCTTCTCTTGTTGAAGATGTGTTGCACTGTTTGCATGGAGGAGCTCATGATGATACACAAGTGCTGTTTCCCTGTGCGCTACGCCCTTGCGCGCATGGAAAACCACGTCGTGATCGGGTACGAAGACGAATTGTTGCTTCCGACAACTGCACACGAACGCCTCCGGCCGAGCATCGCCTCTACGTCGCTTGATGTTCCTGACGAGTTTCCGGGCTCTTTACAACGGACCAGCAGTAGAAACAGCAAATTAGTGCAGACGGCAAGACAAGGGCAAAATATGAAAGAAAATCAGAATGAGCAAACGGATTTTGGTGCCGCACCATCCGATGACAGTACGTTTTTTTCCTCTGCGTTTGTTGAGAAGCAAGAGCCTCGGCGTGAAGAAGCTGCTGTCGTCCCTTCTTCCACTGGAGAGCGTCCAGCGACCGCAACCGTAGCTCCTGGCTCCGCTTTGCAAGAGAAGGAAGAGCAGCAAAAGACTCGCAGTTCTTCACCTGCCCCTAGCGCCACCGTGCCGCTGCCGACTACGCCCAGCCATTCTGCTCCAGCAAAGAGCAGTGGAACACAGTCGCAAGGAGCAGCGGCTGTACAAAGTGCGGGAGGTGGAGCAGCAGCTGCATCTAGTTCTTCATTTGCAGCAAAAACCAAAACGTCAAAACCGTTAGCGGAACAACATCAAGCCTCATCGCCAACCCCCGTGGAGGTGATAGACAACATCGGCCAAGAAAAAGATGATTCCATGCTGCACACCACCGGTGCAACGGGAAGTAGTGCTAGTAGTACCAGCGGAGCGGCAGCAAGTAGTAGTTCAAGTTCTACCGACGACGCATCGGCTTCTTCCTCGTCCGCAAGAAAAGGAAAGGATGAAAAGCCGCCGGATCACGTTGAAACAGGGCTCGCCACTGCCACAACTTCTCCCACGAGCGGCATTCCCTATGCACTGCAAAAGTAACGTGCTTGCGAGTATACTGTATGAAAAATTGTATGAATTTGCTTTTGCACTGCTGATTTCCTTCGCCGTATACATAGAAACAAGCAACAAGAAGATTTGTCATGGATGACTGATGCGATCGACACAAAACAACGAGCACGAGTTGCTTTTACACCGAATATCCCTGACCTGATCACGATGTGCATCACCTTTCTCGTTTTCGCCACACTAACGCTGATCCCGTTCGTCGCCTGCCTCTGGTGGGTCGCGTTGGTCTTTCTCGCGCACGAGCAAGAGAACGAGCGGCTGTTTTCCCTACTCCGACTGCATAGGGGGCGACAGCGAGGTAGTGGGGGAGAGCGACGCGGTGGTACAAGAACTGGGGGAAGCCAGATCGGCAGCGTGAAGGGAGAAGAAGACCTCACGATGGCCGAATTTCTAGCAGATGAGAAGTACATATTTATTGATTCAAAAACTTCTTGGGCTTGGGTGATTTTTAAGCGAAGTAGTTGCCGTTTGTATTTCAATTTCTTCGTAGTTTTGAGTTTGACGAATTCTCTATTTCTAACCACGACTACCTCCACAACCACAGCGACGCCTCCAACGACGAAGAGAGCAGCATGACTCCCAACAATTACGGTCTGGCGAGCCCTTCTCTTTCGCCGCAATCTCCGGTGGTGCCTAGGACGCAACTACCTTTTCGATCGGAGGCTTTTGCGCTGTCCCCCGGGCGCAAGCTCTCGTACAACTCATCCTACTCTCCCACCAAGTATGGGACGGACAAAACGTTTATTCTCAACTAATTTTTTTTTTTTTTTAAGGGGCGGAAAAGCATCGGCGCCTGTGGTGTGATTTGCATGCATCAACATCTCTAATGGCGTCGACTAGCTAGTGAAGTAGATCAATAAGATAGCTAAAGACACAAGGAGCAGAACAGCCTCCGGCATCGGCTGTCTCTTCGTGGATTCGTGACGAATCCACGAAGAGCCAGCCCGATCTGCTACACCTCCGGCTCCTTGTGTCTTTAGCTACTTATCTTAGTTACTTGTACTTCACTAGCTAGTCGACGCCTAATTTAAAAGTATCTACAAACATCCATGCATGGGAGTTAGGTATCGGTGCGCCCCATCAAAAAAGAAAAAATTAGTTGAGAATAAACGTTTTGTCCGTCTCATACCAAGGAATCCGTGGCGCATCTGCCCATCGTGTGAGCAGACGAATGTTGAGGTGGTGGAAAAACGGAAACGAGCTTTGTCGATGTCGAACCGAGCCCTCCGTTTGAAGACTGTAAATCAGCCAGAGAACGAACCCTCCGTTTGACGCAGCGAAACGGAAACGGAAGCTGGAGAACGTAGGCGTTGTAGCGACTACCTTGTACTTGTACATGTTGTACTCAGTCTCAGAGTCAGATGCCAATCATGTATGATGAGTTTATGACCGCGTCGTGAAGACGATGATATCTACTGTAGCTAAAGCACTGAATAGCGTTAGCGGCCTTTCCGACTTGTATGAAAAGCTTTAATCCACCTGTACTAAAGTGACATTCCAGTTGAGTAATATCCTCTTCGTACTCGTCGCTGTATAATAGTCGAAGATGAAAGCAGGCGAGCGAACTACAGCAGAGATGTTCACCCTGCTGGTGGTGGTGTTTGCTTAAGTTGTTGCCACCTTCGCTGCACTAATTCGCTTGTCAGCGAGCGATGCTGCATTGATGAGCTCATCGAACAGCTGCGCTGTGTGTATCAGAGTCAGAGAGAGCCGCGAAAGGTTGATTTTTGTTTGACGAAAAAGCTGGAGCTGGTTCGTTGTTGCATTCTTTACTTGTCGTGCTCGCTTTTAATATCTTGTTATCTGAGTGTTAGTCTCGTCACAGTAGAAGCAGAACGATGTAGCACTCTTGCTCGAGTCCTCGGGATCACGATCGTAACCTGCATCTAAAAAGATTGGTTGTACTACAGGAATCTCAACTGCACTCTTAGATCTCAACGTTGAGACCTCACATTAATGAACAACAAAAAAAGACGAAGATAAACAAACTGCATAGAAGAGGACCACGCGAGAAGGAGTGACACGTACAGGCTAAGTTAAGCGCGCAGGGCGGCTTCTCAGTCGTCAGAGCGGAGTGGTTGACTCTTTGTCTTTCGTTTGATAGCAATACAAAGAAAAATCTTCACCATGCGGCGCCTCGTTTTCGTCGGCCTTGCGCACAACGGCGTGCAGGTCGCGCGGAGTAGTAACGACCACAACCACGCTGCGTCAAGTACCTCTTCAAGCAGCTCCAGCGGAAGTTCCCGGATGTTGCGCCGTGAGCCTAAGGTTGTCGCGCAAGAAGGGACATCGACTCAGGATAAAGGAACGAATGCTCTTGAAGCACATTCATCAACAAGAACACAATCGGACTCACCTTCTTTTCTTGAGCAAGCAAATGATGATAAAACCACGAGGATATCATCATCATCGTCATCATCAAACCGACACTCACCAACTACCGACAAGAACAACCAGGTGAACCAGGACCAGCAGCCTGCCTTTCTGAATGAAGAAGGTGGAGTGGAGGTAGGGCGAATACCGGAGCAGGCTCCTGCCGGTGGATCGAATTTCGGAGCTGCTAGTGAATTGGAGCTTGCTGAAGGAGAGGCTGTAGGGGAAGGAGAACGTATACATAAATTTTTCATGGATTTGTCTTGTTCATTCATTTTCGGCTCTGAGCTATCGCAGCTATAGCTAAAGTTCTTGTAGTCTCTTGTTGCCATGCGCATGCATGTGCATGCGCACGACTGGAGCCACCACCTTGCGCTGGTTAGATGATGATGATGATGATGATGATGGGTCTGTTCTACATATTAGCTGGAACAAACAAAATCAAAAACGGAGGTCGTGGCGACAAAAAGGATAAGAAAGACAAGAAAAAGGACAAGAAGAAAGACGACAAGAAAAAGGACGACAAAAAGGACGACAAGGGTGCTGAGGCGGGCGGGAAGAAAAAGAAGGAGGAGGCGAAGCCACAGGGCGATCGAGCCGGGCAGCAAGTGACCGTGGCTGCAGCCGGTTATGAAAGCCTCAGGTTTGAAATCCTCAAAGTGGAAATAATTTGTAATGCAAAAAAACGGCGCCAGTTGATTTGAAGCGCCATGGCCAGTTGTAGTCGGCGCATGACAAATTTCCCGGACACTTAAAAGCATGTCTGTCATGCAGGTTAAGGCAAAGGGGTGCCCTTCTGTCGTGCTAAGCAGCACCTCAATTCTTCGCCCCTAGCAGGACAATAGTCGGCCTCCATTGCGTCCTCTGCAATACAGTTTTTTTCGCGTCGCATTTCATGCATCACAAATTATTTCCACTTTGAGGATTTCCATTCTGAGGCGTTCATACCGGTGGCCTGCCCACGGCCGGGGCCATCGATCCAAACGCCGAAGAGGCCAAGATTGCAGGATTTCCAAGAATATCAAGTGTAAAAATGTCTGGGTCTGGAAGATTGCCAGGTTTGTCATGCATATTTTGCATAACCCATGATGTCTGTAATGCCTGGCCGACCATCACAGATTTTTAATGGGCCTTCTGATGCGTATTCCGCATCAGAAATGTGCGCTCCGCGTAGCACAAACTGAACTCCTCTTGCTGGTCATGCAATACAGATTTTTTTTACCTTCCAAAGACAGCATGACAAGTTGCATTCTTCCAGACCCAGACATTTTTACATTTGATAAAGAAAAACTGTCCTCATGGGGGGTGGCGGTGTCGTCGGGGTCTCGCTCCTCTGCCTTCTCGTGTATTGAAATTGTTCCGCTTTGTTCATCGCTTTGTCTTTGAAATTGAAATTGGATGCAATCCGTCGAATCATTGTACATTGTACCTCCTACTTCGAATTCAACTTTCGTTAATGACGATGACTGCTCTACCTATCAGGTATCTGTGCCGACAGTGTGGGTGTTGTGGCGGAGGGGACGATGACGATGATGAGGACGACCGGCGGCACCGGAAGGGAGAGGGCGAGGACGCCGGTATGGACATAGAGGGGGGCGATGACGACAGCGAATTCTTTGGAAACCTGGTCCACAATTCCAAGAAAGGGCCAAAAGGTAGTGATGGATGATGTCCATTTGGCGGGTCTGCAACTCTTTGTCGAAGATGAAACGAAAATCAATAGCGAATTAATGTGCGCATATTTCGACAACTGCACGGCTGCGCAATTCCAATTGTCACACGAAGATCCTTTGCAACAGCAACTACCGGCAATGATGTATTCACCATATCATCAAAATCGAATACAACAGGTGGTCCTCCACATGGCGGCGGCATGATGGGTCCGCCACCCGGAAAAATGATGGGTCCACCACCTGGAATGATGAAGGGTCCTGGGGGGCCTCCGCCGGGCGGGATGCCACCACCGGGTATGATGAAGGGGCCCGGAGGACCACCACCCGGCATGATGAAGGGCGGACCACCACCGGGCGGCATGCCACCACCCGGCATGATGAAGGGCGGACCACCCCCCGGGGGAATGCCACCGGGGAAAGGAATGCCGCCTCCGGGCATGATGAAGGGCGGGCCGCCGGGGGGGATGATGAAGGGAAAGATGCCAATGATGAAAAAGTGATCGTCATGATCATGAAGAACTACTCCTTCTTGATGTTATTACACTTGTCTTGCTAGTGACTATAATACTAATATGTGTAGGATCAGCTGAAGTCGAAGAATATAGGCGATGCGCTAGATAACAAAACTTTTGAATTTGGCGCCATCTTGTAACGTTGAACTGGAGCAGAAGCTTGTTGGGCTTCAACATCTAAACTCACTTGTATGATTGAAAAGAACTATTTGAATTTGTACTAGACTACCTACAACTCCCCTGGCGTGTAGTCCCACTGTAACATTTGATCACGAAGATATTGAGCAATCTTTTCTCCCGTGAAAAAAATGACCAAACTTGATACGCCGCGACGCACCGTGACGCTTGCAGTTAGTCTGTTTCTTCAACACCGTGCCGTCGGGCAAAGATACGACATTCGTCCACTCGTCGCTCTAGTGATTCTGCTTTTGAGAGGTGGATGAGTTCGTGCAGATCATCATCATGGAGTGCGTGCTCGTAGATTGATACTTTCTTAGAATGAGATGACATTGTGAGTCGCGAGTTTCAATATTTTGCAGTGGGGCAACTGTAATTTGTTTCTCTTTCTTGTCTTCTTATCGTGTTGAAGTAGTGAGAGTGAGAAGAGCGGAGGATTCGAAAACGCGACCGCGTTGGTGTGTATAGTACAGACAAGGCATGCATACTATACATGCGGATGCGAAGATTGTGTTTCGCGAATCAACCAGTGCACCTGCAGCTGCAGCCACAAGAAAAAAACACTAGGACAAGTGGTAGCGCCAGAGCACCACAGCGTGTACTTGTGTGTCCACGAAGATAATCGATAATTTTTTCACATCAAAAATCGTGCGGTTGTTGTACGCGACCGCTTCTCGCGTGTAAAAAACAAGTGATGACAAGCGTAAAAGCGATTTTCACTTCCGGCGTTTCGAGTGCCAGCACCGCCAGCAACATGCCGCGAGCAACAAATCAGAAGACGAAAAATCATCGAATGACGACTGTTGCGTCTGCGTCCCTGCTGTCTTTCAGTTCGTTCACAACAGCCCCGTTTTTGCTCCCCTTGCAACCGACCTACGGACGTGTGGCACCTCCGGAGCGGCAGAGTATTCGTGCGGACGGGTCGCCGGGCATGCTGCGCCGGGAACCCAGAGCGGCAGCGTCAAGTTCCTCCCCTTCTTCTTTTGTAGAACAGGGAGGTCATGGTCGTGAAGGTGAAGTTGAAGAAAGTGAGAGGGAAAGCAGCAGAAGCAGTTCTACTGCTGCGTCCTCTACCTCGTCCAGTCAATCCGAACAGGACAAGGGAACAACTACGGGCTCGCACATCGATGGAGCTGCGGCCGAGGATCTTGAGTTGCAAGAAGAAGCTGCTTCCTTCGTGCAGGCGCAGATGCCAGCCGGTCAGCAACCACCAATGCAGGCACCGCCACCGCAGATGCAGCCGGGAGGAGCTGCTCCGATGGGCGGGATGGGCGGCATGCAGCAATCTCCGCAGGGTAATTTCCAGCCGGCGCCAACCGACTACAATGCACCGGGAATGGCGGGGGCAGCGCTGCCGGCGGGGGGTGCTGGTGGGAATGGAATGGGGCAGATGCAGCAGCCAGGTAAGATCTTCAAGTACTTTGATCATGTGAATTAGATCTCGAATCAAATTGAGTTGCTACAAAAAGAACGCAAGGCGTCCAAGCTGCTACGCGAGAGAAACAACCTGTTCCACATCCACACACGATAAATTACAGGTGGTCCAATGCCTCCCCCTCCGCCACCGCTGGGAACCTCAGGAACAAGTCCATCCCCGATGGGCGATGTGGCCAGCACCCGTGTTGTCGGTGTTGCGGTGATGGGACCCGCAACCGCGGTGAGCGACGTGCCCGGGGCTGATGCCGCGGCGCCGGTGCCGCCGGCGGACGGGGCAGGTGCGGCGGGTGGTATACCTGTTTTAACAGGCTCTGTTCAACGTGGTCAAGGAACATAAAGTCTTAGGAACAAATCGGCCTAGCAAAGAAAAAGGCTCCTAAACGCCGACCAAATGAAAACAAAACGGCAACTAACGGGGCAGAAAAGCACGAAAGGGCGGCCCAAGAGCGCCCCGGCCTTTTCAGGTTGTGCCCCTTCTACCCTGACGCGCGCGCCCTCGTTCCGTGTGCCAATTGGCGGCCTTCGGTGGCACCAGCGGGAGCAGCGCGAATGTCTATGCGCGGCTGTGCGCGCATGCCTTCATCTGGGCTGTTCGGCCACCGGCGTGCTGCTTAGCGACTATGGCGAGGACTATTTTGCGACAGGCACCCTCAAAGCAGACGCGCCGCTTTTTGACAGACGCGCAGGCTGGCTCCGTAGCGGTGCCGAGGGGAAGTCGTGCGAATGTCGGACCAAGCATTGCGGCCCTCTGTGTGGGGTATAGCTAGTAGAGGGCCAAACGAGGACCCCTCCGCCCTTGTCTGCCCCAATGCCGCGAGATGTTGAATCAGGTCGGAAGAGGGGCGGGGGAATGGACCGGCCTGAAGGCCACAGAAAATGCGATGGGAAGGGCGAAAAAAGAACAGCAACAGGCGCCACGGGAAGGCCTCGACGGCCCGTCGGGAAGCCGCCGGCCCGTCCTCAGACACGGCGGGATGCTCGATTTTTTGCGGTTGGGAGGGGCCCCCAACCGGGGAAAATGAAGCGCCCCGCCGTGTCTGAGTGCAAGCCGGCGGCTTCCTGGCGGGCCGCGAGGCCTTCCCGGCCGGTGCGCCTGTACGTAGCTGTATGGCCTGCCAAATAGCGGCCCCTTCCCCTTGTCCCTTTCCTTGAGCCTTTCCTTCGGGTTTTGGTAGATTTTCGGCAAATTTTTGGGAGCTTTCAGACACGCAGAGTGATGCCGCGGCGCCGGTGCCGCCGGCGGACGGGGCAGGTGCGGCGGGTGGTATACTTAACCGTGACAGGCTCTTTTCAACTACTATCTATCATACATAAAGTCGTATTTGGACGATACTTTGAGTGCGTAGCAAGATCAACACCACAAGATGAGCACACTGATCACTGACATCGAAATGAAATTGATTTCCCCTCCTGCTCATGTAGACAGCTACACGACCATGATCGACACCTAGAAATAACTACACGACAAAAAAAAAACACAACTCCAGGTGACCGACCCACGGAGCAGCCCTTCATTTCACTTCCCTTCGGCCTGAATGAGACGATGCAGATCGGGCAGTTCCAAGTGAAAAAGCAGTACGTCTACCTGGCCGCCGGCACGCTGGGCGTCCTCTTCCTGATCTTTTTCACGTGGTGCTGCTCAAGATTGCGATGTATTTGCTATTGCTGCATGCATAAAACATAATCTTTTGGTCAACGTAGCTTATAATTGTTATTTTTCATCGTAAACGATAACAAAGCTGCAATAGCAACCCTACTCCACCTATTTGGTATTCCTCGCACGCACAACTTCTACGACTACCAATGCCGCAGTGCGCTCGTCTACGTCCTTGTATAAATTCCACGCGCAAATAAACATCAGCAAACGAAACTGCGGAAACCATCATCGCGAACGCGCCAGAGCAGATGAAATTTCCGTCTGGCGGGGGAAGTCCAGTGGACGACGCGTCGAGTGACGATTTCAACACGGGACCTGCTGGTGGACCCTGATGCAAGGCGGCTGAGTGAAGATTCCGCGCGGGACCGACGTGCTTGTGGGAGTATTAGAAGTCATCTCGTAATAAGGTAAAGGTTGCAAAAAAAAAAGTTTATACGTTCGTTTCTTGTACAATTTGTAGTTTTGTTGTAGTTTTGTAGCGTCTTGATAGTGATGAAGATCGATGTTGATGCTTTGTAGCAAAGTAAAAGGTAGAAGTGCCCCTCCGTGTTTGCCTTGTATGTTTGTACGATCGCCTCCCAGTCGATGCAAAATTCAGATTGTAGCAAGACCCTTGCTTGTACTAGTTGAGAAAGGAACCAAGTTTGCGAACGAAGGGAAAATTGATGAAGGAAGAGGAATCCTCTCACTAAACACTCTAAATACAATTGTAGAAATCGAAAAGAAGTAGAAATCAGTCTCGATGATGCCCTCCAGTTCATCGCACTTTTTCTTTTAAATTTTCAGTGTGAGTGTTGAAGACCACGAAGTGCCCCCAGCTGTTCTTGGCCGGTCAGGTGAGACGCGCCTAATGACCGAGATGCATGCCATGGCCGCGGGCGGCCTGTGTCTTAAGATGCAATGATCCAGAATTTTATAGCACTCCCACTCGTCGTGCTACTGCCTGACGATAGAAGAGAGATTCGGATTGATATGTCGTGGCGTAGAAAATAGAAGTAAAAGCGATCTTGAAGTCAAGTTCTTCGTAGTTCTCAGAAGTATCATCCACCATGAGCAAGATGTTCTCCACGACGACCAGCACGACCCCACGCCCCGTGTGGTCTGTCCTCTCCACCGCGATGGAGTGGGCTTACTTTCTGGTCGTTCTCTTGCTTGCAGCAGTGTACGCCTTGGAGACTGGTCGAGTGCACAGTCGCAACGTCGGAGATGAAACTTCTGATCCTCCAGGGCGAGGAGCAAGAGCATTTGATTTTGTCTCCTCGATGCCGTTGTTCCATCCGTGGCCTTGGCCGACTTCTACTGTTTCGTTTCCAGCGCTTGCCGGTGCAGTGCTCGGGTTGAAAGTGGTCGAGTACATCGTTCTTGCAGACGAGGAATACAAAAGGGAACACGACCTACCGATCGGAACGGCGGCGCGCTGGAGGAACGCTCGACCTGCTTGGGCAACTACGAGGAGTCTGTTTCTGTCTACCATCAGTGCAGCTCATTTGCTCCTGCAGTTTTTTCTCGAGGTGCAACTGTGGTGGGTCTTGTGCGTGCGGAATTACATACCGTTTCTTGAGGATGATCGGGCCGGCGAGGACCAGACTCCAAGAATGATCTTCGACGCTGAAGCCAACCCCTACGCTAGACCAGTCGCCGGCCGGACGGAAGGCGCAGTAGGGGAGTTGTGGGGCTTTGATATTCCGACGCTCATGTTTTTCGTGCTGTGTGTCGGCGGATGTGTGCGGCGTATTTCGATCATCATTGGAAATGGAAGAACATCAAAACGGGATGTTGAAACCTTCCCCCGGTCACACCAAACGCAGACGTCCGTGAACCTCGAGGAATGGCTATTTGCAGTTCTACTTTCCCTTCCGGCCGTGGCGGCTTTTGCTGCTTCTGTAAAACAACAGCTTCCAGCATTCGACTCCTCTGGCGCAGATAAGAGCAAGTGGCTCAACAATTCATCGGAAGCGTTATTTCTGAAACTGGACTCTTTTTTCCGCAACATCCACGTCTTCCAGCCCAGCGCCACTCCTACCGACCGCTCGAAAACGACCGTGCTTTATGTCGCCTATCTCTTATCCACACTCTGCTTGTTGTCCCTTCCCAAGACCGCGTCGCTGGACGGTTTCCTCGCCGGAGTGTGTCTGAAATACGACAAGGAAGAGTCCGGAACCTCCGTTCTGTCCACCCTCCACTTGCTTATGGCCATGACGGCGATTTTTTTCTGCGTTCCGATCGCCCTGGAAACGGCGCGAAGGAACGACTTCTCCCCAGCGCCGGTTTTGAGCGACCTTGCGCTGGTGTACTGCTATGCGGTTGCGTTGTTCTCCTTTTTGTTCCTGAACATCGGCGTATTGCGGGGAGACCGGCCACTCATCGAACGGGACCACATGCGGGAGGAGGAGTGGAAGAAAATGAAATTGGAAAAGGAAAAAGAGATCAAAGCGAAACAAACGGGACAAAAATCGAAGACACAGTGAAGAACGAAGGAAACCAAATAAGCGTGTGCTGGTGTCGGGGCGGGCGACTTCATCTTTATTCAAGGGCGGAAAGAGGAGGAAGCGGAAGGTACCTCAAACAATAGATTTTGCGTTTCGTTGTCGTCTGTGCTCGCTGGAGCAGCAGTTAATGGTGCATGTAGATGACATCTTTCTGCTCCGTAGTTCTGAGAAGTGCAAGTGGCACGGAGCTTCTAGTACCAGCGTTTCCTTATATTTGGAATTGGGTCGTCGGCGTGGGCATCAAAGCTGCCCAATGTCAAAGTGCTACAACGTCAGAACCTAGGAAAAGGAACGTACTTACAAGGCTGAAGTCGGTGGGTCGGCAAAGGAATACAAATGTCAATTGAAACTAGAAATGGATGCAATCGCAAAGCAGCTTCTGCATGGGTAATCCTAACAGGAGCTAGGCGAAATCTCAAACTACACTGACAGTCCTAGTGTAAAAACGCACCGGAGCTTGCTCCTGCTCTTCTCAAAGACCGCAGTTGACGAGTCGGCAGTTTTCTTTTTTTTTTGGTGGCAGACCTTACATGCATAATTCTACCATAGAGCAGCACGACCACGAGCCACTTCACATGCATCGATCTTTGACCACTAATATGACAGCCGCACAACATCAACAAGCCCTCCCGGACGTCGCCCTTTCGAAGGCTGACGCGGACTGTGCGAGGGCGCAGGAAGCCTTGCACTCCAGCTGGACAACATACCGCAGCATACTCCACCAGCTCGCTCTCCACCGCGCGGAGGCCCAGGATCTCCTCCGCGCTGCGAGCCAGTGGCGAAGCCGGCTCCGCGAAGCCCTGGGGGATGGGCGGCATCGCGTCGCGTTTATGGCGTTCTCAACTGTTACATTCTCAACTGTTACATGAATAAACTTGTCATGCAAAAACAGCAATAGGGAATAAAGGGGAGAGCTTGCAAGTCTTGCATCACAAATTTGGCACGGATTTCAGACTCAGAACAACCTTCAGGCACGGAGGACTACAGACAAGCCTTCAGGCCAAAAGAATCCCCGCTCTAGTTCTAAAATGAAAGCGTGTGCGTTTGAAGTTCGCAGCTAAATCGACGCCGCAAGTCGACTTTTACTTTGTCATATAAATAATTTTTGATGTAGACATTACTTCAGCAAGACAAAAAATACAATGAGCTGGTGAATTCTAAAAAAATTTTATATCAAAAGAGCACGAGGGACGGCCATTTTTTCTGTACAAAATGGGGCATGAGAAGCAGAAGCATAATTCCTGCTCCATATCATAAATGCATGCGAACACCGGGCGAGCTAGGGGAGTAGTACGCACAGGGAGCATGAGCACGGACATGCAAATCCCATGACTAAACTGAGCCGAGCAGTTAAAGTCAACGCTTGAACACGGACAAGCAACGCCGAAGGTCCTACGTGAACCCACCGGGAGCTCGTTTATGATATGGAAATGAAAACTAAGTCGAAGCTTTGGCTCCTTTTGAGAGACGGAAGCAAAAAATGCGAAAAGTTAACACGCTGTACAATTTTGAACGAAACTGTCATGCTTTATTGGAGATGTAAGATTATTTATGTGAAATGATAATTGATGAATAAAAGAGATTGTAATGCAAATGCAGTCCGTGGCACAAGAGCAAAACGGCAGTGCCAATTGAAATATGAGAAGCTGAAAACGTGCATTACAAGCGACGTGTTCAGAAGGAAAAAAGGGAGGGGAAAAGTTGCAGTTGCGATGAGTGAAAAAATGCCAGAGGGAAAACGCAAAAACGGTGAATACAAAATTGGAAACGAGAGAACGAAAACGGCAGCTGGGTACTAAGGTAGTCGCGGAAGGTATGAGAAATAATATTTGGTGTACAAAAAAATAAAAGCCCAGCCTAATAATAAGTATATAGTTTGTCGCGTGCTATCTCCATACTCTGCCTTCCCTCTTTTGCATTACTTCCAAAAAGAGCGACCTGTAGCCGGCCCAGCATCCTTGATGCTCCTCTTACCTCCCTGAAAGACAATCTTCAAAACCCACCAGTATGGGACTCAAAGTTTCCCGACCTTTAGGGTAGCTAGAGGTGTGAGGGGGCGGAACAGTGATCACTAGGAAAAGGCACAGAAACGCCACCGAAAATGGAAGTGTGCTGCAGCCTCCGCGTTACATTACCACGGTTGTCGACTCCCACGCTCAGCTGGGGTGGAGGCAACCCGGTGGTGTGACTAGCTGCGTACAGACCGATGTGAGCAACCGTAGCATTGTCGCGAGGAGGAGGGAACAGCAGTCCGGAGCTCGGTGGATTCGCAATGCGAGAAGCCGGAAGAAGGGGTCTGACCGCACCCTACAGAACACGAATTGGAACCGCGATGAGATGATGACGACGAGCCTGGATCAACGCCATTTCCGATCTGAAGTTGTCATTAGATGCATTGCAGTTTTATGTTTGTGCCTATGTATATAAAAAAAAAAAAAAAATTGGCACGGATTTAGATGCTGTTTAGCCCTTTGATAATTTGTCATGCGAAGCAGCTTGATCGTCTTGCGGCTCATGGTCATTTTGCATGGCAAGTCATGTAACGGCTGAGAGTGGAACGCTTGAGAATCCCATAGCGTTGTTGCGCTCCCTCGGAACGAAGCGTGCGCCGGCGCCATCGGTGAAGAAAACGATCGAGGACGCGCTGGCGTTGACATCTTTTTTTTCTCCAGCTAATTCTAGTTTTCCAACACAGAGGACTTCTTCGTCGTCGTCCGTTTCTGCAGCTGCAAAGAACTTATCCAGGCAGCGGTGGGAGAAAGTGCAACGCTTGTTGGCGAAAAACCCTGAAGAACTGTTCGCAAAGATCTTGGACAAAACCACAAATGACCTGGTGAAGGATTGTGCGGCCGACGATGAATTCGCTGCTGGTGCGGGGAATTTTTCACCGAGGAAGCAGCTGCAAGTAGAAGAACATCTTCAGTTGTGCACCAGGACGACCAGCTACTCGTCTTCACCGAGGAAAAGGAACTCAAAAACTGCAGGAGCAGGAGACGTCATTAGAAACGCTAACGCCGACCAAATTTCTGATTCACCAGTTGTTCTACTTCCGCCCCAACAACAAGATCCAGCGAAGTCACAGCTCATCTGCGAAGTCACCTGGTTGGCGGACTGGGCGAAAGCCGTTGTCGAGCTTCGGAAGCTGCTGCGCCACAGCTTACCGAGGGTGCGGGAACAGATCGCGAAGTTTGCGCTGGAGGAGGCGGAAAAACAAAAAAACCTGGAACATGCGGAGGCAATTGCTGTCACCGCAGAGGAAGCCCGTTCGCGGGTTCTGCTCAAGCTTTTCGAATTGCAGAAACGAGAACAGGAGGCAAAAGCAGCGGCAAGGTTGGCCTGCCGGATTGACAAAGTCATGTCGCGGCGAACGAGGGATTTGCCGGAAGAATCAGAGAAACGCTGGAAGAAAGTGGATCAATTTCCTGCATCAAATCCTGCTGGTGAACAAGTCGGTCCGGACACCTCCACGAGCATTCCAAAACCAGCATCTGCTGAGCCGGTAGCTGCGCCATTCTTGCGGCAGAAATCAGAGTTTTCTACCACACGCGGACCGCAACATCCAGTACAACAGAAATTCGCTTCGGTTTTCTTGTCAAAGCTTCGCGAGGCCCAGCAGCGAGCGGAAAAGGAGAACTTGAGCAAGAAAAAAGGACTCATAATGGGCGCCGTTTCATCATCTGATGGGGAGTTGCGTGGAACTACATCAATCGAAGCGACAGCAACAGGGTCTTCTTCTTCTTCAAAGCATTTCTACGTCGGGGGTGAGCACCACGCTGAAGAATCCGGGCTGCTGCACCGAAACAAGATCCAAGCTGGTTCGATCAAACACTACCTCGACAAGAACACATCGGTGATTCGACTAGCTGAAGCGGCTCGGGTCCGCGTGACTCTTCCCGCTGATGCGATGTTGAGCGCCGAGAGTCTGCTCCGGGAAGAGCAGATGAACGAAAGTAAAGCTGACACTGTATTTTTAGTAGATCCTGCTCGACGCCAACAAGAAAGCGTGGAAGCGTCAAACAGGCCAGAGGGGGACCCCTGTGACGACACGACCTTGGAAGCCGCTTGTGCGCCTCTGTTGCAGGAAGCTTGTGGTGGTATAGCTACTACTGTACAACAACCACAAGAACTCCCCCCTGCAATCTGGATTGGTCTTGTGAACGAGGGTGGCCGTTCTGGAAAGACCGACGATCATGAGTCCACCACGTTATTAACAACTCCACATGATTCATCTACTAGTGCACCAGTAGCCGAACCTCCAGATGCCGAGTTGCAAACGCAGCTCCTTCGGGTTTTCACTCGCAGACTTCTGCACAAGTTCCCAAAGCTCCATGAGTCCAGATTTCGCTACGTCGTCGACAAGAAAGATGTTGACCAAGATGTTGGTGTAAAACTATCGGCGCCAGTGATAGGAAACAATAATAACAGGTCGTGTGTACCAGCCCCACGAGACCCGTTGCAGCAAGACGACGAACTACAGCTCCCTAAAGCCGTCAGCCTCGATATCTATCAGGAGTTCCTCCCCCCCGTCTATTTCGACCCCGAAGACGCGAAAACCAGCACGGACTTGCCGGTTATGTTGCTGGCGATTGGTGTCTGCGACTGCATTTTGCAGAAGATGAGAAAAATGCAAGAAGAGCAAGAAGGTCATGAGTCAGTGCCCAAGGCGGGGACTACAAACGCAAAACATAATATTAATGGTCGAAATTTACATCCTCTTTGTCCGCCGTCTTCCAGTTCGGAGGCGACGCCAACCTGGACGTTGATAGTGGAAGGCCACGCGGACGAGGGCATTTCTTCCGAAGAGTTGCAAACCAGTCTCTCCTGGGATCGGGCGGTGTTCGTCGCGAGCTTTCTGCGGGTGGCGGTCAGGAAAGTCGAAACCGCGATAGCAGGCGAAGATCCGAAACTGCTGGAAACATTGCGCGATCGCGTTTGTGGGCTACTAGAGCAAACGAAAGTCGATCCTCGTGGACCCTCGGCCAAGAAGTCCAGCAGCGAACCAAAAACAAAATCTCCGAGGAGTCCTCGCAGGAGAAATCACAGCGCAGGCAAACGCAAACAGAGCGCTATCGAAGACGATCGATATGATTTGCGACACTCGGAAGTTAAGCTAGAAGAATTCTTCGAGGAGGATGAAAATGAAGACGAACAAAGGGGAACAAACGTGAATAAGGTGAAACACGACCACATTACTTCTCATCCGAGCTGCAAAACATCTGCTTCTCCGCTTGTGAAGTTGAAGGTGCAGTGTTTTGGCCGAGGCACGAAAAACCGCATCTCGCACGTTTTTGGCGAGAGTTGGAAAAACCGCCGCTGCAATGTTTACCTGAAGGAGGACGTCGGATGATGATTATCTTCTGAACGCGAAGATACGGATAAAACACGCCATCAAATTCAGCTTTTGAGCAGATCCGCAACGAGAAGCATCACATCAGCATCGCATCAGCTGATCCAAATGAAGCTGCGATGTAGATCCTGCTTTCACATCCAGTGATTGCAGAAGAACCCTGCCTGAGCTTCCAAATGGAGCTCGAACTCACACTCACCTGTTCTCTCCTCGCTGCATGAACTGAGAATCGGTCTGCTCGGGCAACACATCATGGATAGAGGCATAGGAGGAGTTGCTTTTTGATGTGAAGAAACAAATTTCCCGCGCATTCTGTGCAGCAAGCCACAAAGCTTCCTTTTTTGCCTTCGGTTTGATTCACTGTCTGTGACGTTCTCAATTCCAATGGCGATCGTGATAGCCTCAGCTGCCCTTTTCAGCAAAGCAAAAGAAGATAAGATGACTCTTCATCTAAAGCAGCTATTGATTTTCGGTTTCACGCATTCTGTTGTGGCGCTCTAGCAGCTCTACGCTGAGGAAGTGCAATCGGTTTGGCATAGTTTTAGTTTTGAGAAGGAATAGTGAAGAAAGCGGTGGCGCAGCTACTAGTCCCTCGGCTCGATGGCTCGCTCGTGTCGGTCAAGAAGATGCAAAATGATCATGAACAAATCAGCGCTGCTGTTAAGAAAGTCCTGGCTCTCAGTTTTTCACCGGTACTTGTGAATAGTTTGAATTTGGTCAAGCCTGCAAGTGCAATTACATACTATCAACTCAGCATCCTTGGCATCGGACTCCCTTCACATTTGAGTTTTCTAGTTGACACGAACGGAATTTGTTATCGAGTGGCAATCGCCACTTTTATTTTTGTGTCCGCGGCCACAACGGAAGTTATCTTTTATCTGTAGCATAGTACACGACTATTTTTACCATCAGAAGTTACGACGTCCAAACGCGGCAGCCTAGTAAAATCATTTTTTTTGTTTTGTTTTTTTACAGAACGCAAGAACATGAATCAATTTTAACTGTAGTTGCTCCACCTCCTGTGACTTCGAACTCTGGGTCTGTGATTCTCCTCGCAACTCAGCTTCAGCATCCGGTCGGGTTGTAAACCCTTTATTTTGGCTTAATAGACAAAGAAACCTGGGACGACGGCGACCGATCTTGAACACCGCAGCCATGTTGCCGACATCGACTATGCTAAAATCCAGCGGGAGTAGGGACAGTGTCAGTAGTGGTCTGGATTACCGGTCGAGTTTACAAAAAGAGCTGGATGAAGAGAAACAACGAGGAGGGCATTTTCAAAAAAACACTTCTGCCAGCGTCTCTCTGTCCAACTGGAAAAAAGACGGACACACGCGCTGCGTCCACCACCTGCCGCTGGCGATTTTTTTGCTTTTACTCATCTGGTTTATCCTGTCCTTTTTCCTCGCGCGAACGAAAGTCATGCACTCGCTGGGGTGGTACATTCCAGCTTTTGGGTTCGTCCTCTACATGTTAATCTGGTTGGCGCTCGCCGCGATCTACTCCTTTGGCACGACGGACAAGCTGATCTGCACGTGCGAAAAGTTTGAACTGCTGGAAAACCAACGAAAAGAACTGGAAAATAATAAATCGAGAAGTGAAGAAACGCTGGCGCAAGCAGATAGGGGCACTTCCGCAGTAAACAATAAACCGACGACCACGAGGACGGCGTCCAACAACAATAAGCTCCTCACGGTGAAGAAAGAACGGCTGTCCGTCGCGCTCTCGAGCCGTGAGGAGGACATTTTCAGTGCCAACACGATCTACAAGACGCCGCCGGACGGGGTCTTGCACTTTTTGATCATCCCCAATTACAAAGAAGACGAGCAGATGCTGTCGGAAACCATCGACGCGGCGGCGATGAGCAAAGAGTACGCCGCAAAGTCCGTGGTTCTGGTACTCGCTATGGAAGCCCGCGCGGGGAAGCAGGACGAGGCGAAGGCGTACCGCTTGGCGAGGAAGCACGCAAATCAGTACTTGGACGTATTGATAAACTTTCACAAGCCGGGGGAGCTACCGAGGGAGATCGCGGGGAAATCGAGCAACCAACAATCGGCCTATTTGAAGGTTCTGGAGATGTTGGACAAGCAAAAAGCGCAATACGCCACTTCCATGAACCCTTTCAGCTACTCGGAAAAGAATAATCTTTCCTCGAGGGCGGGTGCTGGAGGAGGTTTCTTCCCACCTGGAGGTTCCACTACTGCAACAACCTTCGCCAGTCCGAGTTTCCAGAAAATCAGCCACAAGGGAATCAGGTTTTTGGAGGAATTTGTGCTGGACCGGAATGAGCAGGCCTACGAGCATGGTGAGGATGCCGTGAGGGAAGCAGCGGAGCAGATGCAAAATCGGAAGCAGTTCACGGCCAAAAATCCAGACGTGAAAATTTACGACATATCCCGTACGTTTGTCACGATCCTCGACGCCGATAGCATCCTCCATCACGGCTACTTTCCCTTACTCACCGCGACAGCCTTACGTTTACAACCGCAGTGCCGCACGTGGCGGATCTACCAGTCCGCCGTTTTTCCCTTTCGCAACGTGCAAAAGCTCCCCGGGTTCGTGCGTACCAGCAGCTACTCGCACTACGTGGTGGAGTGCGGGTTGTGGAACCACCTCGGGGGCCTGCACATGAACCACTATCCTGTGCAAAAGTATCGTACTCGTATAAATGCATTACAAATTTCCTCAGCATGAGAAATAAAATTTGTAATGCAGATTTGCCTTGGAAACAAGATTTGTAATGCAAGACTTGCATTTGGATTTGTACGAGTACGATACTTTTGCACAGGATAACCACAGCAGTTACACGATGCCGCTCGCGTTGCTGCAAAGGGTTAATGGGTGGGACGCGGATGTTATTGCCGAAGACCACCACATGTTTCTGAAGTGTTTATGCATTGCAAATGTGTCTGGCTGTGGGTGTGGAAGAATGCAACTTGTAATGCGAAGTCCGGATTGTGAAACAATCTGTGTTGCATGATTATCATAAGTTGTCCACTTTTGATCAATGTGAGAGGAAGTTTCTCGTGCAGGATAGGCATGAGAAAGGTCTCACCGAATCTCTCGTGCTATGTCCTGCATGCGAGACCTCATGGGTCATGAAAAATCTGCATCACAAGTCTTGCAATCTTCCAGACCCAGACGTATTTGCATTTGATGGCGTTTCTGCGAATCCCACTGGACGGACGTCCGGGAACGGGAGCGGAAAGAGAAAGTGAACTTACGCAGCTCAAGTAGTTCTGCTGGTACTAGTGGTGCGCAAGAACAACGGCGCGAAGATGGAGACGTCATCAATTACGAGCCAGAGCGAAAGCCGTTACTGGCGAACTCGGATGGCGAGGTGAAGTACGACTACGACAATGCTCCCAGATATGGAAGTTTCAGAATCGAAATTGACAAAGTCGGAAAATTTGCGATGCACAAAATCGATGTCAGTTGGAGCCTCAGTTTCTAAGTGGCGCATGGCAAATTTTGGGAATAGTACCCAAAGCCAGTCTCCTGTAATGCTACTCTGGCAGCACATTGCATCCCCCTAAACAGGCTTACAATCGGCCTCATTTGCCTGCTCCCCAATACAGGCCTTCAGTGCCCTACGTTTTACGCATCACAAATTTTTCGATTTTGTCGATTTCGATCCTGACACATCCATACCAGAACAAGTCGACAAGAAACCACTTCGCGGGTGAAGCTGGTGCGGATCCCGCTCCCCACGATCGGGTACACGGTAGAAGCCGCAGAAGACGAGACTTCGGCCCACGTGTGGGCGCGGTACCACCAGTGCGTGCGGCACTACTACTTCGTCAGCGAGCTCTCCTACTGCTTTCTGCAGCACATTAAACTCGCGAAGGCGGGCGCGCTGTCCTGCGCCGCGCACTGGGAACTGTTCCGGATCGAGTGGCACATGATCACCATGTTGATCTTCACACCCTTGTACGCGGTTTTGATGATTTATGGGAGTGTCAGAATCGAAATCGTCAAAGTTGAAATAACTTGTAATGCATAAAATCGATACCAATCGGACCCACAGTTTCTAGTCAGTGTATGACAAATTTTGTCCGTACCGGAAGCCAGTTGGTCATGCTGTTTTGGGCAAAGGGGCTCCCCTCTGTGATGCTAACCAGCAGCCCAATTCGCGACCCTTGCCAGCGCTACAATCTGCCTCCCTTGCGTCCTCTGCAATAGGCACAATTTTGGTGTTGCATTTTATTTTAAGCATGACAAACTATTTCATCTTTGTCGATTTCGATCCTGACACTCCCATATGATTTTGGTGATCGCCAACGTGCTTTGGTGTTTCTTCGACCTGCTGGCGAGCAACCACTGGACGTGGGATAGCATGATCTTGCTCTACATTTTCTCTCCTGTAACGATCTATGTCCGCGGTGAAGCACCAACAGCGAACGCAGGAGTTGCACCTCCCCCGGCCTACGGGAGTTCCTCTCTATTATTCTACCGAGACCCGATATCGCAAGAAAAAACTGTTTCACTGTAAACTTGCCATGCAGAGAATGGAACACAGAACTATTTGTCTTGCTACACCTGCAAGGCATTGGATTTTTCAGCGTGTTTTCCCTTGGGAAGCGCGCAGGGCAAATTTTCCCTGTCATGTGTAGCAAACTTGTGATCCAGATCTTGGAATAAAACCATCACAGTGAAACAGTTTTTTCGTGGGATACCCGAGTGCCGACTACATTTGGACCATTTTCGCTTTCTTTCTCTCGCTCGGCTCGGTGTGGCTCGGGCTGGGCATTCTCCCGGCCGCGTCCGTGCGACGCGCGCTGAAGGCGACGCTGGAGGGGAAATTTATCCCGGTGTACTACCTCCAGGAAGCGAAGGACGCAGAGAAGAAACGGGCCTGCTTTTGCTGCCCCACGGTAAATTACGAAAAGAAAGAGTACGTGAAACTAGTGCGGAACGATCATGGGAATTTGATCGGGGACGAGTTCGCGTATGTAGAAGAAGATGGGGAAGGAGGAACTACTTCCACCGCAGGAACGACAAGTGACGTGGTAGAGAAAACAAGCCCTGGTGTAGGTGCAGCTGCTATCATCGAGAAATCCGCGTCGGAGCACTCGCAGCACTCCTTTATTTCGGCGAAGGACCACCACATGCAGCATGCGCTTGTGCTGAAAACGCGGACCATGGACAAGAAGTCGTCCTACTGCCTGTTCCGCCAGATTTCCGACGACTACTCGAACTGGGGCCTCCTGGGGGCCTTTTTCTTCGCCGTGGGGCCGGCGTTTTACGTGATCTTCCGGCTCAGCTTATCCTGAGTAAAAACGTCCCCACCCCATAGTTGTCATGCAGATTTGCAGCCACAGGAAGATTTGTAATGCGCATCCGCATGAGAGGCTTTTCCAATCTTTTTTTGGACTTTGTAATGCTGTAAATTGGACGAGTAGATGGATTTGTATTGCGGCTGTACTTGCTAAACTGCACTACAATGCAGAGACGAACTTGCCATGCTTGGCTCCCAAAACTTCTCGACTTGTGTTGCGAGATCCTCATCTTGACTCTGGGGTGGGGACGTTTTTGCTCAGGATACAGCTGCCATGGACATACGGCCGAGTACGTGGTCGCCGAGAAGCCGGCAACCGCTATGACAGTGCACCACTCCCCCTCCCCCTCATTTGTATGGCATGAGCAGCAATATAGACACCAGCACATATAGAGCCTATGCATGGCAATGGCAAATTGTTACGCCTCGCGTAGTACTGTTTGGACTTCCAGAATTTGTCATGCAAACAGTGCTACAATGTTAAGGCAGCAGCTGGATTTGGCATTTTGCATGACAAACGAGGGGGAGGGGGAGTTGTGCACTTTCATAACCGCGGGACCCGTGCCACTAGTCAGAACCTCCTCGATCGCAAGTTTGATGTAGCGTTGCACGTCGGGGGGGGGGGTGGAGTGGTCGTTTGTTTATCTTTTGAGGTGAGCTTCAATGCAAGTTTTGGAAGTGGCTCTCACTCTATTGACGTCATGGCGTCCCGCAGTTTTTTTTTGTTGCAGCAAAGAGAAAGAAGGGAAAGCCGCAACTTTCTCTTTCGTGAAACGCGAAGCACTTAGAAGTGCCGTACGTAGTGACTCTGTAGAAGAATAAATAGACTATTTTGCAAGTAGCCAGCCTCTTTCTATCTCTTTTGATTCTGGTTCTGATTCATATTCAATTTCAAACGATAACCATCACATGTTTCTGTACCGCCTCTACTTTTCTACTATTGACGTCTAATCCTGCAATGCGTTTAGTCGAGGTCGAGCCTCCATACGAGAATCGTATTGTTCGATTCGATTCACCACAGCGATACGATCTTCAGGAAGCTACATGGAAGTTGTTGTCGTTGACTTTTTGTTCAAAAATGCTGAAGCTTCTTCCGATGATTTTTTGTTCCTTTACGTGTGGAGAGGATCAATTGGAATATGAGCATGCAGGATGAACATCCGCGAACTCAGTCGTATGACGAGACTGTGTGCCAGCACTTCAACAAAAGGAGCAAGAGCATTTTGATTTTGATTTTATTGAAGCATTTGAAATTGAAAACAAAACATAAACTCACGCCCTATCTCAACGGCCGTCTTGAAGTTGGCAATCGCAATCGCGGTTATGTATGAATCGAAGATTCGCTGGAAAAACCAAATTGGCGACGGTCCTCAAAAACGAGCGCTGGCAGCCACCGGGGGCCAGCAGAGTAGACTTTCTGAAGCGACAGGGAGTTGTCCAGATCTACCCCTTGCCTTCGCAATTGTGATCAGCCTAGTCAATGCCTTGTCGCCAAATCGTTCAAGTGAATTAAGTAGCGTGATCTGAGCAACAGAAAAAACGAATGAGAAAATGAAAACGTGGCCGCGCAATCGGTTATTTTCCATGCTATGAATCTTGGCTGCTCTGAGTCTTTATTGTGTCAACCATAAACAAGCCGAGGCCGAGGCCCCGCCACCGCAGGGGGGTTCTCGCGCACTGAACTCCGAAGAGTGAAGTGATCTGAAATTATCAGGACGCTCTTGAAGCTTGCTGAAGGGCCTCAATTGGAAGACTCCTCATTTTGAGTGGAAGTGTCGCTCAGTGCGCGAATGCTGTAATTGTAAACTGTAGATATTACAAGGCCGCAGCTTATGTCGCGTAGTGGGAGGGTGAACGAGTGGACAGGGGGGAAAGAAAAGCGCCAGAGTGTGGGCAAGGGAAAAAATTTTTGATGCAGGGTGGGGCCAGGCATCTGCGCCGCTTCTTGCTGAAAGAACGAAGGCGGAGCGCCATGGCGCCCGTGGTTCCAGTCTCTGCGCGAGCGCGAGGACCCCACCCGCATGGGGCGCGCATTTGTGTGGCGCCGGCAAGCCTTAGGCCCAAGCAACAACGCAAAGCGCGGCAGCGGGCGGGCGCCAGTAGACGGGGGAAGGAAGCAGGGGAACAGCCCGCGCCATGCGAGGCGATGGCGCGTGACGCCATGCCCGCGCGTTTGTGGCGTGGCCCGCTCGTGCTGCTTGCCTTTGTGCCCCGGTTGCCCCTGCGCGCCTTTGTGCCCCCCGCGCCCTTCCCCCGCGCGCAGCCTTGCAGAGCGGGGGCCCCTGTCGCGCGCTTGGATGGAGGCAGCACGGGCGCCGGGGCGGGGCATTCATTGGCTGCCCCCCAGGCGCAGGGGCCCACCACCCTCCCCCAGCACCCCCGGGCAACAGCGGCGCCCTCCGCGTTAGCTCGCATGCAGTAATCTGCTCCGCCCCCGCCTGCTTCCCTCGCGCGCACCGTCCAAGACAGAGGCGGCGGACGGTGGCGCCCTCTGCCGGTCTCCTCGTGAGCAGAGAGAGGGAGGGCGCCGGGGGAGGGTGGTGGGCAGCTGCCCGCCTGCAAACCTGGCGCCGGGGCGCGGCTTTCCCTTCGCGAACAGAGGGAGGGCGCCGGGGGAGGGTGGTGGGCAGCTGCCCGCCTGGGGCTTGGCCGCCGGCGGTGTTCCCCGTGCCCCCCGCCTTCTTTGCGCCCCCCGCCCGTGCTTCCACCCCGCTATCCCCGTGCCTCCCGGCTCCCCGTGCTTCCCGCTTTCCCCGTGTTTCCCGTTTCCTCCGTTCTTCCCGCCTTTCCCGTGCCTCCTGCCTTTCTCGTGCTTCCCGTTTTTCCCGTGCTCCCCGCCCTCCCTATGCTTCCCGCTTTCCCTATGCTGCCCGCCCTCCCTATGCTTCCCGCTTTCCCCGTGCCTCCCGCTTTCTTCGTGCTTCCCGCTTCCCCCGTGCCCCCCGCTTTCCCCGTGCTTCCCGCTTCCGCCGTGCGTCCCGCCTCCGCCGTGCTTCCCGCTTTCCATCCCCGCGCTTGCCGTTTTCCCCCTGCTTCCAGCGCTCCCCGTGCTTCCCGCTTTCCCCGTGCTTCCCGCTTTCCCCGTGTTTCCCGCCTTCCCCGTGCTTCCCGCCTTCCCCGTGTTTCCCGCTTTCCCGCCGTAATTCTCGCGAGGACATTGATAATCAATTTGCAACATTAGAACAACCTCGAAAACAGATCTAGGCTACACCTCGATCAGAAATCCTAGGTAGAATAGAGTCAAAGCCTAGGATTTCTGATCTGGGCTACACCTAGTAGTGCCCGTATATCTGATCGAAATTAGACGCACTCAGAACTTCTACCTGTATTCCAGGAAGTTAATTTTTTCTACTATTTCCTCCGTTCTCTTCTTGTCTACAACGAAAAGCGAAGAAATTGGCTCTGAGGCTGTTCTGCTCGTCGTGCAGTATAGTGAATTTCTACCCCAAATAAATAATCTAAAATGGCCCCGTCTTTGCTCACGAAGTTGGCAGCCGCTGGCGTAGTTGCCGGCAGCTCGGTGCTTTATTTCTCCTCGTTGCTGAAACTGACGACGAGCCCGGTGACCCTCGTGTCGGCGGTGCGGGTTCAAGCGTCTTCTTCGGCGGGGCCGCGTGATAGGTCCACCTCGGCGGGGCGTGGTAGGTCCCTGTCGCCGCAACGGTCCACTTCGTCGAGATCGTATCGGTCCCTGTTTTCGTCCTCGAGTCGTATCGCAAGAAAAAGTGTGACAGTTACACGCATAGTCTTTGCAAGACCGACAACACAAACAGCCTCTCTCATGCACGAAATGCTTGGGAGCTTCGTTTCCTTCCTGTTTTCTCTTATGATCTTCGCATTATGCCACACAGAGAAAATTTGTGATGCAGAAACTCCAACAAATGTGTAACTGTAACACTTTTTTCTCGTGATGAGTCGTGGCTCTGGCACGGAATATCAAATGCAAAAGTGTCTGGGTCTGGAGGAGTGCGCGACTTGTCGTGCAGCTTTTCCATGACCCATGAGGCCTGCTGGAATGCAGGACCTAGCGTGACAGCTTCTGTGCGATCTCTCCCATGCCTATCCTGCATGAGAAACAAACTCCCTCCCGACTTGGTTTAACCTGGACACCTTTTGGTAATCATGCAACACAGATTTTTGCATGCTTCAGATTTAGCATAACAGGTTGCATTCTTGTTCCAGACCCACACTTTTACATTTGATACTGCATTCTTCGACATTCCAGAAACATTCCAGTGCGCCATTTGTCAACAATATCCAAGAAAAAAAGGCTCAGATTCGTTGTTTTTTGCTGGGCCAGCATTTTTACAAATCTGCCAGGTCGTTGACAGCAAATAAAAGCTGTCGACGTTCGGAGATCCTTGCACGTGGAAACGCACTTGCATTGATTGACCCTACAAGTTGTATGCATGACCAGTCGATGACAAACGCTGACGCAATCATCTTAGTGCATGTTCTTGCGCATCACAAACTTACAACCTACAGTCTTGTTCTGTTGGATATAGAAGATTGCGTGCCACGGCCAGGTGGAGCTCCATTGTGTCTGGTCAAGAGCCACTTCGTGGATCAGCACGTCTGCGCAGCATGCGATGCAGCGTATGTTGCGTATGCTGCGCGTTCTGGCGACCACAACAGGTGTGTGATGTGCCGTGATGTCAGACCACTTCAGATCGAGCCTCCTGAGCAAGAAAGGAATGCCCTCGAGGAAGCGGTCATGTCGACCGCCTCAGACCAGGCTATACAGCTGGAGCGAGTAAAATACATGGCGTATACTAGTCGAGACGACCAAGATAAGTGGCTCATGATTTGGTTTGTCAACATATGCTCGCGCTCCAAGTAGAAAATGCTCAATACTTCTTGATCCAGAATCGCAAAGCAACAAAAGGTGTAAAGATCTCAAGGCACGAACAAAGGACAGGAACAGAAGAGACAGGCGGCATATGCAAATGTGAAGCCCAAGGTGTAAGAGTATAACAAATTGAATGGAACGATAAAGATAGAGATACAATGCGCATGAACATGAATTCTCGACAGCCTTGATGTACTCCACAGGCCTTGAGTCATGCACTCTAGTATGCATGACGAGCGCCATGCTTGAATCTATATAAATATCCTGACCTACTGGAATACTTGCATTGCGTTCTGTTCTTAGATAGTGTTCAGCATTTTTCGACTGCTTTGGTTCGGGATTCACGCAGAGCGGAGATCGCCTTCCCGGCTCTGAACTGTTACCATGCAGGAAAGTACACCCATACTAGGAAGAGAGTAAATGTGTGCTACTAGTCATGAAGTCGACGCATCCCTAAAATCTCTGATGTCATGCGGAGACCAGAAGCAGAACCGTCATGCCAAGCAGAGAGGTACCCCCGAAGGAGTTTGTCATGCGCAGCATACAGATTTCATTTTTTTTGTGGTATGTGTGTACTCTTCTGCGGAATACTTGTGCCTGCATGTCAAAGTGGACGACACTGGCTTGTTGCTTTTGTCGCTTTCTACAACGATTCCGAACGAGGGGAGAGCCCTGCGGGTTTGGCGGGATGGGCCTTTCAATCTGACAAAGTGGCAGCAGAAATTTTTGCTGCATTTAGCTGCAAGACCCGGCGTCGACCACTCCGGCTCGGCGAGAATTACTTCCCGCACGCCGACTGTTTTGGCTACTACTTATGATATTGAAGTTGACACGACCCTGGTCCGTCCATGTATTGCTCTCAGTCGAGAAATACACCGGAGGGCTCACAAATACTGGTAGTTTAGTTCTACTTTTCGTGGAGGGGCATCTTACTCCATATACAGAGGATTTTCATCAGCAGAAGAGTGCGAGCGTCACATCTGCCGCGAATCGCAACGCAATACCTGTTCGGCTGACTTCCAGCCCTATCTTGTGCACTGTCATGCTCAATGCCAAATTATATGCAATGGAAGCCATCTCGACGAGGTCGGCTTCTGTGTGTTGAGGTCGGCTTCTGTGTGTTGAGATCGCCGAAAGATCTTCCCTGCCTATCCCCCTGGGAGGGGATCCGTTGCCCGTGGCTCTGGCTGCGGCTGCGGGTGTCCACTCGTTGTTGTTATAAGAAATGCTTCTCAATATGGTGCAGCTTGAGAACGAGCATGGGATATAATTGGGTCGTGTTTTCATAATGATAGTGGCGGGGCCAACGTGTCGCTATCGAGCATTGCAAAACGAGGACCAGCTGGCAAAGCGGAAGCCTTGCAAAACAGAAGGCGCAAGTACTCGTGCCGCAAACTCTTTCTGCAAGACTTCAAAAACCTTGGCGACAGTTCCTATCTTCGCGCGGCAGAAGAAACCCTAAACCACCACTGGGGGCCGTCTTCTGCCGTCTCGACACTGGGCCAGTGGATGCTATATGCTATGGAAACGAGTTACGCGGCTCCCGCTTCCGTGGCAAACCTACAGACGCTACTTCGGCGAGATCTACTTCAAACCTACCCGCCGCTGGCTCCGCGTCCGCCACAGGACGTTCAGGCGCTGCCTCCGCACCACGAACCGCTGAGAAATATTATGGGAATAAATAGAAGAGATAGAGACCAATAAATATCAATATCGATATCCATAAAAATGCGAGCGCTGGCATCGCCGGTGCCTCGTTATAGATTCGTAGCGAGGAGCAAAAAATTACGCTGTGTACTTACTCATGCTATGGTATCCGTATTTTGTTCTGATTCTGATAGTGGTGCGACAGAGACAGAACTAGAGCTCCAAAGCAGTTCATGGAAAAAAGCTCCGACAAGCCAAACCGCGCGCTTTGCTGTAATCTATATCAGAGCCAGCCTCACCCGAGCGCTTTTGTACACTTCACTAACAATCCAAGAACTTAGAGCGATCATATAAGATTTACATCGTACATAGTCGAACTCCGGGTGTAAAAGTATAGCAATCGACTCGACCCGCATTTTTCTGCAAGATTTGCCAACAGTTGCACGAGGGCGCAAAAAGCACGCACGTACAGCGGAGCGGAGCGGCAGCAGAACTATCTCAGCTAGACCGACGAAGCCCTCTTGAGTCGAAGTATGTGTATTTGGATAGTGGTTTAAGACGTCTACTGTATTTGAAAAATGAACATAGAAGAGGCTTTTTTCCTTGAAAAGGAATGGAAAAAGCCCAGTAGTGTGCTTTACTTATTAAACAAGTATATTTCTCTTTATTAAACTTACAAATAATATTTGTCGACACCTCAGCTGTACCAGTTCAAAGTAGACGCTATGTAAAGCACTCCGACGTAGCGCTCAAATCAGTAGACTTCGTTCATGAGAGAGATGAAGCGCAGCGTCATCGTCAGCATATACAAAATCTCTACAAGTTGCAGCGGCAGCCGACTTGCCGACGCAGGTGTGTCTATTCACACAAATTCGCAGTGGGTCTACTCACACAAGTGAGCATTAGTCCGGTTGTTGATCTTGACGCTGACGCCTGAAAGCCAAACACTCACTCGAAAAAGTGTATGATTCATTCTATCGGGAAAAGTGAAAGTCTGTTGCCTGAGGTCGGGCATGCTGCTGCGCTCCGCGCATGAAAACTCTTCGATGATATATCCCTTCACAGGCACGCCCGATTTGAATAATCAAGATTGCCTTTGGCGACGCCAAGTGGTGGCCGAAGTTTTGCATGGCGGCTGATTGGTTCGTGTGTTGTTCGCTGTTTCAGATTAAGAACTGTGGCTAGACACTGAAACTGTAAAAGTACAAAGCTGATGACGGGAGTACTAGTAGGAGACCACTGACTTCTTCTGAGAAAAGAAAAACGCAGATCCATAAACTTCACAAGGATCTAGGACGCTGGTCGTGATGTTTAAATTGCATTGATTTGGCAAAGTATCTATGAGCAACCTCTTCTGGTGTTGTTACTGCGGTTTGGGGTGTCTCGGTCTGGAACGCATGAGATCCTTATACCAAGCATCCAAAAACCGTCCGCGCTTGTGCATTGTTTTGTCCTTTTTACGTAGGGGAAGCATGCTTTTTTCCGAGTATACTTTCACCGCCCGAGACCGAGCGCATTAGCGCCGACAAAGAGAGGGATCCTCGACGGATGTCCGTTTCACTTTTCTACTGTGTGTTGCTTTTCTCTAGATCCATGTCGCACCTGTGACGCAGAAAGGACCAGTTTCCCGCAGATTTGGAAGCCCCACACGTTTGCTTCACGTTCCTGTTGAGGTTGATGCTCGAATCACGGGCTATTAAGTTCATGCAGGGCCGCAAGCAAAGCCAAACCGCCCCCGCCGCAGCGAATGCTTGAGCTTGGCTCGTGATCTTTTTTACTGGTTCTTTCGCATGGTTTTGTTTGGTCCTGCTGTAGTTGGTGTTTTTGTTTTTGTACTTCTGTCCGGACGATCCTGGTGCCAACTATTGCCGCCCATGGTTCTTGTGTGAAGTAAATGAGTTGTAGTCCTCTCTGTAAAGAAATAAACCTTCGGCTATTAATGGTAAGATCGTCCGCCGAAGCATACTTACAGTGAGTTGCGCATCTTCATCAGCTCCAGCACAGTTCTTGCTACAGCCGCCACAAGAAATAGCGACGATAGTGATACGGGATTTTGGATGACGATGAAGATCTGCTTGTTAGTTTAAAAGTTTCGACGACCCTCAAAGTTGTGAAGAACAACAACGACGATTGAGGATAATTTCACCACGCACAGCAATAGCTCTCGCGTTAATTCCTGCTCTACTACCTGCTCAGGGGTTACAAACAAAACGATGGGAATGATGATGAAGGAAAGAAATCCCTTTTTCTCCGCGACCGCCTGTCCGAGTACGAGCATTGAAGCCTTTCATCAGAGTACGAGTACTCGCAGTCCACAGCACGAGAAGCTATTCCACACGGTAAGAGCCAGCTGGAGAAAAAGCCGAAGGATACTAGCGAATAAAGGAAAAGAACAAGATAAAAAGCCGAATGCTGTTGACTACAACAGAGAGTGTAGCTCCGACAAAAATGATCTGCTTCAGCAACTCCAGGCGAGTTTTCGTCGGAAGCTGCAGGCCGAAGTGGATTGCCTTGCTGGAAGCGGAGCGATAGATTTCCGAAAGAACGTGTCGGAGTCGTGGGACAAACTTTTCCAGATATCAGCGAAGATTTTACGGGTCGATGTGGTCGAGCGCCCGCTAGGCCGATGGCGCACGCCACCGCAACGAAGCGACGACAAAAATCGTCTTTTTGCTTACTCTTTCAAGCTCCTCAAAAAGGTCAAGAATAAAAGCACGAACGGGATCAAAAGCACGAGCGACAGTGGTGGCAAGGAATACTATCGCTATCCTCAATGCAAAAGTTTTTGTCGTACACGTACTTCTCATGCAAATGGTCATGGTGGAGATAGTTTTTCATGCCGTGCCGCAAGTTGCATCTTTCTGTTTCTTCTCGTCTCCCACAACTACTCCTACCTTTTTTGACCGCATTTTTTCAAATTATACTTACAAACTTCCCTTCGCTTTACTGAAATTCGCCGCGCTGCACTTCCAACGTCAGGCTAGTACACTGCAGTGCGATAGAAATTGTACTTTTGTAATCCATACGGAGATAATGCCAATCGTTACGCTGTGGGACGCTGACGACCCTCCCGACGGCGCAGTGCCGAATCCTCCGCCAATGACCCCATTAGATCACGCAGGGCAACTATCGCACGAAAAAACTGTTTCACTGTGAACTTGTGATGCATAGAATGGAGCACGCAACTGTTTGTGTTGCTACACATGCACGGGATTGGAATTCAAGCGTGTTTTCCCTTGGTAAACGCGCATGACAGGTTTTTAGAAGTCTCATGTGTAGCAAACTTGTGATGCAGATCTTGCAAAATCATCCCAGTGAAACAGTTTTTTCTTTGCATAGCAACCCGTGCCACACAATGACTTCAACGCGCACTACGACTCGCACGAGTACTGCAGCATGATCGGCGGCGCACGGAGCATCAACCTCAACACCGCGCCACAAGAACCTCCACCGCAGCTCTCCTTACAGCCCTCCACCAGCACGACAACATCCACGTCCACCAACTACTGGGGCACCGAACAAATATTAGGACCGCGACACTTCCAGTTCGCTTACGATGTTTTTATTTCAGAGGTTTTTTCCGTTTCGTTCTGGGCGTTGTGGATCTTCTTGCTGTGCTCCATTATCGCCCTGGATTTCACCTACTGCGTCATCACCCACTACGCGAAAATTACGCTTCGTGGCTTGTTCTGGAATCAAATTTACCTACGGGAGGACATGCGCGAGAGGCGTTTGCGGTGGCGGAGAGGTGCTGTACCAGGCGGCAGGTGGTCGTGCAGCAGGAGGGCCATGAGTATAATGCGTGACAGCGCGGCGCTACAGATTCTTCGAGGGGTCATCATATTCAAACTCTGCCTAATTTTCCCGGGGCACTGTGGAACGAACGCGGCGTATCCGAAGTAGAAAAAAGTGCTCTATAGCTTTCACAAATGTGTTTTGTACTTCTAGCAACACAGCTTTGTTGGTCTGCTCGAAAACGACCACGACAAAATAAATTTGCAACACTTCTGGGCCTGGGCCTGCTCTCGTCCCGCATGAAAGTGCTTGTCATCTGCCTTTCCGTTTGATATTCCCTTCCTCCTCCTGCTACATATTCGTGTAAAAAGAAAAACCGAAGCACTCTTTTCTTTTCTCCATACGGGGAGTTTGGAGCCGACGATCTACCTCCGCTCCAACGCATCCCTCGCCGTCACCAGAAACGAACCCTGTCCCGTGATTTGGCTCTCCAACAAGGAGCCCCTGACCGATCCGCACACAAACGAGCCCCTGCAGTTGGGGATGTTCCGGGCCACCTTCACTGACGCGACGGACTTGGTTCCGTTTGGGAAGGCCAGCCACCCTTTGTATCATTTGGACCACCGGGTGTTCCCCAGATTTCCGAGACACCTAACCGAGGCGAAGATGGGGGTGCGGAAAGTTTCCTTCCTCTTCCCGTATCCTGTGCAAAAGTATCGTACTCGTAGTAATCGCAATTATGCATCACAAATCTGGTTCCCAAGGCAAATCAGCATGAGAAATTCCATTTGTCGTGCTGAGCGAATTTGTGTTGCAATTACCACTAGTACGATACTTTTGCAGTTCATATCCCGCCCTTGGAAACGATGGACCAATTGATGTTTTCTCTGTTCGAATATCAAGTGCAAAAATAAATGTCTGGGTCTGGAAGGATGTAACCTGTGATGCGCATTTCAGAACACACAAAAATCTCTCATGCATGGGTAGCAAAAGCTGCTCACTTTCTGTCACCAAAATGGGGGATTTGTCATGCGGGTTCGGCATTGCGGAAGCTTCTCGAAACCTGTGATGCTAGAGCTTCCATGCCAGACCTTCCGTGTCATGCAGAAACAGCATGACTCTTCCAGGAGACCCAGACAGTTTTACATTTGATATCGAAGAGGCGCGGGAAAATTTTCCGAACGACGTCTTCATCGACCTGACCACGGAGACGCGACTCCCGGCGTTCCAAAACTACACCTTCTCCATCCTGTTCGGCCAGGACAACCAGGACCTCCCCTCGCCGCGACTGTTGGAAGCCATCGCGCACGGCGTGGTGCCCACCTTTCTCTGGTGGCAGGACGAAACTACCGGGGAACCGATTTTCAAACATTTTCTTGATTACTGCTACTACTTCAAGTACGCGGTCGCGAAGTTCCGCTTCCCGAGCTTCACGCCGCAGTCCGCGCACAAGTTTCTCACCGAATCCGCCCACTCGGACGCGATTTACGTGATGCAGTCGTCGCTGAAGCTGGTGCAGGACTTTTTCTACTACCGGTACCGCCTCCCCTTCGAAGAGAACCTTTTGCAGCAGGCGCGAATGGTGTGCCGGGAGCAGGAACAGGCGCAGTTGACCCCCTTCGCTTTCATCGGGGTGCTGTCCGGCAAAGCGAACTTCAACCGGCGCCAGGCAATGCGCGACACCTGGCTGAAAGTTCTCGAAAACGACCTACCCCGCGGTCCGGGGCCGAACAAGGCGCGGCCGCAGCGCGACGAGAGTCCGATGCGGGTGACCTACAAATTTTTCGTGAATCGGGTGGGGAGCGAACAATCGGACGAGGAAGACCCGGATTGGCTGTTGCGCGGCGAGTATGCATTGCAAAAGTATCGTACTAGTATAAATTGCATTACAAATAATTAGCCCAGCATGATTACAAATTGAATTTGTAATGCTGATTTGCCTTGAGAAAAAAATGTAATGCACAAGTGCAATTAGTACTATGAGTGCGATACTTCTGCACAGGATATCGAGGCGGAGCTGTTTCGGGATGTTGTGTTCGTCGACGCGCCGCCCGAGTACCCGATCGGCAACCAGGGGATGCAGATGTGGCACTGGGTGGCGAACCACACCGACGCGGGGTACATTTTGAAAATTGACGACGACATCTACCTGCGCCCCGTGCAGTTCTTCCAGCACCTGAACCAGCTCCAGCGCGCCCAACTCTACCTGGGCGCCTTCGACTACAGCGGTGAGGTGATCCGGGATCCCGATTCCGCGCACTTCCTTGCGGACGAAAAGTTTGTCAGCGTATCAAAGTGAAAAAAAGCCCCCTCCCCATATTGAAACGCAAATTTCTGTTGCTGGATTTGTGTACACAAATCATTGCTGTATTGCAGCAAGCGCTGGCAGGCAACACTTCCTAAGGCTGATTAGGTATGCAAAGGGCTAGCACTCAGGCATGACAGACAGCTTTGCAGTAGGCAAAAGCGCATGACAGCTTAGCTGTGGAATGCGCCACACGGCTAGCATTTGCCTCATATGCAAGACAAAGCTGATTTATGATCACAAACCAGCATCACAAATTTCAGTTGTGAGTTTGGCGAGGGGAGATTTTTCCTCACGATACAACGACGTCTTTCCGCCGTACGCGCGGGGGGCGGGGGTGGTGATCACCCTGGATTTGGTGCGGAAATTCGTCGAGGAAGACCGGAAAAAGCGGTTGACGCGCCTGCGGGTGGAAGACGCGAGCTACGGCTTGTACCTGCACCAATTAGTTCGCCGGGATTTGTATCCACAGCAAAAGTAGTTCTTGTGCGAAATATCGCACGGAGTCTTTATCCTAATTTTTTGCAAAAATGTACTTCATCTTAGTCTTGATACGCGAAGGCGGATTTTCTTCCTCAACCGTAGTAGCCGTGCCTGCATGACAAGTTCCGCTTTTCGTCCTTTTATTTCTTTTGAAAGCATTTGCGTTTATCAGTTTCAGTATCGTGTGCCATCATCCTTCATCTTCTTTTGCACTGCATAACTTGGCCTCGGTGACACTCTACGATATGATGGAGGAACATTTCGCCATGGATGCAAAGTACTTTTGTAGTTCTACACTTGTGATTTTTTTCATTGTTGCTGTGAATTCATCCAAAAAATCTGAAGATGTAGATCATTTTATCCCAACAAAAGCCATTACATCAAAATGTTTGCAACTATAGTACACTCACATTCACAAAGACTTCTACCCGTGTATCACTTATCAGGTGCTGCACCGAAATCACCCATCCAAACAATTGCTGGGCGCCCTTGAACGATCGCAGTTATGTCGTGCACCACATGAAGCCGGAGCAGCTGGTCTGCATGTTTCGGAAAGATACCGAAGCAGGCTTGTATGTGCAGCTCACGACAACTACTTCTGCGGGAGCAGCTCAACAACGAGAAGGAGCCACGGCCGCAAGCCCTCTGGGACCCTTGTTCCCGAATGCGCCCCCGACTGTTGGAGTAGCCCCGGTCGCTGCTCCCCCGAAGAGAAGAAAAACCGTGAAACAGCAACAAATGGACATGTGGTTAAAGAATTTCGGGGGCGAGCAGAAAAAACTCGAGCAGGAAACGTTCACGAGCGTAGAGTATGACGTGGGGAACCCGGAGGTCATGGCGAGCCTTTGCGACTGCGTGTACACGCCACCACCGCATCCAGATGAGCCGTTGCAAGGGAATCATGTCAACCGCGACCACGCAGACACGGCTGCGCCGAAGTTGCAGTACCGACCTTCGTTCGAGTGGTGAGGGATGTTGCGATGGGGTGTTTAAGAAAGCGCACATTGGCCACGGTTTAAGTAGATTTGGCTCTTTGACAAGTAAAAATGAGAAAATGGAACTCCATGCTTGTCCTTACGAAGATGAACTGATTTGAGAAAGCTTTGGTGGCTTTGTATTGGATTGATAAAATTGGCAGGAAATAATAGATAATGTTGTTGTCCTCCTTTGTTTCACCCCGTGAAATTAATTTGATCGTAATGGACGTCGACGAATCCACCTCACCCGGTAGCTACGACAGTGGCGTGGCAGGCACCTTTCCTGCAGCGCCAGGAGATAAAATCGCGACAGTCATAGAAAGTCGTGAGCTTTGAGATCGCACGCGGACTGTGAAACGTCTGAGTCAAGCTTTTTTTCAACTTCTGCCGGTGTAATATACCCGCCTTCTTGAGAGAGAACATGATGGATGAATGTGGAACCATTGTGGTTGAACGGAGTGTTGGCATTGGGTGAGACGGAGACCGAGACCGCGGTCCGCGGAGGTTTGCATACAAAAAATAAACTTTGCATACAAAAAATAAAGGTTGTTGCGGACGAAAGAAACTTAGTTTCTTTCGTCCGCAACATCAATTTCTAGACGCTCGTCCGGACGCAGACTCGGACTCGGTATGGCTAAAAAGGAGCTGAGTCAAATCACCCCAAAACGCAAAATGGCAACCCCTTCTAGTTCCTCCAACCCCAGCAGCAGCAAGATTCAGCATTTGATCGTTGCGAATGCGGAGCTATCCTGTGCAAATAAAGTATCGTACTCGTATTGCAGTCATGCATTACAAATCTTTTTCTGAAGGTAAATCCGCATTACAAATTTCATTTCTCATGCTAAGGAAATTTGTAATGCATTTATACGAGTACGATGCTTTTGCAGTTCATAGGAGCTGCGGCGGACAAACGCGGACAAGGACGAGGAAATTCGGTCCCTCGCTTCGGAGCTGCAGCAGCTGCTTCAGCAGCAGCGCGGTCGTTCCTCATCATCACACCTCCGCAGCGGCAGCATTAGCCTTACGTCCCCGTCGCTGTTACTTGGAAATGTTGGCGCTAGTGCGCAGCTGGCCACATCAGCGGCCACATCACCGCGGCGTCCGCAGACCGCTTTTTCTCTGACTGGAGCTGGAGCTGCAGGGCAACTGTTTGGCGATGGACCAGCGCTGTCCGCGTCGCTCTCGCCACGGTTCGACCTGGGCCGGCAGTTTCAGCAGAACTCGTTTCTTCAGCAAAGCCCTACGAAGCTGCTGCTAGCAAGACGGACCACTTCCCGCTCGAGTTCCTTGTTTTCCCGCCCGCCAGGGATCGGGAAAATTGGTCTGATGCCGACATCCACATCCTCTGCGAGCCCGTGTTTATCGTCAAAGCCGGCAGGTGCAGTGGGGGCAGCATCCTTTTTCCTTCCCTCTAACAAGAGCACGGCGTCGAGCACGACCGTGAGGAATTCCGTAGGGCAAGGAATGAGCAGCTACATAACAGACTTTGCTGCGAATTTGAAAAGTCTTGTTGAACCACCCGCACAAGAACTGCAAGCAACGTCGGAAATAAAGGACCTGCAGAAAGAGGAAGAGCCTGCGTCAAATTTTGACCTGTCTGCTTCTTCTAGCACAAGGGCGCGATTATACAATAATGCGTCGAGGAGCAGGAGTACAACCTCCTCACAGCGCGGTGCTTTCGAGCCAACGCCGCGTGGGGCGACGATGCTATTACAGCTACCTTCGTCAAGTAGAACAAACACGACCAGCCCTGGTGCACATCAACCGCCGGCGAGCACCACGTCACTGCGTCTGACTCCTCGGGTTCCGGGTAGAACAATGGTGTTGAATAAAACAAGCTCTCCGGAGATAGTTGGGAATCGTCTCGGCAGTCCAACCGAGAATCGCGTCCCCGCGTCCGATGACGACACCCGAGATCTCGAGCTGCTTCTGCAATTTGTGTCGGAGATGAGAATGACACTCACTAACCTGCAGGAAACTTTTGATACAAGCAAAAGAGCGACGTCATCATCAACAGCAAAAAAAGGCGCGGGAGTAATTGTGGATTCGAGTTGTGCATCAACATCGAAAAGGATGCAAGCCGTTGCGACCAAAGTGCAGGAAGAGCTAACCTCGCTGACGTTAGCGATTCGCGACTGCATTCTACGGCGGTATGAGCCGCGGCGGGGGAATAATGCGAAAACTTCTCGAGGAGCGCCGCGGAGAAGGCCAGCATCGTCTACCTCTACTGACGACGCACCTACAGCTACATCTGCTTCGATGCACAAAAGCATCGTGAACTTGGCGAGTCGTGCGGAGGAGTGCAAAATCGCGATTGAAAAGCTACAGGAGCTGAACCAGACGGAAAACCAGACGCAGAATGACATCGCCTCGGTCGATATCAAGCAAAAAAGTGTATAACGATAACGGTTTTGGGGCATTGCAGTCATGCATGACAAATTTTCACTATCATGCATGCTATGCAATACAACTTTGGGCATCATTTATTGTGTATTCCTGCATGCCAAAACCAAATTCCGTTAACGTTACCACTTTTTCTTGTGATAGTCGAGCACCAGATCACCCTTCAGGTCGAAACACTGCGGGAAAAGTGGTTTTCCCGCGCAGAGCTGAAGTTCGCCGAACTTGTAGGTCTTACCGTCGGTGGTGATAAGACCAAAAAGCACGACCAACATGGCCGTGTCAACTACAATGCAGAAGCTCTCCTATTGGCCGAGAAAGCAGTGAAGGATCGGCTGCAAGTGGAAATCGGAAAAACAGCGGAAACGCTGCAGACACTGCTAGCGGAAGCACAGTTGTTGAACGAAGATGGGAGCAGTGAGAAGGCAAAAAAACAAAATCCAAATCATGCTCCTGTTTTGAGGTTGTCGCAGCGAGAACACGGCTTGAAGCTCCGCGAGTTGCAGAAACACCTCCAAAGGTTGCGCGAAGAGTGGTCAGCCATTGCCGGAAGAAGTGCAGATGAATCGTCCAGAGGTTCCTCTACTTTGCTGGGGTGGGTGAAGGCCAAACTAGGACTACTTTTCGATCAGGCGGAGCAGCGAATCCACCGGGGGCTGCTGAAGTGGAGGACCGATCCGCGGCGCCGGAACCGGGTCCAGCAACTGCGCAGCGAACTCCGAAACGCAGAAGCCGCTGCGGAAAGGATTCTGGCCGAAGTGCTAGCGGACATTTTCGCGGGGATGTCCACCTCTGAGTCGATGTCGAACACCTTCAAGCGGGAACGGGATACGAATGTGGTGCAGGATGAAGGACCACCTGGACGAGGGCCTGGTCCTGTTGTAACAGATCTGCTGGTCCCTCCGCGTGGTCCTGTGGACAATGACGGAGGGGAAACGCAATGGTCTTCCGACGCCGACCCCGAGCTGCCGCTGCTGCGGGTTTCCTTGTCCTCTCCTCGTGCTGGTGGATCAGGAGGGGCCGGCTATGCTGGCTCTTGCGTCGTGCCGTCTACTGCGCAACATGTTCAAGGGCTGTTGTCATCACCACCAGAAATGAAAATGGACCACGAAGATGATGATCAGAAAGACCCCTACGAGCCGGCTTTCTCGGAAGGCACATCGCCGGAAATTGTCCCGAGGACAAACAACCTGGCGGCAAACACGAACTACAGTGCGGAACATTGTTTAGGGGACGACGAGGATGACCAGGTTACTGCACCAATGGCTGGCACATCAACCGCTCGGAGAGTGAGGACCTCTGAAGATGATGACGATGGAGCTACTGTTCGTGGACCAGCACGAGAAGCCGAAACTCCAGGAGAGCTCCACGGTGCGGCAAGCAAGAGGTTTTCTCGTAATAACACCTCCTCCGCGCCGTGGTCTCTAGACCGGATTCTTGCAGGAGACTTGCGCAGGAGCTCCTCATCTAGCGCAGCTCTACAACTTGAGGGCACAGCTAGAACAACAGCGCGTGGTCAACAACATGACGAGGCGAACTCACCCGCCGAGGAGCTGCCCCTCGAGGCGCAGATCGCACGCATGAAGATTCCGCGGTTTCCGCCGCTGCCGCCGGTTGAACCGGACGGAGTTTTGTCTGCCTCCAGTAGCACCGGTCGGGCGCCGTATTTGGGGCAGCTCCACCTCTCCCTCGATGCAGCGATGGGCAGCACCAGAGGACCACAGGCGGGCTCGTCCTCCTTCAGCGGTGATGTTGTTCCTCGGACTAGCAGCTTCGCTGCTGGTGCAACCACGACGAGATCTACTACTTCAACTTCTGCAGATCATTATCTTCGGGAGCAGACGCAGAGAAGAACCACGAGAACGTCGGCGAGTGTACAGAACCTCCACGCAACAACTACAACATCGTCCTCCCACGATAATTCGTCGACGTTGCGTGATCACCTAGCGGAATAATTAGAACGGCAAATAGAGAACCGAAAAGACGACGAGGCGGCACGTGAAATGAACAGCACCGGTGGTGTTCAGGATGCAGAGCTTGAGAGCCTCCTGCTACGGCTGGAACTTCTACAAAAGCATATCGCTTTGGATGGTTCATAAACTGTTACGAAGCGGGCCGTGCCCCCATACGTACTCGGGCTGACCCGGTGTCAGTTGTTTGCTGGCAGCAGAAGACATAAGATGACGAGCCTGCTTCTGCAAGCGTACACATCGTTGCAATGGCATTAATTATGGCTGCGAATAATTTTCGCTTGCTTTTCTTATTTCGTAGGGCTACAACCGTGTTCTTCTTCTCTTTAGTACCTTCATGAGGGTCTGGTCGTGGTCCTTGTATGATAATTTTCAGAGCCAAATACACACAAAGAAGACAAAATAAAGATTCTTCGGCATCGACTCATGAAAAAATCGAAACGGCTGTACCCTGCTTGTCCAGCACCTTTTCGTGTGATTTATCCAAATTGCAGTCGAAATCGAACTCGTTACTATCTCTATCGGTCGAGATTATTTATTACTCAACAAGCGAAGGTCGACGGAGTGTGACAACTGTGAGCAATGTTATTGCAAAATAATGTAGTAAGTACCTTCGTACAAAACAAGTACTAGCATTTTCGTTCTGTGAGACGTGATCGATGTGTAGTCGTTTTCGATAGTTGTACAATCGGGCTCGTATGTTGGTCATGATCGCAATAAGCAAGGTCGATTTAATAGTGCTGGGACAACTCAATATAGAGCCACACTAGAAGTAGACAACAGATGCTCGATTCGTTTACCTGGGCGGGTCGTTCGTCAGATCGCGAAAGCATGTCAAGAAAAGTCAAGACGACCGCATGCCGCCGGAAATGAAAAATATTCGTCTTCATTCCCATGAAATGTAGTTCTAGTTGAGGTTGAGGAATGATAAATAAAAAAGGAAAACAGCAATCGATGTTGTAAAGAGAAAGTCAATGAACAAACTACTAATATTGTTCCACGTGCTACACGCCAGTACAATTACCAACTTCACATGAGGATGAGGACTCTGACAAGAACTCCCATGTTGCTGCGCCGCAAGCTAGTCGCGCTGTCCTTTGGCGGCTTGTCGTGCAGCTTCCCAAGTTATTTGTGCCGCAGTGTAGTTCATCGTGGTCCACAAGAAGGTGAGCAGCGGGCAGATGAAGTCCATAGTAATTACCAGGACTCTACCTATTACTCCGAGGAGGCAGACGGAGAAGCGGAAGGCGACGACTACGTAGACAATGCGTCAAAGTTGACGGCTGTGGTGGATGCCTTTGGAGAGGTGGTTGCACAGGAGCAGGACGAGAAAAGTTTTGCTGACCACGACGACGACATTGTGAAGACCGCTAGCGCATTTACCGAAAAAACCGCGAGGACGGGCCATTCCACGTCTGGAAACGTCGTGCACGGTGCGTCGCCTGCTTCAAATGCCACTTCCACGACTAGCAGCAACCAGGCTACTTCTGCTGCAGCTGCACCTCCGCCGGCGCCAGAACATCAACAAGAGGCGTTGATGACATCGAGTGGCGCACCGCGACCGCAAGAAAGTAGCGAACAAGGAAAAGAACAGGATGGGCAGCATGACCAGCAGAACGGGGTGACTGTGAGTCCGAGTCCGAATGTATGACAGTGCACAACTCGTCCCCCTCCCCCTCATTTGTATAGCATGCATGGCAATACAAGTGCCAGCAAGAACAATGCAGGTTTTGCATGACAAATTTGCGAAGGAGTGTAGTGCGATTTGGGCTTCCAGAACTTGTCATGCAAAACGTGCCAAGAGGCACAGGGTGGATTGGGTATTTTGCATTACAAATGAGGGGCAGGAGGGGGAATTGTGCACTCTCATAGAATGAACGTGGCTGGGTCCAGCAGCTGCGTGAAGCCGCTCCCGCGGTCGTACACGAGCAAGTGTCGAACCGTGCCTCCGCTAAGTCGGCACAGCAACAACAACACGGGCAGGACCAGGAGAACGCGGACCACAAACAATACGAGTACGTCACGCTCCCTCCGGACAACCACATGCTGAACGAGGGCGCCTCGCGGCAGATCCGCCGGCAGGAGGAACGCCGCGCGGCTGCTGCGCAAGATGATGAGCCTGCTTCTTCATCTGGGACGGCTCCACTGGGCGACGAGAACTCAGGCATGCACTTGTGGAATCGGTACGCCATGCCACTTGCCTCTGCGATACGGAACTACAACACGACGGCGGGGGGCGCTGATCCTTCTGCAGATGTGGACACCATCAACATGGCGCGGCGGTCTGGACAGCACGGAGCGGATCAAGCTCTGGACGAGGCCCGGTCCGTGGTAAACACCACCGAGCTGCGCGGACAGGGGCACCAGCTGCACGACGCCATTTACGATTCTTCCCTGGGACAGAGGCTGCTAGCGGTCGGCCACACCGTAGCGGGTCCGAACCGCCAGGAATCCTCGTCCAGAGAGGGCTTTCAGAACGGCACCAGGTCCGCGCTTGACATTTTCGTGGACCAAATGAACTCGACCAATTCCAGTGCAGCAATGACCCGCGACCTGGTGGACATGCTCGGCCTGGTATGAGAGTGCACAACTCCCCCTCCCCACTATCTGTAAATGCAAAACCCCAAGTCCAGTTGCTGCCTTGATGTGGCGCTGTTTGCATTACAAATTCTGAAGGCCCAAACAGTGGTGCTACACTCAGCCGCGTATCAATTTGTTATGCGCAGCGTCCACATGTATTGGTGTTTGTATTGCTGTTTATGCAATACAAATGAGGGGGAGAGATGAAAGTTGTGCACTCTCATACCTCGGTCGCGACACTGCTAGCTCCTTGAACAAGTCCGAGATGGAAATGGTGGTCGGGCTATGCATTTCAAAAATGTCTGGGTCTGGCAGAATGCAACTTGTGATGCGTCCCACAGATCACAGAAAAATTTGTCTTGCGAGGCTAGCACAAGAAGATGCCCATTAAGTATATTTGGCCATGCTGGTGGAGTGTGTTATGTGGTCCAAATACCAAGATGAGTTAATCCATTTAAATGAATTATTTTTTTTTTGCAGCTGCAGAACCTGGAGGCGCGACTTGATATGCTCAGCGGTTGACATCATTGTTTGGGGTTGTGGTCCTTTGCTTCTGTTGGTGTTTTGCCCGGCCTGCACAAGCTCCCTCGCAGATGATGTGATGGCTGCTGGAGCTGCATGCTGACGCGACGGAGACTCGCGTTTTCTCCAGACGAAAACCATCCCCGGAAAAACAGGGCCCCACGCACCGAGTAAAATTTGGCCTGATTCAAACCTGGCCCTTGAGTCGGATTTAATTTTGGCCCAGCAGGGGCGGAATCAATTCGAATTAAATCGAAAAAAAAATCTCCCAGGAGGGGGAATTAAAAATAATTAATTTCCGGGTCCGGCCCCGCGGGCTGGGTCAGGATTTCATGTGTGATTTCCCTGTCAAATTTTTTGGGCGCGTTTTTTTTCGATTAATTCGTTTAATTCGTTTTTTTCCGGGCGGGAAAAACGAATTTTTTTCCCGCCCAGTGAGATTTTTTTATTTTTCCCCCCCCGTGGGCCCCGGGGTGAGGCCTGTGGTGGCGGATTTAATTCAGGCCCGAATTAATTCTGTTTGGGCCATTGGCTTGCGGCTTTTCTCGCCGAGCCGCATTCTTGTGTGAAAGCGTAAGAAGCGACCTCCCCTACTCGGCGCTCGCGCCCAGTAAAAAACTCAGCTGGAGATCCGGCGCACAAGCAAATGTATGTCGGAGACGCGTCCGCTCGCTGACTACTTCTCGGCGAATTGATCCCGTCCAACATATCTGCTGATCATTGTTGTCGGCGCCACGCTGCGCCTTCTGTTTGCAAATTTTCTTATTCATTCAATTCAAATAACTCATCTTGGTAATTTTTACCTCTTGAAGTGTGGTCTTTCTCATGCGGGATATGCATCGCAAAGCCCTTTCTTACGAAGTCTGTGATGCTACGCCCTACATGCCAGTTCTCGCGGGGCATCCAAAATCTGACATGTCAAACTCCTGCACTCATTTTCAGACTCAGACAGATTTGCACTGGATACGCTCTGATGCGGCACCAAATGCGGGACCCCTCCACGGTGTCCCTGTTTAAGAGTCTTCTAAAAGACCACAAGCGGGCGAAAATGGTGAAAATGTTTGCCAACTACTCGTTTGACGAATGCGACCTGTTCCCCTCCAGCATGATGACCAAGGACCCGGTGGTCAACTGCGGCAAGTACGCGTTCTACATCTGCATGGCCCTGCTGCTGGTGTGTTTCGGCATGTACGTGGTCACGCTGGGTTCCTGTCTGCTACCCGTGAGCGTATCAAATGCAAATATGTCATCTGGGTCTGGACGAAGCAAGGGTGCAAGGTTTGTCATGCACGTTTTGCATGACCACTCCTGAGGTCTGGGATGCATGCCCTAGCATCACAGATTTTGCGAGGGCTTCCTGATGCCTTAGCTGCATTAGAAATGCCCTCTCGCCGTGGCGAAAACTGGACCTCTTTTGCTGTTCATGCAGTACAGATTTATATGTAGAATCCAAATCCAGCATCACAAGTCGCATCCTTCCAGACCTCCAGGGATATTTGCAATGCATAGAGCGAGAGTCGCGGCAAGGATCTGTACAAGGGCACGCGCACATATGACAGTGCATAACTCCCCCTCCCCCTCATGAAGATCTGTATCTATGTATAGCATGAACAGCAATACAAGCATCAGCAAGAATGCCGGTTTTGCATGACAAATTTACACCGAAGTGCACTAGTGCTATTGGGGCTACCAGAACTTGTCATGCAAACAGTGCCAAGAGGCACAGCCTGGATTTGGGATTTTGCATGACAAATGAGCGGGAGGGGAAGATGTTGTGCACTCTCATAGCACCAAGTGGGCCTTTTGGACGGACTTTGTCACGGAGGAAGGTCGCGCGCGGCTTATCAACTGCAAATGTGTCTGGGTCTGGATGATTTCGGGATTTGTCATGCTAGTCTGGTACGACTCTGAGCTCTGTGTTGCGTGGCCGCAAAGAGCACCTCTCGCCTGTCATGCAAAAACGCAATTTCCAATGCGGAATACGCAACGCATACGCAGAACAACGGAAAAACTTGCCATGCTTCGCAGTGCATTACAGTGTGCGCATGGTTTGCTGACTTGCATCACAAGTTTCGAGACCCAGACATATTTGCATTTGATACGGCTGCGGTCGGAGCAAGAGGAGGCGGAAAAGGAAACGGAAGCCACTATCCTATGTAAAAACGTCGCCACGACCCCAGAGTCAAGATGGGGATCTCGCAACACAAGACGAGAAGTGTTGGGAGTCAAGCATGACAAGTTCGTCTCTGTATTGTAAGTGCAGTTTAGCAAGTACAGCCGCAACACAAATCGATCTAGTCATGGTGTTTACAGCATTACAAATTTCCAAACACGACTGGATATGCCTGCCATGGAGATGCGCATTACAAATCTTTCTGTAATCGCATATCTGCATGACAACTCCGGGACGGGGACGTTTTTACTCAGGATAGCCACGCCGCCATCCTGGATCGCCTTGGAAAACGTGTCCTTCCGGGTGCAAGCGCCGCCCGACGCGTCTGGGCGGCCGCGGGAGCTGGATCTTCTGTCCGACATCAACTGCGTGTTCCGGTCGGGCGAGGTTGCCGCCATCCTGGGCTCCTCCGGGTGCGGCAAGACCACACTGCTGAATGCGCTGTCGGGCCGCGTGCAGTGGAAGCAGGCGGGTGGCGAGAGCGGGAGGCTCGGTCTGAGCGGCCGCATCCTCTTGAACGGGGAGCCCACCAGCGACCTGGAGTTGCAGCGGATTGCCGGGTACGTGTTACGCATTGCAAAAGTAATATCGTACATGAATTGCATGACGAATTTGGCCAAGAACAAAAGCACAGTTACAGTTAATTGTCATGCTAGATCAGGTACAAAAGTGGATCTGTCATGCATGACTCGCATCAGTACGGGTGCGATAGTACTTTCACTGTGGATACGTGTACCAGGACGACCAATTGATCGCCACTGAGACGGTATCCAAGAAAAAAACTGTGTAAGTGTAACTCTGTAATGCAGAACATGCAAGAGAATTACGCCTGTCATGCCAGGCAACCATGAAGTCCTCTTTCCATCCATGTGTGTTTTCCCTTACAAGCCATGCATGACAAGTTTTCTCTATCATGCAGGGCAAATTTGTCATGCTGTCACTCCAAGACACCTACACTCACACAGTTTTTTTCGTGGATAGACGGTGTTCGAATGTGTGGATTTCGCGGCCGCCATGCGGCTGCCGCACCTGAACGTGGAGGCACGGGTGAAAAAGGTGCACGACGTGCTCCGCGAACTCCGGTATCACAGGAAAAAGTGTTAACGTTACGGTTAACGGAATTTGGCATGCAGGAATGCACGAGAAATGATTCCTAAACTTGTATTGCATAGCATGTATGATAGCGAAAATTTGTCATGCATGACTGCAATGCCCCAAAACCGTTAACGTTAGCACTTTTTTGTTTGATATCCGGCTGGACGTGTGCAAGGACGTGATTATTGGGGACGGGATGGGCAAGAAGGGCATCAGCGGAGGGCAGAAGCGTATCGAAAGAAAAAACTGTTTCACTGTAAAGTTGTAATGCACAAAATGCGTCTTACAACTGAAACTGTTTGTCTTGCTGCGCATGCAAGAGAGTGGATTTTTGGCTGTGTTTTTCATTAGGATGAACCTTGCATAGCAAATTTTCTCCGTCATGTAGAGCAAACCTGTGATGCAAAACCTGCAAAAGCCTTACAGTGAAACACTTTTTTCGCATGATAAAGCGCCGCACGTCCGCGGCGCTGGAAATCATCGGGCAGCCACTCATCCTTCTCATGGACGAGCCCACCTCCGTACCAACCGAAAAAATCCACCACAGCCAAGATTTCAAAATTTTTCTTTTCCGATTGGGCTGGCAGCTGCGGGTGCTCGAGCTGGAGCACTCTTGGTCTCCTGCGTGTCCCCTGGCCGGAGCGAGGATTGCGGGGGACTGGACCTGCAGACGACCTCCCCAATCAACGCTGCGCTGCCGAAATAATGGCGGCCTGTCAAATTTAAGAAACTTACCACGGTCAAAAAGCGCGGGAAGTGCGAGGGGCCTGTAGCCCTTCCGATTAGGGCGATAGAAGGGTGCCAGACAGAAAAACGATGCGGCCCCCAGAGGCTGCCAGGTGCGGTTTTCCCGCCTTCGGCCTTACGGGCCAGCAGCTTCCCCAAAAATCCGCCACACCAGACAAGTGCACACCTTCAGGGGGTGTCCGGTGCTGCTGTGGCGGATTTTTGGGGAACCCTTCCGCCGATGCTATGGCCTTCCCCCAAAAATCCGCCACAGCAGCACAGAGCACCCCGTTGGAGCACCCCGTTGGGGCACCACCTCAAACGGGTTGCCCAAAAAATCTGGCCGAAGGTTTCCCCGAACCGGCCAGGAACCTCTTGAGGCAGTGCATTAGAGTAGAAGAAGAAAAAACCGCTTCCCTAGCCCTTTCGTCGCATCCTTGTCCAGACACTCCCGCATCATGTCGCCCATGAAGGGCAATGCGTCCTTTTTCCCCTGCAAGACAACGCGCCGAAGAGCAACGCGGAGACGCGCATTCCAGAGAACCCGCTGCCCGCGCCCTACCGCTGCCTGCCGTCTGCTGATGTATGTCATTTCCAACGCGACGAGCCGTCGACGTCGGGCCTGCACGTCGACCCGCTCATGAAAAATTTTGAAATTTTGGCTGTGGTGGATTTTTTCGTTTGGTACTCCGGGCTGGACTCCTATCAAATGCAAATAATACGTCTGGGTCTGAGAGCAGTCAAAGTTGTGATGCAAATCTGTGAATTGGAATGGTAGGCGCACTGCAGCAATGCGCAGCCAAGCATGTTGACAAGTTCGTGAGGTGGTGCAATGTGTAGTTTCGTTTTCCGCATGGCAAGCTGCGTTTTTGCATGACAGGCAAGGGGGTCTGTTCCGGCTTATGCAGTACAAATGTAAGAGTCCTCACGCGCCTGCCAGACAAGCATGACAAACTTGCACTCAACATCTTCCAGACCCGGACAGCACATTTGCGATGCATAATTGCTTCACCGCCACGATTTTCATCCGAGAGATGCGCAACCTCGCGAAGGCGATCAATGTGATGATCATTTGCACGATCCACCAACCCGGAACGGACTGCTTCGACGAGTTCGACCGGGCTTTATGAACAGCAAATATGCCTGGGTCTGGGAGATTGCGAGATTTGTCATGCTAGTCTGGCATGTTTCTCATGCGGAGTACGCAACTCTGAACCACCGAAAACTTGTCATGCTGGGGAGCGCATAATAGTGTGCTCACTATTCCCTTCCTTGCATCACAAATTTCCAGGCCCAGACATATTTGCAATGCATAGGCTTTGATCATGTGCAAGGGCAAGCTGGTGTTCCACGGCAAGGGGGAATACTACGGGAAGCGTCTTCGCGGACAGGGACACGACATCACCGAAAAGAGCACCGTATGAATTGCAAAAGTATCGTACTCGTCTAAAACTAAATGCATTACAAGTTTCTTCAGCATGAGAAATAAGAATTTGTAATGCGGATTTGCCTAAAGAGAAAGATCTGTAATGCAAGACTTGCATTTATACGAATGCGATACCTTTGCACAGGATACACCGTGCTCAGCCGCGTGGTCCTCCGCGATTCGGCCGCCGCTTCGCAACAGCAGCAGCAGCAGCTACTCCAGCTCAACCCGCTACGGGACTCAGAGAGCTACGATTTGGACGTGACCAGTCTGACCAGTGAGGAAGAAGAGCAGCTAAGTATTGGCGACTACGCACGGTTTCACGAGCGTTATGAATTGCAAAATCATCGTACTCGGACTAATTGCAGCTATGCATGACAAATCCAGTTCTTGTGAAGGTAAATTCGAATTACAAATTAAATTTGTGATGCTGAGACAATTTGTATTGCAATTGTTCATACTAGTACAGCGATACTTTTGCAAAGCATAAGTGCCGAGTCTCCGCAATGTCGGCGACTTCCGCGACAGCCTCTCCTGCTGCACTGGCGAATGTGGAAGAGGACGCTAGTCCTACAAGCAGTGGCCAGCAGCAGCTGCCAAAGGAGGAGCCGCTCAAGTGGACCTTGCGCGAGAACATATTGAAGGTGGCGGAGGTTGCGCTCGGACCCGGGGAAAACATGTCCGAGCGTGCCTTGTTTATCACGCAGACGATTGCGGAGGACAAGGAGAACGGGATGGCCGAGCTGACCCGCCTGGCAAACATGACCTACGAAAACGGCTACGACCCGGAGGCTTTGGAGCGCATGGTAGAGACTGCGAAACGCCAAACCGATATCACACGAAAAAAGTGTTACAGTTACACATTTGTAGTGAATTGTTCAGCAACACAAATTTCTCTGCATGAGAGAGAAAACTTGACGAAATCTAGAAATCCTACGGGAAAACACCTATGAAACGAGGCCCCTATGCATATCCGGCATGACAGAGCTTGTCTGTTTTGCTTGGCCTGCATAGACTATGTGTGTAACTGTAACACTTTTTTCTTCCGATATCCGACGCCAACATGTTCGAGTCCGACGAGGGTGAAGAGGGGGGAGATGAAAACACCAGCGGGGGCAAGAGCAGCGGCGTCTTTCGTGACAGGTGGTCGAAAGGCAGTGTCTTCACTCGCGAGAGAAGGAGGGCGTGGATGAAGCAGATGTTTGCCCGCACGGAGCACGTGCGACAGATTGCGCCCAATCGCCGCACCGCCTGGCACGTGCTGGGGCTCTTCAAGCGGGAGATGCGCATTCGGCTCGTGAGCGGCTGGAGGACGGAGGTCGTCACCTACATCGCCGTGCTCATCATGGACTTCATGCTCGCTATGCTCATCCCCCCGTACTATCACACCAAGACCGGCGAAGGCGTGCTACGGGAACATGCCTCCGGAGTGTCCGTGATGGCGAACTGGTTTGGGATGATGATCGGCATGCGCACGGTGACCTCCATATGCACTACAAATTTCCTGTACAGGTACAACATGCATCACAAACGTCACGACCAACTTGGAGCATGCCACTTGTCATGCTGAAGAGAATTAAAAAGAAAGCTTTGTCATGCAGAAACCGCATTTGTACATGTACAGGAAATTTACTGTGGATACTCCATGGTCTTCATGTATCCACCTCTGTGGATCTGGTGCATGACGGAAATGGTTTTCTACGTGAAGATCAACCCGGTATTCCAGCGCGAGTACATATGACAATGCAAAACTCGTCCCCCTCCCCTCATGATTTGTAATGCAAAATCCCAAACCCAATTGGTGCCGTGTGGCACGGTTTGCATGACAAATTCAACTTCCGGAATCCTAAACTACGGTATGAACTTGTCATGCACACCAGGCTCCACGTGATGTGCTGCTGTTTCTACTGCTGTTCATGCCATGAAAATGAGGGAGCGGGGGACGAGTTGTGCACTGTCATAGTACAGCGGCCACACCTACCAGTCCATCGCCTACAGCTTCTCGAAATTCTGCATGGAGGCGATGTTGTTCGTGCCCCGGGTCATTTTCCAGGTGTGCGTGGGGTACCTACTGCAGGGCTACTACGGTAATCTGCCCTACCTGGGCGCCATCATGTACCTGCTGTTGCTGCAGGTCTGCTCCCAATTCTACTTCGTCGTGGCCCTGGTCAGCAGCAACGCGCTGCTGGGATTCGCGGCCGCCGCGGCCCTGCTGATCACGCAAATCATGATGAGCGGCACCGTGCCGATGCCCATTCCCTGGTTCTACCGGCCTTTTCAGTGGAGTTTATGGAGAGAAGAAAACTGTGTTGGTGTAGCTGTAGGTCGTCTCTTGGAATGAGAGCATGACAAATTTGCGCCGCATGAAAGCGCGCGAGCCTGTCATGCGCAGCTAGTACGACGTGAGAACGCATTGATATACAGTAGGGCTTCGTCGTGGCTGGTTAGCACGACAAGTGTGCACTGTGCTGCAGGCTTTGCATTACAACTTACACAGTTTTTTCTTGCATAGAGTTCCGGATACTTCTACTGCTTCACTGCGGTGTACCGCGACCAGCTGCGCGGTATCCTGTGCAAAAGTGCCGTACTCGTAGTAATTGCAATCATGCATCACAAATCTCTTTCTGAAGGCAAACCTGCATATACAAATTTAATTTCTCATGCTGAGAAAATTTGTCATGCGTCTTATTCTTATACTAGTACGATGCGTTTGCAATGCATACGCGGCCTGCGCGAGCGCGTCCACGACTTCTCCAACTCGACGTGCACGATTACCATATCCAGTGCAAAAGTACTAACTTATCGTACTCGTACTAAAATGCTATTCACGCATGACAAATTCCACCTTTCTACGTGAATCCGCATGACGAGTTCCCCTTTTCCCTTGACAAAATTTGTCATGCGATTCATACATTTACGATGCTTTATTTACTTTTGCAATGCATACACTACCTCCACTACTGAAAGTCCCTATGTCGTGGATGACGAGGACTACGATGTGGAGAAGGACGGGCAAGAAAGGCTCCAGGGCGGGCTGAATGAGAGTATGAAGGACATCGACTCCGTTCCGCGCCTACAACATGATGCAGGCAGCGGAGGCTCACTTCCACTTGTTGACCCAAGCAACCGAACCGACCTCGTCCAGGAGGCGCAGCGGGGGGAACAGGGAGCCGCTCCAGGGGAAACAAGAGTTCCTGCTCTGCCAGCACAACAAGCAGTTGCTACCCCTGGTGCAGACAGCACGGCGGCAACTACACAACAACCACAAGGCGACTTTTCTACTTTCCACGCCTCGACGCTGGCCAATGGCGTCCAGCAGGCTTTCGCTGGTGCTGCGCCCTTTGCGAAGCCCGGTGCCTCGTCCTGGTCGCCCGACCACCAAGTGCCCTCCGTGTTCGGCGGAGGAAGTCCTGGTGCACCAGCTCCTGCCGCGTTCCAGCCCGGTGCAGCTGCTCCGGGAGATGTTGGTGGTCCGGCTGGTGGTAGTTCCTCTTCACCGGCGGCCCCCTCCAATACGCCCCACACCTGGGACTTTACCGCTGTCCCAACCATCTCCGGGGCGACGGGTAGTAGTAGTAGTACCTCCTCGTGGAGCAGTTTTCTTCTGTCGTCGAATGCCAGCGTATCTGAAGAAGATGTTGGCCAGGAGGCTACTAGCGAGACATCACCCTCGCTGAGCAGCTTGGACGCAAGTACGGCGGCCAACATGACGACCGCCGGGGGTGTATGGATTGTAAAAATGTCTGGGTCTGGAAGAATGGAAGGTCTGTCATGCTCTGCCAGCATGACCCCAAAGTCTGTCATGCACGTTACCCAAGAGCCCCGTTTTTTTCTCATGCAGAAACGCAGTTTGTCATGCAGAATAGGCAACACCTCGAAGCTCAGAAACTTGTCATGCTGAGCCAGCACTTGTGGCCGCCTCATGATACGCCAACCAGCATCACAAGTTTCCAGACCCAGACATTTTTACATTTCATAGGGTGCACTGGATAACTACACGGACGCGAATGCGACCAGCAACTACACAAACCACGCCTGGTATGCAAGAAAATAATTGTGTTTATAGTGTCAGAACTTTCTTTGGGTGACAGCATGAAAAAGATAAATTTGCTATGCATGGATGACAGAAAAAGTCTGTCATGCATGGCTGGGACGTCAAAAGAAAACGCATACGAAAAGAAACTTCATGGCTGTCTGGCATGACAAGTGTTACTCTACTGTTGCTGTTTCTGCATCACAGATTTACACTTACGCAGTTTTTTTCTTGCATACCTGGGCCGAAGCGAAGATCAAGGATCTCTTCTGGAACGATCCGGATACCGCCAAGTGCTCTCTGCAGGTGCATTATGCAATACAAATTTCCCGTACCACACATATTCCTACACGCACAAAATGGACCACAAATTTATTTGCCGACTTAGAAATAAGTGCAGCTGACATCTGTCATGCTAAGTAGTACATGGAAAGCAAGGCTTGTCATGCAGAAACCTCATTTGTTCGCAACTTTGTGTGGGGGAAACTTGCTGTGGATACGTAGTCTTCCGTGGGTGAAGTGACCGAGGAATTGGAGGCGCTGATCATGGCGGAGGCTCCGGGCGGCACGCTGGAAACGGTCGGCTTCAACGAAGTGTGCGGGCTCGCGTTGTCGTTGCTCGTGTGGCGCGGGTTGGCGTGGTACTTCATCCACAAGATGGGCAAGTACTCCGTGTCCTCGTAAATAACAAAAAATGTTGTGATCGAAGATGAAGTTACTTACATCAGGACGGGGCGCCTCAGAACCCGAGCAAAATAAATCTTCAGTGGCCTAGTAGAGATGGGCTCACGAAAATTAGAATGCAATATGGTGGGCGTGGGTGTTTGTTTACATCGCCGATGATAATTAATAAATATCTTCAATAAAAAAACCTAAGTTGATTGTGGTCGTGAACGCACTGAAGCTGCAGTCGTGGCCGCAACCAGTCGACGTTACCACTATGTTTCAATTTCAATCAACAGGGATTCAGTCACACTTGAAAAGATACGTTTGCAATTCAATTTCGAAGAATACAACTAAAAATCTAGCTGGCACTGTTGAGCAGAATGAAAAATGTCCTCTTCGTTTCGAAGCGAAGAAATAGCAATAGGAAAAGAAAATTATATCGTCGAAAGCAGAATGGATAATAATAATTTCCACCGAGAATAGATTTTTTTTGTGGTTTACAGTTCACATGTTGAAAATTAAGTTTTGTTGTTCACTTGTTAGTTTACACGACAGGCAAGTTGAAATTCTCAATATAAAACCTCTTTCGCAGCAGAGATGCAATCAACGCGCAAGTTTCAGTTTGAAATTGAATTTTAGCAGATCAGCACCTTCTTGACAGGGTCCGTTCCTCGGACCACAGTATTCTTTCTATTTGTTTCGAATGTTTACAGTTACAGATGCAGAGACGCCGGGTTGAAAGAACTCGGACGCTATTATTCCTACCTATCGCCACCTTATCGTTATCCTAAAGAGTTTGATTGTTGTAATTACCGTTGAGTAAATTAATATGATTATGAACAAAATTGCAGGACGGCCTTGCACCAAAACAAAGTGGAAGCAAAACCAAAATAATGTAAAAAGAAATTATGATACTCTGCACCTGCTATAGCAACTACATCCTTCTATGTTCGTAGCCCGAAAAATTTATTTCAAAGTACTCGCACCACAGGAACAGAAACTATCTACGCATCGCACCAATCTATCAATCGCAGAAATAAAATCGCACTCCTGCGCCGTGCCACCCGATTTTTGCGATGATGTGAGTAGTTTCTCTATGCTCTGTGCTATCGATCGTTTCTATCGAAAAAATGAACAAGAAAATCTGAAGCAGTGGCTCAATTGAAATTAAAGAAAAAACCGAGAAAAACAAACAAAGTAGAGGTAGTGTCAGCGAAGGGGAAGCAGCAGAAGCGTAGGGTCGCTGATATTCTTCTAGAAAATGACCCTAATTTCAGAGGCAACTACGACAGGCCGCACGAAGACTAAGGGTATCAGCTGTATAAGTATCCACCACAAAAGAATGAAAAGTTGTCAGATAATACGTAACGTCGTTGACGCCATCCCTGCCTTTGCGTCCCTCACTAGTACCGTTTTGACCTAGTAGGAGTTGACTTCTCGCGGAGAAGAGCTAGGCAAGCGCGATAAAGCTAGCGCTGGGACGAAGACCTCTGTTTGCAACCGTTTCACTCTCCAATTCCAAAAAATGAAAAAAATAAGAAACAAAGAAAAACTTGTGAATGGGCAGGGTAATAAAAGTGCCCTGACCTGTCACGGTGTCTGCCGTAAACCCATGTGTGTTGCGGTTGTGCGTTTATGTCCGTGCGATCCTCGCTTGCTGATGGTTGCTGCTTTTCTGCTCAAGAAGAGCCAGCTGCGTACGGTACAACATGGAGGGAAGTGTGACAAGGGTAAAAATGCTGAGTGACCAGCAACAGCACAGAATGTTTCATCTTCCGAGTTGGCTCCATGACGAGAGCGAGCTCTAGAAGTTTCTCTGCATATCATTGACAGCAGCTGTTCCCGCCAATTGACAGGAAGAGTAGAAAACGAAGTGGTATACGTATAATGAGTCTGAGTGACAACTTCATTGGTTGGGGCATGATTTACGTAACTAGGTAGGCGCTACGGGGGAACAAGTAGAATCTGTCTATCGAGGACGACTAGGAGTCGTGATCATGCTTGTGACACCAGGGTGCAGCTGCTGACGCCGTTCTTTCCTCCACGACACATTGCTTGAACAGCTCGGAGACGAATCACGTATGTGAAGCGGGATAAGTACACGTGTGGCCGACACCGACTCCCCGAAGGAAGTGCTGACGTCCGGAGTACTACTCCCTCGTCAAGAACATCAGCGACAATGAAGCCTGCCAACAACTGTTGCGGTTTTTTCACGCTGCTGTTCGGCGTGGAAATTATTTGTCTTTTACACCTGGTCGCCGCTATAACGGTGGTATGCCTCATCAGCAGCACCGAGGTGATTAGCATCGGAGGAGTGAAAATACCGCCCATTACACAGGTCTGCGATATGAAGATGATCATGTTGATCATGACGAATATGATGATGTTGCTGCATACACTGACCGACGAGTAGCAGTAAGCTCTGTGTCTGTAAATCTTCGTGAGAAAGAAAAAGTAGAAATGGCACGAAACAAGGAAATTGAAGACACGAAGCAATTGAGTTGACTCGCAACTCCTTTAGAAGTACATCGAACATTGCACCATCGCAGGTTCTCTACGGCGCATGGTGTCTGATCGCACTACCAATCATCATCGCCGCGGGTATCGGTGCGGTCTATCGAGTGGAATCCCAGCTACTATCGCAACAAAAAAGTGTTACAGTTACACATTGTGTTGCAGGAGCCGCAAGAGAGACAACCTTTGTCATGCAGGAAATACTTGCGAGCTCCGTTTCCTACGTATTTTGTCCTTTATGATCCTTGCATAACAAGTCTTCTCTGCCACACAGAGAAAATCTGTGATGCAGAAACTCCAACGCATGTGTAACTGTAACACTTTTCTCTTGTGATAGCTACGCCTCTATCTCTACTACCTCATTGCGCAGACGGCGTTCACCGCTTTCTACTTTGTCATGATGCTCTTCACCGGGGATGTGTGCTCGGCCGCGGTCTCTGTGGTATAGGAAATGATTGCTAGTTGATGTTGTAGGTGGAGATGATCGTAGTCTAGTGTAGAGCAAGTTCTTGGTGAGCTCCTCCTGCTGTTGCCACCAGGATGAGCTCGTTTCTTGATGATGTAGTTCAGGGCTAGCACAAGAACTATCGCCAACATGATGTTTTTCGAGCAGTAGTAGTCTAACAGTTACGCACATCAAGAAAAGTTGTTGTGTCAACGTAACACCACCAGGACCTGCAGCGCATGGGTAGCAGCATGGTGTGCGGATTCACGGATGCGTTCGCGGTATTCTGGATGCTGATCAACCTGGGCATTTTTCTCTACATCATATTCATCATCTGGAGCGCCGCGGATATCGGACGAAAAATGTTGTGCTTCACTCTGTACGAAATTTGCAAATGCAAGCTTTGGCATCACATCAATTTTGTCTTTGTACTACGTGACAAAGAAAGTTTGCCATGCGAGGTCCACGACCCCGCTAAGGATAAAAATCTGCATGCGCATGCCTCAGACTTCTGCCCTGGCTTCTCAAACGTGTAGCAAGACACACTTCTTTATCTGCGTTGGGTCCCCTGTCGCGTCGCAAATTTACAGTGTAGCAGTTTTTTCTTTCGATAGCGGAGCACGTCAGCATGTCCTTCTTCCCAGACTTTATCCTAGAGAAAAATGCTAGCATATCACATTTACTGTTGTCATGCAAAAAAACACACAAGGTGTTTACGATGAATAAGCAAAATTCATCATCAAATTGATTTGCTCTCCTAGTACTCCTAGGCCGGTCCATTAATAGTTCTTCTGATTGAAGTAGAACTGTTTGGGATGATCAGTTCGATGTGGGATATGCTACTTTTTTTCTCCGGGATAGACTTGGTCGCCTACAAGCAGCGGCTTCACTCCCAAGTGGGACAGCCCATTGCCCAGCCCATCACCGTGAAACCGCCCGCGCACCTGCAGGCGGACGTGCAACGCAGTCGCGACCAAGCGGCCTTACTCGCGCAGGCCGTCTCCACGGACGCCGCCCGGGTTTCGCAACATATGGAAAGTCTGAACCGGTAGTGGATGCAGTAACGCGCAGCCGCAGGGACGAAAATAACCAGGTCTACAACTTCAGACAGTAAATGGGACGAGATCCCGATTCCGAGGGCCCCGAACGGGCGCAAGCGCAAGGAGGTAGGACGAGTTCGTGGTGATTATGAACATGACGTTCATCCTACGTTCTTGCACCAGCAGAGGTGAATTACGATAGGGAGGGGAAAAGCAGAAAAAGAGAACAGCTGTGGTCGTGGAAGCGAAGCATGACTTCAAAGAAAGAGAGACAATTCAAGGGGCCACGAAAGGAGCATCTTCAACATGGATTTTTTTCGCATGCACCATCACGTCTGGGTTTGAGTTGTACGATGCGTGGTCTACGTACTTTTTTTCCACTGACAAGGCTGCGACTCGTGCTGCCCTTTCGCTTCGCAGGCCATGTGAATGCTAGGCAATGGATGCACAACTCCATGAGCATCGCGAGCAGCGTAATGAGCTTCAGTTTGACCTTCACAGGAACAGGGATGCGAACTACATGTGGTGTTCTTTATCTTCGGCTTGCTCTGCAACACCTCTTGCTGAGTGATGTGTCGGTGAGATGACATAGCTGCAGTTGGTTTCACGACTATAGTATGTGAAGATGATGTGTTGAGTTGGTTATGGTTTCGATTAGAAGTAGTACAGCTGAATTCTCAGAAACGGAAGATATGTTGACCATAGAACCCTAAGAGCTGCTAGTATCTTATTCTTATAATTATTATTATAATTATAAATATTTCGTCAAAAACAACAATCTGTGCTGCGGCTGAAACAAAACGACTACCATGGATGCAGACGGCGGGAATGAATTCCGACGGGGGCGACCGCCTTCTACCTCACAACAACATCCACGACCAACAAGCCCGAAACCCGTTTTGTACACCCTTCTCGCACTTCTCGGCGCCTCTGCGTGGATGCCAGTGCAGTGCGTCTTCAGTGACGCGTGGAAGCTCATTCCCCTGCTGCCGGACGGATACCAGCTGCCAAGTAACCTGTCTCTCGCCGCACAGACTGGCCTGGTTGCAGTGCTAATGTATAGATACAATTCTCGTTTTTTTTTTTTTGCATGTGCCTCGTGAAAATGCGTTTACCATTCTTGAATGCTCTCTCTTAGTGGTATGATGTATGAAGAAATATTTCCAATAATAATAGCACGACTAGTAGTACGACTTTGTTGTCGACGTGCACGAGAGAACCAACTGAACGAATGCACGACACGTCAGCCAGCTCCTGCTGGTAAAACTGCCTCCTTATTCATAACTCCAGACACACTTTCCTGTTCCGCAATGTGGAGCATGCGCAGAGTTTGCCAGTGCTTTCCGGGACCATCCTCACGGTTGTCGTCGGTGACGTGATTGCTCTCGGTCTTTTGGCCTCTTCCTGGGGCTACCTGTACAACGGCGAGGAGATGATAAGCGTCGGGGAACTGCAAGGAAGTACGAGCTACGGGGCAGTTGAACAAGTTGTTCCACAAGTACCACCGGTTCCACCTGTGGAAAATCTACAATTCTTTTCAACATCAACAACACCTACCACCACTTCATCTACTTCACTCTCCTACTTCAATATCCTGTTTTACCTTTGCTACACGCTGCTCGCCTGTTTCGCGTGCCTGACGAACCTGTCCTACTGGCCTTTTGTGGCGCACTGCTTGGATCCGGTGGACGTCCCGACGGGCGTCGTGTGTCTCTCAGGGGGTGCGACGAGTTCCGTGGGTTTTATCGCGGTGTTTGTCAGTCTGCAGCGATATTTCGACTGGTCGCCAGCCGTGTACTTTGGGCTGTTCGCTGTTTTGTATGCAGTTGTGTTTCTTCCGGTGGTTGTTTACTTGGTGCATCACTGCAGGCGGCGGGTGGAGGCCATAGTACTTGCTGCGGAGCGTAGTGTAGATGTTGCCGGTGCCGCGGGTGCAGCGGTGATTAGATCTGAAGACGATGAGGTGACGTGTGATCAGTTGAATACAGGACGAGAACCCAGCAGGAGTTCAAGCCTCACTGAATCACAAGAAGCGATGAAGAATCTCTACCCGCAGCACGGTGGAGAGACAGCACAACAACCACGCTCAGCAGCATCACCCTTGCCGCTGCAACCACACCGAGTAGAAGACCACTTCGAGACCGCGGAACTTCAGCAGCAGGAAACCGCGATGGTCGACGTCCCACCACCCTCCAGGACGAGCCAAAATGTACTGTCGCTCGTATCCCTATTTCTCGCGGGCGCTTTTCAGAACGGCCTTTTTCTGTCTCTCACCGTTTTTGCGTGCCGCGTTGTGACGAAGGGCGATGCCGGCGAGACAAACTACCTCTATTTTCTCATCACCAATGTTTCCGGCTGGCTCACTCCCTTCGCCGTTGCCGCGGCCTACTGGTGCTACGCGCGGCGCAGTGTGCGGATACTCGCGACACTGTACTGGCTGTTAGTCGGGGGGTTTGTCTTGGCGTTAGCGGTTCGGGGCGGGGCAGACGGAGACGAGAGCAGAGAAACTGAAGCATCACAGAGGTGGTCCTCGTTTACGAGCGACGACGGACGTGTAATTCAGCCAAACGATGTCTTCAGCACGCGCTTTACCACGGCGACAAGAAGAAGAACCGAGATAACGGTAAGCCGAGACCGCGATGAAGCAGAACCGATGCAGCACAACATTGGGAGAAAAGATCATCAGCGAGACAGCACCAGTGACCCTCTTGTTGCAACTGATCAAGCATTGCAAACGCCGTCGAGTCGTGAGGAGAAAGTGGTTGTTGATCCTACTGTCGTATGGGGACGAACACCAGAAAATTATGACAGCAAACATGCGCTCTTTGATGAAGATTCACATTCACGATCACGACACCGACAAACGTACAGAGGGAATGACAATGATGAAAGTTTCGCTGCTACTAGTACAGCTTCAACACTCGAAAACTACAACTTCCTCTTTCTTCAGGACGACCACCCCCATGATTTCCCGCGTGGTCTCTTCGTACTTTTCGTCATCTCTGGGATCACGATTTTGCCCTTTGGAAAGACCATGACCATGGCTACGCTCGGAGCTGCGTCAACATGTGGCGACGCGAAGCCGGCTTTAAGCCAAGCGGGGCGCGTGCTGCAATTCGGAAGCTCCCTCGGGTCGTTGCTTTTCTTCTTGTTCGCAAGAACTCTGGTGAGTAAGTAGCAAGTGTTGACGCTCTTGACCTGCTCGTCCATGTCTACCTTTACTAGTACGCGGCGCAAAAGTAGCCCTAGCCGACTCCGACAAACGAAAATGACGGTCCAACATCAAACCAGCCTGGCCACCCTAATGCTTCATGTCGGGGAAAAATGTCAAATAACACGGGCTGTCGTCGTCCGGGGACGAAAAAAATGGAGCGGACTAGCACAGTCACGTCGTAGTGATCAGTGACAGGAGTGATGTTTCATTTCATACATAAAGACGGGTCGGACTCTATTGGAAAGCACAAGAAGCAAACGGAAATACCATTGCTTTTCTCGCTGTAGAATCAGCGACAGTGCGCTGATCGAAAAGGAAAAACCAAACGCGGTATATATTTGAACGAACTGTGTGATGAAGGAGATGAAGACGCTGTAGAATACAAAAGTGCCATATTAAAAAAAAAATATAGCGTATACAAGACGCTAACAATATGAATAGAATGCAACCTGCTGCTGTTTCTGAAAAAGGAAGTTGAAATGGAAAAAAAAAACGCCAGCTCTCTGAGTGGGCCAGGAGAAAGGAGAAACGAAAACTTCCAGCGTTAATGTTTCGATAAGGAGCAGATCCAGCTGTCATGTCTTGGAATTGGATTCGAGTTCGGCTTTCGTTTCTCCGAATCAATAATTGCAAGTGGTAGGTGGATCAACATACACAGCTCAAGATCTATGCTAGTGGGCATGAATCAATGCAATAAGTAGAAGTCTTAGTCTGCAATCACCTGCAATTTCAATGCGCCAACAATTACGATCCTGTTCAGTTGTTGAAGGTGCTATATTATTGGCCGTCGTGATGGAGATCTTAGGAATGGGAATCGGCTTGCTTCCGACATCAATTCATGTGATCTTGACGGACCCGCAGATTGATGCCGTGCCTTGTTGAAGATGACAGCTCCGATAAGAGTCCTGAAGATCCGTTGGTGGTGGTTGTTTAAGTACTTACATACAAGAAGGATGTTGATGAGCATAAGGACGACCACGGTCTCATATTAGTTATTACCAGCCCGGTACAATGCCTGAAATGGTTGTTGTACAAAGAAGGCTTCCAAAGATCTGTCTACTCGACCGCTATTTTCTTCTTCATGTTTTGCTCCTGGTTGTATGTGCATCCGGCTCCCACAGCTGCTGTATGGGAACGGAAAAAGTGTGGGAGCGTTGCACCAACCGCAACATGCCTACTTTTTTACAACTTCATCCAATCATTGAGTTGTCGATCCATCAACATCAGTCCAAAACTTCTCAAGATCTCCTCTCGATCGGTGAAACAAGTACAAGGACTTCTATTTTCTTCAATCGTCATGATTTACATCTGAAGCGATCTACTTCACGGTGACAACTTACGACTCTTTCGAACTAGATGACTTAAACAAAGTTGTATAGCGTAGAACCAGAAAAAAAGCGTCGATAAAAGAATTTCAGTACTATCTCACTCGCTTGCCGATGGGGTGAGGAGTAGCCGTTGCTGTTGTTGACCGTGCAGATAAACAAAGTCAACATAGAGTGCTGTTGTAAACTGAATTATTACTCACACGCGCTAGCCGTAGCCCTAGCGCTACAACTGCTGCTGAGGCTCTACGTAAAGCTGCAGGCAAACTTCGAGGCGGGCCATCAACATAGTGGCATACCACTAGTAGTGTCAGCATATAGATCAAAGCGCTACAACAACTAGCACCCGACCCAGGAAAAGGAATCCAAATTATTGAACTTAGACGTAGACAACGGGGCGACGAGGAGAACGGTCATCAATCGGGGCTTCTACAACGTCAAAAGTGGTACGACACGAAACGCGAGCCGTCCAAAGCGACGCCGTCCGTCCAAAGCGACCTACACGACACCAAAAAGATAAAGACCGCAGACAGGCCACGTACCACTACGACATCAAGCAGATATGATATTAAGCGTGGTGAAAAAATAAGCGAAAGAGAAGAAGGAGCCGGCGCGTCACTCCCTTTCTATTGCTTTCAACACCACGATGCTCATCGTCCTTATGGCCAAACAATCTCAACTCCACTTCGATGAAAAGCGAACGCAAGAAACACGATTGGAGCACGACTTTCACGACCACGACTTAATGAAGCTGAAGCCATCTACCTCTACGTGTATCAAAAACCCGTCGCTTTTTGACGGCAACCAATAAAATTTTAGCGACCATCAACTCCACTATCTACCGAACTATATCAATACGCTTTATATTTTTTTCGCACGGAGACGGAGCTGAGCAGGATTTTCCTCTTGTCCCGCACCTTTCACAATTTTGGCAACTTGACTTCGACGCACGTCGTGCTACTAGCTGATTAGGTTTTAGGAGTTTGCGGAAGAAAATGAAGCCTGAATCTCCACGGGCGCTCTACTTTCCCTCAAGTACCACCGTCCGAAGAAAAATCAAGCCGACGTGCTACGTGTGGCTACTGATGCAGCACCTAGTATTTCTGTCCGCGCTGGCCGGGGGTCGTGGGCCGCATCGGAGACCCTTTTTGGTCGCAGGTGCGGGTGCGGTGAAAGTGATTCACCAGCGTGGCCATTTCCACCATGGTGTACCGCAGGCTCCCCCGGGTTCGCCCCCAAGCGAGGCAAGCGACGTCGAGGACGAGGAGCATCCACACGAACTTGCAATCGCATTCGCGGAACAAGTGGTAGTGCCAAGTAGGACTACGACAAGAAGTGCAGCTGCAGCTGCTTTTACCACTACTTCCAGAGTTGATCACTTCGACACCAGGCCCGCGTCTACCCCTGTCGTTGTCGTATACAAGAACCAACAAGGCCAACACCTCCAAGCTCTGGAAAAAATGATGCGAGGCGGCACCTCTACTTCCAGTGGAACGGCCACGCCTGTAGGCGCCGGAGCAGGCTCTGGCTCGTCCCCAGTGTTATCTGCAGCAACTACAGCCGGCGGACCATCTGCTTCGTCACATCAGTCGCGGGCGTACTCGGAAGTAGACGGGCATGGACATCATGACCACTTCGCGTCGTGGTCCCTGACATCCTCGCCTCCAGATTTGCTGGAAGATTCTGCAGCGAGTCCAATAGGATCGTCCGGCGGATTCTTGCCCCCGGCGATGTTCCAAAATATAGGGCCGACGTGGTTCTTGCAACCTTCCGCGAAGATTACCAGCATCAGCAATACGGTGGTAGAACCCCCACCACAGATGATGCGAACCGCGGCGGATGAAGATCAGGTTCCAGGGTCGAAGTCCTGTAGTCAAGAGCCAGCTTCTACGTCGGGGTTTCTCTCGCGGCAGTGTGGCGGTCCCCAGACCGGCAGCACGGCAAACCTCGTGACACAACATCAGCAAGAACTTCGGCTAGGATCACCACCAGGCGGAGCAGCAGCAGCGTCGCCTACTAGTGCCGCTCCGGGCGAAACAATTGCAACACGCTACAGCAGAAGTCTTGCGGAAGCGAAGACAGCTCCTAGTGGTCCTCTTATTCCCCCGGTCGCGTACAGGAAAAATGGTGCTGCAGAATCTGGGCCTGATGCTGAAAACATGTTCTACTTGCAGGCAAAGCAGCAAGAGCAGGAGGTAGGGCGCGAGGACGCGGCCTTTGAACCGCTCAGCGAGCGGATAACGCCAAAGTTCGGCTCTGGTCGCAACAGCCACCAAAGTAGAGATCACACTGCACTCGCACCGAGTTATGCAAATGTGGGCGGAGCAACAGCAAGTCCTAATACTGCATCAAGTGGCAGTCGCACTGGTATGACTTTTTCGAGCATGATCAATCCTGCTGCTGGGGTAGGACCTCCTCCTCGAGGGGCGACACTAGCTATTGGCGTCCCGCCGACGCTGTCGCCTCCGCGAACGCCCCCACTTCCGCCAGTGCCCGAAGGGGGCGAACAAGAGGAGAGCGAGCTGCTGCACCTGTCGCTGCAGCCCCGATCATTGCCTTCGGAGGACCACGAAGACGATGTCGAAAATCCTTCGGAAAGTGCCAGTCTTCAAGGTGGAGACGAGATCGATTCGGATACGGATACAGGTACGACTGGTCGTCCATATGAGCTCCTCCTGTCACGAGACCGCGATGCAGAGGATGCAGACGGCTTGGCGTTGAATCGCAGCAGCAGAGATATGTTTGAACTCGAAGTGCTCGGTTTCAATCCGGCGCACCACTACAACACATCGCTTGGTACGCTTAGCCAACAATTCATCCAGCAACTGCATCTCGGGGACAACGACAACGGAGCAAGTACGAGGGGGGAAGGAGCTGGCGTAAGTACTGCTACTGTTCCAGCAGCGCCAGAAGTAGGAAGAGAATCTGACCTACAGGAAGCAGCTGAACAAGAGAGAACTGAGCGCGAAGTCGATCCTTGTTCGTCCTCTCGCAAGCCCCGGCGGCGTAAGACGATCGAATTTGATTTTGGCTCGCTTCATCAACATCCGCCACCAGTTATTTCCAGGGGCGCACTCTACAAGATCTCGGAAGAGGACCCCCGGCCAGAAGGAGCACCCGACTCAGAGTCGGATAATGAGAAAGACGACTGCGAGGACGGAAGTACGATGGACACGGATGGAGCCAGTAGCGACAACGCAGGCCAGCGACCAGCAGTTCATCTTGGGAAAGTTGTGAGGAGGGGGAGCTCTCCTTCGAGTGGTGACGGTGAGCTTCGAGGAGGTGCGGGAAGAGGACCAAGCGTGAACCATTTCTAATGATCATGATTGCGCGATCATACATTTGTTTGAGTTTTGTCTATGCACCACAATAAAAATGTATCAAGTAAATGAAGTAACAGTTAGCCGCTTTTTCTTTTTCTATTTTCGATTCACATTTTCTCTTTCTGAAAGTGAAACTAACACCAAAAAACAAAAGCAGGCACTCAACAGCGATCCCATCTTTCACTTTGTAGTCTTTTTCGTTAAAAACACACACTGAAGCGATAAGAAATTTCTTGCAATACTAGGAGAAGCAGCTGCAGCTCCCCCGCAATGAATAGTGCACGTTGCACTAAGATGTTCAAACACGACAAAAAAGAAAAACAGCTGTGATGCTCATAGGACAAAGACATTTCCGTATGGACTAAGTAGCTGTATTTCTTCATTTATTGCCTAATCATTTTATCTAAAAGCTTTCGACGGTAAAACGAAAGGCATGAGACAGACACGCTAAAGCATGATACGCACACACTCACACAGAGTAGCACAGCTAAAACTAGCTGACTTCTCTTTTTACTCATTCAAAGCTACTTACTTGTAAAATAAATTACAAATTGTCGTGGCCCTTCTCCTTTTGTTGTGGTCTTCAGTTTGTCAGATCAGGATGGAGGCACGCCACTTGTGATGTGATCTTTATCGACATTATCAAGTTTATGTTTGAGCAGCGCTTACTTTTTTCGTATCTTGACCGGAAAGTCGCCACTAATGTAGCAATGAATATATCTGTACTAAAATTATGTATGATCTTATTTGATGCATGTGCAAGAGCAAGTGCTCAGCATGTGGATGATCTGGCTTCATGGCAGGTTCGAACGTGCGAAACGCCACGTTCGAACGTGCAAAACAAGAATGCCCCGCTGGCTCTGCGTATAATCATGTTCCTAATTATTTCTGGAACGCACAGAATGCATCACAGGTCTTTGACCTGTGCCTTCAAGTAGTCAGCTCTATCTCTACCTCCTGGTGATTGACGCTGACCTACAATCAATAGCAATAACAATTGAGCTACGTATCTTACTTCAACACCCCTGACATTAACATCCCTTCAGGCGCCATTTTCATTTTCACCAGCCTCCGCCTTTTATTGAAACTAGAAAAAGCTTGCGAATAGATCCACAAAACTTTTACAATCTAGAGAGTCATCATCAGTCACGACTGGCGCCGTTCAACATGAACATTTGGTACAGGTACTTACTATGGAAAATAACACCTCCCTGCGTGGAATAAGAAGGTATGGACTATCGTGGAGGTGTTGCCGTCCCCGAGTGATGAAACAATGAAAATGAATATTTTTGTTTGTGCCAGTTACTGATGACTTCACCTCTGTTCGCATGCATTTCTCACACCTAACATTAAATGCGACTTCCACATCAGTGGAAAAAACTCACCCAGACTCGTCGCACTCGACTGAATAAACGCGTCTGCCAAGGTCTCGACTTGTGCGACGCCGGTGGTAACGCTAAACACCAACACGAGATTTTTAAACCTCGAAGAATATTAACGTAAGCACAACAAGCTCGACCAGTATTACACGTGGAAAAGAATGGCTCGTACTCAGACTCAGACGGAAACCCGTGCGCCAAGGTCTCAACTTGTGCGACGGTGGTAAGTGGCCGTGTAGAACAAACCATCCATATCTGAGACTTACTTTGGAAGTAGTGCACTTTTACTCCCACATAGTATGAGTATCTCACTATCTATTGGCAGCCAGCAGTTTCTTATTTTTTACCATCCGAACCAAGTGGCAGCCCAAGCAAAAGCATGACGTGCTCAAGGCAGCAGGAGTACCTACTCGTGCTGTCGCAGGTGAAGCTATAGAGCTTGAGTTTATTACTTCGGTGGAAAATTTAAATTGACCACGGGCACTTAGACTTAACGCGACGCCCCCCTCCTCGAAATTGCGCCGTGGACAAACAAGTTCGCAAATTAGTATTAGATAGTTCAGAAACAAATCATCTCACTCTCCGGAGGACGAGAGCAGCCATGATAATTTTGATTATCTGGTGGTAGTTACCTTAGTTTCGAATTCTATTTCATCTAATAGTGCAGGTGCTGCGAAAGTAAAGCCTGTATCTCCTAGACATCAACAACCTTGCCGCAGTTACTCGCCGAGCGCGAGCGCAGAAAGCTTGCAACCAGGACCAAGAGCAGACAGTAAGCCAGCAACTACTCGCGGTGAAGTGCAGTGACTTCTGGGCCACAAGGTCAACAGACGTTGTAGCTTGACCGTTTATGTTACACTGGTACGCGACTGCGTCGTCCGAGTAGAACTTTTTTTTTGATATATTGCAATTTCTCCATACAACACGAACTTTCCAAATAAGTACGTAGATCGTAGTGCGCCAACATCCACTCCACCATTGACGTGGGAAAGACCTCGATTCGTTGCTGCGGATCCGTTTTGTAAGGTCTTTCTCAACGATGGTTGGAAAGTTACTTCCCCACTGTAAATAGGTCGAGCGAATATGCTTGCTCTGTAGTTGATGTCAATATTCATTGTGGAAATTCAGCTGGTTGTGCGCGAGGATGGCGATCGACACACTGACAATGACAAGCTTACAGACGTCGAAAACTAGTCTCGCATTATAGATCCTATTGCGCGAAACTTATGTTGCCTGGCGAAGCAAAGTGGGCCGCATGTATTTCGAATATGTCAGAACCGCATGTGCATACTGAGTTCTTCATTCAGACGCGATCGATGATCGTATGGGCCTTCACAATCAAATAAACTCAAAGTAGCCACAACTACCAGCCGCAACATGGAAATATACAAGAGCGCTATTACGCCTCACCACCAGCCATCATGAAGATAGTCAACACCAAAAAAAGAAAACCACTCACCACCACAACTCTATGTACGATTTCGAAGATGTGCCACAGTCACTTCTGAGTTTATCAGGCTTACTTTTGCAACATCATTAAAACATGACCTATCTGCTCTGCATTCATTTCAGCAACCACTACTGGCTTGCTCCTCTCTTACTGCATTCCGCTGTAAGTGGAGAGAAACGATTAATATCGGAAAAACAAACAAGATTAAAGCAAAGCCTGCTTCAATGCGAAGCTGTAGTGGCGACAGTCGTGGTCGTTGTTGATATTTTTGCGAAGAGGATGGTCTCGTCAATCGCGGCGAACTAAAATGATGTAGCGAAAGCGAAACACCTGCTTGAGAATTCAAACTCGCAATTACAAGGAGCAAAAGCAGGATCAGCAACGAGCAAAAGAGGAATAACAGGCTCAGACAGCCTGAATTGGTCGTGGTTAGGTTGTGCCAGCAATCATATTTATGCTTACAGGGGCCATGATCATGTTCATGCTGAAAGATAAACCAGAAGAAGAAATAAAGCGCTGAAGAACACGAACAATATGCCCATAAAATACGAACACATGTCAAGTGCTAATGTAAAGTATTGCGTTTATTCGAAAATAAACGAGTGCAGGAGAGCTCATCTGCTCACGCAGCCGAGCGTGCGCGCGCGCGCAAGGAAGCCCCCGGCGTGCGCACGAGAGAGGAAGTACCTAAGTTCTTGTGGCAATCCAGCACCTCCACACGAGGCATACGCATACCTCAAAAATGTTCTTCGTTCTGTGGATGTGGTTTCGTCTGGGTACAGCAATCCGATGAACCCATAATGCAAATGTTGGAAATGCAAATGAGCGTTGCGCACCTTGATGCGCCTTGACCTTGAGGGAGAAAAGTTTTATGTGGAAAATAAATCTTGTTCGCAGCCATTTCAATAGAGCAGGAGACATCACATCACCCACATAAAAATCTATTACCACAAGCGCAGGACAACCACGACGATGCCGATAAACCTGGCCGCTTCGGTCCCCCCGGGGTCGAAGATGAGGCTTGGGAATTATACAAGCTTCCACCTCTCGACGAGAACGCTGTTTGCAGGTGCAAATAGAAACATCACGCACCATCAAGCGACTACACGACGGACCGTCGCCACGACCTCTTTTTTGGGAACAAGACCGTCATCAATATTTTTCAGGGCTTGCAGTGGTGAAGGAGCTAGAAAAAACGCCACTGCAACTAGTTATACCAGCACTCGCACTCTTTCTACTTCGGGTGCTGCACGGCGAGCAGGAGAGGAGAATCAAAATCAAGGCCGTTTTTACAACAACAACCAAAGCGGCAGAAGTTCCTGGAAGTCCTCTTCGAATGGCGACCAAAATTTCCGGTTCACCAGCGCAGGCGCCGACTTTGGTACCCCTGTGCTGCTTGGCGCTGCCGGGGCGGCTTCGGTCGCGCTCACCCTCATCCTCTTCCCCTTCGCCCCCGCCCGGAACTTAGAAGAAGTCAAAAACGAGGCCCTCGTTTTTCTGAAGCCGCATGCGCAAACGGCGGGCGCCCGGAAAGCGGTCGCCGCGGAGATGCGGGCCCGGGGATTGCAGATTCTGCAGGAGGGCATGATTTCGGGCCGCGAAATTATGCAGTGCAAAAGTATCGTACTCGTATAAATGCATTACAAATTTCCTCAGCGTGAGAAATAAAATTTGTAATGCTAATTTGCCTTAAGAACATGATTTGTAATGCATGATCAAAATACGAGTACGATGCCTTTGCACAGGATAGAAATTGACCAGAAGCAACTGATCGACACGCACTACTACGCAATCGCCAGCAAAGCGACCTTGCTGGACCCAAAGCAGCTGAACGTGCCCAAGGAAATGTTTCAGAAGAAATTCGGTACAACTGGAACTCACTTACAGTTCGTTGCAATATAGCCTTTCTTAGCTTTCAGCACATTTTTGAAGTTAATACTTCTGATCACTTTTATTCAGGATCATCAGTCTTGCAGCAGACCACACAGACTCTAAACTTGTTGGAAGAGAAATGCGCACAAAAATCAGGCCTTCCCTGGGATGACGCTTTGAAGCGCGGCATCGTTTTGAATGCCAAGCAGGCGTGCGAGCGCTTGAACCTCACGAGCGAAGAACTGAACACGATCTGGGCCAAGGCAAAAAAGGACGGCAAACTGGTGAAGTTCGGGGGCGGGTTTTACTGCGGCAAGCTGGAAAACGTGGGGGTGAACGATATCCACAGAAAAAACAACCATCTCCATCCAATTTGTCATGCAAAACATGCATAAAGATAAAGTCCCTCCACTATTTGTCATGCATAAAAAAGATGGGGAAGATGGTTGCTTTTTCCTGGATAAACGACTCGGAGACGCTCTACGTAATGAACGGTTTCTTCATGTCAATGCGGCAGAAGTTTGTCGAGCCCGGGTCTAGCATCTACTACTGGATTGTCAAGTGGGACGCGAAAAAGATGCCCTGGGAGGACTTCCGAGGCAAACTGCTTGGGTATGCAATGCAAACGCATCGTACTAGTATAAATTGCATTACAAATTAGCCCAGCACTACAAATTTGAATTTGTAATGCTGATTTACCTTGAGAAAGAGATTTGTAATGCATAAATGCAATTACTACGAGCGCGATACTTTTGCACTGGATATTGGGCCAACGGACCCGATTACCGCACCGCCGGACTCGTTGAGAGGTACTTGGTACTTTTGATAGAAGTAGAGCAGCTTGACAGATGTAATGTCTGGTCCTCTGATTCACATATTTGCTGCAGGTTTTTCAGACTTACTTCAATGAAGATGCTGATAATGATGTTGATGATGCGCATGAATATGCAGCCTGTGTTGACTTCTTTCATCCTCATGTCACGATCACGAAGCACGTAGATTTATTTTAGAGAGCAACTATCCCGGGAAATAATTACAGTATTGTCAACCCATCTCTTCAGGCATGTTTATGACAAATTGGCGGGAATACGGGCTTTCTTCTCCACCAGACGTGGGCGACAATGCGGTGCACGCCTCGGCTTCTCCGTTTGAGGCTCTGATATGCAAGAACACAAAAGTACCGTATGTGCCTACAAAAACCGCCACAATTTTTTTTTATATACCAGCCTGATAAATCGTGAAACTTGTCATTCTGTTGAATATGGTTTGGCGAAGTAACTTTTTTTTTCATGCAAGCAAGTCAACATTGATTTGTAAGCGATGTGATGAAGCTCGTACGGTACTAGATTCACAGTCAATATCCGGCGGAAAAGATGAATTGGCTCGGCGTGAAACCAGAAAACGACTCGTTCGGCAAGCAGGTGCTGAAAGTGATCGGCTCCACGGTGCTGAACAGTTGGAGAAACGACCCGGCGGTGGTGTATGGACCCACGCCCATCAAGAAGAGCGTGTTTGACACGTTGGAGGACGCGGACTGCGCCTACTGCTTGGCGCTGCTTAGCATGATGTTCACAACCTGTTACTGGGATAAGTTGTAAACAACTATCAATTCTGCAACTGCAAGGAGCTAAGAACGTGACAAAGGCTAGAAATTAGTATAAAGGGGTGTAATACTGCATTATAGTTGAACGAGATGCGGACGAGCGATTACTGCCAAAGGTGGAAATGGATTTTTCACAAAGGCATGCAGATTCAGTCACTGCTAGCATCCTCAGGCGGATAACGTTTGCGTTTGTATCTGTATGTATTTTTGGGGTCGGCTTTGCTTTTGATGATCATGGAGGATCTCATGAGCACAGCTAGGGCGTATTGTTTACTTACTCTATGAGTCCTTTTGAAAAAATAAGAAGAAAAGCGTGGAGCTCTGATAAAGCCATGCTTTTCGAACAAAAGTTGATAAAAATGACTGCTGTAGCAGGGTTGTCAAAGTGCGACCTGCACTGCGAACTGATGAAAGTTGCCTGATGTACTAGCCTTGCTGCCAAGATTTTGTATCTGAAGCGTCAGATTAAGAATCGCAAGTATGCTCCGAAGAAAAGATAGTCCACTGATGTGCTTGTCCTATCAGGCCCCTAGGGCAGACGCGGAACAAATGAGAAGTATAAACAAAACGGCACTACTTCTGATATTGAAATCTTCGGTTTGCGATCTTCGCATTACATCGGTCTGGATGTTGACGCTGGTATGTAGTGTCCTCTGCTCGGTCGTGACGAGATCATAGACGACATGAAGATGATGAAAAACAAAAGCAATAAGAAGAGAGACGACAGCGCAGTAGGAGTTTCTGAGGTCCTTTTTTGTACTAGCATCCAATCTATCTTCATGAATGTTCTCGGTAGGTTCTGAATTGGTGCTGCTCGATCGCCGCGGTTCCTATCAGGACCGCGGTTCCTATCAGGACCGCGTGTCGTTCTGAATTGGTGCCGCGGTTCCTATCAGGATAGATCTTATTTTAGATCAACAAGATGTGATCACGACGTGACGCTAAACTACTCCCTTTGAGTTCATTCCACGACCGAGAAGGGGAAAAGTGCTTACTCATGTTGCACCTCCTCGCGCATTCAATAACTAATACCGGACAGTAATTGATTCAATTTACATCTCATCCTAACTACAACTCAACTACACCAGTGGCTAAACAGAATTGGTTCTACAGATACCTTCAACGGATGTTCCTCATCAAGATCGACACCCCTAACCCTATCAGAAACACGTACAGACAAGCGCGTAACCATATTGACCAAGCAGTAAAAAATTGTTTCCCATGAAGATGAGCCACGTCGACGCACCCACTACATAGTTTGACTAGATGAACCATAAGTTCTGCAGAAATAAAGTTAATTTTTTGTATTTGACGTCGTGCATCTGAGCATGTCGCTGAACAATCGAGACAGACGTCGCCAGGGACAGGTGGCCGCTGGAGTTCCGCAGCCTGTGCCTGTCGCACCGGCGACAGCAGAAAAACCGCTTCGCACCTCTGGAACCACGAAAGACAAAGGAACAGAAGTGAGAGTTTCACGGGGAAGTGCAAACATAAACAGGATCGAAGACCTGGCGAGGGAAGACAAGATGCAGCGCAAGCTGGCACCGAAGCATATCCGGCGGTCTGCCGCTGCAGCTCCCGTGGAGAATACAACAAGCAACGCGACCACGACTTCGGGCACCAGCGGTCGTCCGAATTCACCGAATAAGAAAGACGACTCTCAGAAGCTGCTCCGCGTGCCCCGCGAGGTAACCGTGCACTTGCCGACCCGACAAATGACCCACAAAATGCACACCGATCCGCTGTTCACAAGCCTCGCACGGACCACGGCCAAAGGCCCGACCAGGTACCTCACGGACTACTACAGTGACGCGGTGGTTGGGGAGGAGATTCCCCTGGGTGTCGCGTGGACTCACCGGGGCCTGGAGGCCCAGAAGCAGGCAGTGACGTTGACGGAGCTCTGCCCGCTGCTGGCGAAGAAATTGCAGGTGCCCAGAAGATTTCTCTGGCTCGCGGAGGAAGTGTTTACGACTACAACTGCTGACGCAGCTGCCACTGGCACTGGTCGTGCGGCGGTCGAAACACAAACTGACAAAAATTCTGCTGCTCCGGTGATCACGTTTCGCTTCTTGCAGGCGTGGCAGTTCCAGCAAAAGGTCACCGGCACAACGACCAACGGACGGCAAAGCCTGGCGGAGCGCAAGTCCAAGAACGCCGGGCCGGGAGTTTCCAAGGTCGGCGGGGAGAGCGCGAAAACGGTCCTTCGGACTTCCGACCCGGTGGCCGTGTACGAAACCGGGTATGAAATGTAAAAATGTCTGGGTCTGGAAGAATGCACGTTTGTCATGCTTGTCTGGCATGACTCTTAAATCTGTCATGCACGTTACCCAAGAGCCCCATTGTTCTGTGATGCAGAAACGCAGTTTGTCATGCAGAATAGGCAACACCTAGAAGCTCAGAAACTTGCGATGCTGAGCCAGCATCTGTGGCCTCATCATGAGACGCCGCCCGGCATCACAAGTTTCCAGACCCAGACACTTTTAATTACATTTGATACCGGGGCCTGGGAGCTCGTTGCCTTCCCGCCCCCAACGCCGCTGGAGAGTCACCTGCAGCCGCGGGGCCAGGACACCTGGACCGACTGCTTCGAGCGCGTGCAAAAGGAATGGCTCCGATCGCACATCACGACGACCACTCTGGCAACGAGTGCTGGTGCCAACGTGGCCGGCGCGCAAAACGAGCCGGCGCCAGTTGCGGAATTATACGAAGAAGAATTTTTGTATACCTTAAATAAATTTGTCCACGGGTTGGGAGTCATTCAGCTCGCGGAACTCAAGGATGCGAATAAGGTACAAGAACTTGTTGTGTCGTGTTTACTTGTTGATTTAGTTGTTGCATCAGAGTAGAAAAAAGTTACCGTTGATTCCAATTTTTGCGCATGCTCTCTACTCACTTCCCGGTGTCAAAAGCACGTAATAAAAGAAGTAAAAACGAAATAATCTCCAGAAATTCTCGATGAATTATCCACAGATGTCCCTCTGCGAATGGATCTGGAGCCGCTGCACGTGCTCCCTGCTGCAGAAAATCCTCCAGCTGTCGACGACCGAGCACTGGGACGAGCATTTTTGGAATGGGAGTTTCGTCTACCTGACCTCCGCCCACAATTGCAGCTGGGCGGAGCGCACCGAGCTTCTTTCCCTGCTTTTGCAGCGCTGGCACACCTATCAACTGCAAAAATGTCTGGGTCTGGAAGAGTGCAAACTTGTCATGCTATTTTTGGACTCTAAAAAAAATTGTATTGCATGACCAGCAAGAGGGGCGCAATTTGTGCTACACGGACAGGGCATTTCTCATGCGGAAGGTGCATCAGGAAGCCCTCAAAAGGTCTGCGATGCTAGGTCATGCATTACAGGCATCATGTGTCATGAGAGATATGCATGGCAAATCTTGCATTCTTCCAGACCCAGACACTTTTGCATTTGATAACACCCGGGGCGTCAACGAGCAGGCCGCGCTCGACCTCGGCTGGCTCTCGTATGGCGTTCTCAAACGTTACATTCTCAAGTGTTACATGGATTTGTCATGCTAAACTACCATCAAGATCCACACGATCAAGCTGCTTCGCATGACAAATTTGCGAAGGGCTAAACAGCAGCTAAATCTGTGCGGAATTTGTAATGCTAGAGGCGCAACCTCCCTCCTTTGGCTTTTACTACTCTTGCATTACAAACTCATGTAACAGTTGAGGATGTAACGTTTGAGAGCGCCATATCTCGCACTACCCGAGCGCCCGGTGTCCGCTGACCGCCCCCCCCTTGTGCCACGCCTTGCGCCAGGAACCCCGGGTGATCTGGCCCTTTTTGCAAACCGCCGCGAGCGCTGGAAACATCACGAAGGTCAGCAATAGTACAGCCAAATCCCGTCGCGCGGCCGGCGCTCCTCGTGCTTCCTCTCCGTCTGGGGCCGACGGCTCAAGTACAACGATCCCGAATAGAATTCACCAAGAGCACGGTGCGTTCTACATGCCGCGAGACCGGAAGAAGGAACAGCTCGCCTGGTTGGAATTTCTCCGCGTTTTGATCTTTAACACTGCCACCGCGGAGCAGCGCGTGGACTTGACGCTCCCCGAGCAAAGCACGGGCCTTCCGCCTCTCTGTTTCGCGGCTCGGAGGAATCAGGCGGAGGTGGTCCGGATGATGTTACAGCGCGCCCAGGAGATCGGCATGCTGAAGAAGGTTGTGAATTTAGCGGTCAGCTACCCGACCAGTCTGGGCGGGTTGCTGTTCCGGAAAAATCAGGTAGCGGAGCAAAACAACTGCGAGGTCGTCGCGTTCACCTACAGCACGGATCTTGTTGATAAGACAGGAGCGAATTATAATTCACCGAGTACGTCGATGGACAAGGACCACGATGCTGCACTAGTTCCTGATGTTGGTACTAGTTCATCTTCACAAGAACTGGATTGGCAGATGAAGTTGTCCGTGATTCACACGGGGAAAAAGATCGAGCAGGAAATGTTACGCCTGACTCCCAGCTCTTTCGACGTGCACAAAGTAGCCGACAGCATTATGTCCGTCGCGTCCAACGACACCTGGGCCGGCACCCTCGACAGTTACATCACCCCCGAGCCGCGGAGCAGCGCCGCGGGCGGGCAGGCCGAGTCGAAGTCGAAGAGAAACCGCAGTAAGTCGCCAGTCGCGGTGACGAAAACGGTGAGCAAAGAGCCGATTTCCGCCGGAGCAGCAGCAGGAAAAGAACAACCACTACCCGAGCACTCATCTCCGCAGGCGCGTCTTGCTCAGGCATCAAACCAAGAGGAAAATAAAGTGGGAGCAACAAAATCAAAAGAAAACAACACCTCTCCCCGGCCACGTCCGGTGATTCCGAACTTCTCCCCGCCGAACACGCCTCGGAAGACCCAGATGGTGTCGCTCGAGATGCAGAGCCTGCTGGAGCAGAACGCCCGCAACGGGGCGGACAGCAAATCGAAGCTCCTGAGCCAGAACACGCACAACGGGTACACGCCCCTGATGCTGGCCGTGCAATTCGGGGCCCGGGAGACATTTGATTTGTTATTAGACGAGGCGGGGTTCGTATGGAAGTGTCAGGTTTAAAATCGACAAAGTTGAAACGATTTGCCATGCATAAAACGGACGCCACTTGGAACCCAGTTTCCAAGTGGCGCATGACAAATTTCGGCGGTCCCGAAATCCAGTTTGTCATGCTGTTTAGGCAAAGAAGAGTGATTTTCTCATGCTACTTTAGCAGCTCGAGCTGTAACCCAAAAAGGCTTACAATCGGCCTCACTTGCCTGCTCTGCAATGCACGCACCTCGCGTCATGCATTTTATGCATTACAAATTATTTCAACTTTGACGATTTCAATCCTGACGCTTCCATAGTTCGCGCTTGACTTGAGCCACACCGCCCACGACGGGCACACGGTGTTCTCGCTGGCCTGCAACGACAACAGCCGGGAAGTGTGGCCGGAGTACGGGTTGCCAGATTTGAAGGAGTACAATCCGGTTGCGACCTCCTGTACCAACATTGTCGTGTCCGCGTTTTCGCTGAAGGACGCGAACGAGCAGCCCATGGGGTTAGTCCCCTTTCCCTCGATGCTCCAGGAGATCTCCTTATCCGGCAAGGTGCCGCCCTCCGGGCTCTCCGCCATCGCCGTGCAAGCCTGGGAGTGCGGACGGTTAGACACGAAATTCCGGACGGTTTTAGAGGCCTGTTTCCGGAAGCAGCTCCGGTTGAAGGAAGTCAGGCCGATTTTTCTCCAATCGCTTGTGCAACGGACCAAATCGAAGATCAGCGCGGCGGCGCTCGCGGACCTGCTGGAGCGCGCCTGCGACGGCGGGGTGGACAGCGAATGTGTAAGGACGCTGCTAGCAGACTATGAAATGCAAAAATGTCTGGGTCTGGAAGATTCTGAGACTTGTCATGCACGTATTGCATAGGCCATGACGTCTGTGATGCATGCCCTAGCATCAACACAGGCTTTTTGAGGGCTTCGCGATGCCTATTCCGCATGACAAATGCCCTCTCCGCGTAGCCAAAATTGCACTCCCTTAGCTGGTTATGCAATACAGATTTTTTTGGAATCCAAATGCAACATCACAAGTTCGGACTCTTCCAGACCCAGACATTTTTACATTTGATACAGACACGGCCTTGGCATTTTCCGGGCTGCAGCTGCCCGCTCCTTCTACGGGTGAGAGTGGAAGACCACAACACACCGCAAGTAAGAAAAAGATGAACAACCTTATCTCGCCACAAGACCTCCAAAGTCGAGACAATCAAACGATCTTTGACGACGAGGAGGCCCCCGATGATGGAACAAATGACATCTACGAAAGGGATTCCTGGGTTCTTGTGGATGAGCAAGACGCGGCGGCCCCGGTGTTGGCGCTGAAAAAGACCGCGAGCGGGAACTACAAGGCGGGGGGAACAACTGCAGCCACCGCTGAGGATTACGACTATATTGTGGACACGAGTAACTCCATGACCGACAGCTCCCGGCTGTCTATTGTATCCCACGCGAAGGCTATCAACTGTAAAAATGCCTGGGTCTGGAAGATTCTGACACTTGTCATGCACGTTTTGCATGAGCCCTGATGTCTCTGATGCATGCCCTAGCATCACGGATTTTTTGAGAGCTTCTTGATGCCTATTCCGCATGACAAATGCCCTCTCCGCGTAGCAAAAATTGCATTCCTCTTGGTACTCATGCAATACAGATTTTTCTGGAATCCAAACGCAGCATCACAGGTTGCATTCTTCCAGACCACGACATTTTTACATTTGATAAAGGCGCATGCGGTGCAAGTTCTGGTGAAAATGAATTTACTCGCGCAGGACATCGAGAAACGGCAGAACGAGCTGTTTCTGGCGAAGAAGGTATCCTGAGTAAAAACGTCCCCACACCAGAGCCAGGATGGGGATTTTGCAACACAAACCTAGGAGTTTTGGGAGTCACGCATGACAAATTGCACTCCGCAGTGTAGTGCTGGTTAGCAAGTGCAGGCGCATCACAGATTCATCTGCTTATCCTGTTCACAGCATCACAAATTCCAAAACACGACTGGAAGTGGCTCTCATGGGGATGCGCATTACAAGGCGTCCTGTCTTTGCAAATCTGCATTACAACTCTGGCGTGGGTACGTTTTTACTCAGGATAGAAGGACAAACTGTTTGCGAAGCGCAACTCTGCGATATCAAATGTAAAAGTGTCCGGGTCTGGAAGAATGCAACTTGTCATGCTGAAGCTGAAGCATGCAAAAATTTGTGTTGCATGATTACCAAAAGATGTCCACTTTTGAACAGTTTGACAGGGAGTTTCTCATGCAGAATATGCATGATAGACACCTCACAGCGTTTGTCATGCTAGGTGCTGCATTCCAGGCCTCATGGGTCATGGAAAAACTGCATCACAAATCTTGCATTTTTCCAGACCCAGACACTTTTACATTTGATATGCGATGATCTACAACAATAGCACTCAAGTAGTAACCACCGACGAGCAAGATCAAGACCAGCTATTTCTCAAGCAGCAGCTCCCGCCGCAGGAACATCGAGTGCTGGTCAAGCGTGTCAAGGCGGACATCGAGAGCCAGGAAGAAGTGGTGAAACTCTTAGAAGCTTACATGAATCAAGTACCGAAACCAGCAGCGCCTGCGGTGAACCCACGAGGTGGTCCACAGGGAGAGAAGAACATGGTGTCCGCTACCTCATCCGATGGATCAAATGAGACAGCTAATTCACAGCCGAATCAGAAAGACCGAGGCTGTGCTCCTGGTCGCGGCGGGGGGTGCGCGGGCGGCAGGCCAGGAAAGGTGAAAAAATAGAAGCTCTTGTTCCGATGGTCTTGGTCACGATACACATAAAGAGTTTTTAGCACATCATTCACTGGCAAATTCATTGCTTTCCGAAAAGAACTACAAGAAAGCTCGTGAAGATTACTTATTTTGATCGTAGGCTAAATTGATGACTTTTGGTTTGACGGAGTATGAGTATGCTGAGTGTGAGTTGTTTCTTTTTTTTTTGTTGTACTTGTACTATTTAAGCGAACATACGCTGACATAAACACTGTAAGATGATGAAAAAAACATACATTGGTCGCAGCATTTTTGGTGGTGTATGATGGAGTGATCACATTTATTGTCATGAGTTAAGTCTTCAGAATCTAAGTACTTCTACTTTTCTTTTTCAGCAACACGCTAGTTGTATGGCTCCACACTCGCGCATCATCGGCTGCGGTACAACTGCGTCATTTATTTTCTTCACACTACCTTTCTACAAAACAATTTTTCCAAGGCCCGCTACATAAGGAAATCGCATTCAACCAAATGTGGCAACAACAAACTACAAGTAGATAATCCATCGAGAAAAATCGATATTATAAATGCGACGCCGGAACAAGCGGCCGCGGTTGGTAGTTCGGCTACGGGCCACAGAAGTACCACATGAAACGAAATGTTGTTCATTGTGCTTTAACCAGGAGGACGTCGTTGCAGCGATAATGTTATCGCTCACTGCCAAAAAAAAGATCTTAGCAGCAGGAGGATCAGCAGCTCATCTGCAGCTACTTACCAGATCATCAGTCTGGCAAGGTCTCATTGCGATATTTCGCCAGAAGATAGTACGACGAGAGACACCTCCAGAGAGCAAAACTTGATCCGATTCATCACCTGAGGTTGTATGTTCCCTGTGAAAGTAATACAAGGCTTCTTCTGCACTTAGACCGCTCGAATTATGAGTTGCGTCGTGTCCATGTCCATCTTCCGTGGTTGGGTCGTCGTCGTTCTGCAATAAACACGACGACGTTTGTTCTTGGGAACAACTACAAGATTCTGCCGCGCAAGAACAAACGATAAAAACCCGAAATGGGAAACCAGTCCACGAAGGCCGGCGTGGTGGTGTGGGGTCAGCAGGTCGAGAACTCTTCCGGGGAGGAAAAAGTGTACGGACCCCGACTGGTCGAGGCGTTGCGGCATGTGCACGTGCGCGCGGTGGTTTGCGGAGGCCATCATTCCTGTGTCTTAACCGAAGGCAACGAAGTGTACACGTGGGGTAGCAACAAAAGCGGACAGCTGGGCCTCGGGCCGGACTGGCAGGAGGTCCCGCTCCCCCGCACCATCCGGTCGCTGAACAGCAAAAACATCCGACAAATTTCGTGCGCCGAGCACCACACCGCGGCCGTGTCGGAGTCCGGCGTTTTGTACACCTGGGGTCGCGGCCAGAACGGCCGCCTGGGGCACGGGTGCAAGAGCAACGAGATGCTGCCGAAACCGGTGGAGACCCTGTTCGGGCAACACGTGGCACAGGTCAGCTGGTATCCACAAAAAAAGACCCATGATCCCAATCCTTCCACTTTGTCATGCAAAAGATGAATAAGATCCTGTGTCTGTCATGCAAAAAATGGATGGGCATGGCGGGAATGAGTTCTTTTCTGTGGATGGCTGCGGCGACTTCCACACCGCCTGTGTCTGTGTGACGGGCGGAGGTGCTGGAGCGGGTGGTGTGTCCTCATCCACAGCCGGTAGCACCACGGGAGGTGGACCCGGCGCAGGAGCCGATAGCGGTGGTAACCTCGCATCGCATTTGGCGCACCACGCCACCTCGCATGGTGGTGGGTCAATCATGTCCGCTGGTGGAGGAGCAAACGATAGGATCTCTGGTGCTTCCGGAACCGGAACGGGAGTACAGGGTGCTGGAGGTTCTGGCAATCATCATGCCCTAGCAGGAGCAGGAGTCCAGCACCACCACCCACACCACTTTTCAACATCCCAGCACCACGGAGCAGCTCCTGCACACAGTAGCAGTTGTGCGATCGTGTACACTTGGGGGCTGGGGCTGAGCGGGCGGTTGGGACACGGAGACGAAGCGGATCGGGCCGTACCCATGCCCCTGAAGGACCTTGGCGAGGGCGTCATCACGTGCGGCGGGCATCACACAGCCTTTCTCGCAACCGCGCAGGGTTGTCTCTACACCTGGGGTGGGGGCGCGTTTGGCAAGCTGGGCCACGGCAACAAGGAGAGTTGCTTGTCGCCCGTGCTTCTGCAAGCCCCGGTGGGTCGCAAAATGAAGCAGTGCGCTTTGGGGTCCCAGCACAGCATGAGCCTAACTACGGCTGGCGAGGTGTTCACGTGGGGCCAGGCCGGGCGGTTGGGTCACGCGTTGTCCGAGATGGACGAGGTCACGCCCCGGTTAGTTCAAGCTCTGAACGCGGTCTTCGTGCTGCAAATCTCCACCGGCCACAGCCACTGCGCGGCGGTGACCGACCGGGGGGACGTGTGGGCCTGGGGCATATCGTATTTAAAAACGTCCCCAACCCGACCTCCCCATAGTTGTAATGCAAATCTGCATGCTGAGAATGTTTCTCATGCGAAGCCCTGTGCATGAGAAGCATTTTCTATTCGTGTTTTGGGATTTGTCATGCTCCATTCAGCATGGCATACTAGATCAGTGATGCTGCTCAGCTAGCTCAAACAGCACTACACGAAGAGCCCAAATTTGTCATGCAGAACAGCCAAAACTTGTGGATTTGTCTAGCCGATTTGCCATCTTGACTATGGGGTGGGGACGTTGTTACATAGGATAGAGCACGAGCCGCGTGTTCGGCCACACGGAAGCAACCATCCCTGCGAACGTTCCGACTCAGATTCGAGTGCTGTCCGGCAAAGCGGTGGTCGGGGTGTCCTGCGGGTTTTCCCACACTGTGGCCTTGTCCGACCAGAAGCTCTTCGCGGAGCGCAGTGCGGCGCTGCTCCAACTGCAGCACCAGGCGGGGGGAGCAGGACCAGGAGCAGCAGCTGCTGCTGGCGCAACAAGTAGTACAGGAGATCATCTGCATGCGGTGACCTCTTCTGCGCATCAACCTCAACATGGCACGAAGCATCAACATCTGTCCGAGCGTACGCCAAGCCACGCTACTGTGTCGAGTAGTACCTCTAGCGCCGGGGCGGGACCGACCGCAGCTGGAGTCGGTGGGAATAACGCGCACCAAACCTCCTCGAATGCGGCGATCAAACGGAGTGGAAGTAGCGGCGCAACAACCGGCGGAGGAGGTACTGGTGCGCACGAGCAAGACCAAAGCTCAACATCGACCCAACGGTCCGCGATTACCGCTGCACTCGAGCACCAGCAGGCCAGTCGAGCTAATGTGGGTATTCCGTCTGGAGGTGCTAGCGCAGGAACTAATACCGATGGCAGAAGTGGAACTAGCGCAGGCACAACTAATGGTATCAACCCTGGAGTCGCATCAACACCAACACATCTTCCGGGAGGTGATCCCAGCAAACGCCAGAATTGTGGCACCACCACGAGCACCTCCAGGCTCCCCCCAAAGCCGCCCATCATCGAGCTGAATCCAACCTTTCCCGATACTACGAGCGCGGACGTCCGGCAGTTGGTTTTTGTCTCGTCGGAACTGAAATCGTACCAGAATCTTGCGTTGCGACTCACGCGCCAGCTGCAGGACGCGTACGCAAAGATCTTCGATCTGCAGAGCGAAAACTCGTTTCTCAAATCCGAGCTCGAGGTCATGCACCACAACGCGCGCCAAGACTAGAAGACTAAAGAAATCTTAACCAGAACCCGTTGCAGCAACGACCTGTCGGGTTCAGCGCTTGCGCTAGTTGTAGGCAGCTAATTTGTCCACCTGCTCCAGTCGCATTTAGTTGAATTCCTAGAATAGACAACCACGACAAGGACAAGGGATATTAACCACTGACTGTGCAGATGTGAATTTACAATGCGTGGAAGTAGATCAGGAAGGAAAGGATGGAAACCAGCATGGCCATGGTGCTCTGACATCCGTTCCGTTGAATCGGAGTTAACGACATCCACGATGATGAAACTAAGATGTTGGAGGACGAATAACGGACTAGTACCAGCATCGAAGGATTTGTAAATATCAACAGCAAAAATCAATGCCTCGCTGCAGGCATTGTAGCCTACAACTTGTTCACTCGTTTGCCCTGCTTCTACATTAATAGCTTTTCAAATTGAAAATTTCGAATCAAATTCACGTCATTCTTGACTCCGGACGAGACTAATCTTTTTATTCCAGTGTCACTAGAGATAAGCGTTGCTAATTTCCTGTAGCTTCTCCTTCTGCTACTTTAACTTTTGTAGTTGGGAAGAGCTGAGAACTCATGATCTTTGTCGCAGTCATCTGCTCTTAGTCTTACTGAAATTTAGATTATCTCGCTCCACGGCGCCAAAGAAGCTAGCCAATGAAATCTTCCAGCTCATCGGTTTCAAACGCCAAGGCGAAGGCTGCAGCTGCGAAGAAACAGAAAGTGAGCCAGCCACCTCCTCCTGGTGATATTCTTCCGCGCCATCAACCCCCTGGTACTACCGAAGACAAAGCAGTTGTTGGAAATCAAACTGACGAACAAGTAGATTTGGCTCAGAGCGAACAAGTAAAAAACGTAAACGATACGAGGAACACGAACAACAAGCCGGCTTCTTCTACAACTTCGACTTCCTCGAATCTTAAACTCCTTGTCGATCCGGGAAAATTGCACGTGAGGCAGTGGCATCCCCTGCGACCGGAGAAATCGGATAATCCCAACGATTGGTTCGCGAGTCGGCACCAGCCCTCCGACTTCGCGGCGCTTATCGACTACGTCCGGCTGGCCCCGAGCCTCCGGCGACAAGTGTTGTACTGTTTGAGTCACGCAAAGAAGCAGCTACTGTTCGAGCGCCTCTGTCTCGTCGGCGTCGCGCCCTTGGAATTCGACCTGCACGCGTCAAGGGGCAGCACAGCATCTTTTTTTTCAACATCTTTCGGAGGTGTAGGTGGAGGAAAAACGAGAGCCGCGGCAGGGGCGTTCGAAACAGCCTCAGCAGTCGTGGCGACAATAAACGGGGGAGCTGGGAGTAGCACTCATGCGACTGATGCTCTATCGACGTCCAAAGTGGTTGATGGGCAGGCGGCAAAAATGTTGGGTGCTATTCTGTCGGAACAGGAGGCGGAACAAGGCCTCGACGATTTAGATATTTTGTCCGCACGCGGCGGGAGCTTTGACCTTGATTCAGAACGAGGTAGCGGAATTTCTGTTGGGCGCTTTCCTTCAGTGGTTTCCGAAGAGGAACCAAGCACGCTCGAAGACGCCAACAATAATCAGCAGGGTGATCTGACTTCTTCCACCTCGACCTCGTCCCGCCCGCTCGGCATTGCGAAGATCAAGGCTGCTTTGGAAAAATTCGGAAGGCTCTCGTTTCCACGAGTGTGGCAGAACCTGGCACGGAAAGTTGCGCACGACAGCGGACAATCGAAAATCATGAAAGGTCAGCAGCACAGAAAACACCAAAAGGACCGACGAGGTGGTGGTCTTGATGCTGGTGACAAAAGTTGTACTAGCGATCACAACGAAGTAGATGAAACTGCGTCAGAAAAAAACACAGGAACTACTACGCGGACAAAGAGAAGCCGAAAAGACAGACCAAGCAGAAACTACAGTGTCAGAAGTGATATTTCTAGTGCAGCGAGTCACTTTTCGGCCTCCGACGAGGGCAAGAAAAAGAATAACAGCTACGGTGATATCAATAATTCTTGTCGATTCCCGGACTTTGCACCGAACAGTGACTCTGTGTCGTCGGGGGACGACTCTGTGAAAATTCGCGCCCGGCGAGAGGCCGCCGAGCGGCGGCAGAAACAAAAGCGCGAACGCCGCGAGCGAGACCAACTGCGAGAACAGCAGCTGGCGTCAGCGGGTTTGGATGTCCAAGCTTTGAAGCGTGCCGCTTCTAGTTCAAACGGTGTGCTGGGCGGCGAACCTGCGGGGGGTGCGGCCCCAGCGACCAAAAAGCAGAAAGTTGCAGCGACTTCGGAAAAGAAAAGTGGCAGGGATAGCAAACAGAAAAACGTCGCCGACGGTGGAATTACTGATGATGGGCAACATCAAGAAGAGGCTAAGCTTGAACCTCCTGCAGAGGCCGGTCTGCCGGGCGGGAAACGAGGGGCCACCGGCAGAGATCAACATGTTGACAACATCTACCACGAGGTGAAACCCCCACAGAGGCCCGATCCGGTTTTCTTTCGGGAGAGCTACGCGCGGCTGTTCTACCGGCAAAACGCGCTGCAGGAGGAAATCCCGCAGAGCGTGGACTGTCCGAAGGATTTCACGAGCTTCGAGGCCTTCTGGTACCGGGTGACAATCCGCGACGAGCTCGGGCAACTGTCCCACGGGCCGAAGCGGTTCTGCTTGGACGACGTGTTTGTGGACCTGCTCCTTCTCCAGCTTTCCCGGCTGCAAAACCCGAAGGCGCCGGTCCCCGACATTCTGGCCCAGTTTGCCGCGAAGCGGGTGCCGACGAATTTATTGAAAGTGCCCCACCCGCCGAGTAGTTCTAGCGGAGTTCTTGCCGGCGTAGTTGGGGGTGGAAGTAGTAGCTCAAGCGGCCCCCGTGGTGGGGCAACTCGAGGTCGAGGTCCATCTGGAGAACGGGCGGAAACACTAACAGAAGACGTGGTCGGAAACAAAAGCCAGGCGGAACAAGGAGCGGCGCCGCTCGCACAGGAAGATGTTCGCGACGAAGCCAGGACAACAACATCAAGAACTGAAAGCGCGCAGAGCATCGGGCAGCAAGCGACTTCTGCAGCAGAACCTACGCCGCTGGAGCGAACGTCCTCGATCACTTCATCGCATTTCAACACGACCATGCGGGCGCGGGCGCGCCGCGATTTGCCAAGTGTGCTGGTGAACCAGCTCCGTTTCCCTACCGACGAAGCCTTACACACGACCAGCAGTACGCCGGCCGAACAAAGTCTGAAGCCGCCAGAAGACAGAAAAGACGAAAGCTACTTACTGCTCGGCCCGATCTCGTTTCTGCAGAAGTTGAAGCTTCCGGAAAACAGGTTTGGGAAGCACCAGGAATCCCTAACATTGTCCGGTGCGAGAAGAACCGACATCAGTGTGGTTGTCGACCTCTCAACGTATGACGTAGCAGCAGCTCGTCCAGAAGGAGTGGCGAAAGGTGTTGGTGGAATGGAGTTGGAGGCCACGGTGGAAAAAAAAGTTGCAACTGGCGATCCCCGCAACCGCGAGAAGAAGTATCTGACTACCGTCGAGTTTCGGCGTTTGATCGATGTGATCGCCGACATTTTGGACGCCTGCGCTCCGTACTACAAGATTGTGCATCCGCAGAAGGCCTACCTGATGATCACCAAGCGCATGATGAAGTACACGCTCGGTCGCGTTTTAACCTATCAAGCCTTTCGCGAAGTCTACGAAAGTTTGCGACGATTCCATCCTTCCTGGAGGCGGTCATATCCTGTGTAAAAACGTCCCCACACCATAGTTGTCATGCAAATCTGCATGCTTAAAATGTTTCTCATGCGGAGCCCCATGAGGAGCATTTTCTAATGGTGTTTTGAAATTTGTCATGCTCCAATCAGCATGAGAGACTAGATCTGTAATGCTGCTGAACAGGCTCAAACAGCACTACACCACGCGTCCAAATTTGTCATGTGAAACAGCCAAAGCTTGTGGATTTGTCTAGCCGATTCCCCATCTTGACTATGGGATGGGTACGTTTTTACATAGGATAGGTCACACGCGGATCTTTTGCAAATAAGCTCATCTGGATTTTTCGAAAGCATACCCCTTGTTGGTGGCAGTGGTGGAAAACCGATGAAAGTAGTAGATGAACCCGCGTCGAAGCAGAAGCTGCACGGAGTTTCTACAGGAGAAGCAGTTGCAAAGCCGTCGTCAGATGAGCCCCCGTTCGGAGGTTCTACTACTTCTGCTGCAAAGAGCGCATCAAGTAGCGCTCCCGCTTTTGCAGGGCCGCAAGAAAAGACAGGGACTTCTTCTGCGCAACATCCTTCAGCTGCGAACAAGGTTCTACTGGGTTCTACTTCATCTACCGCCACTGCATCCAGCAGCGTTCCTCCGGTAGCGGCCCTACTGGGAACTACTTCAGGAACTGGCTCCTCGTCCAGCACGACTCCTGCCAGTCCCCGGAGCCGCGGCGTTGTGACTGACGTAACGGCCAGTGCGCTGGAGCCGGTCGCCGGGCAGTTGCGCGACTTTGGACGCCTCGGGGATGAGGTGCGCGCGTTGCGGAACCTGGTCATTCCGCTGGGTGAAACGCAGCCCATGCTGGATGCCTTGCGGAACTTGTGTGCGACGTACGCCGCGGGAGGTGACCATGCAGCTGGAGGTGTTGATAACCACCGAGAAGTAGACCGCAGGAAAAAAGCGGCCAGCTCCCGGTCGACTGCCTCTACAGGAACCGCCGCCCCAGCAACTTACCAGCCGCGTGCGGACGTGCGAAAGCTGCGCGAGAAGATGCGGCTGAAGAAATTGCGATCTGCGCGCACGGTTTTCGTCTGGAATTTTAAACCCGAGCGCGACGGTGGGTTGCCCGAGAACGGCTGGCGAAGGTTGCTGCAGCAGGCCGGAGTGATTCACCGCTTGAGCTTTAACCCCATGCAGAGCTTTCTGCACTGCGAGTACCTGCAGCGCCCGGACGCGGAGATGGCCTTACACCTGTTTCAGAACAAAGTCGTCTCCTGCGCCGCAACAGCGACGATGCAGAGTCTGAACCAACTACACCAAATAAAAGCGAAGAGTAGTTCTTCGCGCACTGCAACAAGTGGGAAAACTAGTACTGCTGTGCAGCGGGATCAAGTAGAAAGTGTTGGGCAACAACTTCAATCCCTACAGAGAACCACCTCCAGCGATTCCCTTGCAACCGCCGGAACGACGGCAACGGCTGCAACAGTTGGCAGCCAGCGTATAATGTCAGCAACATCGTCCTCGCACTACACAAGACCGCTTCCCCCGCGCGGCCTGAAGATGATTCTCCTCGAGTCGCAGGGTGCGCTAGAGGAAATCTGGGTGCGGGAGATCCAGCAGATTTTGCACGACAAGGGCGAGCTCCGAAACGTGAAGCTCCGCAACGTGAAGACGTTTCTCGAAAAAAAAGTGCAAATGCCTTTGGACTACCGTGCCGCAGGTTTCGGCAACATCGAGGAGTGTCTCCTCTCGGTGCCCGGCGTTTACATGGAGTGTGTGGGGCCCCGGACCTACTTCGGCCGCAAGGCGTTGGTGTTGAAGTTCGTGAAGGGCGGCAAGGCCGGCGTCGCAGACGAGAAAAAGAAGCAGCTCCTGGAAAGAAAAAAGGAGCGGGATAACAAGAAAAAATCTGTTGAAAAAGGGACGAAAATGGCAGCTGCTGCTGCTGCACGCGCGAACGATGCGAACGCGGTCGCCGGCGCGGATCATGTTGAACCAGCTGCATCCTTGTTGGGAGTTAAGATAAAAAAGCGACCCAGATGAAATAAGTCATTCAGGCAAGAAGAGGTGAAAAAATGACAAGTTCAGCGAGCACTCACATCATGGATGAAGATCTGGTATAGAAGTACAGTGATTGCCCGAACAAGAATATCAATATCTTCGTAGCGTAATAGAGCGACAGCGACAGCCGGAACGAAAGAAAAGTCGAAGGCCGAAGCCCGAAGGGGCTGCATTCGTATCTGTTCCGAAAACGGCACAGACTCAGCGGCATGCACATTGCCTTAACCACTAAATAGATGCGTAGGGAGCATCGCGAGTGTAGCAGTATTTCATAGCGATCGATCGACGATCACACTTACTACATATTTTCCTCATGCTGTTCGCTCGTCCCAGTTGTCGTCCGTGTACAATTTCCGCTCGTGTCGTGCATCGTCAACGAGCGAATCTTTCTGAGAGTCCAAGAGCGAACTCGCATGAGAGATTGAGTGATCTTCGAGTAAAACAAAACAAACTTCTTCCGGGTAGCAGTCACTGGCACATTCCCGCTGCCGTAGCAGCTAAGTATACTCAACTTCTCACGTCGAGAAGTGTGTAGAGTATTCCTTACGTTTTTAAAGTTCGCAGATGTAGACCATAGTCTTCACCTCGATCTCTCGAATTACCGCCAGAAAGGCGGCCCCAGGTGCGCGCGACATGTCCGGATCCATTGCTCATGCTTCCGCCCAACTCCCGGGTCGGTCGACGCGGGAAAAGAAAAGGACTACTCGCGCCTGTGCCTCATACACAACAAAAAAGTGAACGACTTCCTCCGGTCCACTAAAAACGGGCTCAATTTGTCCGCAGCGGTGAAATACATCACGGGCATCGTCCCAGAGTGCAAGAATGTGTCTTCGCACTCCTGCAGGATTGGGTTGGCAGTGCACTTGTTTTTGTTAGATGTCGACACGGCAAAGATTGTGTCACATGCGAGGTGGTCAGATGACTCCATGGTGCTCTATTACACTCGCAATAGTAAAAAATTTGATCGGCCAATGCACTGGAGCAACTCACTGCAGTGGTTCTTCGACACTGTAGCTGATGATCGTGAAGAAATTGCCCTCTTAAATAGTGACAGCGAGAAAGACGAAGGTCACGCCAGTGACAATGATGCGTTTATCGGTGAATTCCTGCAGAACTAAAGACAGAAGTGTAGACAAGTAAGCGCTTCGCCCCTATTCCAGAACTACTATTCCAGACCTTTGTCTCTTGTCAGAACTAAGTATGTAATTGCTTCGTGCTGGTGTCCATTGCTTTTTCTCGAAGCAGGATGAGGCTGTTTTTGGCTCTTCAAATCATCTCTCACGCGCAAGAAGCATGCACCTTGTTCGGTCCTAAAGTGCACCTTGTTCGGTCCTAAAGCCCGAAGGGGCTGCATTCGTATGTGTTCCGAAAACGGCACAGACTCAGCAGCATGCACATTGCTTCAACCACTAGAAGAAGTACTAGTACCAAAAGGACTCTCAACCTAAGGAGCAGGTGGCTCGCTTCTACTTTTTGATGCCGCGTGTCAAGTTTTGATACGCGGCTGTATCTGCAGCAACTAAATACATTCTGAGTCTACTATCATTTGTTTGCATAGTGCAAGTGCTTCTTCGTTAGATTCTATGCATGAGCTGCGTGCCCGTGTACAGATGAGTAGTCAGTAGATGAAATTTTCATCGCCACCGTCGCGGTGTACTCCTCTATGTGTGTCAACATTCGTTTGTTGTTACTGTAGCCCGTGTTTGCGTCCACTCCAGTGTCGTCCGAAAAATATAATTTTCGAGCGATTTTATATATCCTAATATCGGAGTGATGTTCGAAAATGTAAATGTAAATGTTGAGTTGTGTACCCCAACCAACATCTGTACACACTCGACACAAATCCTTTCTGAAAAAATAGCGGAGCATCTAGTTGTAGACCGTGGCTGATTGATGTTGTGGGGTCTTTAGTTCTCGAAAAATTCAGGTAATAATCTTGAGTTCTTGTGTTTCTGTTTTCGTTTTGTATATGAATTTTGAGAAGAAAACATCGTGTCGGTTACTTACTTTTCGTCGAGGAAAGAATCAGAAAGCGAATAAAGACATCAGCATCGGAGGTGGACGCCGAGGGTTCTTGTTCTGTCAAGAAGAGGAACTACACGAGCAGCACTACTTCTACCCTGCATCATGCCATCTTTGGATCAACATCTTGGTGGTACCACTTTGCACGACCCTCTAGTGGGAGCTGCTGCAGGGGTTGGCCTTGCAGGAGAGCAGGCTATGAATAACATGAAAGACAAAGAAATTGAGCTGAAGCAGGTTGTTGTGGACGATGCTGCTGCTGCACAAACACGAGGCAGTTCGTCCTCCAACCCGCGGCGCCCCGAGCGGTCCAGCAGTGCGGCCCGCGCTGGTGCTGAGGACGGAGAAAATAACGGGGGCAACGGAGACGGTGAGGCACCAACCCGCACGCCATCCGTCCTAAACGCTGTCGCGTCCCTGCGGTCAATGAACCGCTGGCAGATTCTGGAGCTGTGCGTGAAGCACGGGCTGCGCGCCGGGACTTTTCTGTTCCTGCCCTGGATCATCATCTTCTGGTTTGGCTTCGACCTGATCCCCGTGATTCTTGCCCTGTCGATCCTCTCGTTCGGGTATACCAACGGCGAGTACCAGCGGTACGTGCTGAAACAGCTGGAATTCGCGGTCACCGCACTGAAGGGGCAGATCACGCACTTGGCCGGGGAGAACGAGAAATTCGCGAAGTCCAACGAGGACTTCAAAAAATCAAACGCGGAGTTTGTCAAGTCCAACGCCGCTTTGCAGGAAAACAACGCGAATTACGCGAAAAACAACGAGGCCATGCGGAAACAGAACGACAAACTGGCTAGTAATGTTTTAGACTTGGAGAAAACGAAGGAAAAACTGAACGACAACGTGGTGGCTTTTCAGCAGGAGAACGAGGAGCTGGCGGCGCAGTTGTCCAAATTCACCGGGGAAGTGGACCGGTTGGGCGACACCAGCAAGCAACTGGAAAAGCAGGTGGACTTTCTGAAAAACGTGAACAAGACCATTTCCTCCAGTCTCGTAGACGCCACGACGCCGGAGTTGGTGACGGCTTTCCAGTATCCACTGCAAAAGTACCGCACTCGACGCACTAATCGCAGTCATGCATTACAAATCTCCCTCCCAAGCCAAAACAGCATGACAAATTCCATTCGTCATGCTGAGCAAATTTGTATTGCGACTACTTCTACTACTAGTGCGATGCTTTTGCAATGCATATCCAGAAGAAGATGGAGGAAGCCATGTCGGACGACGGGATCTTTGGAAAAATGATGCTCCCTATCACAGGAAAAAGCGTTAACGTTAACGGAATTTGTGACGCAGGACCGCATTAGAAATAGAAAGGGAAAGGGTAGCTAACTTTGTATTGCATAGCATGCATTCTAGGAAACATCTGTCATGCATAGCTGAAATCTCTGGAAACCGTTAACGTCAACACTTTTTTGTTTCATACTCCCGTTCGAGAAAACGCAGAAAAAGTACGTGGAGGTGCTAAAGCAGTTGACCGAGCTGACCGAGTATTCCCTGAAAATTAAGCATCCCCATCCAATTTTTCATGCAAAACATGCGAATGAGTTTTGTGTTTGTCATGCAAAAAGTGGAGGGAGATGGTTTGTTTTCAGGGAATACCGAGCGGCAGGAACACATGGCGGAGGAAGAGGAGCAGCGCCGCGAAGAGCACGAAAAACGGGACCGGAAAATGCAACTCCAAATGGAGAAACTGTTGAAGCAGCAAGAGGGGTACCAGGGCTTCGCGAAGCTGCTCGACTACGCGGAGGACGTGGCCGGTGACAAGAAGGGCGGGACGGAGTTGGACTTCTTTCTGCCGAAAAACGACGAGAAAAAGCTGGTGAAAAAGTTCAAGGACCTGATGGTGGAACACCTGAATACCCACGAGCGCGCGCGCATCTCCGGGTGCAGCAACGTCGGTTTGTTGGAGGACGCCGCGTCGCCGGCAGTGGATGGAGCTGCCGCCAACGATCTGCTGGGTTCTGCTACCGGCACAGCAACTCACGACCCCCGTGCCAGTCCGGGCGGTGGTGGAGATCAGAATCCATCTGGAGGTCTTCATGGCGCCGGGGGCAAGAAGATCCGGCGGGGCTTTTCGAAGCTGGAATCCCAGGAGTTCACGAAAGTGAAGCAGTTGACGCACGCAATGCTGACCGAGCGCATCGATCTGTGGAAGCTGGTGATTCCGGCGTGGCGGGAGTACGTGACCATTTCCAAGGCGGAGAAACGGAAATCCGTGACCAGCACCGTGAAAAGCGACTTGCTGAAAAGCAGCAACGGGCATATGTTGCTAAACAGCTCTTCCGGTGGGCCGGCCTCGAGCTACACGCTGTCGTCTTCGGCGGGAGCGGGTAGTTCTTCTGGCTCTTCTTCTTCGTCCGGCGGAACTAGTCGCGCGAGCCGCAGCAGCGGGGGAAGTTCTACCTCGCACGAGGACTCTAGCAACGCCAGCCTTACTGCATCGTCGTACAGCGGAGCTACCAGCGGGTCAGGGTCTTTATGAATTGCAAAAGCATCGTAATAGTATGAATTGCATTACAAATTTCCTCAGCACGAGAAATGGAATTTGTATTTAATGCTGATTGACCTTAGGAAAAAGATTCGTAATGCATAAACGCGATTACTACGAGTACGATACTTTTGCACAGCATAGTCTTTAACGGCGACCAACAGTAGCGCTGGTGCGACGAGCAAGGCATCCTCTTCCTCTGGGGCCGGAAGCGGGTCTTCCTGGTCGGTCGCTAGTTCTGGAACAGAATCTAGTGGTAGTGCCGTGTCACCGTCAAGAGAAAAAGATAAAGAGGACCACCAGAACAACGACAACATCAACGACGGCAGAGATAAATCTGTACTTTCCAAGACCTCTATGAGCTGCTTCTCCATGGGGCGCGAGAGCCGGGCGGCGCGCGGAAGTTCCTCGCCGGGGGCAGCCAGTGGCGGGACCACGGCGAAACCGGCCGGCCGGGCGTGGACGCGGTCGGTCGGGGATGCGGAAATTGACCTCGAGGGCCTGGAGGACGGACCGGAGACTGTAGCCATAAAGGATCGCGAAACAAAGGCAGAGAAGACATCAAAATCACGCAAGGGTACAACTAGTAGTAAAAGCAAGCGAGGAGACACTACTGAAGGCGACGCCACTCCCGGAGCTTCCAGCACGACGTCCCCCAGCAAATCGCCCAGCAAATCGCGGAAAAGCTCCGCGTCGAAGGAAAAGAAGCACAAAAAACACCACAGCAGCTCTAGTTCCTCCTCCCACCACCGGCGATCGGTATCGAACTCGCCTGAAAAGGAGAGAAAGGAGTCCTCGTCCACCCGGGACGACACTACACACCACAAGCACTCGAAGGAGAAAAAAGACCGGCATCACCACGAACACAAATCGTCGAGGAAAAAGAAGTCATCGGACCACGATGCTGAGGAGGTAGAGAAGGAACAACAACAAGCTGAAACAAAGGACAAAGAGAAGAAAGAAAATAAGCACAAGAAGTCTTCGGACGAGGGGGCAGCTGGTGCGGATGACAAGAAGGAGAAGCGGAAGAAGTCTACGGATGAGGCAGAGGTGGACAAAGAAAAAAAGAAAAAGTCCTCCTCGTCGAGGCACACGGAGAAGGACCAAAAGAAAGAATCAAAGTAGTAAAAGCAGCTCTTCTACTTCTTGTAAAGAGGTAGAGTGGGCTCTTGGACAACTACAATGAATGATCGCAATAGAAGGTTTTACTAGTTGTAGCTACTTCAACTACTTCTCTACAGCAGAAGAGTTGGGCTTCTCCTCCCAGTGCTTCAACATCAACGCAGGACCGACGTTCATGACTTTTTTCTGGTCTATTGTCACTTTAGCATACCTCATCCGGGCGGCTGAAAAAAATGCACCTCACTACGACATCAAAGAAAAAACAGGAAATCGCTTTTGCTCTTTCGATTACACATACGAAGTCGAGGGTGTCAGGAGGCGACGTATTTCGGCATTCACTAATTTTTCAACTATGTAGTTTGTGGCCGCAGTTATTTGTCTGCCAGGCCATGTTCAGTTGGCAAAAAGAATAAGAATAAGGAAGGCGGGGGTGCAAATCCAGCTCCTGATGGCAACACCAATGGCAAGAAGTTGGAACATCGAGGAGCATTCTTGTTGACTTTGTGATGAGCAGCACGCAGGTCGTCTTCAATGAATAGTACTAGACTTTGCGAGACACTGTGGTGACATACATCAAAAGGATACACTGTAGTACTGGATGCCGCTTTTTCGTCTTTTTTTGATACTTACAACAAACTGTGAAGTTGGTAGCGCGAAAACTGACCTGGTGCAGGTTCGCTCGCGCAGGCTGTTTAGCAGAACGGCCGTGACGACCACCCTGGGTTTACTCTGGAGTGCAGTGGCATTTGATGCGTTTCAATTCTCGTTGTAGTGCAATATCATTATTGCCATCTCCGAGTTGTAGATGTGCTGGTATTTTTGAGAGCAGCAGCAGGATTGGGCGTAAAGGTAAACTGGATTTGCACGACAGGAGATCAGAGGAGTTCCTTCAAACCAAATGAAGAAAAGTATCACCGCATTTCATCATGTTTCTTCGCACTTCATTTAACAAGCATTTTCAAAAAAACAACTTTGGCGAAGTAGAAGATGATGAAGCGACACTTGTATTAGAACTACAGGTGGAGGCTTTGTTGTCTTCGACAGCATTGAAAGCTCAGATCCAGATGAGTGAATGACTAAACTTGCGGCTCTTACTAGTTTCACCTCTTGACAACTAGTACGAAGACCTTTCCAAGAAAGCGAGCAAGTCCACCTCGCCAAGTTTCGCTGCAGCCCGTCTGCTCGTCGTCCTTCCCTCCCAACCAGCGTCAAACACAAACACCGTGCTCTAAGAAGAACAATATTGGTGGAGGCAAGAAAGCGAGTGACTCGCGGCTCTACTTCGGGGGCGAGGACGGAGGGCCACCTGCAAGATGAAGGTGTGCGGTCAACTCTAATTTCATTGGTGACACAGCGACAGCGCCGGTTGTTCTTTTCGTTTGCGTATCATGCTCGTTGAAGCTATAACGCAAAACGAAAACATCAGTAGACAAAATGGCTTTACCAGGTAAATCGGTAACTACAGCTGGTAGAAGGGCTGCGATCACGCAAGAACATCTGCGCAAACTCAAACGCGCTTGCACTCCCGCGGTTCGATCTGACGACAAAATGGCGGGACGAGTAGTATTATCACCAGTGAATTTACTCTTGACTCGTTGTTGTGGTCACCAAGTCATTCAAAGCCGAACCAAAAAGCACTCATTTTGTATATGCACTTCTCGGATGGAACTGGAAGTGGATGTGCATGCAACAAGAGTACAAACAAGAGCCAGAATATATTAACTAGCAATATGACACATATCATTCAATATGACACTTGGCAACGACAGCGCAGCGAAACATCAAAAAAGTAGCATTCTCATATTGTAATATTGTCATATTGTCATATTGCATATTGCTCGCGGCAGCCCCTCGCGTGAAAATTGGTCCTGTCCGAACTGCTTGCGGACTGTGCGGTCTTTAGGACCGCGCGCGCCGCTGTGCAGTTTGTGCAGATACCAACTAGGCGCCTCCTAGGTTTGTCTCCCGAACATGTTGGCAACGCCCTACAGCCTTGAGCGCACTCCTGGCGCGCTATTGCTGGCACAGGCACTGTCTTTGCAGTTAGCGTGTCGATTGCAACAACGTGTAGGCTGTTGTAGGCGCAGCATCAGCGCAGCTTGCTTTTTCGGCAGCTATTTTCGCGCCCAACCACCTGGCTAAGTAGCATTGTGCTGATATATAATTTTTTTGCTTATAAGGGTAGCTAATCAAAGCAAAACTAGGCAAAACCACACTGAATTTTGAGCAGTTTGCGTCTGTTGGTCTCCTAGGGGACTCGCGGCGACGAGTGGGCATCCGGGGCGGAGCCCTTGCGTTGCAAGGCAGCTGGCTAACGGTGGGCGGCCGGCTATCGACCGCCGGACGTTATCGCCACCGCATTAGTCGGGGAGCGAAGATGGCCTGTTACTGCATGCGACGGACGCTGCGCGTCAGGTCATCTTCCGGTCCCCGAGGCCGATGACTCCGGTCATATTGCTCAAAAATCACTGGTCATATTGACATATTGTAATATTGTCATATGTCATATTGGTAAAAGTGCCAAAATTTTGCTAGTTAATATATTCTGAAGAGCCAATTGCATAGGATAATCGCCCGCACCTTGCTTCTGTTCCTGCTCGCGATGGACAACTACGATGGTCCTACTGACACTGCACCTCCTACCAGACATTGGCGTGAGCGTGGCCTCTGGATTGATAATCCCCATGCAGTTTGCGCAGTCCGCCAGTGGCAGGCGTATGTGGAAACTGCCCGCTTCGCTCGCTGGTATAAAAGCAGAGTTGCTGTAAGACTAAGAGCACTAACATCTTGAATAGGAGATGAGCAAGAGACTGTGCTGCAATTATGCTACTGCAGGTCGTGAATGTAATGTGTGTGCAAGTCACAATCAAATCCTGTAAATGATCAGGCGCTGCGACCTCCTGGGTCTACGGGTTTGACCACGATGCAGCCGCGAACCACGGCCACAATGCAGACACGAAAAGTTTTCAAATTACGTCAGACGCGGAGGCAACGGATGTCCCGGCGGACGATGCGGAGGGAGTAGCAGGTCTTGTTCCCGGTGAAGAACAACTCTCCTTGTCGACTGAGGCTTCATCTGGCGGGGCGGCAAGCCCTACGAGCCGTTCCTCTCAGCACCTTTCCACGGACAGCCACCAAGCAGCTGCGGCGGCACCAGCGGGTACTACTTGTTGCTTGATTGAGTTTATTGTTTTTTTGCATGGTGCAGCCGTTGGTCGGAAGCGGAACATGGAATATTTGGTTTGATGTGGCTATTGCGCAGCAACCAGACTCGGACTAGAGCTGTTGCTAGCATGCTCCTAGATCAATGAGATCCATGAATAGGCCAAAGCACACCCATAGGTGTAGGATGTAAATACAGGGGTCACACCAGTAGGATCATGAGGATCACCCACACAGGACACCACTAGGATGGTGGTGATGATACCAATGGACACAATGTGAACAACGTACACAGTGCCAGAATGGCTCCTGGTCATAGTGCCAGTAGCCTGATGAAACAATTGCCCTGAACTCCGTAGCACCTAGATATTAGGTTGCTTAGTAGATAGTGACTCTGTTCTCTAGCTTAGGACAGCATGCTAGTGAGCATGCCTCGTCCCTGACGCTTGACACGTCCACAGAGTTATGAGCCCAAAGAGTTCCCCTATTGGGAACGGGTAAGAACTACCAGAAGCCCCCACCTATCCCTGCATAAGAGTAGGGAATGAGCTCCCCAAGCTCGTGGCTGTAGTCGCCTCCTTGTGTGGCTAGTCCGCACCTGGAGAGCCATCAAAGCGCAAAGCGCTGGAAAGGGCAAAAGCCCACTCGAGTAGCGTCTGTCGATGACTTTCGCTGCTACGAGTGTGGAAGGCAAAAGTAAAAGTAGCAACACACACATGGCGGCGCAGCAGCGACGTCCAGGGTGTTGCAGTGCGTAAATGTTGCCGCAGCTATCGGTAGTTGCGCGCAACTCGAGCAGTCAGTGCCGGTGCAAGTAGCAGCAGCTACTCCAGCACACAGCACAGCTCAAGCACCAAGTCCGGGGAGTCCCCCCGAACGCAAGAAGAACGAGATCCGCCCAGGATCTCGATCCAGGATGCAGCACAGGCTGCAAGGAGCGGCTGCAGATGCAGCTGCAAGCAGTTCAGTATGCGGGTCACGTATATTGTGTTTTGGTTTTCACTCCTAGTAGAGCAAGTAGCTTCTGTGGCTTTTCAGTTTCGAGTAGGAGTAGAAAAGTGTGTACGAGGAACTATCAGGGTTCTTTAATTTGTTGATGCACACCTATCAGCAATTCCAAATAGTGTCGCAGGGTTCACGCACCCGGGCACGACGCGCAACTCATCGAGGGACGCCTCGCGCGCATACACGGCCAGGCATCATCGCCTGCCGTGTTCGGTTTGAAAATCTACTTTGGTAAGGTATTCCGTCTTGCAGATTCGCGAGACTGCCTGCCAAGAACACAAGCCCAGCAGGGTGCTGGTTGCACAAGAGCCGAAGGCCGCAAGCCTAGCGGCACAGCCTGCCGGGAGCGCAGGCACGGGCGCCGACAAGTTCGGCGCGCAGCGCAACCGAGGTTGCGAAGTAGAGAAAGTTGATCGATGCTAGTGCAGCATCGGTTGCAAATTGACTCTAGAAAAATAAAAGAGTCTACTGTCGGTTTACAGAACGAAGAATCTGTAACATAATACAGCCTGAAGCGCGTCAGCATCGCTGTGCAAGACGTTGCTTCTGTTGCTGTTAGGCTTTGTTTGAAATAAGGCAAGAAAAGGCTGCGCCCGGCTCAGTCGCTTGGCTAATGCCAAAGTGTCGAGCCTGGTCACATCTTCGTGAAGAAGATGCAGATGGAACATCATCCCCCTCTGCTGATATATTCTCACCGCTCTCGGAACATGGTGCAGTCGTTGGTCGGAACATGGAATATTTGGTAGAGATAGAAAAGCTTAGTTGTTCTCTATCGCTGAGAGATGCACTTCGTCAGCATCTAAGATAAAGATATTCGACAGAAGCAAGTAGGTTAGGTTAGCGCTTTTGCTCGTACAGAACCACAACAATCTCTGCCCTAACCGCTCTGTGCTCTGGAGCCGGCTAAGGGAAATCATTTGGGGGGGAGAGCAGGGAAAAAGGGTCGATAGCTGCTGGGTTTTTTTTTTTGAAGCTCGGTCGGGGGGGGCAAGGGTTTCAGGATAGGGTAAAGGGTTTTAGGGAGGTAACTGGGAGATGCAGGGTGTAACTCCGTGTTTTCCTGCGTTTCCCGGTGGCGTTTGCGTACCGCTACCAGAGCTTCGGCTCAGGTGGCGCAGGCAGGAAGGGCAAGAAGAGGAGTCTTGCTTAGGACCTGCCATTTCTATGGCGCCTGTTCTGACGCAAGGAAGGGCAAGCAGAGGCGGCTTGTTTAGGACCTTGCGGCTGTGCGGAGGCTGACGGGAGCATTACGGATGAGGAGGTAGTTTTGCTCCAGTCTGAAGCCAGGACAGAAGGAAGGCTTCGGCAGTTCTTCTACCTGGTAACTCCCCGAGCTTGGCCGTTCACTACTAAAACGGGCGGTGTTTGTTCGTCAAGCTCTGGTGGCGACTAGTTGAGACACTGGTTGCCAGCTATTTACAAGCAGGAACATAGTTAGTATGACAAACAGTTACTCGCTCGCCTGAAGAAGCGAGCACACAATTTTTTTTTTGCATGGTGTATGCATTGCAAAAGTATCGTACTCGTATAAATGCATTACAAATTTCCTCAGCATGAGAAATAAAATTTGTAATGCAGATTTGCCTTGCAAACAAGATTTGTAATGCAAAACTTGCATTAGCATTTGTACGAGTGCGATATGGTGCAGCCGTTGGTCGGAACATGGAATATTTGGTTTGATGTGGCGGTATGGATGTGTCAGAGTTGAAATCGACAAAGTTGAAATAATTTGCCATGCATAAAATGGATGCCAGTTGGAACCCAGTTTTCAAGTGGCGCATGACAACTTTCGGTGGTCCCTAAATCCAGTTTGTCATGCTGTTTAGGCAAAGAAGAGTGATTTTCTCATGCTACTTTAGCAGCTCGAGCTGTAACCCCAAACAGGCTTACAATCGGCCTCACTTGCCTGCTCTGCAACACACGCACCCCGGGCCATGCATTTTATGCATTACAAATTATTTATTTCAACTTTGACGATTTCAAACCTGACGCTTCCATAGGCGGTAGCGTCGTGATTCTATAAATTCAGAAGTAGCCTCTCCTATCGCAGTCCTCACAACTCAGGTATTGGCATTACGTGGTCATCTGAAATTGAATCTGTCGCCACATCAAGCGGTCTACTGGAAAAAATGTCCGTTAAGCACAAACCCGTACACCCCCATCACACCGTGCACCACAATACCCCCGGCCACCACGGCGAGAACCACAGCGACCATCCCCACGACAACAACCACGGCGGCCCCCACAGCGACCATCCACACGGCAACAACCACGGCGGCCACCACGGCGACCACCAGGAGCACGGCGGCCACCACGGCGACCACCACCACCAAAAGCACGGCGGAGACCACAAAAAGGAAGAGCATCAGGAGATTTATGACTCCAAGTTTCTCCTGGAAACTAGCCAGACTTGGAAAGTTCCGTGCTACGATCAGTCCGACCCGGAAAAGCAACTGGACAACAGCCACTATTGCATCGTAACAATGAATATGGACTGCATCAGAAGTAGTGTAGCCAATAATGTACATCAGCTCCTCCGTGCTACGGAAGCAAGCGTCACCAGGCTCGAAATAAAAATTGACAAAGTTGACATAGATTCAAAGTGCATATAGCACAACGCACGACAAGATGCCACCTGCTTTCTGCTTTGGAGAGCAGGCAAGTGTTGAGCGCGAAGATGGTAGTCCTGTTGCGGGTTAGAGATTGAGCTGAGAAAGAGCGCAACAACAAGAGTGCTGCGCGTTTCTCCAAAGAGAACGCCTGCGGCAAGTCACTCAGCCGCTTCAGAGATTTACCGCGCGCCGCTCAGAAATTGAAATGGTACCCATTTCGATTTCTTGATGCGTCGCTAAAAAATGTTTGACCTTTATTGTCATTTTGTTTCGAGCCTGGCTTTCCCATAGGTGCCCGGCTTCGCGTAAAGCGAGAGAGTAGTCAGTGCAGTTTGTGTGTGTATAATAAGGTAAAGAACGTAAAAGGCGTCGACACGTCCACGACAGCTTATCGCATGTTTGATGCGCAGTATCATGTTGACGCTTGACATGAAGAGGATAATGTTGATGTACTATTAAAAGAACAAGTGCGAGCACTTCGGTGGCGTTGCATAATTAGAATTCCGAAGGGAGATCATGTGATCTCGAAGATATCGCCCGAACAACATGTGGATCCGAACCCGAAGCACAACAAGCACGCCACCGACCCGCTCAGCCTTGTCCGATCGGGATTTTGTCCAGCACTAGGGGGGTCGGTCTTGTATCGCGGGGCGGAACACGCCTACAAGAGCGTTCTGGACGGTAGTTGGAATCAACCCGGAAAGCCTAAGGGAAGTTCAAGTTCTGCTAAGTCGATGGTGCCGCATCACTGCTATAAGAATAATGATTGGTACGACCCGAGTAGCATAGCGAACCATGTGAGAGGAACAGCCGGTAAATTTTTTCACGGCGTGAGTAGAATATTTGCAAATGACCATGATGAAGCACACAGACACGACTACGCAGGCTGTTCGTGCCGTGCGCTGCATTGGGACAATGAAGCAAACAAATACTCATATGAGGTGGGTGCGAGCTCGACCTGGGGGAACTGGGGTGGGTCTTGGTTCACTGGTGGCAACAACCACAGGGATAAAGACCATGATGGAGTCGTGGATCATGAGATGAATCATGATGATGACATGATTTAATTGGATCCGCTCCGGCTTCTAGCGTACCCGCTTGCGCTCCCTTTCGCACAATAACAATCGTGTGTCTGATGTTTAAAAAAAGAGCGTGCAAAAAGCAAAAAATAAAGGGTGTGGCTTCTATGTGGACCACGAGCACGACCACAAGCTGCTCCTGCACCTGCTACATGATGTTACATGACCTTGTAGGGCTTTCATCCTGCCACTTGTTCGTTTTGGCCGTGAGCGTCCGTCTGTCTCCGAGTTCAACAATTGTGATCAACATGCCTCACACATTTTCCGTGTTTCTGTCGGATCCAGAGAACCAATAAGTGAAAAAAGATTTCTTGAAGATCTTGTGCAGCAGAATGATATTCTCATCATGGGAAAAGTCCACCAATTGGTCGTCGTGATACTACAACCTACACCTTGTAGTTCTCTTGCTACGATCATGTCGTGGCCGGAAGAGTAGAAGGCTCTAGTACTCTCAGCTGCTCATTGCGCTGCTACACGCCTTGAAGATGTGGACCTCAGCGCGCCTGCAGGAGCCGCCGTGCGCTAGAATGTATGCAAAATATTCGAAAAATAATATAGTGACATAGTAGTAAATCAAAGTCAGCTGCCGCACTGCAATTTGGGTTTATCTTTATTTCCTGTGTTTCTTTTTTCCTATCGGATTCGAAAAGCTTGGTGAAGGTTCGACATAGTCGACACTAGATCGCTCAGTTGCAATTCAGATAGAAATAGCCGAACGAGAACAACTAAGAAATGGAAACACAGCAAGAGCGTGCACGGCGCTGCGGCTGCGGTCTCCGGTTTTCCGGCCTACCACCCGCTGTCGCATTCTACTTCCTGATCCCTTTTCTCTTGGCAGCCTCTGTGACATATGGGAGCCGGGTGTCTGTGTCTGAAGATGGGGCGCGCGGTTCTTCGGACGCTGTGCGTCATTGCAGTGAGGTTCCGCAAGGTAGCAGTTATGGACGTTGTGGCCAGACCCGCGCTACAACATCCATAGGAACAGGAGACGAGATCACCACGACAAGCAAAGGCACAGGGCGCGAAAATCGCGGGCTTCTTTTAGCTGCCAGTCGAGCCCAGGGAAAATACGGCGAAGAGAGGGTCAGTCGAACTACGCGCACTGTAGCCAAGGGATCTTCTGAAAAAGGTGAAGGCGATGGTGATCATCTTTCGGGAGAACTGGTGCCGATCGCTAGTAAAAGACGCCTCGAGACCCGGTTCCGAAGACGCTGCAAGTCGACGGGTAGCTCTGCCTCATCTTCGGCTGCACTGCTAGAACAAGTAGAACTTGAACCAGAAACAGAAATCCACGACGAGCAGCTGCGATGGGCGGGCCCACTGATCGAAACCTCACCTATTGACGTCGATTGCGATTCGCAAAGCAAGGAGCTCGGTGCAGCCTCGAGAACAACAGACGACGTGTCCATTATATCCCCAAACCGGAGCCGCTCCTGTAGTTCGGATCAAACGTCGTCGCGAGACCACGCCGGCGCTCCTCGATCCAGTTTCATCTCGACGCTTACATACCCCGTGTTGCGAGAATTTAAGGAGGTTCGCTTACAGGTGCTCGATGACTCAAAGCAGCCGGCTTGCAAAGTGGACAAGAGGACGCGAGAGGAAGCCCCTTTGGTAGTTCGGGTCGACCTGGTGCAAACAGTGGAGTATCCTGCAAGAAGTAGAACGGCGCATGTTGATCCTGCAGGTGCTGGCTCGCGTACAGATTCTCAAACCACGCCTCCTGACTCTGGCACGCCGCGTATCCACGAACTGAAGGAGGTGAAGTGTAGTGCGAATTTCACCCGCTATGGCAAATCCCACATTCACGACCCGGAAGTGCAGACGCTGTTATCACCCTAGACATAATGTAGACCGCTGTAAGTTATTGTATTAAGGACCCACTTCCGCCACTAATTGAAATTGTAATTTGTAACTGTAGGGAGGAGGAAGACATTCACTTGAAGAATTTTCATCAGATTTTTATACTGTTGCAGATTCTCAGACTCCTGCAAGCAACCGAATTCGAATCTCGACTTTACATTGGCATTGCTGTGAAATTATGATCATTTCCCGCCTGCCAGTGCTATTGCTATGGTGACTATGCTCTTTGGTTGATAACAGTTGACTGCGAATCAGAAAGAAGGCTACCCTTTGTATCATAGTGCGAAAGTGGCTGGGGCGTTCATCTACTTGTAATTTCAAACGGCACTCAGATTCTGTGTTACTGTTGCAGCAAAACTTGCACGTCGTCGTGCGACATTTTATTTTGAGATTCTCGTTTTTTATGATCATCCACCCCCTCGACCATGACTTTCCTCTTCCATACTCTGTTGGAGCGAAATGGCGCACTAATTCTGGTACCGAAGAACGCGCCGAAGTCCGTTGAGGGAAAGAAAAGTTCCCAGAAGCTGGCAGAGTGCTTGCAATCGATACAAGTACCGCCGATAAAAATTTCGGTCATCAAGATTCCGCCACCGACGTGGTCTCGCGAACTGTATACGGCGAAAATGAAGACAAACCAGGACGACACGCCACGTGGCATGGAAGTGCGTACAGACAGGATTGCAAGAACGGAAGGACAAGGATTGCTACACCAGTATGGAAGTGTCAGGTTTGAAATCGACAAAGTTGAAACGATTTGCCATGCATAACATGCAAGGCATGAGGTGCCTGCCTTGCCGGGATAGCAAGTGAGGCCGATTGTGAGCCTGTTTAGGGTTTGAAATAGAGCTTCTGAACTCGCATGACAAAAGCAGTCTTCTGTGCCCAAACAGCATGACAAACTGGATTCCGGCGCTCGGAAAATTTGTCATGCGCCGCTTGATAAGTGGGCTTCCGACTGGTATCTGTTTTATGCATGGCAAACTACTTCAACTACTTTGACGATTTCAAACCTGACACATCCATAACCAGCAGAGCTATGATACGGACGGAGATACAACTCCTGGCGCTTGTTCGTCACAAGATGTGGATCATCCGGAGGATTTCTCTTTGCCGTCTGTTTTTGAACTGGACGAGCTAGAGGACTGGGAAGTACAACATGGTGATGATTTCGATTGTGCTGACGATCATCTGATGACTGATGAGCCTGCTGTTGCTGTATCGCGGCAAAACCCGCCGAAGCCTGCGCGCGGTGAAGATCATCAAGGACGTCGAGAACAACTACATGCGTCGTCATTGCTAACGGCTTCTGGAATAAAAACTCGATCGGCTTCGGCACCTGGGACCACTGGTCCTGCCTTGCCAAAGACGCGATCAGTAGACGCGGAAAGGAAGCCAAAAACCGGCAGCCGACGTGGCCCCCAAGCTGTGTTGAGTCCTCGTGACCCCGGGTTAATAGCAGAAGAAGTGGAAAGAGCTGCACAAGATGACGATCGAGCGATAGAAAACGACCTGTCGCTTCGTTTGCAACAAATGCGACTTTCAGGAGGAGAAACTGATGCGACGAAAAATCTTCAAGCTGAAGCTCGCGGAAGAAAAGGAGCCAGCACAGCTGCCAGCCCTAACGCGGTTCTACTTCGAGGAAGGGCCGCTGCAGCCTCACAGAGAACAAGTGCGGGCTCAGGAGGTATTTCTCCTATGAATACAGCAGGACCAGCCTGGTCCACGTGTATACTGAGCTAACGACAAAGAGGACAACCTGGAAGATGTTGTACATCACAAAGGCACTACCACTACCACGCCCCCGCTTTTGTCTGATCGTCTATTGGACGTTGCATGTCTATGCATCCCACGATCGATGAGCACCAGTGCACGAACTACAGAAGAAGTTTTCAGTTTTCTGCACTGGACGGTGATAGTTGTCCCCGCGACGACGAGGACCAAACTGCAGAAGAACAGGAGCGAAGAACAAAAAGATTCTCGTCAGCATTGTTCTCTTTCATTTTCAAGCATAAAGTGTAAGTTTAACGCATCATAAATATCGTGCAACACAGTTCCTGCTGACCAACCTTGTCATGCTGGCCAACCATCATGATGAAGTTCTCTTTTCAGACATGTTTTCACGACCGATTCCGATCCTACCAGCGTTGCGTGACAGGCTTTCTCACCTGTCATGGAGAGACGTGCTGACGTTGTAACAAGTAGATAGAAAGCAAGTACTTCTTAAACGCGTCGGTGCAGACGAGGTAGAACAAGCTCGGTGACGAGAAAAAAAGCGATCAGACTAAGAGGATATATATCGATCAGAGGATAATCGATCAGAAAAAAGCGATCAGAGGACAATCGATCAGAGGATGATTCAAGTGGAGGTCGTCCACCAATCCGTGTCACTATAAAAATCGGTGCCGAGGAGGGAGCAAAGGCAAAGGCAAACGCAAAGTACAAGTAGGGTCTCGGTTCTCTAATTTCGGATCAGCGTCCTTAGTTCCACAGGATTTGGCATTGTAGTGCTAGAATCTTCAATGTGAATGTCGAAGACTACCCATCGCAGCCAGCGCAGCATCAGAATTCACTCCATGATCGGAGCTGTCTTCATTGCATTTCCATTTTCCGCATCCGCAACAGCGTCTCTGACTTTAAAATACAACAACCTTGTATTGCTCCCCCTAACTTCTATCAAGTAGTTGTATTAAAAACCTTCTTGCTCTTCGTCTTCCATAGCTCCCCCTATAGAGTATTCCTTCATAGTTGGCGCAGTGCGACTACATTTACAGACTTGATTCTTGTTCTTCCTCGCTCTACTACAAAACTTGAACTACTCTCCCGCACCGCCATCGCAGATTTGATCTTGACGGATTGAAGGCAAGCACTTTCTTTTCAATCTCAATCGTTTTTTTTTCTCGTTTTCATCACTACTATACTAAGTAGAAGCCCCCTGTGCAAGTAGCAGCATCACGATCAAGTCGTAACCTCGCAAAAATGTTGGAGATGGTCGTTCCCGTGTCCTCGTGGCGTCGTGATGCGTCTATGTACCGGCAACCCGCTCCTCGGGTTGTGCGCTGTCAGATTGCGACGACAGCCGTTCTGGCACTCTGTTCGTTATCCTTGTTTCTCTCCCCTGTTGCGCATGCACTCCAGTTTCAGGCAGGAGGACCCGCAGGACAGCCATTGACTCTGCCTTCCGCTATCACGACGGAAGGTGGTAACCAGCAGAACTACTCCGCTAGCACGGAACAAAGTAACCAGATCGACCCAGCCGAGCTGTGCCCCGTTTGCCTGGATCCCCTGCTCAACGGAAGGCCATGCATTGGCCTGCATGTGTTCTACAAGAATGTTATCGGGAGCAAAAAGCCCCCCCTCCCAATTAAATCTTCGGTTTATAATTGTGTATGCAGAAACAGCGGGCATCTGCTTTAGCTTTTTCTTCTCGTATGTATTTTTGCGCCGCACTAGAACTAGTACCGCTCTGCAGTCTGCCATGCCGAACTACAGGTACGATGCTGCAACTGGCGACACAGACTAGTAAGCATCTGCGTCACGCTGCAATGGGTGCTTGAATGTGCTTCCGCTCCTGCAAGAATAGCATTTAGCAATGTCAAAGCGTATCAATCTGCGTCCACGAATCTGCATCAACACATGGAAGTCCCCCACTGCCATTTGGGATGGGAGGGGGAATTTTTCCCAGGCACCGCAACCGGGGGGGAAAAGGCATGTAATGCACAGGGACTGCGCAGCGGTATGGGTCGAACGGTGTCGGAGACAAGGTCTTCCAGCCACATGTCCTGGCTGCAACCACGCCGACCAGTGCTTCGTGCGGCGGCCGCCACCTGCAAGGGTTGAACGGGAGGAAAGGCTTGAGCAGCTGCTACACGATCGCGAGAGACGGCGTGTGTGCAGGTTGTACTGCTCACCCGAGGCGTGTGCAGGTTGCTCTCTAGTTGGCTCCTGTCTGTGTCTAGCTGCCGGCACCTGCCTGGTTAGTGGGCATCCAGCCCCGGCTGCCGCTTTCTGTGTGGGCGGCGTACTCACAGGTGCGGGCGCAGCTGGAGTTCATTTCCACCACGAATGCCGAAAACGGCAACTGAAGCGGCTCAGGCGGCAGAACGTACCTATCGTGAGTAAGAACATCGCCACCCCAGATTCATTGCATTTGCTGTAGGATCGCAACGGTTCCTATTATGCATGCGCACCCCCCACGACCAAGGCGGGGAGCAATTTCTCACTGTGGTTCGCAATTTTTCATGCTAAAATCACCAGAAAATTGAGCGATTTGCGAGGCGGCTTCACTCCATAAACACGATTACAGAGCAGGCGCAGGCCCATCCAAGCCTTTCATGCGCATCATACATCAGCAAAACGACCTTGATGACTCGTGTATGCGAGGTATCCACCTTGACTCTGCCAGAGTCAAGATGGATACCTCAGGGAAGATTTGCTTAGGGGAGAACCTCATGATGGAAAATAAAAACGATACCTCATCCATGATGGATTTACTGGGCTGGAGATGTTTTTACACAGGATGCCGCCAGAGCATTACATCGAAGAGTTTCAACCAAGCCAACAGCAAATGATACCATAACGGTGGAACAGTAGCAGCCGCACCGTGATGATTCACGACGATGCGTGCCGACGTCGTGGCTTGTGTAGAAATTGCGTCAGCCGCCTACGCATTGCAAACGTGTGCCTGGATCTGGAAACTTGTGGTTGTGAGTGGTGCTGATATTATTCTTCATCCTGTGTGCAGCTTAACCGTAGGAAAGCTGCAAGTGAGCCCCTTGCACCACCAGGGGTATCAATGTATTCGCTGACAAGAAGAGATTTTGTATGATTGCGCCCGGAGTGGGGCTACCACTACCTTGCGAAAGAACTATATATGATTTTACGATAGGACTCTAGAGCACTCTTGAAGCGTGTGTAAGAATTCTACCTTACTCTGCTTCTGGCTCCTCATATGACATCAAACCATCGAGACGATTCACAGAGTGGAAAGCGGCCATTTACATCTGAGGCCTTTATTTTATGAAGAAGTAGTCTAGCATACGAGACAGCGCTCGCAGCGGGTCTACTTTGAAAGAGAACTTCTATGTCTGATTTTATGATACTTTAGAAGAGCACTGCACGTTCACTTGAAGCGAATGTATGCCAAGTTCCACCTGGCAATTAAGTAGGTAGTGGCATTCGCCAGAGTGCAGGATGCGCGATGTGAAGTGCAGGCAGCTCGCAGCTGCATCAGCTTCATATCAAAAGACTGTGGATCAAGTAACACGACGCTTGCAGCGGCAACCGCAATAATACTGCCATCAGGAACAAGGAATAGAGAAAGAGATTGGCGGGGCGTTTCATGAGCATGACGCCCGCCCTCCGCGGGGTTGCATAGGCTCCTCCCACCTCTCGAGATGTTCACTTCGCCAGACTGTTGTCTTTCGCTTTCAATCATAAATGTAGGTTTTTTAAACGCACCAATGATGTTGTCAGGCTGTTTCGTAATATGCGATCAAGATTGGATATCGATATTTATGATCTGGATCTCGATGTCATAGAAATAATCGAAAGCGATAGCGGTCGGTGATCTGGAACAACTAGATGAAAAATTATATCACGACATTAATAGGCGCAACAACGGCTTAGCTCTCTATCATTTTCATTTATTTGTCAAAGCATATCGACCGTCACAGTGAGGAGAACAAAATGCATTAGATGAAACACTAGAATAATTCCAGGCGAAGTTCTTGCAGCCCAACAGATTTCAAATCTTCTCTTTTGTTTTTACCTGTGACATGTTTTTTTTTTCCTTTGCGTATTCTTTGAATTGTTCACGTTATTCGGACAAAGCATTTGCGAGACTCGAAGAGCGAGCATTTGCGAACTTAAGAACCACTATCACTCAAAAAGTCCTTGCTTCTTTAGTTGAACGGTATGATTAGGCAGACCACAAACAGCCCTGGCTGCGCAGCACCATATGGCCTCCATAGAGATCATCCAGATCAAGAATTCCTGATCGCACCAGGGGCGCGTGACAGGCGAAGACGAGCTGGCAGCTAGACCTAACGACCCAATTGTAGAAATTGCACCGACACCAGCTGCGCGAGGAAGATGAGTCATCACATCAAAGCCAATTTTCTGGCTTCGGTCGCGGTACTAAAGTGCTGGTATTGGTGCGGCCTTCTGCTGTCATTGTTGTTTGACGCAAGGACGTCGTGGTCGACGTCGTGGCAACATCACCCCTGTTTTCCCTTACAACAAGCTACTGCACTTAGTTCCTCCACCCGATCTTCAACCGGCGATTCGAGCAAGAAAAAAAATCGATCGAACCGCACGGCTGCAACCTCGGCGACCTCATCCAGCGCTGAAGATGCTGGAGGTGAAAATTGTCGTGCTCAACAAATTTCATCAGGCAGTCACAGCAAAAAGAACTGCGCCACCAGCACGACCACAAGTCCAACTTCTTCTTCGCTCGCGAACAGGAGCCAGAGTACTAAACCCGACCGCTCGGCGTTCCTGCGCGCCATCCGGGCGCAGGGCGCGGAAGCGGAAAGCCGAGTGTGTCGCAGCAGCTCTTGCTCCGACGACCACAACAGAAAGCACCGATACGACAATCGCGTGCCGATCGCCAGCACGCGACGCGCGGCGGGGCCGCGGCCCGTTGTGCGGGAATTTTTGCAGGTGCGACTGCAGCCCGTGGGAAAGAACGGCGTGCCGGTAGTGAAGGAAAACGGAAAACCCTTGATTACGCGCGTTGATATCATTCAGACCGTCGACTTTTCCTCCTCGGCATCTTCTAGATCGGCGGACGAGAGATCTTCTTCAGCAGAGGACAATCACAATAGTTCATCAGAAATAAACGCGAGTTGTCCGAGCTCTGCCTCTGCAGCACCTGAATCAGAAATAAGACTAGACAGCCGCATTGGTGATGCAGCTGAGCTACAAGATCAAGAAGAACTGCATGCAGGAGCAGCAGGGGCCCCATCAGCTGCGCCGAACGACATTGCGGAGGACGATTGTGTTCGGCAGAATCCTGGTTCATTTAACGTGCGTTCACGAGACGGAGAACATGTAGCAAACAAAAATCCACGTGAAGCGCAACTTCGGTCAGCATCCGTTGCCAAAAACTACTCCAGACCGATTCGATCAGTACCTGCTCCGGCACCGGTGTGTCCGTCTGCAAGACTTGGCGCCGGGCCGGCCCACCTGCTTCCTGACTCTACCGCAACCAACATGGAAGAACAATTAACGCCATCTTGTGACACTGACACCGGCGTCCACCAGCGAGCAAAACAAGACGAGGGCGGCCAACTAGATGAACAAGCAGCGACCACAATCAATGATGAACCCCCTGCCACATCACCACGCATCACGGAGGTTAAAGAAGTCAAGTGCAGCACCTTTTTCTCGTCCTGCGGCAAGTTATGAAAGCCTCAGGTTGGGAATCCTCAAAGTGAAAATAATTTGTAATGCAAAAAAGCGACTCCAGTTGGAGCACCATTTATAGTCGGCGCATGACAAATTTCCCGGGCACTCAAAACGTGTCTGTCATGCTAGTTATGCAAAAGGGTGCCCTCCTCTCATGCTAATCAGGAGCCCAATTCTGAACCCGTAGAAGCACAATAGTCCGCCTCCATTGCGTTCTCTGCAATACAGTCTTTTTGGTGTCGCATTTCATGCATCACAAATTATTTCCACTTTGAGGATTTCCATTCTGAGGGCGTCATACAAGTCGAAAATTTCCGACCGAGAAGTGAGGTCCAGATTGACGAAGAACCAGGCGAAGGCCTACCCGCTGCTCGAATATCAAATGTAAAAATGTCTGGGTCTGGAAGAATGCATGTTTGTGATGCTTGTCTGGCATGAATCTTAAATCTGTCATGCACGTTGCCCAAGAGCCGCATTTTTCTGTCATGCGGAGACGCAGTTTGTCATGCAGAATAGGCAACACCTACAAGCTCAGAAATTTGTCATGCTGAGCCAGCACTTGTGGCCCCCTCATGCTACGCCACTCAGCATCACAAGTTTCCAGACCCAGACATTTTTGCAGTTCATATCGAGGAGAACGGGGCAATCATTCGCGTGCCGAAAAAGCTGCAACAGTGTCCGCGGAAGAAAAAGGACACCCAGAAGTTGTTCGAGCACCTATCAACCGATGTCGTGCCACCACAACAGGTCTCCGTCATCAAGCTGAGGCCGAAAGTTGCCGCGGCGAAGCGGAGCTTTACCACGTCGGCTAGGGTAGAAGGCGCTGTGACCGCGGATTTTCTGCCCGCGATGAAAGAAGCCCCGCGGGCAGACAAAGCAAGTATTAAAGAGGTTGGTGGCCAAACTACGTTTGATGAAAGTGAGAATTCTACCGCGACGCATGAGAGTGCTCTTCACAACGATAAGAAGCTGATGCAGAAGGAGCTTACTAGTTTTGATAGCGGAGCAGGAGGCTCGACGACGGGAGCTCCTCCAGGTGCAGGCGGTATTAAGCGAGGAGGCAGACAAGATCGCCTGGCAAGAACAAGCGTCAATCTCAATGCTGAAGATGTTGAATGCGGTTTCCGTTCCGATTGTTCTTCAGCCAAAGTAGAGGACGAGCAGCGGCCGACCACGTCGGACCGAAACAGCCTATCTCATGATCTGTGCGACGAGCCTACCCTAGACGATCTACACGCGTGGTTAGCCAAGGAGAAGTTTGCACACGATGCGTGTGATCCAATGGCTTCCAGAAGTCGGACGGCCAGCGGTAGTTCCTGGAGCTATTCGACTACCGATTCTGATGCTGATGACCATGTTGAAGTTGACCTTGCTTCACGTACAAAAAAGGAGAAACTCGACAACTCACCGCCATCAGCAGCAACGATGAAGAATAAAAACAGAAACTGCCACAGAAAAACTACCACTACACCACAGCACCCGACAAGATCGTGTAACCGTTGGCGCTACACATCTCCCTTAGTGAAGAACGTAGCGGCGCTGTGCGCACTGAATCGACTCTCTTCTTGCCTCCAAAATTTGCACTTGAGTAGTACAACTACTAGCGGTGACCACAGTTCTACTACTTCATCATCCTTGTCGAATCACTTTCGGCCATCTTCTGGTGATTGGAGGGGATCGAGTTCATCGACTTCGGCTGTTCATCTGCCCGACGACAGTGGAGCAGGCGGCGGTGGCTCCGCTGCGTTACCAGCGCAATGGCAGCACCAGGCCGCATTACAGCTTACCAATTTGGCCCCGAGAACGTCTCCTAGTGCCACGGGTAGTTGTTGTTTTCTTACCTACAATTGGAATGGCCCCTCTTCCACCATCTGGCGAGCCGAAAACAGTTTCGTGGGTGGATCACCAAAGCTGGAACTCCTGATGAGAACGCGATCTGGAAGAACTCGCTCTGGGGTACTAACAGGCGAGAACGCGCGAAGAACATCCGGGGTCCTCGCAGCTTCACTTCCGCCGAAGCCGCGCCCTGGGTTGTTGCAGCAGGCGTTGCAACGCTCACTAGCTAGAATTAAAAAGTAGACTGAGTTCACCTTCAGCACGTATAATAATTTAGCATCGCTCAGCACTCATAGATTTTGATTTTTTGTCAATATTAGAGACTCATTTACATTTTCTCGAGGAGCAGAGCAAGTATCGCAATTAACATTCTTCAGTAAACGCTCTCATAGTGATGTATCTGAGTAGTTTCTACTTTAGGCTTTTTCATCCATGACCTGCATTCAATTAAGGGTGAAGGCGAAAGGAAGGACGTTTCTTCTTTTCACCTACGGTACGTTTTTATGTTTCCTCACCAATTAATGTCTACATCCACATCTACTTGTCTTGTCACGTCGTCTGTTCGAAACCAGTTTGAAAATGTTAAATCTGAATGGGAGAACACGTTGCTCGTGATCATATACGAGAAAGATCTCAAAAAGTAGATGGCACCAGAATCGGATGAATGCTTACGAGGACAACTTCGCTGTAGTGCCGAGGCACATCATGGTGGAGGTTTACTTTACTTCAGCATCAGTACGATGTACAGTGATGTTCATTGATTCTTCTTCACTCTGTCGTGAATTTTGTAGTAAAGCAGCTCTTTTGCTTTCGTCTATCTGGCTCTGTTGAGAGGTATTATCTTTATCGTCGTTCTCTGCACGGGTTCTTTGAGTGAAGAAGCACGAAGCTACAAGACGCCGATGACGGCTACTTAGGAGAAGAAGAAGAAGCTTTAATATAAAAAAACGACTCATTTCACCAACCATGACGACGTCCTCGGAGCAACTCGGCACGTTCACGGGTCTTTACGACCTGGGTCCGCAAAACTTTTACTATGCGGCCTGCGCGGACGGCCTGGCGTGGTTCCAGTCGCGGGGGCTCGACCACTTGGAAAGAGCGAGGCAAGACGACGAGGTTTCGGAAACCGCCCCCAAGCTCGACCTGGTTTGTATCCAGGAAAAAACACCCCTCCTTATCCATTTTTTACATGACAAGTGGTGGACTTTATGCACGTTTTGCATGACAAATTGGATGGGGATGGGTGTTTTTTCCTGGATAGTTTGCTGCGACATCGTGCAACCGATGAACGTATCAAATGTAAAAATGTCTGGGTCTGGAAGCTTGCCAGGTTTGTCATGCATATTTTGGAAGACTCATGATGTCTGTGATGCATGCTCTAGTTTGACATATTTTTAGGGGCCTTTGTCATGCCTCTAGCGCATGAGAACTTCCCTCTCCGAGTAGCACAGACTGGAGTTCTATTGCCGGTCATGCAATACAAATCTTTTTAAAATCCAGAGAGCATAGAAATCTTCCAGACCCAGACATTTTTGCATCTAATAGAACGCGGCCTCGGCCGCGTCGCTGACCACCGGGGGCACGCCCGGGTTCCCGCGGAAACTACTGTACGGACTGCGGACCGCGCACTGCCCGCCGCTGTGGACGCGGGAGGGTCTGGTGGTGGCTGCGGACCACTTCCTGTGGCTCTTTCACGGATTTGAAGAGGAACCGCTGCGGATCAGCTTCCCCGGTTTCGAAATTCCATCCGCCGACACTGGCATTCTCAGCTGCGACAGTCTGGGCCGCATTGCGATAGTTTTGCGTCGAAAAATAACTACAGCGTCTTCGACGACTGGCGGTTCAGGTTCTTCTTGTGTGAAAACCAGCTCAAGCACCAGCAGCCGAAACTGCCTTCCGCCGGCGACGCACACCGCAACGGATGTGCTCGTCGTTCTCGACCCCCGGCCACTGACCGCGGCGGCCTTCGCGCCCGAGCAGCAGATGTTGTCAACATCTGGTGGCCCAGACCTGTTCGCACTGCTGGGTCGGTACTATCCTGTTTCTGTCGAGGATCAAGCTGGCGGAGGACCATCAGCGCAGGAGTCCGCCTTGGTCTTGCGGAAGAAAAAGACGCAGTTATCGTTGGACCTAAACTTCTCCCTGCACCTACCCGAGACGCAGTGTTTATTCACCTTCGAGCTCGCCCCGCACGAGCGCGTCGACTGTGTGGACTTGGTGTGCCCACCGGGCCCGGACGCCAGCAAAGAGCAGAAACAAGCGCTGTCCGCGTCCAACGCCATGTTCAACTGGCGGCTGTTGGCCTGTGTGCGCGAGCCGAACACCATGCAGGGCCGACTGATGTTGTTCGAGAACGCTAACGCCGCGGGGTACGTCGAGGGTCCGGACGGTTCGCTGGTGGGCAGCCAGGCTGGAGCCAGTCCGAAACGAGCACCACCACCCGCGGACGTGCGGGACGTGCGCGCCGGCGGCCGGCTGGACGCGATTCGTGCGGCCTTGCTGGAACTGGGGATCTGCGCGGCTGCAGACCAGCTTGAGCCGACGTGCATTCGCGACAACTGGGACCTGTTTGGCTCGGTCAGCGCCGCGGAAGCAGCAGACCAAAGTCAGCACAATACCTCCGCGGCAACGTCGCAAATAAAGCGGTGCATGCACTGGTGTGATTACGCCAAGCCGCAGGCGAAGTGGCTGGGAGGGGGGCGGATCGCCGTCCTCATGACCGTGGATGACCGCTGTGGGATGTACACTGTGGCGGTTTTCCCGCTTTTTTTCCATGAGGTGAAGTGGCGGTCGCATGGCTCGCACCTCCGAAGGGACGATCCGTTGAATTGTTGCTGGACAGATTTTCAACAGCCAAATCTGGCGCCAACTGGCGATGCTAGTTCTGCAGCCGCCAGCCTGTCAACCAGCAGCACCAACAGGTCCGCACCGCATTTGCTCTTTCCCGGCTGCTCGCAAGCGCGCTACGAACGGACGTTGCAGTTGCGGCAGTCCAGCACACCTAACCCGTGGAATCGGAACTACAAAACCGCCGTGCCGGAGTGTTTTGGGGAATTTGACGGCAACTCGTTCGTCGTCTTCCAGGACGTGAAGGGCACGTGGCACGGGATCCTCTCCCGCCCCGGATCGGCCGGCAAGCCCCCGAAGAACGCCGAAGCAGCGTTGTGTCCGGACGACGCGCGGTTCTGGGACGAGCTGTGTATGACTTGCTCAAATCGGTTACCATCTCAAACGTTACAATAGAATCTTCTGGGATCTGTGTTGCATGATGAGCATGACAGACTCGCACAGCGTTCCACCTTTTGCACTACAAATTTCGCCAGATTGTAGTGAAGTTTGGGGCTCCGGAACTTGTCATGCGCAATCCTATGAGAGTTGGCTAGATGATGCACTCTTGTATCACAGATTTCCATATTCTATTGTAACAGTTGAGATTGTAACTACACCTGAGCGCGTCATACTGTGGACGCTGAATTTCGACCGCGGGCTCTGCATTCGCCTCCCGGGCCCCCAGGTGCTCACCCGCGGCTGTTTGGTGCCGTTGTTCGCGGAGCCGGCCGCAGCCGACACCGCGCCGGTCTCGCCGTCGCCGAAGCGCGGTGCGTCCTCCACCGCGGCCAGCGTGGAAGGCACGCCAGTGCAGCACACGACGGGTTCCGGCACGGTCGGGGGGCGACCCGGAGTTTTCCAAGGCGGCCCGCGGGGCACGGGGCTGGACACAGGCACTGCGGCGACGTCCCTCGAAGTCACGTCCGCAGGACGGACTCCGACCAACTCCGCGACAAAAAGCGGCACTACGACGCTGGGCTCGCCCACCGGCGGTTCGTCCCGGAACGCGGGACAGGCGGGGGCCATCTACGTGTTTCACGCGTCGCCGACGGAAAGTGGGGATGTGTTCTACGTGTGCAACGGCCTGAACCCCGAGGCAGTCAACTACGTTCCCACCTACCGGCTGACCTACACGGGCCGGCGGTTCCCGACCGCACCGCCCCGGTGTCTCAGCATCCCAGCGCCGTCGCGCGGCGGCGAAAGGGTGCCCTGTGTGGTGTACCTACCGGAAACGTGCGAATACGTCAAGGACGGCCCGGCGGCGTCGTCCTCGCCTGAAAGAGGTATAATGCTGTATTATTTCTTCCGGCTGCAGCTGTGAACGATGTTTCTCGCGTCGCGCAATGACACTTCGTAAGACGGTGCGTTGATCCTCATACACTATGATCAGGATCATCATCTTGTTCAAACAATCGGGAAGGGGAATGAATGAAACACTCGTCCAAATCTACTTCTCATCAGGTGGTGCGACACGAAGCTCCTCATCCAGCAGTTCCAGTAGCAGTAGGCTGCAGCGCAAGTACCCAGTAATCGTGTGGCTGCACGGCGGACCGAACAGCCACACGCGGCTCGATTGGATTCCCACTTCCCCGAACGCGCTGGGTTCCGCGTCCCCCAACCGCACCTGGGGGCCGGTGCACCTGGGCCCCTGGCTCGCCAGCCACGGCTACATTTGCGTGATGCCAAATTTCGTCGGCGGCACGCGGTACGGACTGTCCCGGCTCCGCGCCGGGTGGGGCCCCGGCCGGTTCGGCGTCGCGGACGTGAGCGACGTGCTGGATGTGGGCAAGTATTTTCGCACCCGCCAGGCCCAGGTCGACTTCTTCGGTGACAAGGGCGCCAGCGAACAGGGCTTCGCGCCGAAGATCGGACTCGCGGGCCGGAGCTGTGGCGGTTTGGTAACGTTACTGTGTGTGCAGCAAGCGGAAGCCGTGTCCCTCGGAAACTACACGGGCGGGGGCAGCGAAGTGAAGATGGCCGTGAAGAACGGGGGGTTCCAAGCCTTTCCCACGGTGTTCCAGTGCGGCGTGGCGTTCTGCCCGATCACCGATTGGGCCAGGTCGCAACAGTGCTCGAACGACAGCCGGGACGTATCTCTCCTCGGCGGCTTCGTGACCGATCCAGTCTGTCCCAACCCTGCGCTGGAGCACGCGCGAAGAATCAGCCCGGTGTTCGTGCAGGGGCCGCTGCAGGCGCCGGTGCTTGTGATGCACGGCACGGAAGACCAGGTTGTCACTTTCGACAACTGCCTCCGGTTCCGCGATTTGGTGCTGAAAAAGCACTGCGGCGGCTACGAAATGAAGCACTTCGACGCCAAAACGGAAAGCTTTGTCGACGTTGAAAGGGTAGCTCCGGACTTTGAGGGAGGATCTTCACCGGGTATTTGTATTCGTGGTTTGTGATCTTCACAGGCAGGACGTTTATTTGAGGCGTATAATGCTAGTGCGTAGTCATGATGGAGAACGATTCACATCTGTGGTGAGGCTGAATCAATACGCAAAGCCAGAAACAAGGAACAATTCAACAGGAGGATTGCACTATATTTTTAAAAACTACAGATCGCAGCAGGGCGGCGTTTAGTACCTCAGGAGCCGTCAAAAATGGCGTGACCGCGACAAATGAGGAGCCGGCGACCTTGATCACCGTACAAGGCGAGGATCACACGCTGGTTCGGCAGGCCGGCTGGCGTCGAGAAATCCCCTTGCTGCTGCTCCACTTTTTCAGCCGCCACTTGCAGCCCTGGGAATACCCGAACAATTGCGCGCCCTGGAATCGGTGACTGAGAAGGTCGAGCAGTAGTTCGCGGGACGAGTAAAGTACACGTCGGGGTGTTGGTAAGCAATATACCGATAAAAACTTCGAAGAAGATGATGATCAAGATTGTGGAAATGCAGCTCGATGTGGACCACTTCCTTTCGTTCCTCCTGCAGCTCTCGAGCAGCAGACACAAGAAAGTGAAGTTCGAGTACAACTTGTTCCAGCAGCTGCTGTTGAACCGATGACGCCGCCTTGTCGTCGTCGTGGACGAAAGGGAGGTCGTGCAGTGGATTAGCCTCGTTGACGAAGAGAGTGCCGCACCAGAGGATGAAGGCCACACGCGAGCTGCCGCTGTCGCTAAAGCACGATATCATAATTTGATGAGTACCATACTAGGCGACGAAAAAGCATTTCCTCGTCAAGAGCTAGCTTCATCTTCGAACCCGAGATCCAGAATTGATTCCCGATGACGGACAACATGCGTGCCGATGAACAACTGCGGGCTCGCTGCTACTTCTGCTGTTTTTAGCAACAAGGTTTGCAGCTTTTGTTCACATGAAGAAATAAGCCGCGATCACCTATCAATCAGAGCGAAGCGATCCCGATCTCCACTTGTCCTCGGGGAAGGACTACGACTCGGCAAAGCCTAGTACTGGTATAATTGAAGCACTATCTTCCCCACTGTAAAGTAGAACATAAAAACTCCTCCCGGTTGCAGCTGTATGCGCGGTGCGCACCAGGTTCGACACTGCCGTATTTCCGTGGTTCGACACTGCCGTATCAAGTGCTTACTATCTCTATCTATCACTTCAGTCTTGCTCTAGCTACGTAATCACCCTGCTGATGTTTCTGACTCTTCATCATCAAGCTACAGCTACTTCTACAATGCGCTATTATCGCTTCTATCCTTGATCGACATACAATTTCCATCGCTTTTGAACTACTAAACTCAACCAAACCTCGAGAATGGCACCCAGTAATGGCACGACGCCGCTCGGTACAAATGCCTGGTCAGTGTTGACGGAGGGCCAGATTTTAGAGGACTTGGCATCCCTGGGAACCACTGCTTCAACACAAACCCAGCACTCTCGCGGCAGCAGCAGCCCCTCGAAGGGAACAAGTCTCAGTGCGCCCGCGGCGGCGCCGCGGACTGACGCATCCCACAACAACCTCGTTCCAATTTTCTTCGCATCCGGTGGCTCAGAAAGGTTTACAATAGGAGGTAGCGACTTGTCTACCGCAGCGCGCCGCGAAGCCGTGCGCGTCGCGCGCCAACAGGTTGCGAGCACAAAGCAGGAGGCCCAACAATTGCTTTTCCAGGAGGAAGCCAGGTTTTTATATTTGGCGCAAACGCTTTTGGAGAGCATTTTTGCAGCTGGAGGGGACGAGGTCGAGGAGGGCGAGGGCCGCGTCGACCACGACCAGGATCCCTCGTTGTTGCAGAATGGAGATCATGCCGGTGCGAGAAGTGCAACTTCTTCTACAGCAGCAGCTGCAACTACCGCTGCTGTACTAAGGCAAGTGAGACGGGAATATCAGGAGAGATCAAACACGACGACGAGATTCAAAACCAGTGAGGATGTTGACCAGGAATTACAACAACCTCAGGCAGCAGACACGCCTGTTCCGGTTTTCGTGTCTGAACAGCAGAAGGTGGCGGGAACAAGTCATGAAGACACAACCGGTGCCGATGATTTCTCCGGCCAGAATGATCCAGACTCGCTGGAGCAGGTTCTGCAATGGTTTCAGCGCCGCTGTTCCGACAAGGTGTTCACATACCACTTGCAAAAAACCACGACGAGCTCGTCGAGTTCTGGCACACCTGAGAGACCGCAGGAGGAGCAAGCGGCGAATGAAATCGGGAACAGCAGCAGCAGCTCTTCATCCGCTGAGCAGGAAATAAATTCCTCGTCAGAATTCGCGAACGGGAAAAATGGCGGCAACTACACCGAGGAACAACGCGTTGCCGTTACGGGAACATCCACTGGAACGACCTCATCTGACAAGACAGCTGCGGAACAATTCATGGCTGCTGCGAACCGCAAGACTGACAAGCAGAACCAGAAGGACTTGCAACGAGACACGCTCCGGGTAAACGGCCGCACGTTTGCGTCAACGCCGTATCCGGAGACATTGGAGTTCACTGCTCGGGCATTGTTGCAAAAGCCGTCCTCCGGAAGTAGCGGCTCGCCATCCGAGTTCCTGCCCCCAACAACGACGAAAATCACGACAACCGCAACTGCCACCACTACTAACCTGGACGACGCAGTCGCCACTCTGGAAGACCGTTTCGGCCGCAATACCCTCCACCGTGCTCGTACGCTTTTGAGTCGCGTCAACCGGACCGTCTCCGGGGGACTGGCGTTTGAAAAGGTGCTATTGTCTTTTGGCCAGATTCCCGGCGTGTTTGTTGTCCCCGAGTCCAAGAACGCGGCCCCGCTGGAACTGCTGTGTGGACCGGACGTGGCTCTAGGGCGGGCGCACACCCAGTACCGGATTCTAAGCGAGGAAAGACCCGACTGCGTGGTCGGGGTGGTAGACGCTTTTTTCGTCTTTACAGAGGTGGTGACGGATGCTGGTATGGGATCAGAGGGAGGAAGAACTGTCGTGACCACAAGCAAGGAAACGCTGTATTTGCAGTGCACACCTGGTTCATGAGTACTGAGTACGTGGTGCCACGAGCAGGCTGATCAACATCAAGATCAACAGCAGCAAAACAAAAGCGACTTTAAGAAGCCAGCACTTTAATCTAATTGGGTTTGCTGGGCCCGTCAATAAATAAACACGACACAGAAGGATATTAAAAGTGGACGACGTCAGCAGGAGGTCTTGAAGTGCCACTGGCTTAAAAGCGGGACGTCGACCACGATTGCACATGTTCTGTTTTTGCCCGTCGCTAGCAAGCTGCGTTTAAAGGTACACTTACAAGTCAAAGAAGTCTATCGATCATCAATTTCTCTGCTGTTGAAGTAAGTCGGATGCTCGAACGTTGTCATCGTGACGCCCACTTTTCTTGTAGCCCGTTTTTGGTTTGTTCTTCTAGGACTTTTCGAGAAAGTTTGCTCCATTTCCCTACCGAGCGACCGCTTAGATATTCCGTAGCTGCAGGCTGTTTATACTGACGGCGCCGCAATTGGAGGAGTGTAGGTTTTTCATTCGCAGTACTTTTTTCGAAACGTCACACATCAAAAAGATGCTCATCGCGGAGATCATGATCCTCTTGGCATCATTCTTAGTACTCTCGATCTTCTCGTGTCCTGTGCTCGCAGTTGAGTCTGCTTTTTTTACGCAAGCACGAAGCCGAGAAGCGCGGCGTCGCAGTGCAGCTACTCAATGGAAGGGTCACACTTGTTGCCCGGTATTCTTCTTTGCCCAGCACGACAATGCGCGAGCCAGAAACGCCTTCGTGCGTGCTACATTGGCTCACGCCGGCTGGAGCTGCGCCGACGAAGAAGGCAGCATCTTTCAAGCCCGTTGTAGGGAAAAAAACCCAAACGAGAGTAGCAACGATAAAGAATGTGAGGCTGAGGCAGTAGACGAGCCGCTGCGGGGACAAGATACAACCAGCAACGTGGATGGGGTCTTCGTAAGACCTGAACAATATGCTGAGCGCGTGGCCGGGGGTAACCGCAACGGTAACGCAGAAAGTGCATGTCGTGATGAAGAACAGGTCGCGGATAACACCAACTTCGCCACGGTCGTGTGTTTCCGTCCAGGGAAAAAGTCACGGTGCGGCGGAGTGGTCAGCCTTGCTTTGAACAAAAAGAAAAATACTAACCAGCATGATGCAACAGCAACTTCCCGACCACGAGCGGAGGGCACGAAGAACCCTCGCCACGAGCACGGAGAAGTAGAAGTGCGAACCAGGCATTTCCAGGCGGGTGGAGAGAGCAGCAAAGCCCTTTGCAGCCAGGAAAGAGTTGCAGGAGATGACGGCGGGTTGACAACTTCTTCGCAAGAACAAAGAGAAGCCTTCCCATCTTCAACAATTGGAAATGAGACGAAGAAAGACAAAGAAGCTTGCTCGCATCTCATCGAGTCGACAGCAAAAGTCGCACGATACACAATTATCCCCTGCCTCTCAGGTCTGTTACATGCAGCGAAGGGCTGCGCAGCGGTTTGCGCCTTTTGCGTCTCGGAACTACTGGTTGCAGATGGCCGTAGTTGTACTGCTCTCGTCGAGAAGGAGAGGCCATGTCAGGATGAACAGCAGCAGCACGACCTTGTTTTGCCGATGCAAACACAAGTCCGACAAGAAGGAGGGACAACGGGAGGGGCGACAGCTTCTATCCCCGCACAGATGAAGTCGGAGTACTTCGGGGCGGGTTTGGATCTTTCACCGCGCCAGCCTGATCCTTGTTCTACGTGGGCGCGCCAGGAAATTTCGCGAACGCCTCTTGCAGGAACGTGGGGGCCGCTACCACATAATCCTGTAGTTGCAGCTGTCCGGGACGGCCGCCATTATCATGAAGATGCAGCAGTGTTGCACAATCTTCCGGATCCTGTCGCCCCGTTCTTGCGACCGCGTCCCCGTCCTGAGCCACTGTTAGCAATGTCTGGAGCCACGAGGACCAGCTCGGTACTAGCGCCGAAGAACCCATTCGATGAGGACTTAATAATTTTGGCAGGTGCAAGAGCAGAGCCAGCACGAGATGAACAGGAACGGGATGCAACATTTGGCCATCGTTCCGAGTACTACGAAGATTCATGCCCTGCAATTCAAATCACGACGCATGGTGACCACCAGGAGGCCACCAGCGCTGCGGCGGCGCTGTTTTCCCAGGAGCGTGCCGCGATGGCGCCCGGTCGTACGTCGGTTCCTGGTGCGGGCGTTGCAGCGTTTCTTGATAGCAGTTTCGAAGGTACTGGGCACTTGTTGAATCAGGATCGCGGGGAGACGACGCCGCAAAGTAACTTAGACCCTGCGTCAGCAGATACATCAGGCTTCGGCACCTGTGCTCACCTTCGAGACGATCGACGAGGCTCAACATCGTCTAGTCTGCCATTCAACACGATTGGACCGGCGACAGCCAGCAGCATGGCGGGCGTTGATAATTTTCCGCTGGACAAAAGTACGGGAACAACAAGTACAAAAGGATCGCAAAATTCCTATCATCCCTTATCACTCGTCGCGGCCATGCACCATTCCACGTCAGAAAAAAGCAAAGACTGTGCGAGGACGAAAGACGTTTATCTTACTGACACCCGATATTCCCACGTGGATAAGGTGGAAACAACTCCTGGCAGGTCGCGCAAAGTAGCATCGATTGAACTGGAACAAGGTCGTGATGAAGTAAGACATCAAACTCAACAGTCTACAACTTTTTCCCCAAGTGCCGACGTCGAGGGGGCAATAAATAACGGACCGGCATCAAGCACGCCAGCGTTTTCAACATCCTGGGACGAGCGCCAGCACACCCCGCTTTCGCCCACCTCCTCGCTTCACGCGAATTACCACGACGACGGCGAACGAATCGAGTTTTCTTTTCCGGAGCCCCCGTTCCCACCCCCCTCACCTGCCTCCTCTACTTCTACATCGAGACCGCTATTTGGAGCAGTGAACAAGAAAGCTAGTGCGACGACGAGTTCGAGTGTAGATCATGATGAAGAAGGTTCGACGTTGTTGAGAAGATCGCCGGTTTCTAGCTCCTACAACTTCTCAACTTCGCCGGTCGGTGGCACACTGCAACGACTGAAGCTGTCGGGGGAAGAGCTCTCTGCCTCTGCAAAGGAGAAATTGAAATTAGCGGGGAGGATGAATTTTCCAGGGAACAAGCAGGTCGACAAAGTAGAAAAGAAAGATAAGCCGAGCAAAGCCGGGGCGGATTTTTTTCACAATCCTTTTTCTAGCATTCAAAGCTCGATGTTGATGTCCACCTCGTCGTCAGCATCTTCTTCGGTTTCCGCCCGGAGTTCAATAATCTGGCACACCGCAAAAAGCCGCGCAGGTGGTCGCGGTGCGGGTAGTGGAACTACTGAAACGACAGCTACAACGACCGATGCCGGACAAACTTCCCTAGCGCAACAAGCAGAAGAGATGTTTGTGCCTCAATTTGATTCCGCGTCCTCTGCAGTGGGTGCAGGTGTGGCCGAGTCACTGCTTTCTCTGGGACGCAGCTCAGGAAGGGGTAGTTCGCGCTCAAGTTCTGGAGGGGTGGCGGTAGTACCCAACGCCAGTCAGAAAAGTCGGTCAGGAGCTACAAGCACAAGCAGTAGTCGTTCAATGCTTTATCCAAATAGCGGCTTGTAGAAAGAGAAGCGGCGTGCGCGTGGGCGCTGGCGGTTACAACATTTATTTGGCTCTCATATTGAGAGAGGAAAAGATGATCGTCCAATTTCTATCGGCACGTACCCGTGGTACGACAATATGAATACAAATACTACAGTAGCGTACGAACGATCATAGTACAGTACATTTTTGCAGCTGGAAATCCCTGCTCGAAACATTTTGGAAGGTTTGAGTCCCACAATTATCAATTTGCATTCGTACTAGCCGTCTGTACACTAAAACGTACTTACACTAGAATCTCGTCACTCACTTTGTTTTGCGAGAATACAGAAGAAAATCATTGCCTCCACCATGAACTCTGCAGTTTTTGCACGTGAGCAGATGAACATACTGCTGGCCCGATCCATATGTGCACTGGCTGTAAGTACCACAAGGCAGGACCAGCCACATTGGTTCGTGTTCAAGGTCTACAGTTTCCATTCCGTCGTAACACTCAATCGGTCCTTGTTTTAGTTTTATTTTCATCCCAGATCAACTTATTGTTATTTCGCTCTTGCACTTTTTCTTGTCGAAGACGTTTTTTGGCGGCATTGACGTTGTCAAAGACAAAGGTTGCCGCAGGCATTCTTCCTTTGTTCGCTCAAACAGCCCTCGTTTCCACATTTTTACCCCACCTCAGGCCCCACCCCAACCGCAACAACACTAAAAGCTCGATGAGAACAAGTCGAGCATCAAAGTATCCCGTCAAGTATGTTAGTTGGATCAAAACCGCTTCCGAGGAAAGAAGATTGTCCGCACAAATCTGGCAAACGGCATCGCTGGCGGGCTTAAGTAGATTCTCATTCTTTCCCCATTCTTGGAAAAATACTTAGAACCACTGAACACCGCTGCAATTAGCTCCTACTTCCCCTTACTTCCACTAGTACGTACATCATTTCCCCCCTCCACGTCGCTCACCACGCGCTCACGACTCTCTTGTGAAAATGTCTTCGACGTGGATGCCCCAGTTGAAGCCTTACAATGGCAATCCGACGAAAGGCGAGATCCGGGCGGTGGCGGACGAGTATCGGCGGAGCTCCGCCAAAAGGATGACCAGCATTGAGGTGGAGCAGGCGGTCCACCTCTGGCGAAAGGAACTTCAGGAAAAAATCGACCGCCACCAGCGGCGTGTCACCCACCTGGACACCATCGACCTGTCCTCCCAAAAAATCGGCAACCGGGGGGTCGAGTGGTATGGCCGCGTTCTCAACTGTTACATTCTCAACTGTTACGCAAATTTGTGATGCAAGAATGGCAAAAGTGAAAGGAAGGACCTTCCGCGTCTTGCATGACAGAATTGGCACAGATTCTCAGCCTGTTTGGCCGTCTGAAAGTTTGTCATGCGAAGCAGCTACTTGATGGCGTCGATAGTTAAGGCAATTGTGCATGGCAAATCATGTAACAGCTGAGATGAATGTAACTTTTGAGAGCCCCATAACTGCCTCTTCAACTTTTTGAACGACTTCGACATCGGGTGCTCGGTCCTATCAAATGGAAAAATGTCTGGGTCTGGAAGAATGCAACTTGTGATGCTGCCTTTGGATGTCTAAAAAATTTGTGTTGCATGAGCAGCAAAAGAATTCTAATTTTTGCTACGCGGAGAGGGCATCTGTCATGCGGATTAGGCATCAAGAATCCCTCAAAAAACCTGTGATGCTAGGGCATGCATCACAGACCAGACATCATGGGTCATGCAAACCGTGCATGACAAGTCTCAGAATTTTCCGGACCCAGACACTTTTGCATTTGATAGGTCCTGAAGCTGTACAAAAACGACCTCGGAGACGAGGCCATGCGTGCTTTAGCAATCTTCCTCCGGAGATGCAAAACCCCGGTGCACGAAATCCACCTGTCCGACACCTACATCACGGAGGAAGGCCTCTCAGTCGTCTTGAAAGCCGTCGCGGAGCTGGAGCGCTACCCCAGGGTGACGCTCACCGGGAAGGGGGAGGTCGCCACGCAGAGTATGTATTTGCGAATAAACGACTGCCAGATCGACTACAATAAGATCGATGAAAACTTTCACGAAGAGTTGCGGTGTATGCGCAACTGCGTGATCCCGAATTGGTCTTCTAGAACACGAAAAAACGGCGTTGTACAACTACAACCAGGAGGGACCTCCGTAAAGAACACTAGCACTAACAACGATAGAGCGGAAGTGTTTCGCTCGGTGGGCAACACGATCACGAGTCTGGGGCTGGACAAGCGCAGGTACAAGCTATCCGACTTAGGGCTCTCTCTCCGGGACGAGTCCGATTTCCCGGGCATCCTGCAGGTCTTGCTATTACAGTGAAAAATGCCCCCTACCCCTGAAATTGCAAAAACTTGTAATGCAACATTTCCAAATGAAAATTTTTTGTCATGCATGAAAGGAGTATGAATCTTTCTGATGCACCAGAGTCTAGGCGTGTATCGCATCGCTTGCATGACAAGCGCCGCTCCTGCTGGGGTCTTTTGCAATGCAAATTTTTGCTATTCACGAGTGGAAACCTGTGATGCTGATAGATGCAAGAGGGCGAGTGTTTCACTTGGAAAGGTTTGCAATACAAATGCTCCCAAGTTCGGGAGTGGGGGCATTTTTCATTGTAATACTTGCCGCAAGACATCCCGATGGTGATTCTGTTCAAATTGAAGGACCAGTACGAGTACAAAATGAAAGACGAAGACTTGCCGACTGGCGTGAAAGAACGCCTAGTGGTGGATTATAGTGCCGGTGCAGCTGCTGCTGCACAAATTTCCTGCTCCTCATCTTCCCCCGGTGGAAGTAGAGGTGCATCTGGCGTTCAAGTTCATCTCCCCATCCCCTCCCCAAGCACGACCGCCGGCTCTAGTAGTTCTCTTTCCGCGTTGTACCAAACTCCTATACCCTCGCCCGCAAGCTCGTCCACCTCCATGATCACAGCCCCACGGAGCTACACCCGCCCGCCTTTCGGCGTTCTGACCTCGATGGAGTCCTGGATGCGACCGAGGAAGCTGACGGTGTCAAGCAGGACGAAGGACTCGGGAATCGACATCCAACCGAGGCCGCCGGCTTTTCCCACACCGGAGGTCAGCGTCGTCTTTCAGCCCAACTCAAGGGACAATCGGAAAAAGGATGTTGCGGGACGTGGGGCTACTTCTACAGCTGCTGGTGGTGAAACAAACGAAAAGATAAAGGACGACTGGGATCACAAAAGCCCGGTTGCACTTGGCGAAGTGCGGAACAAAAAAGAGTTTGGCGCTGGTATCGTCGTCCCTACGGCCGCAAAGGGGAGGATAAACAGCGGGACTTCGGCAAATGTACAACGCGTAATTCTTGTTTGTCACGCTTTGCGCATGGAAACTGAAAGATCTGCGGTTATTTTCGTTTGTCAAGACCGTGATCGAGCTCAACTCATCTTCGTGGGAACAATAAAATCCTTTTCGTAATAATAAAACACGACAGGTCTCCACGACTTCCTCCAACGGTGCTGCGCCCTCCTCTTCCTCCACCTCCCGTCCCACCCGCAGCCCCCCGCCTGACCCCTCGATCATTCAGCCCACGGTCATCAACCAGGGTGCTCCTCTCTCTCCCACTCCCAGTCGTGGCGGCCGGGCAGGTGGACAACAAGGAATGCGGAACGTCGGTGAAGTGACCGTAGTCGGCGGACAAACGTCAAGAACGTCGACGAGGTGGGCCGACATATACGATACCAGCAGCGCCGCCGACGGAGCGAGCACACCAGAACTCTCTTTGCCTGACCCATCTTCAACCGGAAGAATGCACGGCGAGAGTGGCGGAGCTGTCACTGGAGGAACAAATTGTCATCCTGTCACTACGCGCACAAACGGAACAAACGAGTCAGGGTCGGCGCTTGCAACTGCGCATTTCGCGACACAGTCAGGCAAGAACACGGGTAAGTATACAAAACACGCACTCTCCTTGCGTGATCTTCTTGATTTTGATTGGATGATGACTACTTCCTTTCGTTCTTGACGCGGATGCGCTATTAATTTTTTGACCTCTTTCAACAATCGAAAGCTGTAGTTTTTAGGACTGGGTAACTAGACTGAGGTGCCGCCCATGCTGTTTGGTCTGATGGATGTTTACGCGCGCAAGCGGTCTCGACGAATTGGTTGGACATACTGTGTGGCTCAGCCGCTGGAGGCGGCGAGTCGGTCGAGAACCTTACGCGGCCGCAGGTGACTGAGATTGGCATGACCGTCGTCACGCCGGGAGGGATGCCGTACAGGCCTCCTTTCCCTATTCTCTTGGTCTTTTTCTGCCCACCCTGACTCTGACCCTCTCTAGGGCCAGACCTGTCATGGCCTCCAGTGAGGCGTCAGGAGTCTCTCTGTACGGTCTTTGTCTTGCCACGGCACGTGTGCATGCATCCTTACGACAACGTACCACCGCCCTTCCAAGAGTATAGTCTAGCTCACATCAGAGCCGAAGGCTATGTGTGCTCTAGGGGTGAGGCCCACTGCCCGCCCCGCCACTTCTGAAGGACGCTCTCGGTGCGTTTCAGCGTTCGGGTGTGTGCTCGCGCACCACCAAACGGCGACCCCACCCCCCTTCGGGGGGCGGGGGCCGCTGTAGGCATCCATCGGTCCGTGAATGGACGAAGACCATACAGTATGGGCATTGGCACCTGCATAATAGTTACTTTAGTGTAGTCTTCATTATCATTTCTCTTGTTTGAACGAACAAAAAAAAAACCTTCAACAGCCGAGTCCACCCCATCTCCCGTGCTAACCCCGTCCCCGATCTTGACCCCGAACCTGGAAAACTGCCCAGAATTGACTGATGACCAGCTCCAGCATTTGATCCAGCTGGTAAAAGTGGACCTGGTGGAGTGCAACTGCCACGACGCCCCGACTGCGGTGATTGAGGAGGCGATCCGGCACTTATCAAATGCAAAAATGTCTCGGTCTGGAAGAAAGCATGTTTGTCATGCTTGTCTGGCATGACTCTTAAATCTGTCATGCACGTTACCCAAGAGCTCCACTTTTCTGTGATGCAGAAACGCAGTTTGTCATGTCACACCTAGAAGCTCAGAAACTTCAACTTGTCATGCTGAGCCAGCACTTGTGGCCTCATCATGAGACGCCACCCAGCATCACAAGTTTCCAGACCCAGACATTTTTACACTTGATAGCATTTTGGGCCTTACGAACTGATCAAGGTAGCCGAGTACGTGATTCAGTACATGCAGATGGAGACGGAGCGGGTGGTTTCCCGAGTAGAAGTGCCAGTAGAGATGACCAGGATGCAGTGACTCATGTAGTTTAAAGATGCTTGTTCCGAGAGTGCCAGACAGGCACAGGAACGAAGTTTGACGATAGATTATCATACGAATGAAATCATACTAAAATGAAGAAAGCAAGGGACGAAGCTGAAGCTTCGAGAAACAACTTTTGGTCGTCGTTCTTGGCACGTAATTGTAGTTCCAACTGTAGAGCATCAACATAAAGTTGTCGATAGTACGCAGCGGCAGCTCCTTTGGAAATAAAGATTCAAATGCTACAATACGACTTGGTAATTGAGTGTCCCCGTCCGCATGATCTTGGCACTTCCGCGGTTGCGACCGAAAAAACAAAATGAAAAGAACAGCCTTTGTAATGGTAGTTCGATAAGACGAGAGACTAACATCAATGCTGGAAGTCTGCCAAACATAATCATCCAAGGAGTTGTGACGAGTTTAATCGATTGATATGAACGGAAAATGAAGATGAACATTTTGCGAATGCGACATGCTACGGCGCATGCAAAGGAACGACTTCCGCTCAAATGAAATTTGATGCCTGCGGTAATGACAAAAAGGCGTTGATCAAATCTTGTTCGCCTTTTCTGTATGTCGTGCGTGCGTAGAAGTAGTAGCTCGTCTTGTCGGAGAGCAACAGAATGAACCTAGAGCTGTAGTTTTCCACTACCGCACGAGTGAAGAAGTTCGAGGAGAGTTCAATTGGATTTTGCTTGTCGTGGCCCGTTGACGCTCTCCTGCGAGGTAATAAAGAGAGTTGCGTCGTCTTTCTGTCAGGTAGAAGAGGCTCGGGCGAGGATTGTCGGTGGTGGTTTTCGTCGAGTTTCAATCTCGCTTGTGTCGTTATTGTTTGTTCATTTTAACTGAGGAGAGACGGTATGCATGGGCTTGCTCGAGGTGATATTTTTTTTGTGCAGCCGTCGTGTCTGAAGTCGGATGAACAATGTAGAAAGAAAAACCCCCGCCGAGTGTCGCGAATAAGGCTACAACAGCGGTATTTTTAGAAAGCAGGACAAAAAATCGTTTATTGTTCTTTTGACGATAGGAGACGCAGAGGAAGATGAAACTTGTCTAGTGACCTGACCACCTCCTGCGATAGCTATCGCGATTGGTCTAGCGTTCTTTAGCTTGTTCGTCATGCAGGAGCGCGATACAAGCTGGAGCTGTCGCAGACCGAGCAGGTAGACCACACCACCGGGGACAGCCGACAGCGTAGTTGTAGGAGAACCAACCTTTTTTCCTTGACGCGCCTTTCCCCGGTAGTACTCCTTCGCGAGGAAGAGGACCACTAATAGCTGCAACATGGAACGACCGCTGGTACAGGAGGTACTAGTGCGGCGACAGTCCTCTCCAACTACGACATCCTAGCACACTCGACGTCCACCGAAGAGAGGACCATCAGTTGTACACGAAGGTCGTCCTGGAGGCTGCAAATCGACGTGGAGCGGCGCTGGTGGCCCACCTCGACGTTTGCGTTTGGTGGCAAAATTCGTTCTCTGGTAGGAGAAGGTTTCTCGACCTCAACTCTTGATGTAGAAGGAGTTCTTCTACTTCGTCGCCGCCACTACTTCTTCTACCGCTCATTGTCACTGCCGGCGTCGTCCTGCGCGTGATGATGATGGAGCAGCCGCCGCCACCGTCGTCAATGTTGTTGGACCGCTCTCTCCTGCGCGAGGCGGAGCGGCTGCTTTCCCTTGTGGCCGAGGACGAGATTCTGCGCTTTGAGGAGGTCGGCATCGAAGCGCGCCTGAAGTACCACATTCACGAACAGCAGACGACAAGTCACGGGGTCCTCCTCGGAGCAGCTTCTGGAAGTAGAGCTGCCAGTGGTATAGAAAACGATTTTCTTCCTCAACACACTCTAGGTTGAGATTGAGGTTTCCTCGCATTGGCTACAAGAACTTCTTCGTATCGTTCTAGTTGTTGTAGAAGATGAAAATAAAGATAAGCTACACTTGCTGTCGTCTTTTCCGCGGCTCCTCAGAAAGGGCGCAAGAGCCAGGGCCGGTGTATCAACCGTCTCGACAGGAACAATGAGTGAAACGATTCTACTCAAAATTTCACATAACACGCAGGCACCCCAGCATTACCCGAGAATGTGTACGACGAGACAGGTGGGAGTAGCGGTTCCGGTTTCGCAGATGTAGGTACTGCTGTGCAGCATGATAATTTTCCTGAGCACGACACGACCAGCGGAACGAATGGGAATCATGTTGACCAGAGCTACAACGGAGCTGCACCGCATTTCCGCACGCAATCTGCACCGACGCACGTGGCCGTGGACGGGTCGTTTTATCATCAAAGCGTGGCGGCGCATAATTCATCCTCCAAGGGCGGGAGCTTCATTCCAGCTGCACAACGGGCGGAAGGGAGTGCCATGCTTGCAAACTACCAGTACGGAGGCAGCTCACCGTCGGGAGGTGCTGCTGGGATGAAGCCGCACCACTTCCCGCGAGGGCACGGCAGGAAAATGCGGAAGGCCGCGGAGCGAGTAGAAGAGGAAGTTGGTGGGCACGAAGCTGCAGCCCAGCAAGGAATACACAATTACCAGCACCAGGTGGAAGGACCAGCTGGTGTGCATCAACATTCAGGAGATGGCTACCATGAAGTAGGACATCCAGGCGTCGCTCTTATTTACGGAGGAGGTCCACCAGGTCCTCGAAAGGGCGGCAAGCCGATGAAGAGTGGAGGCGGACCACCACATGGGGGCGTCGGCACAACTGCAAAAGGCCAACTTGAGGGTCAAGTTGGAAGTGGAGGTCCACCAGGATCTGCTCACCTAGTACAGCATAAAAACAACTTCGAGTCTACTACATCTTCTCGACCGCATGCCGGCACCTGGGCCGCACCGGAGCCAACCCCGACCCACGGGAAAAATCAGATCTCCTCGCAGCCGATGGCCATACAACCTCCTGCTCCAACGCATGTCTTCACCAGCAGTGCTCCTGGCGCACCAACACAGATGTCGCACGTCAAAGGGATGAACATGAAAAGCAAAAAGGGAGGAAATAAGCAACTTGACTACTACAGTCCTGCTCACGGATTTTATCCGGCACCCCCGCAGCTGATGGAGCAGCAGCACTTTTACAACGCAGTGCAAGTAGGGGGGAAAATGTTAAAAGGCGGCTCGACCGGAGGTGGTTTTTTCCACCCAAGTAGCAAGTCAGGAGCGCCTGGTGGAAAGAATCAGCAGCCACCTGCGCCATTCGGCGGGGACAATCTATGGGGACCAGCAGGGACAGCCGCTGCTTTTTCGCCGAAGGGCGGCTCTTGGGGTGCCGGTGTGGGTGGCGGGCAGCACCAAAAAAGCTTCTGGGCGTGGCATCCGCAGAAAGGGGGCAACAACAGTGGAGCAGCTTTCTCGCCGCACTACCAACACGCGCCACCTAGTGGTGGTGGACCAGCAGGGTATCATGCATTTCCCTGGAACAAGAACGGGCAACAGAACTACAATAGTTATCATTCCAAGAACAATGGTACTGGAGCTGGTGCACCCAGTAAGTGGGATAGTTGGGCGGGGCATCGCAGCTACAACCACCATCAACAAGGAGCTGCTACTGCTATTTCATCTTCTAGTCCTCACTATAATTCTTGGAATGCCGACCCGCCCGGCTCCTCTAGCTACTACAATGCAGGGTGGTACACTTCCGGACATGGTTCTTTTCCCAGCAGCGCTGGCCACAGCGAAACCAGCACGCAGAATGCGAACAACGACCCAAACTACAACTTCATGCGACCTGGAACAACAGCTACGCCCTGGGCTGGTGGTGCCGATAACAACTACGAGAATAAGAAGTACTTCGCGCAGGAAAACGCGTTCGAGAATTACCTGCAGCGGGAACAGGTGGCCAACTCGAACTGGGACCACGAGCATTTTGATCCGACGGTCGCCTGGACTTCCCCGGTGGCGCCGCATCCCCGGGGGAGAACAGCCTCGAATATCACGTGGCACCCGGGATGGAGCGAGCACTACAAGCAGGGATGGTCATCTCCAGCGAACAACAATACCGGGGAGGCGAAAAGGAACAATAGCAGTGGAGGTGGATCGAAGAGCAACGTCGCAGTTTCTAGTTCTACAACCGCATCAAACAAACAGGACAACGCTTTCCTTGACGGTAGTTCTCATGCAGGGCCCGCTCGGTCCAATATTTTTACCCAACAACGTTCAACAACATCAGGACACAAGCAGGCACAAGCAGGCGGAGGTGCTGGAAATAAAATGAAGTACGTCGATAACTTTTCATCTTCGTCGACGACATTCTACGGGGCAAGCACTGCAGCGTCTAGCAATCGCATGAACCATAACCAGGTGGAGCTCAACCTCGATATCATGGAGTCACCGGATAAGGAGGATGACGAGGACGATCTTTACCACGACGGTGTAGTTGACTCTCACTCGCCATCGCCTTCAGCTGCAAAAGTAGACGTTTACTCACCGACAGTGCCAGGACGACGAGGGGGACCAGACACATCAAACTACAACAGGAAAAATAGACGTGGAGGCTTCGAGGAACGCACTTTGATCTTTCCAAGCCAATCATCTGCACCTCCTCCGACGAATGATTATCACCAATCATCAACTGCGAAGAGCGGGGGAAAGAAGTCGAAAGGTCACGACAGGAATCGCTCAAATCATCGTGGTTCTGGAAATTTCCAACCAGATCAGCAGGAGGAGCACGGCGGCCCCGCCGTACTGGCGCAAGTAGACCCTCCAGCGGAAGACGGAGCAACAGCCGGTGACCTGTTTTTCGGCAAGATGAAAGATGACGCAACTACAGAACCCAACGCCAACGGCTCGTCTTTGTCCAACAAAAATAAACGGCTCGAGTTCATCAGCTATGACGCGGAGCGGCGCTGCTTTTACTACAAAATCAACTACGACATCCCCTCCGAGATCGACAGGCTAGACGATTTGCTCGCTAAAACCGGGCCAGGGACGAGAAGCGGCGCTGTGAATATTAGCCAAGATCTACTCTTCACTGACGCACCAGGGCCGTCGCCTTTGCAGCAGGGTAGTGCGTCGCCCTTGTCGACGGATGCTGCTAGTAGTACCGCGGCTCTGCCTGTGCAGGTTCAAAAGAAGAGCACTTCTAGTACAAGAAGAGAAGCTGAACAACATCAAAGTCAACAAAGGCGGCGTAGGACGAACACGAACAACAGCAAGAGTACAACTACGACTTCTAGTACAGCCGACCTCCCGGTAGACAACAACTCGTGGGAGCTTCTGCAGAGAAAAAAGCATCTGGTCCGGTATTTGCGAACCACAACCGGCACACTAGGCAGTTTCGGCGTGTCCGGCAACGGAGTGTTTGAAATTTGCCTCTACTCAGAACTACCAGCCGAACGAGGTCAAGATGTTGAAACAGGTACGACTACGAGGAGTAGAGCTACAGGCCGCCATCAACTAGAAGCGCAAGATGACAAGAACTTCTTGAAGAACGACCACGACGACCAAGAAGGTAGTTCTGAAACGTTTGGAACAGCGGCCGAAATAAATGACGACCCTTCTGAGGAGGATTCTAGTTGTGCGTCTGACCACCTCTTAGAAGGCAACAAAACCTCTTCTGCGCCAGTCACTGGAACATCTTCCTCGTCAAGCTCCTCATCGTCCGCAGAAGGGGAAGACCCTCGTCTCGGCAGCGCTCCAGATGACCACGGCCAGGTTGCAGCAGCAGCCGCAGCCGTGAAGGCGGCAGAAAAACGGCTGAAGGACCTCAAAAAGCGAATAGCTGCCGGCAGGGGTGCTTCTACCGAGGTCGACGATGATGATCCAGGTGATGAAGTGGAAGGAGGAGACGATAATAAAGATGACGATCAGCATCATGCTGATGCGCCACCAAATGTTGATATTAAAGGTCAGCACGCAGTGAAGAAGAGGAGAAAGAAGTCGCGATCTACGTCCCGGCAGCAGCATACCACGACCGTGGTGAAGCTGCTGAGTTTCAATAGTGAAATCTGCACGAAAAACGACACATTTCCGCTGTTTCGGCAGGCCGCGTTTGTGAGTGTGTCCTTGCTGGCCGCGTTTCCCCAACCTTTGGTCGTGGACTCGTGGCTCTGGCGGGACCTGGAGTTGTGTAGTAGGCGGGGGAACAAGCACGACGTGGAGAAGACCCTTGCAGCCTTTCTCGCCCACGCGGAGAACGTCAAGCGCATCTGTAGTTGTGGTGTGTTGGGGGGAGATGGAGTTGGAGCAAGGTGGTTGTCCAAGAACCTCTCTGCGGATGAGAAGCACCATACGATGGACCGTGATTTTGTGAACAAGGATGTTGACGAGGCTGAAAATGTAGGATGGGACGCAGGTGCAGCTACGCAGGAGCAGAGTAATAAACAACTCCTCCTCCAAGAAAAACTTGCGACAGCCCTCGCGGAGTTGGAAGATAAACAAGCTGCCTCTAGAGATCGTCAAAAAGCAGGCACAACTACGCCAGGACCAACCACAGCTCTATCCGTTGATTACGCCCCGTTGCCCTCCATCGGCGGCAACCGCGCTACGTGGCACCTGTGGCTCCGACCGGACTACTTCAACTATCATGCGACGAAGGATCATGTGGAACAAACAGCGTCCTCATCATCTGCTAGAGGACGTGGTGCGAGAGGATCATCCGGCGCTCCCGCAACAAACAACTACGCGTCCAGCACAACTACGTTGGTGAACAGAACGCAAATCCAGCTGACTTCGGAAAAATTTTACCTGGAGGGCGTGCCGGGGCCGCTGCAAATCCTGTTTTACCCACACGGTGAGCCACGGGGAACCAGCTGTACAACCTCGGGTTTTCATACCTCTTCCGTCGCCTCAACCAAGCCTTCGACCAGCACTGCGACCAGAAAAAGTCGCGTCTCCTCCGCTCTAGCAGCGGCGGCGGCTTCTACCGGGGGCGATGGAAATGGAGGTCATCATAACGGAAACAAGAACCACAGCAGCAGTACTAGATCTAATCCTCGCGGCGGCGCGAACGTTGTGCCCGTGAAGAGTGCGTCGCCCCCAGCGCAGGACGTTCCAACTCCGTCGCCAGCGACGAGCAGCTACTTGAGCGGTCTCGTTTCACCAGGCCACACACCCACAATTCGGAAAATCCGAAAGAAAATCCCAAGCCCGAGCCCGCCACCAGGGTCGCCCCCGGTTGTGGGAGGAGGTGGCCGCGTGGTCGGAGGTCCAATGAAAAAGCTTTGGGCTGACGGAGACATGCCCGAAGCCGAACGTGAAAATACTGCAGCCGCGGAGGTGGAGGGCACCAGTGTCGGGATGACGGGTCGTCCTGGTCGTGAAGATGAAAAGAGTCCCTCTTCTGACAGAAAATCTAGATCGGGCCAACCACCAGAAGATGATTCCACCGAGGAACGACCCGATACAAAACTGAAAGATAGAAGAAGCCCAGATAAGGATCATAACAACATCAAGACGGCTCTTAAGGGTAGTAAAAGTAGTCCAACCAAAACAGCGACCTCGAGCTCCAGTAGTTCTAGTTCAGGACCCAGCAGCAGCAGTAGCAGCAGCGACACAGTGGAACAACAAAACAAAAAACCGATCGCCACTCCGACTCCCTCCGCGTTCGATACTAGTTCGGGCACGACGGGGCGGAGCAAGGCGGCGGTCGGCATCGGGGTCCTGAACAAGAATAAAAAGAAGGCGAAGAAGCACGCCGCGGGCAGCAGCGGGGGTGCAAAAGGGTCAAGTAATCATCTTCGAAAGACCAAATCGGAGACGCCCGCGACCTCGTCGAAGTCCCGAGAGGAGCAACAACAGGCGGAGTTGAAACTGAAAACGCTGACCAGCTGTGCGCTCTTCCTGAAAGCGCCCTCGGGCACCCGACACGCCTTCTGCATGCGGGTGGGAAACACGCAGCGGTGCGCGGCGCACTACTGGGACCGAGACAGCAATTGGGGCTTCCCGACCTTTTCCCACATGCTGGGGAATGGAGGCGCTTTGACCGTTCAGGTGGAAGCTCTCGCGGAGGTGCCGCCGGTGGCCGTCACCGGCCGTGTGGCGGACTGGTGTTTGGACTCGAGTTTGTTTTCGAAAATCTACTTCCAACCAGGCGAGGAGATCCGGTCCGAACCGTTTAAGGTCGGGGACTACGAGCTACAGCTGTTTTTGTACCCGCACGGGTCCTATCCTGTGCAAAAGTATCGTACTCGTAGTAATCGCATTCATGCATTACAAATTTCTTTCTCAAGTTAGACCCGCATTACAAATTTCATTTCTCGCGCTGAGAAAATTTGTCATGCGATTTATACTAATGCGATGCTTTTGCATTTCATAGGTCCGGAACCGACCCGGAGTACGTCTCCCTCTTTCTCAAATACAGCGGCAAAGCGACGTTGACCTGCCACGTTTCTCTCGACGGGATCGGTATGGCGTTCTCAAACGTTACATTCTCAACTGTTACATGAATTTGCAATGAATGCAAGAACGGCGAAAGTGAAAGGGGGAAGATTGCGCCTTTTGCATTACAGATTTGGCACACATTTACATGCTGTTTAGCCCTTCGGATATTTGTCATGCGAGACAGCTTAATCTATCAAGGCGATCTTGTTGGTAAATTTGCATGACAAATCATGTAACAGCTGAGAATGTAACAGTTGAGAACGCCATAATCGGCCCGCGGGGACTGTGCCACGACGGGAACGGAATCTGGGGCTATCCGACGTTTTGCCCCCGGAGCTTATGCATTGCAAAGAAGAAGCCAAGCGTACTCGTATAAATTATTGCACTCATGCATGACAAATCTCGTTCCACACCTGAAACAGCATTACAAATTCCAGGTCTCCTCTTGCCGAAATTATTTGTTTTGCGGATGCTATTTATACTAGTTCGATGCAACTTCTAACCTTTGCAATGTATAGAGCTTTCTAGCGAACTACTTCTTTCTCGAGAAAGAAAATATGGAAGCAACAAAAGCGGCTTGCTGGGATCTTCTGAACGCAGATCAACATACTAGCGAAGATGATGTTGCAGCGATGAAAAATAACCCGCCAACAGAAGAACCAGAAGAAGAGAAACAAGGTGACAACGCAGACGAAGTTTTCATCGCGGGTAACATTGACGTCGTCAGCCCCTCGTCCACGGTTTCCGCCTCGAAGCGCAAACGCAGGAAAATGGAAAGCCAAAGCGTCCAACCACAACCTGGAAATAAGAGCTGCGACTTCGCTGAGAATTCAAACACATCAAACGCAAACAATGACGGCGAAGTAGAACTACCGCGAGCCAGCATCAAGACACAGACCCTGGCGGGAAGAAGTGCTGATAAAAACGACCGCAAGCTGCAGGATTTCGGCCTCCGTTTGGTTGCCGAGCAAGACAGATTTAGCAAGACCAAGAGCGGCCCGATGCACGATAGTCGTAGTATCCAGGAGTCCGGCGACGTGGTCTCCGAGGAGCCGTTTGTTGCTGACAAACCGCAGCAATTGCTCGAGAAGATCAAGATCCCAAGAGCAGAAATCTTCCAGAAAGGTGAGCATCGATTTCTGCCCCAGAGACTACAGAGAGCCCACGCCCCCCGCGTGCAGAACCCGTGTACACGAAAGCTTTCGCACTCCATCAAAATTCGGCTCGAAATCATAACGTCCAGCGACCGGACCGCCTTTCGCGAGGAAGAGGAGCCGGAGCCAGGGCCCGAAAGCGATACAGATTGTCGCCTCGAAGCGGGTGAAGCGAACTTTAATAATAATACCCCAGTCGCAGTTCAGGATGAACGCCAGCAAATAAATAGACCTGCACCTGCAAAAATAGCGTCTCCACCTGTTCTTTCTCTGCTCGACAGGAACACGTCGACGACTTCATCGTCCAGCAAGGAGCTCCCCACGCTCCTCCACATTTCGTGCACACTATCCGAGATTTGCGGCCTGCCGCCGCCCCGCGTAGTGAAGAGCCGGCGGTCGATGTTGTGGCTCGGCGGCGACGGGGCCAGCGCCTCCCGGTTTCTGTTGGCCTACTACCTGAACCAATTGGACTGCAACCTGCTTTTCACCGCCCCGGTGGAGGATGGGTCGACGACAATGAGCGCGGCCTTCGTCTCGCAAAACTTGCCGAAAGACCCGGAATTCGACGTTCTGGCCGTGACGACGGGAGACGACGTATTGTGAGTAAGCACGTCCCCGCCCCACACTTGTCTTGCAGTTTTGCAATGACAGGAACAGTTGTGATGCGCATCCCCATGGGAGGCGTCTTCGATCGTGTTTTGGTATTTGTGATGCTGTAAACAGGATAAGGAGGCGGCTTTTTGATGCGGTTTTGCTTGCTAACCTGCGCTACGATACAGCGGAAAACTTCTCATGCGTGACTGCCAAAACTTCTGGATTTGTGTTGCAGACTTCCAAACTTGATTGATTCTGGGGCGGGGACGTTTTCACTCAGGATACGACGAACTTCTCTACCTGCAGGATATGCACGCCGCGAGGCCGGATTTTAATCACGACAGGTGTGTCCGGAACGACCCAGGCACGACCTCCTACCGCCAGCATAAATTCCTCCAAAGGCTACGCTGCGAACACGGGGATTTTGAACGTACGTTTACTTATTTTCGCTTGTATTCTTGTCTTCTGGAAGTGGAATCCGAATTTTGTTTTTCGGCTTTCAGGATAGCAAAATTGAAATATGCACTTCTTCGCGGTTTCATTTTTATTTTTTAGATAAAAGTCGAATAAACGAGTTGAAATAACAATTTCGTCAAGGATCGTCCGGATCCATCGTCCGCCGCTGATACGTAGAATTATTCAGGTTATTGCCGGCGCAGCCAGACCGGCACAGCGGACTTCCAGATGGTGCCTCTACACGAGGACACGATCAAGGCCAGCATTCAGAGCTACCCCGTGGTTCTCAAGATCCCCTACTCCGATTCCTCCTGCGGGGTTGTCGTCGTGCAGTCCGAGTCCGAGCTCGCGGACTGCATCCGCACCACGCTCGGCCCCGCGAACGTATGGGACGTGCAGAAGTTGCCCGCGGAACCGTTTGCACTCGGGGGCGCGGAAGTAGTAGAAGGAGGAGGGATGGTGCAACATCATGGCGGACAGGTGGCACACAGTGATACTGCAGACCTAGACGAAGACGAGTACGCCACGCGGATGCGGTATTCTTGAAGTTCATCTTTGTCATGCTGCTCCTTATGTCAGACTGAGATGTCGATGTGATGCGTTCTTCGTGGCGTTTCTCCATTTCCACCGTCTTTCAATCTCTGTCTATGTTGTACTTACTAGTTGAAGTTGTTCTTGGTTGTCGTCGTGAGCTCACTACTTATCTATCACCTCCCGCATTGAAGAAAACAAGTCGCCGAATATGAGCAATTAGAATTACTTATACTTAGTACAAATTCACGCACACAACTTCTCAACAGATATGCGTACAATGTGCCTCGCTTAGTGATCATCGAACCACTTCTTGTCGGCGATGAGTACGTGGTAAACCTGGTTTCGTGCGTATCAAAATGAAAAATCCCCCCTCCCCATATTGAAACGGAAACTTCTGCTGCTGGATTTGTGTACACAAATCAGCCCTGTCTTGCAGCGAGGCACTACAGGCAAAGCCTCAGGCTGCGTAGGGGTGTTTTGTTGCAGGCTCTTGGCATAAGAGAGGCCTGCCATGTAGGTGAAACAGCATTACCAATCGCCTCCCTAAAGCGGCGGATTCTTTGGGTTTGCCTTCTTGCAAGACAGATGTGATTTGTGACCTCAAATCCGCAACACAAATTTTTGCAAAGATACCTTTTCGATATGGGGAGGGGGGGTTTTTCCTCTCAATAGTGCGAGGGCGTGCATGTGGTGAGCGACGCGTGGGTATCCACCGTGAAGAAAGTGGACGAAGAAACGAAACGACCACTGTACGACGAGCAAGAGTTGTGCGCCGAACTCCCGCTGGACGTCCTGAATTTCTGCCGCGAGGCCCTGGACCGCTGCGGGCTGGTGTTCGGCGCCAGCCATTTGGAGTTGATCCGATGCCAGAACACGAAGCAGGTCCGTCTCATCGAGCTAAACGCGCGGCTCGCGGGCGATTTCCCGAGGGCGCAGAGTTTTTTCAAATTTCACCTCGTCCCAAACGGGCCGGCCGCGACGACTCCTAAAGGACAAAAGACCAATAGGTCAACATCGCTGGGAAAAAACTTCCTGCGACAATACGGGGTGAATCAGTTTTCACTCTTAGCACTTGCAACCGCGTGTCCGAGCGACTTCCTCGCATTCGCAAAACTCAATCAGGAGCCTCTGAAGGTACAATCATACTGATACCTCCGCATGATGTACGTTTATTTTGAGCTGCTCCTAATTGTTTACAGCGTTTGTCCACCTTGTTTCTGACTGGTGTCGTAAGCACAAGTGCTGGTGGTCGTAAGTAGCGTATGCCTAGACCACAAGTAGAACCCGAATGCGGCCTAGACCAAATAAACAAAGCAATTGTGTGTCTGTGTCCACTGCAATCCATGCAAAAATCAGGTAATCGACCCTTCCATGACGGTCCGCGCCGTGTTTCTGCTCGCGAACGTGGATGGCAAGTTTCGCGGTAAAGGTCTCGAGCGCTTGTGCAAGTTGAAGACTTTCTGCGGCCTGCGGCGCGCTTTGGGGCACCTCCCCGTGCCAGCAGCGATACACCCCCTGCGGATGATTCTGCACTGCAGCGAGCAACTAGAACTGATGAGCAATTATAGCGAGGGAAATAAAGAGAAAGAACGTGTTGAGAACAACATCAGCTGCGAACGCGAACACGAGGATGAAAAAAGCGGCCTTGACGACAACTTTCTGCAGTTTCCCGCGTTGCTTGGATCCACCAAGAAGACGATGTCGCTGCGCAGTTGTCCCGGCGTTTTGCTACTCGCGGGGGATAGAGCGCAGGTGCAGGCAGATACAGACCGCATCCGAGAAACCGAGCTCGGTGACGAGTTGTACCACGCGACTGGGTATGCATTGCAAAAGTATTGTCCTAGTATGAAACCGCATGCGCATCACAAATTTTTTCCTTAGCATGATTATGAAAAATAAAATTTCAATTTGCAATGAAGAAAATAGCAGGATTTGTAAGTATGCATGTCTGCGATTACTACGAGTGCGAAGATACTTTTGCAATGCATACTGGGGGACCACCAACACGAGTGGACTTCGCTGTTTGACGAGGCTGAAAAATTCGGGACCTGAAGATCTTTCTCCTGTGGAAGATTGAACAAGAAGGTGCACGCGAGGAGAGGAACGAGATCGAGAGGAACGCGATTTCAACTTTCAGCGATGATGGCAAGGATAAGGCCGCGGGGGGTCAATATTTTTTATACTTTTTTTTTCACTTCTATTTTGTTCTAGATAATGAATCCAATGACACGAGAAGTCAAGCACGTCGATGACGACATTAACACACAAAAATGAATCCGTTTGCATCACTTCTTGATTTAATACCTTTTTCACCGATAAATGAAATAATTGAGGAAAATAAACTTACATTCCGGCCTGCTGGTGCAGGTGCTGGTCGTAGAGCTTCGGAAATGAATGGTAGTGGTTTTAAGATTGAACAATTATGTGGGCTGCAGTTCAAGTTCTTCGTGTAGAAACGTATTAAAGTTCTTTATTTGTGAGCCTCCAGGTAAAAACAGTACGGCTAAACCTGTTGTATAATTTGTTCACCAATAAAAGACAAAGTAGGACTCTTAGTTTTTGATGAATCGAACTGGAAGATGAAGATTTTTTTTCCGGTCTGATATGCTGGTCATGGTCTCGACACCTTGTAAAATTTTTCTTCAAACAAGCGCGAGTTTGCGGATTAGTAGTCCAGCAGGGACCACTTCTTGTCTGTTGACTCTACTAGTACGACTTTCGGGCTTGTTATTACCTCGGGACAATCATGAAATGCGCTCTTCGCAAAAGCAGACCGAGTCATCTCTGGAACTTCTTCGGAGCTCCGAGCTGGACCGCTCGATGCTTCTTGATTGTAGTGCACATCCCTTTTATCAAATTGAAATTGATGAATGAAAAACAATTTTAGCAATAGTAGAAAAACTGATGCAGTAGATGTAAGATCGGGGGTAGAGCTTAAGTTCGAACGAGAACCGAAATAACTGAGCTACAAGCAATACATGTTTCACTCTGTCTGTCGGCTCCACACGAGAAGCAAACGGAAAAAATAAAATACGCACAAGTCACTTTTTGCGCTTGCCAGCCTCGCTTGCGTTAGGTGGGTGTGATTGTGTTTCTGACCGACTTTTGATCATCGTCCTCCATGTTGGATGTACACTGTGTTTTCTCGTCCCGGGCAGCCTCTGCTACATGATGAGCACACCACCTTAGTTTGAGAGAGAAAAGAAACGAAAAAGGAGAAGACACGACACCGCAGCAATGTAGTGACCAACGAGGGTAGTTTTAGCCCAATACGTGAGATGTAGTCCTTGATGTTTACTCTGGTAATTTGCACGAGCAAGAATCTGGTTGTAGTTGCACTCGCTTCATCGCCTTCGAGAAAACCCGAACGGGTAGCCAGCGACGTGGAGCTCTAGCCATATTGCAGCTTCTATCATCGCTATTAAAAGATGATGGAGGTGGACCGCGAGGCAGGCGACAGCGCGCTCGTGCAAACAGTGTTGCAGCGGCCACTGTGGTGGCTATGTTCATTTCAGCGGCTAGGACCACACTGTGGCTGTCGTTGCATTTCTTGGCGGGGGGTACAACTACCTCTACCTCGTCATCATCTGCGCTAGCAGAGGAAATGGGGCGCGGAGCACGCGGCGCCGAAATGAGCCTGGGGAGAGAAGTAGGGGGAGAGGGCGGCGGTTGGAGCGCGACTCACGTCCCTGCTGATGCAGAGGTACAGACCGAGGATGCCACGACGGATGAGCAGCCGGACGAGGATTCGGCTTCGGACCCAGCAACGGGGAGCACTACTATGCTGTACATCACCGGAGACAAAAACAATCCCAATCCGGCTGGTGCGGATGATGCGGGGACCACGAGCACAAGTGGAACAAGCACCCCGCAAAAACATGATGCAGAAGGCCAAATCGATATCGAGGACGCAGCGTCGAATCCGACCCCAGACAGCAGCACCGACACCTCCGGCATTGACCAAGCGGTGGTGAGCATGTTGAACACTAAAGCGCCGGACGATGGTGCTGCGACGTCGACAGCCAATCAACGACCCCGGATCATGACGATCCCCGCTACAAGTAGTACCGCGGAAGCGCAGATGGCCAACAAGAACTAACATGAACGAGCAAAGCGAAAGCGCCGGCGGCGCCGAGGAGTTGTCGAGCTCGGATGCTGTTGGTGCGGAGGAGGAGGAGGACGCAGCTGTGGACATCATGTCTGAACCACCAGCTGCCGCAGAACTAGATGTGGACGAGGGGATGAACGATGCCGAGCTGCGGGAGGACGCGGCGGCAGCGGCATATGCATTGCAAATACTGTGTCTGGGTCCTCTGAAAAGAATGGGACTTGTGATGCTAACTGTCAATCATAAGAACTCCAAAACCTGCATTGCATGAGCAACACCAGCCGCTCAGAATGTTAGTTTCGACCGGTTGAAGGGGGTATTTACTCACATGCAGGATTTGGATGAGGAACGACCCTTCATCGCAATAAAAGCTGTGATGCTAGAGCGTGGAGGATCACGGGCATCTTCGTGGGTCCGATTTGCATACACAACTCTCCCGATCATGTTCCAAACCAAGATCACATATTTGCATTCGATGCGGCAGAAGATGCGGCCACGATGCTTGAGAAGGGCGAGTGCGAATCGGGGTTGCTGCCAACTTCTACCTCAAGTGGCGACACCACGACCGGGGAAGTTGCCTGCTCTTGTGACTGCTCGACTTGGAACTCCAAACGGGATCAGGTGTTCAAGCAAAAAACAGAGTACAGCACCCTTCATCCACACGAACTGCAGTACCACGTGCAGCCGCTAGATTTGAAAAAGACACCTATTGACGATAAAGAAGGTCGTGGCGACGGGAAAATACACAACGCGCAGGATGCAAATGTGATGACACTACATGCTACACAATTGATGACGAGCATCAGCTTCACGGAGAGCAATCCCTTTCCGGGGAAAGTTCATTTGAAACCATTCCCAGTGCGCCAATATGACAGTGTCAATCAGAAGGATAGACTCCGCTGCCGCGGTCGTCCTCATACGACACGGAAAATGACGCTAAACGACGCGTGGAAATGCACATGTAGGCATCACATCAGGATTTCTTCTGCCGGTGCCCAAAGTAGTGCTGGAAAAAACGCGGCGCACCACTCTCTAGGACACGACGTCGCAGCTAAACCAGCTGCAACAATGGCAGAAACGTGGGCGGCAGCAATGGAAAATCACGCAAATGACCTTCTCAGGTTTGCACAAGAACATGTTGCGCGGCATCAGAAACGGGATAGTTCTTTCCATTATGACGAGAAAACATCATCGTTCGACATGGACATCTTCAGCGAGAAGGACAGTATTCCTTATTTCGTCACGTCTGCAACTACAAATAACAAAGACGTACAAATGAACCACCACAACCACTTCTTCGAAGAAATCGGCAACGAGAAAGTGACGATCCAAGCAGGCACCGGGCCGAATCATTTATTCATCGATAAACCCGGGAAGGATATTCATCAAACCTCCGCAGAGACCCATATATCCACAGAAGCAAGAACCCGCCCCCATCCATTTTTTTGCATGACAAACACTTGGCTGCGCGCATGTTTTGACTCGTCACAAATTGGATGGGGATGGGTCTTTTTTTGTCGATAGTACCCCCACGGTTCACACAAGTTTGAATTTTCTAAATTCAGTTGCACGCTCGTCATCCACGTCCAAAAGACGTTGTCCCACCATCCGCATCCGAAAACTTGTGAACTATGCGGCATGGGCAGGCACATCCACCCCAACCACAAGAAAGACCACAACCAGGACTCTGCCAGTGCAGTGCAGCAGCTGCGTGAGCATCAAGTCAATCACAGGCACATCGAGTTGCCCCTGTATTCCTCCCAGTGCTGCCTTACAGTGCCCCTGCAGGACGACGAGGGCAAAGTGACAGTTTGCATTGCAAATATGTCTGGGTCTGGAACACTGCAACTTGTCACGCTACCTCTGGATGGTGCAAAAATCTGTGTTGCATGATTACCAAATAAAGTCGAGGGTCAGTTTTTCATGCAGGAGAGGCATGATAGAGATGGAGACTCCGCCCATTGCCATTCTGTCATGCTAGGTTATGTATGTCAGAGCTGATGGCTCATGGAAAACCTCCATGACAAGTCTTCTGATCTTCCAGACCTACCCTAGTGGCGCAACCCAACCAACACATGACAAGTCTTGTAGCGCTACCCAACCAACAAACCATGTCCTGCGATCTTCCCGACTCAGACATATTTGCATTTGATAGACTGGCTACCAATGCCATTTCGCCTTCGGCGAAGAAGACTTGGCGTGCCGTTTGTCAACGCAAACAGCAAGGTCGTGCAGAGCGTCCACAAGCACACGGAACAGGACGACGAGCCTAAAGGTCATAACAAGCCGGACAAGGAGCGTCATAACGATAAAAAGCACCCGCACACAACTAGTCGTGGTAAAAGCCCTAAGGCTCGTGCGAGGGCGAGACGAGAACGAGGTCACCAATGACCTAGTCACATGACGAATGTGGAGGGCATCAATAACCGCAAAGGACGCGAGCGAAAGCCTGCAGACGCGGCCTTCTATCTCGACGGTGTAGGAGGTGGGGTCGTCGTCGTGATCTTCGTTTTTACTACCGATGTAGATCATGGAAGGAAGATCGGGAGGCTGATGCAAAGCTAAAGTTAGACAACACCGAGAATGGAGAACCAAAAAGCATGCTTTTTCACTTTGTCGGCTGCGCGACACCTGACACACGAGAACAAGCAAACAAAAATCAAGATAATACCTACGCAGGAATCACTCCTCGTTGGCCCGGTTATTTACGTGACGGACACTAGGACGTGATTGTGACGTTGGATGTTCTTCATGGTGCATGGATGTTGTCTTCCATGTGTCTACTCGAGGTCTGCGTTATCACTACGTTGTCTATATCTGGTGCTCAACCACCACGCGATAAAAGAATACTTTGTTGAGAGTCAGAGAAAAGAAACAAGAAACGAGAGGGCGCACCACCAGCAACGTAGTGGAGGGTACTAGGTTTAGCTTAAGCAAGTTTCTGGAGTTGCCCATTTTTATCTGGAGTATGTTGATCTGTGCTAGCTCAAGCAAGTTTCTGGAGTATGTTGATCTGTGCTAGCAATAAAACGACGATTGCCTGACAGACGACTTGGGCTTGCCGTCATCTCATTATAGCAGGCAAACAAGAAACGAAGTGCAAAATAAAGATGTCTTGCTCCAACAACAACAGCAAGATGGGGCTGGCGGTGCCCTTCACGGAATCCAACACGAAATCTTATGAGTTTCTTATCGTGCAGCCCAGCGGCAAGAATAAGCCGCTCCACTTAAATCTATCCAGGAAAAAGCACCCCCATCCATTTTCTGCATGGCAAGCGCAGGCCCTGCGCATGTTGTGTATGACAAAGCGGATTGGGTTGGGTCTTTTTTTGTGGATGAAGTCAGATCAAGCTCTACGACCCGAAAGGGAAAAACATCTGCTCCCTGCCTTCGACCACCGTGTGGCAGTCGTCCACCCACCGCGCGAACACCAACCGCGTATGCCTTGCAAAAGCATCGCAGTAGAATTGCTTCGATAAAATTAACCCGCATGACGTATCTGATTTCCTCAAGAAGAAAACTTGCAGTGGGACTCTTTATGCAGACTCGGGCAGAAAGCGAAAACCTGGCTTGTCGTGCATGGCTGCGATTTCAGTATGGGCACGATACTTTTGCAATGGATGCCGTTACTGTGCGAGCAATGTGCTGACCGGCGAGAAGGACGAAAACTACCCACAAAAAAAGACCCATCCCCATCCAAGTTGCCATGCAAAACATTCATAAAGTCCTGTGCTTGTCATGCAAAAATCGATCGGGGTGCTGGCGCTGGGTCTTTTTTTGTGGATAAGAGCGGGCAGCCAACCATGAACCACACTGCCCACGTAGACGGCCCGGCGTGGCTCAAAATCCGCTTTACCATTGAGAAATCCTCTCCCTTCGCCTCCTATCGGAAGCGAAAGCGTAGCTATAGTGATATCGCTGTCGGATGAATCTGCAACGCAGTATTAACGCATGCAAAAACTAAAACAACATACCTGAAAAATTGGTATAGCGAAGCATCCGCTCTAGGCAACACTTCTACTCCAGATCGTGCACCATGAGGACTGCGATCTGTAAAAAGACCGGTAGCGTTAGCTTTAGCTCACTTTTTTGGTTGATGCCTTCCCGGGGGTAATCGTCCAGTTAGACGAAGACCACCCGTATTCCCTGAAAAATAACCACCCCATCCACTTTTTGCATGACAGACACAGACTTTCTTTAAATTGCTACATGTTTTGCATGGCAAATTGGATGGGGATGGTTAATTTTCAGGGAATAGTCCGGATTTTTCGCTCTTTGGCGCGATTCCCTTCCCGGACTGCCAGATTTGGGTGCCCCGCGATATGGGGTAGTTCTCAATAAACGTTACAGTGATCTTCGCTCTCGCGTGACCACTTTGTGATGCAAGGGTAGCAACATCAAGACGAGTGAACAGGGTTAGCACAACGAGCACCAGGAGCTTGCGTGTCTTACATTACAGACTCGGCCGCAAGGATTGCAATGCTATTGAGCGCGGCGTGGAAAATAAAACTTGTCATGCGAAGCAGCCTCAAGAACCAACGTATGGAGAGTCATACGGAATTTTGCCTAGCAAGAAGTCTACTTCATGTAACGTTTCTTGACAACGCCATACAGAACCCGAGCGGAATCATCCCGCCGCCGCCCACCCGGCACCGCGAATTGGGCTACTTCCTATGAATTGCAAAAGTTAAAGTATCGTACTCGTATAAATGCATTACAAATCTCCTCAGCGTGAGAAATGAAATTTGTAATGCAGATTTGCCTTAAGACAAAGATTTGCAATGCAAGACTTGCACTCATACGAATACGATACTTTTGCACACGATACTTCCAGTGCGGGGACAACGTGTCGCAGATTTGCGAGTGGGAACATGCGTACGAAAAGCAGCAGGCGTTGCTGTTTGCCCAGCGGGAGCGACAGAGAATGTGGAAACTGAAGCAGCTCTCCAGCGTATCCAAGAAAAAAACGTTGTAGGTGTAACTTTATTCTTGGAGGATTAGCATGACAAATATCTCTCGCATGACAGCAAAAACCTGTCATGCGCAGATAGTACGGGAAAACGCCCATGAATGGACCCTACGATGCACGCCAAGCATGACAGACGCAACCATCTTGCATGTTGCGCATCATGAATTTACACTAAGGACAACGTTTTTTTCTTGGATGCAGCGAGATGACCGCGAACGCGCAGGAGGAGATCGAGACCCCGCCCCTCCGAATACGCATTGCAAAAATGTCTGGGTCTGGAAACTTGTGATGCAACTCTGTGAATAATGAGCTCACTGCAATGGGTGACCAAGCATGACAAGTTTTTGGGCTCCCGTGTGTTGCGTATTCCGCATGGCAGGCTTCGTTTTTGCATGACAGGAAAGAGCGTCTTTTCGCGCCTAAGCATCACAGAGTTAAAAGTCATGCCAGACAAGCATGACAAATCTTGCATTCTTCCAGACCCAGACATATTTGCAATGCATACCGAAAGGTGAAGATCTACAACTCCTCGCACCGCGGTATGGCGTTCTCAACTGTTACATTCTCAGCTGTTACATGGATTTGTGATGCAAGAATGGGAAAAGTGAAAGGGAGGAGATTGCGCCTGTAGCATTACAAACTCCGCACAGATTTAGGCGCTGTTTAGCCCTGGGCAAATTTGTCATGCCAAGCAGCTTGATCGAGTGGATGATGATGGTGCTTCTGCATGACAGATTCATGTAACAGTTGAGAATGTAACGTTTGAGAGTCCCATACGCGGTGGCTGGCGCTACGCGACCTGCGCCGACCGGTTGGAGGGCGCGCGGATCGAGCTGTGGGACGTGACGCCGATGATGATGGTCTCGGAGTCGGACCGCTCCTTATCCACAGGAAATAATTTCCTGTACACGTTGTACAAATGCAGTTTCTTCATGGCAAAACTTGCCCTCAATCTTAATCAGCATGACAAGTCTGACACTCAAAGTTAGCGAAGTTTGTCATGCATTTTGTACATGTGCGGGAAATTTGTGTTGCATACTCCTACCAGGAATCCCCGATTCACATGGGCGAAGACCACATGTTAGTAGAGGAGAGGACGCAGGTACTTAGTTGTATGGGCGGGATCTTCGTACTACAGCTTGAGTTTCGTGAGTTTCACGCTTCTTTTCATGATTCGTGGCGCCAGAGATTCAAAAGTATAAAAATCGTTCAACATCATTGAAAAATCATACTCCCAAAACCTCAGGACCCCCTGAAGACCTCGTTGAAGACGAAGATCAAGGTTGCGCTGCGATTGTATCCTGTGCAAAAGTATCGTACTTGGTAGAAATATCGCTATCGTGTGAAAACAATGAATTCATCTTCAGCATATACAAATGAAATTTGTGAACGCAGATGCACCCGCTTGAGAGAGAGATTTGTAAGACATTACTGCAGTCAGTACGAGTTCGATACTTTTGCAATGCATAGGTTGTGGTCGCACACCATTTCGCGGCCGGAGGACGATGCGCTGTTTGGGGAAAACTACTGCAAATCCTTTCCGTTGGTTGAGGATGGTTACGTGCTGGTTCAGGAGGAAAACGAAGTGGAGGTCACTGCGGACGAAGTAGAATTCGTAACGGCGGTCCCCCCGGCGGCGACATCCGCCGTGCTGCCCGGAATGATGTGCAGCGACAGCTACGGGTTGTACAACTACGGTGACAAAAAATTTTACATGCAGGAGCCCCAAGTAGAGCGGGACAACTACAACAACACTTGCGACAGCTTTTATTCATCCTCGTCGAACTACAACAGGAACAGCTGCAGCAACCTGTATAACAACGCTACCACGACCATGTCGCACACCTACACCACTGCGGGCTTCGACGACGACGAAGAACATGCGGACAACCACGACCACGAGAATGATGAACGAACGGAACTAAAAACTTGGGAGACCACCAAGAGCACCACCGCAATGGATTTGTTGAAGAAAGAAACGGAGAAGCTGCAGATGATCTACGAAGCCCGCTACGGTTCAGTCTGCGACAAGAACTCGACGTCGTCCCCAATGGTGACCAAAACCCGTCTGGAGCAGATGGCTATTTCTGCGGAGGACCAGATCGAGGACGAGGACGAGCACAGCAATAGCAAATTCTACTACGGTGAAGACGAGAACAATAATTGCAGCTGCAGCTCCTCTTCCTGGAAAAAGTCTTACTGGAACAATCGTGATGACGACAGCTACTACTACAACTCTTCCTCGGGGAGCATCAAACTGGAAAAGACCATGTCGACGTCTTCCACGGAAGAGGAAAAGGAGGATGCAAAGTTTTCCCTCCTGCTGACCAACTAGGATTCTGATTTATGCTGGTTCAGTGCAGGAAGTCGAAGTAGATGTAGAAGTACTTTTCTAAGATGATGGAAGGATGAAATACTCATTATCAGGTCTGGTGTAAAGAAATGCTATATCTCGCTTCAGTGAGCAAAATCTATACGCAATAACGAACTACCAACTCTGCCCTCCACGTAAAATTTTTGGAAAATGGATGATGATCATCAGTTTTGTTGTTTTTGGCATGGAAGGTCGTCGCACTAGGATGAAGAAGCTAGAACTACACAAAAAAAACATGTATTGAACAGCATGAAATAGAAATACTCCCGGGCTATTCAAGAAAATAAAGACTGCTGTGAAATCAAATGGGCTACGCTTGCACTGCCAGCACCACTACACCGCGGTCGACGGCTCTGGCTGTGCATGCATTTCGACGACGTATTATAACACTTCACAACTTCGACACAACTACCCCTACTTCTACACCGATGTTTTCGGCAATAGAAATATTATAAACCCGTATTGATCAAGTACTGTTTAATTGTGTCTGCAAATGCTAGCGTTCAAAATTTTTCACAAAGTAGAAGATGTCTTTACGTTTACAACAACGTCACATTTTGCTAGGGAGTGCCACCAGGTCCAGGGGTTAGAACCGATGACAAAGATGCGATAACGGTGGGGAAAAACCAATACGTATGCGACAACTACGTCTTCGAATAAACACAGAAGCACAAAATTGTTTCTTTTTTCAAAGCTATGGGCTGCGGCTGCAACTGCATCATGGGCTAAAAAACGTAAACCAAACGAATAATTTAAATTATTAGAGCTGCTTCTATTGCGGTAGGCTATCGACACAGGTGTGTGATCATTTACGTACTAGGCCGCTGAGTGAAAGTCTAACTTTACTCTTTTTTGATACAGATGCCTTTGTCGTGGTCGTGTCCAGACAGTGACAAGCTCTGTTGAATGTGTCTTTTCACAAGGAGGAAACGAGTCCCCTCGTCCCACGGGGATTCATGTGCGAGACATGCACGAGGACCACGAAATCAATGGAATTGGAAACTCACTCTTCAAATCTGATCTTCCTCATTTTCTTTTTCATGTGTAAAAAAGCAAAAAAAGTAAAATCGAAAAACCCGAACGAAACCACACCGAGGCCGCTGCTTCAGTTTCTGTAGCTGGCAGAGGCGAAAGTCGGAAACAGGTTGTTGAAACAGACGGGGGAGAGGCATGAGAAGCAACGCAAAGAAAAACTACGTGAAACTTGCCTTCAAAAGTGATAAGAGCCTGAACCTTCAAGAACTTCACCTTACTTGCAATCTTCAGCAGAAGACAGCAGACGATAGCATCAAGGTTTGCGACTTTCAATGTCCTTTCTTTCTTTGAGAGATGAGTGACAGTATTGCTTGTGGAGGTAGTGCGTGGTAGTATGATTGAAGGTAGCCTTACGAAGGGCTGCTGTGTTTGTGAGTGTTTGAGTTTTTGTTTCTCACCTTTTGGGCTCATAAGATAAAGCAACGCCTCAAGAGACGCCGGGAGCCGGAGCGAATTGACATTTAACGAAGTGGGTCTCTTTTGTCCGTGTCGTCGTGAGTTTCTTGTTGAGCCAGCTTGTTACCAACCTGTCTCTAGTACCTGTTGACCACACTACTTCCACCATCATGGCCGCTTCTCCCGAGGCACCCGAGGACGAGCTGCAGAGTCAGCAATTACCCGATGACCTGCGTATCGACGATGTCTCCGACGATGTTAAAATCATACAAACGGAAAACTTCAACGCTAAGGTCCACCGCGGGGAAGATGAACAGTCCTCCTCTGCGTGCTCTGATGGCCTGAAGAATCAACACGGCGGTTCGTTTTCGAACGGCGGCAGGGCTCCTAACATCGACGCTGGCGGCGCGCCGTCGATGCAACAAGGCACACAGATGATGAATTCGGCGAACCAACGAAACATTGCTCCTTCCGGGATGTCGAAGAACATTTTCAACACTCACGACAATTTTACGAGTCCGGGCGAAGGGGCCAGCACATCCACATCGACGTCGTCCTCCTCCCGTCAGAATATCCACCGCTCCTTCCCAGTGGATGATGTGGTTCCCGGGATCTTCCCGTCCCTACCGATCGCCGTCGAGGAACGCGTTTCTGCCGCGTGCTTCAGCAAGAGAGACGACCGGTGGCTCGCGGTGTTCTCGAAAACTGATGTCATCATTTACGACACCAGCATGGGCTGCGCGATGGACGGAGATGAGACGGGGGATGGAAGTTGTAATGATGGCTCATCTGGCGTCGATCAAGGAGAAAACGGCACACAAAACAAAGGTGGACCTCCTCCAAAGCGGCCGTCGGCGTTGTCTATCAAATCTGAGGAAAATTCGTCCGACAGCGAAGCCGAAGGTGGTGCAACTATAGGCAAGAAAACAAAAGTGCGGACGAGCGGCGCGAGCAAAATCCGCGGGGCGTACTTCAGCAATAAATCAGGGTCTTGTTCACCGGACAAACAGACCGCAGCTGACGAAAACGGGACTACCGCAGGAGCAGGAGTTTTGAATGCCCAAGTTTTATCGCAGCCCCCCAGTGCGACGTCCAGTGGTTCCAATCAGATCGAGCACTCGCTTTCCCTGTCCGCCGCCTCCAGTTCGTCCAGCCTGAATCTCGGCGCAGCAGGAGTCGCCGCGGCCGCTGCTGGGGGAAAAGGGGCAGGAGCTCCGGCCGCGCGACACGTGCGGCGTAACGGAGGTCCGCTCGGGGATGCGGATGAATCTGCCGTCGCGCTGCGGCCGCCACCGAAAGTCTGGCGGGTGATAAAGCGCATTCCCGTCGTGGACATCCACGCTTATGGAGCGACTGGGGGAAGATCGAGCGCTACCCGGTACTATCAAATGCAAAAATGTCTGGGTCTGGAAGATTCCGGGATATGTCATGCTAGTCCGGCATGACTCTGAGCTCTGTATTGCGTGGCCGCAAAGGGCTTCTCTTGCCTGTCATGCAAAAACGCAGTTTCTCACGCGGAGTACGCAACACTGAACCACGGAAAACCTTGTCATGCTTGGCAGTGCATTACAGTATGCGCATTTCTCCCTGACTTGCATCACAAGTTTCCAGACCCAGACATTTTTACAGTTGATAGGTACTCCACCAGCAGCGCAATGTCCGCTTCTTCGGCTATGTTTGAACAAACTGGTGCAGGAGGTGGACGAAGCGTGAGCAAGACGTCCACTACAACGCGGCAAGTAGACGAGCCACGCAATCAAACTGACCACCGGCAATCCACTGGGAACGTGTCTGCGGCGTCCAGCTCGGCAACCAGCAAAACCTCGGGGACCGACCAGCGCCGGCGGTCGCTGGAACACCGGAAGAAGATGATTTTCAACTCGCGCACTCACCGCCAAGTCGCGAAGAACGCGTTTTGCTTCCAAATCGCCTTTTCCGCCGACGACTCGCTACTCGCCGTCGGGTTGATGCAGGGGTTCGCGCAATCCTGTGCGGTTTCGTTTTACGAAACGAAAACCTGGTCGCTCGTTCACACGATGTTCAGGTGCAACGCCGTGGAGTTTTTTCCCAAGGGCGTTTGCAACTTGAAAATCAACCACTCTGCTCGCGACATCGCCGCGTCGCAGGAGGTTTATTTTGGGTTCTTCAGGAACAATAAAGACTCCTCATCTGGCACCGCTGACGGGAAGAAGTCGCTCGACTACGATTCTGACAAAGATCCAGCACCAGGAGATCATGGGCTACTTTACCACAAAGAACATCAGCTTGCGAAGACTTCCAGCACCAGGTCATCTACTCTCGGTGGAGGGAACAATAAAGCGAAAGACACAACGCATTGGATCTGTATTCAAGACCTGTCCGAGCTGCGCAACGAAGTGATCGACACGCGAACCTGGACGACGCTGCACTCCTGGTACTCCGTGACGCTGGATGCCAGTCGGCTGAAACGGAAGACCGCGCCGATTGTGATTTCCCCCTGCGCCAAGTACGTGGTCACGACCCGGGCGGTGTACGCCTTGGAGTCGCAAAAGCGGGTCCTTTCCCTAGTATCAACTGTAAAAATGTCTGGGTCTGGAAGAATGCGCGATTTGTCACGCAGATTTTCCATGACCCATGAGGTCTGGAATGCAGGAGCTAGCATGACAGATTCTGTGCGATCTCTCTCATGCCTATCCTGCATGAGAAACTCCCTCCCGACTTGGTCAAAACTGGACGACTTTTGGTAATCATGCAACACAGATTTTTACATGCTTCAGATTTAGCATGACAAGTTGCATTCTTCCAGACCCAGACATTTTTACATTTGATACCTAGAACAGGAAGACGAGTCCGGGGCGCAGATGCGGTTTTTGTACATGGACTTTTCGGGGTCGGTGGGAAAGTTGGCCGACAACGACGAGGTATGCTCTGCAAAAGTATCGTACTCATAGTAATTGCTGTTATGCATGGCAAATCTCTTTCCCAAGGCGATAAAACAGCATTGCAAATAATTTCATTTGTAATGCTAAGTCAATTTGTAATGCACTTCATACTAGTACGATGCAATGCTTTTGCATTTCATACGAGGAAAACGCGGACGATGGGGAGGAGAAAAAGCTATCAGTCTGGAAAAAACTGAAAACCGTCGTGAAGTCGACTAGCATTATCGGAAACAAGAACCGGAGAAGTGGATCATCTTCCCGAACCGCGACAAGCATATGAAATGCAAAAATGTCTGGGCCTGGAAGATTCTGAGATTTGTCATGCAGTTTTTCCAAGCTCCGCCAAGTCTGTGATGCAGGGCCTAGCATCACAGGATCTGCAGCCCCTTTGTAATGCCTGTTCTGCATGAGAAATCCCCTCTCAGCATGACCAGAAGTGAGCACCTTTTGCAAGTCACGCAACACAGATTTTTGTACGATCCGCAACATGCATCACAAGTTCGCACTTTCCCGACCCAGACATATTTGCAATGAATAATGCAGCGTGGCAAACAAGTACAGTCGGGGTCCCCGGCGGAGCAGCGGCAGTACGAGAGTAAGTGGCACTGGGCTTCAACCGCAAGACGGCAGAAGTTATCGCAAGAAAAAACTGTTTCACTGTGAACTTGTGATGCATAGAATGGAAGTGGAACACAGACCTATTTGCCTTGCTACACCTGCAAGGCATTGGATTTTTAAGCATGTTTTCCCTTGGAAAGCGCGCATGACAAATTTTCTGTGTCATGTGTAGCAAACTTGTGATGCGGACCTTGCAAAACCATCACAGTGAAACAATTTTTTCGTGGGATAGAAGTAGCGGAATAAGAAATAGTGGTGACAACAAGAAGACCTCCAGCACCTCCGGCGCAAATGCTACCGCGTCGACGGCGAAGAAGCGTGGTAAGGCACAGCTCTTCGCTGCCGTCATGCAGGTCCAGGGGGAAAACAAAATTTACGTTTACAATGCGGACGAGTGGGCGCCGATGAGTTCTGGTGGAACTCGGAACTCTTTCGCCAAGAGCTTCTGGCCAACAGGTGCAACTAGAACATCTTCCAGCGATGAAAAGAATCCAGACAAAGATGCCGCCCTCGCGGTTCGCAATCCCTTCATGCGGCTCTACGAACCGAACGTGACCTACTACAAGGTCCGCTTTGTCAACAATGACGATTGGCTCACCAGCTATGGGGAAGACACCAGCGGGGGCTTCGGCGGCAGCACGAGCAGCGGCGTTCGCATTTGGGACACGAGGACCTGGGCGTTGCTTCATCTGATTCCCGACGGCACAGCGGAGATCCACCAACCCTACTGCTGCGGCAACCGCAATCCCTGGCTGTTCATTTTGCCGAACCGGCGGAAGCAAGCGGAGGAGCGGGAGCAGCTGGGGCAAAAGTTCGGAGACACGATATCAAAATGAAAAATCCACCCCCCTCCCCATATTGAAAAGGAAATTTCTGTTGCTGGATTTGTGTACACAAATCAGCTCTGTCTTGCAGTGAGGTACTGCAGGCAAAGCCTCAGCCTGCGTAGGGGTGTTTTGGTGTAGGTGCTAAGCATAACAGAGGCCTGCCGTATAGGCGCAACAGCATTACAAACCGCCTCCATAAAGCGGCGCCCTCTTTGGATTTGCCCTCTTGCAATAGAGACAGGATTTGTGGTCCCAAATCAGCAGCACAAATTTGTTGAAGCGTGCCCTTTCTTGATGGGGAGGGGGGATTTTTCCTCACAATGCACGACCCTCCGCGTGCACCGGAGTTTCACGGCCCGGTGCTACAATTACAACGGTTGCCACGAAACGGTGCTGCAGCGCCTGGGCACCAGTAGCTCCGGCTCGGGTGCTGGACTACACGGTGCAATTTCATCAAACGCCCCACAAGGCACGTCCCAAGCGGGCGGACGGACGAGAGATTCTTTTCTCGATCTTGCCAGTCCGCAGAAGCACGCGTCGAGAGCAAGTCAGTTCGGGCTGGCGTTCGTCCCCGAAACGAACAGATATGAACTGCAAAAGCATCGTACTACTACTAGTACGAATCGCATTACAAATTTTCTCAGCATGAAAAGTTGAATTTGCCATGCTGTTTTCCCTTGGTAAGAGATTTGTCATGCATATACTGCAATAGCAATTAGTACGAGTGCGATACTTTTGCACAGCATAACAGACGGGGGTCCACGATTGGCGACCCGTTTCGCTTTATCAAATGCAAATATGTCTGGGTCTGGATGAGCGTAGATGTTTCTCATGCTGCTTTTGCATGACCCAGGAGGTCTGGCATGCAAGCCCTAGCATCACACGTCTTGAGAAGGTGTCTCAATGCCTAATCCGCATGACAAAGCCCCTCTTTTGGTGCCAAGTTTTGAGTAGCGTTTGCTATTTATGCATGACAGATCTTTCTGTTATCAGAAATTTACATTACAAGTTGCACCCTTCCAGAGCCAGACATATTTGCAATGCATACGCTTTCCAGACCGGGCGGACTCGGCGTCCTCCTTTTCAAAAGCACGGTCTGGGTCGCAGATCCAGGACGCCGACGACGACTTCATCGCCCAGTTTCGGCGCGGCGGAAGCGGAAGTGCGGCGAGACTGGAGAGTCTCGCCGATGGGGGTAACCAAAACGCGATGAGTTCCGCCACGCGCTCGACGTTCGAACTTCGGCAGAAGCTTTACGTGTCTGGAAATGTTTTTGTCAAAGCCGCGGATCCGATGCTGGTTAACCGATTTTTACTTCTCGGCCACGAATACACCATCACGATTCACGACCTGTTGCACGGGAAAGCGGTCGGGTGTTTTTCAAGAACATCTGCAGCTTCACAGAGACAAATGTTGCCGGCCAGCCCGTCAGCGTCGTCTTTTGCGCCTCCTGTAGCCGGGGCGGCTGCGGCAGGTGGAGGAGGAGCTACGACTGCTTCTCACGTCCCCGCATCGCCGTCCACGACAGGACACCAGACGGAGCAATACACATTAGTGACCTTACCAAACGACCCCGATGCGGAGATTGAGGACTTAGAGCTCGAGAGCGACAAGAGTTTCTACCTCCTCGACGCGGTTTTGATCCCCCATCAGCAAAGATTGCTGCTCTCCGCCGTCATGGGCATCCAGGAGGGTGGGCGCGCGAGTCTATCAAATGCAAAAGTCTCTGGGTCTGGAAGGTTGGAACTTGTGATGCTTGCTTTAGATGCTAAAAAAATCTGTCTTGCATGACCAGCAAGAGGGGCCCGGTTTGTGCTACAAGGGGAGGGAATTTGTCATGCGGGATAGGCATCAGGAAGCCCTCTAGAAATATGTGATGCTACATCATGCATGACAGACATCCTGAGTCATGCAAAATATGCATGACAAACCTCAGAATCTTCCAGACCCAGACACTTTTGCATTTGATAGAGTCGGGTGGGAAACGAGATCAAGGTCTTCGAAATTCCCTTCGAGGGAACCATGTTGGAGAGTCTGGCAGGGGGTGGTGACAAAGACAAGAAGATGACAAGTGTGAAAGAGAAAGAAGATGAGCAAAAAGCTGAACAAGGGGCCGATCATCTCCAAGAAAACAACCAGGATGAGGAAAAAGACTCTTCTTCTATCGACGCAGCAAGAGCCGGTGGAACTACCATTGCCAGTGGCCAGACCGTTTCTACTTCAGACCTCACCGTAATCGCAGACGCGACATTGATCCCGAAGCTGCGCTGCGTTACGAGTTTCAAGGCCTGCGAGAAGTTTTTCGCAGAGAAACAGTCAGTGAAGGGCAGGTTTTCCTTCGACGGCAGGCTTTTTTTCGCGAATTGCGTTCAACCCGACGAGGCGCACATGTATCAGCTGTTCGACCCCGATGAGATGGTCGAGAGTGGTACAACTCCAGAATCGGCGAGAAATGTCGCAAGACCGTTGTCCTCGCCACGATCGTCAACTGTTGGGAATAAAACGCCGAGAAATGACGATGTCAAAACATCACGCGCCTCGTCCAAATCGAAGGAAGAGCAGCTCGACGAAAAACTGACGAGCTTCGAAGAAAGATGGGAGAAAATATGCTGTGCAAAAGTATCGTACTCGTAGTCGTACTAATTGCTAATATGCATGACAAATCTTTTTCTGTTGGTAAATCCGCATTACATTTATTTCTTCTTGCCAAAGCGAAAACTTGTAATGCATTTATACGAGTACGATATCATACTTTTGCATTTTATAGAAAACGCCGACCAACGACATTCTAGCTGAGGACCCCTTTGCGCCGGCGCGCTCGGAGATGACTGGTGAGGAAGAGGATAACGTTAACGAAATGGAAGAGGAGGAAGATGATATCGACGTCGACATTATTCTATTCACTGCAAAAGCATCGTACTAGTATAAATCGCATGACAAATTCCCTCAGCATGAAAAATGGAATTTGTAATGCAGGTTTCGGTTAAGAGGGAGATTTGTAATGCATGATTGCGATTACTACGAGTACGATACTTTTGCACAGGATATATTCCGGAAGAGTCCTGGGAGTGTCTGATCATTTTCGATCGGACTTACACGTCGGGACAACCTCTCTTTATCAAAATGAAAAATGCCCCCACCCCCGAACTTCGGAGCATTTGCATTGCAAACCTTTCCAAATGAAACACTCGCCCTCTTGTATCTATCAGCATCACAGATCTCCAATCGTCAATAAAGCAAAAATTTGCATTGCAAAAGACCCCAACAAGAGTGGCGCTTGTCATGCAAGCGATGCGATACGCACCTAGACTCTGCATCAGAAAGATTCATACTGCTGCGTGCATGACAAAAAGTTTTCATTTGGAAGCTTCGCAGCAAAAGTTTTTGCGACTTTGGCGGTGGGGACATTTTTCACTGTAATACTCTTCTCGCCGGATTCCAACTGGTTTGCGTACAATGGCGAGCTCTACAGCACCGCAGACTGGACGTGTGTCTCCGATGAATGGTCGGAAGCGGAGATTCGTTGCGACCGCGATACCATGACGGGGCGGTATTTGTCCAACGATCTCTTCATCGCCGATAGCTCCGAGCCGGACGAGCGCGGGCTGGTGCAGGTGTACCGTCTGCGCAGCATGATGGGCGCCGCAGTGAACGGGATGAACATCAGCCCCAGTCCGAGACTGATCGGCAATAATCTTCACCCTGGTGCCAGTACCAGTGCGAAAGACTTGAACCCGCCAGGAGGACCAGGAGTGATGATGCAGCTACCGGCGGGTGCCAGTAGTGGTCGGATTAGCAGCTCCTTACTGAAAACCGCGGACACGGCACTGAAGACTGCGAAGAACGTATGCAAGAAAAAAACTATGTAGGTGTAACTCTGTAATGCGGAAAGTGCAAAACTGTTGACACTTGTCATGCTGCATGTGCGTCTTACGTTTTTCCACGTACTAGCTGCGCATGGCAGGTTTTCCCTGTAATGCAAAGCGAATTTGTGATGCTGCTCTTCTTACAAAGTTACACTTACGCAGTTTTCTTCCTGGATAGAACGCCGCCTCACTGTGGACCAATTACGCGGGCGGACCAGGGCCCGGGCCTGGATCGGCAGGGCGTACAACTGGTTCCTCGGGCAAAACAAGCCAGGAGAAAGCAGAAGGTCGTGGTGGCCAACAACCTCCAGCTGTCACCTCGCTATCTTCGGGAGTGGGTACTACAACTAGTACTGTCGCTGAAAATAAAGTTGCGTCCGAAAGCAGTGCGGGGGCGCACCTTGTAATATCTAACTCGGAGCAAGGTCCTCCTAACAGTAGTACCGCCACGCCCTCGTCACCGTCAAAAATCGTCTTCTCGCCGACGAAACAGGCCGCCAACGCGTTTTTTGGTGTGGTCGACGCGGCTGTTAACGGCCCGGAAGCCGCGAGCGGATCGTACTTGGGTTTCCGCGCGGGTTTGCGGCACATATCAAAAGGAAAAATCCCCCCTCCCCATATCGAAACGGTATGATTCCGAAAATATGTGTTTCTGATTTGAGACCACAAATGACCTCTGTCTTGCAAGAAAGCAAGGCTACAGGCTCCGCCCCATTATGCAGGCGGTTTGTAATGCTGTTGGGCCTACAGCATAGACGCTCCTCATGCTACAGCGCCTAGGCCAAAACCTCGCGACTCTGGCATGATATGGGCCTGCAGTCCTCTACTGCAAGACAGAGCTGATTTGTGGTCACGGATCGATCAGCGTCAGAAATTTCTTTTCGATATGGGGAGGGGGGATTTTGCCTTATGATAGCACAACGAGCAGAAGCAGTGGGTGTTCGACCGGAAAATCGGGGAGAAAAACGCCAAACGCCACATTATAACCTGCTCAGGTGTTACAATCTCAAACGTTACAATAGAGTCTGGAATTTGTATTGCAAGAAGTGCATTATCTAGCCAACTCTCATAGGATTGCGCATGACAAGTTCTGGAGTCCAAACCCGGACTACAATCTGGCGAAATTTGTATTGCAGAAAGTGGAGTGCTCTCCGAATCTGTCATGCTCCTCATGCAATACAGAACCCAGATTCTATTGTAACGTTTGAGGTTGTAACGTTTGAGCAGGTCATACACATTTTTGCCCACTTCGACGAGGTGGTTAGTGTAGAAGGCCGGTGGATGGCGGTCTGTGATCCGGGCTATGAAAGCCTCAGGTTGGAAATCCTCAATTTGAAAATAATTTGTAATGCAAAAAAACGACTCCAGTTGCAGCACCATTTCTAGTCGGCGCATGACAAATTTCCCGGGCACTCAAAGCGTGTCTGTCATGGTAGTTAGGCAAAGGCGTGCCCTTCTCTCGTGCTAATCAGCAGCCCAATTCTGAACCCGTAGAAGCACAATAGTCGGCCTCCATTGCGTTCTCTGCAATTACACAGTCTTTTTGGTGTCGCATTTCATGCATCACAAATTCTTTCCGCTTTGAGAATTTCCATTCTGAGGCTTTCATACTGGCATGATGACCGCGTTCTACGACTTGGATAGCAGCTTGGAACTATCTATGCATTGCAAATATGTCTGGGTCTGGAAGAATGCAAATTTGTGATGCGCATTTCATAACACGGAAAAATCTTTTATGCATAGGCAGCAAAAGCTGCCCGCTTTTTATCAACAAAATGGGGCATTTGTCATGCGGATTCGGCATTGCGGAAGCTTCTCGAAACCTGTCATGCTAGAGCTTCCATGCCAGACCCTCTGCGTCATGCAAAAGCAGCAGGACTCTTCCAGACCCAGACATATTTGCATTCGATACTATCCTACGCGGTCGGCAGCAAAAAGTCGCGCGGGATTTTTGGGTCCGTGCTCACGCCGCAGACAAGGAGCGGCAACAGCCCCGGATCTAGTACAAGTTTGGCCTCCACAACCACGACAAAGACCTATTTTTTCAGCGACGGGAACGGGAATCTGTACCGGGACATCAACCTTCCCTTTCTACTATCCTGTGCAAAAGTATCGCACTCGTATTGCAATCCTGCATTGCAAATCTTTTGTTCCCTAAGGTAAATCAGCATTGCAAATTTTATTTCTCATGCTGAGGGAATTTGTCATGCATTTATACGAGTGCGATACTTTTGCACAGGTGGATATCTCCACTCCGTGGGGACCCCCAGCCAAGCGATGCGGTGTCTTGCCTCGCTCGACGACGCGGAACTAAACAAACAGCTGAAGGCGAAAAACATCAAGGAAAAGAAGCGCGCGCTGCTGTCGCGCTGGGTCACGGTGTTTCCGGGGTTTCTGAACCAAGTCGACCGCCACAGTGGGAAATCGCTTTTGTACCTTGCCTATGCTTTGCAAAAACTGTATCGTACTAGTGGTATAAATCGCATGACAAATAATCATCTCGCCGCGAGCAGAACCAGAAGTGAAGTTTGTCCTGCGGGAAAAGGCAAAGACGGAAACGGATACCTGTCCTGCATGAATGCAATTACTTAGTAATTGTGCGATGCTTTTGCAAAGCATATCGTCATCGAGAACGGAGACAAGCAAACTGCGACCTGCATCTTCGATGTCGTAGCCGCGTTGGACGTGAAGCTTTGCCTCCACGCTTTGCACGACTTGAAATTGCTGAAGGTAAGCGCCGGGAGCTTCATCGATGTTTCGAACATGGAAGAAGATCCGGAAGAGGCTGGCACCGGGAAAAGAAGCACAGTAGAAAATAGGAAAGAAAGCGGGTTTGCTGGTTCTACCCAAGCTGACATAACAGCCGTCGGCCACAATCGTTCTTCTCTGTCCTCGCTTTCGACCCTCAGCGAAGAAGATCTAGCGGGTCGCAATGACAGCAGCACAGGTGGACCACACAACTTTTCCAGCAGGACCAGCATCTTCGCAAAACTGAAAAGTGTTCTGAGCAAACACCCCACGGGAGGACCTGGAAGCAAAAGCAATAAGGTTTTCTCGACCGAGATCGAGATCGTCGACGGTTGTAACAGGTTCGGCTCCGGCCCGCCACCGCTCCCGGGCAGACAGCACGGCCAGCAATCCGCCGACAGCCGGACCGGCGTCAGCGACTTTGGCAACAGCAAGCCCGGCGGGATCATGGGAACCACCTCCTTCTACGGCACCAGTCGGCCGGGCTTTGCGTCTTTCGCGACGTCAGACGACGACTACTCACCGACGGCGCATGGCGGTGCAGTTGTCACCGGAGGTCCGGGCAATCCTCTTGGCGGCCGCGGGAGCATGATGTTTGGGGTGGGCCGCGCGACCCTCAGTTTCGCCGGCTCGACGAGTAAAGCGGCCATGCAGACGCTGATCAGCAAAGCCGCGCACCAGCCGAAACATTTGTCGCACCTGCTGAGAAAGACGAAAAAAGGGTCTCTGACGTTACTACGGAAGCAGTTGGGACTGGAAGATCGAGAAATCCTCCACATCGAGGAAGAAAGCGAACTTTCCCTCGCAATCCGATTGCACGAACGAGATCTCACCGAGCTGTTCATCCAGCGAATCCTTGATCAGGGCTTCACGCAAAGCTCTTTGGCTCTAGTCTGGCGGTCGCTCCCCGCGTTGCTACGCTGGGTGCCGGTGGAGGCGGAAAAGTTACTCGAAGCTTTCGTGGTGGACCCTCCGTTTCTCGTCCCCGAATTGAAGGCCTACGTGGATCCCGCCTCGCGGTTGATCAGCAAAGGCACGGCGTTCTACGGCTACCAGCGGAACGTGTGGGGTGACTACCTGGAGAAGCAGCAGTCGCAGAAAAGCCTCGACGCGGCCTTGGAGCCGATGGAAGCGAAGGTGGTGGCGATCCCGGAAATGGTGTCGGGAAGCGGGGACGGCCAGGGCTTGTTGACGCTCCTGATGGAGCACAACGTGCCCAGCAGCTTCTACGCGTCGACCCCGGCCCGGATTTTGATCAACTACAAGTGGGAATCGTATGCGCGGGACGAGCTGAAGATGTACTTTGTCACCTACGTCATTTTCCTCGCTTCCTACACCGTGTTCGCGATCCAGCTGCGGGAAAAAGTGGAACCATTTCGGTTTGAAATTCTCGATCTCGAGCACTACGTGACCTGCATCGGGACCGCGGTCTTCTACTTCTGCTGCATGAGCTACCGGTACTACGGCGCGTTTGTGGACTTCTTGTGCCATTTTTTCTCTCTCGGGTCTTTGTTCTCTTGCTGCGGTTGCGGGAAGAGTGGAAGTGGTACAGACTCTGACGATACGGACGACGACATCGACGCTTCAAATCCGTCTTCGCCTTTATGCAATACAAATAAAGCATCGTACTAGTATACATTGCTATTTTTGCATAAACAAATTGCATCCTCAGCATGAGAAATGGAATTTCTAATGCGGATTTAGCTTAAGTTTAAGAAGAGGAAATTTGTAATGCATGAATGTTGCGATTAATTTTAATACTACGAGTGCCATACTTTTGCACTCCATATCCCTACGCGATGAACAATGTCGTGAACAACAGAAGGAGAAGATCCTCCAGGTCAAGAACGCACACCGCTTTATCCACCTTCGCGAAAGCAGTTACTTTCCCCGTCACTGCGGTTTACAGCACGCTGAAAATCACGTTCAAATCGCTGAAAAAATTCCTGGACGAGGACGGCGACGGGAGCGTCACGAGCGACGAGGGGATTCTCGCCCAGCTGTACGCCAACGCCGGGCTCTGGGTCCCGTTGGCGATTTGGGGGACGGCGTGTGTGGTGTTGCCGATTTTTCAACGGGGGGACCTTTTGAACACCGTCGTCATCACGGTCATGATGGGCTACACGCTGCGCTCGTTTTTGGACGAGGTCAAGGAGAAAAGCGAGAAGACGATCGGGGCGTACTGCACGTCGGTGTGGAACATGTTGGACGTAGTGTTGATAGTGTTGAACGTGTTAACGTTTGTCGCCTACATCGAACCAGGTCTCATGGACGATGGATACCTGATCCGCGGCGTGACGATATCCATCCTCATGGCGTGGATCAAAATATTGTATTTTTATTCGATTGATGCTTGTTTTTCGCGAGAGTGTATGTGTTTGTGTATATTGAAACTTTCATTCATATTTCCTTATTCATTGTTTTGCAGCCTTCATGCCTCTTATTGTGGTCATTGTTCTGCTGTAGCCCTCATGCGTTGACGCCAATTTCACCCACAATCACAGCTACTTCTGCCAACCTTTTCGCAACGTCGGTTCCTTCATCCGCATGCTGATCGAGATTTTCGTGGACATCCGGTACTTTCTCATCGTGGTGAGCATCGCCCTGCTCGGTTTCGGTACGGCGTTTTTTGTCCTCTACAAGGACGACTGGCTGTACGCCATCGACAACAGCGCGGCCCTGCGCACGCATTTAACGCACCCGGGGAAAACGGTGCTGACGGGCGACTCCCGGAGGACCATGATGCGGCAGTGGGACCCGCACGAAGACCACCCACCGCCTATCAAGAAAAAAAGTTTCCCCTCCCCATATCAAAACGAAACTTCTGATGCTGGATTTCCGTACACAAATCCGCGCTGTCTTGCCATACGGCATCGCAGCCAGATCTTCAGCTTAGTGAGCAGGGCCGTGTGGGTCTAGATGTTTAGCATTACAAACGGCTTTCCCCTAGGCCCAACAGCATGCCAAATCGCTTCCATAATGCTATGCGGAAGCCTCTGCGTTTGTCTTCTTGCAACACAGACGCGATTTGCGACCTCAAAGCAGCAACACAACATACCTTTTGGATATTGGGAGGGGGGATTTTTCCACTCAATACCGCCCTACCCGAACATGTTTGAAACGCTGCTCGTATGCATTGCAAAAATGTCTGGGTCTGGAAACTTGTAATGCTGAATAACCATGATGGTTTGTGCCTCTGCCTTTAAGTGCAGTGCAGCATGACAAATTTTTCAAACGCTATGTCATGCGCAGGACGCATTACAAACTGCGTTGTTGCATGACGAAAGTGTGCTGCTTTCTTTGCTGCTTATGCAATACAGGTTTTTCAGGATTGCGAAACACGCAATACAGGTTCAACCTTTCCAGACCCAGACATATTTGCATTTGATAGCTCGGGGTTTACGTGTTGATGCTCGGGGATTGGGACGTGAATTTGTTCACCTTGAGCGAGCATCCGCGGCTCGCGACGGTGCTGTTCTGCCTCTTTACGTTCGTGATGGTGATCGTGCTGTTCAACTTGTTAATCGCGATCATGTCCGATACGTTTGAACGAGTCAGGGAGAATGAAGGTATACATAGATACAGTTGTACGGAGTTTGTTTAGTTGTTGCGATAGGATACCATCGGGAGTAACGTTATTCTGCATGAGAATGCGAGGTAGAATCACGAGTAGCCAGGATACCATGCGGAGTAAAGTTACGCAGCATGTTTTGACGGAAGCAAAAAGGTACTGTCTCTACTTGTTCGACTACGGAGCGATCATCGTACCGTGCGGCATAACGTTACTACGCACGGAAATACGACGTACGCAAATCTAGTACTTTGTAGTGCAAAGTTTTCCTGCGTCTGCTTGCAACTCGTTTTACTTCCTGCGTATTCAACAACGAAGATTTCTCCAAAAAACAGAACACACTTTCCTCCGTACCCGCGCCGACATGATTTGCGATTTGCAGAAACTGACCTTCCGGCAAATCGAATACGAGCCCTGGGTCCACGCTTTACTCCCAGTGGAAGAGCAGTCGCAGCAGAGTCACTGGAAGGGCAAATTGGGCGAGATCAAAAATCTGATCACCAATCTGAAGCACGATTTCGCAAAAGAGCTGGAAACCCATATGAAGGAGTTGGAGGAAAGTATGCGGGCCGAGTTTCAGTTGTCCCAGCAAAAACCGAAAAACCTACAGCGAGGCGGATCGGGGGCTTTGGGGAAGTAGAAAGCTTGGCCGGTTGTAGTCGCTACCGGTACCGGTTCTGCTCAGGAAAATGATTTTTTCAGGCACGTGCTTCAATTCAATTTCGATTCATATTCAAAATGATTTGCTCCAAAGGACCTCCAGCCAGTCCGTAGAAATAATTTGATAGTTTTTTACGTTTTTTTGTACGATTATACCTACTCCTACTACAGTAGGGAAGTTGTTTCCTGTCACTTTCTTTGTGTTTCGTGTTTCTCGATTTTCGGCAGTTCCGGATCCGGCGTTTGATATTTCATTCATTGTGCAACTGAGTGAGGACATATTCTGTTTCTGAGCACAACGGCGGGTAAGTATGACAAGAGGGAAGAAGTACCTCTATCCGTAGAACAAGCGGATTTCGACAACAGAAGTGCAAATTTTTGATGTTGGACAACGACATGCTCAAGGCGAGGGCACGCTTCGAAGTAAGCACTTACTCTTGTTCCGCCCCGTCCAACATGCCAAATGGCAGGGTGTGCCGCTTATTTCACGGGTACGGTTAAGGAATGATTGAGGAGCGATCTGTTGATGAGTTAACAACAAGTAGAAATTGAAACTGCGACTATTTACGACCTTCCGCGAGTGAGTCCAAGTTGGGAAACGTAAAATGAGCAGAGACAGAGGCCGGATTGAGTGACAGGCGGCCTTCTGCAGGTGATTGTTCCCTTTTCTGCATTCGAAGCGAAACGCAAACTTGAATTTTCAAAGATAAAAGCAGTCGCGGACGCGTTGCGTCTTCCACTATTCTTGTGCATCTTTCGCGGATAAAAATGGTTGCGCGAGTATGGCGACGAAATGAAGGCGATGCCTCGACGAGACATTCCGATGCGACGCCTTCGGCACTGTGTAGCTGGCTGGAATGAGTGCGGGAGCTACCCCAAATGTGCATAAGCAGCGACGCTGTTGCGTTTTCTCCGGGCTAATTGCCTGTGGCGTTAGCTGTGGCCGTTCGGGCTTTCGTCAATCATGCGGCGCGGCCCCCCGTCAGTTTATACAGAGACGAAGGCAGGCTCTATGCGATGGGCCTCTATTTTTTGACGCAGCGGCGGGAAAAAGTGGGGGGCCGTGGCGGTGCTGGAGTTCCGTGCCGCGCGACGTGGCGCGCACTGCATTCACATTCCAGTGGCAAACCGGCGGGGTGTTCTCATTTCCCGATAGGACGCGCGGGAGGACCATGCTGGGACGAAAGGACGGCGTGGCGCGCGGAAGCCGACCCGCCGCGGCGAAGTTGTACAATTTTGGAGCCTTCCAGCGCGCCACAATCTTTTCGCGCCCGCCACCCAGGGCGTGGGGCCCGGCCCGAGAGTGATTTCTACGCGGAAGCCGTGGCGCCGCTGCTCCTCTACAACGAACGACGCCAAGGCCGTCGCTTTGGCCCGACGCAAGGCAAAGGATTGCCAACGGAGCGCCGCAGCTGGGTGGCTTCGTCGCGGTTTGGTGGGCGCCCGGTTTCCGCCCACCCGGGGCAGGCGCCGTGGCCCGGCGCGCCCTTGCGAGGAAGCATGCCCCGCATGCGCGCCCCCGCCGCCGCGTGCTTATCAGCCTGCCAGGCGCCTGCGTCGCGCGCTGGCACCCAAGCGCCCGCTGGCGCGGCCTGATTACATATCGGGGCGGAGGGGCCCGCCCCCCCCTCCTGCTCGTTTGAGGGCCGGGAAAAAAGGTATTAACGGCCAGGCGCCGCCGCCCGGCCGGGCGACCCACCGAGCGACATGCGGCCCGGCCCGCCCGATGTCTCTTGGTGGGTGTTGGGCGCGAGATCTCTGTGTTGTTGCCCCCCATATGGCCCACCTGTGTGTCCGTCTCTGTCCGCTGCAGCGAATCATCTGCCGCTCACTAGACCATCTGGCGGGCGCCCAAGCAACGAACAGTCAAAACTCTAGCGAAAGCAGCGCCAGTCAGCGCGCAAGCAGCTGGCGACTTCGGGGTCTTTGCTCTGTGTGTACATTTCCGGAAAAAATGAGGACAAGTATCTAATGAGCAGTGAGCGGACGGAGTCAGATTCTTGTATCTAGTGTCACATGTTCCGTTGTGGAGAGTGTGTGGAGTTGGGACGACAGTTGTGAAAGTCAAAGTCTTTTTTCTGTTGAGGAGGGGATGCCAAAAGTAAATCTAAAAGCGCAATGAAGAATATACCGAGGATGATGATGCATCATGGTAGCCGCGCGTTTGATATTCAAGAAAATTTGTGTACAAACCCAAATCCTATCGGTAATTTATTGCCCGGAAACTACGGGGGAGGGAGCGAGTACTAGAAGCATACTCTTGCTTCAACTTCGGGGACAAATTTCCACTCAAAGATTGGTGCGTAGATACGGATAGCGTGTCCGTCGACACTTCAGTAACCAGAGTGTGACATTATATACATACGGCGTAATATCGACGCACGCCCGACAAGATGACAAGTGCCCCTGCAGCCGCACCGGCTCCTGCGCAACATAATCAAGCGCAGCTGGACCCCAAGATGCTGAAGCGCGACGACAGCAGCTACCAGCTCGACCACAAGTGCGTCGACGGTGGCCCTTCCGCCATGCGCCACATTCCGACGCAGACGACGTTGGCGCCCAGTTGCTCGGCCGGCACGTTGTACCGCGGATCCACCATGGGCAGCAGCAACTCCTTGTGGAGTGAGCACGTGGGACCGGCGTCCGGCTTGCAGCGCCGCGAGGAGTCGTCCTCCTCCCTTGTGATCGAAAATGGGGTTACCTTCTTCCGCGGCCGCGAGACGCTGAACTCCACGCCGTCACTGCTCTCCCCGCGCAACGATTCGTCCATCGACGAGCCCGATAACTTGCCCCAACTTTCGACGTCCAAAACGCTCTCCAAGTCCAGCACCACCGCAGCCACCAGCTCCGCGGACGAAAAGTCGTCTCCCTCTCTCCGATATGAATTGCACATGTATCGTACCACCGTACTAGTAGTCATTGCAATACAAAGTATTTCGGCATGACAGACGGAATTCATCATGCTGATTTAACTTGGAAAAAAGATTTGCCTTGCGTGACTGCGATTACGATACTTCTGCAATGCATATCCGACTGCAGCTCGGGGAAGCATCTTCCGCCACGACTGACGGCGTTCTAGCCGGCCTGCCGCTCGAGCGCGACCCGGCTCCGGAGAATAGTGTGACGAAAGCGGCGCTGAATATCGGGTTTCCGATTTTACTGCTCTACCGGCTCGCGTTTCTCTACATCGCGAAGGACGCCGAGGCCATTGAGAGTACCTCCATTTTCCTGTCGGCCCAGGGCTTCGGGGACGTATCGTCGGTCTTCACGATCGAATTGGTAGCGAACTTACTGACGGTGGAAGTGTTCGCCGTCACCGCGCTGGCAGCTTTCTTTCTGCACTGGAAGGACTGCGGTCACTTTCTCAGCGTCTGGTATACTCACTTAGCAGGATAGGGAGGCCGTCTAGTGGTGTTAGGCTCATCGAAGATCATTTGCAATTGCGACGACAGATTTTCATTTTCAAATTCCTACTTACATACCCTCGGCCTTGTTGAAGATGAAGTAAGTAGTTCCGAAAAGAAACATGAATAAAATATCTTCCATCACACGACGGCACATCATATACAGGGTCTTCCTCGTCTATACCCACATCTGCGGCATTCGGTTCTTTATGTACGAGCATCCGTTGACCCGGTTCCTACCCCTGCTCCTCTATCGCCAGAAAAAACTGTTTCACTGTTGTAAACTTGTAATGCAGAAAATGTATCTCAATCTCACAAGTGTTTGTCTTGCTACACATGCAAGACAGTGGATTTATTTTAGCTGTATTTTGGTTTTCCCTTCGGAACCTTGCATGGCAAATTTTCTCTGTCATGTAGAGCTACAGCTAACGTGTGATGCAATAAAACCTGTAAAATCCTTACAGTGAAACACTTTTTTCCTGCGATATCCTCGGCACCTGCTGCATTCCGTATCTGACCCAGTGGGTCCAGATCCACAGCCTGAACACGCACGCCACGGAAGTGCGGGTCCCGCCGTTCCCCATGAAAAAACACGACTACGTCAACGATTCGAAGCAAACCTTCCAGACGCCAGCCTATTTGGGGAACTTCCTGGTACGATTTTACGCCAGGACCCCGAAGTTTGAGTTTTCATTCTGATGTTGTGCTATAACTTCTTTCATCATGACATGACTTTGTATGCTCTAGCTCACTTCTACGTGTACTTGTTGTGTACGACTACAAACCCCTACTTCTACTCCAGGCTTCCCGCATCACGAACGACAACGCGCGTTGGGCTGTGACGCTGTTTCTGTACGCGTTCCCGACCATCGGGGCCTTCATCGGTATCTACCGCGGCTACATCTTCGCAACCACCGCGGTGGTCCGGCCGACCACCCCGAGTGACCAGGACACCGTCGTTATTCTTGTCTCCATCACCATCGCCATGAGCGCATTTGCGGCAATCTGCGACATGATTGCATACGGGATCGCGATTTTCTCGCTGTTTATGCAATGCAAAAGCATCGTACTAGTAGAAATCGCATGACAAATTATCTCAGCATGAGAAACGAAATTTGTAATGCGGATTTAGGTGAAGAAGGAGATTTGTAACGCATAAATGCAATTACTACGAGTACGATACTTTTACACAGGATGCTGCTCCGCCTCGGACAAAACGTGAAGAACTCGAAAGAAGTCTACACCACTGGGCCCTACGAGCCCCCGCGGTTGGACAACGACACCATTGACAAACTGATCGCAAAGGCGAAGTACTTATGCATTGCAAAAGTATCGTACTCGTATAAATGAAAATGCATTGCAAATAATTTCCTTAGCATGAGAAATCAAATTTGTAGTGCGGATCTGCCTGAAGAAAAAGATTTGTAATTGTGCATGACTGCAATAGCAATCACTACGAGTGCGATACTTTTGCAGTTCATAGGGCGTGAAGATGTACGGAAACAAAACCCCCGGAGGGTCGCAATTCCTCATCGGCAAGAACGCCATGCGGAAAACGATTGACTCGATTGTCACCCCGGTCGCAGCGAATATGGACGTCGAAAGTTTATGCACTGCAAAAGTATCGTACTGGTATAAATTGCATTACAAATTTTCCCGAGAACAAAAATGCAATTTGTCATGCTATTTCAGGTAGAAAAATGGATTTGTCATGCATATCTGCACTTGGCACGAGTGCGATACTTTTGCACAGGATAGAGTTGCGCGGATGGCGATAGTTACCACGCGATGATCGATGTCGATGAAGACGTCTTCAGGGAGATGACGGTGGTGTTGCCCGCTTACATGCCCAACGAGGAGGATATTATCCTCGATGTATGACAGTGCACAACTCCTCCTCCACCACCCCCTCATTTGTATAGCATGAACGGCAATACAAGCATCAGCAAGAATGCTGGGGTTGCATGACAAATTTGCACAGGAGTGTAGTTCTATTTTGGGTACCAGAACTTGTCATGCAAACAGTGCCATAAGGCAGCGAATGGATTCGGGACTTTGCATGACAAATGACGGCACCCCTCGGACCCCCTTTGTGCTCAGTGCACCCCTCGGACCCCGCAGCCCCAGGGCTTTAGTCGCGCAGTCTGTTAAGCATGACAAATGACGGGGACGAGGGGGAGTTGTGCACTGTCATACGATGTGCTGGAGTACTACAAGCGAGAGGAACCCAAGTACCCGGGTGGGTACAAGGTACTTCTATCTTCTACAACCCAGCACGACTTCTCCGACTATTTTCAATTAAAGCTTTACTCATAGAAGATAGAACCATGTTGAGAGGGAGAACGAACAGGATGTCTACGAATCTTACTTGAGTTGTAGCATCGAGAAGTACAACTGGTGCTGCAATTTTTTAGGACTGGGTAACTAGACTGAGGTGCCGCCCATGCTGTTTGGTCTGATGGATGTTTACGCGCGCAAGCGGTCTCGACGAATTGGTTGGACATACTGCGTGGCTCAGCCGCACTCGTTGTCGTGTCGGTTTCGACCCTCACGCGGCGACAGCTGCCTGTCTGGCAACCTGTCACCGCCTCTTCGTGGCCTTCGCCACCGGTCGTTTGTGCTCGACCCTGCTTCCTTTCGCTGTGCGACTGGGGGTGGGTCTCGAGTACAAAACGACCGTCCCACCTCGGGGGAGAGGTCAACTTCTCTTGTCCTGGATGACAAAGTTACCACCTCTTGGTACACCATCGGTTCATCTGCGATGAACCTGTGCCCGTCGGCACTGTGGCTGCGTCTTCGCGCCACGCTGCACCTCACGCAGCGCTGCACCTCACGCAGCGCTGCACCTCACGCAGCACCGTCGCATTGTTGCGACCATGTGTCCCTCACGACACGCGTCTGTGGTGCGCGAGCACCCCTTCGCACCCAGTGCTGCCTCTGCAGCACGCGTTCTTACGTTGCCTGCTCCCCCAAGGGGGACCGAGCAACGTGCGGTTGGACACCGCCAGGCGTGTGTGTTATGCTCCACCGGTGCGCAGGCTAGAAGACCTGCGCACGCGTCGGTGTCGGCACTCACACCTCATGCCTAGGGGGCGCAGCTCTGGCAGCTGCCGCGCCCTCGTCGCCTCGCACCTCCCCGTCTGGTCCAGATCGGGTTGTGTGAGTGCATAGGCCCGTGCGTCGTGCGACCTCGTAGGTGAGGGTCGGGCGCTACGGGCCTCCCGCCCGCACATCCACGTGCGGCGCGGGTGGCGTCGTGGATCCAGCGCACCGCTCGTGCGCCTGCGATCCTGACGTTCTCCCGGGGGGTGCGCGTAGCGCTCCCCGTCCATCTCTCGTGCCACTCATGGCACTGGCGTGTTCTGCCACTACGATGTGGTGCGACACGCCGTCCTTCTCCTCTTGCACTGCACGGTCGGGTCGCGGCTGCAACGCCTTGTTGCACCCGCGCGACCCGCCCGTCCTGCCCTGCGTGACCCGCGCGTCACGCAGGCGTGCACACGTGGTTGCACAGGCGTGTGCACACGTTCCCGACCCTGTAACGCGCGCACGCCAGCGTGCATGCGCGCGTTCGCCGGCACACATGCGCACGGTTGTGCACATGTACGTGCCAGCACGCACGCTGCGATACAACGGCGGTTTTTATCCGCCGGCGCCAGTAGCATCGAGAAGTACAACTGGTGCTGCAATTTTTTACCGATGCAAGAACTTAGTGGAAGTTTACTGAAGAAGATGATCATGTTGACCTGGAACAACATCATGCTCTTCAACACGCAAAAATACAAATCCATTTAGGTCCTCCTGGTCTGGAATAGTCCGAAGCAGGGTGATATGCAAGAATGCAAATGTATCGTACTAGTATGAACAATTGCGTGGCAAATTTTCCCACACGAAATAAATGAAATTTGTCATGCAGATTCTGATTCAGGTAAGCGTAAGAAAGCAGATCAATCTGTAATGCTAGACTCGCATTTATTGATATACGAGTGCGATGCTTTTGCAATGCATAGGTGACGCGCACAAGGAGATCACCGAGAAACTCGCCGAATTCGATATGACCTGCTCAAACGTTACAACCTCAAGCGTTACAATAGAAGAATTCGGGTTTTGTATTGCATGATGAGCATGACAGACTCGGACAGCATTCCACTTTCTGCAATACAAATTTCGCCAGATTGTAGTGCGGATTGCGACTCCAGAACTTGTCATGCGCAATCCTACGAGAGTTGGCTAGGTAATGCACTTCTGGCAACACAAATTCCAGACTTTATTGCAACGTTTGAGATTGCAACACCTGAGCAGGTTATATTCGAAAAGCAGTGGCCGAAGTTCAAGGCCCTGCGCATCATGGAGTCCACCTGCAAGGCAGATAACCTGAACGTCGCCATCCGCATGCTCGTATGCATGACAAAAGTATCGTACTAAGTATAAATCGCATTACAAAGTTTTTTCAGAAGGAAAGATGGATTTTGTATATGGTGATTTGCCTAAGAAACACGATTTGTCATGCGTAATTGCAATTAGTACAACCACGATACTTTTGCAGAGCATAGCTGGACACGGATTTCGCGCTCTTCAACGATTCGGACACCATTGTCTCCGCCGAAACCATGTGCCGGGCGGCGATGCACATCTTCGGGCCAGAGCAGTACGACGTCGCGCAGGGGCGGAACATCTACTGCAAGGACGACTACGAGTATTCAAGAAAAAAAGTGTTTTACTGAAGGCGTCTACGTCTTCGAGTGACAGCATGACAAACTTCCTGCGCATGGCAGAGAAAGTTTGTGTTGCATCAAAGCTACGTACGTGATGAAAGCACACCTGAAAAGATGATCGCATGGGTGTTTGGAATGACAAGCGTAAACTGTTTTGCAATTTCTGCGTCACAGACTTACAACTCTTAAGCACACAGCTTTTTTCTTGCATAGCGAGGGCTTTCCCGAGGGGCCGGACAGTTTTCGACCCACCACCGCGCTGATGGCGTTTCGCGACTCTTTCGCACAGACGAATACCTTCATGGGCTTGTTGTTCGAAATAGGCATCGGAAATTTGAATTCCCCGCACGCGACACACAAAAGTTCCAGCATTTAGAGACAGACTGTAAAACAACTTGTCAATCTGTCGAGGATCGAACGCAGGCCTTGTCATGCAAAAACGACATTTGTTCGTCGTGTGCGAGAAATTTCCTGCGGATACGGCAGGAGTAACTTCAACGGCCGCGGCGGCTTCTGGCGGACCAGCGCGGTCAAACAGGTGGAGTTTGACACCAGAACGTTGGCAGAAGACCACGACGCGAGCTGCCGGGGATTCATGTACGGTTTTTTCTAGTGCACAAGCACGAGCGGGCTTCGCTCTCGTTTAAGCTCCTTTGCTGGGTGTGGGTTTCTATAGATGCGCCTTCTTCTTCTCCTCTCCTCAATCATGCGCTTGCCCTTGCGCTTCCAAATCCAATGTATAAAAATTACGCACTTCTCTTCAGGTATTTCGGACAGCGGGGTGTGTTGGATAACAATATGCTGTGCCAGGAGCGCGAACCCGCCACCCTTGCGACGATCAACAAGCAGCGAAGAAGGTGGATGCACTGCGCGTTGCAGGTATGCTTTTTCATCTACTTACTTTTGAAGCACTTCACAACTGCGCCGTCGTGCTTCTATTTTCTCCGTGTGTCGTGATCAAACTCAAAGAACAAGGATGAACTTATTCATTTCATTGACTTCATTTCTGAACCTTAACCTTTTTCATACAGCGCGATGAACTGCACATGCACTGGTGAAAATCAATATCAAAATTGCAATATCATCCGAAAAATAAACTCAGATTATGGACCGGACAATCTCCTGGAACTGGTCTAGTAAGTCCACCAAGGGCTTCCTCGAGCGCTGGATCTACTGGTACACGTACACAGAAAATCGCACACCCACGGAATCCCCGTTGTTTTACCTCTTTTACTTCGAGGTGTTCGGCATGTGCTGCCGCGCGCACCAAGAGTTTTTGAACTCCAGTGAACACACCGAGGCGGCGTGGGCCTTGGAGGCCGGGTAAGATGTTCTAGAACCGTGCGCGACGTTTCTAAATTCAAACTTTGAAGATGTTGACAGTGCTAATGGCAGTCCTGGTACGTAAAAGTTTATTTCTTTACAGCAACACAAATTCACTGCTATATGCATATGCTCTGTTGATCAAAATCAAACTCTCAGGTACCAGTACATGTTTTGGATGGGTCTGTTTGCGCTGATCCTCCGGGTGATTTACATCGGGCAGCACGTCTCGCAGTGCCGCTACAATCCGGCCTGGTTCCGGCTCTGCATCCCCGTGCACATGGTGTCCATGGTCCTGCAGGGCTGCTACCACAAGCTGCACGCCTACCACGATTACTACTGGGGCACCGGAAAGTGGGTCTGCACCGCCCGGGCGACCGCGCAACCAAAAAGCACGGCGGGCAGCGCGGCGGCGGCAAGCACGATGAAAGAGCCGCTGCTCGGGTAGAAGGATCTGCTAGCGCGGAGGACGACACTCGTCGCACACATCCTCTTTCTTGTTCTTTCCTGGCCGCCTAGTTGCAGCTGAACCTGGTTCTGGGGGATGTTGAACGGCCTGCAAAATTGAATGATTTTTGTAAAGCACATCATCGAAGAGAACAAGTTACCAAATTGAAATTAATAGCAAGAGCAGATCGATGAAGAAAAAGAAGGAGGATTGCAGATGCAGCGCAAGTCGCGGTAATGCACAGGAGAAGCAAGAAGACAAAAGCAAAACCAAGAGGGCTGATGAAGTTGAAGTTGGAAAAAGATAAATTATCCACTCGAATAAAATGTATGCAGAATATGCAACTTCAGGGTCTACAAAAGTAGAAAACATAACAGAAATTTCTCGTCTTGATGTTGTTTCAGTAGGTCCTACTTCCCAGCAACAAGATCACATAGAATTTTTCAAACAATGAACACACGTGCTTCTGTCTACTTTCTGTTTCTACTCTTGGAATAGAAAGGTCGTGCAGGATGATGTTGCTACACTATTCTTCTGAAATGAACCAACTCGACGGCGCGCTTTTTTCTTTTCTCCCACCCGAGAGCAAGAGCACTATTTTTACCGTCGAAAATAAGGCAATCCAGGAACTGTCGCCAGAAATTTGATTTCTGTCTGCGCTTCACAGTTTCCAGGTAGGCGCCGCGGGGCCCCATCTTATCTTTTGAACAATGCACCGTACGTCAAATAAATTAGAGATTTTTACTAAGTACATTACACACGACAGATAGTAATTGCCACCGGCGGACGATGATGAATTCCACATCAACATAGTTTCGAACTATCGCCGCTTGTAGCTTGTCTCTATGATTATATGATTTTGTGTTGAACACAACAAAAAGTACTACCACATCTACCACTATCACTATGCACAATTTACTCCAAAATTGGAACGAAAATTGCACACTGTACAAGCTTCAAATGGCGGCCCACTATTGATTGAGGTTTTGTGGTCGAGACAGTTTGAGCGACTGTAACACGCCACTGAAAATAACGATTGCACAGGAGAAAATCGATTGTACAAAAATTTTTGTGACGATAATTATCCCGCTGATTAAAGTACCATCAATGCCTTCTTGCCAAGAATAGCAGAAACGCGAAATACGCAGAAGGAGCTGCAGGCACTGCAACTAAAACTATTACACTTTTTGGATGGGAGGCGGAAAAAAACAATACCTATCTGCTAGGAATCACAGGACGATATTGATCTCTCAACCGTATATGATTTCGTTTCTTTCAAAGTTCAAGTTGCTCTTTCTGAAAAAACGAAAGGTCCGTATGAAAAGCGAGGAAGTTGAAGATTTGATGGCATGGAAGACTAGTAGTACAAGTAGTGCATCAATTCAAAAGTTTTGTAGACTGTGTGGAGGAGCTGAGCATTGATGTAAATATTGTAGAGAAGGCATAGCCATAGCAAACGAAATGCCAAATCCAAAAATTAGCATGGATCTAAGTGAGGATGTAGTTTCAAATTTCCAACATAGCGTCTAGTCTAATAGCGCTAGTACAACACGTACAACTCCCTACAACTCAACAACGGTTCGTTTACCAACTCCTTCTGCGACGTCGAGTCTTGCATAGTTAAAGAATTTTCCGTCCCACATTATCTATCATTGGTTTGGGTTGTCGCTTCGAATTTGTCTTCGCAGGCGCACCCGCGTGCACCAATTTTGGCGTTTGGCTCCGCGTCTCTTCCAGCTGTAAGTTTACGGCTCATGTTGATGACAGAAATAAAATCAATATACAATATCTCCTGGGCATTTCTTATTCTTATATTTTTCTTCACAGAACAGGAACACAAACACGTGCTGCTCAAAAAGTTCTTTATTTCTTTGCGGGCAGATGAAAGAGAAAGAGAAAACCGAAACTCGCCCTCACGTTATGAAATTCAACGTAGAGGAGAAGACGCAACTCTTATTCTTTTTCTTGTATGCGGACAACTCTGGCACGCTCACGACGCACCATGTAGCACACTAGCAACCACTGCACTTCTTGTTACGCATCTACTATTGGAAGAAGAAATAAACGTTGCAGCTGCGACAAGGAACACGCCTACTTCACTCGTTTAGCACGTCGCTTTTTACAAGACTACACCACGTAGCCCAAACGTAAACACAGCTCCGCCAAAAGGAAGTGACTAGAGTCGATGCAGATCATGCGCTTGCATTTCTTGCAGTACTTCTTAGCATCCTCAGCCACAAGATGATTGTCATAGGAAGGTGGTCGCGGCACAAAAAAGAGAAAGTCAAACGCACGTAAACTGCAAATGAGCCTCTTCAGCACATGGAAGTAGCTTCGGATCGTGTGGGTCTCTCTCAACTCATTTATTCAAGACAAAACTATGCCGCGCTCGTGAACGTACACGTAGGAGCGAACAACTTCTAGTACCTCTCCATGATTCTTGTATCGCGACGAGGGCCCATGCTGCAGAAGGTCACCCGAGTTGTCACCAAAATCCCAAAACATAAACTGCCTCCACATGATTTGACGTCGAGAATTATTCTCTCCATAACTAACTCTAACATGAACGACAACGTTACTCATGATAAGCAAGAAAAGAAAACGGACTGCATCTCCTAAAAAATACTTGCACGACAATCGCCATTCTTTGATGCGCTCCTGCGCACGACAGAATGGAACACTAGAAGTACAGGGGAGGTGGGCGTTTGTTCAAGAGCTATCACATGCTCTTGTTTTCTTAGCATCGACGTCTTCTGTTCGAGCGAGTGCATCCGCAACGGTCCGAAGAAGATCTTTTACGGAAAACATGATCAGAAAAGAGTACGTAAAAAAGAAGGTGTGGCTCATTGTTTGTGTTGTCCGTTGACGTTCGGTTTGACCTTTTCAGCTTCTTAGCGAACATAGTTCCATGGCTCGGAAATTTTGATACGTGGTCCGATGCTTCACCACAAGGACTCGAAGGTTTCTGGAACAATCATTTTCAGTTCTCTAAAGTCGCATTAAATGTCGGTGGTGGTTGTGGGTTTTTCTTGTAGCTGCAGAAGCAGATTAGTGAATGTCTGCTCTTCTACTTGCTCTTGTTGCAGAAGTAAAAATTCTTCGAGCTGCTTCTGTACGAAGAAAAGAGTTACCAAACCAAAACCTACCACGAAGATACTAACTTTACTTCTTTTGTTTTCTCTATCAGCATCATGCGCCTTCAGTACAACAGCTGTTTCGAGCCAGAGGCTTTGTCCTCTGTACGAGCCAACTACGAGAACGACCCACGCTGCACCAGATCTTCATGCTATGGAACAAGTAGATTTCTTCGGGACCACCAAAACCTCTGTTCCCTGCAACTGTTCCCTTGCCCGCCAAGACTACCTCACCTATCCCAGAGAAAAAGCAGACAGCGCATATTTGTATAGGAAAAACCGACACACAGAAAAATCTGTCATGGGCGGCCCCATAGCATGGTGCTTAGGATACGCAATACAGATTTTTTTGTGTATTTATTTTTGCATTATGCCGGCTTTTTCCTGTGTGATATCACCTCCGCCTTTCTGAAACCGGCGGAGGGGTCCCCGCAGGGCGTTTTCGCGGCGCAGATCAATCTGCACGCCCCGGGCGGTATGGGAATGTCAGGATCGAAATCGACAAAGTCGAAAAATTTGTGATGCATAAAATGTAGGGCACGCGACGCCTGTATTGGGGAGCAGGCAAATGAGACCGATTGCAAGCCTCTTTAGGGGTATACAATGTGTTGCCAGAGTAGCATGACAGGAGCAGTCTGCCTTGCCCAAACAGCATGACAGACTGGATTTTGGTGGTCCCGAAATTTGTCATGCGCCAGTTGGAAACTGAGGCTCCAACTGGCATCGACTTTGTGCATCACAAATTTTTCGATTTTGTCGATTTCGATTCTGACACTTCCATAGGCGGCTACGGAAGGTTTTTCTCCGATGTGGTCCGGGAACACGGGTCGCACGAGTCCAGCGGGCTGTGGCTGTTTCTGTCGTTCCTGCACAAAGCGAGGCTGCAGATACGGAAAGCGGCGTGGAAACGGAAGATTCTGGCTTTTGCGCAGAAACTGCTCCGGGAAGTGGAGAGGGATGAGGCTGGGCTGGAGCCGAACAGCAACAGGACCAAAAGCGCGACCATTTTTGCTGGTGCCTCCACCCCATTGACAACCGACGCTATCGCTGCCTCAACTTCTTCGGATATTCGCTTCAAACGCCGAACCCGGTACAGCCTTGCGGAGCTGTACCACCAGAGGCTTCTGGGCGCGGGTGATGCAGAACGAAAATCACGGCAGAACTCACCACGACCTGGAACAACTGGTCCTGCTGTGACTTTATTTCCGTCGTCGAAGAACGTTTTACCGCATGTCTCTGGTGCTCTAACTTTGTCCCACATCCGGCAGTCGGTGCGGCAAAGCTATGCGGAGTACGTGAATGAGCCCTGTGTGGAGCTGAATAATTTGCCCGAGCCGGAAAATAACCACCTCGTCCTTTCAGCCTACGACCACCTGGACATCCCCACTGACCGGCAGAAGGAGGCGACGGACCCGGCCGCGGAAATGCTGCTGGATTGGCTGTACGAGGAAGTTCTCGCGAAGGGGAAGATTTTGTGGAAAGACCCAGCGGCAAGAAGAACCGTATCCTGTGCAAAAGTATCGCACTCGTATTGCAATCATGCATTACAAATCCTTTTGTTAAGGTAAATCTGCATTACAAATTATTATTTTTCATGCTGAAGAAATTTGTAATGCATTTATACGAACACGATACTTTTGCAGTTTATAAACCGCCCTCGGCGACCAAGACGTCCCCGACGACATCGTGCTGCAGGAAGCGTGGAGCTACGCCAGCGACTACCACGGCAGCGCGCGAAGTGCGAATTTGACGCGGGTAGTTTTTGGTGGAATTACATCAGCAGGCGGGGTTGATGAAACCAAAAAAGGCGGTGGAGACCAGGTTGATACTGACCGACATGAAGAACAAGAACATCTTCACGAGGATAACAATGAAAATGACCCCACCACCGACAACATAGACATTTTCGACGTCGAACCCCGCATGACGTTTCTCGTATCCACCGCAAAAGTATTAGTATCGTGCTCGTTCTAATCGCGTCTATGCTTTACAAATCTCTCTCTTAAGGCATATCCGCATCACAAATTTGATTTGTAATGCTAAGTCAATTTGTAATGCAATTCATACTAGAACCACAACTAGTGCGATACTTTTGCATTTCATATCTCGACTTGGGAAGCAACTTGGGTATGTGGTCGCTGCTCGCCGCGGTCGTCCACAAAGCGGAGGTGTTCGCGTTTGAGCCGGTGCTATGCATTGCAAATATGTCTGGGGGTGGAAAGTTGGAGCTTGTTATGCTGGTCTTGCATTCCTGTGAAATCTGTATTGCATGACCAACAAAAGTGCCTGCCTCTCACGTCATATTTACAAAAACGCAGCTTCTACTCATTCGGAGTTCGTATGATAAAGCGTTCTGCAGGCTTTTCATGCCTTCCTGCATGAGGAGGTGTTTTCATCGTGCACATTTTAGCATCACAAATTTATTTCCAGGCCTAGACATATTTGCAATCATGCATAGGTGCTCGGAAACGTCCGCAAGCTGCTCGACACGCTGTTTTGCGACAACAAGGAGCTACTGCTGCACAACTACGCGAACCATTTTTTGCACGTGGTCCGCGCGATTGTCGGCGCCCCGGAGACCGAGGGGGAGGAACGGGCGCTGTCTTTGGTAAATTGGAGCTCGGTGGTGTTGGACGAAAGAGATGTGAAGTATCCAAAGAAAAAAACCCATGCAGCCCATCCAATTTGTCATGCAAAAGATGCATAAGATGCAGCTGTGTCTGTCATTTACAAAAATTGGATGGGGATGGGTGTTTTTTTTCTGTGGATATGAAGGAGAATGATTTACAGGAACGAAACGTCGTGTGGCCGCAGTGGCAGAGAGATCATGGTCAACATCAAGAAGGCGAAATGAGTGGAGAAAAACATCAGCAGGTCGACGGTGATCATCTTGAAGCGGTCGAAGACGAAATTTTTGACGAGTCAAAAGATAGATCGAGCTCTGCTCCTCCTTCCAGCAGCATTACTTCAGCCAGACAGCAACATTATTACGATGGAAAAGAAGTAGAGGACGCAGCAAGAGCAACACCAAGCTACCTGGGGGAAGATCGTCATGCAGCGAGCCTGGCGGTGCAGGAAGCCGCGAAGCTGCAGCTGATCAACAAGCACGATGTCAGTGTCCGTCTGCACACCGTCGACACGATTTGGAACAAACACTGGCGATACGTTGATAACAAGCAGCGGAAAAGGGAGCATAAAAAACGGGATCTCATCGTCAAGGCCGACGTAGAAGGGTACGAATGCGCGGCGCTGCTGGGAGCTGCTGAGTTTCTGCGACACAGCCGAGTGTGGGCGGTGATGTTTGAGTACTCTGCATTCTGGGCGGAGAAGACAGGAACGAACAAAAATAAGGCCGGATCTGACGACCCGGGATCATCTGGATCTGCTGGGCCTGAAGGCAGAACACGAACGTCAGCACGTTCTACTTCACGACCTCCAGGGGATGAGGATGAAGATGATATTGAAAACATGTCTCTACCAGCATCTACTCCTTCTACATCCTCCCCGACCACTTGCACCGATCCAGGCATTCGGTCCCGCCTCTCGCAGCTGTTCAAAGACATCGGGTTGACGCACTTCTACGGTACAGGGCCTGGATGGGTGTACCCGCAGTTCGCGTGTCACTTACCGAACTTTTGGCGCTTCGTCGACCGGAGTAGAATATCAAATGCAAAAGTGTCTGGGTCTGGAAGGATGCAAACTTGTGATGCTGTCTTTGGATTCTATAAAAAATTTGTATTGCATGACCAGCAACCAAGAGGAGTCCACTTTGTACTACGTGGGGAAGGTGTTTCTCATGCGTAACAGGCATCTTCAGGAAGTCCTCTAAAAATATGTGATGCTGGACCATGCATTACAGGCGTCAGGGGTCATGCAAAATATGCATGACAAACCTCTCACTCTTCCAGACCCAGACACTTTTGCACTCGATATAGAATACACGTCCGGAACAGCAGCGCGATCAACATCATCGGGCTGCCGGAACATCTTGAGGAAGAAGATTTGACGAAATTGTGGATGAATACAAATTTGACACGAGTGTTTTTCTGAGTTATTTGAAAACGCTGCTACTTAGAGCAGGTACTAGCTCCTGTTGTGGCTTTAAAAGATCACAAGGCTGATGTCTTGAAGCCGACAAGAACTATTGTAGACAGTGCCACTTACTTAGAAAGATACAAGTTTTTTGTTTTTCGACCTGTAATAACGATTGCCCCTGTGGTGTTGGCGAGCATCTATATGTGAGCGTTCTTCAAAGGAAAATGTAATGCCGAGGAGGGCGTCTGCTTTTACTCTTCTGGGCACCCGGTCGTCCTGTCCCTACTCGGTCGCCGTGTGTGTGTGCGAACCTCCGGCACCAATGCTTGTATGCTGGAAAACAATTTTCGTGGCTGTTGTTCTGTCGGGTGTGTGTACTTGAAAGCTGCAAGATGCCCGCGTTGCCTTCTCCGTCACGATCCCCCGCATTTTTACTGCTTATAAAAGCTGTGCCTACGATCAAAATGCCTCTTGCCGTGAGTAAGAGATAGTGATAGATTCCTCCGCTGTCGGCTTCCGCTGCCTTTCCCAAGGTCATTTTATGTCGTCCACGTGCCCAGGTGGACGTGGACCGCTTGATCACGGATTCTCCTGCTTCAGTGTTGAGTTTATCTTTTATATGGTAGTGGTCGGTCGCGGTGCCGGCGAATGTCTGGATTTACCCAGTAATTTCACTGAAATCATGATCATTTTTTCGCTGGTTTACATAGATTGATTTGATGGTTCCGGTTACGTCTACCTAGGCATCTTCTCGCGAAACACAGGAAGAAACGAAGATAAACAAAAAACGACTACGCGTTTTCCATCAATACTTGCAGCTACAGCTCCACCTCCACCTCTTTGAAGAATGTCGTCTCGTGCCGAGAGCGCCGCGGGCAGCGGCAACGGGGACATGAGCCCGACCACTGAACTGATTTTGGAGGAGGATGAGGCAATGCTCTCGAGCAAAGAAACGACACTTCGCTGGTACAGCGAAGGCGACAAATTGTGGGTGCGTAAGAAGATCGAAGTGCAGCACAAAAAGACCGGCACGGGTATGACGATCCTGAAAAATCCCGCGCCCTGGAGCAAGGAAAGCCGTTTGCTAGCGCCCGAAGAAAACAACGTCGACTGGGGGGAATTGGACGAAATACTCCCCGTGCACAAGTGGATCATCGAGTTTATTCTCAAAGGAAGGGCGGAAGTGACGCAAAATATTACACTCGAAAGCGTGCGGAGAGACATCGAGAACTCGCTGGATCCCGAGGGCACGGCGCCACCGAAGAGAAAACTCAAGCGTTTGTCGAGAATTGTGCACAAGGAGTGTCTAGATAAGGATAAAAGCGCTGTTATGAAGAAGGGCGGCTTCCAGGAGGGGGAAGAGTACGGGCGGAAGGGTCGAGGTAGGGGAGACAAGAAACAAGTGGGGAAGTGGAACGAGTTTTTCAGCATAAATGCAGACGAGACAGGCTCGTCTTCCTCCTCTCTTACAAGGAAGACAAATCGCGCACCGCATGATCAAGTTCCGCCAATCACGAGTGCTTCGTCGTCTTCATCAATTTTGTCCTCACGACTCCCGACTACAGAACAACAAAGAGATGAGCCAACATCGGCTCCTTCCCAGGAGACTCTGCGGAAGGGTGAAGCTCCTTTGATTGAACGGCTCAAAAAGGCTCAAAACGAACGGGACCGGACGCAAACGTACGGGGGGCACGCCAAAGCGAAAAGTGGTGAGAAGGTACTAGAGCTGGCGGACTTGCAGAAGTGGAAACCCAAGGAGCAAGACGGCGGTCGCTCCTACCCGAAGGAGCGCGAACAAGGTGTGAACACCTCGGCCGCCGCCGATCTGCAAATATGGGAACAGTATCTACAACACCTAAAAGAAGAACAGCTTTTATGTGAGCAAGACGCTGCGGCTGCGGCGACGGCGTCGGCGACAGAGAGCGCAACACATACTGCAAGAGCTAGAGCAGCCGCGTGCCGCATTGAGGAAATTAAGCCCCTCGTGGAGAATCTAAGGAACCGCGGAGGAACGCACTTCGCCTTTGAGTACGAACAGAGCGCGATCGATGAGTTTTTGGCGGAGGAGCGGAGGAAAGAAAAAAATAAGCCGGGGGCGTCTAGCTTTCTGAAAAAGGTGTGCAGTGTTGACGAGCGCGGGAAGGGGAACGTGTTGATTGTGGACCACATTACGTCGTGCAAGAAAGCCGAGTTAGTCAATCTGGTCTTCAAGACGGAAATCCAGGAGCACACGGACAAGTGGAGGCTGCTTGCGGAAGCGCTGAACCCCTCGCAGGAGAAGAACAAGAAGCGAGAGGATGATGCAACGGCGCTGCATCTTGCCCTCACGGAGCGCGCACGGCAGGAAACGCAGCGGGAGAAGAAGAAGCTGGAGGAGGAATTTTTCCGGGAATGCCCCTGGTACGTCGTGCTCGATGGCGGCAAGCCGGCACTAAAGGATTGCGATTTATTTGATTCCGAGAACGGGCAAGGCCACATGGTCGCGGCCGAGGAGATTGTACTGCAAGACCGACGGGTTGCGCTCACCAGCGATTACAAATTGGTGACACTGTCGCCGAAGCAGCTGCAGGGGAAACGGTTGCTGCTCGCGCTGTCAGCCTACCACGAGTTTGACCTTGGTTATTTAGAGAAGAGGCTGAATGACTTCGCGAAACCGGGCGACGTCTGCCTGCCCTATGAGACCTGTGACTGCGCCACTCTGACCGGAATCTACGACCAGCTGACCCGCTTCGGAGCCGCGACGCCAGACTCTTCCGAGTTGGTTAACAAAGCGAACGCGCACCACCTCAACTTGGGCACGCACAAAGTCATGCTACGTTGGACCTGGTTTTCGCACTTGTTTGGCTCAAGCAATTTGAACTGCCGCAGCTTGGCGGATTATATCTACGTGTCGTTTAATAAGTTCAGCTGTCTCTGGACTGCCATGAAGACCACCTACGACCTGCTCCGCATTGGTTTGCCCATCCGCGAGACGATGCGCGCGGACGGCGCATTTCGGTTCTACTTTGACTTCGTCATCAATTACAAGCACAGCGACCCGAGCCTCTTTCTCACCGAAGAGGAGCTGTTAGAGCCAAACTGCCCTCTGATCATCGCAATGCAGCACGCTGTCCACGCACTATATCCCACTCAGGGGGCCTACCCGTGTGTCGTCTGGCGCGGCTCCGGGTTCGATCGCTACCAGGACATGCAGTGCACTCTCCGGCTGCGGTTCGTCTTCCCCGAAGTGGTGTGCGAGTACCGCAGCGCGCTCCAAGTCCGCAACTACATCGCGAACTACCTCGACAATCGGTGTCGGCGGGAGCAAAACGCGCTGGATGAGGCCACGGCGAAAGGAAGCGCGCCCCTGCGGAATGTCCCGACGCCAACTTGTGACTTTTTGAAGAAGCTGAAAGACAAAAGCTCCAAGGGCAGTGTGAACGACAAGAAAAGCCTGGACGTTGTGAAGTTCATTCTGCCCGACAACGGCATGGAGCCGGAGCGCGGTGGGTACCCGACCAAGGACAGCACCATTGACATGATCTGGGGCGACATGGCTCTACCGGCGACAGCCGCGGCGTCTCAGGCAAGCAAAGCCCGCTGCAGAAACTTGGTCTGGAGAATCGACACAAAGAAAGGAAGCGACAAAGTGAAGAAAAGTAAAGTGGGAATGATGTTGCAAAAGCCGCCGGACCTGAACAGAGCTCCTACCCCCGAAGAGCAGGCCGCTACCATCCGGTACTACAGCTTCGACGAATGGTGGTCCGAGCACCGGATCAAGAACAACTTCGAACTCTACCAGAAGCACTTCAGTATCGCGCTGAAATACAAGCCAACGAAAGAGGTGCACGACCTGCTCATGCGTTTTCGTGGGCCCACACGGGACACCGAAGCGGAGCATTCGCTGTCGGAGATGTGCAAGGTGCCGCGGAAGGAGACGGAAGTCACCAGAAAAAGGGTGCTCCGAGGGAGAACGGGTGGGGGAAGTTAACACCACATCATGCTGGCGCAAGTTGTAGTAGCGGGATCGATATCAACAAGAGACGATAGGTGTGACAGCCAGGACATGGAGCTAAGATATTGCTATTGATCGACAACAATAAAAGATCATGAGTGCTTTCCGGCAGCAACCCTTGGCGATTGACGATGATGCGGCGCGCTGCAATCACGAAGTTCGCTATCGGATTCTCGCGTAAAACTCGAACTGCTCGTCCAGGGCAGGCTGCCTGGCTGCAGAGGTCAGCAAGAAGCTACCTCAAGGACGAGGACTACGGCAGACCGGGCCGTCTAGAGTAAAACACATGCTCGCATTCCCATTCGAAATAGCAGCGCGATTGTATATACATCATCTAATGTAGCTCGTACTCCCGGAACATGTGGAGGAAGAAAATTTGACGAAATTGAATTGTGGACGAATACCAATTTGACACGAGTTTTGTTCTGATTTTGGGAACCACGCTGCTAGAGCTGCAGGAAGCTCTTGCTTTCAGAGATCACAAGGCAGCTGTCCTCTCGAAGCCAACAATTATTGGTATTGCAGACGGTGTTGCTTAGAAGAAATTCTCGGTCTTTCGACGTGTAAATCATTCTGTTCCGCCTGTGCCTCTAGCAGCTCGAAGCCCTTGACGGGGTTTCTTCGCCCGGACAGCAGTCGTGAGTACTGCGCATCTACTTTTATCGCCATCGGTCTCTAGATAAAGACTTCACTGGGCCTGACGTAATGCTTAATTTCTTTTGTCTCTACCAGTCCATGTTGACTCTGTCTTCGAGTTTGATCGTCGCGAAATCGAAAAGTCGTTTTACTTAGTTTGAAGTAGCATATGTCACTGGTATTTCGTGTTTCCATCTGTCTCAGGAACAAAAAGAAAGGATGAACTCTAGGGGAATGTTAAACGAAGTAAGATGATAAAACAGCTAAAGGAGGTCCCCCGATGTGGTCCCGTGGCACCAAGAGACATCTCTTCAAGTAGTTCAAAGACACATTATCGAGGCCTTCGTAAATTTTCAGTCGTCTCGCTTTTCTACTTTGTGGTTTCCTCCTTCTTCTTCCCTATTTCTTACCCCCAAGTGCCCGTGGTCCTTGGCATCAAAACAAGGACGTGTCCGACCTACGAGCCGGACACCACCCCAGCCAACTCTCTGGAAACGGTGAAACTTTACAAGCCATGCGACTGCAACCTGCAGACGCGGTTGGAGCACCTAGCCTCCACGCACCTCAAGCCCGCCGTCGGCTCGCCGCACAACGTTTTCGCCGCGCAGCTGAACCTGCACGCGCCGGGCGGCTACGGAAGAGCGATCTCCGATGTGGTCAGGAAGGAGGGCACGCACGAGACGAACGGATTGGAGTCTTTCCTGTACCTCCTCGACAACATGCGGAAGCAGGTGCGGAAAATGCGGTACGACAGGGAGCTCCGCCGGTTTGCGAAGCAGCTCGGCGTCGACGCTGACGAAAGCGGCAGCATTACTTGGAACGAAGAAAGTAGGAACTTGGCACGGTCTTTGGGGAAAGAAATTCATCGCATTCTTGTGGACCCGTTTACAACGACAGGTGAAGAGTCTGTTAATACTTCTAAGGACCAAGAAAGCAAAAGAACCAGTCAAGCTCAATTTTTCGGTGGGACCAGTCTTGGCGCGGCGGCGCACCATCTGTCTTCGGCCCTCACCCTGGGCCACATCCAGGACGCGCTCTGTGGCATCCGCAGCTTCTACACGCCCTTTCTCGTGCAGCCCTGCGTGATTCTTCCAGCGGAAGTTGACGCGGCGCTGAACCCGACGAACCTGCCCCGGGTCCGCGAAACGGGGGACCACGCCAACGACCCCGCGGGAGCCATGCTGCACGAGTGGCTGTACGAGAACCTCCTCGCCCGTGGGAAGCTCCTGTGGAAGAGCGGGAAAGACCGAAATAAAGCGGTCCGGAAGTACGGAGACACCCGGGTTTCGGACCAGCAGATCGCTTTCAAAATTTAAATTTTTTTGGGGCCCCTTTGCAGTATCCGGCCCGACTGTCCTCATCCGCGTCGCCCGACTTAGCGGCCCCGCAAGCGGCTCCGGATTCTCCGACCTATTAACTCCTTCTTTTTGGGATGTAGCTTGATGGTGACGAATGAGAACGCGAGTGAAAGCATGTAGCTTGTCGCGGTGATAGCTAGTGTAAAGTAGATAACATTTGAGACGTTTGGTGACAGATGTGCTTTTCCGCGGGCGATGTGCTTTCCCGCAGAGCGCTCTCCTTCGATGAAGGCGCAGCTGAAATGCCGCGCGTGTTCGTCTTGTCGTCGGACCAGGCCGATTGCGAGATGCGCTCTGCCTGGTCGATCGCGCATGAACTAGCAGCGGTTCCACAATTTGGAATGCACCACAGGGACAGTGGGCACGCCAACAGGGACCGCAAGTGGTCCCAACTCGCACAAGATCTGCGGACTTTGACCGGGGGCAAAATAAGCTGCAAATCCTTGCGGGGCGGCCTGAATCGCGCTGCCAAGTGCCTGGCAGCCGCAAAGCGGGACAGCAAGCGCTTCAAATACGAAGACAGACGCGACCGCGAGACGGGCTTCAAAACGCAGAAGATGTTGGGGCAAGGTACTGGGGCGCGGCTCAGTTAGGGCTTTTCACTAGTGTGAGGAGCGGGGGCGTCGGGTCTCCGGCAGTGATCATCTCGACCTTCCGGAGGCCCAAAGAATCTCTGCTCTGGGTGTGCCCTTGACCCTAGTTTATGCCCCCCCTTGAAAGCATTTTTTTGAGGCCCAAAAATCGCGAAAGCATTTTGTACAGGAACTAAAAAACGCTTTCGCTCGATTTTTATGCCCCTTCTTATGTTTGGCCAAAGCCTTTCATATGACCGTCACAAATCGTCGCGGGTTTGAGCCTTCTGATGGTCAAGGTTTGGCCATGTCCTCGACTCAGGTTATCACAATGCTGAAAATTTTCTTTCCAGGTACAAAGATAGCGAGCCTCGTTTCCTATTTTGGCCCAAGTAGCAGTGGGTAGGCCGCCTGCGCCCTCAAACCCAGGGCGCCGGGGCCAGGAGTCTTCTTGGCAATGTCTGTGGCCTCGGGCCCGGTGCTTATTTATTTAGGGGGCTAGTGGAGGGGTTGTCGTGGTATTTTGAGCTGGGGGCCTGTTTGGGCGAAGTGCTTGCACCTGGGTGATATTTCTATATAATTATGGCAAAAACAGACGCGCTATGGCTCACTCGGATCAACCGAAGGACAAGCATACTACTTGCCGTCGCTCCAGTGGGAGCACCGAGGGCGGGGCTGGACGTGACCGATCGCCAGCCGTGGCGTTTCGGACAGGTGCCCAAAATGCCGCTCAAGGCGATACACAGCTCCGGACCCGCACCACTCCGGGCAATGGATTATGCAAAAAAACGTCTTCAAATGCGAGCACAAATGTACGCGACCTATCACCGCGACAAGCTAGCTAAATAATAAGACTACTTAAATGTTGACATCGCCAACGTACTCCAGAAATTCAGGCAACGAAAAAAGGCCCCGCGACTCACCTGCCCGACGCCTTCCAGTTCAACGAGGCCACCGAAGGGATCCTATCTGGGCCCACCCTCAAGGGGAGCAAAAAAAAATTTGATTTTTGAAAGCGAAAGCGTTTTTCATCGCTGTAAAGTACGGAGACACCCGAGTTTCGGACCAGCAGATCCTACGGGTCACCGTTTGCCATGTTCATTTTTCAACCCAAAAAATTTGATTTTTTCCTGGTATCCCACGCATGCTCATGTCGATCAGTTGTTGCAAATGTGGCATGCGAGGCATTACACTTGGAGTATGGTGGCCCGGGTAGTTGAACGCAATCCAGAAGCGCCCCGGAATGGCTTCGCCGCCGTACAGACCGAAGACGCGGCGCGGGAGGGTGCGTTGCGAGGAGGCTGTCTTCTGGCGCGTAGGGGCCCGACCCTTGCTGGGGCGGGCTTCTGCATGGTGCGGCTTGCGATGTTGGGTTGCTCCTGGGAATGTCGGGCTCTTGTTTCTCCTTGGCCAAAGGCTTCCGGCAAATGACCTCCACAACCCAGGAAAAAACAGCAAAATTTCGAGCAAATTTAACGACCACCCGGTGACAAATCCCGGAAATTTTGCATTTTGCACGGTATGGTGGACTTTGAGAGCCCAAAATGGGAACCGGTCGCAGTTTTTTCTTGGGTTTTCGAGACCCTTTGCCGGAGGCCTTTGGTCCAGGAGTGATAGTCTCAAGAGATTCCCAGAAGCAACTCAGCATGACGCGCCGCACCATTCCGATCCTTCGCGGCCGGAAATCTGGTCGCTGATGAAGTGTCAGGAGACAGCCTCCCAGCTAGGGACCTTCTGGGGCCGCGGTTTTGGCTTGTATAACGGCAGCGCCGTTCTGGGATATGTCTGGACGGCCTTCAGCATGCTGGGTCAACATGCTTGGAATGCAGTCGTTGGATTGCCGCACCCGCAGCATTTGACAGAAGTGGACACATATAGGAAATCAGGCAAAAGTCAAATTTTTTTGCTCAAAAAATGAACACGCCAAAACGGTGACGGTGACAAATTTTCCCTGAATAAAGTACGGAGACACCCGAGTTTCGGACCAGCAGATCCTACGGGACGCTTGGAACGTCGCGGTGAAAAGCCACGGAATGGCGAGGAGCACGCAGGCAAATCTTACCGCTCGGGATGCACAACTTGGATTTACTTTACACCGCGCCGCGGCAAATGAAAAAGAAAATCTCGATCTTCACCATAGGCAACAAAGAACGCATACGCAGCTTCTAGATGTAGACCCTCAACAAGAAGTAAGCCAGCATTTATTCGAGGACGACGCTCAAAAAATCTTCGACGTGGAGCCGCGAATATCTTTCCTCGACCTGGGCGGCAACCTCGGTCTGTGGAGCCTTGTCGCCGCGGTGGTGCATAAAGCCGAGGTGTTTGCTTTCGAGCCGGTGGTGGGGAATTTCAACAAGCTCTTTCAAACTTTGTTCTGCAGCAACAAGGAGTTGCTAGGAAAGAACTTCGCACACAACTTCCTGCACCTGGTCCGCGCAACCGCCGGCGCGCCGGAGACCGAGGGGGAGAAACGCACACTGTCCATGCTGAACTGGTCGACCGTCGTTATCAAATGTAAAAATGTCTGGGTCTGGAAACTTGTGATGCTGTGTGGCGTATCATGAGAAGGCCACAATTGCTGGCTCAGCATGACAAGTTCCTGAGCTTCTAGGTGTTGCCTATTCTGCATGACAAACTACGTCTCTGCATGACAGAAAAGTGGGGCTCTTTGGTAATGTGCATGACAGATTTAAGAGTCATGCCAGACAAGCATGACAAACTTGCATTCTTCCAGACCCAGACATTTTTACATTTGATAGTCGTGCTGGATCAGCAAAACATCGAAGCCGCCGACATTGTGCAAAGGAACCAACCGGTGCTTGCAGACTCCGGACGCGAAAACTTGGCAATTGATGCAGCAGAGCAGCTTGGCTTGGTAAGGGAAGAGGACCACACGATTAGGTTGCACACGGTGGACAGAATCTGGAACCGGCACTGGCGATACAACAGAAATGGAGGTAAAAAGAATGGAGGGACGTTGTCACAGCAAGAAGTGTATGCACTGCGAAACTATCGTACTATGAGAAGTTCTTCCAAGAGCAAAAATGGAATTCCTCAGGCTGTTTCAGGTAAAAAGCTGGATCTGTCATGCAAAACTGGTATTTACTTTTACACGAGTGCGATACTTTTGCACAGGATAAAATAACCCGCGACCTGTTTATCAAAGCGGATGTCGAGGGTTACGAGTGCGCGGCGCTGCTTGGCGCGGAGGAGTTTCTGCGGCACAGCCGCGTCTGGGGCCTGATGTTCGAGTACTCCGCATTTTGGGCGGAGAAAACGGCCGTGGGAACATCAAGTAAGGCGGAAGCCACCTCCTGCACCAACCCGCGGATCCGAGCGAGGCTGTCGAAACTTTTCATGAGGATCGGACTCACGCACTTCTACGGCTTTGGCGCGAGCTGGATGTACCCGCAGTTCGCGTGCCACATCGGGAATCTGTGGCGGTTTGTGGACCGCACGCGGATTTTCATCCACAACACTAGTGCGCTGAACATCGTGGGACTGCCCGCACACATGGAGCACGAATCCTTCACGGCACTGTGGAATGAAACGGAGCTGACACAGGTGGGCGGGGCGGATCTGGTTCACGCGGCGCTCAGTAAAGCAGCCGCCAAGTAGTTGTCGTTTGTCGAGTAGCTGTTTGAAGACTGAAGGAACCATGTGGAGGCTCCCTCGTTGTCGGCGTCCATTGTTCGGAGGTTGAGGTAGGCTAATCACTACTTCTGCGCACATACTTTGTGTGAAGATTAGTATGTGAATGAGTTTTGAATTCTATGTTAGTGTTACCGCGACAACTCTACCGCGACGACTCTAATAAACTGGAACTCTCCTGCTCCCGAAGACAGAAGCGCGAGTGTCCGTGTAACATTTTTACAGATGCAGAACTTCTCGTCTATACGAGACCCAGACCGTGAATATTAGTAAAAAGCCTGGCCGCAACTCGGAGCTCGCGGTAGTCTCAAATTTTAAGACCCCTTAGACAGGGCGAGTGTGCACAAACGGTAAGACGCTCCTGAAGTTGAAAAAGCGGCCACCACCCCGATGAGCGATTCGTTTGTTAATGTCTTGCTTTTTCGGTGCATTGTGCATCAATCGTCGTTGTATTTGTACTCAGACATCATGAAGTCTCTTCCTCGGTCGTCATATGTGAAGCACATAGTTTTTTCGTCGTTTTTTATCGGTTTGCGGCTTCTGCAATTGGATAAATCTATCGGTAAAATAAAATACTTTCAAACGAGAAGACTCGGAAGCGCAACTATGTTTGACGGAGCGAAAGTGAAGTTGTATATCTTTGATGAGACAAAGATTTCCGCTGTTTTTCTTGTATTTTTCTGGCGCTTGCAGGTCCATCGATTCGCTCGACACTTGTTCATCCCGAATACGAAAATATAGAAGTAGAAACCAAGCAATTTTCGTTTTCTTTGCCTAGCGTTCCCTCGGCATAAAGCTTGCTTCATAAGTATTTGCTTGATAAGCGACAAAGAAACTTTTTCAATCTTCTCTCATTTTTTTCATCCGTTTTTACATCAAGATCATGTCGTCCAGCTCGATGTTCGCGCTGACCAATTACTCCACATTTGTGGAGACACACCCAGCGATGACGCTGCACCACCTCCTGCAGTCTTCGGTAACGCCCATGTTTCAAGGTTGCGGGGCTTACCAGGCCCAAACCACCGAGGCGCAGCAGTACGCGACGATCAACTACTATGGATGTGTCAGAGTTGAAATCGACAAAGTTGAAATAATTTGTCATGCATAAAATGGATGCCAGTTGGAACCCAGTTTCCAAGTGGCGCATGACAAATCTTGGTGGCCCTTAAATCCAGTTTGTCATGCTGTTTAGGCAAAGAAGAGCGATTTTATCATGCTACTTTAGCAGCTCGAGCTGTAACCCCAAACAGGCTTACAATCGGCCTCACTTGCCTGCTCTGCAACACACGTACCTCGGGTCATGCATTTTATGCATTACAAATTATGTCAACTTTGACGATTTCAAACCTGACGCTTCCATAACTACCAGATGCACGACGGCATGGCGATCAATTTCCTCGGCGACACGGCGGTTATGCATTGCAAAAGCATCGTACTAGTATAGATTGCATTACAAATTAGCCCAGCATTACAAATTTAATTTGTAATTATACAAGAGGTGAACACGCTCCACACGTTAAAGGTTAAGCTTGTCGCTTTTCGCTTCTTTGTCTTTCTATTCGCGCTGTAACGTTACACTTGGGGCCTTGAGCGTCGACCTAAACCTTACGAAAATTCCAATCGTAAAGCCTACTAGTATGCGGCCTTGCAGCTTTTTTCAAAATGTCGCTGAGAAGAAAATTGTCCATTTTGCCACATGTGCCCGCTTTATCGTGTTTCGCATCAAACACGCATGAAGCTGCATTCGAAAAACAGTCGCAGTTTGAACTTCAACATCAAAACCATCTTTGCGTTTGCCGCTCGAAAATAAGAACTTCTTTGTATACGCCGCTTCGAAGTGAGAACATCTTTACAGTGGAATTTTCTTAAGATTTAATTTGTGCCTTCGATCATCATCATCATCATCTTCTTCTTTCTTTCCTTCATCGCTGCTTCTTGGTATTCGGAACGAGTGGAACATGTTCAACATCTTTTCTGGTAAAAAATCCACCCGCGCCGTCGCACTTCGTAATCTTGCATGTTACTGGTAGCACTTCACTTTGTGCAGCCTTGTACCGTGTCGCCCAACCTTCCTCTCCAAAAAGTTCCCCTTCACAATGCATTGCCACTCTGTAGGGTGCGACCGATGCGTAGCCCGCACGCCTCCGGATTTGTGCCCCGGAATTCTTAAAATATAGTTATAGCCTAGGACTGGCGAAGGGAATTATTAGTTTTAGTGCAGGAACTAATGCCGGATAGCGCCTAGCTAGGATTTCAGTTATTTTCCTCACCCGACCCGTGGCCGGGCTTCTCGTATCTTTTTCTCTAGCTGGTGCCTCATTAACTTGTATTTCGCGTAGCAGTGGTAATTTCGCGCGAACTTTTTTGCTACGCCGGCCCACTGATCGCGTCTGACTTGTTTCTCGACAAAAACAGCCGCGAGCTGTTTCACTCCTTCAAGAAAGTCAGGCAACGTATCGGAGTATCGCAAAAGCCGCAGCATTGCGCTGCCTGCCACAGCAAATACTGTCTTTCTGTGTATGTTCGAGTCCATGCACGGAAATCGGAAAACCTTGAAAGAGAAACCATTCCGCTTGTCATATAGCTTGATCTGCAGTCTGCCCCCCCTGGTAATCGAAAAAGTCAGGTCCATGAAGTTGACCCGGCGCCTAGTGTCCTTCGAATCTTTTTCGCATTTTAGTGCCCCGTAGACTTTTTCAGGCAAAAACTCCTTGAGCAAGAGATTTGTAATGCATAAACGCAATTACTACGATGCGCGCCACGATCAACTACCAGATGCACGACGGCATGGCGATCAATTTCCTCGGCGAAACGGCCGTCGGTGGGGAGGAGTTCGACTTTCTCGTATCCTGAAGAAAAACGTCCCCACCCCATAGTTCTCATGCAAATCTGCATGCTCGAATGAAATGTTTCTCATGCGGAGCCCCATGCGAAGCATTTCCCACTCGTGTTTTTTGAATTTGTATGTAATGCTGCAATCAGCATGCTCTGCTAGATCTGTGATGCTGCTGGACTAGGTAAAGGCAAACAGGATTACACTACGAGGACAAACTTTTCGTGCGAAACAATCAAAGCTGGCTGATTTGTCTAGCGGATTTCCCATCTTGACTATGGGGTGGGGACGTTTTTGGTCAGGATATCTCGCCCAGATGGTTCCCCACCACAAGGGCGCCAGCGACATGTGCGACGTGTGGCGCAAGGCGTCGGAAGAAAGAGCTGCTGCTTATGATTCAGCGGGAGTGGTGACCCAGCACAACACGGGGATCGCGTCTCTCTGCTACAACATCACGTTTGGCGCTCAGAAGTGGGGTGTGTGGCAGTCCGACTTTTCGCAACCGGGGGAAGCGAAGCAAATGACGGACCAAATCGCGCGGTTGGGAATGACCATGCGGTACAACCACAAATGCGGTGGGGAGTCGGCGTGCTACCGAAATGTCAGCATCAACAACGCAAATTACTTCGTTGCGCAGGGGAATAGCACTACGATGATGAGTGGCAGTGGGGGGCAACACAGCATGTTGCTCAGAAATTTGGTGGCGGAACAAGACGAGCTCGAGCAACCGAAAATCCTAAATGCAGCGGAGTTGTCACGACCTGGCGCACCATTGGGAGGTGCTAGCGCGACGAGTGAAAATGAACGCAGTGCGCATCCGCCACAGCTGTGGTCTTCCTCGTTGAGCAGTACTTCTTCAAATACCGAGATGAACTTGAAGCACTCGGAAACACCCGCAATAGACGAAGAACCAGAACGGTCTTCTTACGGCGAGCCAGGCTCTTCCTTTCCTGCGGATGAAGACACGGCGGCAAGAACCAGAAACCTGATGACCGGCGGCCACAGTGGGCACCATGGGGCCAGCGGAAGCGGCACTTCTGCCCAACATTCGGGTATGTTCATGGGTTGCAACCTCCAGCCTTCGTTCAAGGACAAATCGACTTCTGAGTACATTCAGCTGAACATGAAGATGCACACGGAAATGGCCTTCAACTGGACGAACAGCACGGACGTCGACTTCCTGCTGGGCATGATTCCCCACCACCAGGCAGCACTGGACATGTGTGCGATATACTACAAGTACTGGGCCTGTGCGCCGGCCACGTCTGTCACCGAGTCCTGCAAACTCGCGAATCTGCAGTCCGCCTCACAAACGGGCCTGACACTGACCGAAATCCAAACGAAAATCAGCCAGGGGCTAATCGCGGATATCCCGATGCTGAACTACATGTACCACATCTGCACCGGGCACATCTTGGAAACGCAACCCGCGGAAATTACTTGGATGAAGGGGGAGCTGGAGCGGCTGTGGGTTTCGGAAAACCTGGGGATGAGCATGACGGCAGACGCGATTCTCGCTGCAAGAAAATGCAGCAGCAATCATGGGCACCACGACAGCGCCGGGAGTGGCATGACCATGTTGCAGAATTACACTTTGGAGTGCGACATGACGGGGGCATCGAGCGGGATGAACGGGGGACACCATCACCATCAGATGGGCATGGGAGCAAGCGGCTCTGGTACCATTACGGTATCCTCGGACGCCACATCAAGGAGGAGCGCTGGCGCTGTGTTATGGAGCGCAGCGTTCATTATTGTTTCTCTGCTGTACTTGTTCGTAGGTCCTTTTTCTCTATTGCTGTGCCAATAACGGCATATGAAAGAACGAAAATGGATTTCGTAAAAATATCAGGTTCCAACGGCAGAGGACTCATGACTTTTTGTTTTTTCTGATTGTGATTGCGACCATACAGCTTCTTGTCTTTTTTTATACATTTCTATTCCTAGTAGTCCTACACCCCCAGTATTGTACCGAAGGTTGTAACAAGTAGTTTGTACGTAGTTGGACGAGTAGTTGTTGAAGCCCCTGGAAGAAGAACTCGAGGTGGTTTACTGGAATACGATTTCTTGCATGTGCAAAGAACAGACAGCTGTTTTCCTTTTCTGCAAAACGGAATTGCAGCCAGGAGCGGACGACGCAAGTGAACAGTACTTCACGAGATAGTTTCGCTTGACACAGTACCACCTTGTTGAGGATATGGTTCTTGGCGGTTGTTCAAATGTAATGAGACCAGGCGTGATCATTGTGTTTTCAGTCACATGGCCTGAATGATGCCCGCTACTTGTGGTGAAGGTTCAGTCCTCTGCAAGGCGCGCTTTGTACTTATTCCTCGTACTGGTGGCCCCAGCCTGTGCCTGATAGGAAATCAATCTCGTAGAACTACGACAAAATAAATCGATAATGCACGAGGATCCCCATTTCCATGGTGCTACCTTCGAACTCTTCCTCGTGTCAAAGTTCGTTGCCCATTTGCGGAGAATGGTGCTTACTAGGTGTCAAATCACATGCACACATCGATGCCAGTATTGTCGGCGGTTCGGCATCTTCGTCAAAGGCACATACGAGCAGCCGAAGAACAAAGTGTCGCCTGCCGTCCTCCGGACATGATGTTGCATTGCAAGAACCACGCTCGAATGATTTTCCTTTTGCACCGCAGGACCAGGATGCCGCAGTCAGCGTTTCCTGGCCCCCCTGTCTCGGCGACGATTGCTGCATCGATTGCGGACAGTACCAGGATTACCTCCAGCCGCACCGAAACCACCACTGCCCGTGTTCGGATTTCAAGCAGGCACGGTGCTACGCCTCCGGCTGTGTTCCGTGTCCGAAGGACTGCTTTAGCGACACCAGCGATCTGCGGACAAACCCGGGTCCTCTGGGGACGGGCATTCTGTGTTGCGGGTTGTCCGAGCGCAAATGCGATCCCTGTTGCAGCAGTGCACACTCGGAAACTTTGCCTATTGGCTCTTGCTGCGTTTTGGACTGCCCTTGCGCGGATTACGGAAGTGACTGCACCGATTGGGTGACCGGGGCGATTTACGTGCGCTGGGCAACGCTGGGCGGAGGGTTTTTTGATCTGAAAAATCTAGCATTTCTGCTCTTCGTTTTCATTGGGCTTGCGCGTCGGACGCGAACTCTGGCTTCGGGAGTCCGGCGAAAAAAATCCAATCAGGAACGAGGACAACCGGGGCCGGGCCCAGGTGGACGAGGACTACTCCCTGAAGTAGAGAGAGATGTGGAGACACCATTAGAAGGACAGTTGCCGCTCGAGGGCTCAAGATCTTCCAGAACAAGGGAGCGATCCATATGCGATAATCTCTTCAACAAGTGTCTCCGCGGCAGACGTCGTCGCACATGTTCCTGTTCGCTATTGCCACACCGCCTTGCCTGTGCTCACTGGAAGTCGCAACTACGTCTCAAGTACATACCGTCCTTTTGGGGTCTGACGAGTGTGCTCTTCGTCGTGTGCGTTTTCGGTGTGCAACCCCTGACCCTGCTCCGCGAATTTTGCTTGTTTGACCGAAACATGCAGGATTTTCTCGGCGCGGTCACGGGCCAGGTCAGCCTGCTGTGCTTCCTGATTGCGGTGGCGCCGACCCTGTTGGACTACGAAGATAGCGCGGACGAGATGAAGTCAGTGATATGGCGGGAGACTGCTGCAAGAACAGAACTGCATGTTGTGCAAGAACGCGTGCCAACTCTTTCAGAAGGAAACTCGTCGCACGGTCCACGTCGGGACTTGGACGCCGACCAGCAAAGTCGCTACTACCGAGATCCGCTCCTCTTCCCGCTTTTCACATACCCCCAGGCCATTTTGCTCCACCGCCGCAGCGCGTCGCTCGGGATTGCCGCGGGAATCGCGCACGCCGCTTGCCAGCTCTTACCGGCGGAAATCTTGTTTAGTGTGAAAAGAAATAACTTTGTGGGCACGTCGTCCTCGCCCACGAGTGGTGGCGCAGACGACGCGAACGCATCGGGTGTGATGAAATTATCCTTGATGTCGCCAACTACAGCCAGAAGATTTACTACTGGAAGACTCATATCGCAGAGAAATAGCCTGCCTTCCCATTAGGGGAGAAAAATCTTGCCATCTCTACAAAAATTTTGTACCACCAGAACACGCGCAAAAACAAGGTTGTTTTTTGGGGTCCCAACCTATTTGGCGGCCCGCTTCCGGGCCCCACAGCCCCGGCAAATTTGGCTGGCGGCTGTCGCGTTTCACATAGTAGGAGCTTCGGCCGGAAGCCATTGGGAAGGAGCGACCGGCGCCGCCGTGCGCTCGTCCTCCCGTGTTTCCTAGGTGCCAAAGGCGGCCAGGAAGTTGGCCCGGCTCCAGGCCCGATGCAGCCCGGCGGGCGCATCAGGTCCAGACCTGTTGTGGCCCAGCCGACCTGGAGGAAAGCGTCTGGCCCCGGAGCTCACACTTGCCAACAACGAGAGCCCCAGAACCCACCCCCAAAAACGACCCCCAAAAGCGACCCCCTTCCCCCCCCTAGAAACAGGCGATTTGAAGTACCCCCAAAAACGACCCCCCCAGCCACCCCCCTTCGGGGCCGGGCAGGGCGAAATCTGGAAGAGCTTTCTTGTTCTTTCCAGCACTCTCGCCTTGGCCACTCGTAGGCGCCATCGCCACTGGCGAGGGGCAGAGGCCCTTAAGCCTTGCCATGGGCTGCGCGCTCACCGCAGAGATTCCCTGCCCTTGCACGGCCAGCACATGTGGAGCAAGACTAAAAGACGCCCCGACAATCGAAGCAGTCACAGACCACGGCCGCCCATGCGGGCCCAATCGATTCGGGCTGGCTGTGCGCGCTCGCTGACTGCCTAAAAAAATAAAAAGTTTAAAGCCCCAAAAAACAGCCTTTTTTTTTCGCGTGTTCTGGTGGTACAAAATTTTTGTAGAGATGGCAAGATTTTTCTCCCCTAACCCATATTAAAACTCCGCAGGATCATGTTAACCCACTCGCTCAACCCGGTGATTCATCTTCCCCACGAGTGCCAGCATTCTTCGACTCCGCCACGACGGCGATAATCTCCACACTCACTGATTTTACCCCCACCCCGTGGTCCCTGGGTCACGGATTTGGCGCTCTGGCTCTGTTCGTCATTCTCTGCAACGGTGTTTTGGGCTGTATGGAGTTCTCAACTGTTACACTCATTCTCAACTGTTACGTGAATTTGTCATGCGGAACTACCATCAAGATCCACACGAGAAAGCTGCTTCGCATGACAAACTTGCGAAGGGCTAAACAGCATCTACATCTGTGCAGAACTTGTCATGCTACAGGTGCAGCCTCCCCCCTTTCACTTTTGCATGTCTTGCATCACAAATTCATGTAACAGTTGAGAATGTAACAGTTGAGAGCGCCATAGGCTGGTTTCGCCGCCGGCACGGCGTGTACCGCTGGTTTCTGCTGCTCCACTATCAAAGGGAAAAATCCCCCCTCCCCATATTGAAAAGGTATACTCCCGAAAATTTGTGTTGCTGATTTGAGGTCACAAATCACTTTTGTCTTGCAAGAAGACAAGGGCATAAGCTTCCGCCCCATGATGGAAGCGATTCGCGATGCTGTTGGGCCTACAGGGCAGCCGTTTGCAATGCTGAACAACTAGACCCGTCCGCCCCTACCTAGCCTGGGGATCTGGCCGCAATGCTTTCCTGCAATACAGAGCTGGTTCGTGTACACAGATCCAGCATTAGGAGTTCTGTTTTGATATGGGGAGGGGGGATTTTTCCTTTTGATATCCACCGAGCCAGCTGGACGCTGATCCTGATTTTTCTGGCGGCCCACACCCTCTCGGTGGCCATGGTTTGCTTCGCTCTGCTTGCGTGGCGGTGTTTTCTGAAGAGAAGTAAACCGGAAGTCCGGTTTCGGGTACGGGAGGTGGCGCGGCTCTCGGATGGAAGTCACATGGTGCGAGTTTTGCTATCGCGGGAAGTCGAAGTTCTAGGGGAAGGAAATGAAAACTTCATTGCCGTTCCTCCCGGTGGCTTCGTGATGGTGCGGAGTGCTGCCCCAACTGGAGATGGCCGGCCCGCCCGCGGCCGCCTGTCGATCCCGACAACAGACGTCGCCCATCCATTTTCTGTGTGCGGTATTTCGCGCACACAAATATTACAGACCTCGAGAGTACTAGAGGAAAGCCGCGGCCCAGCGGCCACACAAGGACAAGATCAAGAGCAGCAGCGGAAAGTAGAGCATTGTGCTGCTGCCGAAGGTGCTCTTCGCCCGGAGAATACAAAACAAGATGGCCCCGCCGCCTCGGCGCCAGCCGTCGACGATGAAGCTCCTGCTTCTCGCAACATCCAACTGGTTCGAGAAACTTTGTCCCTTCTGGTGAAAGATGAACCGGAGAGCTCAACAGTTGGCGCTTCTATGACCTTCAGCAGCGGCGGGAGAACCACGTCTGCAACTACAGTTGTGAGAGATGTCGATAACACGTGGACTCGGCGTAACCTGCTCCAAGAGGGCAGGGATGTTTTAGTAGCAGGGGGGTACTACGGAAATTTGATGTTGCCCCGTGTCAGAGATGAGAGCCCGAGTGGTCTTTTTCATCCTACCGAAGCCAGCGCTCCTGACTGCAACACCAGCTCCAAGTTCGATTCGGTGGTTCTGATCGCCGGCGGGCTAGGCATTACGCCCATGCTGAGCTGCTTGGAACGTTTTGCGAATATTAACCGGAGTAGTTGTGCCAGTTTTTCTCGCAGTTGTTCCGTGGATGTTGATCTCCTACTACTTAAACAGCAAAATCTGAGCCTCATTTGGCTGACCAGGGAGCCGTTGGAAGAGGACGCATGGCGCAAGCTGAACGCGTGGCACCCACAGTTGGAGACAGTGCCGAAGTTGTACGTGTACCAGACTGGTGCAGCTCGTACAGGACCACAGCAAGAGGCGGCCAGCGGACGCTGTAGAAGTGTGCACGAGTCCGAAGTTCTTGCAGCCTTCCCGCACTCCGGCGTGCCTCAACTTTATCGGACAAGTAATCGTGTGCAGTTCTGTGCAGGCCGACCTACTGCCGAAGATTGGCAGGCGATGTTCCTAGAGACTCAAGATCATGTTGAAGGAACATCACAGGAGAGGGCCACGACTGCAGCGACTACGACTAGCTCAAACAATGTGGCCTTCAACAGCATGGGAAATAAGCAAAGAAAAGTTCTCATTTGTCTCTGCGGCCCTGAGGCTATGATTTCGAACGTGACGTCGCGTGTCAGCTGGAGGTTGCGGGCCAAGCCACTTTCACAGTTCGCGAGGAACTGTTTCACTGGTAGGAGGACAAACGAAGGTGAACAAGACAAACCACGCTGCTGGTCGTCCTGACGAGTGCGACTTCATCACGACCTCATTTCAATTTGACTATGAAGACGAGACTGTGACACGACATCTGAGCAGAACATAATCGATGTGCTTGTGTGAGCTGGCTTCCATCGTGTTGTTGTATTAATTTGTTCTTCTACCAAGTAGCATTTTTTTGGGCCGCGGCGGGACTTGTTGTGCCGTACAAAGTAAGTAAGATTTCCGCGGTGCCCGTGGTGAAAGTTATCGCTCTCCCACATGAATTTCGCAATGCGAAGTTCAGAAAAGCAAAAGGCCCACCGCAGCGTATGATGATGATGAGCGCAGTGGACTTATCAGCATCTGTCTCTCTTCACATTTGGGTGAGTGTTTGAATGTGTCAGTGTCTGAATTTGAACAATGAATAACCAGAGCTGGCGCTGAGAACAACGACCACGACAACCTGCTACAACGAACCGCACTGAAAGAATGTTTTGACAACTGACCAATCATTTTCGCTACCAGCTGCGAGGCTTTGCCTTTGGCTTGTCTACTGCAGTCCTTTGTCAACAAGATCCAATGAAGTGACGCGACGTGTTGCGCAGTATATCCAATCTGTCGAAGAAGTTGAAGATCAGCACGGCTATATCGAATCTGTTGTAGTTGAACATCAGCACGCAAGATAGATGGAAGTAGCAAAGACACGACAAAGATCCCTCTGGCCGCAGTGCAGCCATGATAGATTGAATTTGAACATCAAGACAGTGTATCAACACTCGTGCTTACTACACTGATTCTGCAAGAAGTAGAGAGAGAAACAGGGAGAGAAAGTCCCTTTCTGATTTCGTTAGCGACATCAAAGATCCATACCTTTCCCGCAGTCGTGCCTCGTCTGGCGGAGGTGGCTACTTTGAAAAAAGTAGCCACTTTGATGGTTGTGGTACACGAAGTCGAACGAATTTGTTGAACTTCAAGATCTGAGCCAGAAGTCGTGATAAAAAGAGTACGTATGATCCTGCAGCGTTATTTCTTGGCGGTAACAAATTGTTTAGCCGCAGTCTGCTGTCTGACTGAGTCATGTACTGAATCTGTCAAAGTATTCTATTGGACGACAAACAAAGCTCCTTTCGCTGGCGGAGGTGGCTACTTCAATTTCTAGAACAAGAACATACGAGTCGTCGCCGCACGCAGCAAGGGACAACCAGCTGCTGCTGTTGTCGTTGTGGTCACTGGCACCGCGGATGAACTCGCACTTTCGTGACTGCATGTACTTCATCACCAAGACCAAATCGTGAACGGTGCAAATCGTGAAAGAAGTCGTGGACTATATTTATATTTTCGAGTCCCCTGCTTCCCAACAGGCTAATTGCGGTGTAGATGAGGTTAGAAATTATACAGCATCTACATTTCTATCATTCTTCGAAAAGCTTATCACAACTTGCCTAGTATCAGCATTCATTTTTGAATAAACCCTAGCAGCAGACGAAGAAGGGTTTTTTGTGAGATAACAGAAAACTCTGCAGGAGCTTCAACTCAAATATAGTCGCAGCCGTTTTGGAGAAATCTAGAACTGCAAAAATTTCATTTTACGATTCATTATCATTATCGCCGATCGGTGTCGTCCCGACATTGAGCCGGTGTTTTGCATACATACATTACCGAAACAAGGAAGTAAACATTTTCCAAAATAATAAAAATACAAATTCTTAAATTCTTCCTCGTTGCACGACGGGCCCATTAAAATTTTTGTTTTTCCTCTTTCGGCGACCATTCTGTCGATATTTTTACGACCTAGCTGTTGAGAAAGATCAACACGGTTCTCACGACCAGCTGATCCACAAAAAGCAAAAAAATGCTTGAAAAGATCAAAACCTTCGACCTGCCCATTTTTTTGGGGAACCATGTCGAGGACAAACACAAAGATAAAGAAGGGAGCAGCCGGGGAACCGAGCGTATTATTCGCTCCCCCGCTTGTGCCGGTGTGAAGATGAAGAAGAAGGAGACAGAAGCCAGACGCTCCAATCCCCGGGTGATGAAAAAATTCGCGGCACTGGTGGCCGGAGCGGGGGCCGTGTCTTGCGGTGGATTTTTGAACCTGATTCCATTCAAGGAGCACAAGAACGAGCTATCGTGGTACTACTACCCCACGACTTTTGCGCTGGCGTCGGAGCTGCAAGGAGGCACGACGGGAGATACCTCATCTGCGGGACGAGGTGGAGCGGTTGAGGATCATCAACAGCCTCGCGCGGCGGGACGTTCTCGCTCCCGCAGTAACCGCCGCGGGGGGACATTTTCTAGTACGCCGCACCAGGCTCAGGCTCAGGAACACGAACAGCGAGGTGCCTCGGCCTCCGGCGCCGCTCAAGAATCTCAATCTGGTGTAGTGACCACCACTTCCGGTTCCGTATCCAGGAAAAAACACCCATCCCCATCCATTTTTTGCATGAAAAATAGTGGAATTTATGCACGTTTTGCATGACAAATTGGATGGGGATGGGTGTTTTTTCCTGGATATTCCGCTGACGAGCCCTATCTGGACGCGAGCGTGTCCGCGAATCATGGAGCTCGTAGTTCCGCTGACGAGCCCTATCTGGACGCGAGCGTGTCCGCGAATCATGGAGCCCGTAGTTCCGGTGCGGCCCCTTTTCGCGCTACTTTCGATCCCCTGCCGAATGGTTGGGCGCAGGTTCGTGCACAAGGCTCTTTCGATTTCCAGGTAACTCGGCCCGCCGCGCGCGCAGGTGGTGGAGACGAGCGCTCCACTACTTCCCGGCCCCGGTCTCGCAGCCGCAGCTCCTATGCATTGCAAAAGTATCGTACTCGTAGAAATGCATGACAAATTCCCTCAGCATGAAAAATAAAATTTGTCATGCGGATTTGCCTTGAGATAAAAATTTGTAATGCATGATTGCAGTTTTTACTACGAGTACGATACTTTTGCACAGGATAGCTCCCGGCCGCACACGACCGGGACTGCCGAAGAGCCACAACCTGGAGCCACGCTATGGATCTGTTAGGATTGAAATTGTCAAAGTTGAAATAATTTGTCATGCATAAGCATAAAATGCGTGACGCGACGAGGCACGGGCGTTGCAGAGCAGGCAAGTGAGGCCGATTGTGAGCCTCTTTGGGGTTAAAGCTCGAGCTGCTAAAGTAGCATGAGAAAATCAGTCTTCTTTGCCTGAACAGCATGACAAACTAGATTTAGGGACCGCCAAGATTTGTCACGCGCTACTTGGAAACTGGGTTCTGGCATCGTCCATTTTATGCATGACAAACTATCTCAACTTTGACGATTTCAATCCTGACACTCCCATACACGCCGGCCCTGGTCCGCGAGGTGAGTGATGAACGCAACCGGCAAGCGCCGGAGCAGCGCGCGTCGCTGTTGGACCACCGCATGTCCCAGATGCATATGGTGTGGCACAACCGCTTTCAGCAGGAACTCGGGGATTCCGTCGAAAGCTGCAAGGACGCTGTTCGTCGCCACCACGAGTCTCCCGACTTCTCCATGGGCGACGTAATGGCCCGGGAACGCGGTTTAGATGACGAAGTGGGAGCCTACTACGCCGGTGTGCAGAACCTCATGGGCTCGTTTTGGGAAGCCATCGCGGTATTGAAACAGCAGAAGTTGTAGGAAGGCTAGTTAGTCGCTGCAGCTTTTGATCATCGATCTACTGTTTTACTTTTTTTTTTCTAGAAGTACGACTACTTTTTACAGGCAAGGCAACGTCGTCAAGAACGTCGCGTGACTCGTCTGAAGTAGACCTCCACTGCATCACAAACCTCCTTCACCAGTTTGTTCTCTTTCTGTTGTGGTTCTGATGATAAATATGAGAACATTAAACTCGTGCTGCCCAGCTGCGCCTTCGGCTTCGTTATCGTGCCTGCTCCTTCCATTTAACAAAACAGGTCCACACCCGGAAATGGCCGGAGCCCGTCGCCAGAGAATTCCACTTCCGGTTTCGCGTCTGGTCGCTTGCTATGCATTGCAAAAGTAATTTATCGTATTTGGTTTTAGTATAGTAGGAGTCGCATGACAAATTTTTATTGCAAGAAGAAAAATGCAACTTGTCACGCAGATTCAAGTAGGGAGCAGGATTAGGATTTGTCATGCAATTATAGTGCGATTAGATACAGATAGTACCAGTGCAATACAACTTTTGCAATGCATACCTGCCGTATTTGCCACCTCCATGCCGCGTGAAATTTACGCCCGCTTTCTGTCCCAGCTGAAGTCCTATGCATTGCAACTATGTCTGGGTCTGGAAGCCTGTGATGCTGAATTGAGCATGATTGAAGCGCTTGCAATCTTCGCAGCCAAGCATGACAAGTTTTTGAGGCGCCTGCTTATGCCTAGCACGCAGCACAAATTGCGTTTTTGCATGACAAAGGAAGCTTCTCCTTTGCTCCTCGTGCAACACAGATTTTACAGAAATGCAAGACACGCATCACAAGTTCCACTGTTCCAGACCCAGACATGTTTGTATTTCATAAGTCCCAGCCACCGCGTTTGTCCCCGGAAAGCAAGGTGTATGCGCTCGACGCGGATGATATCACAAGAAAAAACTGTTTCACTGTGAACTTGTAATGCAGAAACTGTATCTGAGAAGTGTTTGTCTTGCTACACATGCAAGACAATGGATTTTTAGCTGTCTTTTCCCTTAGGAATCTAGCATGGCAAATTTTCTCTGTGATGTAGAGCAAACTTGTGATGCAGAACTTGCAAAATCCTTACAGTGAAACACTTTTTTCGTACGATAGATGAGTACAGTCGCGGTCGTATCCTGAGGAAAAACGTCCCCACTCCAGAGTTGTCATGCAGATTTGCAATGACAAAGACATTTATGATGCGCATACCCATGGTAGACATTTCCAATCGTGTTTTGGAATTTGTGGTGCTGAGAACAGGATGAGCAGATGGGTCTGTGATGCGGCTGCACTTGCTAACCTGCACTACACTACGGAGTGCAACTTGTCATGCGCGACTCCCGAGACTCCTAGGTTTGTGTTGCAAAATCCCCATCTTGACTATGGGGTGCTGGGGACGTTTTTACACCGGATAGGTCGCTCAACTTTATGGTTGATCGCCGGGCTTCCAGTTGGACACTATAAATTTTTGAAGGGGGTGCAGACGATGCTGCACGTCCTCAAGAGCCAGCCCGTTACCGTGAACGGGCGGCCTGCGACCACTTCGACTGGAGGAAGAACGGCGCCAGCGGAATCTTCAAGTCTGCCCGCTTCTGGGTCGCGTCTCCTGCGTGGTCGGCGTGGTACTGAAGCAGGTTATCAAATGCAAGAATGTCTGGGTCTGGAAGATTGCGAGAATTGTCATGCTTGTCTGGCATGACCAAAAAGTTTGTGATGCGTGTCCAAGAAGAGACCCTTTTGCCTGTCATGCAAAAACGCAGTTTGTCATGCGAAAGACGCAACACAAAGAAGCGCAGATATTTCTCATGCTTGCCTGTGCATCACAGAGCATCCACTATTCCCAACGCAGCATTACAAGTTTCCAGACCCAGACATATTTTTGCAGTTGATACAGGTCGTGGTATATCAAAGTGATAAATATTTGCATCTATCTCGTCCCCCACCACCTGCTAAAATTTTCTAATTCGTATATTCCGAGACCGAGCTGCATGAGGAGGCGGGGGGATCAAAGATCAACCACGTTTTTCGTTTTGATATCCTGCCAGTTTATCAGCCTCTTCGTCTTCTGCATTATCTGGAGCTGCCAGCTCTTCCAGCTCCGCGCAGGGGTCGTTCTCGTTTGCGCCGCCTACCCGGGTAGCTGCCGGAGTAACTTCTACACCAGCACACATCGCAGCTGCTTCGGGGGAGGCCGCGTCAGCAGCACCAGCACCAGCTCCGTCCCCCTACGCGCAGGGGTCCTACGTCACCAGTATCGGCGTGGAAAATAAGAATCCCGAGCTGCAGGTGTTTCTGGCGCGCACCCTGGCGAGGCTGCGTATGGCGTGCTCCAACGTTACATTCTGAACTGTTACATGAATTTGTCATGCAAAACTACCCTGAGCACCGGTAGATGACCAAGCTGCTTCGCATGACAAATTTCCGAATATCTAAACAGCATCGAAATCCGTGCCAAACCTGTGATGCAAACGCAGCAAGCTTGCGCCTTTGACTGTTGCGGCTTTTGCGTCACAAATTCATGTAACAGTTGAGAGTGTAACGTTTGAGAGCGCCATACTGCGCCCCCTGCTCGACCCGCTGCTGGATGCAGAGCAAAGTCGGGTGCCAGAACTTTCGGGAAGCCTGCCTGAAGGTACAACGGAGAATGAAGATTCTTGCTGCGCATGTTTATTTTGCTCTACTTCGGAAATAAAGGATTGATGTATACATAGTTTACTGTTACGGCGAGGACTCTCATCTCTATCTCTCTTCATGCGCTCCTGCAATCAATAGAATGAAAACCAAAATATTTTCACGTATTCAACACATCATGACCTACATTCCCGATGTCTACAGATATGGCCGCGATTGTGGAGCAGCCGGATAGCCGTCGCTACACGGCGGTGCGGGATGATGACGGTAATGTGGCGGCTTTCATTTGTCAGGGCTCGGACCTCCGCTCCCGCGTGGACGTGTATGATGCCACGTTTAAAAAGATGCACAAATTTTACCTGGACAAAATTGCGGATCTGGACACCTTATGCAATGCAACAGTATCGTACTTGTACTAGTATGAATCGCATGACAAATTTGCTCAGTATGAAAAATGGAATTTGTCATGCTGTTTTACCTTGGGCAGGAGATTTGTAATGCATGACTGCAATTACAATTAGAATAGTGCGATACTTTTGCACTGGATACACCTTCGCGGACAACGAAGACGACGAGCACCCGATCAACTATGGAAGCTTCAGGATCGAAATCGTCAAACTTGAAATGATTTGTCATGCATAAAATGCAGCCCATAAAGTGCCTGTCTTGCAGAGTAGGCAAATGAGGCAGATTGTAAGCCTGTTGAGGTGTAGAAACTGAGCTGCTAAAGTAGCATGACAAAAGGCGTCTTCCTTACCCAAACAGCACGACAAACTGGATTTCGGTTCTACCCAAATTTGTCATGCGCCACTTGGAAGCTGGGTTACAATTGGCATCCGTTTTATGCATCACAAATTATTTCAACTTTGACGATTTCAATCCTGACACTCCCATATCAACAAAGGTTGGCTGCAGCTGATCACCGACGCGCAGAGACAGGTTGGCAACGCGTTCCAACCCAAGGGCAGTTATCCTGAGCAAAAACATCCACGACACTAGAGTTCTTGTCATGCTGATATGCAAGCACAGAAACACTTCTGTGATGCGCATGATCCATGATCCCCATGCTGATGAGAGGCATGATTTTCAATCGTGTACTACTGGATTTTGTGATGCTGATGTAAACAAAACAGGAATATACCAGGAAGATGGCTTTGTGATTGTTCGGGTGTTCATCTTGCTAACCCGCGTCTTCACAAAAATGCAGAGAAACAAAACGTGTCATGCCTCACTCCCGAAACTACCTCTGGAATTGTCTTGCAGATGAACACCAACTTGACTATGGGGGCGCGTGGACGTTTTCTTCAGGTGGATAGCGGTGACCTGACCTGGCACGCGCACATCCGGGCGACCTTCCAGAAGGTGCAGAGGGCGTACCGCGCCCTGGCTCCGAAGCTGCTGGACCGGGAGTTTGTCGTGGACCGCCTGGCCGGGCGCGGCCCGGTGGTGCCCGGGGGCACGCCCTATTACAACGAGTTTCAGTCCCCGTCGAGCCTCTACAAGTGGTTTCTCGACCAGCGGACGTTGGCCGACGCAGCTTTTTGGGCAGAACTCCCGCCGGCCTTGCTGGACCAGTTTCGCCAGTTTGTACCGGCGGTCGACAAAGACTGGAAGACGCTGGTCTGGGCGCGGTGGCGCCCCGTCGTGAAGGGGACGCTGGAGAACTATTTCGCGCTGGCGTCCGACATGGTTGGCCATTTCGGCAATGTGTTCGGCCCCGGATTTGACCGCCGGATGTTTGAGACGCAGGCTGAGCGCAACGTGAACCTGAACCCGCGACAGCAGGATGTGATGCGGGTGGCCGGGTATTTGGCCGACCTTCAGCGCGCCTTTCCCCTTTTCCTTCCCGAGAGCATGGTTCCAGGGCGCACGCCGGTCCCAGGCGGCTTGGCCGAAGAAGGCGAGAGAGAACGCAAACAGTTTCTCCAGAAGTTAGCCAAACCCTTGGGGGAGGGCATTGGGCTGGGGGGCTTCATGACCTGGTACATACCCAGCCTTCTCGCCGTCCTGGACCTGGTGGACCGGCGCGAGGTGCTCAAGGCCGCGGTGCTGGCCGTCGGTCCGTTGCTGACCTCTATCCACAGTAAATTTCCCGTGCATGATCACGTACAAAGGCGGAAGTCTCTGCATATACAAAACGTGGCTCCGATCCTAGTATAGCATGACAAGTGTGGGTTTAGTCCAAAATCTGGTGAAATTTGTCATGCATCTTGTACACGACGTACGGGATGAACGGGAAATTTGTATTGCATAACCTCGAAGCGGATGCACCAGCTGGTGCGCGATCTGTTTCAGACGGGTCTGCGGGCGATCTTGCACCACTCCTTCCTGCACAGGAAGATCCAGAAAAGCTATGAATTGCAAATATGTCTGGGTCTGGATACAAACTTGTGATGCGCATTTCACAACACAGAAAGATCTCTCATGCATAGGCAGCAAGAGCTGCCCACTTTCTGTCACCAAAATCAGGGACCTGTCATGCGGATTCGGCATTGCGGAAGCTTCTCGAAACCTGTGATGCCAGAGCTTCCATGCCAGACCTTCTGTGTCATGCAAAAACAGCACGACTCTGCCAGACCCAGACACTTTGCATTTGATAAAAGCGGGGACTTGACTGGAGTCGACACGCGGGGGTACATGCAGTCGCTAGTTGACCTTTCCCAAAAGACCTACGCCTTTCGCGACGCGTTCGGCTGGGGTGCGTGGCTGAAGAAGCTGCAAAACAAGGATGACGTTACCACTGCTCTGCTGCTGGAGCCCGTCCTTGCGTGGCTTCACGAAGTAGTACCGTTTCTCGACCGACACGACACGTTCATCCCGAATGACCCCTCGCTCGGGAAAAATGTGATCTGGCGCACTGCGGAAGCCCTCGCTGAGCACGAGGAGACCGCTGCAACGGAGCGCAGGATGAACAACAACCAGAACGCTGACGAACTACCGGCGGAAACCGGGTCCGAAACTCGATTCGGAGCAGCAAACCTCGGGATTCCCGACACTGGGGTTCTGCGCGCCCTCTATCCACAGAAACAAAAAGAACCCATCTCCATCCACTTTTTGCATCACAGATACAGGATAATGGACAATGGCAATGTCGGCGCGGTTGTTTTAGCATCACAGATACAGGATTTGGTGGACGCGCATGTTATATATAATTTTGCATGTTGATAGTGATAAATTGCAAGCATGGGATGAATGGGTCCGCCGTGTTTTTGTATGCATAATCTCCTCTCGTTGTACACAAAGGTTAATGGGCCCCCGGGACCCGCGCGCGAGATCGCCGAGTACCTGGTGGATTGCGACACGCTCAGTGATATTTTCAGCTTCATTGTGGACGGGTTCGCCCAACAAGGCTGGCGCAAGACCGCGCGCTTCTTCCAGATCTTTTTGGGTCGGCGACCGGAAGAAAACGTGGTGGACCTCGGAGAAAACTGGATCGAGCAAGCCGCCGAGGAGTTGGAATTTTTCTGGGCACATTTCGCGGAGAAGCGTACTTTGGGCGACCTGGCGCTGTTTGTGCGGTCCTCGGCGGACGAGGCAGATGAAAGCGTCAACGTTTTGCGAAACTGGCGGAAGAAGGGCTGGACTGTTCTGATAGAGATCGTGAAGAACGTGGTAATGCCGCCCGCGCCCGGATCTTTGCGCGGCGCCCTCACCCGGCTGCACCAACGGCACGTTGGTTCGGATTTGCGCACCCTCGATGGCGTGATCAAAGCTGTCAAGCGGTCTTCTGAGGTGGGCGAAAGGCTGGTGGATGTGGCCGTCGTGCTGTTCGTGCGAAACCTCCGAGCTCTCGACCTGCCGGCCCTCTTTCCGCGGGACGCCGACAGTGTAGATCTGGCGGAGCTGCAGGCGGTCCACGAAGTTTTTCTCGAAAACATCAATACCTATCCCGGCATGGAGCGCCGCGAGGCCCTGGTGAGTGAGGAACTGCCCGAGATCACGCACAATGCTTACTTCAACCGATTACTGCAGAAACTGCTGCAACGAGGACTACGAGGCCTGGCGCGCGACCGCGCGCGGAGCGTGCAACAAGAGGCACAAAGTACCGCGTCGCATCGTGGCACAGGAGCGCCGTCCTCTACCGCGGGGACGAGTAGTGCTACGGCGGCTGCAGCTAGTTCTAGTGCTGCTAGCACCAGCACTACACATCCTGTGTCGAGAAGTGCCGCTGACAGAACCCCTGTTGCTGACAACATCGCCGGAGATGGGGACGCCGTCGTGGTTCCCATGACTGATGATGAAGATCATGACGCTGGTACAACTGGTGCTGCAAGTGGAAGTGCGCCTGCGGCGGCCAGGCTATTTGGAGCCGACTTGTACGAGCGAGCGCGCGTGCTATTTGGAGCGAACGAAGACGAAACTGATGCTGACGCGTATGAAAGTGTCAGAATCGAAATCGACAAAATCGAAAAATTTGTGATGCACAAAATCGATGCCAGTTGGAGCCTCAGTTTCTAAGTGGCGCATGACAAATTTCGGGACCACCAAAATCCAGTCTGTCATGCTGTTTGGGCAAAGCAGACTGCTCCTGCCATGCTACTGTGGCAACGCATTGTATACCCCTAAACAGGCTTACAATCGGTCTCATTTGCCTGCTCCCCAATACAGGCCTCGCGTGCCCTACATTTTATGCATCGCAAATTTTTCGATTTTGTCGATTTCGATCATGACACTCCCATAACGTGGACGAACAGAATCATCCCGACGCCCCACCACCGCTGCGGATTCGGGAGGTTTGGGAGCTCGTAACGAACCTGTTCGTGTCGCAACTGTTCACGCCCATTTTGATATTCTGTGCAAAAATGTCTGGGTCTGGAAGATTGGAACTTGTGATGCTAACTTTGGACTCTAAAAAAATCTCTATTGCGTGACCAGCAAGAGGAGTCTAGTTTGTGCTACGCGGGGAGGGCGTTTGTCATGCGGAGTAGGCATCGCGAAGCCCTCTAAAGAAAATCTGTGACGCTAGGGCGTGCATTACAGGCGTCCTAGGTCATGCAAAACATGCGTGACAAGTCTCAGAATCTTCCAGACCCAGACACTTTTTCAGTTCATATTTCAAACTGCTTGACCATGTTGCGACGCAGGCGATGGCCGGCGTCAAAGACATGAGTGCCGAGAGACTCGCGCAGCCCGTGCGCTGGTTGGACCCGGATGGGCCGAGCCGCGTGCTGGAGGACCTGAACTGGCGGCCCGGACCGGGGAATAACGTGGACCCCGCTAGTACCCTGGGCCGGATCCTCGAGCGCGTCCGAACACACTACACCCGCATCTTCTCCACCAACTTTGCGGGGCTGTTGCAGCGCTTCGAGAAAGCCGCGAGAAAGAAGCTGGAGCGGGACCTGAAACTGCAGCACTTGGCACCGAACCTGGTTGAGACGCTGCGGGAGATCGCGAGCATCATCGACGACGAAGACCTGCCCGCCCCGATGAAGCCCTACCTGCACCGTTTCGTCACCGACTACTTTGTATCAAATATAAAAATGTCTGGGTCTGGAAAGGTCGAACTTGTAATGCTGGTCTTGCATTCCTGTGAAATCTGTATTGCATGACCAAGAACAGTGGTAGCCTCTTCTGTCATACAAAAACGCAGTTTCTCATGCGGAGTTGGTATGAGAAAGCGTGCTGCAACCTTGTCATGCTTTCCTGCATAAGCAAGTGACTTCCTCTTGCACATTTTAGCATCACAAATTTCCAGACCCAGACATTTTTACACTTGATACTTTGACCGCGGCACCGAGAAGCTGAAAATGGATCTCATCCTGGCCTTATCAAATGCAAATATGTCCGGGTCTGGAAGAATGCAACTTGTGATGCTGCATTTGGATGTCTAAAAAATTTGTGTTGCATGACGGCAAAAGGAATCTAATTTCTGCCACGCGGAGAGGGCATTTGTCATGCGCAATAGGCATCAAGAATCCCTCAAAAAGCCTGTGAAGCTAGGGCATGCATCACAGACATCGTGGCTCATGCAAACCGTGCACGACAGGTCTCAGAATCTTCCAGACCCAGACACTTTTGCATTTGATAGGCCTACCTGCAGCAGCCCCCGCACTCGCGCACACTGGGCAAGATGCTCACACACACGGGACCGTTTCTGCAAAAGAACGTGCAGATTTTCGCGGACAAGGTATCAAGAAGAAAAATCCCCCCTCCCCATATCAAAACGAAGTTTCGGATGCTGGATTTGAGTACACAAATCAGATTTGTCTTGCTGCAGAGGACTGCAGACCCAAACGAAGCCTGAGTAGAGATGCTGTGACCTAGGCACTTGGCATGAAAAACGTCCGTGTTGTAGGCCCCACAGCATGACAAACCGCCCTGCATAATGCGGCGGAGCCGGTGGGGTTGCCGTCTTGCAAGACAGACGCGATTTGTGGTCACAAATCAGCAACACAAATTGGGGAGGGGGGATTTTTCCTCACAATACAAGGCCAAAAACCCAGACACCCGCGCCCTGCTGCAGTCCTTCCGGCAGAATTTGGACGCGCCGATATCAAAAGGAAAAATCCCCCCTCCCCATATCGAAAACGAGATTTGTGATGCTGGATTTGAGTACACAAATCGGCTTGTAATGCTAGAAGGCCAAGAGAGACACAGCTGTGGCCTCGTTTGTAGGCAATTTGTCATGCTGTTTCCCACTTCCAGCTGCCCCCTGTCATGCTGAAGATGCAACGCTTTCCCACGCCAACCAGCACTATAGTCTGCATCTTTCCCCTTCTAGCATGACAAAGCTGATTTGTGACCACAAATCTGCATCACAAATTTCTAGTTTGAGTATGGGGTGGGGGGATTTTTCCTTTTGATAGCCGATGACCTGGTGGCAGGTCTGGGAACAGCTGTGCGGCCCGAAGAATGAGCACTTCTCCTACTACCACTGGACTTCCTATGGAAGCGTCAGGATTGAAATCGTCATCAAAGTTGAAGTAGTAGCTTGCGATGCATAAAATCAAGACCAGTTGGAAGCCTAATTTCCAAGCGGCGCATGAAGACAAATGTCGGCACCGTCTAAATCCAGTTTGTCATGCTATTTCGGTACAGAGGACGTCTTTTGTCGTGCTACTTTCACTTTGGCAGCTCTATCGCAGACCGCAAACTGGCTGACAGTCGAGCTCTCTGGCCATCCCCGCAAGAGAGGCGCTGAAAAATGCCTTGCAGTTTATGCATGACAAATTATTTCAACTTTGTCGATTTCGATCCTGACGCTTCCATACTTACAAAGGGCACTGCCGTCCCGGAAAGTACGACTCCCCCAAACTCTTCCGTCGGCACGACAGCCGTCCCACGGGCTGGCTGGTCACGGTGCGGAAGAACTTGTATCAAATGCAAAAATTATGTCTGGGTCTGGAAGAATCCGAACTTGTGATGCTGCATTTGGATTCCAAAAAAATCTGTATTGCATGAGCAGCAAAGAGAAGTTAATTTTGGCTACGCGCCGGAGAGGGCATCTGTCATGCGGAATAGGCATCGCGAAGCCCTCAAAAAGTCTGTGATGCTAGGGCATGCATCACAGACATCATGGCCCATGCAAAACGTGCATGACAAGTCTCAGAATCTTCCAGACCCAGACACTTTTGCATTTCATAACTTGAATGGGCAGGACACCAGTGACTTCATCTGGAAGGACCAACCGGTGCACTCTCGGCGGGACCGGGAGCACGTCGCTGCGTTTTTGAACCACGAGATCGACCTGGAAAGCGCATTCAGCGACGACGACGAGGAAGCTAGTAATAGCTCGGGAGGAGCGGTAGCCGCTTCATCTTCGGGTGCTGCTGTGCTGGCAGGAGCAGGAGTGCCGACAACTACTGCTACATCAACACCTCGGGCAGTAGACCAGCCTCAACAAGAAGCGTCGAACTACGCGTCCTACAGCGAACACGAGCATTTATCCTGAATAAAATCGTACCCACACCAGAGTTGTAATGCAGATTTGCAAAGACAGGAAGACTTGTAATGCGCATCCCCATGAGAGCCATTTCCAATCGTGTTTTGGAATTTGTGATGCTCTGAACAGGATGAGCAGATGAATCTGTGACGCGGCTGCACTTGCTAACCTGCACTACACTGCAGAGCGCAACTTGTCATGGGTGACTCACGAAACTCCTAGGTTTGTGTTGCAAAATCCCCATCCTGACTCTGGTGTGGGTACGATTTTACTCAGGATAGCACTTCGTGCTGGTTTACGAGGATCGCCATCGGTACTTCGCCAAAATCGCGCCCGACGCGGTTGGCACCATGGCGCAGGGCCACCTGGTGACGCGGATGCCTGAGCAGGACGCGGTGGGAGGTGCAGGAACTACTTCTGGTGGGGATCACGAGGGCGGCCCGGGGCAAGAAAACAAGGAAGGTTCTGAAGATGACCACGCCACAGGAACAAGCGGCGAGCCCCTAGCACATTTGAAACAAATGCTTCAAAAACACGAGCAAATTGAGAAGGACATCGAGGAGCTCGATGACCGCCTCGCGGAATTCCAGCGAGTAAAGGATGAGTGGTTGATATCATGAGAAAAAAGTGTTACAGTTGCACATTGTGTTGCAACACCGGCAACACAGACAGCCTTTCTCGTGCAGGAAATGCTTGGGAGCCTCGTTTCCTTGCTGTTTTCCCTTATGATCTTCGCATTGCAAGTTTTCTCTGCCACACAGAGAAAATTTGTGATGCAGAAACTCCAACACATGTGTAACTGTAACACTTTTTTCTCGTGATAGTTGAGAGCATTACGTGGCGAAGAAGGATCTTCTTCGTCTTCTGCTGTAGCGGGAGCCGGCGGGGGCGCCCCGGCGCAGGACGAGCAAATGGATGCTAACCCAGATGAAACACCAGAAGAAGCCGAGCGGTTGGAGGCAAAGGAGGTGAACCGGACCCCCGACAAGATGTGGCTGCGCATTCAGCGTCCGTACCTCCAGGATCGCTTGGAGTCGGAGAAGCAGGTGATTAACAAGATTCTCGACGACTCCGCAGCGACTGGCGACAGTGCGGATCTGGTGAGCTCGGTTCGGGCCGGCCTGAACTTTCAATTCGGTCGCATCGAGGCTGAGCTGGACATCTCCAAAGAGGTGGAGATATGCATTGCAAAAGTATCGTACTTGTAGTACTTGCATTGCAATACAAATTCGCTCAGCGTGAAGACAAATGAATTTGTCATGCTGATTCACCTTGAAAAGGATATTTGTCTTGCATGGTGACCCAATCTGTTTATGCTAGGAGAGGGCTAGTGCGCTGTAGACCCCCAGGACCAGGTAGACTCAGTCCCGACCGAAGTGCTAGGCGCTTAGGGTGGACTATGTATGTAGCGCTTAGGGCCCTTCCGTACGGCCAATTTGTATGTCCTGCAACGGGGTTCGCCTATGTCGGTCATTTGTATGTGAGGCGATGGGTTACCCGGTCGGCAGAGCCGATCCACAACGAACGATGATGACTGCGATTACTTACTACGAGTGCGATATTTATTACTTTTGCAGTGCATAAGAGAACTTGCAGAAGGCGAACTTGCTGTACAACAGTGAAAACTTCAGCGAGAAGTTCCTTCGCACTCTGAACAGCCACAGCAGTGGCGTCCTCAGCCGCGAGAAGCTGGCGCAGCTGGGTGCCGTCCGCTTTTTGCACCGGATTGACGACTACACAAAACGGTTCCGCCACGGAGACGATGACGACGAGGCAGACCTTCCGGAGGAAAAGTATCCAGTGCAAATAAAGTATCGTACTCGTATAAATGCATTACAAAAAAATTCCTCAGCATGAGAAATTAATAAAATTTGTAATGCTGATTGACCTGAAGAAAAAGATTTGTAATGCATGACTGCAATACGAGTACGATGTCGATGCTTTTGCAGTGCATAAAAAGCGGCGACCCGCAATCCTGACCGAATTTGCAGAGGGTATGACGTTGCAAGCCTGGGCACTACAAGCGGCAAGTGAAGACAATCATGACGCTGTTGCTAGAATCTCCTCCTCCTCTCAGCAAGCTTCCGTGTGCCTGGTCGCGGAAAACCTGTCCAACCTGTTTCGTCTTTGGTCTTACCATATCAAATGCAAAAATGTCTGGGTCTGGAAGGTTTCAACTTGTGATGCTGTTTTTGGAATCTAAAAAAATCTGTATTGCATGACCAGCAAGAGGCGCCCAGCTTGTGCTATGCGGGGACGGTATTTCTCATGCGGAATAGGCATTAGGAAGCCCTATAAAAATCTGTGATGCTAGGGCATGCATTGCAGACATCATGGGTCACGCAAAATATGCATGACAAACATAGCGATCTTCCAGACCCAGACATGTTTGCATTTGATATACCACGCTTTGTTTGCGCCGTCCCACACCTTTTTCCACGGGGATCCGCACCCGGGGAACATCATGGTGCATCCCGAAACGGGAAAGCTGACGTTCATCGACTTCGGATTCGCGTTCAACCAGAACACAAAAACGAACCTGCTCGCCCACTTCACCCAGTACGTGAAAGGCGTGCTCCGCAAGGACGTGAAAGCGTTCCAGACACTGTTCAACAACCTCCCCGAGTACCGGATGCAAAAGTGTCGTAATAGATAAGTAGTACCTAATCGCATCTTCACAATTTTTTTCTTCAGCATGTTGAGAAATGAAATTTGTAATGCGGATCTACCTCAAGAAAATAAATTTGTAATGGACGACTGCAGTTAATACCACCAGTACGATTATACTTTTGCAATGCATACCACGGACGACCCGCTGATCCTCGCACTGGCCACCGCGCTCGAGTCCCCCGACCTGGCGGCGCAGCCGCCGGAAAAGCAGATCATGACGGTGGCCACGGGGGTGGTGTTCCGCCACATGCTACAAAATGCAAATATGTCTGGGTCTGGAAACTTGTAATGCAAGACAGTCAATAACAAATGCACTGTAATGCGCCGCCAAGCATGACAAGTTTTTTTGTGCTTCTGTGCTGCGTTATTCCGCATGAGAAACTGTGTTTTTTCATGACATGCGAGAGAGGCTCTCTGTGGCCACGCAATACAGATTTGACGGCCATGCCAGATCAGCATGACAAGTCTCGCAATCTTCCGACACTTTTGCACTTGATACATGCACCGGCTCCCGGAGATGCTGGCCCTGCGGGAGTTCCTGTTGGCCCTCGGCCTGTTTATCGACGGGTTCCTGCTCCTTGAGAAGCACCGCGGGCCCGAAATCCGGCAGTGTGCCGCCGCCGCGGCGGCAAGGCAGCGCGGCAGTAGCCTGCGCCGGCTCGTGACGCCCGACTGGTACTCAAACCCCCTGGAGCGGCCCACCACCATCCTGTTTCGCAGTCTGGACACCGGGGACCAGCTGTCTCTCTTCGCGCACGGGATGCTCGCAAAATTGTGGACGTCGTCGACCAGGGCGGCTAGTACTGCAAGTGGTGGAGTTGTTGTCGGAGCTAGTGCTGAAGCTAATTCTGGAAGAACATCAGCGGATGCAGAAATGTTACCCGGGACAGCTTCAGGAGTAGCCGCATCTTCATCCTCTTCGAGCGCAAATCCAGCACCACCTGCTTCCGCCGGACAGTGAAAAGGAAAAAGTAAATGAAAATGTGGACAATTTCGCGCTGGTGCATGTTGTATATTTTTTGTCAAGAACAAAGACAAACCACGGCCACGAGGATGAGGACCGTTCTTGAGGTTTCGGTGTAGTCGGTGATCTACAAGATAAGCCTAGGACGAGATCGGACAAAACCAGACCGGGCTCATCTGATCTTTTGAAAATAAACTTAACTTACATGAGTGAGGATTTTGTAAAGGTAAAGAATGTACTAAAGTTCGGTCTCGTACTATAGAAATACACAGTTGATACCATATCGCAGAAGATCTCACCGATTTTGTTGAAGCGCAAGCCTTTGTTTTTACGGAAGCAATACTATTACTAATTCGAAGATACGGCGCTATTAGCAAAGCTGCAAATAGAAATAATCATATTTATCAGCACGGAAGGTGCGACGTGGATCGCACGACAAGTCCTTGTGAAGATTGCGTCGAACCTTATTTCTGCTTGGTGACCACCCTGTTTTTGGATATTTTGTATGCTTTCGCGATGTACGAAATACAACGACAGCTAGACGCAGTTGTGCCGATGTTGAACAAAACATCTACAGCTAGTAAGTACTCGAATCTTTGTTTTTGAGCACGTTATATATTTGCATACACTTCTACAGTAGAGGACATACTTGGTAAGGATACTAGTTCCTTCTCTGCACGACCATCTTCACGCTCCTCCTTCACGGGGCAGTAAGTTAAGGGTGTGAAAAATTCAGCTTTAAGAGCAGCTTTGAAAATTCGGCCTGTGGGTTTTTATTTCAGTCGCAGGGACCTTCAGAGTCGGCGCCAACATACAGCGGCGCCGCCAGCTCATTTCGAGCCCGATTTTGCGCGCGGAAGGTCGCAACTCGTGCGAAAGCGACGCTTCGCGCTGTGAAGCATCTTTTTCGCGTCGTTTGCGATGTTCTGCGCATATTCTGCGCACCGTTGCCAGCATTATGCGCGCAATTCGTCAGTACTTGGCGAACTGCACACAGAGCAAGTTGGGGAGCTGGTTCGCGAACACATCAAAAAACAATAGTAAGAACACCACACAAAACGAGTCAAAGAACGCCACACAAAACGAGTCAAGAAACAGCATAGCGAAAAGACAGCGTTAGGCGCGGATAAGCGCTTCCAAAGATGCTTGCTTTTTTGTGCTCAAAAAGCCACGGCTCTGCGATCAAAAAAAAGCGCGGCTGTTTCTTGCTCTCAGTTTCGAACGGGCACTGGAACTCTCCCGACTCTCAAGTGGGCAAAGTTCCAGTTCCCGTTCCTGTAGCTTTCTCTTCAAAGCTCCAGCGCTCAGATACTGGGTTATGGCATTCGCCATGCACTTTTTCATAGCGTTTGCTATGCCATTTTTTATTACAGTCCGACTGCGTCAACTTTGACTGTTAAAGAATGCTACCAAAAACACCATTAACGAAAACACAAAGTCGCTCTTGCTTATCCCCACCTAACGCTGTGATTTCCTTATTGTGTTTTCTGACCTGTTTTCTGACCCATGTTGGTGACCCAGTTTAAACGAGTTAAAAAAGTGCACTTCTTTGCTGTAAAACGTGCGCTTTTTTTGTTGTGCTTTTTGTTGCTTCCAAAAAAGGCATTTCTTTGGTCTTCATGAAGGGGTTTTTTTTTGGGTCCAAAAGGTTGCAGGCTTTAGGGCTCAGCAACCAAGGCGCCCACGTCGTTTGAAACGAAGGAGGCGCCTGGGTCGCGCAGTTAGAAAGCCCATGGGCCACGCACTCCAGATTCCTCACGCATTGCAAATTCCGTGAAGAATGGAATGCGCAATGCGCAAGCCGGAAATCGAGGTATGGAGTTGTGTCGTATGGAGCCTTGGCAATTACAAACTCCATCCCTCATGCGTTCCAAATTGCTCACGCATTACATATTCCATGAAGAATGGAATTTGTAAATGTGTAGACCGCAGCCTGGAGGAGTGGAGTTCTGTAATGCGGAACGTTCGCGACTTTTTCACAGAAAAAGTTGCATGAGTTCCAGCTTCCGTGACATCAGAAAAAGCGCGGCATTTTAAGGTCAAAAAGTGAATGCTTCTTCTGGATTGCTTATCCGCCTCTAGCGCTGTCTTTTCGGCGTGTTGTTTTTTGACCTGTTCTCTGTGTTGTTTTTTGACCTGTTCTCTGTGTTGTTTTTTGTTACTTCTCTCCACGACCATCTGCACGCTGCTCCTTCACGGGCGGGCAGTAAGATATGTGCTCGACAGGAAGACTTCTATCCCACTGTAGAAATACACGAAAATAACGATGAAAGCTAACAAAAATAAGAACGTGGATGAAGTTGTATTGATTGCTCCTTATTGCGCGCCTAAGAGGGCTCCAATTTTGGATTTAGAACAGTAGTTTATGATTATATAGTTGTACCACAAAGATGAAAAGTTTTTTCCATATTTTTCCGTTGTGAAGGTGGCCTTTCGTAGAATTCGGTCCTGCAGGTTGAAGATCTTGAGCGTGAAGATCATGCGCTGCGGGAATTATAAAACGTAGAATGAAAAAACCAAGACCAACGCTCTAGTTGTATTTATCATGGACTTCGGCGAAGCAAGTTGTAGTACTCTTTATCTACGAATTGCTTTTCGCTGAAACCTGTGATGTCGAAACCGAGGAGGGCAGCACTTGCATTTATATTTATACAAAACCGATTTCTATTTGCGCGCAAAATTTTTAAGTGCGGGAGTGCTACGTCCTCCACAGACACCAAGACCGAAGTAGACCTTATCTGACGTCGTGGTGGTATTTTTGCCAACTACGGCCTGCAAAAAAGTCTTCAGCTGCATATAACGCAAGGGAGCCGAGACTCCATGGGGATGCTTGGATGTGGTTGACGGGTGAGAGTTGAGTCGTGTTCCGGGCATTTTTGTACCTATAACCAACGATGAAAGCGAAAAACAAAAGCAAGCACGACCACGAGCAGTTAGACGTGACGTCGTTGTATCTACTGTATCTGCTACTTGCTAAAAACTCCGCTGTGCTTGTCCACCTATCGGTTGTTGAATGACATTCACAGCTGCAGCATTTCCTATTGATGAACACCACCGCCCCGCACGTCCTCCTCCTTCGGTGTTAGTACTAAAAGCATCTCGTTCATTTACTTCGGTACGCAAGATGAAATGTCGAATGTACAGGAGGTGGAGGAAGGTGTAATCGAAAGTGCCTGATCCTGTTCGGTGGTCATGATGAATATCAAAAACGTCCCTCGGTCAACTACGGTAATTCTTGTCCTCAGCAGGAGCATAGCGTAAATCAGAAGATCATTTCGGTTTCTCGGCCTCCTGCTAGAAAATGCGAGCTACTTTTTTACCAACTTCTTATTGGTGCACAGTGCCACTCATCATCTTGTATGTACTTCTGTAAAACACAGCGTACAAGCCGTAGGAGGCGCATAAGTGAAGTCAAGCTCCTTGTTTGTCGAAGTTAAGTGGGTCATTATTGAGTTGAACGACCGAAAATTTTTGGTCGGTCTCCGCGATTCTTGACTTGCAACTGTGCTCCTCCTCCGATCGGATCAGCGAAAGATATGCTGCGACGTGCTACGGAGAATTGTGAAGCGATAAGCACACCACGACGCATCGATTTACCTCAACCGCAGCGACCCCACCAAGATCTGTTTTCCTCTTTACATATCATCGATTTCTTAGTCGCATGGTGAAAATGAGGCGATGTTCATTTGTGTACTAGTACCCGATTTTTTAGATTCTAATTGAATGAAAAATAGGCGAGCAACGGTGTGACATGTCTCCAAAGTCGTGCCATAATTCCAGGTGATCATTAGATCCAGTTTTGTAAGAGCGACGTCTTCGTCGCGCATCGTTGTACTTGTTTTTCTTCGTCACAACTCATCACATAATTTGATTTCCTGATAGTACAACTTTAAGTCTCAGCTCTGCTCAGGTAAAACTAACAATGAAGTGGTTCGAGGATTGAAGTTTTAGTTTATTTCTACAGTAGCACAATTTGATGTTCTGATGAATCGGTGAACCTGCCACAAACAGCAGCACAAGAACTACATTATATCGACAGGACTTCTTGTAGTCCTCCCGCCATGTAGTTGAGGACCACCAGGAGCAGTTCCTGTGCATGGTAAAAGTGGGAACGAGGTGCAGTTGGAACGCAAATTAACCGAGCATTGCGAACAGGAACAGACAGAGCACGAAAACCATACGCAAGGAAGATTATTTTATTTTGTCGGAGTTAATATTGAGTAGACGTATTGCTTATGCTTTCTAAACCAGCACGTCGACGCTGATCAACATGACCGAGCAACCAGGCAGTCAATCGCCAAGGACGCCGGTCACGCCGCGGCGAAGGACGGGTCCGGAGGTGGGCAGAGGACCTCCTGCTCCGCAAATTGGAGCTGCTTCTGGTCCAGCTGACGATCGAGATCATGCAGCTGCTGGCAGAGCTGCAGCAGCACCCAGTCCTCCACCTTCTGGTAGCGCTAGTACCAGCAAGACCAAACCGACTCATCTCCCGCGTGTGCGCCATCTGATTGTGTTTCAGCACGGTATTCAGGGTGCGGCCTCGGACTTTGACAACCTGGTTCTTGCCATCCAGAAGGAGTACAGATCGGCTCTGGACGCCAAAGATCTGCCGATAGTAAACGTAAATCCTGGTCAAAACGAAACGATCGCACAGAAGATAAAAGCCTCTCCCCGCATGCTGCTGGGAGCCGTGATTGGGCGCAGTCCTTTCCGTGAGTCCCCTCAGTCATCTCCCCGTGCGAGCGAAGAGGACCCGCGGAAGGCCTCTCAGGGAGATGAGCAGCGTGGGTCGAACGCCGAGCGGAAGTTAGACATTCAGGACCGGGTGCTCAAGAGCAAGGCTTCCGAGGGAGGACGCTGGTCCGAAGATGTGGCCGCGGTTGGGACAACAGCAAGCGGCTCCCAAAATAAATTTTCGCCTCGACCCAGAAGCACAAACGAAGATGGCACCAGTACTACTATCGGCGCTGGCAAAAATGCTACTGATTTATCGGGGAGCACGACCAGACGGGCAAACCGGTCCGCGATCGGGTACTCACCCCGCGCAGTTTCGCCCAGGGTAAACGTAAAGACCGAAGAGGAAATCGAAGAAATCGAAATCCACACGGCAAAACACTCGGACTGCTTTTTCGGGACGACAGACGGCCTCGCGGCCGGCGGGAAGCGCTTGTTCGAGGAGATTTGGGCAAAGCTGACCGAAACCGACATAGCTCACTCTGAACAGTATTACCACGATGCCGCGGTAGAAGCAGTGGCCAACTCGCTGTCAGGTAGAGACTTCAACTTCTCTGGGCGTAAAACGAAAGAGCAAGGAGGTAGCAGGGCGGGGGCCGCTCCTGGGTCGATTGCACCTAGACCTACCACTCCGAGAAATAAAACTAATGGTACTAGCCCGTCCACCCTCGCACCGGTCCGGTACCTCTCGGTGGTCGGACACAGTCTCGGGGGCCTGTACCTGCGGTATGCGCTGGCGCTGCTGCAGGATCGCCTGGAGCAGCAGCCCCGAAAACTGCAGTTCTGCACGTTCCTCACGCTCGCGACGCCCCACTTGGGCATCCGACGCCCGCAGCATCAAAACTTCTGGAATGACCTCGTGCAGACGCTCGCGAGCTGGGGAAACAAAACGCAGCAGGAGCTGTGTCTGGAGGAGCCCGAGTTGACCGCTTTAATACCCCCGGACCATTTTACGCGACCCGTGCGGCGGCGCGACAGCGAACGGCCAAGCCCCCTGCTGGTGCAAATGGCCACTGAGGAGCGATTCCTGGCGCCCCTGCGGCAGTTTCGCCGCCGGTTGCTCTACGCCAATGTGTTCTATGACGTGCTGTGTCCCTACTGCACGGGGAGCATCCGCCCGGTGAACCCATATCGCCACGAGTTCGACATGCAGAGGCTCGGCATTCAAATGGTCGCGCACCCACCTCCTGCGAAATCCAAATCTGTAGATATCGATGACCACGTGGAGCAGGTCGAGCAGAGTGGTCAGAAGAGGGGGGGGACGACGACTTCTACGACTTTTAAAAAGAGCCTAGGAGGTGCTCCACCTCCAGCTCCTGTTGTCCAAAGCAGCTTGCTGGGTTCGCAAGGATTGCACCCTGACTGCAAGTACGTGTACAACCTTTACGGAGCTGGTGCAAAGTCGGAGACGAGCAGCACGCCCACTAGCGGCGAACAAGCCAGGACGGCTGCATCAAAGCTGCAGATGACCGCCGGGTCGTCGTCCACTGTCAACAACTACATCTCGGCTCGCAAACAGGAAGAGCTGCATAGCCGGATCGTGGACGAAAGAGTTGTCGACATCGTTGCCGCGAAACTTGCGGCATACGACGAGCTGGTCAGAAATAGAAAAACTAAAACATCCGCGAGCAAAAAATCGACAGCATCCGCATCCTCTCCTCCCTGCTCTCCGAGACAAGGAACGCGGCCGCCATCTTCCGCCGCGCAGCCCCAGCCGCCAGCTGGTGCGCCGCTAGAGCCTCCAAACGGTGCTGCTCCTGGTGCGGCGCGAAGTGGTCGGTCTACGGCGCAGCAATCCTCCATCAACGCCGACGGAGAACAAGCTGGAGAGGACATCGAAAGACAGGCCTCCGGAGACCCTGACGAGCTGGGAGCGTGCGTCGGGCCGGTCGTGCCAGCCGCAGAAGGGACAAACACGACGACATCCACACCCAACACACCGGGCCGACGAGCGGTGTCTGCGGGCTTTGCACTGCGCGATAAAAGGTCCCAGGAGCTGCAAAAAATGATGCACTGCCTAAACACCATGAGCTGGGAGCGTGTGGATGTCAACATGAACCTATGAAAACGAAATTTTTATACGGAGAGGGCTAGAACGGGAAAAACTCGGCGCTATCTTCACTGTCTTACAGAATGATCTTCATCAATCTACAAACCGACGCTTGCTCTTCTTGAGCATCTTGGTGCTCATGCTCTTCGATTCCGTTTCTGCATCATGAAAGAAGCAGAGGCGTCCACCTCTGGGGGGGACCTCTTGTATCTCTTTCCTGCATGATGTGCTGGTGTGTCATATATTCTAAATAACTCACTGAAAGAACTCAATCTCAACGCATCCAGCAAAAGCAAAAACTGGCATAATTCGAAGTAGATGCGATAAAGATCATAGTGATGGTGCCGACGTACGAGCTCCCGTACTAGCTGAAAAAAGAATTTTCCAACTTTCATACACCTCCGCACGGGCACATTGTTAACTCTAAAGTGCCTTACGTTAAAAGCAATTCAAAATGATTTCAAAAGGAATTCAAAAAAGCGCACTTTTCGTTTTTCCGTGAAATTGGGCGGCCATTTCCTTTATTTTTTCGGATGCGCGGCTTCTTTTTTCGGCGTTTGATTGTCGTCCTGTGTCTGGCGGCCTAGTGCAATAGAAACTGGGCAGGGCGGATTTGTAAACGCTCGCTCAGTTGCGGTAGTGGGTTTCTGTTTCGGGCACACGATTGGATGTAATGTGGCCAGGTTTCGCGCGCCAGTTTGTGCACCTGCCACGTCTTACAGCGAATCGCTCTCATGTATGCCCAGGACCGAGGCACCCAGCTCGGGCTCCTCTAGAACCTCTGCTCTAGGGTCAAAGACGGCAGGATCCCTTCTGTCTCGCGTTATTGCTGTAGCTGCCTCCGGGACATGCTTTAGCCCTGTCGCGGAAGCACTTTTTGTGTAAAGTTTTTCCTTCGTGACCTCTTCCTGCCCCTCTTTCTTTCAGGGTGTTGTGGTATAGCTTGCGGGACGTCGTTATGGTCGGCTTTCACGCCAAAGGGCTTCTCGACAGCGCTTCGGAAGGTGGATTCCGATACTCCAAAGGGTCTGAAGTAAAGCAAACCAACTCAAGAGGGTCCGGGTCTTGAGGAATCTCCTTTCGCCAGATTCAAAAAATAGTTGGAAATAAGTTGGAAGCCAACTTTTTTCTGTTTGCCATACTAAGAATCCCTGACCCAACTAATTTTGAACTTGTATCCAACTTCTTCCCAACTATTTTTTGAAATTGCCCAGGGCCGCCAATTTCTTTTTGAATTGTTCCGGGGCCGCCAATTTCTTTTTGAATTCCATCTCCCCCGCCAATTTCTTTTTGAATTCCGTTCCGGCCGCCAATTTCTTTTTGAAATTGCTCAGGCTCGCCAATTTCCTTTTGAAAATGGGCACTCTGTATGATGTCGCTCTGGTATTGGTTTTGTCTGTGGCCTGGCATATATGGTAGGCCCTAATAAGGCTCCACCAATCGGAGGGACAGGTTGCATCTGGGCGATCTTTCGGCCGCCTCGGGAACAGTATTGCGCTGGCCCCATGCGCTGCGGCTTTGGGCGGGCGTGGTGTCCTTCAGATGAATTCTCGAAAGCCCCTGGCGGTCCAATCTTGGGCGGCCGCGCCATTGTCCAGAGCTTATGGCCGTGCCAATTCCAAGCCACACACACTCCCAAATGAAGCACACGCAAAAATGGCTGGCGTTGCGCTATTCAAGCAAGTTGGCCCGCGCAGGCACACGGCATAGGACCCGGGAATGGTCCACACCCGGGTCGCGCTCATTCATTTTGGCCGGAGATTCGGCATTTTTGTGTGCAGACGAAAGTCAAAAACCTTGACTTTTTGAATTCCTTTTGAAATCATTTTGAATATGAATTAACGCCAAGGCGCTTTGCGATTAAGGCACATTGGCTGATCTGCGGCCAGGTCCGACACACCGCCATTCTGGATCACATCGCGAAAAATCTCGTAATGGGGGATCCCAAGCTTCATTCTGCATCGTCGTCGTCGTCGTCGTCCCAGATGAATCCGCCGGCGGCCGCTCCAAAATAACAGATAGGATTTTACTTGCCGTGTGCGTGTGAAGGAATCTTCGATCGGACCGCGACTACGCGACATCGATCCTCGTATTGCTCTGACACCACACGACGCAGAGGCACACGGGCCTTCATCGTTCTACTTCGAGCTCTCTTTTTCATTCTGCGATCGATTCTACATTTTTTATGAGCGGGGTAACAAATTCTGACGAGTTGTGGCCGTCCCACTTCTCACCCGCCCGGCCGGGTGGGTGACTAGTGGGACGGAACCAGGATCCTGACCAGCTGGCCGGATCTGAAAGCCTCAAAAACAACGCTTTTTGTTTTCCGCACCTGATTCTTCTTTCTACCAGCCACACCCGCAGGTCTTGCAGGAGGTGGTAGAAAGAAGATTCAGCTCGTGGACAAGAAAATGCTGCTCTGGCTTACTGAAAGCCTCAGACAGCGCAGTTTTTTGTTTTCCGCACCTGATTCTTCTTTCTACCAGCCACGTCTGCAGGTCTTGCAGGAGGTGGTAGAAAGAAGATTCAGCTCCTGGTAAAAAAAGCGTTGCTTTGGCTTGCCGAAAGCCTCAGAAACGCCGTTGTTTGTTTTCAGCACCTGACTCTTCTTTCTACCAGCCACGTCTGCAGGTCTTGCAGGAGGTGGTAGAAAGAAGAGTCAGCCCGTGGTGAAAAAAGCGTTGATTTGGCTTACTGAAAGTCTTAGAAACAGCGTTTTTTGTTTTCCGCGCCTGATTCTTCTTTCTACCAGCCACGCCCGCAGGTCTTGCAGGAGGTGGTAGAAAGAAGATTCAGCTCGTGGCAAAAAAAATGTTGCTTTGGCTTACTGAAAGTCTCAAAAGCAGCGCTTTTTGTTTTCCGCACCTGATTCTTCTTTCTACCAGCCACGCCCACAGGTCTTGCAGGAGGTGGTAGAAAGAAGATTCAGCTTGTGGTAAGAAAAATGTTGCTTGGGCTTATTGAAAGCCTCAGAAACAGCGTTTTTTGTTTTCCGCGCCTGATTCTTCTTTCTACCAGCCACACCCGCAGGTCTTGCAGGAGGTGGTAGAAAGAAGATTCAGCTCGTGGCAAAAAAAATGTTGCTTTGGCTTACTGAAAGTCTTTGAAGCAGCGTTTTTTGTTTTCCGCGCCTGTTTCTTCTTTCTACCAGCCACACCCGCAGGTCTTGCAGGAGGTGGTAGAAAGAAGATTCAGCTCGTGGCAAAAAAATCGCTGCTTTGGCTTACTGAAAGCCTCAAAAGCAACGCTTTTTGTTTTCCGCGCCTGATTCTTCTTTCTACCAGCCACGCCCGCAGGTCTTGCAGGAGGTGGTAGAAAGAAGATTCAGCTCGTAGTAAAAAAAGTGTTACTGTGGCTTATTGAAAGCCTCAGAAGCAGCGTTTTTTGTTTGCCGCACCTGATTCTTCCGGCCACGCCCGCAGGTCTTGCAGGAGGTGTTAGAAAGAAGATTCGGCTCGTGGCAAAAAAGCCGTTGCTTTGGCTTACTGAAAGCCTCAAAAGCAGCATTTTTTGGTTTCCACACCTGATTCTGCTTTCTACCAGGCACACCCGCAGGTCTTGCAGGAGGTGGTAGAATTGCCGCCGTTCTCGTGGTCAGGATCCTGGTTCCGTCCCACTAGTCACCCACCCGGCCGGGCGGGTGAGAAGTGGGACGGCCACAACTCGCCAGAATTTGTTACCCCGCTCTATATTTTTGTATGCCGACGAACGCGACCCCGACGCCGTCTGGAGCTCTACTTGAGGCCAGCACATGTTGTTCGAGTTCAAAAAAAAAGCCACTGAAGATGAAGAACTTCCTGGTGTTGTTCGTCCCAGTTGTCCTTCTCTACTTCGAGAAGGCAAAGGCATCTTTTACTTCTATTACTTACAAATGGTATAATTTTAAGCCGTCCCTAGTTTACTTACATTGACATTCATTTTCATAGCTGTTAGTTTATTAACACATGATACATCGAAGATGTTCTTGTTCCCTGTCGCGTAACGAACTACCCCACTGCAAGGACGATGCATTCACGACATTTGTTTGATTAACTCACTCGTGTAGCGCGAGCCGCGGTCGTCCTCGGGAGCACATGTTTTTTCCGCAGGTGTTTAGCTCAACTGATTGCAACAGCGACTTCATAATTCCCTTGAATGAAGATCATTCCATCATTATTTGAGTTCTGCAAGCGCGCCCAGTACTTACTACAGTTGAAAGGAGAATGAAAAGTGCGCCGCGGCAGGCGGAGGTGGCAGGCTTTTTCTTTTTTGCCTCGTGCATGTGTGTTCAGATGTAGAGCACAAGATGGGCGGCTAGGTGAGGTAGACAGCACTGTTTGATGCGAATTGGTATTGTACAACTGAATTGCGTCGTCAGCAAACACAGAGGCTACAACAGAATACGTCCTTGGCATTTTTTTTTCGTATTTATTACTGTCGTGATTTTTAGGATAACGATAATACTGATATTCCCGTCATCTCGGTCCTCTGCTACTTCTGCGTGAAGGTCAGCACGGTATTCTCTAATGAAAAGTTTGATTCCATCAATTGTCTTCCTCGTCCTCGGACAACTAAGTACATTTTCAAAATTCGTCTTTTGAAATCCATATAACGCCACGAAGTCGTAGTAGACCAACACTATCATTAATTCCACACACGACAAGAATGCGTTTCAACGCCACTCGTTTTGCTCGTTGTCGCAATGCCCATCTGTGCACCTGGTCGCACATGATGAACCAGCAGCTTCGTGCCGGCTCCGCGGTGGGCAGCAAATTTACCGGAGCAGCCATGTTATTCGGCAGTAACGCGATGCCGAATTTTGGTGCGGGCGCTACGACGAGCAGTGGTGCCGTTCTCGGGGAGACGCCTCTCCAGAATGGCTTCGCCGAGCAAAATCGTGGCTTCGGGACGCTTGCCGGCTTGCTGGAAGCCGGGGCGCTGGGTGCTGGAGAGGAGGAGGGAAGCGGCAGTGTAGTGGAGTCTGCTGTCGGCGCTGCGGGATCCGTGGGGGTGGAAGCAGTACTTTTTTCGTTTTTGGTTTTGCCGTTCTTGCTGTTATTTTGTCTATGTTAACGGCAGCTCGTTCTTCGCTCGGGAGATTGATAACTTCTAGGATGGACTCAAGGGACTTCTACCACGCCAGAGCAATAATCAGGGCTCTGTGCTGCGTCGACTACGTGACCATGTTTTGCATTCAACATTTTGATCATTTTCTTGTTGATGTTGATGCATTGCACTAAAGAGATACAGAAACACCACAACAAAACAGGATGCCTGCCGGAATTTGTTGGTTCATTGCGAGAATTACTTACAGGTAACAAGCTGGTCAACAAGTGGAACAACCTTTCCGATGATAGCAGAACTACTAGAAACAACAACCGCACCAGAAGAAAGAAGTTCATGGTGAACGTAACAACATTCTCGCTTCAGGAGCCTCAACATATCAGCACGTTGTAATGTTGACCAGCAGAAGATCTTCATCATCTGCTGGTGGTCTTCAACCAATTCTGACGATTTGTTTGATGTACACACGAGACAAAGAATGTTTCTCCAAGAAATTCGACGTCGAAGCGGCATTCTCTCGTCACATCATCTGTGAAAAACAATTTCGAGAAGTATAGTATTGACGCAATCGCAAGCGTTGCTTCAATAGAAATCCAGAACAGCAACGGATGAAAATCTTACTGCTAGATCTGCCACTACAACAAAGCAGTCTACGAGTAGGTCGGTGATGTTCACTCAGTCCAGTTCGATGCGACTCCCAATCACAATGGCACCAAACATGAACGTTCAGGGCTCAGAGTGCTGCACACAGTACTTACTTACGCGCGGGGGTGTCGCGCGATGCATTTTTTTTTTCTAGATACTACTGTCGGTACAGCCGTGGATTCAATCTATTGGAAGTTGGGTCTTCTCGTGCCCAACATGATGGTTCGTGTAATGACAAAGTCTTTGTTTTTTGGAGTCGGTTGTATTAGTTCGATTTATTGTAGTTGCGGTAGTATCGTGGAGCCCGTGTCGTGTCGTGGTCGGTCCTGAGGAGATGTAACGCAAAAAATGTAAGCATAAGAGAAGATACTTTATGCACTGTGCGTCTTCGCGTTCGCGCAAGAATTAAAGAAAAAGTCAAGAAAATCGTTGTCAATCAAGTCCATGGCTTCCAGCAACAGCTCCAACTTCACACCTGTGCCCGGCCGGCTTTTCGGATGGGGAAGTGGGAAACCGAAGTCCGCGCTGCCGGGAGCCACAACTGTGGACAAACAACAGCACGTCTGTTTTCCGGAGCAACTCATGCGAAGGAAGCTCTTTCATCAGGTGTCCGCGGACACGGGGGGAGTTTTCGCCGCCCTCGACTCCGACCTGCAGCTGTGGGTGTGGGGAACTGGTGCCAGTGGTAGATCAAATTTCCCGGAGATTCCGACTGTCGCTGATGCAAAGACGAAATTCTCTTGTTGCGCCGTGACGGAATCTAGTGTCTTTGCCATTTATCCACAGAAAAAAACCCATCCACATCCAATTTGCCTGGCAAAACCCGTATCAGATCATGTGTTTGTCATGCAAAAAATGGATGTGGGTGGGTTCTTTTCTGTGGATACCATTGAGAGCGAAAGTGGTTGTCTCATCGAATTCACCGCCGGCACGGGCGGGAAGTTTGTTGAGCGCACGGAAGTAGGGGAAGACCAGCTGTTTTCATTATCGTCATCTTCCCCAGGCGCCGGCGGCGCAAAGTCGTCTCTTGATGCTGCTTCCCCCGGCGCGGCGAAGCTTATCCGGGTAAAAGACCTCAGTGCCTGCGGAACAAATTGCCTGGTCATCGCAGACATCCTAGTGCAAGAACAAGCGGAGCAGCGTTGCGTGGCTTTCTTTCGCGACAAACCGGCCTCATCGCGAAGCGCAGCGTGGAGGTGTTTGTCCAGATGGATCGACGCCGACGCGCGATTGGTCTCCGCGGGTTCGAGGCATTTTGCGGTCGTCGATGTGAAAAACCGTCTCTGGACCTGGGGCATGAATCGCAACGGAAATTTGGGCCTCGGCAAACGGCACACGGGAAAGAATTCCTTCGTCGAGAGCCCTGTGGAAGTGACAAAAGACGTCGACGGCGTGAGCACCCCATGGTTCGACGAAGATCCTTCCAATGCGATTGTGAGAATCGATTGCACGCGGGGGCAGCCAATGCCCAAGAACGACTTTCCAGACCCAACCGGTCAAGAAGGCCCGAGACTTCACGTTGTGACAGCCGATGGCAAGCTCCACATAGCCGGCACGTGCCACAAGGGATTGGGCGCGTGTCATCTTTTCAAAGTTATGACCAGTCGTGAGGACCATTTGCGGCCTTACGAGGTTGGCAGCGTTGCGCAGGATGGCGTACAACTCTTCTTGAGGGGCGGCGGGTGCTTCACGGGTGCGTTCGAAGACGGATTATTCGTACAACATTCTGGGATGAATACCGGTGGTGTAGTGCCCGCATTGGACACGGCCGTCTTGCGGCGTGCGGGAATCGACGTGAGAAGAGCGGCGGGTATCAATATAGAAGAAGTAGTAGATGCAGTAGCGCATGAGCAGGCACATGAAAATCAACGGGATCATCATGATGATGTGCCCTTATCTCAAGAGCAGGCTCCCACAGCACCTTCTCTACTTACCCCAGCGGAAGATAAAGAGGAGGGCGACGTCGACGAGAGACCACAGCGGCCACCGCTGCAACAGACGGAGCGACAGACCTTGAAGGTGTTTTTCACCGACCATCCCGGCGATGCCGCAGTGCGGACGCGCTATCTCGACGGTGTGCGCATCATCGGGAGTGCCCCAACGCACATCCACAGCTTTGCGTTTTCCGAGAACGGACAAATGTTCGGCTGGGGTTGCGGGAGCGACGGTCGCTTGGGGTTGCGGGCGTTTTTCAACAAAAGCGGCTCCAAGCGCCTGATGAAGTGCTACGTTTCCATATGCAATGTAAATTTCCCGTACATGTACAAAGCGCATGACAAATGTCGCTAACTTGCTGTGTCCAACTACTTGTCAAGCTAGACTAGGACTGAAGGCAATTTTTGTCATGCAGAGACTGCAGTTGTACGTGTACGGGAAATTTACTGTGGATATTCCACGCCGACGCAAATCGAGGCCCTCGAGGGTGAGAGCTGTCGGTTGCGGCAAGTGTTGGAGTTTCGCGATTGTTGAGTAAAACGAAGTCCGTGATGAAGATGAACTAGAGACGCGTGCACGAAGTGGTAAGTGATCAACCACCAGTCAAATAACCAGACGAAGAAACTACGGCCACAAGTCTCAACGTGATAGCTTTGGCTGTCATACTCAAGGAATCTCGTAGTTCGTTTGAGGCCCAGATATAGAAGAGTATTGTAGTAGTTCATCGCTGCCTTGTTTTATGTTGCGAATCAATCCTTGACTTTGCAAAAACGACGTCGAAACTTTTGTCTGCGAATTTTATTTGTGTCACTGTGTATGCCCTGTGGCAACTACGGCTACGGCAAAAAAATGGCTGCCCTCATATTTCTATGAAATCGATGAGAGCGGTCGCGGTGCCGGTGAGCCGCGTGAGAAAGATTTAGTGGTATCGAGAAAGGACCGCTGTCGATCCCCCTGTTGGGAAGTGAAATTACAAAAGATACAACTACTATTACTACAATGCGTTCTTGTGCAGCAACAAGTGCATGATTCAACGCTGCTCGTGACTCGTGAACGTGATCGACTAACTGATTTATTAAATTGCGAATCCAACAACTACAATCATAATATAGTTGACAATCACAGTCATAGCTTGGAAGGTGCCCGAATATCTCATTCCGATCGTCGTCATTCATTCACGCCTGCTAGATAGCAGTTGCAAACGCAATCAATTTCACAGTGAGAATATATCAGAGGACACCTAGAAGACATGCCGTCTCACCAGGGCACCCGCCTCGGCAATCTCTTGCAATTACGAAAAAGCAAGCAGCAAACCGACGCAGACCACGAAGACGACAGCTGCGAAAGGAAAGTCGATGCGGAATTCGACATTCTGCTGGAGGGACCGAAAAAAGCTGTCATGAAGATTCACCTCGGGGTGCGCGATGATGCGGTCGGACCAAACAGCATCCGCGTCGAAACTGAATTCTTCTCCTACGAGGGCGAATTTCCTGAGGAGTTCGTCCCGCCGACGAAAGCAGACCTCGAAGAGGCCTTGGGCCTATTGCTGCCGAAGTTGGACCGGGAACCCACAGGGGAGAATTTAAAAGGCACGGCCGTCGAGGTGATCAAAGAGATGATCACGCAGATCGAGAAGAAGCATGGCGCAGAGTGCGAAAATGGAATTCGATTAAGTAAGATCGTGCCGCTCGTGGCCTCCAAACTGAATCCGGCGAAGAGACGCAGGGTGGATTGAGCGACAGAATGTGGATGAAGCACTACACACCAAGACCAACTAGTACTAGACAAATGAGGAGAAAAAAAGAAAGAGCTAAAATCATCTGTGAGAATGATGAAAGAAACGGCGCCGCTGTCGGAAGCAGGACAGAAGATTCTTATTTAAGAACGAGCACACTCTTGCAACTGCTTTTCATTCAGAAGGAGGAAGCTGCACACACAGAATGATTCTACTACAGCTTGATTGTGATTGTCCGCCCATGCACATTATTGCATGGATGAGAATGCTTCTATTGTTTTTACAACGTTCAATCATCGCATATGTTATTTGCGCAATCTGAGCAAAGAAATGAAAAAGGATCACGAGGAGGTCAGAACTCTAGAGTGCCTGCTGCAGATCCTCCTGAAGTAAGAGATAAAGTCACAACCGCCTGAGTGTGAGTGTGAGTGTCGTGAAAGATGCAAGTAAACAATAACAAAGCTCGACGTACACAAGATCAGAACGCCCAGCACCTGCTCAAGATCATCTACAAAAGTGCAAGGCTCCGGCCGCACCATGGCGGCGCTCTCGTTCGGGCACAACACTCACCCTTTTGTGGCGCTTGTTGTTTGCCTACTCTACTCAACGTTCTTGACCACTATCCTGAACAACACGCATTGGATCTCCTTCGTTCGCGCGCAGCAGAACGGAACCTGTTTCGACCTCGGCTACCCGAAGGACTACGTGAAATACAGCGACAATGTCTGCCGCTCCCGCATCCTAACCGACCTGATCTCAGACCCGGCAGACCCCCTGGGATGTCGCAACTTTGGCGAGCAGGACCGGTTTGCGGCCACCGATTTCGTGCCCGCGTGGGCCGATCTGAACCCGCCTCCGGCGCTAGAGTACGTCCCGCCGCATCCCGGCCTTCAGCTGGGGAGCAAGAACCACTCCGAGGCGGTGAGGAGCTGCTACAACGACGGGCGGTCGGCGATTGTCAATCAGGCGACGGGAAAAGTGATTTTTGGGGCCGGCAGCGGCGAGTATGACACCGACGTTTGGCGGACCGTGCTGAATCAGCCGGGGCGAAAAAAGCCCCTGTACACTCTCAACGGCGGGAGGTGCAGAATCCCGCGAATCCGGACGCATTACCCGGGCTGTAAGAAACTCAGCTGGGACCACAATTTTACCACAGAGTATACCGCGAAGCCGAATTTTCCATCGTCCGGCGAACTGCCCCAGGACGATATCGTACGGAAAAATCCCCCCTCCCCGTATCGAATCGGCACGCCTCAAAGAATTTGTGATGCTGGTTTGTGGCCACAAATCTCGTCTGTCTTGCAAGAAAGCAATGCCATAGGCTTCGCCCCATTGTGCAGACGGTTTGCAATGCTGCTGGGCCTATAGCATAGGCGCTCCTAATGTTAAGCGTCTAGGACAAGATCTCTCTACATTGGCATGATATGGGCCTGTAGTCCTCTACTGCAAGACAAATCTGATCTGTGCGCGGATCTAGTGTGAGAGATTTCGGCTTTATGTGGGGAGGCGGGGAGATTTTTCATTTTGATAGACGACGCGAGTGTCGACAAGTGGGCGGTGAAGGAGAAAAATGAGTACTTCGACCCGGAAACGGGGGCCTGGAGCACCTACGGCGAGCTGTACAGGTTCCGGAAAAATTGGATCTACACGCAGGACGACACAGTGGACTACCGGCGGAAGAACTACGAACGCAATTTGGCGCTTCAGCCGACCCAGGAAGCGAAGGATGACTACGCGAGGCGCTATGGTGGGGGTTTCATGTTCGAGCCTATGGGGTTCTCAAACGTTACATTCTCAAGTGTTACATGAATTTGTCATGCAAAAGCACCATCATCATGATCATCCACGCGATCAAGCTGCTTCGCATGACAAATTTGCCCAGGGGGGCTAAACAACACCTAAGTCTTCTGTGTGGAATTTGTAATGCTACAGGCGCAATCTCCCCACTTTCACTTTTGCCATTCTCGCATCACAAATCCATGTAACAGTTGAGAATGTAACAGCTGAGAACGTCATAGAGCAACCGGCGTGGGTTTGGACTCTTGACAAGTGGTTTTACGTGGACGGCTATCAAACGCAAAAATGTCTGGGTCTGGAAGAATGCAAGACTTGGCATGCACATTTTGAATGGCCACTGAGGTTTGGAATGCAGATCCTAGCATGACAGATTCTATGAGGTCTCCATCATACCTATCCTGCATCAGAAACTGCTTCTCAATTTGGTCGAAAGTGGACGACAGCTTTTGGTCATCATGCAACACAGATTTTTGCATGATTCTGATTTACCATGACAAGTTCCACTTTATTTCCAGCCCCAGACAGTTTTGCATTTGATAACGGCGTACGCACCGAGAACGGGATTCGCCGCAACCACGAGCTGAACTGCGGGAACTTGGCCTGGGATCTGTTTCTCTGCGCCGAATGCGCGAACGGATGGGAAATCGATCCGACGAAAGATATGTACGACCGGAAGCGATGCAGAAAAGTCGACACAACTTCTTCTGGTGGAGCTCTTTCTGCACCGAAAGCAAAACGAAAACCGAAAGCAGCAAGTCCTCACTCCGCGTCCGCAGTGGGTGCGCAAGTAGATCATGTAGAACCGCCTCTTGCGATCGTCGACCACGCCACCGGTTCTCTCTGCGGCAAGCGAATCGAGCATTGTCTCGACCTCGCTGTCAACTGGACCACGTTGGGGTGCCAGGAGGGCGACCCCTGCTCGAAATGCGGCGCGGGAACGGCCTACGAATACACCGTGGACCGGGTATCCAGGAAAAAACACCCCTCCCCATCCATTTTATGCATTTTGTTGCATGTTTTGCATGACAAATTGGATGGGGGTGGGTGTTTTTTCGTGGACCTCGGGCGCCGGAAAACGCCCGGGGATTGGCTGCACGCTTTGGAGTGCCGGCAGTGCGACGCGAATTACTTCCTTTGGTGGAAGGGCGACTACTACGACGGGGATACGCGCAGGGGGTTCGCCAGCATCCCCGTGGACCCCAAGCGCGCTTTCACCAACCCGCTGTATGTCGCCGCGTCGGATACTTCTACCGGTAATTATGGGGGTAGTACTATCGCGGGCATGATCGCTGCGCGGAACTTCGACTACGGACCGTCTAACGGAGCGGACTACCACCGAATCAATCGGTGCGAACCCTGCGAGCAATTGCCCTGCACCTTTTGCCAGTTGAGCCGTCAGACCAGCTACTTTAACGGACGGGACGCCTCATCGGGTCTTCACGCGATCGGGGACCAGAGGCCTACTTTGTTGCGAGTAAACACCAGCCTCCACGCGGGCGGGGAAGAGTTCACCGGCAGTGTGCTGTTCCCTCGGCCCCCGCTCTCCGACCAGTGTCGACGGCACTGTTACGGCTCTGCCAAGTACCACGACACTCTGCTCCTGCGCAGTACGTGGGGCGCCGTGTACGGCACAGTCCTGGACTACAAGCGAATGCGGGACAATCCTGAAATTGATCATTCGTTCCTAGACACGTACGTGTCCCTCCACTGTGAGTTCTGCAAACACGCGTCCCCCGGGTGCAAGAGGTGCCAGAGGTTGCAATTCCCCGACGTGAACACGGATGCGTGGTTTCGGCGCCCGTGGGGCTATCGGTCGGTGGAAAACTACGCAAACGCCGATCCGGACGAAATGCAAAGTCAAAGCGCGGTGGGCGACCCGCGGAACTACACGATGTTTCAGTGTCTGGAATGCGACCGCGAAAAGGGGTACCAGCCGCAGCTGCAGCTGAACAATGATGTGTTCGATTCGGAGATCACGCTGCAGGCTAACGCGGGGGTGAGTATTGGCTGCGGGCAATACGTGGAACCGGTCTGGACCAAGGAACTGAGCATGGACTACTGTCTGGACAAGCGGTATGGGGGTGTCAGGATCGAAATCGTCAAAGTTGAAATAATCTGTAATGCAAAAAAGCGATACCAGCTGGGGCCCATTTTGCAAGTGGCGCATGACAAATTTTGGCAGCATGGAAATCCAATTTGTCATGCTATTTGGGCAGAGAAGGCTGCTTTTGTCATGCTATTTTAGCAGCTCTATCTCACACCCCGAATAGGATTATAATCGGCCTCAGTTGCCTGCTCTGCAAGACAGGCACTTTGCGTCTAGCATTTTATGCATCACAAACTATTTAAACTTTAACTTTGACGATTTCAATTCCATAAGCGGCTGACGTTTTGGAAGGACTGGGTTGCGGACGAGAAGGACCATACAGCGGTAATGTACAACAAATTTGATGGCCCTAGCACAGCAGCACAAGGAGCAGCAGGGTCTGACTCATCTTCTTCTTCTTCATCTACCCCAACTAGTATAACTATCAAAGTAAAGGACATCCCTTTTGGCCCCAACGCGTGGGACCCCGCTCCGGTGAGTCAAGGAAAAACTGCTCCGACCGACGAAAGCACGGGTGGAAGCGGACCATCTACTTCAGGCATAGCCGTAGCTGCCCCTGGTGCGCACGGCCACCACGACGACCACGTAACACATTCCCCTGCGTCCGCCGACCCAAAAGGCCACGGTGGGAAAGAAGCCGTCGGGACGAGTTTTTGGGATAGCATTGGGTTTGACAAGCTCTCCGGGCTCCCGGTCGATTTGTTCGACTTTTTACCACAGTACTTCGACCCACTGGCAATATGCAAGAATGCAAAACCCTCGTACTAGTATGAATTGCATGAGCATGACAAATTTTTCCTAGAAGAGAAGTGAAATTTATCATGCAGATTCAGGTAAGAAAGCAGATCTGTAATGCTAGACTCGCATTTATACGTATACGATACTTTTGCAATGTATAGGCAAACCCGAGCTGCAAGAAAAACCGCCGCTGCGAACGGTTGGTGAAGCGACTAAAGAAATTGGGGATACCCCAACCGGACCACTGCTGCCCCGCGAAAGACTGGGTTTATCCCACGAAACAAAGAGGAGGCAGTCGCAGTGACTTTGGAGCAGATCAACATGTTGACATCAGCGACAGCAGCAGTGCACCATCATCATCTACCTCACGGGAACTTCCATCTTCAAATTCCTGGATGCAGAAGAAGCTCGCAGACGTTTCTATCAAACCGTATCTGCCGTTTCTCGAAACCTACACTGTCTCCCACTACCTGGGCGACGGGGAGGATACTGACGAGTACGCCGGCAGCTGGCGGCAGCAGAAGGAGGCTTCGAAGCTCCCCTCGAACGAAATGTGCAACGAGCCGCACCCCCTTGTCGATTGGAACTTCCAGCATTCCGGGGACGACGTAGACGCGAGCACCACGAACACAAGAATACAAATCAACCAGTGGAGCAAGAGCGGGAGCGGGGATGATAACAGTATCATTCCCATGTTGCCGAAAGAAGTCTACGACCCGGCGGAAGAAGAGAGGCAACGAAGTGAAAGCGAAAATGCCAAGGAAGCAAAGAGAACCGAACAAGTTCTCGACCTCTCGCGGCTCTCTATGCGACAACGAGCAGGGCTGTCGGAGTCCTCTATCATGAATACGCGCTACACGATATCACAGGAAAAAGTGTTAACGTTGACGGAATTTGTAATGCAGCAATGCATCACAAACGTGCCTAAATTTGTCACTGTCATGCATAGCATGCATATTGAGCTACATTTGTGATGCATGACTGCAATCTGTGAAAACCGTTAACCTTAACACATTTTCTTGTGATACACGATGGACCGGAAAATCATGGAAAAGTATTATCAGGCAATTGCGGCGGGAGGCTACACCTCCCCGGCGGTGCGGAAATTTCTCAGCGAAAACTATAACCACGGAGTCCCCGACCCGGTAGTCAACAATATGCGGAGGGCAAAATTCCCCGCGGCCGACGACTTCGACAACGAGTACCGCCTCTACTTTGCGGGAAACTACACACCGAAACTGGGTTTGCTGGTCGAGAAGCAGATGGTCCGCGGGGACAGTAACTTCATGTACCTTACCAGCCCGGACGATGAGTCCTTGCCCTATATCCGGTCCATGGAGCTGGTCGAGGGTCAGCTGTACGGCCAAGACACGACGGTGCTCCGAATGAAGAGCTTTGAGCACATGTACCATGCGTGCTGCTACCGCCAGAGCAACTTCATGGACCGGTTTGTGGAACCCCTCGCGGTGTCGCTCTTCCAGTACAGCAGCTTACTGCGGACCCCGATTTTTTCCGTTCTGATCCTGCTAGTCAACTTCGGCTACTTGTGCTTGCTCGTGAAGCGAAGTAGGAAGTACAACAAAGCGCAAGAAGCTACTAGTAAAAGTACCCTCGCGGGGGCTTCCGCTTCAACTAACGCAGCAGCAGCTGGAGTGGAAGATTCTGGTGACACCACAACATTCTCAGGAGCTACAACAACATCAACATCTTCGTCCGCAAATAACAAGACTGCATCAAACTATTACCCAGACTACTACGCCCAGGCGTTGTCCCTTCTCTTCGCGGGCTACCTGATCTCGCGGCAGTCTATCCAGGAAAAAACACCCATCCCCATCAATTTTTTGCTTGACAAATGCTGCTTTTGATGCGTGTTCTGCATAGCAAATTGGATCATGGGCATGGGTGCTTTTTTGTGGATACAGTCCAAGCGGCAAATGTCCGACCATCATACGGTGGTTTCTTCGGTGCCGCAGCCCCGCTACGGCATTTCATGTGGCAATGCTGCGACATTTCTAAACTTTCCCGAAATTTGTAATGCGGATTCACCTTGAGAAAAAAATGCATGACTGGCAACACGAGTGCGATGTGCGATACTTTTGCACTTGTTAATATCGCGCCTACTACAACAGCCAATGGTCAACTACAGCAACCTATGCACTGCAAATACCCCTGGATGTCTGGGAGGATGCAGCTTCTCATGGTAAATCTGGATCATGCAAAAATTTGTGTTTACATGATTACCCAAAGCTGTTCATTTTTGACCAAGTTGGGAGTGAGTTTCTCATCGACAGGATAGGCATGGTAGAGATGATATCTACTCACGGAATCTATCATGCTAGGAGATCCTGCAGTGCAGACCTCATGTGCAGTCATGTTGAACCTGCATGAGAAGTCTTGTAATCTTCCAGACATCTTCCAGAGATAATATTTGCAGTTGATAAAACCAACTACGTCGATCCAGAACAACAGAAACATGATAGTACATCAGCAGCAACCGCAAATGAACCCGCAGGCAAACGTCGGCTACCAATTGCTCAGTTCCCTGCAAAAAGTCACAATCCGCGAGAAAATCCGGCTGTCGCAAATTTTTTTCGGCTGGAAGCGGGTATGACAGTTGTGCACAGGTCCCCCTCGTCCTTCTCATTTGTATTGGATGAACAGCAATACAAACACCAGCGCACGTGGAGCCCGTGCATGGCAATTTAGATTCATGGGCCTATTAAGTAGTGTACTGCTGTTTGGGATTCCGGAATCTGTCATGCATAATAGTGATACATCAAGGGAAGGACTTTGCATGAGAAATGAGAACGAGGGGGAGTTCTTGTGCACCCTCATAGCAGGTATCAAGTGCAAAAATGTCTGGGTCTGGAAGAATTCACGTTTGTCATGCTTGTCTGGCATGACTCTTAAATCTGTCATGCACGTTACCCAAGAGCTCCGTTTTTCTGTGATGCAGAAGCGCAGTTTGTCATGCAGAATAGGCAACACCTTCACCTTCTAGGAGCTCAGAAACTTGTCATGCTGAGCCAGCATTTGTATCCTCATCATGAGACGCCACCCAGCATCACATGTTTCATCATGAGACGCCGGACGTTGTCTAAGCGATGAGCATGAGATGAACTTCCCGCAAAGCAAACAAGAATGTCCGACCACCACACCATGGTTTCTTCGGTGCCGCAGCCCCCAGCGCCGGACCCTGGGATGCCGCGCGACGAGGTTTTTCTGTCAAAGTGGTACACCTGGAACAATGACGTCTTTGACAAATGGTACGCGCAGTGGCACGAGCGGCTCAAGGAGAAACACCCGTGGATTACCAGCAGACTGCAGTTAACGGGGCAGGCGGAAGTGGATAATAGGCCGCAGGTTTGATAAAGGATTATCGATGGTGTATGTGCTGTCGTGAAACAGAAGTTTGTTTGTAGCTTCCATAGACATCATGGTACTAGCTTGAGATGCAGTAGAAAGAGAAGCGCGTTGCTTTTTGTTTTTCAATATGCTGATCGACGAGAAATAATGTTTGATCATACGCGAAGATCTGCAACACCAACATCCTCTTGTTTCAGATCCTGACCGACACGGGATTCTCCGACGTGGATTGGACTGAAGACAATGACACGTGGCGATTTCTCATTGGCGGGCTCTGCTTCCTAAACTTGGTCGCCTGTGTGATTCTCGCGATTAGCCGGATGTGTAGCAGAGGCAGTAGTAGGACGAGAAAGCAAGAAAAGGACGCCGCCACTGTAGAAGCGGGAGACGCTGAAGCTGCCATCAAGACCGGAGCTGGCGCGACGGCGACCATTATGGAAAAAATGGACAGCATCGATGTCCTCGTCGATCCAAAAAGTACTGCGGATATTAAAAACAAGCCGTCACCGCCCTCAACCGCACTCCCGTCAAGACAGAATTCTAAGTCCCTGGACAACTACGAGCTCAGCGAAGTACTAGAAGCTGGAGAGCGACGAGAGCCGCAGGACGACCTACCGATCGACGAAGCCGTGGTGCCGATAGATGATGAGGAAAGTAGCGTGTTCACTGGGCCTTCCACGCACAGTCAGGCATTGCCGGTTGTGTGGGAAATATCGATGAATAATAGCGCAGGAGCAGGAGCAACAACATCACAAGCACAACAAAAAATAAATGCCCCACCTCGTCAAATAGAAATAAACACCGAGGGCCAACACAACCTTTCTATGGCTCCGGAAGTCAGCAAAACGTGCTGCAAGGGGATCGATGCGCAAATCTATGGTGTCCTCTCCGCTGCAATCACTGTTTTCCTCGTCGACGGGTTCCCCTTCATTCCGATATGAAATGCAAAACTGAAAACAAGCATCGTACTCGTGTAAATGCATTTACAATTTTCCTCAGCATAACAAAAATTGCAATGCGGATTTACCTTAAGAAAAAGATAACTTGTATATGCAAATGGTGCATGAGTGCAATTATATTACGAGCGCAATACTTTTGCACAGGATATCCGAAACCGGGAAACAAAGACGAAATGTCCGCGAATAAAGCGAAGAACAAAAAATATCAGTTCGTGGCAGGAGCCGACAGAGCCCTTGCTCTTTTGAAGGATAAGATGCACATCACATCACAAGCCTCCGCGGCCCCGAGCGGCTCTAGTACTTCGAGAAGTTCCTGGAAAGTGCGTTTTTTCCAAGCGGTTTTGTCTAACACGTTCGGCCTCGGCTTCGGCCTCGCAGCGATGTACGGGATGTTTCGGCACATTCAGACGAAATTACCTGAAACCCGAGTGTACCTGCACAACCGCGAATGGGTCATCGTTTTTCTCCTCGCGCCCCTGTTTCAGACCGTGGCGTTCTTCGCGGCGTGGCGGGTTTTGAAACTCTTTTTCGCCAGCAGCAACATGATATCCAGGGAAAAAACTGTGTAAGTGTAAGTTTCGAGGGAGAGCAGCATCACAAATAAATCGCTTTGCATTACAGGTAATCAAGTCTGTCATGCGCAGCTAGTACGCGAAAACACGCATGAAAGTGGCTTATGACGCACCTCCAGCATGACAAGTGTAAACAATCTTGCACTTTCTGCATCACAGACTTACACTTACACAGTTTTTTTCTTGCATACATGAAAAAGCTCGTCTACTGCCTCGCGGTCGTTTGTGATCACGGGTGGCGCGGGGGTGCGCGAGTGTTTCGCGGCATGTTGCTCGGCTTGACCGTGTATGCACTGCAAATATGTCTGGGTCTGGTTCTGGAAGATTGCAAGATTTATCATGCTTGTCTGGCATGACCAAAAAGTTTGTGATGCGTGTTCAAGAAGAGACCCTTTTGCCTGTCATGCAAAAACGCAGTTTGTCATGCGAAAAACGCAACACAAAGAAGCGCAGATATTTCTCATGCTTGGCTGTGCATTACAGAGCATTCACTACTCCCGACGCAGCATTACAAGCTTCCAGACCCAGACACTTTTGCATTTGATGCCGTGTACTTCGGCGGATATTTCCTCGGCTTCAGCCTAATCGGCTTCGGATTTTTCGCCGCGGTCGCTTCCGGAATGCTGTTCCTCATGTACTGCTCCCTGAAAATATCGAACAAAGCCTGCAAGCTTGGCCAATCGGTGGTCTCGCGGCTGGAGGAAAACGCGGAAACCCTACCGGCAGCGCAGCGACAAACCTTGGAGAATTTACAGGCTGCGGAGGTGGAGTGTCCGGAGCTGATGGACTGGCTTATGAGAGTGCACAACTCCTCTCCCCCCTCATTTGTATAATAGCATGAACAGCAATGCGAACACCAGCACACGCGGAGCCTACGCATAAAAAATTTGTGTAAGTACGTAATGTACTTAGTACTGTTTGGGCTAGGGCTTCCGGACTTTGTCACGCAAACAGTGCCACGAGCACGAGGCAGCGACTCCTTGACGTGGGATTTTGCATGACAAACGAGGAGGACGGGCAGTTGTGCGCTGTCATATGGCTCGCAGAACTGCCGGAAGTGGAAAATTTCTCCGCGTGGCTGACAAAAGGGTTTACCGCCGTTTTCGGAAAACTAGTGGTAAAACTCGAAGAATACGCGTTTTCCGAAACCGGGCCAGTGCAGAGAAGAATCGAAAACTGCAAGGAACAACTGAAGAAGAAAGTAGTAGCAAGCCCGGTTGTGAAAACCCTTTTAGACGGATTCGAAACTGTATACAGAGGAGTTTCAATCGCGATACGAAAATCAAGTTCTGCCCGAAGTCAAAACTTTTCTCAATAACACGAAAGACCAGTCAGCTACACAGAGGAAGAAGTTGAGCGAACTGTTCTTCCACAAGTGGAAAATCATGCGGTGCGGGTTGGAGTTCCTTGTCGGGAAATTGAATTCGATTAAATGCAAGTTAGAATCCGCGATCGGGGCCGCGGAGGAAGTCGGGGCGTTGTCCAACGGGTACGGGTCCTCGCACACTACAGCAGCCGCTGGTAATGCCTGGCGCTTGGTGGCCAGGCGGCTCGCCGAGAAGACGGCGGGGAAGGGAACGGAGATGGTAATGATGTGGAAAAATGACAAGACCACCACTATCCAGACTGTTGTGAAGAAGATCGAGGAGCAGAGTCAAAACGCAGTTGCGACAGGTGACGAAGCAATCGAGTTCCTCCGTGCGAAGATGGAGAAAATATCAACCAGTTTGTTGATTCTCCGGGGTTTTTTCGCTAAACTCCTTTACGTGGCGGACCAAGTTGAAAAGATTGAGGCTGCGATCGAACCTCAAGACTTGCTCGAGATGCAGAACATGGAGAGCAAAAAGTCCGGACAGCGTGGGTTCCGATCCGTGGTGCAGAATGGCATCGAGAAAATGAATGAACTGCGGGAAATCGTCCGGGAGGTGGTGTCGCTACTCGATTATGTTACGGTAGGAAGTAGAACTGAAGCTTCTGCTTTCACGAACAGCACAGAAGTAGACCACGACCACCCGTCGGGTGAAACAGAAACAACGATAAGAAATGCAGCGTGTAATATGAACAAGCACTTGACCGCAGCGAGGCAGTTAGACGAGCGTCTGACGACGAAGATCGAGGAAATCGAGCCGCTCTTGTGCGAGCAGCTGCTTGCTGCAATGGAAAAGGCAGGACTCGTCGCACAGAAAACTGACGACGCAGGCGTCGGCAATGAAGCGGCGGAAGACAGCACGAGCATGATTTCTTCCCTACGCGCGCGCATGTTGAACCCGCTGAAATTAGCCGTTGCGAAGCTGGAACGCATTCTAGGCCATGTGGTCGGCGTGGAGACGCATTTGGATACGCAAGTCGAAGACATGGAGGACTTGGAAGTGAATCATCTCGACGCGCTGTCCGAATCTTTCGCGAAACTTGGCGAACAATTCAAACAAGACATACTTGTTTGGGCCGGCTCCGACCGATGACCAAAAAGAACAGGAAATCACATCCGCACAAAATAGATTAGAAGACCTCCACGCAAACAGCGCCCAGCTTGGCGCCCAAGCCGTCCAGATCGTTGAACTCGCCAACTGCAGTACACACCTCCTTCAGAAGCAGGGCGAAAACCTCATGGGCGCGAAAGAGGAGACAATTTTACTCTTGAAAGAAATCTTCGGCGAGCACGAGATCCTTTTCCCAGCCTCGCTGACAGCTCTGGGAAAAGAAATTGCTGGCGCGTTCCAAGATGAACTTTCTACATTAGCCTCCGTGGTGTCCAGCTTCACAAATGTCCGACCGCCGAGTATCTCTTTGTGGTCCTGCTGCAGAGCACCAAGCTGCTTTCCTTCTTGCAGGCTTCCGAGTACTAACGACTTTATTCACTTCGCGCACCAACTTTATCTCGTCTTCACCTCCTACCTCCCCTCCATTCTCGCCCTAACAATTGTGGACCTTTTCAAGTTCTGCGCGGACGCTTTATTGCTCGTCGCGTCAATTGTTTCAATTCAAACCACGCTGGAACTCTCGGACTTAGACCTGGACCTCGTCATCTTCCACGACTTCTCCGTCACCGCAAAGGTCATGCAATTGCTGGGGGCGCTGGAGGACACAATGGTCCCGATTATCGGTTGGGCGACCAGACAACTGTTTTCGCACTTCGACTTTTTGTTTACGGAGTTCAATCTGGGTGTTGGAGACATCATGGGCACCAGATCGAACTGCACTCTCGCCATTGTGCTCTTCGCGGCCGGGGTTCTGACGGGGTCCACGTTACTGCTCTGCCAAGTGGTTGGCGGGGATTGGTTGGGATTATTGGTCGGTGGACGGGCAAAAATTTTGATCACAAAAAAGGACTTGACGCAGGCGAAATGCAAAGCGCGAGGGGCGGGGGAGATTGATAGTCAGGACGAGGTATACGCCCCGAGTGCTTGCAGCCTCGTTTCAATCAAGGCCTTGGCGGCGACCAGCATTCTGAAATTCCTCCCGCTTCTCTTCAAAGGAATCTCCGCCGGTATCTTCCTCGCGTTGCAGGTGACACTGATTCTCGCGAACCAGTACACGTGCTACCTGTTCGTCCTGCTAATCCAGGGCTACGAAGTGGATCCAGCGGATCCGGTGCATCAGCCTGGGACGGCGTGCGAGGAACTGGGCAACGCGTTTCCAGAAATTGGTGGGGAACTGCAGATCGAAGACACGGCGGTAATCACGGGCATGTCCACGACTGAAATGTTGTTATCCGCGACCCTTTCCGTCGCATTCATGCTGGTTGCGGTGTTTAGCCTCTTCTCCGGCTTTGTTTTGTTACAAAAACCCCTTTGCTTCTGCTCACAGCAGGTGGTGAATCTGGTGTACTATAGGGACGACGAGGTGGGGCTGCAAGAAGGCCAAGGCGGGAAAAAGAACAGACAAAAAGACCGCGGTGCTGTGTATGCGACCTCTACGGATGTCGTGGATTCGGCGACTCTGGTAGATGAATCTTCGCTACCGGCGGTAGTGGAACCAGAGTCACCTCCCTCTCCCAAAACCCCCTACAACAAGAACCAAAACCTCGTCCCGATCTCCGTCACCCTCCGCACCGGTTTAGACCCCGCTTCCAACCTGCGGAACCGGCCCGGCCAAATTTCCGCGGGGCCCCAAGCCGTGGCCGGGATCTGGGACAAAACCGTCCGGGCCTGTTTCTGCGTGGAGGAAAGATGTGTTGCGTACGCAAAATCCATGGGCTTCGAAGACATCTTTGCGTTGAAGAAGCACAAGAAAGAGTTTCACGCGTACAAACTGGAGATGCAGGAGGCAACCGGCAAAGCGCTGTCGGGTCTGTTTCTGCTGTTTCCCTTCGGCGCACTGATCACGAAAACGGTGGTATCCCACGAAAAAACTGTTTCACTGTGATGATTTTGCAAGATCTGCATCACAAGTTTGTTACAAATGACACTGAAAATTTGTCATGCGCACTTCCCAAGGGAAAACAAAATCTAACGCCTTGCAGGTGTAGCAAGACAAGTAGTTCTGTGTTCCATTTTCTGCATCACAGGTTCACAGTGAAGCAGTTTTTTCTTGCGATAGGTGGAGTACGTGAACACGCCGGATCTGGACTGGGGACACCGACGAGAGGTGAAGGTCGTCGCGGACGCGAAGAAGAAAACTACGGAACAAGGTGATGAACAACGCACATCCTCTGCTATCCCTAGTGTCGAAAATGTTGAAGTTGAACAAGCAAAAGATGACGAAAGTAGAACCGCAAAAATTACCGTCACAGAAGACACGGAAGGTCGGGACGAAGTGGACATCAATAACAATAAGAACACTTCTTCTACCAATAATTCTGATCCTGATGAAGATGTTGAAAAGAACCCCACAACTCACCATCTCCGCCACACGTGGTTCTTTCCGACCTTTTGGCGCGCCCGGCGCTGAATGGGGCTTGGGCAGCTGGGGAAACTAGCGCTGCTGCACATGGTGGTCTTCTGGGGCGGGGACGTCACCCACCTGGTAACGATGTTCATTTTGATTAGTCTGGTGATGCAGACGATTTTGGTTGTGTCGGGGCAGCAGGACGTCAGCGACGAAGACGAGGATGTCACGGAACAACAAAGCGGTGCATCAGAAACGGTGTTAGAAAACCAGTTGCGCGCTTTGGCGGGAACGGAAGGAGATAGCAGAACGTCATCGTGATGGCGATCAGGAGTCGTGCTATACTTATTTGTATTTGAGCTCTTCTCGAAGATAACTTATCTTCGAGAAGAGCTCAATACAAAGAATGCAAGAATTGTAAACCTACTTATCTTAGATAAGTAGGTTTACAATTCTTGCATTCTTGCGTTTGACCTTCACCTTCTAGAGATGTATGAGCAATATGCGAGTACTAGTACCGTCGAGACATCAGACCAATGGCAGTCCTTCTCGATTGATGTAAGTTAGTACGGTAGAGATATCTTCTTGATGTACTTCTAGCTGGTGTTTTCAAATTTTGAAGTGGTTTCCGTTTGTACACTACTTACAGTATGTTTCTTTACAAGGTTTTGCTAGAGGTCCGACGTCGCATTTTAGCGTGATACTCTTCTAATCCTGTTCTTGAAAATGAGATGATTGGTCAAAGTGACCATTTGCAATTATTGTTCCAGACCGCGAGGAACGCGAGATAGTATGGCCGATGAGAAAGGTCACTGGATGTATCGACGAAAGTGCGGGGGCTTTCAAGTATTGCTTCGCAAACATTTTCATACTGAAAAGACATGTAATCCGGCTGAGGGTGCGCAGCTCGTTCTGGTCGTGGCCGGCGCCCGCCCACCGTATGTTTTTGTTTGTTTCTCTATCGCGCCTCGTTTTAGTTTTTCTATCTACTCGCCACGTAATTTTATTGTCGTGTAGCATGTCAAGATCAGTGAAAAACCATGATGGTCACGACCCTGACCTGTGAATACAGCCACCTGGTAGGAGGCCTGCATTTCTCGTCGCGATATTAGCATGATCAAGTAGATCTAAGATTCTTAGATCTTCGCTCTTCTTTAGGGGTGCCGCACGACGCGGCGCTGCGATGTGCGTGATCTGTTTTTTTTGGTTCCTAAACGCATTACGAATTCTGAATTTTCTTTTGATGACACACGACGCTTCGAGGCGCCAAATGGTGCTTCTTCTGACATCTTTGCGATCGCATATTTTACTTTTCCCCCCCTGAGAAACACCTCCGTATTGAACGTAAACATTGAACCCTGCAAAGTTTTCCTCCTGTTGTATTAAGGACTTACACTTAGTGGTACACACGCTCAACATGATGTTGCGTCTCCCACATACCACTGGTGCAAGCGCATCGCTACTCGGATCCTTTTTCTTTGGCACAGCACTAGTTCTGGTTCGTGCTTCCAACATACTGGAAGAAGTACCGCAAAATGAATGTGAGGCCGCAGCGCACCCGAACGCAAACGTTGTACCTGCGTACGCTGCTGTAGATGCATCACAATCTTCGCTGCCGTTTCCCTACAACAGGAAGGAGGACTCCGATGCCGTCTACTACGCGGCCACACGTGCTGCAAGCGGTCAGTGCGGAAGTCAGGATGGACATGATGAAGTAGGTCTCTTCCGACCTGCACTACGTCCTTCTCCTCGGCCAAACACATCAACTTCTGAGAGGCTTCGAGAGCACATCAAACACATCGCCGCATCCTCACCGACCAGCACTAAAGCTTCCTCATGGAATAAAAACGACGCTGGTGCTGGTGCTTTGGCGTCGTTCCTGCGACCTCAACCGGCTGTGGTGGAAGAAGAACGAACACGAAGTCATACTGCGCCTTTATTTCTTTCCCCCACCCCAACTTTCGGCGGCGACATTCGGACCAAGCACGACGCGAAACTGCCGAAATCCATCTACCTCGACGGCAACGCCTGGGGGTGCGGCGTCTATATTGGCGTTTTGAGCGAGTTTGAGAAGCAGTTTGGGGTCGGGTTCGGAAAAAAAGTTTTGATCCAGGGCGATTCCGCCGGTGCTTTACTCGGTTTGATCTGGGCCCTGGGCGGGTCCGCGGAATGGTCACGGGAAGTGTACAGCAAGATGGCAGCGTGCGGTGCCAGGGAAATGTTTAAACTGCGGATCAGCGACTACCACGAGGCGACGTTGGACGAGGTGGAGAAGCACTATCCTGATGCGCACCTTCTCGTGCGCGACAACTTCCAGGTCGGAGTCACCGTCGGGTTTCCGGGCGAGCACCGGTGGCTGTCGAAGTTTGAGACGTTCGCCGATATGCGGCGTGCGATACACGGGTCCATGCACATCCCGATCTTTTGCAGAAAGTTACCTTTTCTGCACTACCCGAGCGACTTTTTCACCGACACGAAAAATGGCGTCGAGCAAGACACAACTTCTGCGAATACTAAATGTAGCCCGGCCCCTCAAGAAGAACGAAAACCACGTCGACAAGAACCACGGCCCAGGAAACTGTCCGTCATTGACGGTGGTGCGTCGATGCGGGCCCGGCACCTCGCGCACGGCAGCTATCCTGTGCAAAAGTATCGCGCTCGTTGTATTGCAGTCATGCATTACGTATCTTTCTCTTAATGTAAATCATCATTACAAATTTCATTTCTCATGCTGAGGAAATTTGTAATGCATTTATACGAATGCGATACTTGTTTTGCAATTCATAGCAGCGAGACACTGGTGATTTCCGCGATGCCTTGGGCCGAGTTTCCCGACAATAATTTCGCGGACTTGAAGGCCACTTTGTCGCCGAGCCAGTGTTTACTCCCGCCAGAAGACTCGAACGATTTGTACAAGCTGGGAGAAAAGCTCGCGCAGGACTGGCTCGCAAACGGTGGCGTTTTGCGGAAAAAGCACCGGTCGATGTTGACCATGCACGGGTTGCTGTTTTTTGGCAGGATTGGGTTTTGGGGCGCCCGGTTTTTTGAAGAGACCTGCCTGCCAGCGTATGTACGGAGGGAAACGGTAGATAAGGATGGAAATGCGATTCCAATTGAGAAGTTGGAGAAGAATATGGACGAGCAGGGCTACACTTCGAGAAGTTCATCAACTGCTATGAAAGAAGTAGACGCAGTAAACCAGCACTGGAGAAGTAGACTCTGAGCTTCAGTATGAAACGCAAACGCCCCCACATCAAGATAAAAGACAGCCGCCTTTGTCTGTCTATGTCTTCAATGATCAATATCGCAAGTGGTGCGAGAAGCGAGGTGATACCATCGCAAAGAGCCCGCGACAAAGATCAGCAAGATAGAGGTAGCGTAGCTAACATGGTGAGATCATCGCGCAATGCGTCTATTGTTGCCATATTCAATGGCAGTTCCTCAATAGCAATACCAGAAACAGGATGACGATGAAGATCAAGATGTTGATCTTGCGTACTTATTTTGTCTACCTACTCGAACTCGAGGATTGGATCATACGAAAAAAACGATGTTGATGTTGGGATCCTGATCTGATAGTGATATTTGCGTCGTGTAACCAGTGGTCAGTGTCAGTCGTGGACAACGGCAATGTAGATCATCTTCTTGATCCAATTACTTACACCGATATTTCGTGGCAGCGTGGTGATTCAGGTTATGAGAAGATCACCCGAGGTTCAATTCTGATGTTCGGTCAGGCGTGCGTGCGTGCGTGCGTGCGAAAAGCGATGTCATCTCGTGGCGGAACTGCTTTATCTGATTGCAAAGCCTTCTACCAACGCGAAAGTAAAAACTTCGCGAGAAGCAAATCAGAGAAATGACTTTCCCAAAAACATTATCCCCTTTCAGTTCGCTCAGAATTTTTTACAACCTGACTTTATCAAAAAACATCCGTACCTCTGTCTGATTTTGCAGCCGTATTCAGCTTCTGACTCGAAAAAACGTAGCGATTGCATTTGTTCTGACCGCAAGAGCCCGATATAGTACATCAATCTAGAAGCTATGAAGTGCTCTCTCGCAACCAAAATTACCCCCCTCTTTTTCCTCACCGCCACCCTCTCCATCTCTGCTATTTCCGCCGCCAGAGCGAGTTCGGGTAGTAGTTCCTCTGCGCAGCAGGAAAAATTATCAGGGAGCACGACCACAAAGTTTCTCCCCACCACGGAGCCGACCCGCACCCTTCCGACTAATAAATCAGGCCTCGAAATCCCAGACCTGAGTCAGATCTGGAATTCCGAATTCAATTCGGACGGCTCAGGAGTACTAGGTACTTCTGCGGATCAAACCCCCCTTTCGGTCGACATTCGCAACAAACTCCCGGCTGCGACGACGTTGACCGGCAAAAAGATGGAGGCTTCCTACCCCGAAAACCTTTTTGTCGTGAAATCGCCGGCCATCAGGCGTTTGATGTCCATCGTGAGGGATAAAGCCACGGACCAATTCACCTACGTTCGCTACAGCGACCGGGCGATGCGGTTGTTGGTCGAAGAGGCGCTGAGCTACCTTCCGCACAACGACTATGGAAGTGTCAGAATGGAAATCCTCAAAGTGGAAATAATTTGTAATGCAAGAAAACGACTCCAGTTGAAGTGCCATTTCTAGTCGGCGCATAACAAATTCACCCGGCGCTCAAAGCATGTCTGTCATGCGAGTTAGGGCAAAGGGGTGCCCTTCTCTCGTGCTGATCAGCAGCCCAATTCTGAACCGGTAGAAGAACAATAGTCGGCCTCCATTGCGTCCTCTGCAATACAGTCTTTTTGGTGTCGCATTTCTTGCATCACAAACTATTTCCACTTTGAGAGTTTCCATTCTGAGGCCTTCATAACGACAAAAACGTGGAGACGGCGTGTGGGACGTACGAGGGCAGTGAGTTAGTAGTGCCGGAGAGGGAACTGGCTGCGGTATGATCGGATTTTTTTTTGATGATGATTTTTGTGTGCTGGACGATGGATGCTCACGGTTCCAGCAGCGAGTCGCTTCGGTTAGACCACCTGCGCCTTGTTGAATGATCGGCTACGGCATATTCGAAGTCAGGGTTTCGGTTTATTGTGGCTCTGATCATAGTGATCCTCATTTTTTCTCAGGTAAGTGTCGTGCGCTCTGGCAACACGATGCTGGAGGCGGTGCGTCAAGTAATTCCGGACGTTGCCGTCGGTCACATTCTCGTGCAGCGGGATGAAAGTGATCCGGAGAAAAAACCGAAATTCTACTACCAGAAAATGCCGAACGGTGTCGAGAAAAGGTACGGAAGTTTTTTGAAAGATATTGACACTCTGATTTTCTGAAGCAGAATGAGGATGAGTTAAGCGTGAGCCAAAATGGAAGAACTTCACGACGGGAGGATGAAGGGAAGTAGCAAACGAGCCGTCCTCCGCCAAGGACAGTATGCAAAGTATATTCATCAAACATTGTAGGTACGTTCTCCTCTGCGATCCGATGCTGGCCACCGGTGGCAGTGCAAACGCGGCGATCAAGTGTCTGATTGAAGAGGGGAAGGTGAAGGAAGAAAACATTCTCTTCGTCAACCTCGTGGCTGCACCCGAAGGAGTGAAAAAAGTTTTTGACGCCTACCCGAAAATCAAAATTGTGTCCGCCGAGGTAGATCCTGGGTTGAACGAGTCGAAATTTATCGTGCCGGGACTCGGAGACTTCGGGGACAGGTACTATAACACCGGGGACGAACACTAAGAGGCGTCCGAACGCAAGATGGAAGTACGAAGGAGAACGCTCCTGGTGTGTCTATGTTACGCATGCAGCTCGCTTCTTCGAAAATTTTGAACAGGGTGGACTAGCATGTATCATGCGAGTCTATTTTTTGAATGTGAAGAGCAAGAGGACTACTGAAGTGATAGCGAAGTGCTCAGAGGTGAAACAAGATCTACGCGAAGCATATGCGTATAGATAGTTTCCTGCGATCCAACACTTGGTACCGACGCAACCTCGGGTGCTTCTGCTATTCCTATTTCTGCTCCACTTTCACTTTTGTTGTTTTGGTGCACGCTCAGTGGCAATTCTTACTCGGAAATAAATCTATGATATCTAATGACATGATGAAAATGCAACCCCGCCGAACAAGAATCTAACGGTAACGAATACTCACACACCAATATTAAACGCAGTAGGTCGTGCTTTCTCGCCGGCAACTACACTAGATATACCAGATGTGGATATAACAATGCAACAAGCTGGCAAAAGCCATCGACTGCTCTCAGGGTGGCCAAGCGCATGTAAAGGAACTCGCGTGCCTGCGTCTGTGGATAGCACCATCGCTGATCGTCATCAGCGCCGGCCCAGATGAAGACGAACGCCTGGCATTTCGACGCCAAAACTTGAATAAAGCAATTTGAGCAACGGCAACGCTAACGCAGAAAAGGAATTCCGTAAGTTTGTAACGCAATCATGAATGCCGAAGCCGATACATACGTCCCTTCCCTTGCCTTGGCTTCTTCATACATGTGCGCTATAGTATGCATATGCTGCAGCACTTGGAATGGTTCTCTTTGTTCCTAGACCGAGTCCCGCCATGTCTCTTGGATGCCACTACTGCAACGCTTCGAAAAATTTATCGATGTCTTGGTCTCATACTCATGTCTGTGCTTTTTGGAAAAAATCGCTGCTGCTGCGTTATGAAAATTTGTGACATGATGGGTCTTGTCAGCTGCTCGCGAAGAAGATCAATTTCAATTCGGCATCAGATCATAAGGAACGACGTGTGTCTGTGTGTGACTTAAAAAAGATGAAGCAAGACTTTCTTGCAGCTTCGTCTTCATCTAACAAGATCGCCGAAGATGTACATTTTTGAAGAGGAAGTTCCTTCCGCAGTGTGGCGCATGGACCACCGGTCCTTTGGTCATTGAGTTGCAGATCCGATTCGATTAGGAAGATAAACCACTGCAGCGTAGCGTTCTCAACAACAAGTTCATTACTTTCACGACTTTTGAAGTACATAACATTCCCTTCCCCCATTCTCCCATCTGTATCTGTTTTTTCCTCGCTACAATTTTTTTCCCGCCTCTTTTTGCAGACGATTAAAGTAGAAGCATCATCTTCTTGTTCACGGAGTTGTTCACCTTTTCCGTTACTTACTCCTTATACTAGTCACGACAGCAAGCCCGCGGCACGAGTTTGTCTAGTACTTATTTCCAGCAACCAAGCACGAACATCATCTCCAAAATGCCCGCCAAGTTCGGTATCAACGGATTCGGCCGTATCGGCCGCTTGGTCTTTCGTGCCGCGACAGAAAATCCGGCTGTGGATGTGCTGGGAATCAACGACCCCTTTATGGACTTGGAATACATGGTAAGAATACAGACATCATGTGGTGGCCGATCTTCTGTAATGCGTCTTGACAAAGACAACAGCTCCAACATGTCCTCCTCTGCAATGTTCATGTAATATGAAAGCCAAAGCGAATGGGAAATTCAAATTAGGAACTTCTTCAATCTGTGTCCTATGTTCTAGGTTTACCAACTGAAATACGACACGGTCCACGGCCGTTTCGACGGCACTATCGCCACCAAAACCGAGGGTGGCAAGGAGTACCTGGTCGTGAAAGGAAAGGCCATTCGCGTCTTCCACGAGAAGGAGCCGTCCAGCATCCCGTGGGGCGAGGCCGGCATTGACTACGTCTGCGAGTCCACCGGGGTTTTCCTGGAGGCCGCCAAGGCGGAGGCGCACATCAAGGGCGGCTGCAAGAAGGTGATCATGTCCGCGCCGCCGAAGGACAGCACGCCGATGTTCGTCATGGGGGTGAATCAAGACGACTACAAGAGCGACATCACCATCGTGTCCAACGCCAGTTGCACCACCAACTGCTTGGCGCCGCTGGCGAAGGTATTTTTTGATGAGAAATTATAAGGTCCCTGGCTGATGAATTTCTAGATAGCACTGAAAACACTTCTAGGTCTTGATGAATTTTGTATTCGTTCAAATATATACGGGGTTCCTGCGCATCAGAAACACCTTAATTATCTTATCAGGTCGTCCATGACAAGTTTGGGATTGCTGAAGGTCTGATGACCACCGTGCACGCGATGACGGCGACGCAGCTCGTCGTCGACGGCCCCTCCCGCGGTGGCAAGGACTGGCGCGGCGGACGGTGCGCGAGCCAGAACATCATTCCGGCGGCCACAGGTGCCGCGAAGGCGGTTGGAAAGGTCATTCCGAGTCTGAATGGAAAACTCACGGGTATAAAACTACGTCATGCTGGTCATGATAAAGTAAAAATTGTGCGTTTTCATTACCATTGTACTTGGTAAGAAAACAGCTCCAGCTCTGACCAGAATTTGTGCAATGCTGTGGCGTGATCATTGCCGATAATGTGGATTTGCAGCGAAGCGTACTTTCTGTGAAACTGACTTCTACTAAATCGTAAAAAAACAGGTATGGCGTTCCGGGTTCCCACCCCGGATGTGTCCGTGGTTGATTTGACCTGCAAGTTGGACAAGCCGGCCAAGATGGCGGACCTGGTTGCTGCGTGCAAGGAGGCGGCGGCGGGGCCGATGAAGGGCATTTTGGACGTGGTCGACGACGAAGTGGTGTCCACGGACTTCGTTGGCCACAAGTGCAGCTCCATCCTGGACGTGAAGGCGGGCATCCAGCTGAACGACACCTTCGTGAAACTGGTCTCCTGGTACGACAACGAGTGGGGCTATTCCAACCGCCTCGTCGATCTGGCCGTCCACATGGCCAAGACGGACGGCATGGCTTGAAGGAAGTTTTTTTGAAGAAGTAGCTGCTTAGTATTCTTCTGAAGATTCTTTTCTTCCTTGTCCTTTCAAGAGTCGTGGTGAGGATTTCCGTTTTCATCACAAAGGCACTCTGTTTGCTATCATCTCTGTAGTTGATGGTGAACAGTACGATTGTCCACCAGCTGAATGTGTTTACGAAAGACCTTCGCGGTTGAGTTTGAGTTTGAATTAGTACTAGTCTTTGATCTATCATGAACGAGTTTTGATTTATTTCGTAAGTGCCTCCTCTATCTGCTCTTTCGTCTCACCGATATAGTTTTTTCGTCTCACCCGCACTCAATGAAGATCTAAAATGGTTTTATTCACCTTTAACAAGGGGCTAGCAGGATCCGTGGTCAGGAACCTCTAGGGGAAAAACTATAATGTCAGAATCTTCATCTTAAAGATAGGCTTTATCCATCCGCGCGCTCCTAATTTCGTTTACACTGATGCACACGGCTGCTCTTTTTGCCTCTGGGAAGAGATGTTGGTTCCAGTGGCGACGCCAAGAGCAATTTGCGCACTGTCAACAACACGTTAGCGCATCTGTGAACCGTGAACAATCAAGGTGGATACTAGAATGAAGATAGAACTGCGATGAAGCCCTACTTCTCAAAAGAAGCTGGGTCTTCGCCTTGAGGTCCGAAAAATTTTGTAGGACTTCACATCTACGACTACGGCACAACAGTGTTCTCCTTGTTGTTGATCGCCCTGCACGCTTCCGCACTAAGTACCAGGTGGGCCGATCGGTTCTCCGGTAGGAAGACAACCGACGGGTCCGTTCGAGGTGAACAAGTTGCACGTGTTGTACCCAATAAAATCAGAAACGCCGTCGTCGACATGTTCTTCACATTATATCGAGCTTCTACTTATGTATGTGTGAGTGTGGATATTTTTGATTTTATCGAGCCGGACTAGAAGAAGTTGCAATCACTCAAACAAAAAAAATGTTGTTCCAAGTCGCGTTGTTCGTTGCTGGCTCGGTTACGTATTCTCTGCTCAGCTTCCTACCCAACCTCGCCAAGGTTGGAAAAACAGATTTCGCCTTCGATGCCGCCAGCGTGGTTTTCTTTGCGGAGTTGGGCAAATTGTTCCTGAGTTTGTTGTTTCTCTTCCGGGAAACGAACAAATCGCTGCTGCGGATGTGCCGGGAAAAACTCTTCACCAAAATGATGGCGAAGGAGATTTTGAGTTTCATGGTGCCCACCGTTTTGTACGCGATAAACAACAATTTGGACATCATACTCGCAAACCATATGGATGGTGTGACGCAGCAGGTCCTGCTGCAAAACAAAATTCTTGTGACCAGTCTAGTTTGGTGGGTCGTGTTTCGAAAACACCTGGAGCCTAGGCAGTGGTTTGCGCTGCTTCTCCTGACCGCGGGCAGCGCCATTGCCGTCAGCAGCGGAGAGCAAGAGAAGGTGAAAGCGATGGCAGATGATGAAAAATCTTCTTCAGACCACAGTCAGAAGACCACCAAGACCTTCTGTACACCCACGGGCTTTGCGCTCGCGTTTTTCTATTGCCTCTGCTCGGCGGGGGCGTCGATTTACTGCGAATACGTCTACAGACGAGATGCGAAGCAGAGTGTACACGTGGCGAGCGCAGCGATGTATATCGGAGGGTTGGTCGTCAACAACGGCATCTACATGTACAACACTTCAGGAATTACAGCGTCGGCTTCACCAGATTCTTCAAATAGTATCAAAACTAGCCTGCCCCAAACACGCGTTGAAGATTTCAAAATCCCCGAGCTCTTCCTTTTCCGCGGGTGGAATGTTTTCACGGTACTGGATTGTGGGAACAAAGCTCTCCTCGGCCTCACGCTGGGGTACGTTATGCGCTACCTCGGAAACTTACACAAGCTGTTCATGTTCGGGGCCAGCATGTTCTGTTCCGCGGTTCTGGGGATATTGGCGAGCGTGTTCTTACCAAACCACCCCGCAGTGCACTACAGTCCAACAATACGGTCAGTAGCCGGGATGACGATCGTGTTGGTAAGTTTGGTGCTCTTCAACTATACGGAGCTGAAGAGCCAAATTCTGAAAAATTCCAGGAAGAAAATGCAGCGATCAAGCACGCCTACTTCTGTGCGGAATAAACCCCTATCGCCGAAAAACAGTGGACCGTCGTCACCGAAAGGTAGTGGAGGTGGTTCTTCGGCAAACGCCGGTTCGTTGACCGGTGGTAGGACGAGTACCACAGGAGGCGGGAGTAAGAATGCGATGAAAATGGACGCTTCGAAGAAGCAGATGTAAAGCGAAACAACGGGACAGGCCTGATGAAGACTGATTTTCACTTTTATATTTACGTAAATGAACACGACAATTGATACAAATCATTATAAAGCAGGAGTTTATAGATTGTATAGAAAAAAGAAAATGCACCAGAACCACGCGGCTACATGTTGCAAGCGGGTAGCAAGCAATAAACAAACTTCTCAGCTGGCCAAGAAACTCCGCCACGGTAGAGGTGCTGCTTGCGCCCCCACTAGTGGTCGTTTCTATATGGTGCTCTGTTTTACAGTTGGCCGCTTCATCTCGTACAAATTTGTTCTTCCCGTAGTTTCCACTATTCGTACTCTTTCACACCCGTTCGTCTGGACGGTATCGACGATGAAGTTGAAGAAATTTGCTGCTCTCGTATACTACAGAATGAAGAACAAGCACCGATCCTGTCACCTTTCCCCGCATTTATTAACGTCGAAGTTGATGATGCAGAAATTGTAGCTGAATTTTGAGATTTGATCACTTACCTATATGCCCCTATGGCAGCACAGCCCGCACCCCTTCGTTCTTACGCTTACTTGCGCTTGCCTCACTTGTGACACAAGAAGTTCAAAGTTAGGAACCATGGGTCGCAACACAACCAGCCACGCGACCGCCACGCCCTCCTCCTCCTCCTCCACCTCCGGCCGGCCCCTGGATCCGAGCAAATTTGAATTCTTCGAGAAGGAAATCCTCACACCAGAGTTTTGGCAGAGCACGTGGGAGAAAAAGCACCGGCACTGGAGGGATGTCCAGGACAACTTTTTCCCCGAGCACTTTTCTGTGGACCGGTTCGTTAACCGGATGCTGGGGCCGGACTGCCGTGTCTTTGTCCACGAAAAATCGTGCGAACATGATAGTCTTCGAGCAGGCAACAACAATATCAAGACGCAGAAGCAGCGAGAGATAGACTCGATCGGGGATGACCCGGTGCGGGGGTACCTGGCTGGTGGGTCGCTCGTGTACAACCAGGCGGACAGACTAGACGAGTCTCTACTGAAGTTTTGTCAGCACTTGGCGAAGAAGTTCTTCCATCACGTGTTATCAAATGCAAAAATGTCTGGGTCTGGAAGGATGCAACTTGTGCTGCAGCATTTGGACTCCAAAAAAAACTGTATTGCAGCAGCAGCAAAGGGAGTGTAATTTTTGCTACGCGGAGAGGGCATTTGATGTCATGCGGAATTGGCATCCAGAAGCACTCAAAGAATCTGTGATGCTAGGGCATGCATCACAGACATCATGGCTCATGCAAAACGGGAATGACAGGTCTCACAATCTTCCAGACCCAGACACTTTTGCAATTGATACGTGTTCTGCGTGTACTACTTGACCCCACCCGGTTCGCAGGCCGTCCGCCCACACAGCGACGACCAGGATGTTTTCATTCTCCAGGTCTGGGGGAAGAAGAAATGGCATCTGTACCAGGCAGACCCGCTGTTAATTTACACGGAGGAAATGCTCGGGAAGAAGAAGCCAGTGCCGGAAAAATGCCTGGGAGAGGACAGGTATTGTAAGGAATAAAAGTTGTCAACATATACAGATATAGTCGTACGGTACATAGTTGCATGAAGGCTGCATGTAGTTGCGCGGCCTGAGTACCACACACCCTAGGTGCAAGAAGTAGGTGCAACTTTCTGTGATGGAGGGGATGCTCCAATTCAAGTTAGTAAGCATTTGCTTTCTTCACGACAGGTACGTAGGCGAAGTGACCATGGAGGCCGGGGATATTCTCTACATGCCACGCGGCCTGCTTCACGAAGCCGAGAACTCCGAGGGTGCTCTGAACGGGTCGCTGCACTTTACCATCACCGTGCCATCCTGCGACTACTGTTGGGGTGCCTTGCTCTGTCACTACCTCGAGGCCGCCCAGGGTCCGAAAATGGTCAGCAATTTGCGGTTGCCAGTGCCTGAAGGTCCTCGCGGAACCAACAGTGCGGCCAGAGAGGACCTCTCGGTGTCGGATCTTCAGGGGACAGGAGTGGGAGGACCACCCTCCTGCTCGTCCACAGCCAAATCCAATTCCCAAGCCACAGAGATTGCAGCCTTGCTAGAAGCGCTGAAGAGCAAGTACAAACTGAAGCACGTCATTAGCGCGTACGAAGAGAAAATGCGGAAGATCAATGACAAGCAAGCCGGCGGCCTACGGATCCCCGGGGACGGGGCCAAGCACGGCGAGGTAGAAGATGGCGAGGGGACGATGAACAAGCTGAAAGCCGAAGAGGAGACGGATGAAGGACCAGCTGGCTCCTCTACTTCTAGAGGTGGAACTACAAACCCCAACAACAAGTCCGGCGGAACAAGCTCAGCGAGTTCTGGAGCGACACACGGCAGGTCGACTTTAGCGCAGAAAGCAAAATCCTCGGCTAAGCCGATCAAGCAGCCAGAGCTGCAGAAATTTTCTAGTCGCTGGGTGCGGTTTCCGGCGAACATCCGGTATAATCGACCTGCGAGGGACCGGGTGTACTTCCAGAAAGTCGGCCACGACCAGTCCTTGAGTATGCAAGTCGACCCGGCGGCAGGAAATTTGCTGGACCAAGTGAACAACGCGGTCCACGTTCGAGGGGTTAAAGTGGGAACGATGAAGCATCGCAATGAGGACGCGTTTGAGATCTACTGCATCTTGCAGGTGTTCATCAAGAAAATGTGTTTGGAACTCGTGCCACTACTAGAACAGACAAATTTGAAGAAAGGAGAAGAGGCGGATTGAAAGTTAATACTGCGATGGTGCGACTGCCCTTCGTGAGTTGATAGATGGCCACAGCCTTGGTGCCACGTCACTTTGCCAACCTGGCCTCGGGCCGATTTGTATTGTCAAACAAGAAGGCGTGTTCCCGCTCGTCTTCAGCCACCGCAGCCGAAGTGCCTTTTTTTTGGCATCTTTGTTCGTTCGGTGTACTATAGAAACAAGCCCGCCCGCGCCAAAGGCAGCGCGCGAGGACAAGGCCGGCGCGTAGGTTCGAAGCAAGGAAGCCGGCGCGCGGCCGCGGCGCGGCCCTGACTTTATTCCTGGCGCCCAAATTAGGGGCGTGCCTTTGTTTGCCTTGCATGCTTCTGAAGCAAGGAGCAGAACTGGTTGCGACAGGAAGCCGGTGTGGAGCCCTGGGCGAAAGGCGCGAGCAGAGAGAAAGCGCCGCCGGGGGAGATTCAGACTCCACCCGCCCGCCGGCCTAGGCGCCTCCGGCTACCTACGCAAAGACGCGCCGAAGCGCCAGCGGCGCAACGGCCGGGGCCGAGCGGTTGGACGGGTTGCGGAAGAGGTGCGGGGCTGTAGACAGAACAGGACCAATTTGAAACCTCCCAGGTACGGGCGCGCGCAGTTTTCGCTGTTGTTCGTCTCCTCTTGCTCCTGCACCGGCGGCGCGCGTTGGCCGCCTCCCTTCGACGCGCAGGCAAAGCGTATGGGCCCGGCTCCGGGCTATGCGCCGCGTTTCTGTTGGGTTTGTTCTACACAGACCCAGCCGACGGCGAGCATTTTCGTGGTGTACAAAAGGCGCGGCGCCCACTCGGCGGCAATTGTAGGAGATAGAAAACAGGGCGAACTTGTTCCCCCAATGCTTAGGGCAAAGTCGGACGAAATTCGAGAAGCGCAGATATTGCGAAGCGAAGCAGATCAACATGGCGCGCGGCACCGTGGCGAAAACAGGGGAAGGCTATCTCCCCGAAAGCCGAGGCCATCAGAACACGCCTGGGCGCGCGACATCGTCGCGCGCCGATATTGAAGGGCCGGCGCCCCCCCCCTTGTCTGTGTTTTTTCTGCAATCCCCGGGCCTGTGCGATGTAGCTGCGGGGGGCCGCCCCGCAGGCCGGGGGGGGGGGGGGGGGGCGGGGACCCGCGACGCGCCGGCGGGCGGTGAAGGAGAGCGCAGGCGGCGGCCGGCGAGGTCCTGCCTCTACTTCGGGGAAAATCGCCCGCCGCCCTCGCGAACGAAGCAAGGGCATGGCGGGGCGCCCGGCATGCGACGGCACGCAATGGGGTTGGGCGGGGGCGGGCCTGCAGGCCGCGCGGCCCGCCTCGTGCTGCTTATTGGCAAGCCCCCCAACTATCCGGGGGGGGACGGGGCGGCAAGCGGGGCCCCCTCTTCCAGTATGGTTGGCCCCGGAGGGCCGCTCGGGCCCTTCCTTATTTTCATCCTTGGCCGGGCAGGTGCTTCGGTCTATCGCGGGCGCGCGGGGCCGCCGAGTCACAGACAAGGCACGCGGGCGCGCAGCCCCACCCCCGTCGGCCTAGCGCGTGGCACCGTGCCAGCCAGTCTAATCAATCGCGCGGACAGTGCGCACGCGCGCCGCCCCAAAGCAGTTAGTCGCCTGCCGCAGTTCGTTGCCCGCGGGCGCGCGCGCGCCGCCCTTTTCGCGGCAAGCACCAGCTCGTCGTCTGTCATAGTCTGTCAGCACATGGGAACGGATTCCCTTTGAAGGGAAGCAGCGCGAGGCCGAGGTCGAGCCGCAACCACTATTGTTACCTACCTCCTTGATGTCTTCCGCCTCGCAACGGCAGCGGGGGCACGTAGTCAGAAGCCCCCAAGTGCGCGCTCTGGCAGCGGTGTTCGTTTCAATAGGCATGGGGCCGGGTACCATCAAATTTGAACTGGTTTGTGGTTGCATCATCTGCAACATTTCTCTGCCATCGTGGCTTGCGGTGCTGGCTTCTTCCTTTATCGGGCTAACAAAAAGGATCTTTTTTCCGTGCGACTAGGACGCTTGGTGGATCAACGTGCTCTGGTTCTCAAACAATAAATTTAGAATTGCTATATCAGAATTCAAGTCGTGAGCTAGCAAGGTGTGGTTAGCTTTTTTTTTCCCGGGATGTGAGTATGTGGGACTACATCAGAAGTACATCGGCAATGTGGGCGACATACTTACACGACGCGAGGATTTTTAAGAGTGTATAGAAGAAAGAATCATATTGGCGGGTAGTTTTTGCTTTGAGTTTGATGTAATCAAGCGGAGCCATTGAAGCCAGATCCAGAGGGTAAATAGACAAAATGGTTGTCGTTTTCGAGGTCTCGATTGACCCTCGTTGCATGATTGACACGGTGAAACAGCGAGAAAATTGCTTCGTTGACGCCTTCTTCCCCATCTTCTGTCGGCGGCCCTTGCTATCCGACTTAACCAAGCCAAATTCGGTGACGAGCCTCGATTTTTACACGCTGTACCGACAGCACCGGCCGTACTATTTCGCGGAAGCGAAAGACCAGACGAAACCCGAAGCCGAACGAGAAATCGCCGAACGGGTCTATGTGGCGGGGGACCATTTGGTCCCGTATATGAAGAAGGTTTTGGTGGAACGAGACGACGAACTCGATCTGGGCTTGCTCTCCTGCCCGAACCAGGTTGCGGACTTCACGCCGGAGCTCGTGGTGCATTGCTACCAATGTGAAAAAGGAAATCCCGACCCGCTCTTCCTCGATTTTAACACGAGTGGAGAACAGAACGACGAAATCACGCTGCCGCCCTTGCGATGCTGGCGGTTGCCGCACGAGTTTTTCGAGGGCGTTTGGGAGTCCTTGCAGTTTGGAGACGATAGTTTTGTCGCTGGTGCTACTCAGAAGTCGAGGTCTGATGTTCTTGGGGGTCCGCAAGAACTACAGCGAGGGCCCCCAAGTCCACCGAGCAATAAGCTCGACGCGTTGAAGCACGAGCTGCTGGAAGCGCTCTATTGCGCGATGTCTTTGTCCCAGAAGAAGATCGACCCGAACTTGGTCCCGCAGAACAAAGTGTTTCTCTTCCACGGCCCACCGGGCACGGGCAAAACTTCCCTCTGTAAGGCGTTGGCGCAGAAGCTCGCAATACGGAGCGAGAAGCTCGGGTTTAAATCCGCGCAACTAATCGAGGTGGACGCGCACTCTCTGATGAGCAAGTGGTTTTCCGAATCCGGAAAAATTGTCACCCGGCTGTTCGAAGCCATCGTGAATTTCGCCGGACAGGAAAGCCAGAAAAAAACCGCATTTTTCATCCTACTAGACGAAGTGGAGTCCTTGTGTATCAGTCGGACGAAAACTTTGGGGGCGTCGGAGCCGACCGACGGCATGCGGGCCGTGAACGCGGTGCTGACGCAGCTCGACCGGGCGCGGCGGTTCCACAACATTTTTGTTTTGGCGACGTCCAATGTGATATGAGATTGCACAACTCGTCCTCCTCCCCCTCATTTGTATGGTATGAGCAGCAATACAGACACAAGCTCAAATGGAGCCTGCGCATGACAAATCTAAAACGGATTGTAGTGCTGTTTGTGGTTCCAAAATTTGTCATGCGAACTGTACTTACAGATTGATACAGACAAGATGTGGATTTGGCTTTTTGCATCACAAATGAGGGGGAGGGGGAGTTGTGCACTCTTATTTGTGAAGGAAGTTCTGGACCCGGCGTTTCTCGACCGGTGTGACTATATCAAAGAGATCCCGCCCCCGAGTTTACGGGCGTGTTTGAAAATTGTGATATGACAGTGCACAACTACCCCTCCCCTCATTTGTCATGCAAAATACCCAATCCACCCTTTGGCTCTTGGCACTGTTGGCATGACAGCTTTCGGATGCCAAAACAGCGCTACAATCCTCTAGGAACTTGCCATGCAGAAGCTGCATCTTCGGCAGCGCTTGTGTTGCTGTTCATGCAACTACACAAATGAGGGGGAGGGGGGGTTGTTCACTCTCATACGTGACCAACGGTGTGCAGGAATTGAGGCAGAAAGGTGTGATCATCGACGCTGTGAAGCCGCGTCGAGGGCCGAACGGGGAAGAAGATAGGACCACGCCGAAAGAGAAGCAGAAACATGTTGGTATATTGAACCGAAACCTGCTGGAATGAACAATCATTTAGAAGCTCCATCACCTTTAGAGGATGTTGGCACGTCGGCACTTGATCTCTTGCAAAACGAGTTGCACAACGGGTAAAGCGTCGTGAGCTAAACAGATTTAACTCGATACTACTACAGGTAGGAAGCCACTCCCGGAGCTGATAACAAGCCAGGTTTTGGCCGCGCTCCGCCCATTTTTCGGCGCCGATGTAGAAGTGCAATACCTGTTACAAGAAGTACAAAATGAAAGCACGACGATAGCGCGAAAGACTTCTTCGAAAGCCCAAGAAAAAGAACTCGACAGCAGTGAAGCTGTAACCGGTTGTGCATCTGCAAAAGGAGATGTAGCAGCTGCAATCGTGTCTCATGGTTCGGGTCAAGATAAATCTGGGATGACGAGCGAAAAGAATACGACCGCTGCAGCCCCGACAACACGAACCACGACAACCGGAACTTCTGCTGAAGAACTACCCGAGGCGGCAGCAACAGGATCTAGTTCTGGACCCATTTTCGCGGGCGGTGGTCTTCTGTTTCAACGTCTAAGTGTAAGTGCTGTGCCGGCAGCGTCAACACCTCTTCTTCCGGCCCCGACCTCTTCTTCCACCTCTTCACCCTCAACCCCCTCGTCAACAGAAACTGAAACCAAACTCTCAGACCGTTGGGTACTTTCCCCGAAACAACTTCTCTTCTCCCCACGACCAAATCATGTTCTAGAAAATTTGAAGGATACGCCCGCAGCCAAGACCGTGAACAACTTGCTCTCACCGATTTCCACGAAATTAAAATCGCACGTCGCCAACATGCTGGACGCGCAGAAGAGAAAAATGGTGGACTTTGTGGTAGCAAAGACTGGCGTTGACGCAGAGGAATTGGGCTTGCTGTGGAAAGAACAGACAAGGGGTAAGAAGAACGAAGGGAATGAACTTCTAGCCTCTTCTAGTTGTACTTCTTTCGCGATGAAAAGCAGCGGATTGGTGTCGTATCAGCAACAGAAACAGCATCTGCAATCCGAGTCGCGTCGCTTATCTACTTCCAGCGCGACGACTCCTAATGTTCTTTGTGCCACCCGGTGCAAGGAGTTGTCCGCCCGGAGGCTGACGAAGTTGCTGAGCAAGGCGTACACGGAGGCAAAACCGAAAATTGCCGAGGATCGGAAAGTGGAGTTTGCAGTGTACATAAATTCGCTTGTGAAGGTGCTGCACCGGTTTTACGAGGAAAAAGTGCTCAATGTTGCGGAGATGGGCGGCGGCGGAGGGAAGTGAAATACGTGTGCGTGGTCTGCGTCCTCGTTGTGTACTAGAAAAGCAAAAAAAATCTAGTGAAAAAATATACGGACATAACATAGCAACACTATGATACATTGAAAGAGTTTTTCCCTCATGTACTTCTCGAATGTTGGTGCAGCCCCATACATAAAGACGATTTAGAAAAGAACATGACTATGACCGAAGATCATCTTCGAAGGCGTTTTTCTTTTTGGCTATCCTCCCGGAAGCAGTGAATTAAATCAGAAAACCAAGAATCCATGTTAAGCGAGTGCCGGCGCGGCCCGGCCGAGGTGGCGATTTTCTTCTTTTGCTGTAGTGCAATTCGCTTCTTTTACACCAGCAGGTCGATTTTATCAAAGCATTGCTTGAAAAGAGAGAACCACACGGACACGGGTACTTACTTACATAATTCTGTCAATATCGCACCTGTGAAGATGAAAATACGACGGCTCATATTAGGTGCCGTCAGGGTGAGAGAGATAGAGCGTCTGATATTTTCTGTAGTTTAGTTTTCGTTTTCACCGATATCATGTTGACCTCTCTGCTCGCTCGTTGCAAACTGCGTGCCAGTTGGTTCTTGCTTTTCCTCGTCTGGTTGTTCCATGGAAGCTGCACGACCACGACGCTAGCGCGAGCTGCAAAACCACCACCGCAGATGAATTTCTGCCCCAAAGTAATTCGGGAGATTCCCCTGGGCCACTGGCACACGCTGAACGCCTACTTCGATGCGACGGATATTTTCGAGAGCGAAGTCACCGGAACCCCGCAACCCGAGGTCGAGAAGCAACTGGGGTTAAGCCGACGGATACCGCTAACCAAGGCCGAGAAGAAACTGAACAAAGTATTGAAGAAGAACACTGGTAAAAAGGTAGGGGACAAAGGTGCTGACGATTCCGATTCGGGCCCACAAGATCTACTACTTCAGCCGGAAACAACAACTCACTTCACCGCGGAAAACCTACTGGCTTTCCGCGAAACCGAGTATGTCAGGACCCTCAGCCGCACAACATTGTTCGGGGCCGCGCTTGCGGAGCTCGACTTCGTGTTCCGCAACAAAACCCTGATCAGCACGTTCTGGCGGCTCGCGGTTGCGGCGGACCGAAAATTCTACAAGGAGGAGATCCAGGAGACGGGCGGAAAACTCGCAAGCGACCTGGCTGCGGAGAAGGACGCGAGAACACAGGTGGAACAAAAACGACAGACGGACGAGCTGCAGACGACAACAACTGGGCAGCAGGGTAATATCGCTGGTGAACCTGGCAACGATCCTGCAGAAAACTACGTTAGCAACAGCGAAGATCATGGAGTTGCAGCCAATGCCAAAAATCCGACCACAGTAGCAATCCCAAGTAGCGACGAGCAGGCTTTGCAGATGGACCAGGAAACCATTGCGCGCGCCCTTGTTCCCGGGTCGGTGGAGTCAATCTTTCTGGGACCACAGGATCGCTCAAAACCCGCTTCTGCCAACATCGTTCTTCCCCCCGCACGCGCCTGTTTGTGGAAGTTTTGGGTGTTGGTCACCCTGCTCACCTCCAGAAACCTTCTGGACCCGAGGCGAGACAACAGTCAAATGACGTTGGTCAACGAGTGGCCGGAATTTTTCGCGGAGAAGTCCGATCACGCATTGTACGCGAATTTAAACTCCGCGGAGGACCGGTTTTTCTCCTTTCTCGTCCGCCGCCTTCGGTGGAACATCGCTGCGCATTTAGCGCTTTTCGCAGAGTTGATCACCCACGGCAAGGTGTCCCAGGACCGCCACCACGTGAAGGGGTCGATTCACACCCGCGGCGCCAATGTGACCGAGGAGCACCCGAGAAGATGCATGGAACACTTGACCGCAGATCGGTTCTCCAGTGTCATGCACGCGTCGTACGGTTCGTTGGATGTGACCCACACCAGGCTCCGATGCAGCAACTACGCGCTGTTTCTTGCGGGATACCCGTCCAGGTTCGGCAGACTGTTTCTCAGCGAAGACGATAGAACGCACCCCGGGCAGACGACGTTTCGCAGCGGCATTCTGGGCGACACAGGCAGGAGGGAAATCGTGACCTACGCGTCGCCTCCATCACCGCGCTTCCACGCGTTCGCGGACTACTACGATTCGTTGTGGGCGCAGGCGAACCGCGCAGCCAGGCTAAACCGGATTTTTTTTGGACAAGCACAAGGCGAAGGATTAGCTGGTGGTGCGGGAGGACGGGATCCATCAAAAACAACCAATTTTCCTGCTACAACTACTGTTGCCACAGCTACTGGTACTGCCGCGAAAGAACCATCGCCGCCCTCATCTTCGTCCATCTCCACGTGGTATATTCTTTTGGAAAAAGCTCGCAAGCAAAACGACCCGACATTCGCTTGGTCGCCCTTTTTCGCAGTTGCGGTCGTGTTGCGCGCGGAAATCCACTGGGGGATCTGGCCGGATTGCTTGACGCGTGCCATCGAGCTCTTAGAGACGGTGTTTTACTTCGAAGCGCCTGAAGACGAAGACGAAATGCTGAAAAGTGCTGCAGGTGGAAGTAGTACTAGTAGTGCGAGCGCTTCTATAGAAACGACTACAGCATCAACATCTCCTGTGGAGGTCTCTCACTACGCCAAGCACTACCCAGCCGTGGGCAACCCACAGGGCGCTCCGATCGTTTGGAAAGAGACGAAGTTCGATTACGGGTTTCTCGTCCACAGCATGGCGCGGATTTCGAAAATATCGAACAAATTTCGTGCCCTGTACGAAAAAGTCTGGAACTTTTCCTACCGGAGGACCTCGGCCCTTCTACTCGATGTGCGGAAACGGTTGGTGGAGCTGATGCAAACCAGCATCCGATACTGGAACCCGGTGAAAGTCCAGCAATTTATTTTGGCGGAAAGAAATAAAAACCAAAACGTGCAGAGGAGGAGCGATGGGCAGACTTCTCATCCAGGTCGTGGCGAAGTACTTCCAGTAGTTTCCTCCCACGAGCCGGCAGAAGACGCGTTCTTGACCCACCAGGCTTTTGGATTCTTGACCACCAAAGGAAAGACTGAAGAGGAGAAACGAAGATTAGAGGCAAACACCGGCGACGCAGCCTTTGAGCCCTGGCGGAAAGCAAGGAGGGCGAGAAACGGGGTCAATCTCGAGTTGAACCAGTGTAGAGGAATCAAGCCCTTCGCGCCAGCAGCTACGGCAGGGGCAGGGGCAGCACCACCAGTAACAGCAAATGACATTGCAGTTAGTAGACCACCACTATCAACAGCAACTTCCTTCTACACCCGTCCGCTGGTCACCCCGGCCTGCAAGCGGACCCGCACCGAACTCGCGGCATCGGAGCAGCTAAATGACGAAAAAGCCCGGCATAACCTCCTGCGCAGCTGGGATTTGTGGACCGCCAGTAGCGACTGGCACTTCCTCGGTTCGCCGCTAGCGTCGTTCGCGGAGGATAACAAAGACGCTGTCTTGGTGCGGGTGTTCGACAACATCGGCACGACAAACCGCATTTACGTCGAGATCGGCGTTGGTAGCGGCCACGAGTGCAACACCAGGTATTGGCGCACGGTTCGCGGTTGGGACGGGGTCATTATCAAGCAAAAAAGTGTTAACGTTAACGGTTATTTTGTGTCATGCATGAGAAATTTCCGCTATCATGCATGCTATGCAATACGAAATTGGGCGTCATTTCTCGTGCATTCCTGAATGCCAAACTCCGTTAACGTTATACACTTTTTGGTGTGATAGTCATGATCGACACTTTGTACGACTCCCCAGGGATCGGTTTGGAGCTGCATTTGGTCGACGAGTATGCATTGCAAAACCAGAAGTATCGTACTGCGTATAATCATTGCTTTCTCAAGAAGAAAACTGCACTTTGTCCTTGTCGTGCAGATTCAGGTAGGAAACCAGATTAGTCATGCCTGGCTGGATGCAAATTTCATACGAGTGCGATACTTTTGCAATGGATAACAAGCACAACCTCGTGGAGATTCTGCAGAACGTCGGAACAACGAGACAGTCCACCTCGGGCGCTGCCACGAAATTGAACGCCGCAACAACCCCATCAAGCATTCTCCTTGACGACAGCCAGACCCTCGGTCCCCGCAGTAGCGCGCCTAAAATCCCCCAGGAATTCGACCTGCTGTCCATCGACGTTGACGGGCGGGACTGGCACTTTTTACGGGCGATTCTCCTCGCCGGCTACCGCCCGCGCGTCATCATCGTGGAGCGGTTTAACAAGTTTGGGATCGAGCATATGCATTGCAAAAGCGTCGTACTAAGTATAAATCGCATGACAAATCGTTTCTACAGGAAAAATGAAAGTTGTCATGCAGATCGAGGTAAAAGAGTAAATCTGTCATGCAAGAGTACCATTTATACGAGCACAATGCTTTTGGAGAGGATTGAGCAGCGCCGATACGCGAAAACGGTGGAGAAAAATCCTGCCCCGATCTACCAGCGCGGCATGGCAGCGGCCCTGTGGATCGACTCGATGGGAAGCTCCGTGTTGAGTTGCAAAGACTTGGCCATGGCCTTCGGGTACGATTTGGTCTATTGGGGCTCGGTGGACTTGGTGTTCGTCCGTCGCTCGAGTTACAAAGCGACGCCCGCAATGCTGTTCCAAGGGCAAGAAGAGGTGGCGGAGCTAGAGGCGAAGGAAACGAAAGCCATGAAGGGCAGCAATGGCGCAGGATCCACACACGCTTCTGCTACAGCCACCGTATCTGGATCAGCACCCTCCTCGGTACTATCATCTACTAGTTCCTCCTTTTGCAACTCGCTCCAACCCATTTCCGTAGACAACACAAAGCACTGGATTGAGACGATCATCCAAACCAGCTGGAACCGACCTCTCAGCGTGCTGTGGCAATACGAGCTTGCAGTAGAAAACACGCCAACGCCGGTGTTGTATAAAATCACGGGTGGCGCACCATTGGACACACCCTTCGAGGAGGTGGAGGCCGTATTGCTGTCTGGAGGAAGCAAAATTCCGACACATGTCCCCGGGACAGGTGCAATTCACACGACCGTGCTGGCGGAGTACGGTATTTTTAAAAATGGCACGGAAGGTTCTAGTACATCATCTTCACAGGGAACTACATCTTCCTCCGCAGCAGAAGTGGATAAGACCTTACATCAACTCCCCTCATACCCTCCAGATGTTCCGCACAGGACTTTCAGTGTCAACGGACAGACGTATCTCATCCGGCCGAGGTACTATTTCGTCAATGATTTGAAGACTTTGTGCCTTGCGTATTTCGACACCGTGCGCGTTTTCCGCCAGCGGCGGCCGGAGAAGCATACAAAGCGGCCCTGCGACTTTCCCTTCGCGGTGGACGAGAGGAAGCCAGACGCCCCTGCGGACGCAGACCGCCTCTGGCCGGCGGGGACGTTCTTTTCACCCGAGGAGTTGCGAAGTTCCGCGGTCGTTATTTAACGAGTGTGGTGGAATTCGAATTGCAGGAGCGGCGGGGGCTTCTGCTTCTGGTTCTGGCCGCGATGAAAATTAATACGGACGTGTGGTCAACAACAGCGCTTGGGAGGCCGGCAGCCCAGGACGGGGCCTGGGAACTGTTTTCCGACCGTCGCGTGCGTAGTGGAATCTGGAACGAGGACCCGGATCATGGTGCAGTTCGGTTGGAGAGCACGACGGAAGTATACGCGGAACAGCCGCATGGCGATGTTGGTGTTGCAGATTTCATTTGCAGAGTCTGGCCGACACTTCTGGAGGACTTGCGGTCCTGCGGAAGATGTGGCTCACGCGCAACGGGCGGAAACGTGGAGTGCAGATGTTGTTCTGTAGCTGTACTAGCGTATTATACTGAATCAGAAACCAAGTTGTGGACGACCCTCGTCTCGCTTGAAAGGGAAATCCTAGGCACCCGAGACCACCACGAGGAGCCTTGTCCATCGGCCATTTCTATTTTCGCTTCTTGGTCTTTAGATCGTCCGCAGACCTGATTCACCGCACTTTGTTCCTACTTGCGGCAATCCACAAATTTTTGTTCAACAGGTCAAACTTACTGCTCGCTAGTCTTCTTGTTAGCCCCGTTACGTGATTCGAAGTACCATTTAAGTACTTAAATCGTTTTCGTTTTGCAATCGCGCGACTCTCTCATCTCTGGTTAGTACTAGATGTAGGATTTTTTCCGACAAGGACGGGTAAATGAAAAAAAGCTAAAATCGTTTGATAGTTACATACTAGATATTTTTCTAGTGGGTCGTGACCCTCCACCATGATGCCGCGCAGCCCTCATTTGTTGGAAAGCTTCTGGACGCATTTCTTTCATCGGTCCCCGCAAGCTTCATCGCCTTTGGCTTCAGGCCATGCTGCTGCAAGAACTGGCAGAGGAGCAATTCCTGGTTTATTTTTTCCTGAGGCGATTTCCTCGCGAGCGCAAGCCGTACTTCGGCGCCTGGTTTTCGGGCCGGACATTCACACGCTCCTCGAGGAGCACGAAAACAGGGGCTTTTCATCCAGTTCGGCAGACCACAGGAGTCCAACCTCGGCGGTGTCCAACGCACGAGGGACTAAAAATAGTCGCGATGGAGCGATGAAACACCATTCCCTCGCCACAACCCCGGGAACGCTGTCCGCATACATCCCCTCTCACATCCGGTCGACCACCAGTGTGGGCACATCGAAATACGCTGGCGGTTGTGGGGGCGTGCCGATGGATTACAGAAATTGCCGGCGAAGGGGGTTTTCTTTTTCATCATCATCCGCTACTAGTAGCTTGTCGTCCAGTTCTACCTCGCTGATGAAGTTTGGAACACCTCCCCCAGTGAGTGAACACGACGGTCACGGTACCTTCCCTGCTTCCACTAACCGTTGCATGATCGACATATGTATCGTTCCCCTCGGGACAAAAGACGTCAGTGTCCGTAACGAAATCGCGGTAGTCGAGAAGATCCTGCGGTCCTTCAGCCCAGAGCTTGAAATTCACCTCCACGGCTACGGCACGAACGTTTCCGGCGACTGGGATTTGTGTATGCAAGCGCTGTATCAAATGTAAAAATGTCTGGGTCTGCGAGAATGCAACTTGTCACGCGAAATCTCAAGCGTGCAAAAATCTGTGTTGCATGATTACCAAAGGTCGTCCGGTTTTGACCAAGTCGGGAGAGAGTTTGTCATGCAGATTAGGCAATAGAAAGGTCTCGGAGAATCTCTCATGCTATGTCCTACATACCAGACCTCACCTAAAAACCTGCATAACAAGTCTGACAATCTTCCAGACCCAGACACTTTTGCAATCCATACGCTGAAAAAGTGCCATGCCGTGTTGCACAACGAGTTGGGGGTGCCGCGCATCACGACGAGCATCCGGCTAGGCACACGGGTGGACAAGACCCAGTCGATTGCGGAGAAAATCACAGCGGTGGAGGAACAGTTGTAGGTAGTACATAATTTTTTGAGCGATGAAGATTTGTTTCTCATCCTTGCTACTGATGCGTCATTCCGCCACTTTGAAAATCCGATTTGTGAGCTCCAAAGCAAAGAGAACATAAGGATCTGCCTCTACAACATAACGCACGAACGCTAAAGAACCGTGGATCTATCACCACTCTTCAGAGCAGCCGCAAACAAAGACACAGATGAAAGGAGCCATATGATTTTTATACGTGCAACCGCTAGTACGACGGGCAAATCAAAATCGTCACGTATACAACCGTGATTGTGCAGCGCCGCGACTACGACGAAACAAAAGGGGCGCATCAAGAATGCGCTCTCACTCACCGATTGATGTTCTTGTACGCTTTCGATTCTCCGCGCGGTCCATCAACGCTCCAGCGTTATATTCCCGTACGTTGACTGACACTTTTTATCTGCCTGGAAAGATCTTACTTCATGATGATCACGCATATAGATTATTCCGAACGCCTGCGACCATGACGCAGAAAGGGTGGCACATCAGCAAGGATCCATTTCTTAATATATCTATAGTTACTCACCTTACGAGCTGCTGTTCTCGACGTAGGATAATGACAGCAGCCTTCTTTGATCTCAAACAAGATCGCGCTCAGTATCTGTAAGTACAGTAAGTAAAAAATGCTATCACTTTCATCAACACTTCAAATTCAATTTGAACCAATTGCCATTCTACCCCTGACAGAGGCAACAACATCGACAAAACAGAGAGAAATTGGCTGACGCACGCACTACCAGCTGAAGCTTGTCACCTAAAAACAAATTAATCGCATCAAAGTAGAGCGCTCCACTTCTTGATGAATAAAGTAGGAAAAAAAATTTTCAGTGTTATCGATAGAAGGAGCAAAGCTTCCGACTTCAACACACTGCGCATTTGAATTTATCAAATTCAAAACTGTCAAACAAGTGGTGAAGCATACCTTCTAAAGCTGCAAGCTATAGGGCTTCTTTTTATCTTTGCAAGGTTTTTTTTTGTGTTTATCAATTTTTACCTGCTTGCCCTCTTACACAAGCACGTCAAGAGCAACTGTGACAGTAGCCGTTACAGTTCTTGGAGCTTGTTACTGTCACTGTGTAGTGCTGTGCTTGCAGGACGAACAGCAGGTATTATATTCTTTTGCAACAATTATTTTTACTCTGTTTTGCCGTTCTTCTTCTAGCTTGTGATCGTGAGATAAGTAAGTTCGTGAAATCCGAAGGGTAAGTAACGGTAAGTAGTAGCCGTACTCTCAACTAGTACACCAGCAAGGTTTATAGTTGAATGATTGCGATTTCTTGGATAGCTGTGTATAGTAGTTTCCTTTTGGTACCAGTCTCAAACGCTTAATGGTCAAATCCACCACCTAAATTGCGTTCAGGTGAGACACCATCTGAATAATATTGCAGATACAAACAAAACCATCAATGCATTGCATTTTATCAAACTCACACAAGAAAGCAGATAGAACTTCTAGTGGACAAGAACAGAACACAACACACTTCTTTTCGACGCTATGCATCACGCAACAACGATTCACTTATCACCACAACAAAACTTCCCTCAGCTTAAAATTTTACCTTAACACAAAAGTTTTCAAGAATCTGTATCTGTTTCAAGATGGGGGGCATGCTATCATCACCCATCGAGGTGGTGCGGCTCCAGCGGCAGCGCGGGCACCTGGGTTCGTGTGCCGTCGCGGAAATGCAGGGTTGGCGAGAAAACCATGAGGATGCGCACTTTTTTTCGCAACCGGACGCGAACGTATGGCGTTCTCAAACGTTACATTCTCAACTGTTACATGATTTGTCATGCAGAATTGCCTTCAGAATCTACACCATCAAGCTGCTTCGCATGACAAATTCTCAGAGGGCCAAGCAGGCCGATACTCGGCGCCAAATCTGTCATGCAAGACGCGCAAGATCTCTCCTATCACTTTTGCCATTCTTGCATCGCAAATTCATGTAACAGTTGAGAATGTAACAGTTGAGAACGCCATAGAACGGGTGGGCGACTTTTGGGGTACTAGACGGCCACGGTGGCTACCGGGCCGCACGATTGGCAGCGGAAAAACTACCCGCCGCTTTGAAAAAAGCAACGACGAAGCGAAAGGTGAGGTTGTGCATGTTGATGCCTGGTGCATATTGATGGTTCACTTACACTTTTGATCAAAAATAAGTAAATATTTTTGTCAAAAATATTAAGTTGTATGCTATTGATGCATGCTCATTATGGTGCTCCTCGTTTTGAGTGTGAGGCAACATCCGCATCATCATGATCAACATTCGTATTTGTTTTGCAATACAACCATACACGAACTTTTATTTGTATTCCAGGCCAAGGACGGCCCCTGCGCAAAGAAGCTCGATGAGGCGTTTGAGGAGGTTGACCGAGAGCTGCGCGAAGAGCTCGTTGGGAGGCACGGGGACCCCGCAGACTCCTCCGGCACCACTTGCGTCGTCGGTCTCGTGAAGTGCACCAAGGAAACCGGTAAGTACAGCTGTTTCATCGCCAACGCGGGGGATTCGCGGGGAATCATCGTGCGGCTGGGCACGGAGTATCAACTGCAAATATGTCTGGGTCTGGAAACTTGTGATGCGTGTATGTAAGTGAAAACAAGTAAGCACACTGTAAAAATGCGCCGCCAAGCATGACAGATTTTCCCGTGGCTCTGTGTTGCGTATTCCGCATGAGAAGCAGCCACTTTGCACGACACAAAAGAGGAGCTCTCCGTGGCGACGCAATACAGAGCTTAGTGTCAACATGCCAGACGAGCATGACAAATGTCGCACTTTTCCAGACCCAGACACTTTTGCACTTGATACGGAGACGCACTTAACAACATCCGCGAATTCCTTGGCAAGATCCCGGGCGGTCTCTACGGAAGTGGAGCCTCCAGGGTCGCCAAAGAAACAAGTGGTAGACGACGATGGTATCGCCACGCCGGACGAGGTGAAGGGCCTTTCCGAGCAAACAGTCATATGAATTGCAAACGTTGTACTATCGTACTTTAATAGTAGTCAACATTGCAATACACGTTAGCTCAGCATGGCAAATGATAATGAAGTTTGTCATACTGATTTAGCTCGGAAATAAGGAACAAATTTGTGGTGCATGATTCCTTGCGACTAGTACTACACGTACGATAGTTTTTATTCCCACAGGATAATTGAGCGCGGTCGTCGTATCAACTGTAAAAATGTCTGGGTCTGGAAGAATACAACTTGTCATGCTGATTTTGGATTCTAAAAATATCTGTATTGCATGAGCAGCAAAGAGAGTCCAAGTTTTGCTACACGGAAAGAGCATTTGTCATGCGGTAAAGGCATCAGGAAGCCCTCACAAAATCTGTGATGCTAGGGCATGCATCACGGATATCAGAAGTCATGCAAAATGTGCATGACAAACCTGCCAATCTTCCAGACCCAGACATTTTTACATTTGATACGTCGAAAACAAAAATAAAAACACGGAAGTGGAATACAAAAGTCCAGATTTGTATGGAAGCGTCAGGATTGAAATCGTCAAAGTTGAAATAGTTTGCGATGCATAAAACGCAACCCACAAAATGCCTGTCTTGCAGAGTAGGCAGGGGAGGCAGGTTGCAAGCCTGTCGCGGGGTAGAAATAGAGCTGCTAAAGTAGCATCACAAAAGGCGTCTTCCTTACCCAAACAGCATGACAAACTGGATTTCGGCTCTAGCCAAATTTGTCATGCACCACTTGAAAACTAGGGACCAACTGGTATCCGTTTTATGCATTACAAATTATTTCAACTTTGTCGATTTCAATCCTGACACTCCCATAATTTGGAGTTGGATAGAGTGCCGGAGAACCCCAACTCCGGAGACGAAGACGGGACGAAGACGACAAAATCTAATGCCGCAAATAATGACTCCTCTTCGCCAGCAGCTTCCGATGGAGGTGCGAAGACGAAAAATAACGACGAAAGCCACGTGGAAGTCCGGCTGCCGCTAAAAACGAAGCCAGCAGGGGATGACCCAGACGAAGATATCTCGACTATGTTCTATGCCGAGGGGACGGCGTCTATTGGTATTTTTATCATGACGAGTTGGCTTTCTCTACTTGTAGACATGATGTAGCTTCTTAACTTTTCTAAAACTGAATTTCATGGTACTATTTATGACCGGACAAAAGTCCTTAATTCCGGATTTTGCTAGCGGTCTTTATAGAAATCCTAGCGGTCCCAGCTTGCTAGCTGACTAACGACAGCGACGCCGTCCGCCCTGGGAATGCACCCACACGCCAACGATTTCAAAGCAGTACACTGCAGCGGTGTGGCTCTTTGCATTCAATGCATTGAGCCAACAACCTTGTTGAGAAAATAGCAAAGGCGTCTGTGCGTGATGGCTATAAAAGCTGCGCAGTCATAAATATCACGTTTTGACACGAGTATGATCGTCATTTTTCTAGCGAACTGGGATCGCTAGAAAATCTATAAAGGCCGGTAGAAAATCCGGAATTAAGCAAGTTTTGTCCGTTCATAGTACTATTCCTATTGTTGGGTTAACTATAAATTTATTCTTGTGTGAGACGCAATGGATGAATTGGAATGCCTGCCTGCTAGTGCTAAGAAGTTGCACCCAATCTCTTTATCCACACGCACAACAGACCACAAGCCAAGCCGCAAATGCGAGTTTGACCGAATCATCAAGGCAGGCGGGTCTGTTTCCGGCATGGACGGGCAGCAAGGGTTTCTTAGCGACTGTCCGCGGTTGGACGGGAACTTGGCGGTGTCCAGGGGCTTCGGCGATTTCCAATACAAGATGGACTTCAAATTGCCGGCCAGTGAACAGAAAGTTTCGTGCCATCCCGAGTTGTTCTCTATGCACGACCTAGACGCCGGGGATCTAGTATTGATTTTTTTTGTTGTTGTCGTAGCCGTAGCATAAGCATGAACTTGTAGAATCTCGTTTCGTCTGTGGCAGCATTCTTATCTATCTCTTTCGATTTGATCAGACCGCCGCAAGTGAAGATGTTGCATTTATCAATTATGATCAAAACGAAAACAAATTTTATCCGATGGGGGACCACTTGCTTCTCAGGTAATTTTGGCGTGCGACGGTATTTTTGACGTGATGAGCAATGAGGATCTGATCAGTTTTGTGGTCGAGCGGTACCACATGCTGCAGCCGAAATACACCCGGCGAGAAGACCTGTTGGCCGAGATCTGCGGTAGGTGTGTGCAGCACTGCCTCGGTAGGGACAGCAAGGACAACATGACCATGATGATCATCCAGCTCGGGCCCCCGCTTGACGAGACGAACTATCAAAGGCAAATATGTCTGGGTCTGGAAGGATGCAACTTGTGATGCTGTATTTGGATTCCAAAAAAATTTGTATTGCATGCGCAGCAAATAAGGATCCTAATTTTTGCTACGCGGGGACAGAGGGCATTTGTCATGCGGAATAGGCATCAACAAGAAGCCCTCAAAAAGTCTGTGATGCTAGGGCGCGCATCACAGACATCATGGCTCATGCTCATGCAAAACGTGCATGACAAACGTCACAATCTTCGAGACCCAGGCATATTTGCATTTGATACGAACTCACCCGCGGCCATGTTTTCGTTCACAAGTGAGCAGCGGAAGGCGAACAAGGGGAAAGTGATCACCCCCGGCACGCCGTCCGCGGCAGCCTCGCCGGCGTCGGCAGTCAAATTGCCGACGTTCGAGCAGGAGGTGAAATTTTTCAGCGCGAGCGAGCAGGTCGTGAGGCAGGGTATCGTCGGGGAGAAGAGGACCCAGGAGACCTACGCGACGTTTTTGGAGTACTGCGAAACCGGGCCGGAACCCTGCCCCATCAACGCCCGAGTCGCGGCGATCTGCCAGTACAAGCCAAAACACCCAGAAATCACGTCCGACGGAGAACCAGGAACGAACGCAGGTTCTTCATCCGCCTCCCCGCACGGAGGGGCAGCTGGTGCCAGTACGGCAAACGATTCGGCGCACCACGCGAAACACCACACGCCCGTGGCAGACCACTCGGCGGGGGCGCAAACCATGCGAGAAAAGCTGCAGCAGAAGATCCAGGCACGGAAGGCCGCCGGCGGGGGAGTCACGTTAAACGGAAACTCAATTTTGAACAAGAAAGCTGCGGCAGAAAGTGCTGCTGCGAAGAACACGAGCGGAACAACTACGTTTAGTGAGAAGGAAAAAGAGAAGGCAGATAACATTGCCAAGCTCCTAAACGCCGCGGCGACTAGTCCAAACGGAACCGGGCCAGCGAGTGGATTCACTTCTGGGTCAACAAAGGCAAAGAATGGCACAGCAAGCTCAGAAAGTGGAAATAAAGAGACCACAGAGAACAAAGAGGATCCGGGCGCGCCTGCAAGAAAAACGCCGATAGTGTTGCCCGACAAGGAGGCGTCATCGGGTTCAGGTACTTTTCTACGTCTAGCTGTAAGAGTGTTGAAATGTTGAGAAACATATCAATGATGATCATGAAACACGGGTTGTGATTCGGTTTGGGTGTATCAACAAAATGCTCGTTGTCGCGTACACGGAGCGAACGAAAGGTGAAGAGCAGACTGAAACGAAAAATATATCTATCGTATCAAGGTGACGAGAACGAATCTCCGGAGTCCACGCCGACCGCTGCCGCTAAACGAGCCGAGAACGGCGGCAAAGCGAATGCGAACAAACGGAAGAAGAAAAAAAAGTAAACATAGTGGTCAGGCTAGTGAAGGACCTTCGGAGGTTATTTATCTCTCAAAAAGACCAGCTACAAAAGCGAACGCGACAAGAGCGACATCGGATAAATCTATTAAGTACATTTGAATTTAGCAAACAACACGTGAAGAAGAAGTATTAAGTCACTATAGAACTCTGTCACTTTATTCTTTTCCCAAGATTATCATTGTAGCATAGCAAATGTCGGCGTGTCCGAAATGAATCATGTCGAAAAATGCAATGAATATTAACTACTTCGTTGAACGGCCATTGGGGTGACGGGCGCGTTCAGCGTAGTTTTTTTATCCTTTTTTCAACCAAGTTTGATGCTGCCGAGCTCGCGCAGAATAAATCGGCACAACTAGTAGTACGCGGTCGTACCTTGACCTTGTCGGACAACCGCAGGAACCCGTAGTGATGTCGTCGCAAACGCCAAGCTTCATCGCCGAATTTGCTTTCTATGGCAAGAAGCAAGTATTTTCGGAAACGGCTTGCATATCTTCTAAGAAGATAGATCCTTAGTATTCTTTCATATCCAGCCGACAGCCATAATATGACGAAATATGGAGAAGTAAAAATGGGGGGATCTGCCGCGCAGTTCCTTTTTTTTGGTGCCATGGAGGAGCACTAGCACCCAGCGGAATGATCTAGCAGCAGTACTTCTAGTGGACATTACCCACCATGAACAGCTCCTGTTTACATCATCGTCATCGAGACAGGATTCCGTAATTATGCTCGTGCTCCTCCCACTTCCCTACTAGTAGCCTTTCTTGATGCAAAAGCTCCTACTCGCGGCTCTCAAGGTTCATTTTGGGAAGTAGTCGAGTAGTGGTGTTCAGGCACACAGATATCATGTCAATGGGTTCTACAGATTTGTCGCTCTCGCCAAGAACATCAGCCATCTTTTCATTACGACATGATTGGCCTGTATTTCAGTAAGAGTAACACTAGCACAAATATCAACGACTGAATGACCTGCAGAAGGCGGACACCACCTTCCAATAAGAAAGCCCCTTCTTGTTGACAACCACTAACCCAAGCGAAGCCAACATCTCTTGATGACCTTTTTGGTTTTGCTCACGCTCTTAAGCACACAACACAACTCCAACTCCTAATGCCGCAGAATAAAGTAAAGAACACAGCATTTTTACTTTGCCCTCAGACATCAAAAAGTCACCTCAAATAGAATCAAATCTGTATTTCACTTTGTAAAAGTGTGCATCATCATTCTGCTGTTTCTACTGCTGTCATGAAGGGCCGTTTTATTTTCTCAGTGAATGAACAAGGAGCGGCACCGTTGATTTTTTCATCAAATGAAAACCTTGCTCTTGTATGCTCGTTGTGAAAGTACTATCATTATCATGACCATTATGAGGTATTTTATTGCCTGTGCTTAGTTGTTTCTGGCTACGAGTCATGCGCAAGAACTACGCAAGTATGCAGTTTGATGATGAAAATGAAGTCTATCAGGCACCATCTACCCAGCAGCACAAAAATCTTTTTCCACCATCCATCTTGTGAAGATTCTTGCAATAGCGATTTTCCGTTGTACTCGACGGATGAAAAGCATGCATCTTCAGAGAGCAGCTGCAATTCCATGATTTCCAATCGTATTGATTGGACATCAATGGCGCTAAAAGATAACGGTCACACCACATGCATTGATATTCAAATTAAAACTTAACAAGTAACTAGTATGGGGGGGTGATGAAAGACTCACCATTTTTTTTCGTCACAGGAGTCCGGAGGGCTGTGGTAATGATTATCCACCATCGGATATTAGTACAAATACAAAAAGTGCAGATAGAAGTTGAATTAGAACTACAAATTACATCAAAAAAAAAACGGAAAGCGCAACAACACTCAAGAACACGTTGAAGATCTGCAAAAGCGGCACATCGAAGCACGCAATAATGTGGGGATTTGCCAACTCCTACGTTCGGCAAGTCATGAGAAGTATGATGCATTGGTTGCTCGGGAAGGTTAAGGTAAATGAAAGTACAAGTTCTGGTCGACACAACTCCAACTGTAAAAAGGGTCAAGCGGAAGCCTATGGCTATGCTGTATAATTTCAAGAAAACTGCGAACAAAGGTCGTCAAAGCCGCGACTAAACTCTTACTTGAGCAGGAGCTAAGTACAGCTCGCCCGGCAGCAGGAATAACAGCCAGTTGTTCAAACTTGAGTCGTTCAGGCACTAGTGCATCCTATTCCTAGCTTCGCGAGCAGGACGTCCCATACTTTCTAAGTTTCTTCTTTTTTTCTTCCTCCTTCATCGGTTTTTTTTTCTCGTTTTTTCTGATTTTGGTTCAGTAAATTTGTTAAATTCGGCTGCGATTCTTTTTTTGATTTTGGTTCCGGTTTTGCACAGAGTAGGTTGTAAGTATGTAAAGTATGCTTTGCGTCCCTGGTCGACGGCGAGTTTGGAAATAGGGAGTATTAGCTTTGTATATTTTCTTGAAATCAAAGGTAAAACTCGATGGAGTTCAAGACTTCGGTTCTTCTATTCGTATAAGTCTTGCAAGAAGTAGGTGTCTTCTGGTAGTCCTTCAAGAGTATTTCGAAAGGCTTTTCTGAAACGTGGTCCTGCTCCAAGTTTAGTAGAAGGTACTCCGATAGAGGATATTATCCGCAAAACTACATCAACATTCACCTCGCTCAGCAGCGACATTAGTGTCCTCACAATCTTTCGCACATAAGAATGAGCAAACCTGTTTCCGTCCGATGGTCCGGCGTGAAGGCTCCCGTGGGAGCCGGCGGCCGGATCAGCAAACGAAGTCGCACGTTGTCCAAGGACAGCCGTCGCGGCACTGCGGTGCCCTTGGATCAGAAGGTAAGTTCAAGTTGATGAGCGGGTGCACAAAAGTAAATAGGTCAGTCTTTGTGGTTGTGTGTCGAGCTCGAGAAGCCTCTACTGTTGCTCGAAGATGAAGATAAAAATCGAATTGGACAAATCCCAAATCAATCAAACTAAATAGGTTTTCTGCCTCCAGCTCTGCCCCGGCAAACAGGACCGCGTTGCTGTTTCGTATGGTGACGGCGAGATCCGGTTGTTCAACGTGAAAGACGGCGAAAACACCACTGTCTTGAACGCCGTCGTCCGCAATTTTAAGCAACAGGAGGTGGATTTTTTAGATCAAGCCGTCACCGAGCAGATGCGGTTTCCGATCACGATGCTGCGGTGGAAGGACGACAATGTGCTGATCTCGGTCTCTCCCGCGGACGACGGCTTGGTCCAGTTCTGGGACTGCAGTTCAACCGCGGAGGCGAAGCCCGCACTCTCCTCGCCGAGCAAGGCGAAGCTGACCGCGAGCGGGCACCGGATCCCGGACCGGGAGCTCTCTCGCTTGACCGAGCTGAACAACGCCACGCAGGTGCTCGATTTCGCCCGCAAGGGCCGGTCGTTCGCGACCGGGGGGGCGGACGGGAAAGTCCGGGTGTACGACGCGAGCTACAGCTACGGCGAGTTGCGGACCACACTGGAATCCCGCACCGAGACCCACAAGTCCGGGCACAGCAGCAGCATCGTGGCGCTCCGGTACCACAACACGGACGTGAACTTTATCCTGGGTAAAAACGTCCCCACCCCATAGTCAAGACGGGAAATCTGCTAGACAAATCCACAAGGCTTGGCTGTTGCGCATGACAAATCTGGCCTCGTAGTGTGATCCTGTTTAGCTACTTCACCAGCATCGCAAACCTAGCGCATCATGCTGATTGGAGCGCGACAAACTCCGAATCACGAATAGAAAGCGCTTCTCATGGGGCTCCGCATGAGAAACATCTTCAGCATGCAGAATTGCGTTACAACTATGGGGCGGGGAGGTTTTTACCAATGATAAACTTGCTCCTGTCCGCGGGCATGGACAATCTCGTCCATCTGTGGGATCTTATCCTGTGCAAAAGTATCGCACTCGTAGTTGTAATTGCAATCATGCATGACAGATTACCCATATTAGGCAAATCAGCATTACAAATGTCACTTTTCTTTTTGAAAACCTTTGTAATGCAATGGATACCAGTACGAGGCTTTTGCATTTCATAAGTCTCCTGAAGGAGCAACCGATCAAAGTCCTGTACGGTCCGACGGTCGGTGCGGACGGCATCGACTACGGCTTTCACGGGCTGGAACTCTTGACCGGGAGCTACGACCCGCGGAAAGCCATTCAAATCTGGGATTTGAACAAAACGAACGGTAGCAGTGGTCTTGGTAGTGCTGCAACAACGACTTCCATGTTGGTTTCCTCCCCGGTAGTTCCGGAAATATACGCTCTGGCGCATCCGATGAGGGAATTTGAGCGGAATTTCGTGGAATTTCTCGGGGAAAAAAAAACTCTTAGCGCCGGAGCCGCAGCGTAGCTAACATCCGCGCGGTCGCTGTGTGAAAGATGTTTTCGCAGGGACAGCAGTCGGCGTGTTCTCGGGCGCAGGCTATCGTGGTAGACTACCCGCGTCTTGTTCTGTCCAAATATGGGGGCCAATGATAGCAAGCGTGAGGAAACAGACAACAACGCCGTGCTGTTGAGGGTAGTCGAATCCCCATAGCATGAAGCTTATATCTTGTGCCAATTATTCGCAGCCCTGGACCCGAACTACCCACGCAGGGCAAAGCTGTAGCTTTTTCGTCTGCTGGACCTATTCTGGCACCCGGTGGCGGAGTGTGCCGCTTGGGTGTCGTGCCATATCGGATACTTGTGTCCTGGACTTTGGAAGAGTTCTTGTGCTGTCTTGTGGTTGCTTCCGGGTGGGTCGCGACCTAGGTCGCGACCTAGGTCGGAGGTCGTGTTAGTCCTCTGGGTTCCCTCTGTTTGACATTTGCCAGAAATTTATTTTCTTTTTGTTTTCCTTTTGTAAGAAATTTGTTTGGAATTCATTTGGAATTTATCTGGAATTTGCCAGTCGCGACGCTATGACGAAACTCCAGAATTCTCTGAGCGAAATTCCAAACAAATTCCAGACAAAATGCGGAAAAGTTGCTTAGAATTCCAAGCAAATTCCTAGCAAATTCCTCCATGTTGGTTTCCTCCATGTTGGTGCAACAACGACTTCCATGTTGGTTTCCTCCCCGGTAGTTCCGGAAATGAAGAAATCCCCGAGTAAAGGCTCCTCGCCGAGCAAAACGCCGTCGAAGAACCGGAATAAAACTCTGGATGAGGATTTGGAAAACGACAACGAAACCAACATGCAACTGCTCGCCTCCTTTACCTGGCCGCAGAGTTTGGAAAATAACGAGGGGGCGGATGAAGACAAAGAGCAGAAAGTATTAAACGAGTCGACGAACAACTGTGGTGTGAACAGCGTTTGCTTCTCCGGACGGTCCAACTACATCCTCGCCACGGCTTCCTCCACTTTGCGGATTCTGAACCGGAAGACAGGAGATGTCGTCGCCGAGTACGAACATGAAAACTTAACAACCGACCAAGACAACCCCGCCGCTGCCGGTGCCGAAATTCCGAAGATCACGACGTTGACGCTGGATGCGGACTGTGACAACTGCTTCATCGGCGATACCGACGGGATCATCCACTGCTTGACCGTCGGCGAATTTCTACATGCCATGGGGAACGAGTCGAAAAAACGGTCGAAGGAGTACGTTTCTGGGGCGACGCCGCTCTCGTCGAAGCAAAATTCGAAACAGCGAGAAGTGGCGGAGGGTTTGTTTGGAAGTAGTGGCGGTAAGGCGGTTGCGGGATCTGCGGAGGACCTGGCGTCGAAAACCCTGCTGACGGGTGGGAATTGAGGAATGTGACAGGGAGAACGTAGTACTTAAGTTGCAGGAGTACATTTTCGCTGCATACTGTAGTTGTTGTTGAGTCTGTATTTGAGCAAGTGCTGGACGAAAATTCCGCTCTTGCAACATGTCACTGATCATTGTCTTTTGCGTGTATATATGCATATATTCAGAATTTGCGATGAAGATAATAGTATAAAAAATTGATGACCACATTCATATACTTGGCGGCTAGCCGGAATAGAAATGTAAATGAAGAAATATGAAGCACCGAAAAAGAAAAAAAAATATCACCAAGACCACTATGAATTGATGTCATTCTTGTATGATCATAGCCCTGTTGGGAAAGTTTTGTATACCTAAGCATAAGCTGAATAGAACTAATTCATGATGACACTGGTAAGTAATCACCACGTCAATCTCAATGTTAGCGTCTCCTCGGGTCGCCGCATTATTAAAAAGGAAAGCAAGGGTTGCGATTAAGATGAGTCGCAGCGCTTAAGAAGATGAATGTAGAGAATGCTTTATCGTGTTCGTGGAACCACGACACCACGTCCGCAGGTCGCGGTCGCAGTCTGTTGTCATTGACGCTTTTTGTTGGAGCGGAGTAACAACTAGGGCAACTAACTCGGGTCCCCGAGTTAGTCGTCCGGCCGGCCGAATCCGATCGGCCGGACGACTAACTCGGGATCTCAAGTGCGAAAGTTTTTCGGGCGGCCGAGACTGGTCGCCACGAGTTACCTAGCCACGTAACTCGTGGCGGCGAGTAGCGAGCAGGCAACTCGTGCTGGCAAGGGTCGGCGAGCGCACAGCCGGTTGGTTACAGCAGAAAAACCCTATGCAGATTTGTGCTTTTGTGCATACTATTTTTGCTTTTGGGCCCTTTTTTGAAAATCGGCGGGGCAACGTTTTCGCTTTCTTGGCAACGCACCCGGTGCCTGCTTTGTCATGGCGAAAATTCCTTGCCGCGAAGCTAACATTTATGAAGCCCAACAACTTCACACGCTTTCCTATGAAGCGAGTTTTTTACCGAAAACACAAAAATTATGCGCAAAACCGCGCGAATTGCATATGTTGTCAAGACGTTTTCAAAGCACACCTCTGACCGGAGTCGTCGGCTCCGGTCAGAGGTGTCGCTATATAGAAAAACTTTCGCACTTGAGATCCCGAGTTAGTTGGCCTAGTTGTTACTCCGCTCTTGTTCTACTTGCGCTTGGTGCGGCCGTTTGTACTGCAAAACCTCTCTGCACCGACAAGCAGCGGGGGCCCCCTTGCTTTGGAATGCTCCGGGGTGTTTACCCGGGTCCGCCGCTTTGCGGAGCGATGGCCGACCCGGCGCCCGAAGGTGGCGGGGTTCGGGGGTTACCGATTCGCGGCGCCTCGGCGCGAGAGCTCTGCGAGGGCGTGGCGGTGGCTTTCTGGTGGCCTGCGCCAGCCTGCGGCGAAGGTGTCGCGCGAAGTATATAGCGCCGACCCCTTCCGAGGAACGCCCGCCGGCGCGATCTCCTGGCCGGGCCATCCAGCAAGCTGCATGAACCCGGCGGCGCGCCCCCCTGCGCGTAGTGCACATGCGTGGGCACTCTGCGCGGCCCGAGGTCCCGCGCCCCACAAGCGCCCGAGGGACGGCGTTCATTCTGGTCCGCAGCCGTAGGCTTTAGCGGGGCACCGCTTCGCCGGCTCCCCCCTTTATTAATTTTTTTTTCAACCCGCAGAGGAGACAGGCCAAGGGCGCCGTGACGTGCCTAGCGCAGTCCGCCCTTCGGGCGTATTGCCTACCCACCGGCGGGCGGCGCTGCGTGTTTCGGCAGCCCCCCTTGCATGGGGTGAAGAGTTTCAGTCCGAGTTCCGGACTCCGAAAGCGGGCCCGCGCGTGTTGTGGCTGAAGCGCCCGGCCCCCTCTTCCGGCCCCCCCCGCTCCCGCAGGCACGCGGCCGGAGGGCCCGCGGCCTCCCTGCGCAGCTGGGTGGCCCGCCCGCGTGGGGCATTGGCCCCCCCCGCGGGAATTCTTTCGGGGCGCTTGGGGCCGGCGGGCAGGGCCGCATCGGGGGCGGGGGGGCGCGCCCGCCCTTTATTACGAGGGAGGGGCGCGGTCGGCCGAGAAAGACTGGATGCCCGGCAGGCTGGATGCAAGGCCAAAGGCAAAGGCGTGGCGAGCTGCGCGCCCCAGCCGCCAGCACAAGAACGGCCGGCCCGGCCCGCTCCGCTCGTTTCCTTCTTCGCCTCCGCCCCTCTCTGGGTGGTGTGTGGGGTTCCGGCGTAGTTTTGTGGGAGGGCGCGCGGCGCCTTTCCCGCCCTCCGTCAGTCTATCTTGGGCCGGCCAAACTGCCCGCGCGTGCGAAGGCGCCAGCCCCCCCTGTGGGGGACGCAGGCGTCCGCCGGCCCCCGCAGTGGGCCCGCCCGCCGGCGGGCCCGTGGCGGTTGTGTTCGCAAGGTATCAGCCCGCCCGCCTGGATGCCCGGTTCCTTCTGGTTGGTTGTCATGGTGCCGCTGCGATACATAGTCAGTGACTGGTGGGTGGCGCCCGCCCTCGCACGAAAGTATTGCGCGCAAAGCCCGGGCCCGAGTCTTGTGGCCGAGGGGGCAAGGCGCGTGGAACGCCCCGGCAGATGCGCGCAGCGGGGCTCGCCCGGCGTCCGGCGGATTACTCTGCGGTTGGTGGTTGGGCAAAGATTGGACACCGTGCTCGCCGCGGTTGTTTTTCTCATACATTCATATTCGTATTCCTACCTAAGCTAACGGCGTCACCCATTAAGGCCGAGCTGGTCAACGTGGTGGCCCCGCTTGCCAAGCAGTTGTTGGTCTGTCTGTGTTGTGTTCCCCCGCCTCCGTCTCGTTTTTCAGCATCCCAGCAGCAGCAAGCGTAAGTACGCATAAACTTAAACGTGGCCTCGAAGCTGTTCTTGCAGCGGCAACATTCCGAGCTAGAAGGAATGTTGGCCGAATGCGTCACAACCATCGTCAATGACTAGGCCAGAAGTACGCCCAAGGAAGATACTAGAATAAAAGCAGGATCAACTCCACATAAAAAGGGGCACTTCAGCACTATGAATATGTTAGTTTGTGCCTAGAACTAGACTGCTTCAAATCGGCGATCCTTTAGTTACCGCCATCGCTGGCGCTCGTCAGGAGAGCTTCGGGCAAAATTAAAACGAGTACGTTGGCGCAATTCATCCTCGTCGGATCACCGGCCGCTTGTTTTACCATGGCCTCCGCATCGACAGCAGTGACTCTCGGGCTCGGAGAGTCCATTCCGTTTTTCGGTTGCAGCGACCGCATGGATTTGGAGTTGATGGCGGTACCCAGCGCCAGATTTGGTTTTTTCCGTTGCAACTGCCGCACACGTGCGAACTGGCTCAACCCACACCTCAATGGCTCGCATCTGGAATGTGTAGCGCACATTCTTCCTTTCGATTTCGTCGACAAGGCGCTTCTCGGAGCGGAAGAACAACCGCAAAAACAAGTTGCGGGCCACATAGCAGCAGAAACTTCGTCTGAAACCGCTGACATATTAGACATTGCGTCGCCACAACCCAACTTCGCAACCTTGGTCTTGGGTCAAGTTCTTTCGGAGTTTTCTACAGAACAAAGTCTACATCAGACACATGCCGGTGCCGGATTGCGGCATAACGAACTTCCCGGTCTATTCCTGAGAATAAGGGACTTCGAGAAAACGAAAGTTGGAGTTGCGATTGAAGACGTGGATGCTGTGGAAAACCCCGCTCTTGCACAAGACCAGAATGCACAGGGCACGGACCCAGCAACTTCTCTCCCGACAGCACGCGTGGTGTCCTTTCGCACTAGTTCGAGCGAAAAGTCTGAAACCTATCGCTACATCTTCACACCGGACGAGAAAGATCTTTTTGGCCCAGACGGAGAACTAAAACCGGAACGCACAGAGCCGCTCATAAAAGAAACGCACCTGCGGGAGGCGATCTTCGGAGGTCCTGGTGTGTCAGACGGGACGGAAATAAACAAAAGTCAAACTGATGCTCTTGAAAACGCTGTCTGCGTTTGCATCGACGTGTGTGACAAGGAAGTTCTAACGGATGACAATACCCTTTCCAACTTTGTGGAAGCCGGCGATGGCGAACCCGAAGCGAGCGGTGAAGGCGAAGACGCTGCAGTGAAGAACACCGAAATACTGAAACAGCACCAACATCGTCTCCGGACTACTCACTGGGCGTATCTGACGAACGATGCGTGTGAGTTTCTGCGAAACACGTTCCCGCAAATGCGCGTTTTGTTGATCAACCAGGTCAGCGTGGAAAGGGAGACGTCTGGAGGCGGCATGATGAACCACCGGCTGTTGTTCGGTCTGGATCGGGAAAACGACTTGTCGGAAGCGGATATGGAAGTGTCAGAATCGAAATCGACAAAGTCGAAAAATTTGCGATGCACAAAATCGATGCCAGTTGGAGCCTTAGTTTCCAAGTGGCGCATTACAAATTTCGGGACCACCAAAATCCAGTCTGTCATGCTGTTTGGGCAAAGCAGACTGCTCCTGTCATGCTACTCTGGCAACACATTGCATACCCCTAAGCAGGCTCACAATCGGTCTCATTTGCCTGCTCCCCAATACAGGCCTCGCGCGCCCTACATTTTATGCATCACAAATTTTTCGATTTTGTCGATTTCGATCCTGACACATCCATAGCGGATGTGCGGAAAATTCTTCCGAACAGCTTACTGGCATCGAAGAATGGTGAAGGAGGTGATCATGACGGCGGTGGTTGTAAGGCTGATGTTTTGTCTAACACTCCGCCATTTCTGATTGGCGAAGGGTTTAGCTTCAAGAACTTTGATGTTAACGTCGGGGGAGCAGGTTCTTCGGCTTCGCTTGTCGCGGTCTCGTTCGAACCTTATCAAGAGCCAGATCTTTCGTGCACTACAGAAACCCCGAAAAGGATGCCAATGCAGTACTTGCAACGCGATGTGCTAGCGGTGAAACGCTGCGAGGTGCGGGAACTACGGGCAAATAAACCTGAAATATCCTTTTTACCTTCCGTGGCTGGAGCAGCACGAACAGCTCCATGTGGTCGTCATGGGTGATCGTTATTGGTGCCATTTGTAAAGCCTGTGTTGCGGAAATTCGAAAGTAAGTCTCGGTAAAGAAGCGTACTTAGTCTATTCCAGTATTTGTTTCAGGCTCTTCATAAAAGTACAGAGCGATCGGTGAAAATTACACAAGCAGTTACTCTCCATTGAAATCGGTGGCTGCGCCTTCCGTATATCGGTCTAGCTACTCTTCTCGGTGGCAGTGGCACTGCAGACGCGAATCTTGAAAAACCAAAAATGACCGAGCAGGAATAAGTACTTGGTTACTCTGCGACCTCTGTGTCGTTTCATTCGGTGATTATCTTCGTGCACAGTCGGGCCTTCGTTCTGTGTAAAGTATCTATCGTGAAGAAGATGGCTGGCCAGATAGTTCGTCGCGGTTTCTCATCGTGTATCAGTATGGCTGAAGATTTGAAAGCGTCTACGATCGCGCTGATCAGCGCAATCGAACAGGAGGCGTCTACCATGGACGAGGCGTTTCAGTACCTGTATTACGCCTTCTACGACCCAGACCACGATTTTGCGGAAGGTATAAACTATTTATACGTCCGAACAAGCTTCTGCTCGTGAAGTAGATCTATCGTGATCGTCTTTGTGGATCGATGACGATTAGGCATAAAGACGAGGACACCAAGAAATTCATCGAAATGAAAAACCCTTTATTCATCACAGGTCAGCCCCTGGTGGACGACTTTCGCGCGAAGGCCGCGGCTTGGGATGGGGACGGGGATAACTTCAAAAACGCCCTCTACAACGCCTTGAAGGAAATGCCGGAAGAAGCGACCAACCGGGACATTGAGACGAAAGTGAACGAACTCCTCGGGTTGGACAAGGACTTGATCGGCGGCTTCATCTATCCTGTGCAAAAGTATCGTACTCGTACTAATCGCAGTCATGCAAGACAAATTTCTTCTTCAAGCAAAATCAGCATGACAAATTCCGTTTGTCATGCTGACTTAATTTGTATTGCAATACTACGAGTGCGATACTTTTGCAGTTCATATCATCGAGGGGGCGGTCGACATGGCGTTCAACAGTTTCTTCGGATGAGATGAAGTCGGGTTATTTTCGTCTTCAAAACACATGTGAATAAATGTATGCGTCAAAGATTGGTACACAAATCACCTAAATTGTACAATAAGCTACACGCGTGAGCCGCGTGTGGTCAAGTTATTTCTAGTGTCAACTAAAAAATGCATCCAGAATGTAACAAGCGGTAACAAGAAAGGACACCGTGTGCGCTCCATTGTCATTCATTTGGAAGTTTCCACTCCCCGACGAACAAGAAAAGCACACGTTGATGGATTGTGCTGACGTGCATTTTCCCTAAGGAGCAGAGTCCTTTCGTCATTCATCGTGTTTTTTTTTTCTCTTTTTTCCACCCTGGAAGAGTGCCCTCGTGCTCGTCCTTCTCGTTTCCTGAAGAGTAAAAACTACGCAAACGTCCCACAGAATAAAGATATCGCCCGTAGATCAGCCTCAGGACGAACTGGATCAACACGAACACGATCTCGAAGATCATAAGATTTGATGAGGTCATGCTGTGCGCGGTGAAAAAGAAGAGATCAATTGTATCTAGAGGGTGCGTTGTTCACTGCTTCTACTGGCGAGCTTTTCATCTTGTGAGCGACTTAGCCTTTGTCGTGCTGTTCGATAGTCGATAATGATAGTGCATGGCATGGTGCAGCACCACCCCCGTCGGGGAAATCATTCGGTTCTGGTCCTGAGGATAGCCCGGCGACCTCCTCGACCTCGAGCGTCTTCAGGTGAAGCTGCGGCGTTTGTTCCGATTGGGATTGCTGCGGCGAGGAGACCAAATGGAACTGGTTCTGATGCCGCCAATGTTCCATCATCAACCGGGTCGTCATCGTCGGTTCTTCAGTCGACCACAAGGCCTTTCGCATCGCTGGCAACAAGATCGTCCACAGGAACTGCAGCTCACATAGGGACGAGGTCCAGCGCTAGTAGTGCTAGTGGCAGCTCGTCTTCCAGTTCCTCATCCTCGGCAGGTCTGGATACGCGTGACGCACGCGCGCGTGGGATGAACTCTGGTGCAACTCCCGCGAACCGCAAACACGGCGCTGGCCCAGCGACTATGACGGACGAGAAAAGTAGGACCCAGCAACGGAATCATAAACGCGGTCGTCACGACAGTGCTGCAGCTGCTGCTTCGAACACAGCAGGCACCGCTTCGTCGTCCCGACAGAACAGGAGCAATCGAAACCAAGAAGACCAGACCGACTCCTTCCTGAGTCGCATGAGCGGCGAAGCGCTTGCCCGCTTTGCCTTCCGCTGTGTCCGGGAGCAGCGTCGTGACCCGATTTTGTGGCGGAAAATTGCAGCCCGGACCAAAGACGTGGCGGACACGTTTACGCCGCCGGACCTGGCGAACATCGTTTTCTCCTTTGCGAAGCTGCGGCTGCGCGACAAGCAAATGCTGGACAAGCTCGCGCAGGAGGGGTGCATCTTGCTCCCGCAGATGCAGACCAACGACGTTTGCAAATTTCTGTCCGCCTTTGCGCAATTAGACGTGAGAAAGCCGCTGTTGCTGAAACTGGCCGTCCGGGAGGTGGCGAAGCGCGGGCACGAGCTGGACGTGACGCAATTGGCGGAGTTTCTGCATGTCTTTTCCAAATTTGATGTGACAAAGCCGACAATCAAGCTCTTATCTGTCCTACGGAACAACATCGCCTCGAAGCAGTGGAGCATCGAGGAGTGCCAAAAATTGCCACTCCTCTCTATAACCTGCTCAGGTGTTACAATCTCAAACGTTACAATAGAATCTCGAATTTGTGTTGCATGATGAGCACGACAGACTCGCGCAGCGTTCCACCTTTTGCGATACAAATTTCGCCAGATTGTAGTGCGGTTTGGGCCTCCGGAACTTGTCATGCGCAATCCTATGAGAGTTGGCTAGATCATGCACTCTCGCATCACAGATTTCCATATTCTAGTGTAACGTTTGAGATTGTAACACCTGAGCGGGTTATACTCTCGACCCGGTCCACGACAGGCAAGCACGCTCCGTTTAGCTACACAAAAGGTGCGACAATAGCCGGTACCAATATCGGCGAACAAGACCGAAATCGTGGTCGGCAGCTGGGTCGAAGTTTGGCCACGGTGTTCCACAGCATGGGACGATTGAAGTACCGCGACGAAGATTTGCTGTCGACGTTAATCCGCCCGATGGCGAGGAATCTGCCACTCCTGGAAACGACGACGATCGCGACCATCGCGGATTCGGTGTTGCTGTTGAAATACTGGGAGAACGAGTTTTTTGTGAAAAGGCTCACGGAGGAGATTCTGCACAGGTGTAAAGAGCTATGACTGTGCACAACTCTCCCTCCGCCTCATTTGTCATGCGCAAACCCAAATCCAAGTGCTTCCCTGTGGCACTGTCTGCATGACAGATTCCGGAAGCCCAAACAGTACTACACGAGGCGCATGAATTTGTCATGCACACATTCCACGTGTGCTGTTGTTTGTATTGCTGTTCATGCCATGCAAACGAGGGGGAGGGGGAGTTGTGCACTGTCATAAGAGCTGACTGTGGAGCCCAAAGCCCTGGCCACGGTGCTGCAGGTCTTGGAGCAGTCCCCGTTTTTTCAGCAATTTTGGATTGACTCGAGGACAACAACTTCATCATCGTCTTCAGGTAGTGGTAGACAGAAAACGCTTCCAAGTTGTATGAAGCGAAGGACACCTTTCGACGGAATCGCGATTGCTGAGGATGTGCAGAAGGTTTTTCTCACGCTTCTCGAACTGCTCCCCAACAAACTCCCCCACCAGCGGAATCAGTGGGATCCTAAGATTTTGGCCCGCATCCTCCGCGCGTACGCGAGGTTTCGACCTGAAGATTTGTTGTCACCGAGTACTAGCTCAGAGGGACAAGCAGCAGAGCAACTAACCGAAAGCAAGAACGAATCCCCACCACCGCAAGTCGAGCCATTGTTCCGTCACATCGGGGACGTTTTGGCGCTGAAAGGCCCGAGCCTCGACACAAATACCGTGGTCACCGCCTGCTGGAGCTTCGCGCAGCAGGGAATTTCGCACGGTGTGTTCTTCTACAACGTACCCAGGTTGTTTGCGTCTACTTTTGAGGAAACAGACAGAGACATGGAAGACGGTGCTGCTCAGAGAAGAGCAGAAGCTGCAGCTCTTCACGGCCCGAAGAAAAACCAGCCCTCAGGAGCTTGCTCCACCGCGCAGCTGATTTCCATCGCCCATTCGTATTCTCTGCTCGGCATGGCCAACACGCATGTGTTTGACGCACTGACGCTGAAGCTGTGTCACTACTACCGGATAAAACAGAACGTTCTCTCACTGGAGAAAACCGGACCGATGGCTGCGATGCTCGCAGATGGCAACAACTACGGTGGTGAGTCATTGCCACCAGGGAGTAAGATTAAGGAGCTACACAAAAATCTAGAAGGAACATCAAACCGAGACGGACCGGAAACCGAAATCAAAAGGACCAACGAGCGCAAGAAAAATCTCCTACCCCTCCGCACCCTGCTCCCGTGTCTCCAGGCGTACTTGCGTGTCTCTTTAAACGAGCCAGCAGTGTTCCGGGAAATTGCTGAAGATCTTGTCAGCGCGAAGAGAAAGAAGGAGCTGATGAGAAACCGCTTGCCATTTTGCGTCGAGGTTTTGCAAGTGCTCCGCGAGGTGGGACAGTTGACGGACTCGGTGCGAGAGCGAATGGACATAACGGTGAAAGAGATGCAGGAATTTGACAAGGGGAAAAAGATGAAGAAGTTGGCAGGTTCTACAAACAAAAGCAAAAGGGCTTTTTGTCCCACTTTTCTTTCAACTGCGAAAAATTCACCAGTTCTGCAGTTGTCACCAGCAGATGATATCAAGGACGGCAGCAGAGATGGCAAAAAAGGTGGCGCAGACACCTCCGAATCCACGCAACGCAACCCCATGATAACTTCACTTCAATAAAAGAACGAAGCAGAGTCCCATGCTCTATTTTTTTTCAAAGTGGTCTCCGCCTAGCATGCAACAAACAGTGTCGTTCGTTGTTCTTCTGTTCTTGGTGTTCAGTCAACAACCATAGTAACAACTTCCTGCACGGCTGATTTTCATTTATACTTCACCAGGTGGACGCGCGTCGTGATCGTGTGAGTTCTTGTTTATGTTTATAAAAAATTTATTGTTGACCTTTCACTGTTGTAGGCGTCGCGAGAGATGAAATACATCAAGAACCACTAGCTGCGCCGTGGATGGTACCACAACTTCGCGAAAACGTATTTCCAGGTAGTTATGCGTCCTGCTCGTGTGGCTACTTGATATTCAACAGCGGACGATAATTTATCTGAAGAACACACCGCAAGTAGGAAGAGCCCAAAATGTCAAACTTTTCCTCCTCCTCCTCTTCCTCGCGTACTAAACACGATCCACCACACGTCCTCGTCCCTTCGCACCCACCACCAAACGGCTGCTTGGTGCAGATCCACGGCCTAACAGGACGGGCCGACCTGAACGGAAAATTTGGCGTCGTTTGTGAGTTGACGATTTCAGAAAGAAGAAGTAGAACAGAAAAGAAGCATGTCCAGGCTACAACTACATCTACCACTACCTCCTCTTCCTCGTCAACATCCACATCTTGTTCCGCAGCAAATGCAGGTTCAGGTGGCGTCGGAGATGCTGATCCGACAAGAAAGAACAGTAGTCCCTCTAGTACTAGCACCCCATTCACGATCGAAGTTGAAAATCCTGCCCCTTCACCAGAACAAGCCGCCGACGGCCAAGATGAAACTGATGATCCAGATCCCCGCTGCAAAGTCCGTGTGTTGACGAAATCGAACGAAATTTGCTTCATCCGCCGGTCCAAACTAATTCTCCACCCCGTCTACGTGCTCATCAGCGCCCGCATTGCCACCCAGGAGGATTGCGAAGACCTCTTCCGCTGCTGCACCTCACTAAACGACCAACTTGCCTGGTCCTGGCGTCCGCAAATTCGCATCAGCTACAACACCGGCGACGGTAGCGGCCAGTCCACGCGCGGGCTGCAATATGACAGCCTCAGAATGGAAATCCTCAAAGTGGAAATAATTTGTGATGCATGGAATGCGACGCAAGAAACGAAAGACTGTACTATTGCAGAGGACGCAATGGAGGCCGACTATTGTCTTGCTAGGGGTGAAGAATTGGAGTGCTGCTTAGCATGAGAGAAGGGCACCCCTTTGCCTTAACCTGCATGACAAACATGCTGTAAGTGCCCGGGAAATTTATTGTCATGCGCCGACTACAAATGGCGCTTCAACTGGAGTCGTTTTTTTGCATTGCAAATTATTTCCACTTTGAGGATTTCCAACCAGAGGCTTTCATATGCAAGCGGAGGAGCAGATCGAGGAAGTCAACTATTTGCCGGTGGAAACCGAAGACGTGGATACGGACGACGAAGATTGGCCCGAGATCGTGGCCGATCTGATGCGGGAAGAGTTCGAGAACCAGGAGAATTACCAGGTGATAAGGTATCAGAAGGGGATTCTCGCGCAGCACTTTCAAGTCTTAACAAGTCTTCTTCGAACAAAGCCGACCGGTGTGCAGCTGCGGAGCGGTCATGCCACCGCCGGAGGTGGAGAAAATTTTGCAGAAGTTGGGGGCGGAAGGAGATGTGGAGGTAGAGGAGGACGCAGATGATGATCTTTCTGGTGGACAAGGAGAAGATGTTGATGATGATATTGAAGATGCCGATGCCCGGGAGGCGGGAATAAGAATGGGAAGCGACGAGGAGGATGAGTCCGAGGCTGATGTTCAGAACGAGGAAACCAAAACCAAGTGCTGTGACAGGTACACGACCAGAAAGAACCAAGGCACGACCAGTAGCAGCAAGAGCAAGTCGAAAATAAATTCTCCACCCTCGAAGATGAACAAGCAACAGCAACGTCTCGCCTTTTCCACAGTCCAGCAAGACGCGGCCCGCTTTGGTTTTGATCTGAAGAACGCATGGGTTACTTTCCATGAGCCGCAGGATATCAGTTGCGCCCACCGGTTTCGCAACTTTTTGACCAACCTCGTGATGCCGACCGCTGCTGCGGACTTTTTGCCTGAGTCAAGAACAGGAACAGCTTCGTCGTCGTCGTCCTCCGGGACGATGTTGCTGAAGCACAGAAAAAATTGCACCGGCTATCACAGTAATTCTGGCACGACCTACTCTTACGCGCAGCAGCAAAATTTGCGAAACACCTACATCGCAATCGAGCCGTATTATTTCGATACGTCTTCCTTAGCCGTAAATGCCTCAGAGCCGAGAACATCGAAGGAAGCAAGATCGCTGATGCTCGACGGCAACATGATCTCAACATCTTCTCTCGCCAATGACCAGCACGCGGGCGATATTGATGACGATGAAATAACATCACAAGCAATTCATCCACTGCAACGCCGCACGGTGAACCGCCAGAGGATCCGGGTTCCGTTGTTCACGTTTCTCGTCCGAGCTACACATGTTGCGGAGTGCTTCGAAAAATTGACAAATTACGTCCTGCGGTCGGACTACGCGTACCACGGTGTTTCTTCGTTTCTGGTCCAGTACGCGAATAGGTTTGTGAGTTTCGAAGTAAAAAAGCACCGGGTCATGTTTCTCGAGGAAGATTTGTACTTTGAGGAGAAAATGAAAAGTAGTTGCAGTTACTCTTCTTCTTCAAAGAAGATGAACACGAACCGCAAACAAATCATTGAAACTACCGGCAGCTCCTGCCAGAACTTGAATAACGAGACGACAATGACTTCGCCGCCCCCGGTCACGTCGTCAGCCTCAGCCTCAACCTGCTCCTGCTCCACAAATAATGATAAAAAGACCTTCGGCTACCTCAAGTTCATTCCTGTCTGCAGTGAGTGCGGGATGCGAGCCATGTGCTACGACATTGCAGGGTCCAGCATGCAGGCGCGGGACTTGCAAAACATCAAATCCAACCGATTAGACAGAGAGTTCATCCTCCCCGCCTTCACCGCGCTGAACCAATCCGAAGGCTTCCAGCACGACGTGATTCGCATTCGCCGGGAATTGGAAGATGTGATTATTGCCGGGGTCCATCTCCTGTCCGACTCCTGGGTTAGTCAAGATGTTTCCTTCCGGAATACGATCAACCCGGAGCCATACTGTTGCGAACTACTCGAACTACAACCGAAGAAGTTCAACTGTGAACCTATTGCTACAAAAGACGCGAAAGCGCAATCCTGGAGAAAATTTCTCGACCGCGCGATGCCCACGATTCTGTATTTACTCTGCATCCGGATGGAGATCCCCACCGAGATGACCTTTCATGAGTACAACGAGCAAAAGGGGAAAACATTGCGGTTTCGGGTTGGGGATTGCGTGGAAGCCCGGCTGGGCCTTTCGGAGGATAGCTATTTCAAGGGGAGAGTCGTGAAGTTGTGGGACATGGGGTTTCCCTACCGGATTAGAATCGAGTTGACCGGGGAGGAGGTGCGGGCGCCGGAAGATCACGACCGGTGTGTGAGAGCGATCCAGGCCGGGACGACGAGAGATGATAATCGACCGGATGAAGAATCTCAGACTCATGAATGATAAACTGAACACTAAGTCACACTACTCTTATTCGATTATTCAATACGACGAAAAAAACATACTGAATTTTCGATTTTCCATGTGATTGTGAAATTATATATTCCGTTTCAAAAATATGCATATCAATTGTGGTTTTCGAATGATATTCAAGTTTTTTTTTTTTCTAGGTACAATATGAGTGGTCACCAGGAAGATGTAACACAACATCATGAAAAAATATTTTGAACAACGGCACGAAGGGAAGCGAAGTCATCTTTTGCCTGAAATTGTTGTCATTGCGAATGAATCATAAATGCGATTTTGAATTCCACCAGGCATTCCCAAGCAGCTCTTGCGAGCGATTCCGCCGGTTTCTCCATCAATCAATCTTATTGTTTCATGTGATGAGGCAACAAGATCAAGAATGATCGATGAAAAATTCACATCGAAAATCACATCGGATCTTTTATGGCCTCGAAAAATCGATGCCCATGCATGGAAAATAAGAAACAAGAAAGAAACTCACATCGGAATACGAATATCAAGACGATAAAATTTCGATATCAATGATAATGAATTATTTCGATCGATATTCATCGAATTTGATTCAGAGGAATATAATGGGTTCAATCTATTTATCTCTTCTCTTTCTTGATTTTTTTTTCTGTTTTCTTCTGATCAAAATCATCGATATGAGATTATCAATATGAATATCTTTCTTCGGAATGGATAGGAAATATCCAAATTGATTAAGACAAAAATTATGTTGGAATTTTTTTTTTTTAATTTCTCGGAATCTAGGATCTGGATTGATATTGATCGATGGATGTCGAAATAAAAATTTTGCATGATGAATTTATCGATATTAATTGAAAATTTTGCAATGATGGGATTCCTGACATTCATATTCTAAGATGAAAATATTGAAATCCGAAAAGATTCATATTATTATATGAATTTTCGATCATAAACATCATGATGATGATCCACATCCAGATCTACAGATTTTGAAAATTTTTAAAAAAAAATTATGGATGTGTATTCTACAGGATATATCCGATCATATTCCATGTTTATCTTCTGAATTTCTATGATTTGGGAATTCATTATGAAAAATTTTCAGAACATTTTGAAAAAAAAATTCGAAAATTTTATCATGAAATCCGATCGGATATAACAATCTTCAATCTTTTTTTTTTTTCATCAGATTCAATATTCATATCTAGATATGTCATGGAAAATTAATCATCATCATCATCATCTATCCTACATTGGGAGGACATGCATAATATTAACAGATAGATTCCGATCGAAGAGAAAATGACTTTGAAACTCAGATATTACAAAAAAATATGATCTCTCAAGGATTCAATTTCAGATACATCCTGCAGAATATCTCTTTTTCTATAAATTCATCACATTTGATCGAGGAATCAATCCAGAAGATAATCCGAAAATGATGAGATATTGTGAATTATTCCGATCAATGAATTCTGATTCAATCATTCTGAGATTTCGATTTCGAAATTTACCCGTAATATTCATCGATATTTAATATTTGCGAAAAGAAATGAAGGAAATTGGTCGGGGATCTTCGTTCGTAGCTAGATCGTAATGCTTTTGCTGCGTCTGGAACTGGATCTATCGAATATTTCAACACAACAAAGAAATAATAAATCATCTCCAAAATTGCTTACTTTTCTATTTCTTTCCTCCCACACAACATCAGTTCATATCTTCTGATGTGTTCTTCTTACATCATGCAGCTCTGCTATTTGTTCATTGAGTCAAACGATCACCATCGTGTTGTCTTTGATTTGGTGAAATTGCAGCGCCATCAGACCTGTTTTCCTTTTTTATTCTTCCTCGCCCGCGTGTCTGAAGCAGGTAGAATTTCTCCTCCTCCATACCGTTTTCATCATTTTGATTTTCCTCGATGTTGTCCTTGTCGTCGTAGAAGTGGTAAGTTCGCCGTATCGGTGAGAACTCCGGGTCTAGTGGATTAGGAAACATCATATTGCCAGTAGTTTTCCGACCTGTAGCTGTAGTATTGCTATTGCCTGTGTTGTTGCTATGTGGCGCTGATATTCTTCCGGGAGATCGGAATGTTGCTGCCAACGGTGGAGCAGCAGGACGAACACCAGCAGCGTGACGAAACTTCAGATCGAGTTCCGCTTCCGCGTCCTGTCTTTGCCGAAATAGATGATGGCCATACTCATTTTCTTCCCCGCTACTAGAACTGCTACTACTTGCGGCACCGCTGCTGCTCCAAGACGTTCCTCCATTTTTTCCAGAAAGAAGTTGATCCGTCTCTAATTCAAATTCCCCTTTCTCGAAAACCAGGTCCTCCTCTTCCCCGGACGCAATCGCCAAAGATGTTGACGAGCTATTTGAGGATGAAAATTCGTCGCTGATACTCCAGTCCTCCAAATCTTCCTCACTGTAAACTGATCCCTCTCCACCCGGCGTTCTGTTGCTGTACAGCGAGTTACTGTTACTCCGAGAAAGCGGGGTCGACACGGCACGCCCGGCCAACCGGTGTGAAGACGGGGAGGAGTCGCTGTCGTCTACCGGACTGGTGGTGTTCTCATAATCGCGAGAGGAATTATTTCTATCCGTGTAGTAGACGAAGCCGTTGCTAAAATGTCCTGCGGCGGCCAGTCCGGAAGCTGTTGCTCCACCTCCTGTTGCGCCGTTCCCATTTGATGTTCCGTTCATGATGAATCCAGCACCTCCACTGTTTCTTCTGCTCCTGGTAGCACTTCTATGGCTGCCACTCCTGCTAGTACTATAACTGCCAGTCTCGTCTAACAATCCCGCCCTGCGAAAACAGCAATACAAGCCCTGCCCCGAGGCGTAGACCACACACGAAATCAGCAACAGCAGCAACACGCAAAACAAGTTCGCGCCCCAGAAGGTGCACCAGAAGGAATCCGACAGTGGGCGGGAGAACACCACAATCTGGTGAACCCCGGTCCATTGCAGGTACCAATGTGACGGAAAGTGGTACAGAAACTGCTTCTTGCCGTCCTTTCGCTTCTGCGGTTTGGCCCACAAAGCCTGCGCGGATCCGCGCATCGTCGACGGACCGCGCATATGAAATGCAAAAGCATCCTCGTACTAGTATAAATCGCATGACAAATTTCCTCAGCATGAGAAATGAAATTTGTAATGCAGATTTGCCTTGGGAACAAGATTTGTAATGCAGTATTTGCATTTATACGAGTACGATACTTTTGCACAGGGTAGCGCACGGGTTCGACTTGCAAGGCGGGGGGGAGTTCTATTATCCCCCAGAAAAAGACCGACAGGTCATATTTGTAATGCCAAAATAAATAGACAAAAAAATCTGTATTGCATGCCCTAAACAGGATGTTATGGCCTCGCCCATGACAGATTTTCCTGTGTATTTATTTTTGCATTACAAATATGACCTGTCGGTCTTTTTCTGTGGGATATCTATAATTTGCTGTTGAGGTGCAGCCGTTGTTTTACTAGGCGCCTCCTCTTCTCCATTGGTTATGGAAGGGAAAGAAATCGAAAAGATAGAGATGAACGGGTCCACAGTCACAAACTTCAGCAAGTTCGTTTAATCATTTACTACTACTAGAAGCGACGTCGTCCACGCCCTTCTGTTCAACGGCAGCGGCGAATGCAATGCCATTTGGGAGAAACTAAAGAAGTAAATTTGAACATACAAACGCAGCATCTTCTATCGCTCTGCGACTGCGCGTCCCACTTTGTTCTCGATCTTGCCTTTCTCTTTTCCCCTTGCGTAGTCGGATTCTTGGTCGTCGTAGTTCCACCTTGTACAGATGTGGATGTTGCCGTGGTGGTTCCCGGCGACTCCGGCGGGAACACCGGAGTGAATGGGCTGACCGTCGCGATGATCGGGACGAACCTTGTGCTGTCTCCTTCTACCGTCGTGGAGGTGCTAGTACTGCTGGCACTAGTACTGATGATAGGAAACAACAGTGGCTTCGTCGTGCTCGAACCTGTCTGCGGCCTCGGGCGCGAAGTAAATGGCCGTCTCGACGTCGTTGGCAGCCCGGTTTCCGGTATAATAATTCCCCCTCCCGTCTGCGTCGTTGTTACGGGCCGGGGCCGGGTTGTTGCGGTGCTACTGGGGGTAGTAGAAGTAGGAGCACCGCCACCACCACCTTTTTCCGTGGTCGTCGAGGAAGACCCCGCTACTACTGCGGTGCTGGTCGTCGTTATCAGAGTGCACAACTCCCCCTCCCCCTCATTTGTATTGCATGAGTAGCACCATCACAACCACCAACGAACAAACGTGGGGCCTGTGCATGACAACCCCACGTCCCGATTGTAGTACTGTAACTGTTTGGGCTTCCGGAATTTGTAATGCAAACAGTGCCACAAGGCACCAATCCAACTGGATTTGGGATTTTGCATTACATTTATTGTACTACTGTTTGGGCTTCCGGAATTTGTAATGCAAACAGTGCCACAAGGCACCAACTGCAACTGGATTTGGGATTTTGCATTACAAAGGAGGGGGAGGGGGAGTTGTGCACTGTCATAGTCGTGCTGCTCCACAACCACGGCTCTGTCGTCGCCGTTGTCCGCCCTCCGGAAAGCACTATGGAAGCGTCAGGTTTGAAATCGTCAAAGTTGAAATAGTTTGTCATGCATAAAATGGATGCCACTTGAAATCCAGTTTCTAAGTGGCGCATGGCAAATTTGGGTAGAACCGATATCCAGTTTGTCATGCTGTTTGGGTAAGGAAGACGCCTTTTGTCGTGCTACTTTAGCGCCTCAGTTTCTACCCCTCGACAGGCTTACAATCTGCCTCACTTGCCTACTCTGCAAGACAGACACTTTGTGGGCTGCATTTTATGCATGACAAATCATTTCAACTTTGACGATTTCGATCCTGACAGATCCATAAGCACGCCCTTTTCAGTAGTTGAGGCTGTTGATACTGTGGATGTGGAAGAAGCAGGAGGTGGTAGCGACGTCGTGGTCCTCTGCTCGGGGCCACCACTCGTAGTTCCAGCACTCGTACTTGATGACTGAACCACGCCGCCACTTTCGGAGGTCGTCGTGCTGCTCCACGACCACGGCGCTGTAGTTTCAGTTGTCTGCCCTCCCGAAAGCACGCCTTTTTCAGTTGTTGACGTGGACGTTGTCCTTGTCGATGAGGGAGTAGGAGGTAGCGAGGATGTTCCGAGGCCACCACTTGGCCTTGTTCCGGTTTTAGTTGAAGACGACTCAACAACATCGCCACTTTCGGTCGTAGTTGTACTGCTGCCCGGCGAGGACCAGGGGCCGGTCGTGGCCGTTGTCTGCCCGCCGGGAAGCACGCCTTTTTCTGTGGTAGAACTCGATGTACTAGAACTACTAGTAGACGACGTAGTGGCACTTCTACTAGACAGCGAAGTTTGCCCAGGCGGACCCGTGTCGGGAGCGGTACCTGTGCCAGTCGTGGTCCCGGTCCTGCTTTTCGTGCTCGAAGTCGATGTTGATTCCTCCCCACTAGATGTGCTAGAAGTTGTGCTACTGCTCCAAGACCAGGGCTCCTCCGTGCTGGTCGTCTGCCCGCCGGGAAGCACCGCTTTTTCCGTAGTGGTCGTCGACGTACCAACAAAGGGCAGCGCCGAGCCCGTTGTCGTCACAAACATTGACGTCGTCGGCCGCAAACTGGATTCCAACAGCTCGCGGCTCGTTTTCGCCTCGCTCGTGGTCGTGCTGGTTGTCGGTGCGCTCGAGCTTCTTGTGCTGGTCACTGTCTCGGCCTCGCTCCAAGTATGCGACTGCGGGGTGCTGTGAGTGCTCGGCCTGGTAGGCATCGTGGGAAACGGAGGAAAGGTAGTGTCTGTGCTTGTTGAAGCACTCTCCGTGCTAGTCACCGTCTCGACGCCGCTCCACGTGTGCGTGTGCGGGGTGGTGCCAGTGCTTGGCCTAGTAGGCAGGGTGGGAAACGGCGGCAAGGTAGTGCCTGTGCTTGTTGAAGCCGGTTCTGTGCTCGAACTTGTAGTGCTAGTCACCGTCTCGACCCCGCTCCAAGTGTGCGTCTGCGGAGTGCTGTGCGTGCTTGGGAGAGTCGGGATGACGGGTATGGTTATCACGGGGACCGCGGTGCTCGTGCCCGCCGTTGTCGTACTAGTGCTTTCTAGTATAGCAACCGGCGTGCCGCCTGTCGTGGTAGAAGTAGCAACTGAGGTGGAGGTCTCTGTGCTGCTAGTCGCCGTAGAAGTCTCGACGCCGCTCCAAGTATGCGTCTGCGGGGTGCTGTGAGTGCTGGGGAGAGTCGGTATAACGGGTATGGTTATTACGGGGACCGCGGTGCTTGTGCCCGAAGTTGTTGTAGTGCTTTCCAAGATAGCAACCGGCGTGCCGCCTGTGGTCGTGGTAGAAGTAGCAGCTGGTGTGGATGTAGTTGAAGTTCTTGTAGAAGTTGTCGCCGTGGTCTCGGTCGTGCTGGAACTTGTGCTAGTCACCGTCTCGACGCCGCTCCAAGTATGCGTCTGCGGGGTGCTGGGAGTGCTTGGCCTGGTAGGCATGGTGGGAAATGGCGGCAAGGTAGTGCCTGTGCTCGTTGAAGCCGTGCCGGTGCTCGAGCTTGTAGTGCTAGTCACCGTGCTGGTCTCGACGCCACTCCAAGTATGGGTCTGCGGGGTGCTGGGAGTGCTGGGCAGACTTGTCTCAGGCAACGCCTTTGTGGATGTAGTTGTAGACACTTGCTCCGTCGACGTTGAAGATGTCGTAGTAGAGCTGCTTCTACTGCTCACAGTTTCCGTCTCGCTGGCTGTAGCAGTTTCCGAGCTCGTCGAAGTCGATAGTGCACTACTAGAACTTGACAAACTGGATGAAACTGGTGCAGATGTTGGTGATGTAGTACTGCTAGTGCTACTCGTTATCGTACCAGTGCCCGTGGTGGTTTTATCTGCTTCTGTTGTGGTACTGTCAGTCACCGTTTCCGTCGCAGTTGAACTGCTCGAGGTCGTGGTGGTTTCCGTTGTCGTAGTACCAGTGCCCGTGGTGGTTTTCTCTGCTTCTGTTGTGGTACTGTCAGTCACCGTTTCCGTCGCAGTTGAACTGCTCGAGGTCGTGGTGGTTTCCGTTGTCGTAGTACCCGTCGCCGTGGTGGTTTCCCTTTTTGTCGAAGTTGCAGAAGAAGTCGACGCCGAGGTCTGCGCACCACTAGAACTAGAAGTCGGCGAAGCGGTTCCGGTTGTTGTACTTTCCGTTTCCGTTGTGGTACGAGATGTCGTGCTTGTCGACGACGATGTTCTTGAAGACGAAGAAGTGCTAGTTGTACTCGAAGCTGTGCTTGAGCTTGTGCTCGACAAAGTGCTACTAGTGGTCTCCTGCTCCGACGGCGTGGTCTCAGTGATTGTAGAAGAGGAAACAGTTGAAGTTGTCACAGCGCCAGTGTGAGTTTCTGTTGACGTAGTGGTCTCTAATATAGCAACCGGCGTGCCGCCGGTGGTCGTGGTGGATGAAGTAGCAGCTGAGGTGTAGGTGGTTGTGGTTGACGCCGTCTCTGTTGTGCTCGTAGACAGAAATTCCGGCTTGGTGGTCGTTGTCGTCGACAGAAATTCCGGCTCGGTACTAGTTGACGTAGCGCTAGTTGTAACAGTTGTGGTCGTGCTACTACTAGATGAAGTCGTCGAGCTAGTTGTAACGGTTGTGGTTGTGGTGCTCCTAGATGAAGTCGTCGAGCTAGTTGTAACAGTTGTAGTCGTGCTAGTACTAGATGAAGTCGTCGAGCTAGTTGTAACGGTTGTGGTTGTGGTACTACTAGATGAAGTCGTCGAGCTAGTTGTACCAGTTGTGGTTGTGCTACTCGCAGTGCTACTCTCCGTCCCCGTTCCGGTCCCTGTAGTTGATGATGTCGACACTGTCGCGGTACTACTGCTGGTTTTGTGCGGCGTACTGCTCCCCCCGATTTCTTCCGAAGAAGAAGACGTTGACGTTGAGGTACTAGAAGTTGTTGTACTGCTGGTGGAAGCCGTTGCTGATGCTGTTGTCGTACCACTTGAAGTACTAGTGCCACTGGCAGAAGTTGTACTGGTGCTAGTGATTTCCGCAGTAACGGTGGAGGTCGTCGACGATGTCGTGGTTGTAGTCGATGTCGTCGTCGTGGTCGTGGTCGGGGGTATGCAAAGCAAATGAGATGTCAACTCAATGACAAACACAACTAACAACTGCCCGTAAAACTAAAACACGGGCAGGCAGAGTCTATTGCGCCTCCGGAACAGACGCAGCTGCAAATTCACTGATCGCGCACTTGCTCCTTCTACGTACAGATGACAATGCTATCGAAAGCGTGAGGCCAGCACAGCGATTGATCGAACTATAATCTGGCAGCACTCGTCGTATCTGCTCTCTCATGCGCATATGCAGGAGGCGCAAAACCAGCACCCGCAATCAAAATAGTCATAGTTTCTCCCCCAAGAAGCATAGGGAAGTCACAAAAAGGAAAAGTTGTTTGACTTTGAGTTTCATCCGACTACTTGCTTCCCTTGTCATACACGTTGTGGTCGTCGTGGTCGTATTTCCAGTCGTAAAAATATGCGTTGTGCCTATCGTTGTCGAATTCGGCGTCAGTGTAACACTCAACGACGTCGTCGTGGACGTGCTAGTGCTCGATCTGGCAGTCGAGTGGTCGTCTGTGGGACTACTTCCCGTGCTGGTGCTCGAATGTTTTGTCGTCACCGGAAGTTTTGTCGACGGCAAGCTCGTCGAATTGGGCGTCAGCGTGATAGTTTGTGATTGGCTCGACGAGAACGTGCCCGTGCTCGATCGGAAAGGCGCTGTAGTTCTATCCAGTGCAAAAGTATCGCACTCGTAGCAGTTGCATTTATCCATGACAAATCTTGTTTCTTAGCCAAATCAGCATTACAAACACCATTTTTCCTCCTGATAAAATTTGTATTGCGATTTATACTAGTACGATGCTTTTGCATTGCATAAGTTCCCTCCACCGGCACCGTCGTACTCGCGTACTTCGTGGTTAGGGGCGGTTTTGTCGACGGTAAACTGGTCGAATTTGGCGTTTGGTGCGTTACTGTAGCTCCCCCTGGCGTCGTGCTAGGGCTCGACCTGAAAGGCGCGGTCGTTTCTACCGATGGATCCCTTGTGCTCGAGAATTGCGTCGTTTCAGGCGCTTTTGTCGAGGGCAAGCTCGTCGAGTTCGGCGTTAGCGTGACCGTCACCGGCGGGGGCGGTGTTGTGAACATGCTCGATCTGAAGGGCGCGGTCGTATCGTCTTTTAGCGGTAAAGTGGTGCTGGAGTACCTCGTGGTTGCGTCGGTTTTCGTTGCCGGCACCCGCGTCGAGTTCGGTGTCTGGTTGGCGAAAGGATCCGAACTGCTCGTAGTAGATCTCGTGCTGGACGAAAGGAAAGTAGACGAGAACACTGTAGTGGTGGATATTACTGTCGTCGGAATCGTCTCCACCGAAGATGTCGTCGACCTCATCGTCGTGCTGTTGTGATTCTCTTCCCCCGAGCAAGATATCAAACAAAAAAACTTCGTCGCGATCACCTCCCATCGGCAGTCTACAACTTGCAACACAGTCATCTTATCATGCACCGAGCGAATGCATCACAGTCACATGATCTGATCCGGACTTTTCGGTCTGTCTAGTTCATTTTGGCTGCAATGCAAAAAAAATTGTCAATCTCCATCTCATGCAAAAGCAAAACGAAGCTGCGTGTCATTTGTGACGACGACGAACTTTTTTCTACTCGCCATACCCGGGCCCGTTCCTGTACTCGGCGCGGGCGACGAGGTTGAGTGTATCGGCGTGTAGGTTGTTGACGCAGGGGTCGCCCCAGTCGTTATCCACACGAAATGCACTCCGTACACGCCAACAAGATGAATGCATGACACAACCTTTAGATAGTGCCCGACCACCACAACATCACAACACTCAGCATGAAAAGCTTCAGTCCTCCGGTCGATCAAATTTTCCATGCAACTTGTACGACGTATACGGCAAAAATAAATTTGTGTTCCTTACTCGTCTTCGAGTCCTCTGCCTTGGGCGTAGTCGTCACGCTCGGTGTGGTCGAACTGGAGCTTTCCGGAGTCGTTTGCAGAAAATCGGGCCCCGTCGTGACGCGTGGCAGCGTCGTGCTCGTCTGGGGCGCTATTGTCGTGTCCAGGAAGTCCGGCCGCGTGGTGCTACCCGTAGAGGAAACTGCCGTGGCGCTGCTGTGACTATAATCCGGAGTTGTGCTGCTCGCGGCAGGAGACGACGTGGTGGCGCTAAAAGTGGTGGACGAAACGAATTCTCTCGTCGTACTTGGCAAATCGGACGTGGTGGACGAATTTGTTGACACCGTGCGGGATGCATCATATGTAAAAATGTCTGGGTCTGGAAGAATGCAAGTTTGTCATGCTTGTCTGGCATGATCCGAGAATCTGTGTTGCATAGGCACGAAGCGACCCTCTTACCTGTTATGCAAAAACGCAGCTTGCCATGCGGAATACGTAAGACATGGCAGCCAGAAAATTTGTGATGCATAGCTGCGTATTGCAGTCCGGCTATCATCCACTTTTTGCATCACAAGTTTCCAGACCCAGACATTTTTGCAGTTGATAGGATGACGTAACCGTGGAAAGAAATTCCGGTCCTGTGGTCGCTGTCACGCCCGTGGTCGTGACTTCGTTCGTGGTGGTCGTCCACGGGTGCGCCGTCGTCTTCGCCGTTTCGGTGCTTGGCTGGCTACTGCTTTCGGGCGTCCTCGGGCTGGCTGTGGAAGGCAATGTGGAGGTCGGCTCCGAGGAAGTGGTCAAGGGAGACACGGTAGTGGTCTCCACCGGCTTGTTATGCAGTGGAAAAGTATCGTACTTTCGAGCTCGAACTCATGCAAATGCAAATCTGTATACCAGTATTGCATGAGAGATCTACTCGCCTCTGCACTAGCACTACCTCTTTCTTTTAGTAAGCATTACATCAAATTCCATTTTTTCTCCAATGCAATTTATGCTGCTACGTCTACGACACTTCAAATTCCAATTTTTCTCCAAGCAGTGCTACGACACTTTTGCGCTGCATATTTGTGCGTCGTGGGTTTTCCTGCCGTCGTCGACGCGGTGGACGAGCCTGAGGTCGAGTCTCCCCCTACCGGCGCCTTTGTCGTCCGAGGCGTTTTTGAAGTGGTTTCCGCCGGGGAAAACGTTTTCGTGGAAGAAAACACGGTCGTGGAAACGCTCCACGTGGTCGGCGGAGTAGTCCCACCAGCATCCGGCGTCACGGTGGGCCCCGCCCCCTCGGGGGAAACGGTGAAGGTGGTGGCTGCAGTTGTGCTACCCGCCTTAGTCGTACTCGAAGTCGATGACATGGTCGTGGAGGGGCTTTCCGGTGGGGAAGTTGTAGCCCCGCTGGACACAAGCCCGGTCGTGCCACTCCCCCCTGGGGACGAGGAAAGCAAATCTGTCGTCACGGCTGGCGTCGTTGTTTCCCGCTCGCGCGTCGTAAACGTGGAAAGCAAAATTGTGGTGGAAGCTGGTTCATTCGTTGTGGACAACCCAGGCTCCGCGGTCGACACGCTCGACACCGTCTGCACTTCGGTCGTCGGCGGCGCGGGTGAAGTCGTGGACGATGTGCGGACTTCTGTGCTGGTGCTCAAAACGGTGCTAGATAAGGTCTCTGTTGTTGGCTGTGTCGGATTCACTGTTGGAATTACACTGCTACCGGAATCGAAATGCGTCGTGCCCGGTGCGGTTGTGACCTCCGTTTTGGTTGTCCTCGTCGAATATAAAGTTGAGGCTGCAGTCAAAGTTGACGCTGCGGTAGGTTTTACCGTCCAGTCTGTCGACGGAGAAGACGCCGTGTTGCTGCCCGCCGGCGACGTCGTCGCATCCGGCAAATCCGTCCGCGTCGTCGGTGCCACGGTCGCGGAAACCGAGAGCGTTTCATCTCCGGGGATCATGCTCTGAGTCGTACTACCAGCCGGTGCCGGCGACGTCGTAAATTCCGGCCCGGTGGTGGACGGTACTGGGCCGTTTGTGGACGAAGAAAAGATCCCCGTTGTGAACATCTCGTCCGCACCAGTGCCTGTAGTTGAAGATGCTCCCGGATCATGCGGGGTCCAAAACGGGCTAATGGTGGTCGGAGAAGAACCGTCCCCCAGCACGGCGTTCCCCGTCGTCGTGGCAAATCTCGTCGTGCTGGCCGGGAAAATCTTTGTCGCGGTAGCGTCAGGACTGCCGGAGGACCAGGTATGAGAGGGTACAACTGATGAAACTGGTTTTCCTGCTTGTTTTCCATCTCCTTCATTCGAACTGCATATAAGTACTTCCTAGCACCAGCAACAGAATCAGAAGCAACGGCACAGCTACAGTGCCTGCTGTATCACAAATCCCCGGCCAGAAGATTGCAGTGCCCTTCAGGGTGGGGCATGCACTGCAGCTTGAGCTTGCTATGCAAGACAGTGCTTTGTAGTTCTATTTCTATCGCTTGGATATGGGACAGGCACGCACAGGGATCACGACTGTGCGTGACAAATGCAAATTGACTCTGAACGGGAGCCGCAGCTCGTTGTGCACTCTCGTACCAGTCCGGTGGGCTCGTGATCGCCAAACTGGTTGTGGTCGCAAGACCAGCAGAAGACACGGTAAGTTGCAAGGCCGTGGTGCTGTCAGTCCAGGTTGTACTGCTTTTCACCGAGCTCGTCGCAGTTTCCGCGTTTGACGTGGTACTCGAATCCGCCCAGGTTGTAGACGTCAGCTGTGGAAGTTCTGCGGTTGTGGGGGCGGCGCCAGACGTCGTAACCGAGACGGTCGTAGTCGAAGAAAATACCGAAGTCGGAACCTATGCCCTGCTCAGCTGGTGGAACAATCTCAACAATGTACTAACGCCAAGGCCTCCTGTTAGTTTTGTAAGTATCGACCTAACCGGCAAACGCAAAAGCAAGACCAAGAGCCGCTATCCATTGCATGACAAATTTTGTACGGATTCCAGGTGCGAATAGCTATGCCATGCTGAACAGATTCTAGGTTTGCCATGCTGAGCAGACAGGTGACTATCACTATTAGCCAGATCAACATCCGCAGTTTGCGGCACAAATATTTTTCATCTTCCATTCTCGATTGTTCCCACACCAGATGACCACCCCGTAAAAGCTCGTCTGTGGAGGCTCCACCGCCACCCCCAGTTGAAGACTGCGTCCACGGCAAGGCCGTGGTGCTCGAAACGCCCCCTCCCCCGTCCCCTTTCGCGTCGGTCGCGACGCCCGTGGTCGAATCGGTCCGCGTCGTTGACATTGGAAAAAGCTTTGTGGTGGTTTGATTGTAGTCTTGCTCCGCACCGTAGCCCGTCGTCGGCTCCATCGTCGTCCAGGACAAGGCCCTCTCAATGTTCCCTGAACTCGCCTCCGGCCCCGTGGTTCCCCCGCTGGCCACCGAGGTGCTCGCGGTGGTGAGCAAACTGGTGGATGGACTCGCCGTCGACAAAGCAGCGGGGGTAAACACGAGCGTCGTTTGGATATTTTCCACCGGTTTCGCGGCGAGCGTGGTGGGACTCGTCGTCGTGGTGCCGCGGGTCGTCGAAATGGGGAACATCTTCGTGATGATCACCGGCCCCGCGCCCTTCTGCAGCTCCGGCCCCTCGCCCCAGCCGCCCTCGCTCCCCCCCGTCGACACAAACGTGGTCGGGGGCTCGGCGGTCACCGGCTTCGTCGTCGAGTATAGCGGTCCGGTCGTGGTTGTGGATTCGACCGTGCGCGTGGAGGGTCTCGTCGACGTGGAGGGATCTCCGCCGGGGTCAGTCGAAGAGACGGACCACACCGTGCTTTGCGGCGGAAAAAGAGTGGTGGCCCACGGTGCAGCTCCCGTGGTCGAGTCGGTTTTTGTGGTGGTGCTGGAAAATGGGGTTGTATTTTCGAGCGGGGTGGTCCCGGATTCGCTGGACGGCGACGCGAAGGTCGTTTCGCCCGGCCGCGTACTGCTGGTAGTCGAGGAGAGCGACGTGCGGCTCGGCGACGTGGCGGGCGGGGGTCGAGTCGTCGGCTTCGTCGACGTCTCCGCGGTCGCCAAACTCGCGGTTGTGG